TCTATTAGACTTATTTTCCCTTCTATTACTAGCTTATTATATATCTTATCTAGGAACTAGTAGTTATTATAATCTAATAAGTAAAAATAGATTATTTTTCTTTAGTTTTACTATTTATTAATTAGATCTACTTTTATTTTTATCTCTTTAGATATTAGAATTATATCTTTATTATAGTAAATATTATATTTATCTAATAGCTTAATAAAGAACTTAACTAGTATTTTATTAAGATTAGCTATATATATATTATATTTATTTTTTCTTATTAAAATATCTAATATTCTTAATATTCTATAATTAGATAAACTATTATTTATACTAAGAATTTCTAGTTCTTTATTTTTTTTAATTTACTCTATATTTTTTTTTATAAAATTAAAATACTTATCTATATTATTAAAGCTTATATTAGATAAAATAACTTAGCTAGCTTTTTCTAAGATTAAAAATATTACTTATTTATTATCTATATATTCCTTAATCTTATTTATAATTTAATTCTTTATAAGAATTAAAGATTTCTTAGTATTATTACTAAATAGTACTAGCTATAAACTATTTATATTTATTATAATATTAAATATAGATTTATTATTTAATATAAAATAATATACTTTTTCTTTATTTTCTAATAATAAGAAGCTCTATTTTATTATAATTAGTATTTTTTTATCTAATTATAATTTAATATTTTATTATATCTAGATATTATAAACTATTTTCTTTAGCTTTAGTTAGAATATATTACTTTATATTTTTATACTATATATAAATCTAAAGACTATATTTAAATTAATAAAGTTTATTCTTATACTATAGTTATATAGAAAATAAGTTCCTAGTAATAACTTTAAATCTAGTTCTATTATAATATTAGTAATAACTATAAAGTAAATATATATTTCTACTTCTATTATAATACTAGATATATAGAAGTTAAATATTACTACTTTTAAAATAAAGAAGTTTAAATTAACTCTAATTATTTATTTTAAAAGTTAGTTATAATAATATATATTCCTATTATACTTTTAAACTATTCTTTATTTAAAGAACTAATTATAATCTTAATATTATCTACTATATAGTTAGTATTCTCTATTATTATAACTATTTCTTTAGTTTTAATTAAAGAAATAACTATTCTTAATCTTATTATTAGTTCTAAACTCTCTCTAGAGAAGATAGATAATATTTATATCTAAACTAGTAAGATCTATTATTTTATAATACTATTATAATCTAATTACTTTTAGAAAATCTAATATATTTTATCTTCTAAGTTTTACTTTATTTAATTAATTAATTTTTATATTATTAATAGATAGTTCTATATATATTACTTTTAACTTTAGATTAAAAGTATTATATATTCTTAGTAATTATTAGAGTATATTTATTTCTCTATATATAACTATCTATTAGAATACTTTAGCTATATAATTATATAGTAATTAATTCTTATATAGATTTTCTTTAAAGAATATTATTAAAATAAGCTTTTTTAATATTATAATAAACTATAAACTAAATTACTTTTTTAATATTATTTTCTATTATTTAAAAAATAATCTAATTAATAGCTTTTTAATTATATCTAGTTCTTACTACTATTAAACTAAAGCTCTTTCTCTGAATAATTACTATATATTTATTTTAATATATTTAGCTCTTTTATAACTATCTAAAACTACTATATTTTATACTATATTTAGTTATAGAATTATATTAGTAAATCTAGTTTAGATTTTAATTATAAAGATTTTATTATTATTAATTAGCTTTTTACTTATATTTAGCTAGAAAATATTAATATTAATTAATTTTTATTTAGATATATATATATTCTATAAAACTCTAATTATTTCTTACTAGTTTAGATTTAGATTTAGTTATTTTTAATTCTATACTAATTAGATAATTATTATTTAGCTATATCTTTATATATTAGATATATTTTAAATAGAGTTATTCTACTCTATAGATATAATATTCTTTAATTAAATTAAGTTTATATCTATTTCTAATACTACTAGAATAATTACTTCTATATTTAAATTAGTAGTTTAAAAGATAATAACTAAAGTTCTTTTTTTTTAATTATTTAAAATTTACTTAGTTTTAATTTATCTATAATTAATTTTATTATTCTTAAATTAAATTAGATCTTTTAATAGTATAGATATTAGTTTTTCTAGTTAAACTAGATTATTTCTAGAAATAGATATTATTAGTATAATTTAATTACTATTTAATATAATTAATTAAATAAATATCTATTTAAATAAAGTAATAATTATTAATTTTATCTTTATAAAAATATTTAAATTTCTTTAAAAGCTCTTAGTTATTTTATTTATTAGAATAATATAATTATTTCTAACTTTCTCTATAATTATTTCTAAATTAATTATTTTTAAAATAAACTTTAGCTCTAGAAAAAATAGTTTCTTATTTTTCTTTAGTAATAGATCTTTAGATATTATTAGAATAGAATATTAGATTAAAATATCTCTTCTTTATATTATTTCTATTAAATCTAAACTCTTATTAGAGCTAACTATAGAATTTAGAAAGAAAAATTCTTATTTCTATATTTAACTATTATTTAATAATAACTTAGAACTATTTAATCTTTCTCTTTCTAATATATATATCTAGAAATATCTAGAAATAGATCTAACTAGTAGAGATTATTCTTATAATTATATAAAATATTCTAAGTCTAGTTATATTTTAACTAGAGTTCTCTATTTTTATATAGTTAAGAAGATAATAAAGATATTTTTAAAATCTTTATTTATATCTATATCTATTTATTCCTTTAAAATTTTATTTTCTATTAATTTAGTTTCTAAGTTTTTTAAATATAATAAAATTAATCTATTTATTAGTATAATTTTTAATTTCTAAACTTTTAAAATAATATATTTTATAAAGTTCTAAATAGTTCTAACTATATATTAATTAATTAAGTTCTAATAAATTAGAGCTTTAATATTCTACTCTTTTAATAATTAAAAAAATAAATATTTAGAATTAATTTATTTAATAAATATCTTAATTAATTAGATAATAGTTATTATTTATAATAATCTATCTTTTAGTATAAAGTTTAGATTATTTTTAAGGAAATTAGTAACTTAGTATATATATTTAATATTAGATATACTAAGATAATTATTTCTTAAACTAGCTCTAGCTAGTATCTAGCTGGGTATTTCTTTTATTATCCTCTCTTAGGCTATTAAATTAAGTATTTAAGGTCTTATAATAATAGAGAATTACTACTACCTATTATACTTAAAAGATACTCTAACTACCTATAGTAAAAAACCTGCTACAGCCTTCTAGTTAGGGGCTACAGCAGTATTAGAGCCTATATAGCATAATATTATTTTTTAATATAAATAATAATATAAAATATAATAAGAATAATATATATATATATATTTAATCTTATTTATTAATCTTTTATTAAATTTATAATATAATAAAATAAGATTCTATAGTTTAATACTAATAGGAATAACTATATTAGAGTAAGCTATTATAAGATAGTAACCCAGAGGTAGTAAAAAATAAGACTAGTCTTATACTTTTATAAGTATTTTGGGTTATTAGTTAAGACTGTCTGCCCTATGAGACAGGGTTCACGGAAATGACCAGGTTAAGGTTATTGAACTCATCAAGATCCGGGGGATCAATCCCCTACACCGCTAGTCTATGGAGATATTCGAGGCTATGGCTATTATAGGTATACAAATGGACTCTGGTGTTCCAATCGACGCTCAAAACCAAATGGGACATCCCTATCTAGCCTCTGGCCACAGACCTGTACTTTGGCTCCAGCTCCTCTGCATTTTCTGCCTTTGCCTCTAGCTGTTGGTCACCAATTGTGAGACCATGTCGTGGCAGCACCGCTGCCCCTACCAAAATCAACAATCCGAGCAGCAGCAGCAACCCCAGAAGCAGCAGCAACTGACAGCAGCAATAATGCGGTGAAAACAGGCCGAGATCACCTCAAGAACCTAGGGGGCGGTCACCCTGGCTGTTGTGGTGGCCTGTCGGGGTTACCAGCAGCGCCTCCAGGCCGTTGGAGACACGAAGATTCGGCGTGCCCGGGCTCGGCTGGTCTCGGCCATTGGCCGGGGCCAGCCGGCGGATTGAGGAGAACCGAGGGGAGGGAAGGGGGGTAAAAGCGGCGGAAGAGGCGGAGGTGGGTGACGGTCGCTCGGGATGAGCGATGTTTTCTTTCTTTCTCTTTTTCTTTTTTTGTTACCGGTTATTCGACATCGGGTCTCTTTTTTGTTTTTCTTCTTCTTCTTTTCGTCTATGAACAATAAAGTTTGTTATTCTCAGCTGCTCTATTTCCTCGTTATGAATTTTCCATGATTTCATCATAAGAAGGTCGTTATTCCCTTGATCAGAAGTAATTGAGTCCATAAAGAACAATACCAGACGCAATCCATGAAGCCAGACGGCATCCTTCTTACCCAGCTGCTCAAAACCCTATATGCCCCAGGAAGCTGATCCACCTTTCCCAAATAGCTCAAGAGCAAGATGAATATAGCGGCTTGCCCTTTCTGGGTCCTTATTCGGTGTGGGATAGAGTGTAATGTGACAGAAATCATAGTAATCATGAGATCGATGATGGCCCGCAACTTGCCATACCCTCTTACAAATGTCAGGACAAGTGTCTCGAACTATAACCCACACCCAAGCGAGTAATCTGCAGTTTTCTGCAAGGCATCTTGGTTAAATCGTCTTCTTTGTCCAGGATTCGGCATTTTTTACTCCCTAAGGCAACCTACGAGATTTTCGGGGCTGCTTTGATTTGTACTACTGACACAATGTACCTGCTGAGATTACCCAGAAAGGTATGGAGCCGTCTGAACTAACGCAACAGGAACGTGGACTGAGACCAATTCTTGATGCGATCTTGTTAAGAGAATAATTATGGCCATCTCGGCATCGGTGATACTAGTTGTCCTTCATTACAAATGAAGCTCAGAAGAGAGCTTTGTGTCCTCTTTTGCTCCCACATTTTCCATGCTTTCTAATGCTTGTTTTATGAGCTGCTGCGTATCTTCATCTCTGATCTTTTCTCCGGGTGCAGACTGGCAATCTTGCAAGAACTGCCTCCATTTAATCCAAGAGTCTGCGGGAAATTGGTCATCCTGATAAGTGCGACGTAGCTGGACATCCAGCCAGACCTTCTCAGGTGCGTAGATAAACCACATACACATGACTCGCACTTCCGGTCTCGAAAGCTGGCCGTTTGTATCAAAGAGCCGTGTTAGATCGTTATAATCGCGGCTGATGCTTTCTTTGTACTTCAAGATTCCGGCCGCTGATAGCTGGGCGTAGAAGGCTAGAGCATTTTCATGATACTCCTTGGTATCACTGCGATCTTCAATTGATAAGTCAGTCCTGCTTCTAACCCCCAGGGAGAGTTTGGCTTACTGCCATATGCGAAATATTCGCCCTGGGTCATAGATAGTTCAGGCAAATCTGTCCAGAAACACGCCCCATCAAGCGCAAATACCTCTCCAGTGTTAGGATCAGGTATGGTGACCTGATGGAGGGAGACAACAAATTCAAGGAGCTTGTATTGCTCGTTGTGCTTGGTGTGCATAGAGAGCATATGAATCGCATCTGCGACGCGAGAAGCATGCACCCACACAGGATCATCCTCGGCTGTGGATAGCGCTGCTGCATGGGTCAATGCGACAATTTCCTGGACGGCTTGAGCTATGGGGAAGTCATTTTGTTCCATCATCTTGAGAATAATCTCACCCTCGGGCACATCATGAAGCTATTGGGCGTCAATCATCTTTCTGGTTCCCTTCACTACCCCCGCGCGACAAGTAGAAAGAACAGGTGTCAAAGAAGAACCTACATCGTAGTATGGCCATAGCTTCGTCTTCGCGGGCTTCTCTATGCTAGCCATGGCAGCAAATGTCAGTGGAATAGAAAGGTTAGGAGAATATACTTCGATATTGGTAGGCTGAGTTTGATGTTTGATTAAGAGAGTTACAGTGCGGCTATTGAGAACATCCCAGGGGTCATGCGTGAGCTATTGAACCTAAGGCATCCATGTATGATTGATTCAGCCTTGTGCCTAATTTAGGCTCGGGAGCATCCTTCGGCTTATTAGCCCTAATAGGTCTTCCTAGGTAGAGCGGAATTATGCACCAAAATGAGTTGTCGATGGAAGCACACACCTCATACATTTACCTAGTTCACATTGTGCTAGGAGAATGAGCATCCCTCAGCAGAGCTCCAAGATGTCACATCATGTTTAGAATATGAATTAGGTGAATATTGATCTCGAATCGTACCACATCATGTGCAGAGCTATCATCCAACTCAGCCCTGCCGGTCGACAAACTTGATTACCTTCCGAGCACCAGGACTCCGCACGAAATCATCCATATCGTTCACGAATATGGTCCTGAATTTCCGTTCAAAAGACGCAATCACACAGCAGAACTTCTTGATCCTACTGGAGATCTTCTCCGCGGAATCACAGCTATCTCGAGCCAGCATAATACGGAACTCGAGCCTTGTTTCAAGTGGGCTCTCCTCCATCTTCTCCAGTATTACCTGCCACTGGAGTATCCCGCGAATTTCATTGTTCATGAGGGCGTTGAGGGCGTTGAATTCAAGATAACTGCCTGCCCACTCAAAGCTGAACCGACGGTCACGGCCATAGAGCCGAAGGACCTTCAGATGGGGCCACGCCGACTGGGGGATAAAGCCTTGGGCTTGCTCTGGCAGATCGTGCAACGACCCGACATCTCCGGTGATATATCTCACTAGTGGATTGCGCAGGCGAACGAGAGACGTCTGGGCAATGACACCTTTCTCTCCACCCGGAACGGGGTTTGGGGTTTGGTTCTCATCACTCTCGTCGACTGTCGCAGGCAAGATTTCCATTATGGTGAGCCGAGTATCAAAAACAAAGTCCTCATATGCCGCAGTCCCCTCGCCGCTCTGGTTTTTGCCGGTAATACTAGGACAACTGAACGCATATGGGCCTGCCTCCGCGCTGCCCAAAAGAGAGCAAATCATAAGATCGGCGCCAAGCACTTTATGTATTTCAGCTCGCTGCCCAGACGTCAGGCTCTCCGAGGTGTAGATGACTTTATCGAGCTTGAATTTGCCTCGTTCACGGTTAGGTAATGAAGAGATGTAATGGACCATGTTGATGATCTGCGATGACTCTCCGGCCAGGACGTTGGCGTGGTACTTGATGATGAGATTGATGACCGCTTCTGGGAGCATGGAATCGCCTGCGACGAGGACACTGCTACCGCCATTTTCCAAAATTTCCATTGTGAGGTCCAGAGATCTGTGATTTAGCACATTTATTAGCCGACAGCACACTATATCATCCAGAGGAGGAACTACCGGCAGAGCTCGCCCTCGGGGTGAATGGTGACCACCCAGTCCTTGTCCGTCACCAGCCCGACCGTTCCAAGGAAGCGACCGAAAGCGAATCGATGGTGACGGTTCTCAGAAACGTCAGTTGCAAAGAACAGTGGTTCGCGGGAGGAACCGCCGCCCGTGGTGCTGGCGTAAATCCCCCGGCGAAAGGTGTTTTGAGTGCTCGTGTCATCGACTAGTCTTTGTATTGCCTTGTACCTAATACCTTGGTCAAGATACCGAATGAAGTTATTGAGGGCTCTGATGTCCTACTTACAAACTACTCTTCCAAAGCAGTGGCTGAGACGACAGATTAGACGCTTGAGGTTGAGCGGCAACTTGCTCTCTGATCGATAGGATGGCATCTTTGTCTGGTGGATACTGGACACTTGGGGCATAGAAAGGATGGCGCTTAGCAACGGCCAAAACCTCTTCAAGAGAGAAATTCTTTTCGTCGAATGTCATTGTAGGCTGAGCAGCGTATCTGCACAGGGAGATGAATTAAGACACTTGAGAGGAAGGTATGCTCTCCAATCTGATTCCGCGGGACAGGCCTACTTATCCACCAACGCCCATTCACAGGCCGGATATCAATGTCCTTGGCTAGCATCATATGCATGAAGGAAAGACTCCACCTTGGTCTGCTGCGACCTGAACTGAGACATGCATTCAGCTCGGGAAATGAGACACACCGCATCGAAATGTCAGCCAGTTAGGGTTTTGACTTTACGTAACTATCGAACAGGCTGCGTCAATATCACATCCGATGGCTTATCTGGCGGCCAAGGAAAGGCCATAGCACCCCAATGCGAGTTTGGATTGGCAGAAGTAGGCCAATCTCCCCTATGCATGTCGCACTTCAGCGTCAATTATACACACCAATCTCGGAAAGCTGCATCCACGGGTCTATTAATGGAGATTTATGGGCATGGGTCCCTCCGATTTTGTTCCAAAGATGTTAGAGGGCAGTGGTGAGGTATGATTGTGTTCACTAATTATGTTTGGAACGCCAAGTCCCCCTGCCGGGAGTTGCTCTGATAAGTCTTTGCATGCCACATCGTTGGTCACCGTGCGTCGGCAATGGTATAATCCTATAAATAATGCAGATAGGATACGATAAGACCAGCTTCGTATATATCAATTAGAGTATCTTGATCATTCTTAGACACGTAACTATATATGACCTATTAACAACAAGTGTGAACCCGAACCTTCAATCACATAAAGACTAGAAACGATAATACTCCAATCAAGGCGCACCATAGGATAGCAACAGTGCCACCATACGTGCCATACCTGCTTCCCTGGTTATCGTTATTATTGCTGGTCCCGGTTCCCGTTGGTGAAGTGGATGAGGTTCCACTCCCTGAGGACGTTCTCGTGGTTGACGATCGTGAAGTTGTTGTAGATCCAGGCGCTTCGGTCAGGGTGATAGTTGGTGTCGCAACCGCTGCCGCCAAGCTACTCGCAGCGGACTTGACGTCAAGGTCGCAAGGCTTGGTGTCGACAAGCCCGGCGCCGTCAATTTCCGGGCATCCAGTGAGGTTCTTCTGGACCTCGACAGCCAGAGCAGGCTCGGGACATCCTTCATAGCCGGCAATAGCATCGTGAGGGAGCTTGCCATCGAACGCAAGGGTAAAGTTGACACTGCCGCTTTGCTCAGGATAGTAGCCCACTCGTGACTCGAACGTGCCGTTGTCATATCTCTTGCAGTCTATCCCGAACTCAAACTTCCAGCTTAGAGTGCATTGCTTCGACTCCCCCCTCCAGAGGTGGAAATCTTCCTTGTAAACGTCCTTACCCGTGGCGCGCGACTCATTCACGTAGTAATATGGAACCTGCGTAGGCCCGCTGGTCTCGTCGCCACGGAAGAATCCAATGCCTGACATCACCAGAGGGCAGCTGACTTGCCATTCGAGATAAGTGCCGAATCTGAGGAGCGCGTTGCTGCGCTGGAAGCCAAAAATGACAGGGAAAGGCGAGACCACGGCGTAGGTGTCGTTTCGCGGGAAGACAACATCAAGTTCGCCGATTTTAGGGAATGAAGAATCGCCATCTGCAGCCATCACAACTGCAGGGGCTGCTGCGAGCGCAGCGCAGAGGAGTTGAAAGGCGTTCATGAGCATGTTGGTAGCAATATAAGCCTCAATATTGTTCAAACGCCTAATGATATGGCTGATGCTGTATTGTTTATAAATTCTAGCTGCATTCATTCACTCAGTGGAAGTAGTCAAGAGATCTGGCTGAGTGGTTTGATATTTCTCGTATTTCTCGCATTCCACCTCTGAAACCGCCGGCTCCCCACCGCAACCCTGCAAGTTGTAAATTATGCTCATGGCCCATAAGATCTAGATAAAGGGCTGATAAGTGAGCCCGTGCGCATAAGGCCTTCATCTCGTCAGTAAACCAACCAGTCGGAACGTATCCCAGAAAAGACGCTTGTGACAATTCGTCTTAGAGAACTGGCAGACCTGGGAATATAGCTACCCTGTAGACAACCTCTAGCAACAAACTAAGAAAATACAGTCCTCAAAGTCAAAGATGTTTCCATAATGTACATCTAGTGACGGCTGCAAGGCTCAAATGAAAGAATCAGTTACTTTTTGGTCCATTTATTCACCCAGTCACATATCAAATCTCTTTGCAAAAAAAACTCAACGGATGATCATGTGTTAATGTTCTAAAATCAACAAAGTGTCACCATTTTCTTCATGATAATCACCATATTACCAGAACATACCTCGGCTTTCCTTTTTCGCATCATCTTTTTCATCATCAGAAAACGCTAGACGATGTATAGAAAATCCATATCCTGGCCCTTCGAGGTGTGAGGATTGGACGGTGCCTTAGATCACGGCTACTTCAACTTCAGTACACTATCAACGGGCTAGTGTTATCTGAACTAACCCAAACCTTATAAAAACAGAATGTTGAGCTAAAGATTGTTTATTTTCGAGTCACTATTGCTCTAAGCTCACGGCCTTGCCCGCAACTCGGCCAAGCTAGGTATTAGTTAGGGGCTTGGGAACTCGCAGCACAGTCTCAAGTTTCCTACCTACATCCCATTTCATTACATGTATACCATCTTAACACGCTGAATCCACCACGGAGCTGTGGCCTGTGCGAGAAGAGCCTCTTAAGAAACCTGAATGTCCAGGCAGCTTTCATATGTTTGCTTATTCTTGGTAGCATACCAATACCACTGAATAACACATTTACCAGCCTCGCCGCATGTTTCCTCTAGACCAGCAGGAATCGTAACGTTGAAGTTGACTTTTATCAGTTAGCTCCTTCAGCTTTCGGAAACCAGAAGAACAACATACTATCTTCACGATCGGAACCAGTGTTTTGGCCCGGCCATTCGTCCCAAGACCGAAGCGGCTCTCCAACCACTGTATTGGTCGCGGTATCGATAATGGAGGTGTTCTGTTTCCAGGTCATGGTTAATATCCAAGCAGATCATTTGGCTATTTCCGAGATACATACCGCATATCCAGGACGATGTCCAGCGACTAGGTCCACATGGAAGTGGATAACATCGCCGGCTTGGACACTGCGGACGTTGTCCGTATTATCTTCGAATTGATACCCACGACAGAGGTATGGGTTGCAGCTGTATGGATCGACCGCCTTGCTTACTGCATTTTCGATAGGCCCAGTAATGTCTGCATTCAAGATAATTCGGTAAGAAAATGGCCCCCGCCACGGATGAGGACTGAATTAGGTTACAAACCGCTCTCAAAAGCTTTGGTTAGAACAGATCCACAAAGAGCCTCCTGCGAAGAGCCAGTCTGCCGGCATAGCTGTTAGTTCAATACCTTTGTAGTTACTAGGGGATCGTACCTTGCGGGGAGCTGGATCATCAACTACAGCGTGCCCGAAGACTAAAGAAGCGGCGAAGAAGGGCAGGCAAACGGAAGCTTTCATGATGTCTGGATAGCTGTGCGTCGCTGTGCTTTTTTGCGAGAAGTGTCCTGGGAAAGTTGAGACGGACGACGTGTAAATTTAAAGCATGCAAAAAATAAGGGGACAAGCAGCAAACTTGCGCTTTGGTGCCCGGAGTCTTCTCATCCGAGCGGACGGATTGCCTATGACCTTGCAGTGGATAAGCATGTAACCTTGTTATGGATGCCCCATTGAGTTGTTTCAAATCCGAGATGAACCTTGCTTGGCAGCGGGAAACAAAGTGGTGCCGATTGTTGTACATCATTGCCCCATGCAGTCGAGATGAATTAATTTTTATTAGAAGAGTGGTATCAAGAGTGTTTCATCCGGGAAACGACAACGTTGGTCAGGAGTTGAAGAGCCGTAGATTCCGCCAATCGGGGCGAGGTTGATGAGAACCTTGGGCTTGCTGCAATGAAACATCGTTCCCTGCCGGCATTTGTTCTTGGCAATCTCATGCCAAGCCCTTCTAGCAAACGGGTATCGGTCGGTCGCAATCTCACCTGCCTTGGTAAGGGGGCAGGTTTGAAGCCTTCAAGCTATCCATAAAGCCGCGTTGATCTTAATTGGAGACCTTGAGAATCAATACGCGCCCAGATTTCAATAGAATGCAAAATGATACCACGCCAGTGAGACCGAAGACATAGTAACATGCACAATGGCTTAGCTAACGGTTCTGCATGGCTGGCGAAAACCAAAGCATTCAGCCCCTCGCCCGGTAAAGCAGATGGTTCGAATAAATATTCATTTAACCTTCGATCGTTTGAGCATCCCACTTCATCATAGCGTCCTTAGTTGACGCTTCTCCCGAGAACTTGGGTCCTTGGTGCCGAAGGCAACTGCCCATAGAAGATAGGATGCATTTTGCCACACATTATTCTAAGAGATTTGCTAAGGTAATAGCAGGCTTCCGCTTCCCAGAATTCAGTTCATTCATGAGTTTGCGAGAAAATTCCTTCTTGGAGAAGGGAAGTATGGGTTGCGGCCGATTTGAGGCCATGGATTACGATCGTCCCAAGCATCGTTGCCATGCCTCGTGGCGGAGTTCTCTGATGTGATGCGCTTAGATGAGGACCATGCTGCAGAAATAATCTACACAAATACACCTTTGGCGACATGTCGAACCTCTACTTGTGTTTGCCTTGAGAAAGTTTCATGAGAAATTATCCACGAAAGAATTGACCCTCCAGTTTCGGAATACTTCAGGTAAGGGGCATTTCGCTATGTTCCATGCAAGCTTGTCAGCCTCGTCTTCTAACGCAACAGTGAAAATCCTATATACGCGGTTTTCGCATGCGAGCAATGGGTAGAGAATGAATGAGAATTTTAATAGTCTCTTGTATTGTTTATTGTAATTACTTGTAATGCAAACCTGGTTCTTGTGCTGCACTTGTTAGCCAGCTTTGACGTCAACCAAAGAAGCATATTGAGCTGGGCGCTTCAGTCATTTGCGACACCCACGAAAGGCGTAGATATGGCGATAATAATGATCTGTGACCTCTCAGCTACGCCGCTTGCTATGAATTTGGTTTCTGGCGCAGCGCTCCACATTGCAGTGCTGAATGGCTATGTAGATATTGGCGCGTCATTGCTGCTGGTGGAAGGCATTGACATCAATACAGTAATAGAAAAGACTGCGCCGGAACGAAAGAAGTGGATCATACTGGGTTGGGGTAGGTGCAAAGTTGCCTCTAAACTCCTTGTTGAGAAAAATAGTTGACCTGTGCTCCTTGAAACCGGTTTTTTCCCTTGGTCGCGTGGCGATATCTCTATCGTGTATTAGTCTACTTTGGGAATACTTATTACCTTTCCCTGAAGATTTGTGTCTTGGCTTTGATTATCAAACAAGAACGAGAAATCTGTGGTGACACTATGGCATGTGGCCTTGGATGATATCTATCGGCTAGATTACTCGTGGCCTGTCTGCCGCAGCTGCCGCGTGACAAGACACCTTTAAACCCGGATATTCTTGTATGTACGTACAAGTAAGCTGATGAGAGATACGCGCTGGAGGGTGCGGCTGTGAAGAAAAGCCAGTCTTCAAGTCCACAAATTCTACCTAATTACCTCCCTAGTCCAACTCTGGCACATATTTTCGTTAACGGGGTTTCTTAATTACCAATCATTGTTCATGCGGACCTACTTTGCTGAAATAGCCCACAACGCCAAGCTTGGAGTCCCTGCTAGTTGTCAGGGTCGGCGTTTCGGTAATTATGCTATGAGGCCGCGGCCATCATCACAACCGCCGGAACGCGAATATCTTGATTGTAATTGGCAGATTTGTCTTCTCATTCTCTTGAGGGTCAGCAGTTGGAAACATTTTGATTCCCGACTTTTCACAGGGTTAGCATTCCATCCCTCTAACTGCTCGTATATGACCTCAAACATAGCGTGTGGACGTGCTTGCTTAGTCCATCCTTCGCCCCCAAGATCCTGGATTGCCTCCACTATGGCCATGGGTCTGCTCATGCGCGCGGTGTGACATTCTGATTGATCATCACAGGCATGCCTCTATTCGTGACTGGCTACGCGACCCCTGCCAGTTCTGGTTTTGTATACCTAACCTTCGCCTGTTGATATGATGCTTTCCTGCAACCTCCACTCACCACAACTGCGGAGAGAGCACTTGGCCCCGAGCCAGAAGAACGAGCACGATGGCCTGGACGGCGCAACAGGCAGCGCGGCCCAACCACTTTGCGGGAGATGAGGGCCTTGAACCGGTACCAGTCCCGTCGACGCCCGAGGTATTGAACGATGGGAAAATCTACTACGACGATGGAAAGGAGGTTTTCACAGCCTCTTCCATGGCACCGTCCCACACGACTTTCTCCCCGACCCTCACCACCGCCACCGAAGCGACTAGAACTCCCGACAAGCCTTTCCACCAGATGAAGCTCGATACCGAAGACGACGACAAAATCCCAATCTCCGACGGTCCTCCGGTGCCCCCGAAGGACAACCAGCCAGATAACCGGTCCAGGAAAAAGCTCTTCATCATAATCGGTTGCATCGTGGCGATCGCCGTTATCCTCGCTGCTGTGCTGGGCGGTGTTCTAGGATCGAGAAAGAACAACGGCGGCAGCAGTAGCGAAGAGGCAACAGCATCGCCATCTGCATCAGCGACCTCTACTCCATCCAAAATTCTGGCGGGCTCGTCCGTGGGCGTGGCGGCATTTCAGAACGGCAACGACAACGAGATTTACCTCTCCTATAAGAACCCGGACAATGCGGTCAAATTCTTCAGAGCTTCGGAGACCACGGGTGGTACGTTCGATTGGAAGACTCCTGAGTTGCAGGTCCCAGACAATGCTTTGGACAACGTCACGGCAATGACCATGTTCTCGGGCATCGACCAGTCGAGCGACGTCGATGCGCAGGTGGGTTTTACAAATGCGCAATAGCTACAACAAATCTCTTGCGTACCATTTACGTTCGTTTGAGGTGGGCAGATGTGCTAACACGACATAGATTCAAGTCCAATTGCTATACTTGGATACGAATGCCAAGCTCAAAGGTCTCAACTATGTAACAGCCGGGCAGTCCGAGTCCAAGGGTTTCACCAAACTCGATGTCAACGATACTGGAATCACTATTTCACCCCAGAGCGACATCGCCGCCTGGGGCCCATTCACAATTTACCAGAACGCCAACAACAGTCTCTCGGCACTCTGGTGGCAATCCACGACTCCCTGGACACCTTACACTCTCCAGTACTCGCCCATCATAGGGTCGAAGCTTTCCATCGTACCTGTGTCTAGAAATGCGTCCCACGTGAGCGGCACAGGCTGGTGGGCGGTCTTCTATCAGAACGAGGATGGCACCATCCAGGCCGTGATCGATCCTGGTCATTGGCCAGAGACCCGATCGCAGAATCTCGGGGATGTCATTGATCTTTGGACCACCAGTAAGTTCTATTATCCTGCCTCTCCTTGTTTTCTCCACATTGTTTCTGACAGTTCTGCTGCAGCGTACCCAAAGCCCAAGGTCCCCTTGAAGCACTCTTTCGCAGCCTTTTCCATCGCACGCGATCCCAACAAGGTCAACACTTCCTCCAAAGTGAGCACCTTCCTGCTCTATCAAGACGACACTGGCGACATTAAGCAAGCCTGGGTCGACAACGACAAAACGTGGCAGACATCGGCACCCGACCAACTCAAAGGCGCGGACAACGGCACCGATATTTCCTGTATCACCACACCGGCATGGGAAAAGGATCGCACGTTTGATGGGCTGCTCCTCCAGGCGGCTTCTGATTTAACCAAGTGCTACTTCCAGAAGGGCGGGAAGCTGATGGAAGTTAGGCTTAGTGGGACGAACTGGGTAGACCCCAAGGAGCTCGCGCTGCCTTAGCCACCTACATATTTAATGGCGTTTTGGGTTGAATAAATTGTGTATATGATGTTTTAATAACAATCTGGACATTAGAATGGCAAATTCCGTTCATACGGTGCACTTCAGCGTGTTTAGGAGGTCTAGATATCTGAGTTCTTTTTGTACATATTCTTTGATAAATTAAAATTATTAGCTACTAGAACTAGAATTTTACCAAAGTAACGAACACAACGCCTGGTAACACTTTATAAAAAACAACGGCAAGGAGCCTGAGCATTTTGAATCATACAATACGCCAAGACCTCACCAACACGTGTATGACCCGTGGAGCAGTTTCCCTTCGAATGTTGGATCACAACGAACGCTGGCCTATACGAAACGTGATACATGTCTCGATCATGATCGGATTTAAACTATCTCGATATGCTCTAGCGTACCAGGCTTGTCTGCCAAGTCTTTCCGTGCCTTGGACTCCATAAAAGATGCACCGACTAGCTGGAACTGCTTTAACTTGTCATCACCTACACTATCTGATACAGGGCGCAGAAGAAGCGGCGTTACTGTCCCAACGACCATGTAAACTTGGTCACCTAACTCGGCCTCAGCTGGGGCCAGGCCCATGTATCCCGTTGTTGTGATGAAGAAGCGACGAGAGTGAGAATTACGCAGCACAGCCTGGACATAGTACCTGTAGCTTGGAACCATTTCCGTTGCCACTTCGTGGAAGGGAATATCCCGGAAGGGTAGGAGACTGTCCTCCAAAGAGCCTCTGCGGCTAGCTTCAGCCATTAAACTCCGAACTGCAGATTCCCAGCTTGGCTTTGACGCACCGCCGTTGGCAGTCTGAGTTGGAGAAGCACCAGTTACTTCCTTCTGCAGGTTCTTTTCTTTTTGAACGAACCGCCGTATGGCTTCCTCATATCCGTTGCGGTTACGGTTGGCAGCTATGACATTGTAGAATTCCGATTCGAGAACCTTTTTATGGCCATCCCAGGCCCGTTCAGATCTTCTATCAATCCGAGTGATGGCCTCGTCATTCAACAAAGCTTTCCATTCAAAGTAAGGAAACGGACCCTGTCCAGCGAGATAGACGGAACCCATCTGGGCCACCTCGCCGCATAGCCCTCCGTCCACACGAAGAACAGCGCCCGTGGCGCCAGTATTGGGATTCTGTGGCTGTTTGGCCACAAGACGTGGCGAGCTCGATGGATTCTCCGGCTTGTTGAAGGAAAATGGCTCTGACCCGTAGTACTTTGGGTCGTACTCAATAGGTCCCAGAACTGTGCGCTTCGGTGGCATGCTCCAATCTGGGACCCAAGAAGGCAGCCCTTCGATTTTCGAGCCGCTCTGGACAGCATTGAGAACGCCGCAGCTTTGTCGAGATAGCAGAGCAGTGGCACAGTCGGTGTACACTTTGGCGACCGAGTCTCCATACCTCGGAGCAAGGTCGAGCTGCTCCTTGATCGAGTGAAACAAGGGGAGCAGGCTGTAGATTTTGTCGCGGGGGTTTGTTGCCCCGCAGTGTCTTGTTTCAACAAGAGCGATGAGCAGCGAAACCCTGATATCCGACTTCTTAAGTGAGCTCTGGGATACAGACATAACGTAAGGCAGAGTCTTGAGCCACTTGTTATTTTGATCCCACTCGTTGAAGTGCTTGACTGCAGACCAAGGGAGTATCTGGTCTCCGCAATAGACTGTGCCACTTTTGGAGAGCATCGCCTCCTGGATCACCCACACTCTGGTGAACCAAGGCCGGCGGAAGAAGTTGCAGAGAGACTCCACGAGGGTCTTAGTCTTGGGATAGCTTAGCGATGTAGTTTCGGGGCTTGGGCTGTCGCATTCTTTGATGAACTCGACGGCCAAGTCGCTGTTGTCTGCCGCTTCGCCAAGGTAAATGACCACTTGAGCTGCTTTGGAGTAGATCTTGGACATGAGGGAGACCTGGTGGTCTCTTTCAACAGTGTTTGACTGATCGATGCACAAGTCATCGACCCAGAGCAGTCGCGACTGCTTGGACTTTAGCAGACAACGAAAAGCGGAGAAGCAATTCGCCGTGATGGAGACATCCTTCGATCCGGCGGGCTCTCCGGGTTCCTTGATGGCGATCGTCTTGCGGTTAGCGGGATCTCCCCAAGTGTATGAAAGTGCTTCGTAGCCCGGAGCTGCATCTATTTCCACCGTCTTGAAACCGCACACGATGGAATTGTCAATGCCAGCGGTGAGCGAGATGAGTCGGATGTGGTTTTGTGTTGGTAGGGGTGGGCCAGAATATGGCTGGATCGGTGTGTGATGAGATGCCATATCGCTGCACACAAGATCCTAGACTATAGAATCACGAGCTGTTCAAGGTATGAGGGCTGAGAATATCTTCACCGATTGTGTTTCGTCTTGATCGTGCCATCCTTCAAAACCCCGCTCGGGATATGCATTTTCGTATACGTATCCCCTGTTTGCACAAGCATAATAAATGCAACGTAAGCGTGCTGCATACCTGCAATCAGTGTAACAGGGGCATAAGATAACCGAGATTACGCAGTATGAGCTGGTCGAGCAGAGACTGAAATATTGGCTGCGAAAAAGCAATTTGACCACCTGATTTTGCATATATGCGGGGCTCTTGTGTCAAATGTGAACCTATGAAAATAGCACGAGACAAACGAAGGGAAAATCCGGCTGGTATGGAATTCGGATGGCATGAATCACTGAATCATCAACCGGGAAACTGGTACCTGGATAATGAGGACAACTATTTTTAGACAAGGCTCGACAACCATCAGCTTGGTGGTAGTATTATGTCGAACTATAATGCGCCAAGTGATATAGATAGATCTACGCCAATGCATTTTCTGGTTTCGTCTTCTCGCATCAAGTCGATCCACATTAGAAACTATTCATCGGTTGAGGCATCGATCATTTAACATTACAAAGCGTCACACGTTACACTCTTGTCATGTGGCCCTGGAGGCTGATGGTGTTGCGGGGTCACTGAGGGCTCGGGTAATATATTACGGTTGGTACTCAGATTGTCTGATACTGCTACACCGCTTAAGTAAGAGGCTGGGGATAGCATGGACAGCCTGTAAGAACGAAGGATGATACATTAACCAAAATGAACCTTCACCATGGCTGGACTGCGCCATTTTGGGTAACTACACGAGCCACATCAGCATCCCGCTCCCCTTCCAACACTCGTCTGATGAGGTCACCTCCGAGCGAAGGTTCCCCAGCCCCGGCCTTTCTTAGCATTTCTGGATTTCCAGTGAGGTTCGTTGCAAGCATTCCAGGGCTGATAGACCACACCTTGACACCGTCATCCTTTAGAAACCAATGCCAGGTTATCATGACCATGTTCAGCGCAGTTTTGCAAGCCTTGTAAGCCTGGCCGCCAATGAGCCCTTCCTTCGGCCAGCCCTTTGGCACACTAGCAGCTCTGGCAGGTATGAGTGCCTGCTCGTGGCCAGTTAAGTTGGCCGTCCCTGATGTGAGGAAGAGCAGTCTCGCATTTTTTGACTTGATAAGAAGAGGAGCAAAAGCAGCGGTTGTGACCTGAGCTCCGGAAACATTAACGTCGTAAGACTTGTTGAACAGAGTCCGGAAGTCAGTCGCATCGCTTGTGAAGAGCTTATCAAAAGCGGCGCCTTTCAATCATATGTCAGCCCTGACGGTGTCAATAATGGAGTAATTGGGTGCAAGCATGGCTCACCAGCATTGTTTACGAGTGCGTCGAGTCTTCCAAACTTGGTCTCGACCAACTCCGCAGCTTTGTTGATGGTTTCATCAACTGTGACGTCAATCTCAACCAGTTCAACGGTATTAGAAGAGCCTTCTAGAACCTCAGCTAGCTGAGAAATCGCCTCTTTTCCCTTTTCCAACGACCGGCTTCCAAGAAGTATGTGATATCCCTTTGGAGATTGAAGCAACGCCTTGACAACCTCGAACCCAATCCCAGTATTGGCACCTGTGATGAAGACGATGTCTTTCTCCGTCATTTTGAGACTAGAATGATAATGAAAAGGCCAAATACGTATGCTACCACTCGATATGTAGAAAGGAAGGACACCCAAGGTTAGACGTCTGCGGGGTCTCCTGTGCATTTATACCTGCACCAACTCTGTATTACCATGAAACGTAAGAGCTACTTCTCCCCGCCTTAAGGATTAGAGGCTTCCAAGCTACCATTGGCCAATTCACTTTGAGTTCAGGCGTTATGGGCTTAACACCTATGCCCGGTAATAACTTCGGACTTAAGGATGTAACCTAAATTCTGGCTTCCTCTCTCCTCCTACGTATAAAAACCCCAAAATAAAAACGCCCAGATATCCTATGGCTTCTGGGAAGGATCTTTGGGATCGTTGTGACGTGTTGTTCGGAGGTCGGTACTCTCTCAATCCCGAGGGTGGAGTTGCCCATGTCGAGGAGCTCCGATGATCGCAACACAATTCGAGGTTGAATGGAATCTGTCCTAAATTGAATTTATTCATAGAGATGCCTTTTAGCATGTCTGACTTTAGTGATGGAGCTTGCTTGCCAAAATAATACGGATCTATCCGCTCTGTATCATTGCAATTGAAAAGCCATGCCAGCAACAGGATCCTTGACATTTTTACAGATGATTTGGATACCGAAGTATATTACGCGCAATTCACTTGACCAAGTGTTATGTGCGTCATTTAGATGAGCTATATCCACCCGGATGTGTCTGATGTAGGCTGGGACAGATAGGATTCCACCCATAGTTTTCCACTGTCCGTGTTGTACTCATCAATTTCCAGACGATACCTAGATCCTGGTTCTCTCCGCATAGAGACGGTGAGCACCAAACTTGGCACCTTCGAGCAGGTCACGGCCACTCTATCAGGCAAGAAGGTAAAGTCAGCTTTTGGCTTCCCCTTAAGATCAGCATACTGCTTGGTTAGCCCAACCTCATCACTAGGTTCGGGCTCTTCTTCCAGTGTACACCAGTGATGATCTCTAAAACTACCACATGCGATGATAAGATAGCTATTTGTTTCATCTACCTTCAGGCAACAGCTCATAATCAAAATGAAATTTCCCTCGTGGGGAAATCGATGTAGATTTTGGGTAGCCCGGACAGGATACGACCGTAGCAGCGTCAGACTGCTCTTACGTGGAATGAAATTTATCCAAGTGCCATTCGTAGGCTGCTCTGGGTCTTGACGTCGACCGAATTGGACCAGGCCACCCGGGTGCATGTAAAGCCGCAAGACCTTGAAGCAATGCTCAAGAGAAGCATCCACACTGACAAGTGAAGCAGGGAAGATACGATAATGGGATCGAGGCTCTGCAGCGGACGAATCTAAAGCTAGGCATAGTAGACGGTCATCTAGCTTACAATAAGTCCAGGCGAGCCGATTTGACGCCAATTGTCTCTCCATTGGTGTCAGATGAGCCCAATCAGGATGGGTGTTTTTGACTTCAAGAATGGGAAGCCAGATCTGAAGCCCTCGGCTAGTAACCACGGGTGTTTCTTGGTGTCCAAAACTCTCATGAATATCACGGTATGAATATTGAACGACTCTCTTGAAGTCGACATGATACACCATCTCGAGTTTTCTCTGCGTCTCCGGAGTCTTGTCATTGGCTGTTGAGAGGATTGGTTCTGATATAGTCCGCTGACTTGACCACTTCACATGAGTAGACCTTTTCATGAGAGGAAACTCTGACGGCGCTGATGCCCAAGCACCGCGAACCATGGAATCGGGCTCAACATCAAGCTTAGGCGGTGCGATCCATGTGAACATGGTGTAGTCCTCTTGTTGCCGCAAAATCTGCTCTTGGAGCCGGTAAAATGCTTTGACTCCTTCGCCGTACAAGAGAGGCATGTTGATCCCAAACAGTCCAAGGAGACAGTATGCCATATCCTCTTCCCTCGTAGTCTGTCTTTTAGACGCCCAGGACATGCGCTCGGCCACATTATGCACGAGGGGACTTCCTCCCCGCAGCACATCCTCCGGAATGCCAGTTCGTTTGGCCAACATCCCTACCATACTGGATTTTGTGCCAATTTCCTCCCATGAGTGCGTGTAGAATTCAACATATTTCGGGGCAATCAATTCCTGCAGCGTCCACCCTCTTGTGAACCAACGACTCCGTGATGCTTCCGAGAAGGTGAACGGTTTATTCGCCGCGCCCGACGCTGAGACGCTGCCACTTTCTGCCTCGTCCTTCATGCGTACATCTGACAGATATGCGAAGCAGACGGTAGATGCCTTATACCACTTGTACATCGAATTAATGGCTTCCGACAGCTCGGCGGAGCTACTCTTATCGATGCACAGAGTGTCAATCCATACCCACTCCAGATCGCACTCTTTTGCTTTGCGGCAGAAGCCGACAATCTTCTGGTATCCTTTCTTCAGCTCGCAGACCCCGTTCATCACATCTTGGAACAGGACCTCATCCTCCTCCCACGTGTGGCTGAGGATGCCATACGACGGGATTGGATTGTTAAACTCCTTGACTTCCAATGATGTGGTATTGAGCAGCCTCATCTTGGAGGCCTCGCGTGCGATTTCGCTTGCCCATGAGGGAATACTGTAGTCTCGAGACTGTGCTGTCCTCAGCCCGGAAAGAGATGCCAGCGAGGCGCGTTCAACAATTGATTGTTTCAATTGAAGTGGCGAAGTTTTTTGACCCACCAGTTGACGTGAATCCAATCTTAAAATAGGTAGATCAGGGGCTGTTAATACTTACCCTACACTGTTGATAGCATCCTGATTATCTAGGCTATGACGCCGTCAGCAACGCACGCGCAGACCTTCCAGTGCCCTTCTGCTAGAAGCAACTGAACCTCAGTCTATTTCTAACCAGTGTACCCAGGGCGTTGTTGGGCTTCTGCATCTGGAGAGCTCTGCTGACACGCTACGTCCTACATCGTCCGAAATACGGAAGCCAGATATGTGAAATGTTGGACCAAAAAGCCGTGGATACTTCGTTCTAACTCAGAATTTAAGATGTATCTGGACAACGTTGTAGGAAGGTTTATAGATAAAAAATCTCCTCACGGGACTCTGGACAAAAATTATTGTCCCAGAAGCCGAGTTTGTGGTCCTTACCATCTCGGGAAACAAGATCCGAATTGTACGAAAGGAGAGATCCCCACATTGATACAAGCCAAGGGGCTCACACATAATCCTTGTACCATTCTGAGGGCAACGGGCGAGACTGCTCATTTATTAGAGCATGCTATTACTAGGTAGGCTGACTGGTCAGGTGTTGTGGGGAAAATCCTTCTTGAAATCATGGGCTGGCTGTCATCGTCATTTACCTGCCACTGGTGGAAAGTTAGCATTGACCTACCGGGATCAAGGGGAGTTTCTTTATCTTGACTGGTGGGCGGCCTCTCGCCGGGTTTCAATTATGGAAACCAGCCCCAGGTTCGGCTTCTGTAAGGTATTTCCATGTCATACTGGGAGTCTCATAGCCTTACTGTCAACCAACTACAAGTTTAGGTGGTTTGCGTTTACAACTACCCTTTTGCTTACGGTAGTTTTGTTGTGTTGTATTTGTAAGAGCACGCTTTTGAGTATGAAAGAAGCCGCCCGGGGAAGGATCTCATCAAGTGACTGAAAAGGTGGTGTTGAAATGAGGCGTATTACTAGCTTCATTATAGGTACATATAGTTTGCACTGCCTAACCCTCGTATGGAGGTCATTTTTGTGTGAGTTATTTATGGCCACTATGAGCGGTTTCCCGTGATGTGGCACTGATTTCCTTAATGCTTGCGGCAAGGCCGCAAGGCCTTGAATTTCTTGACCCAGCGTTCGAATCAACACCACATTGATCAATACGTGTAAGTCTTGCCGTTCAACTATGGATATCTAAGCGTATAAGATATCTCACAACTCCTACTAAATATGCGAATCTCCCCCAATCCAGAAGAGTTACAGTCGCTCCTCTTAGCTGGAGACTTCAGCCGCGTTTTAAAATCGAATGAATATCTTCGTAGCCACATTCTAGCCTATAGGGTAATGGGATGCATATGATCATGATCTATGATCAAGGTGGCGATAATTTCGGGTACGGATAGAAGCTGGGCCCTGAATCCGGGGCATCATATTTCGAGGTCACAAATCTTTCACCAACAATACCGCTAACTTGGTCGAAGCTTATCAATGGGTGATTGATGAGATACAGTGTTTTCGTTTGGACAATTTCTTTGTTTTAGAGAATAGATATCCGGCCGAGGACGCTTTGCACATATCGTCCGGGGTTAAATATAGCACCGACACTACAGCACCATCCATTTGACGATAACATTCAAGGACTGATGATGCAAGAATTGCTGATGTGAGATTTACCGACTAGACCTCCCTATTCAAACATGGAGTCAATGTATAATACAGTCCAAAAAATTTCCCAAAAGAGCAAAAATCAGGGGAATGTTCCTTGGCTCAACATCGGCATCTCGTGGGATTCGGTGTGGAGACGGCAATTAGGTGGCACAGACTGTTAGCTAAGCCCTTTCAAGAAGCTAAAACAAGCAGAACGTGGTTGGCACGGGCGCTCGGTTCAGTTAATTAACGGGACCTTCTGCCTTCAAAGCAAATCTGTGCTGTGACTGGGAGCACAGAAGGCGAATCCTACTATGTACACTATCCATCCATTTGGGGGATATCAGTTTCATTATGCTTACGCTAGCAGTTAATTTTAGAAAAAGTCAATTCTCTTTAATTCTTCTGTAAGAAAGAAGGTTATTTAAGTAGAGGATATGTTCACTCTAATTCCTAGCTGGCGACCAACAAAGGCATACACTCAACTCTCACATAACGACATCAACTTCTAGACGCTGGTCTTCTAGAATTAATTCATTCATTGTTATAACTCCTTTATTCTCTTTATATATCCCTGTTCATAACAGCCAACATGGTCGGTATCAAGAAACTCAGCCTCCCAGGACTTCTCTGGCTCGGCCTTGCCACCCGGGGACTCGCTCTGGGAATTGATGAAGCTACCGACGATCTCACTCTTGTGGAGAGATCTGATGCTGAGGAGGTCTTCACACGTGATTTTGACGATGAGCTCTATGAGCGTGACTTCGAGGACGAACTGGATGAGCGGGACTTTGATGATTTTGAGCTTCCCCTTCAAGTCCGTGGAGGCGCTTCGATCAACTTCAGGGAGAGAGTTATCACTGGTCCAAAGAACACCGTCAATAAACAACCTAAGCAATTCAGCGCGGCTGAAATGAAGGCCCACGATGAAAGGACCAGGAAGCATATTTCTGGACCTGCTCCATACAGACGAGGCCTCAAGGCTCGCGGCGGCGCTTCAATCAACTTCAGGGAGAGAGTCATCACTGGCCCAAAGAACACCGTCAATAAACAGCCTAAACAATTCAGCGCGGCTGAAATGAAGGCCCACGATGAAAGGACCAAGAAGCATATTTCTGGACCTGCTCCCTACAGACGAGGCCTCAAGGCTCGCGGCGGCGCTTCGATCAACTTCAGGGAGAGAGTTATCACTGGCCCAAAGAACACCGTCAATAAACAACCTAAGCAATTCAGCGCGGCTGAAATGAAGGCCCACGATGAAAGGACCAGGAAGCATATTTCTGGACCTGCTCCATACAGGCGGTGATTTGCTACAATCAACCTCAAGGAGAAGACTATTGCCGTGATCAAGAAATCCGACCAAGCCCTAAGCCTCCCGTAGAGGTTGATAGTAAGGCTAGTAAGGCATTCGTCGAAAGGCTATATGGAAAGAAGCTTGACTAAGGCTATGGAGGGAGAAGTTCAGTTGCGGTGTATATTAAGAGCTTGAGTGTTTGAAGGTAGATGGAGGAATATGATCTATCAGGTTTCTATGTGTGTTCGAAGTTATCGCTAGCGAGTGATCAAGTCAGTCAGGACAGAGATTAGGTCTGATTCTAAATATATTTTGTACTCACTTCAGGTAATTTATCAACAGGAGCTGATGTATCGTTCATATAAAATATGAGCATGGATGCTTCAGAAATAGCAGGAAAGATTGCCACCTGAACTGGACAAAGGATCGAAACCTATCATTGCGAAGTAAACCATTGAGAGGGTAGGAAAACTCATACTCGAGACGGTTGCTTCCGAATTTGGCAAGGGTCGCCTCAATATCGTTGTCGTTAATGCTGAGGTTCGCAGCAATGTTCCATGGCTTCTCTCGCGTTGAGTAATTTGCTCTTATCAGTCCCTAAGAAAGTATTAGCAGGAGCTAATAGTGTGCAACCGAGAACACATCAATGGGCTCGTCTGGTTGCCAACGCCTGTGTTGAGGTAGTCTCGTTGCATGAAGCCTCATAGCCTCTTCGTAAATAGGCGTCATTTGAGAGAGAGGTGCATCTGTCATCGGTGTCTATTAGAGGCAGTATAACCTTGCTTCTTCCACTTATTCACTCGTCTGACTCCAACCTGTGCTTTGACCGCTCTAATATGGCCAGTTTGATAGGCGAGATGTTCAAAGATGTGCTTATATATCAACAGACAGTCGGTGATTTGAATGATTCGATAGGTTGTCTCGAGATCATTATCACTCAAGCCGGGTATTGTCTTGTGAGCCGTCGACCCCAGCTCCTGCAAGACCTCAGAGGTGCGAAGGGCAAAGAAAATGCTGTTTGCATCCGTTTGCCTAACATCTGGTACTTCGATTTGCTATAATGGTGTTTCGCGAATTGGGTAAAGTACAACACCGAAGATTCAAGAGTTGTGCTATCATAGCTGGTCAAACTCTTTGATTTGCGCGAGGTCATTTATAATGGCTATTAGTTGAAGAGAATATAAGATTATTGCGCATTCAGCTATGCCATTAAAAAAGGCAATGCCTTAGAACTGAGAATTTACCGCCCGTAACGCCTGTACCAAGAAGAATCCCCAAACCCATCTAAGAAGCCGCCAATATCCAAAACACCAAATAATTTGCTAGGGCCTCATAAAGCGCCATCCTTTTCACCATACGCCAAGCCATATTTATCCAAAAATTGTTTCGCTGCCCATATCAATTGGAAGTAATATACCGAGTCTCGGCCATGCTCCGAATTTCCCTGATTTTAAACGCCGATACACGACAGCCCCAATTTCGAGCGGATGCAATGTTCACTCGGATCGCAGACTTCGCGGCCGCATTGTTTATCGTTTCGAGACGCGATTGAGTCCGGATTTGCAGGGGCAGCTGACGAGGTAGATGCCAGCGCCAACAGGAAGAAGGCCATAGACTTGAGGTAAACCATGGTGATGTGTGTAGCGTATCAGCCTGGTTTTCGAGGGTAAGGTGATATTTAAATAGGGCAGCCTGTAGAGGGCACACTATATTGAATCAATGGCGATGCAATCGGACGGCGGCTTCACAAGATTGATTGTTGGGTAGATATCAAAACTTCATCGAGGACCTGGAGAGGAAGACCTGCAATTAATATAGAAATATCGACGTTCACATTCAATCGAGTCTATTTCTGGGTGCTAATCTCGCGACAGTTGATGGAGTTTAGGTAAGATGTTTAAAAATATGCCACAATCCTGGTCTGTGCCGCAGCTTTTGGTCAGCGTACAGCCCCTTTACGTGGCTTACTGCGACCGGAATTGAACACTTCCGTACATGTTTTTGCTATTTCAGAATTCGAATCTTAAATTTGGGTTGCAACATAGCGTTTACTAATATCAAATAGCATAAGTGGGTGTGGTATGAACTGCATCGTTACATATGCGCGTTAGTGAATAAGGAAGCTCATGGAAATCTAGGATAATTGGTGCAAATGGGTGCAATCAGAATCTTTAACCACCGTGTCTTTCTATCGTTATGTTAACACACTCGATGCTTCTTTTGTACGGTTTCTAGCTTCTCACGAATATGGACATTCCCGCAACTCATCCCTCCATCTCATGGTGTCTTCTTCAATTCCCGCCAGGGGCGATTGGGGAGAAACGACTTTGCAAAAATAAAATGTCCGAACGAACTTGCCATCCTCAACCATGCGTTGAATCTAGATGGGCAACGTGCTTATATGGGCATTTAGGTATGTACTTTACCCTCAGTCTGTGACGCGCTATATAATGGATAAACTCGTGGAAGCCAGCAAGGATTTCCTTTTGCCTGGTTGGCCTAATCTGTGACACAGTCTTATTAATCATAGCTGCGGAATCTGGAGTGGAGACTGGTGCCTGCTGATGTGCCTCTTTTTCCCCCCTGGAGAATTGTCAGCATACAGCAACGGACAACAAATCATTACTACTCTTCGATTGACATCATTCAGGACCGTTCGGGGAGTATCATTGCATTATGTCGGAAGAGCCCGAACCTTTGAAGCCGCTAAGGGCGCCATTGCCTGGGGATTCTCAAGGTTATGGGTGGGATGACCGATACGAGGAGATTGTTAAAATCTTTCCACATGAGCCGCTCGAGAAGTATCTTAGAAACGGCTTCCACCCTGTGACTCTTGGTGATAGGTTCTATGACGGAAGATACACCGTTAGACATAAACTTGGGTTTGGTGGCAATGCAACTGTCTGGCTGGTAAGAGACGGTCGCGAAAAGTACGAGGTCTGATCGCTTATGAAGTCTGTTCGCTACTAATATCTCTTAAATTCTCTTCTAGTCAATGGGTCGCTTTAAAGATTAAACAAGCCAAAGCATCTTTGGGCGATATTGAACAGGATCCGGAGGTTAAAGCCATGAAGCTACTCGAGCATAAGTACACAATCCACGGCTCTACCAAGCCAAGATGTTTTAGTCGCCTGCTACACTACTTCCAACACATCGGCCCGAATGGAACCCATACCTGTCTCGTGACTGAGCTTCTTGGACCATCCATAGAACAGATGATACGAGTGTTTGATGCCATGATCCCTTGGGATGACCCTGACTACCAAGAGGTCGAAACCTTCCGACCAGATACCATACTCAGATCCTCGCGTCAGCTCTTAGAAGATGTTAAAACCCTAAGGCTTTGGGGGATCGTTCACGGAGGCATGGAGGCCCACGCGTCTTTCTCTTTTCGTTCAAAGCCATCGTACTAATGCGTTTTAGACATTTCCCCTTCTAATGTATCCTTCACTTGCCAAGATGCGGTTGACGACGAGGAGCTCATAGAAGTACTAGGTGGCGAGCCTACTGTTGCAGAATACTCAGCCTCAGAACCGCGAGCTAAGTGCCTTCCTAAGCACTTGGTGCGGGCGGCCACATGGTGCGGCTGGTTTGACTGCCCAGAGGAGAGTATCCGTCTGATAGATTGGGGAGAGTCCTTTTTGTCGAACGACAAAGTTTCATTACTTTCCCAACCACTTAACTTACGATCTCCGGAGACATTTTTCATTGGCTATTTTGATCACCAACATGACTTGTGGAGAGCTGGTTGCGTGGTAAGACACTTGCGGCAGTCCCCTACAATTGACTATGCTCACCACACTAGATTTACCAACTATTCTATCGACAACCACCATTTGGCATCTCTTTCGATAAGCAGAACCACATTAATGCCATGGCTTTAGTAATGGGGCCACTTCCATTGGCATGGCATGACCAATGGATTAAAATAGTTCAAGAGAGGCCAGGGTTTGATCCAGAGCGTGAGTTTTGTCCTCTCTTCCTTCCATTCTGCTTCTCTGTATGACTAAATATGTTCTAGCTAGAGGAGAACCGCGCTTTCAACCTTTACATAAAACCTTTGAGCAGCGAAGACATTTCGTTGTTACACTGGCTGAAAAAGCTGAAGACTTCGAAAAACCGGACTTCATCGAAGATGACTATCAAGGGCTTAGCTGTCTTCTTAGTGTCATGGAAGGGCTGATGCAGCATGAGCCACATAAGCGCATTACATCGGCAGAAGCCTTAGCGAGGATACAATGGGTTGATCAGTGGGTTTATAATGAGCCAGAGAACGAAGAAGAATGAAGTTAAACAACGGCATTGGATTTATCTTCCAAGTGGAGTTATCACTGCAACCAGAGATCACAAGCTATCACAAGAAGATATCGAGCTACTACGAAAGTTCTCTTATTTGCATCAAGAATTTGGGATTCAAGTTGACTCCTATGGAGTTCTGACTTGGGTTGTGATTAGTAGGGTCTAGCATCCGTGTCTGACAGCTATTAGGTCGGGACAGTTTGCTCTCACCATTGCAGCCAAAAAGCTAGAAGTTTAGTATATTGTGTTAAAAATCTCGCCGTTCGTTTGTTTAATTGTGTGGAACTTGTTCGCAATCGGTGGGGTTTCCATCTCTGTGGTTTGATTGCTTCGGTCGTTCTCGCAATCACCCTAGACAGGGCTGACAGACTCTTCTCTGCTCGCAGTTGAGAAAAATCTTCCCTTGGGTTGTTCTGTATCTTATGACACTTGTGGTCAAACTTTGGTATCATATGTCTTGTTCGTCATGAAATGAGGCTAGACAACTTTAAGGCCTCTAAGTTGTAAGCTTTGGAGAGCCATCTAAACTTGCTCCATTGGAAACATACTGGTCATATCAGCTATGTTATCAGGCTTGCCCGAGACGAACCTCCAACAAAACGAAAATCTTAAGTCGGCTTGGTGGAAGGACCCGCCTGGCCTTAAAATACCTGAGAAAATAACTATGCCGAACTTATCATATAACGCTGAATCTTCAAGCCGTCAAAGTCGGCTTCATCAAGGAAATATTAGTGGCGTTCAAGGAGTCTAATCGAATCCTCTCAACTTGAGGGTCACACTAAAAAACTATCTTAGTTTGCTTGACGCTAGGATCACTAATGTAATCCACCCCCCAAAGGAAAGCGATTAAAGATTTCCTATATACGTGGAAGCGGTCCTGAGGCTTATTGTACAGTAGACTAGGATGGCCCTTCAAACAAAGTCAAAGTACTTTCTTTTTAGGTGCACGAGGCTGGACAAGGGTCAATAGGCACTCTATATTGCTTCCGAAGGCTCTAGGACCCGGAAATCTCCCCCATGCCTAGCAAGCAAGAGCTAGTAACAAGCCCTCAGAATTCGGCATCCGAATCTCCGTGTTCGTTCTCCTTGCGATCTATATCAGATTCATCAAAATCTAAGCTCGATGCCTTCTGCTTCCGGACCTTCCAAATAATTATTAAGGCGAACCACAGTATATACACATGATCTCCGAGTACAGAACGTCAGGATCCACCGCAAAGCTAGGCAACAACCTCCGAGGGTGATGGTGGAAGGATCAAGGCACGGTGCCCAACCTCTACGAGAGTGAGACAAAAAGGAGATATTTTGCCACAGCAGAACCTGGAGGTAGGTCATAAATCAAGCGGAACTATGTTTCGAATAAAGCAACTACGCTAGCAAGAGTAAAGGATTTGGGGCGAAAAGGCCTACCGAGAAAACACCCCAGCGCAACAGGCAGCAAGATAACGGTCGTCCGTGCTCGCTGAACCGCCCCAAGCCGGCCCGTTCACTTGTCATGTGCGGTGAATACCGTGTACCAGCCAGATCAACACTCAAAAAGGAGGGGGCCGGCCAGTCAGTTTGGGTAGTGACATTCCATTCTAATTATACTCATTCAAGCAAGCCAAGTCCATTTCAATGCGAAATAAGGATCTGGGGCTTGCCCAACAACTTCTGGTCATAACCCTAGGCAATGTATCGCTGCCGGCAAATCAAGGGTGACGTCAAGTTGGTATTAAACACTCCATCTTGGTGGGCAAAGTGCCGAGACCCCTGGAGCTCCTAAAATTGCATTCAACGATTCCGGCCTATCTTCCCGAATAAGGAAGCCCGTAAGCGGCACCTGAAGGGGTGGATCTGCTCTATGGCCATACGCGTCTAGATGCTGGTCCCAGCGTACTGGGAACTGGGAATGCAAGTTTTATGAGCCGCGCGGAGACCTCAAGCAGTCTAGGCCCTACAAAGCAGAGGCGGAACTATCGGTCGGCCAGGCGTAGAATCCTTCGTTCTCGATGCCAAGAATGGGTACCAAGTAGCTAACGGACGGATTGGTATGCCAGGCAGGTTCTAAAAAACCGTTACCCCATCTGTGACCTATTTTTGTGCTTAGTTATGCCGTTGGGTTATCATGAGCTACCCCTAGATTATCCTTGGCAACAACTTACTCGCGGCGAGAGCTGCACGAAAAAAATTCGTCCAATGCGATCAGTGGCATCGAAAATTCCTCGTCGGTTAGTCGCAGTAGAGAGAATCGTCACAGCAATGGTTTCACATTGTCAACAAGGCCCACATTTAGGAGTTGTAATCCCTAGATTTACTGTCTGTCTCCCTCCTTGAATTTGCATCCAGAAGGTGGCATGAACAAGTGGCAAGGAATTTGACAGTTGCCGCAACGAGAACCAAGGGGCAATCTTCCGAGGCCAGGGCATACCGGAGTCATGCGGAATCGTTCTGGAAAGGGGCGTGGGATGCTCTCGGTGGCTCCATTCCTACAAACCCCACCGGATGAAAATTGACCCTGGCAGCATCTGTTAGTTCAGTTCCTTCGGGCTTGGAAGCTCTTATCCTGGAAACAACAAGATGAAAAGCGGTATCAGAATGGAAAGAAATATTTTTGGAAGTGAAAAGGCTGGGCGAGAAGATAGATAAATAAACACCTTTGCCCCTTCTCTCGTCTTGAAATTGTCCTCATAGCATCATCAGTACTTCCAGTTTTCCTATCAATACTTTCAGCATCAATTCTAATCCTGAATTTCTCTTATCTTCACATCTTTCCAGCCGCCAACATGCTCTTCACAAAGGCTATCTTCTCCATCTTTACCTTGTCCGCTCTGGCTGCTGGTCAGCTCTACGAGCGTGAGCTTGCTGGCGAAGACCCTGCCATGATTGTTCGAGAGCTCCGCGACGACTACCTCGTCGCTCGTGACTACTTCATGGAGGCTCGCGACTTGCTTGCTCGTGTAAGTAGAAGAGCCTTAAACTGTGGTGTTTGCCCTTGACATGTGACTGACAAGTACAATAGGCCCCCTCTCTGGGAGTCTGCAAGAGTGCTGGCAAGTCCCACCCCAAGAACTTGAGTTGCATGTCCAGCCAGGAGTACTGCGGTACCTGCAAGACCAACCAAAAGGCTGGTGAGGCGTGCTTCTGCAAGGAGGGCTTCGTGCGCGACCAGTCAAAGCTCCCTCCGTATGTCTATCTCTCCCCGCCCTTATGAATGGTACTAATATCGCGGATACAGTCTGAAAAAGATGGTCGGAAAGGAGCTCAAGAATGGCAAGAAGGCTTAAGTGATTGTGGAGGTTGGGATTTGAATTGCCAATCAGCCAAGATCCTAGAAATAGGGGAGAATATAATCATCAGAGAACCATAAGAGACCAACTAACGGTCATTGCCAACGTGGCTGTCTCTTTTTCTCTTCTTTGTATCACCAAGAAACAGGGTCGAATTAATCAGAAAAATTTGCCCCATTTACTTCTGCATGAAACCTGTGAAGTCTGCCCGGGGCGATTGAACTCGCGAGCGAATCATGTCAGCTTCGCTTCATGTTCTTCGGTGTTGTACAACGCAGACCTCGGATATCCGCCTTCGAAATCCTGGAGACAAGCCGTATCATCTCGGATTTAACTTGAGAATGTCTCGCCGGCATGGACAACAATCAAATTTTACGCGATTGGGTCTTACGCATTGGTATTTGCGTGCATTGTGTGTTACTCTGTGCTACGGTGATGAGATTGCGACGTTGCCTAGTCACTCCTCCCTCTCGACCTCTGAGATACAGTCACGCTCTCCGGTGTGGGCCTGGGTGGTATTGAAAGTGCAATATTGGACAGCCAGTGGTGTTGCAACGTGCTGAGACGAGAATATCGCGCAAAGCTGCAGCGCAACACAAGAGGTGGTGGTGGTGGTGTCAGCTGAAGATTGAGTGCTACCCATCACGCGAGTCTAGGGTAGGCGACCATCCGATGGCACCATGTTTTTGGTTGTCTCACATTAGTCACTTTCCGCCCCCTCTTTGTCCACGGCGATGAGCTGAGAGCTGCTGCCCAACATCCTGAACCTTCGACCAGCAGCTCGCGCTCTCCAGCTTGCTTTGCTTCGCGTTGTGTCGCGTGCACCGTCGGTTGCCCTGCCTCTGCTCGTCAGCGGCATCGCGGACAGCCATGGCCCAGCGTCTCCCAGTCGAGATTTGGTGGGCTATTGGCGAGGAGATCGACAACACCTCGGATCTCGCGTCGCTGGCCCAGGTCTGCACCCAGCTCCATCGCATCATCAATCCACAGCTCTACAGGCTGGCGGCCCAGTCCCCCATTGCCCTCAAGGCCATCTTCTGGGGTGTCAGCCATGGCATGCACTCGACAGTCAACTACTGTATTGCTGGTGGCATCAACCCCAACCTCATCTGGCACTCGAAGCAGGACGCCAAGGTCAAAATAGAACTCATCCCTACGCTCGAAGAGTGTGTGACCTCGTTCGAATCGGCGATCACGGTGCAGGATGAGACGTGGGACCACAGACCCCGTTACTGGTCTCCCATCCACATCGCTGCCATGTTCGACGACTTGCCTATGGTCCAACTGCTGCTCTCACATGGAGCTCGCCCAGAACTCGGATCTTTCGGTGCCTGCCCGTGTTACCATCTCCACGATTATACCCGACGAGTACGATCATCGTTCATCTACTTCCCCTGGGCTCGCTTCCCTTCGTGGACGACCTACCATGTCGCCATCTGCACGGGCGGTCTCGAAGTCGGCGAATATTTCATGAATCAGAATGCGGATACCGATATGGAGTGCTTCGAATGGTATCCCTCCAGACCTCGCACTGGAATGACCCCGTTCCATGTAGCAGCTCTCACTGGCAATGTCCACCTTCTCAGGATGTTGATTGAACGCAAGGGCACACGCGACATTGAGAAGGCAGACGCCCGAGGAGCTACTCCTCTTGTTTTTGCCTGCTATCACGGAAACTGGGAGTGTGCTTCCATCTTGCTTCAGCATGGTGCAAACATTAACAGAGTTTGCACCAGGCAGATTGAACAACACCCCGGCCACGTCGAGACTTACAGCACCACAATACTAGCTGATACCCTCGAATCGTCCAGATTTGAGGACTGTCTCCGGCTCCTTGATCTTGGATCTGATCCGCGGATTTCTGATCGAGCGCGTCAAGGTCGGCTGCCCTTGATTCATCAGCTTTGTATGGACTCCTGGGATCGCGGTTATTGGGATTATAACGGAACCACTACTCGACAAGTTCGTACAGAAGCCCAGGCAGTCAGCGGCCTGAAGTTATTGGACCGCTTCATCAAAGAAGGCCTCGACTTTCGTCAGTCGGCACGGGAACACCTCGACTTTGGAGCAATCCACAACACCGCTCTGTGTTTCGCGGCCGCCAGTGCAAATCTTGCCGCGGTGAGGCGTCTTATAGAAGCTGGTGCCGACGTTGATGGTGATCCACAGCAAGACATCATGACCCCCATGGCCCGCGCATGCAACGTATACAACGGCCCGGAGACTGTTGAAATGGTGACCCTGCTGATAGAGGCGGGCGCTTCGGTAAACCGCGTGAGGGACAACACCAAGGCGCCCTTGTGGATGCTCTGGGACGATGTGAACATCGACGCTTCCCAGCAGGAACTGAGAAAGACACTGACAGACTTGCTTCTGGAGCATGGATCTAACCCTGGACGCGGCACAGATCATGGCGATATTGCTTTTACAACTGCCTTGGACAGCCGGCTTCTCCAGAAGGATTTCGCCGGCTTCGAGGACCTTCGAGCGAGAGGCGTCCCGTCATTAAACGATGATGACTTTCTTGGATTCTGGGACGTCGCTGTGAGGATGGAGGATCCGGAAGTTGCTCGATACGTCATCGAGGACGACACAGAAGGGGTGATTGCTCGCAGATGCCGCACTGCTTTGGCGTATCTCCTCACGGACATGCCTCACGAGACTGATCTTGTAACGACCCTCTTGGACCGAGGAGCGAACCCCAATGCGACCTGTGCCAATGACACGCCCTTGTCGTATGTCATAAGTCGAACTACATGGCCGATTCCCCGGAAGGAACTTATCTTGAAGACCTTGCTGGATGCTGGTGCGTCTATCCATCGCCGACCACAACACCCGCCCATCGCAGGACTTGAGGATGGGGATACCCTGTATCGCGATATAACTCCTCTTGACTTGGCTATACAAGGCTTGGACGGCTCTGCAAAGTTCTTGGAGATGATGCTCGAGATGCAACCTCTCCGAGACGATTCAGAGATAGACGCTTATCGCTACATCTCTGAAGCGTGTGAGGTTGGGAACTTCAGAGCACTTTCCGCCATCATCAACTCCTCGGAACACGCGCACCGAACCATGCGCGAGAATGCCTCCACTCTGCTACACCATCTGCTCGACTGTCTCCTCGACAGTACCACCATGAGGCATGTCAATGCGACGGTAGACTGCCTTCAACTCCTTCTTGAAAATGGCGTTGATCTCTCAGCACCTCTTCCTGATGACGTGGTGGACGAGAGAATGGCTAAGCAGAAACTCCTTGGCTACATGTCGCTGGACGACTCTCCACAGTGCAGCGACAAGGACAGGGCTTTGGCCTGGTGTCTGCGCCAGAAGATCCATTTCACGGATAATGACGACGCTCCGAGTTTTAAGCCGGAAACCACGGCGTTGTTCTTCCAATTGCACACGTCGCTTGACAACCTGGGCAAGATCCTGGGCAGTGACTCGCGACGATATCATATTGTTTCTACGGGAAGCTAGGATGCTGGGCAGATTGACTTTTCACTATTATCAAACACTCTTACGACCTTTATTACCTAAAATTGAAAAATCTAACGTTCAGTTTTTCTTTTAATCTTATTTCACTTCTTATCTCGTCTTAGCTTCTAGGCGAGAGTACTAGTTTTCAATTCAAAGTCATGTTATGATAATTTGATAGTGCCATGATGTAACTGAACCGTGATACACTGGCCCGTGAGCGATTTTCTCAAGCAAGGATCAAAATATCTTTCAAGACATTGAGTGCCCTGAAAAGCTCATTATCATGGTATCTCCTTGCCACGATCTGCAGGTTTATCGGGGCACCCTCGAAGTTCCCCTTTTCCCACAACTCCTTGACATGCTGGCAAGCATCGCTCAGTGGAACATATTTGGAATCGTATTCTTCCCCTGATTCAGCCTTGATGGGCGTAGGAAAAACGGCTCCTGGGTAATCAACAAGGTTATAGAGCGAGGTGTATGTCCAGTAGAACGCGGTGTCGTGGGCCGACGCTGGTCCAACAAACGCAGGCCCAATGACAATGTCCACATCCTGTTCTGTCCAGCTCTTGGCAAAGGCATGTCGGAAATTGTCTCTTTCGTCTCGCATTAGAGTCACGTCGCGAGCGGTCTGCATCCCAAGTGGCTCAGCAGTTTGGCAAATCGACTTCGTCAAGGTGTGCACTGGCTCCCCAGTAGAGATAATGGCATCCTCTGTGAGTTGGCCACCGTCCGGCCAGTACATAAACCGAATCTTGTCCCAGGCCTCTGCCGCACCAAAGACCCTGAAATCCTTGATCTCGACAAGATCCTTGTATCTGGGGTCGGATAGGAGAGCCTTTGCCCAAGACAACGCCCGCTTGATAGGTGGCTGAGGCACGATGAAGCCGTCGTTGTCGATGATACCAATCTTCAACTTCCGGCCAAGCGGCGCTTCGATGCTATCCCATGGATACGGAAGCAGCTCAGGATTAGTTAGATGCGGCCTTGCAGAGAGGATAGACCTCATGAAGAAATCCATGTCCCTCAAACTACGACCCATCGGTCCTGTTGATGCCAGCACATTCAGCTCGCCTGGGAATGTGCCTCTGCTAAAGCCCCTCATAGGCAAAATGTTGGATGTAGGCTTGAACCCGTAGATACCACAGAAGGCTGAAGGTCCTCGGATACTTCCGCCGATGTCAGTGCCAACACCGATTACCGAGCCTTTCATCGCAATCAGCGCTGCTTCGCCCCCCGTAGATCCACCTGACGAGAGATGGATATTGAAGGGGTTCAAAGTTCGACCCCAGTGAGAGTCACTTTCGAGGTGCATAATCGATTGTGGCTGGTTGGTCTTACAGTAAAAGACAGCGCCTTGACTTCGAAGGATTGCAACCATTTCACTGTCTGTATCGTCTATGCCGATGCCACCAAAGTATCCGTGTGAAGAGGATGTCCCGCGGATGGCTATGTGCTCCTTGATACTGACGGGAAGCCCATGAAGGGGGCCGATAAGCTTTCCATTCTTGGCCATATAGTCATCTAGCTCCTGTGCTTGCTCAATAGCTTCATCCATGAACCACGACGTCAGGCAGCAGGTAAGCTGATGCGCAACTATTGCACGCTTGCAAAAGGCAGTGGTCACAGCAACAGCTGTGTATTGCTGCTTCGCAAGTGCAGCAACAAGACCAACGGCGTCATAATTCTCCGTGATCTCGATTTCATCTTTCGATAAAATTCCACAAGACGCAGGAATGCCTGAAACATCGGTGGGCGGATACTCGACCAGTTCACGAGGCAGATGGTAATCTCGTGGAACTTTGGAGTCGAAAGCTTCAAGCAGGGCGGCCCTCATAGCCTCAAAGCTAGCGGTCCCTCGAGGAACCGGCTTAGACTGAACCACAGGAAGTTTTCTCGCTGGCAACTCAGCCGTTGAAATGCCTATCTTTGAACGATATGTGCCATTGCTATCTTTGGGTACCAGATGCTCAGTTTCAACCCCTACGTGAGGGCCACCTATGTGAGGGGGCGGTAGGCAAGAAGCGACGCTCATGATTTTGGAGTAAGACAGACAATATATGTTGGTTGGTAGGCAATTTTTGCTCTTGGAGGCTCAAAAATATGCTCCAAAAAGAAAGTAGAGCTGGATTGCAGCCGTATAGCACTGATGATTTGGCAGGCTAAATTCTTTATATACGTGCCCTTGTTGACAAACGGCTTACTTAATTCCTCTGGTCCGAGTCTGATACAATCGCTCTGAATATGTTACTTCACTATCAGCCGAAGATCAATTTCCACCTTCAATATCTAAGACGTCTAGGGGCGCAAATGCATCTTACTGGTTCAAGGGTTCAGCCCCCGCACTCTCTCCCTTCTTAATAAGAGCATTGTAACCTGCCGGCTCCCCGGGGAAAAGTCACTACACTAGCTGGAATCTAATAGCATCATCAATATCCGAAGTCCCAGGGGCGTAAATAGATATTACTGGTCAACGTGCCCAACCCCTCCACCCTCCCCTTATCAAGAGCCTTGCCGACCTGGCCACATGATACTTTGCCCCGACTTACGAGGAAACTGGCCAATCCCACGTATTTACGCGATCCACTCGATGGGCAAGACACTAGCGCATTGGGTGTCTACCGAAAGCGGATTTGCCTGAAGTTGTATCGATGGTGGTTCGGTCTGAGAACATCTTCGCTGGATTTGATCGTTATCTTTACTCCAAGTGAGCCGAACAAGGTCCATGCTGGCAGACAAAGTCTCCGGCCGTCCGCCAGACGATAAAGTATGTAAAGACAAGGAGGACCACGTCTTACATATCTTCCATCACCAATTTACCTACACGCATATTTTCACTGCCCATATTCCGTGCTTTCTCACTCCTAATCCAACAAAATGTCGGACTCAATCGCGATTCCCGGCACAGTCCATCTCGTGGATCTGGGGAATAACTTGCATTCCCTCCATGCTACAGCTACTGATGATATTGTTCTCAATCCGACCCCTTCCAATGATCCAAACGACCCTCTCAATTGGTCCGCTCACCGAAAGACCCTTTCGTTGACCTGCCAAATCTTGTAAGTCGACAAATCAATATGACGATTTGAGGTCGCATGATTACTCACGTTTCTCGGGGTGCAGGTATACGTGGTTCACAGGCATAGCCGTTTCTACGGTGTATTCTGTCATCGTGCCCCTCTCCGAAGCATCTGGAGTGTCGATTGCCACTCTCAATGAAGGAACTGGCTACATGTTCCTGTTCCTAGGATGGGGCCTCTTGTTCTGGCAGCCGATGGCTTTGCGTTATGGTAAACGCCTGACATTGCTTATCTCCATCCTTGGAGGAATTGTACGTAGCTAGCCCTACATTCACAGATGGCATACCTGGCTAACTACTCATCGTTAGGGTACGAGTGTTTGGAGGTGAGGCTGCTCCTGGACTCATGTTGGTGATACAAACCTTGCGTTGAGGGTGGCTGACAGACAGTTTCCAGTGCATACATAACGAGCAACGGCCAGTGGATAGCCAAGTGTATTTTGCAAGGGTTTTTCATCGCTCCGATTGAGGCTCTTCCTGAAATTGCCATTACTGACATTGTGAGTCAGAATCTGACGTCAATAAGTCTCCTTCTAACACCATCTTTAGTACTTTACCCACGAACGAGGCACATATATGGGATTCTATACCTTTGCTCTTGCCGGAAGCAACTACTTCACCCCCATTATCTGTGGCTTCATTGCCCAGTACCAAGGTTGGCAATGGGTATTTTACTGGCCCGCCATTTTCCTGGCATTTGTTTTTGTCTTTTTGCTCCTCTTTATGGAAGAGACAAACTATAACCGGCCCGTGATGCCTTCTGCGACAATACAACTCACCTCGCAGATGACTGAACAAGCTGCCGACAAGAAGAACGATCTCAGTGCTGAGAGCTCCTCACAAGCCGAGAATGGCGAGGTTCACTCCATTCCCAAGACCTTTCTTCAGAAAATGTCACTGTGGCAGCCCTTGCCTGGCCAAAGCGTGGTTCGACGTGCCGCCAGATCGTTGAAATTCCTGAGCTGGCCGGTTATCTTCTATGCAGGCTTCTCATATGGCTCTTATCTAATATGGTTTAACGTCTTGAATGCCACGTCCTCGATTATCCTGTCTGGTGATCCCTACAACTTCGGGGCATCTATGGTTGGACTCAGCTACTTATCGTGCTGTATCGGTGTGCTTGTTGGCGCAATTTTCTCCGGAAGACTCAGCGACTGGCTCACCATCAAACTCGCTCGCCGCAACAATGGTGTCATGGAAGCAGAGCACCGTTTGTGGCCTTTTGCGATCTGTGTTGTCGTGGTGCCTGCATCTCTGATACTCTGGGGAGTTGGCGCTCAGCATGGAGTCCACTGGTTTGGTTTGGTGTTTGCCATGGGCTGCCTCGCCTTCACCAGTTCAGTCGGTATCACGCTAAGTGTGAATTATCTTATCGACAGCTACCATGATATCAGTGGCGATGCCATCGTGACAATCATTCTTGTCCGGAATACGATGTCGTTTGCTATTAGTTATGGGTAGGCCATTTCCCTAGCATTGTAGTTTGGAAGACACTCATGACTAAACGCTGATGATAGTATTACCCCGTGGCTGACCAACCTCGGATATCAAAACTGCTTCATTTCCGCCGCGTTTATCGGCATGGTGGCCTCTTCTGCATTTCTGATTATGATAAAATATGGTAAGATGTTCAGGATCAGGAGTGCTCAGGCATACGCAGAATTAGTCAAAGGTGACAGGCAGCAATGGGAATCCGAATGATGATAGTTTATTACGTGATTTGAAACCCTTTCGAAGTAGAAAGGGTACCTTTGTATCGATCAACGGGCTTCATCTTGTGCACAGAGCCGGCGGGGCTTTCCGTAAGCTAGTTAATGCCACCCAAGTCCTAAACTTCATGCGTAAACTCGTTATCACCCCGTTTAAGGGGTTCAGGTGCTTGGCAGCCCCCATGTTTGAGACGATTACGGGCTGCGGTGATCTGCTATCGTCTACGTTCCTTATCTCTTTCCGAGATGCGAGTCAAACCACCCATCCCTACAGATAGAATCAAACGATGTCATTCGCGGAAGCCGTGGGTGTGTGGGGAGAGTCCGTCGACCAGCCTACTTATACGTATCATTTACCCCGCAAACTTGAGATTGCCACTGATTACATTCCGAGATATCATTCTTACATTCCGAGTGCATCCCTTCCAGTCGTATCCTCATTTACCAAGTTGTCAAAGATTAATCGCTAACAACAAGCACGATGAACGTTGTTGGGAAGACAAAGTTGCGTAGCAAAACCGGCTGTCTCACTTGTAAGTTTTATCTATCTCCGGGTGCAATTGATCCGGAATCTGACTTATGGACCTAAGGCCGGCGGCGCCGGAAGAAATGTGACGAAAAGCTGCCTATATGCGTGAATTGTATATCCTCTCACCGTGATTGCCAGTGGCCAACATTTGCAGATCTTTATGATCGCAGATATGCATCTCATTCAGAATCGCGTCATCGAGATAATCTGTCCACACCTCAACAATCAGGATTGGATCACGATGGCCTGCATAAAGAATGCCGGTTTTGTCGCTCTTCTCATGGCCAACACAACCCATTCTTATCAGGTGCCGAGATTTCCAGCTCTGCGGTTGCTCAAAGAGCGCTCTCACAAGAGTTGGACTGTCATATTTCTCGCCACTTTGTGAACAAATTCTACTCTCTTCTATTATTGCCTTACTGCCACACTCAATATCACGATGGCTGGCTGTCTGAGTTACGACAGGCCATGGAAACTCACAAAAGCCTTTACTATTCTATTTTGGCCTGCGCTGCATCTCACATGTCGATAATCGATGCCTCTTCCAATATGAAATACATGGCACTGGCTTACTACACGAATTCTGTCAGAGAGCTTGCAAACCTTCTTTCTACCATCTCGCAAAATGATAAGAACGACGGACTGCTAATGACTATTATGATGTTATCCCTCCATGGAGTAGGTTTTCCTTTTCGGTATACAGCTATGCAGAACTAGACTAATTCATCAGTTGGCGAGCTGGGACACCAATCGTGATATTCCGCAACATATTCAGGCAGGAATTAGACTCCTGACACTGCATGTGCTAAACAAACCTCTGGGGGTATCTCGACTCTTTGATAGGCTATCTCTCGAGAGCGTCATGTACGCAGTGTTTCTTAGGACGGCGAGTCTTTGGTCCGATTCAACGAGCTCCGACTTCGCGTTCGATAACGTCTTCTGGAATCAAGCCGAGCAGGTTTTAGGGCAAACGAATTTCTTCCCAGAAAATTCGGGAAGCTCGGACAGCCCCGTCCTGGGAGTTTCTGTTTCTCTCTTTCGGATTGCGTTGTCTCTTCGGCATATTTTTCGCACGGGGGTACTGCCTGAACCTTCGGAGCTTCAACGCTTACAAAACGACGTAGCTTTTTGGGAAGGACTGCTGCTTGAGGACGAAAATCTTGTCAATCATCTCCCGGCCTGCCCACAAGGTGACTTCCAGGAACATTATCACGAGACTACTATTCACCTCTTTACGCTAGTTACATCCCTGCTACTGGGTCAAGTTCTCCGTGGTCATATATTGGCTGGACTCCCACAGACAGTTCCACATGGGAGTTGGCAGATGGACCTAGGGATTCGAATTCTCGAAAAGTACGCAAACGACAAAGTATGGGCTAAATGTTTCATCGTGCAGTGGCCGATATATACTCTGGGAGTTCTGATGGAATCGCCTGAAGACCGGCAGCTCATCCGCAAGCAGCTCCAGCAAACTTGTGCGGTCACCAGCTTCGCACAAGTTGCGCGGTACAGCTATGATTTAGAAACTATATGGACAACTCGAGAAGATATGGCACCTATCAATGACGAGCAATAGTTTGAGGGGGCCTTGCATCTATTAGTTTGACTTTCATCATAATAAGTGGCAATTTAGAAACCCTTTGTTGTATTTTGATCCTCGAAACGAGCCTCTCAATACAAAGCAGTACGATCTTGACGTACTCCGTATCCCTCCTAAATGAAGATCAACCTACAACATACCGTCAAGGCCAAAGTTCAGCCTTTCCCCAGGACTGATCGTCTGGACGAAGCATATATTTGAGCCGCTTGTGCTGGCGATCTGCCTGCCCTTGCCAGAATTCCACCTCGATGGGGGTTACTGCATAAACGGCCCAATCGCTTAGAACAGTGTCAGGGTTCTTGGAGAATGTTTCTTCGGCGATGCTGCGACTCTTCAAGAGGTCCCCCGCGTCCAGAAGCACTTGGCTCTGGTTCGATGCCATTGCACTGATTCTCGAGCCAAGCGGGCGCTGCGCAAAGTCTTGACGGCACTCCTCATCGGGTAGTCTCAAAGCCGTGCCCCGAATCCGGACCTGTCTGCATATCTCAGGCCAGTAGAATGTAAGCGCGACACGCGGATTCCCGGCGATGTGCTGGCCCTTGGGGCTTGTCGATTTGACGGCAAAGTGCCAGCCGCGCTCATCCACGTTCTTCAAGATCAAAACGCGGGCATCCGGGAATCCAAGGCTGTCGACTGTCGACAGAGTCATGGCGTGTGGCTCCCTGACGCCTGCCTCAATTGCATCACTGAGCCACTTCTGAAATGCTGCATGAGGGGTTTCTCCGAGGTCGTTCAACGCTGACTCGTGGTGAGCACCTTGAAGTACGGGGAGACCTCGTAGTAGGGACTTGATGGGAGCGGGTTGACTTGTCATTTTTACTGAGGTGGATGTCTTTGCATCTTTCTCGGAAATGATACAGCTCTCAGATATGCCGCAATATATGTACGCAGGACGAGTGATATAACATTCAGCTGTCGGCAGTCTCATCCCGAGAACAGGGATTCAAGATGAGTCACGCTGTGAGACAATACGAACCAACAGTGACGCACAACAAAGTAGATCTACAAAAGCGGTTTCGGATGACGATTTTACGTACTAACGACATCGGAAATGAAGTGCCCATAATTTCGTAGGATGTCGTCAGAGGTTTTACGTTCAAGCAAATAGGAAATGCCATCTTCCTTGAGCGTAACGTTCAATAGTTGAGGAGATCCCTCATTATGATTAGGCACTTGAAGCTACTTGCTTTTCTACATATGCCCTAATATTGTCCTTCAACGATTGCTGGAGATTGATACTGGTCTGATCAGCACACCAGGCTAAGTGTGGTGTGAGCGTGAGATTCAACCGCTTCGCCTCCTCGCTAAGGAGAATGCTATCTTCTGCGCTTCCTACAGGCTCACATTCAAAGACGTCAGTTGCCGCTCCATAGATTCGGCCCTTGGAAAGTGCATCAAATAGAGCCGCCTCATCAATAGTACCACCCCGTCCGACATTAATAATAATGGCATCTGATCTCATGTTCTGAAATTCGGCGGGACCAAATGTGCCAAGAGTTTGCGGGAGTAATGGCAAAATATTAAATAGAACAGTGGCCTCACTGACCGCCTCTGCGAAGGGAATGCGGGTAGGATCATCGTGGCTCGTTGAGTCTTTCCGACCAGCCACAATGACCTTCATTCCCAAGGTCTTGCAGAGGTTGGATATGCGCTGGCCAATTGGTCCGTATCCAAAAATGCCCACAGTTTCATTCTTGCTGCTACGGGGAGGTTGCCCCTTGCTATCCTTGATAATAGATGATAGACTCCCGTTGGTTTTCCAGCCATTAGCTCGGGAGGGGCCATAGTCATAGAGTGCGTTATGGACTGACACAAAGCTCCGTCGAGTGGCAAAATACTATTTTCCTCCATGTTAGTTCTTCAATGAAGGGATAGATTAGTAAAGGGGACTTACCAAGCCGAGGGCATGCTCTGAGACCGCATCGGCCGCTGCAGTTGGCGCCGAGTATATAGCAACTCCTCTCCTTTCACACTCCTCGACGTCGATATGATTTGTGCCTGCTGTTTCAGTTATGACACATTTTCTATCATAAGATCAGCATAAGAGCATCATGTTAATCCTATTTCGAGCCACATACAGGTATGGCGCTTCACCAAGCGTTTGAGCATTTATCGGCACTGTAGTCGTTGTCACGATGCTGGCATACTTGATTCTCTCCGCCACAAGAGCGGTATCTTCTTTTGGCGTGTACTCATAGGAGATAAACTCGTGAGAGAACGGTGACGTGTCAACAGAAGTAGCCGGAACATGGATGGTTTCCAGTTTTACAACGACATGATGAGAATCGTCCGGTAACTTTTTGGGAACAATTACTTCCCCCATTTTGATAATAGTATTGCTTTCAGAACCAGGCTACAATCGTTTCAAGAGTAGTTTCAGAGTGTTACCTAGAACATCAGCGGTTATATAAGCGAAGGTACTGAATTTTTTAAGGTTCCAAACAAACCGGATGCTTGCCTTGTCATGTTTTGATCAGTAGGGCGCGCAACAGGGCGTGAGCGGGGTCATAGCCAATAAGATTCTAGTAGGTTCTCGTATCTTTCTGATAACTAAACCCAGTCAAGGAGTTGGGAGTAAATCTGGTGGATCTTTGAGGGGCTCGACGCGAATAATCAACAAATACACCGCGAAAAGGGTTCAAATTATCTTTCCTTAGTTTTTATTAAACATAAAAGGACTAAATGAAGCCTTTGAGGATAATTTAAAAATTTGATAAACTTCTCCCCCAACATAGATGAGTAGAATTGCCCTCGGTTGAGAGTCATAGCCAAACACCGGTAAGTGCCGTCGCAATAGATCGCCAGAATATAACCTTCCCTAAAACATATAATTATATTGATGTATGAGCCCTATTAGCGTATTGTTGTTATTCGAAATTTCTAGGAAAGTGGGACGGGATTTGTTTTCCCAATGGTATTTCCAGATGACAGTAATCAACACCTTTTGTGTTTAGATAGTATTCCTTCCGACAGCCTATTCTAGATCCGACCTCGTCAACTGCAATTCCTCTCTCCTTGTCTTATTTCTCTGCCATGCCTCCATCATGGCTGTTTTTATGGCATCTTCTCCAGCGGCAAAGTTTGCTCTTGACAGATCCAACAGCATGTTGATCTGCTCAGCAGTCCACACCAGATTGTACGACCCCGAGAATTTTGCCGTTGATGGATTAAAGTCTTTGACAGCTTCTTCGTTTGGGATAATTGGCATGTATATCATAGTTGATTCCTTGGTGAAGACTGGGGAAGGCGGGTTGGTGACGGTTTTGCCGTAGGAGTTGACGACCGTAGCAGGCCGTTCAGTCGGCACACCGTCATAAATTTGTGCATACTTTCCTTTGTAGGGATTCACTGTTTCTATTTCTGCCTTTTCAATCTTGGCTCCTTTGCTGGCTTCTTCAGGGATATTTTCTTGCCACTCGGCAGGAATTGAGGCTTCAGCTGCAAGGCCTTTTTCCACCTCTTCGGTCGTAGGGCTGTCATGAGCGATGTCTCGTTTTGTGAATTTCATACCCTTTCGACTTCCGATTTGATCTACTCTTTCCTGGAATGTGTCGTTCAACACGTCGCTTGATGCGTCCATGTTCATGATGATGTCAACTCCTCTTGCAGGGTGCAAGAGAACATATGTCGGGCAATTATTGTCCATTCCACTATCGATCAACTCGATCGTCCGCGACGTCTCCAAGCCAGACAACTTCTTCTTATCCTGGCCATCTTCGGTGTACCGGTACATATAATTATGCTCCTCGCAAGCGTGCAGTGGGTGATGATTCTCAAATTGCTCTGTTCCGCGTTCACCCCACCACCATCTTATTGTACGAGCAATCTCTCGGATGGATGTCCCAAATAATCCATAGGAGAGATTCCGATTAATGGTAGACAAGTACGATGCCAGGTGGGCCGCGGGGGCGCTCGTTGCAAGCCCAAGAATCAAAGCCAACGACTGCTCAGGGAGTTGGACGGTTGATTTTCCATGGCTGAAAGGACGGCCGAATGCCCATGTTGGGACCCAGGCCTCAATTTCATCGCACCCGATTTCATAAGGCGTCAATTCAAACCACTGATACCACGAGTTGGGAGTCTCGCTGTCACTGCTACTGCCAGCAAGCTCTGCATTATCTGAGGAAGAACCATGTTTTGCACGATCAGACAGTCGCTCGTGTCGGATAGCAGTCATGATTGGTAGTGGTTCATGTCCGTTATCAGTATGCCTACCAACATCAGAATATTTGAGCCACTTTGTCTGCGATGTAGAGGCATCTCGTTCTCTGATGCGACCAATCTCCAGCTTGGCCTCGCCTTGGAAGAATATATACCCGGTCGTGAAGGTCGAGTACCAATCCATTGAGTGGGTTTCGATACCGCTCTTGTGTTTCTGAATCAGCGGACCAAGAGTAATCTTTGCACCGTTCTGTGTGCTGAGGATGGCACGAATGGCATCGCTGGACAGAGGATGGTAAGGATAAAACCTTGCCTTGCAGTGCTCGATGGCGGCTTGGATGTTGCAGTTGGCAATGGTATAGTATATCCCCAGGGCCCAGCAGGAACCAGAGACACCAGATGTATATGCAAGGCAGTCCCAGAGGCCATGCTGCTTCATCGCGGCCATATACCCAAGACAACCGATCAGAGCGCGGAAGCCTCCTCCGCTGCCTCCAAACGAAATGACAGGCACGTCATCCGGATGAACATCGTTCGGGTCGAGGCCTAAGTAGTTTGCGAAAGCGAGTCTCATGAGCTCCCTCCTGTTCCGTAAGAATCGCTGCTCTTCCGGGCAGAGTTCCAACCCTCGTCTCACCTGTGCCACAGAGGCAATTTCCGGGTGAAGCGTCGCGTTCGTGCTCTCCCAGTTGAGACGCGCCTTGAGCGCCGCTGTACCGAATAAGATCTTCATGTCCGTAACCGCCTCCGGAAATGCAGGTTTGATAACCTTTTCCCAGAAAGCCCTCCATTTTCTCCAGAAGAAGACCCGCTTCCTTTTCTTCTTGCCGTGCTGATCGCCTCCGGTTGAATGGCCACCGGCCTCTAGATCCTGAGGTTGGGTTTCCTCCAACTCATCTTCCCGAAACTGTTCGTGGAACTGCTCACGAATTGGTGTCGGTCCGATAATGTACGGCTTCTTCTTGAGCTTCTTGGCGAGCTCCTCCTCATACTGCCGCTGCTCAAAGGTCTCTGACCGACCAGTCAAACTGCTCAAATTGTCACTCCACATGGTCCATCCAAGATATTTGACAGTGAATATTTGCTCTATAGTAGCTCTGTAATAACTGGAAGAAGAAAAGAAGAAGGAAAAAACACTCACCGTGGTTGAAACTCTGACATAGTGGATCTCGAAGATCGCCTGGGCTTCAGGCTTGGGCCGCGTAGCAGTCAAACGAAGCACGAGGATGGACTTTAATTTGTACGCGAGTTCATCAAATGACACCGGAGAGAGATTTGAGGACAGTTGCTAATCGTCTCATGATGGCTGGTGGTTGATTTATCGACTTTTATTGGTTCATCGACCATCTCATAGTCGTGGTCCCATGTGGCTCAACAAGGCCATCGGATTGGTCGACGACACCAAGGCGGATGTCAGGAGCCGTCGTCGTCAGCTCAAAGTTGTATTCCGTCCCTTTTTAAAGCACCTAATCAGTCGCATGCGAGACTCCTTATTTGTACTAGCATGTTGGATTTCCAATGCACCAAGGTTCACGGGCACATATGTTGGTTTCATAACTCCGACAGATGATTGGGAGGATCTAATTCCTGATATAGCTGGTATGTTCTACATGAGATAGCACTTAAGGGCTAGGTAGTATAAACTAAGAGGCAGCTTTGCCGCGACTCTCATAGGGTAAAAGCAGGAACACAATACCTGCCACAGCAAACAGCGCCGCAGAAATCCAGATGGGCACACTGGTGTTCAATCCAACATACGCCCCAATCAGCGTGGCACCAAGTCCTGCCGAGCGGTTAAACAACATGGAAAGGCCATTTCCAGTTCCGCGGATAGGCGCAGGGAACAGCTCAGGAGTATAGCAGTACAACAGTCCCAAGGTCAGGTTCTGGAAGAAGGCAACGCCACATGAGAATCCCAGCACGGCCGCCTGCGTCTCGGCCCGGGTGAACAGGAAGAGGAAGAGACTGGTGCACAGACATACCGCGCAGCCCGTGCCCTTGCGACCAAATCGGTTGAGGTTGGATGTGTAGCCACCGAGGAAGGATGCAGGCAGTCCGCACAGAGCCTGGATCGTCAAGTTGCGGTAAGTAATGCTCAATGAAGATGAACCAGTGGCTACGCCGCGGTTTTGCAAGTATATGGGTAGGAAGACGTTGTATAGGGGGAACGCCATTCCCACGGCCATCCAGAGAAACATAATAAGGGTGGTAGAGAGTGCCATGCGGGGAGTGGAAAAAAGGGCCTTGAACTTGTCAGGGGTGAACTTGTCCAGCGATCGCCGAAGGGTCGTCTTGTTAACATCATCTTCAGTCTCAACTGTTGCCTCCGGGTTTAATGCAGAAAGTCGAGCATCGATGGCTTGGAAATGAGCAAGCTCCAACCAGGTTGTCTTGCCGTCGCGAGCAGCAATTTTGTGGATCACCTCAACCACCTTGTCATCGCGGCCTCGCCCAAGCAGGTACTTGGGCGTCTCATAAATCCTGAATGAAAACCGTGCGATGAAGAGAATGATGGTTCCGACGCCAAGGGTCCAGAAGACATAACGCCAACCGAGGTTGCTTTGAAAGCTGCAGTCCTTGGCGGACGCACAACTGAAGTTGGCAACGAAAGGCCTGGAAACCCCCTTTTCATTAGATCTTTGCTCCAATGGAAAGAATCAGTATCAACTTACCAAGCAACCATGTTGGCAACAACCTGACCAAGGGCCCAGAAACCAGACTGCACCACCAAAATGTTCTGATGCGTAGCTGGGATAAACTCCAGGAAAATAGCACTGTCAACGGGCTGGTTTCCACCGCTGCCGAAACCAACAATGGCGCAGAGCGTGGCAATTCCCCCAAAGCTGGGCATTCCCGCTCCAACAAGACCTGCTATGGCAGTGATAAGGAGAGTTACGTTGAAGGCGAGTTTGCGGCCAATGAAGTCGGCGGTCATGGGCCAAAACGACGCACCTACTAATAGACCGGAATACTTGGTGACGGACAAGAAGGCAATCCGCTCGACGTTGAATTCTAGCTTAACGAGAGGCTGGATATTGGTGACCGCTTGCATCCATAGCTAGTAATGGCTGTCAATCTTCAAGCGATCCCATTCGTTGTCATCTAGGGCTTTCATACCTGGTCTAGAAACCATCCGAAGCCAGTCATCATGAACATTTTCCACTGAAAGGGACCCATGCCGATATCAATGAGAGCCTCGTTCAGAATTGAAATCTTGGCTTCATACACCGCATCGGCACCAGGCTGCACTTGCGTGGTATCAATTCCATGGTAGTCCGCATGGCCTGAAAGACCTTTTCCCAGGTCCAAATCCTCTTGGAGTACGGCATCGTTAGTGACAGGCGCCACCTCACCTGTGTCCACGTCGGGGTTGGAGACCCCTTGGGGCTTGTCCTGTTTGCCTTGGGCCATTTCGAAGTCACGGAGCACAACAGATTGAGCAGCAGGCTACCAGTCAATGAGGATCTGATGCAACTCTACTCTACGATACGGAAAATCTTGGCCTTTTATACGCCAATGGTCATGAAGCGAACTACAGAAGGCCGCCAAGCGACTGCTAACATCGAGGAAGGTCGAGGCGAAGCGGGGTAATGTAGGTAATATGAATTTCACGTCATTGTTTTCAGGGTTGTGCTCTAGTGCTAGATAAAGAAACCTGGGGAACTGATAGCCCCCTGTTACTCACCAAGTCTCCTCTGTTTAAGTGGCTCGTTCATCCAAAGAGCTCCTCCACAGGCCGAAGGTCTGCGCTGGTTATCAGGAGCCTGGTGGGTACGGGAGACACAATTGGCCAAGTTTAGGTAAATGGCGCATCCTGGACCGGCGGTGTCATGTAAGAAAGCTGGGGTACTGATATCCGAGGCCATTTCATTGGATCTTGTCAGTTTTGGTCTCCGAGTAAGAGCCCACCCACACGTGCTTATCAACCCGATTAGTATCATATCAGGATTCGCAAACGAGCCGGAGGAATGAATCCTAACGGCCTGGTATACCTCGCCAAGGTCGGCCTTGTAGCCAGGTAGAAGCTCTCCAAGTGATGCCAGGGCGGCTAAACTAACCAAACTAACAGCACATAGCAAGGCTGAGCTGATTGATCGCTGGCGGCGAAGTGTCCGATATCATGAACTTTCTGCCCTGGATCTTTTCTGCGAACGTCGGAGAAGCTGTCCGATCCGGACTTGGCAGCCGTGCTTATTTCCCAACAGGCTCACACGACCGGGATCAACCTTCTCATTTGAGAGCCCTATAACTTCAAAAGCGACATAATACAAGTCTGACTGATGACTATTGGATCGAAGAGAGCGTCTTATACCAAATGTTGCGAATACAAAATTAAACATCCTCTTTACAAGTGACACGCCCTACTTCAGGAATCATAGAACCTCAAGTAATTGTAAAACAGGTACCCCAGGGCTTGCTCTAGTGAGATGTATCCTACGCCCAGGGGGGCAACGCAAAAAGTGACCCAATATCCTCTGTTCAGAATTTATTATTCAGGTACTTTACTAGTTCAAAAAGAAACATTCAAGATCCTCTAGGCGCAACTCAGTGTTCGCAGAAATTCCACCCGACCCAGGATATACTTTCCTCCGTCTTATCTTGCTTGACCGATCTCTCGTCCATCAGTTCCAGACGAATGCTCTTCGCCTCCTCGGTGCTAATTGGAAACTCGACTATGTCCTCAAGCACCATCTGCGTCAGCTCGGCCGGGAGCCGGTGTGTCAACGTGTCCCTGATCGGCCCGTCACATCCCCACCAATCGCGCTGCTGGGGCGGGACATTTGCCGTAGAGATCACTGGGACGGCTGGGTCGACTAGGAAAAGAGCAAGAATCTTACGATGGCCAGGTCGTGTGGGATCTGCAAGGCGAAATGGCGAGACCTTGTGCTGCAGCAGGTTAGGGAAGAACACAGCGCGCGTGTCGTCTTCGCCGGTAGACGGGCTGTTAGTCGTGAGAACTCCGCCAATGTACTGAAGTGTGTCCCGGTTCACGTTTGGAATAGCAAAGGTCTGCTCGATTGGGTAGTGTTGACTTTGCCCATAATTAAGGTTGATCGATAGGTCTTCTCTATTAGCCGCGGTACGGAAGTCCAGATGACAATCGGTGATATTTTCCGAATCGTAATAGAACAATGCCGTTGCACATATTCGCTCGTTAAGCATGCCTTCTGAGTGCCAGGAGCCTCCTTCATACTCTGATGTGTCGTTATCAACGTAGATACTGTGATAATCTGAAAGATTCAATGAAAGAGGACGATTTCCGATAGACGATACATCAGAGTTAGACGGAGAACCTTCAGACGGGGCTGGTTGGAACGAAGATGCATCTGAGCCTTGGTCCTGGGCTTCAGGTGGCTCCGTCGTGTAGAAATTAGCAAGCTCCTCGGAGACCTCGAATTTGTATTCGGGGTCCTCGGGGGTAAGATGAACATTGGCAAGCTTCACGATCACCTGAATGCGCGATTTGCCATTGAAAAATCCTTCAGTCTTGACATCTGAAGCCGACAATTTCAGATGGTGCTTGGCACCCGGAACTGGCTCTGGTAAATAAGCCGGGTGTGTCTTAGAAAACCAAGCCCAGTCACGCTTAAAGCGCTCAGACTCACGGTATCCGGGCCGGAATTGATCATTCTCATCTCCCTCCTCCCCTTCCTCCAGCGGACGATTGTAAGGCTGGCATTCCCATCGGCATATGTCCTTTGCTTCGCACTCCGGGTTAACATTAGTCTCTGTCAGTCGTTGTGTCTCAAACTCTTTTGGCCATCTGTATATCACGTCCCAAGCAGGTAGTGCCTTTTCGATGAACTTTTCTATCACTGGATATAGATTTGCGTGATCGACCGGGTGCAAATTGTTGATATAGCTGTCGATTTTAGCTGACTGGCCGTCAAGAACGACGTCGCAGGGGAGCCACTGAAACTTGGTCGAAACAGAGGGCACGGTAGTTTCATTATCCCAACGATCACCCGGCCCAGGTACCTCAATTAACATGGGCTTGGGAATAACTTCGCCGGTGCCGCAGTGACTGATCGCTTCCGATACGCCAATGCGTTTGTCGCGAAGGACGCGGCTTCTGCCGTAAATCAAGGGCCACAGGGAAGGATGGACCAGGTCCAGAACTTTGTGAGTGGTTCCAGGATGCCAGTCCTTCTCAGAATCAGGAACATCTTCCAGTACACGAACCGCAGATCGAAGAGTGTCGCGCAACTCCTTCGGCACGAGGTTGTCGGATTTAATGACGCAGGAAGAGTAGTCGAAGATGGGGATTAGGCCCGTCTTTTGATATAGCTCTGCCTTGAGTTGCAATTCCTTGATGCACTGTACATCGGTTGTCAAAAACCGTGCCTGGTGAGATTTTTTTGCATACACTTACTGCCTTGGCCATTCTAGGTGTAAAATCACCGTACGGGCGGTATGCGGCCCAGTCCATTTCCAAGACCTCTTTTCTCCATTTCTTGGTGATTTCAGGGTCGTGAATTTTCAGCCACCACTCAGGCTTGTTGGTCAGCTCCTCCATAACCTTCATCATGCAAACTTCGCGCACAAGCAGAGTAGCAGCTTTCCAATCCCACGACTCTACACCCAACAGCACGGGAAATCGCTCATCTTCGGGAGGCATATGGGTGAGCGGAAGCCCAAATCCAGGGACTTCAAGCGATTGACACATCTATCATCGTAATAGTAAGCTATTCAGGCCTTCATTGAACATCAAGGGGGCGATGATATAGTACCTTGCGTCTGGCTTCATACTCCTGGGCAACCTCCTCCAGAGCCTCATTAACAAGCTGCTCGTGACCGCCCGTGAATCCCCTATACCCGTTTATGAGAAACCAGTCAGCGGCTCTATCCATACTCAGTTTGGTAGGCTGCTCTTTGATCCATTCTTTGAACGCTATTTTGGCTTCGTCGGAGAGCTCGGATGCATTCATCCTAGTTGGGTTATCAACATCCATATTGTTTCGCCAGATCGCAACAGACCAGAAGAAGGGATTATTCAAAATAGAATGAGGGGATCACGGATTCCAACTCGTCTTGAATTAGCTATTTTGTCAAAGCAGAGGAGCGGTATTTTCCACAAACGGTTGGGAAATGAGACCGTGAATGCATTCACGGTCCTCGGCACACCGCTTCCGCTGACTCGCGAACCCAGGGAATAACAATTTCGGTAATTGGCCAGTCGTAGTCGAGGATTCGAGATCCACTAAAAAGTCCCGGCAAATTCGATCCGGAATAGCATCAAATTCGGTAGGTCTTGCTCCCGAGCCACCAAGGTGATGATGCCTAGTGGTAGAAATAAGCTTAGAAATGTATAAAAATAACAAAGAAGTAGTAGAAAATAAAAGATATATGTGGTTTCTACTGGGTTTCTTCGTTCCGGCATCCCAGAAGATTCTGTTCACGTACAACCGATAGAGGACAGGAGAATGGTTCAAGATAAACTGGGTGAAGACGGAAAAAGGAACCATTTCTTGATCACAAGCTCATTTTCTTTGAATTCGAATAAGCACTTAAAGAATCATCGTATACTCTAAAAAAAACTAATCCACGATATATAAGTCTATAGATAATTGAGCCATATCATTACCCGTGATGTAAAGCAAGAGGTATAGGGTAGCTGCAAATGACGAGTCAAGACGACTAATATTGCAGCCTGTTCATAATTTCAATTGCCAAGCTTCAGAGGGCCAGCTAATCATTCAGTGAATAAGTTAAATTAATGGAGAACAAGGGTCAGTTCTCTTCTGAGGAAAGCTGGACGCCCTGAAGACCCGATTTACTCCACCAATTGCAGGACTTTGACCAGCTTTGCCGTGTGTTCGAAAGCCTCGGCTGGTGCCTGGACTTCACCATGCAGAATTTGGGCGGCAGTGACTTTTGATCTGTAGAATTCGGCATTGCGTTCCGGCCTTTCTTTGATGGAGGTTCCATCAACAGTCAAGCCACCATAGAGACCATGTGTTCTCGTATACGTCCAAACAGGCTTGAGCTCTTTGATCTGAGCAGTGGCGCCCACGGGCCCGGCAGCAACAGCGAGATTTGTCCCGAGCTCCATCTCGGCGTTCGTGTACGCCTCTACAGAGGCCTTTGTGTTGAGAACGCAGAGACAGTCGTACACATCCAGTCCGTAGGCGAGACCGATCCCGCCCGATTTGACGGAAAATGCAGATGGGGGCGACCAAGAGCCGTCCGGCAGACGCGCAATGACAATACCGGAGCCACCGCTGCCGGCAAAAGCCATCGCGGCCCGGAAACCAGAGAAGATTGCCAGGCCCTGAGCGTTAGCAATGGCTTCCTTGGGGACGTTGCCTTCGTCTAATCTCTTGTTAGCAACAACGAAAGCTTAGACAGTGTTGGGGAATAAATCGCTGTTGGTAGCCACATACCGATGAAGGTTTTCAGAGTCTTTGCGGCTGATTCGCAATCCTTTGCGAGACCAGAAGCTTTGGATGAACCCATGATGCGGAAGGATGACGAATTGAATTGAGTCTGAAAGAAATTATCCGAGTAATGAAGAGGAAAGCTTTCAATAGTAGGACTGAGAAGAAGTGTGAGAGATGTAGTGTACTGGACAGATGGTAGAACGCAGCTTGTCTACGGCTTTCTTATACTTTTTTTTTTTTTTGAAACCTTTCAAGAGGCAAAGCATTAAATTGTTCTCCATTAACTTAATCTCATGTGTACATGTAATTCACTCTAATTCCATCATACACTCGGGGCACAGCAAGGCTGAATGCTGCATGCGCCACTTGCGTATTGTCGTTGCCAACGTGCGGTCTTGGTAGTACGGCGATTGATACGACAGAGGAGGGCTCCAGAAGAGGCTTGCCTGTAATTTTAGGGTCTCGCTACAGCCGCATGCATGATATGAGCGTATTGAGCACGTCCAAAAGGAGCACTTTCAACGTAGTGAGCACTAAAATCGGTGGTATGGCTTACATTGGCGGGCGAGTGGTGGCTGTGCAGCGGGTTGTTGTCGCATCCACCAGATGATGAATACGCTCAAGAACTAAGCGAATACGCTCCCGACAGAGGGCGAACGATTTTTCATGAATGCCATTGGATTATATCAGGTCGCTCGTAAGACTTGTCATAACTTCGAATTCAATTATGTCAAACGAGTTCCTCCAATGACACCTCCAACAATAGCACCGACGACTGGCCTAGATGATCCCAAGACGGACAATGAGCCGGGGAGTTGTTCTAGAAGAGCTGGTATTCTCTGGCGAATCCGGAATGTTCGGGACTGATATCAAGTTGCCCAAGCATACATTTTCGGCGCCATCTGTTGAAAACCACAACGACAAGCATCTCACAGGTTCGAATGAATTGCATGGATTCAGTAATTGGCGCGTACCATGAGACTCGCTTCTTCTGCTTCACTGGCCGACTAAGGATTAAAGGTAAGAAGATGATGAATCACTTCTTTTTTCAAGCTGGCCGAAGCTAGAGTTTGAATGGGGAGGATATTGAAAAATTTGAAGCGAACTGATTTCACAGAGATTTCCGATGGTGAAATTCCAGAAATGGCAAGTTCTATAACATTTAGATGCTTATGAGCTGCTCTACGAGAAGTTCTCACGGTCGTCTGGCATTTGACTTGTCAGATCGAGCTTTAGCTAATCCCTCCATCCCATTCCAATTCCGCCTACTCTGTTTTCCACTCAATAGGTCGGCCAGTCTGCGCCCAGAGCTTCTCCGCCTCGCTCCTCCATGGCGGTGGTGTGATGCCATTGAACCTCCAGAAATCGCGTGGAGTGTCGGCGATGGTGATCTCCCAGTCATATCCCTTCTCGGCAATATAAGGGCGCAGCGCTTCATTGATACGATCACTGAAACGCCCAGCGAAGCCTTCGGGACCTTCTTCTCTGTGAACAGCCATATGTTCAACGACGAAACGCACGAAGGGTTTCTTGATTCGTGCTTCGGCGGCAACGAACACGTTGGTTGGAGGAAGGGGGATGAAATGAACAACAACGTAAAAGCCGGGGAGGCCGCTAGATGTATATAGGTTGGTGATGTCGGCGGCAAGCTTGCTTCGGACCTCTTGGGACTCGAAGATCCCTTCGGTGTGGAAAATGTTCCAGAGAGGCATTGTGTATGATGATGGTGATGACGATGATGATGAGAGTAGAGTGTTTGTGAGTTTCTTTGATTCTTAAATCCCAATTTCTGAGTAAAGAGTTCGTTATATACTTCAATCATCTGGCGAATCAACCTCAACCACGCCCTTTGCAATGACATCCAGCCTCCATGGGCTATCAAAAACCATTGTTGTTGACCGGCGCTTTTATGTCACAAGCCCGCCAGCTAACGCAATTCGCCTTGCCAAGCCACCAACCTTCTGGAGAGCCCCAGAAAATTTCCAGTTGACTGTACTTTGCTGGGGCATTATATAATTGTACACTTGATATCCAGGGCAACGTTTGGTAGATGTTGCGGGAGATCTGGCTTAGCAAGGGCGGCTTCCTAGACAGTAGGCCATCGCTGAGTATCAACATATGTGACAAATATGACCCGATGCCAAGCTATTTGATGCTGGCTGAACAGTACGTGTCCATCGTGATACATGCCAAACTCACAGGCTTACGCACAGCTGGCTGTGTTAATTAAGACTTGTAATGTATATCGAGTAAGAAGCTACGATGGCGTAGCTGTCGATCGATCGGGGAGCCTTCAGTCCCATGATAGAACCCCCAGGCACTGGAAGGTTCGACAATTACATCGACATTAAGTAGTGTGTTCGTGATAGTGCTTAAGCAGCTGACTGCTCTTGGTGAGTGAAATTCAGTGAGACCGCGGTTATGGTGAGCATATACTTGGTCCACATTTCACATCTGGCATGTTCATGAGCGCCATTTTCCCTCGTTGTCGTTTTCAACAAACTATGTCTACATATGTAGAAGAAAAAAAAGAAAACAAATTCCCTGACCTCGTCTTAGAATTGGGTCAAGTCCCAAACACAGAGTGAAGAACCCTTCAGGCTGTCATCGAGGAACATTCTCCTCAACAATCTCCATAAGGGCTACCCATTGAGTCAATTTAAGCGCGCAAGAGGGTATTTCCTTAACCTTAAAATAGGCAAGTTATATCTAAATGGATGGTCCAGCATGTTATGGCATTACTTTCCTAAAAATACAAGACTAGTCAAGCACGGTATGGCGCTACGACGGCTCTTGTACGCAGGCCACAACAGCTCCACAATGAGAGGTCTCTCTCCAGTACCTCGAATGACTCAAAATGAGGCTGCTATCTATCTTGCGCATACATCTCGGGTTTCGGAATTCGTAATCGCGGGGTGATCAAGGGGCAGAGATGTCCCAGTAGGTCGTGATTGAATGGATTCATCGTTATACCATCCTAAGCGGTGACTTACCACTTCTGTAATTAGAGTATATGCCTGTCTCAGCATCAATCTCAAAAAGAAACAAGATGTCTATTGAATTATTGTCTTATATAATGAAGAGAGTTTCCGATCATAACACTCTTGCTGCATCCCATCCCATCATTACAATACACGCAAGAACCAGCTACAAAACCCATACTTTAAACCCCACCAAACAAAAGTACTAGATTCCCCAGCCAGCAAGTAACAGTTTGTTTCTAGAAGTTCTGACATGCTCATTAGTGTCTGGACTCGTCCCTCTCACCGTCATCAAGGGCGCTGGCTCTGAGTTCATCCCTCTGCCTGCCGGTCAAAACGCCACCGTCGCAGACTTCCACTCCATCCGCACCAATACCAAGGACACCCCCAGCTACTTCACCTCAGGGTTCTACAAGATCGAGGCAGGCCCCTCTCGACCGGCTCACTACGACTTTGAAGAGACCAAGTACATCCTGCAGGGCCAAATTGACATCCTTGTATGCAACAACGCCTTCTCAATACCCTTCCGCCAGAGGAGTGCTAATAATAGATCTATCTAGGATGAGGCTACTGGACTCACCCACCATCTCGTCCCCGGAGATTTCGCCTTCTTCCATGTCGGAACCAAGGTCCAGGTATGTGATCATCGCCCAACGGCTCTATTCATTGTGACTAGAAGCATGACTAACCGCCCAACAGTTCTCCACCAAGTCTTCTGGCTTTGCTTTTTACGCCGTCACCCGCCCCGTCAAGGCAGCTCACCCTAACCTCCAAGGCCGCGAGGAGGCTGCTAATTAATCGTTCTTGGGCCTAATTGCAAAATGAGAGAGATTGGGAAATTAGAGAGGGCTTTCTAGCTACGGCATGTAGTCTATACGTGTTGAGTCTATGCGCAGCCGCTTAGGTTTTACTCGATAAATTTCATCTCCGCTGCTTCAAGGATCTAAAGTTGAACGTGACTGCCTGCGGACTTTCCCCACGTCACAGTAAGCTGTAGGATAATTTGTAGGAAGTGGGTTCTAATGCAGTACGTAGGTTGCATACGATTGCAAGTGGGTATGTTGAGCAAAGGGTAAAAACTAGGACTTCATAACTAGATAACTATTTCCTCCGTTAATTGGGCATTATGATAAGCTCCTTTTGTGTCATTTTATTTGTAGAAGAAGAAGACTAATCCGGTAGTCAGGATAGCTGTGAAGCGTCAGCGTGCTGGAAACGAGTATCACCAATGGGGATCCAACCTCTACTGCCAACTCCCGTAGTTACCTAGTCGGTGAATAAGAACTTTGGGATTAAAGAGGGTCATCAGTCCGCAAACTCCGTTGGGTCTTCACTCTTCAACTTCCACTTTTGAAAAGGTATTCCGCTTTCTGACCAAATCTGCCAAGTTGATGGATGACGGTCTCCTCCCCCCTTGTCTCTGGATCCTAGTCGACGAGTAAATCTATTGGCATCAGTCCGCAGGTCAAAGTCTTGTCCACGGCCAACCCAAATCACTGAATATTTACATAACAGCATCGAGTGCTTGGATTGCCAACCCTGTCGCAAAGGAATGTCCACGTCTCACCCCGGAACGAAACTCCGCAAGGCTGCATCAACCTTTTCCGCAACTCTACAGCACGAACACCGCAAGTGTGTTCGTCCCCATGCAATAATCGCTATATAATCCGGACTCATATTTGTCCAAATCATTGTTTTGTAGGCATCGATCACAATGGCTATTCTATCTGTCTTTGTTTGTGGCGTGACAGGAGTCCAGGGAGGAGCACTTGCACGAGAACTTCTTGCGAAGGGTGTCTCTGTTCATTCACTTTCTCGTGACCTTGATTCGGAGAAGTCCAAAGCTTTCCAATCTCTTGGTGTAAAGCTTTGGCATGGAGACTTTGAAAATGAAGAAGCCCTTAAGACTGCAATCGCAGGCACGCAGGCCCTCTACCTAAACCTAGTGCCCAATTTCTCAGACCCATCTGGAGAACTGCGCCAGGCAAAGCTTATTATTCGGATCGCCAAAGAATCCGAAGTCTCTCACTTGGTCCAGGGCAGCGGAATTGGCTTCGACCTTCTCCAGCAAAGCGTCGCAGATCAGCCTGATTCCCCAATCGCGGCAATGGCTCAAAGCAAGCTTGATATCGAAGCCGAAGTACGCAACGCTGGCTTCCAGACCTTTACTATCTTGCGCCCAGGGACATTCATGACGAATTTTCTTGCGCCCTTTGTCGCCCATTATCCAGGCCTTGCCGAAAACGGGCGCTGGATCGCTCCCGTATCTCCAGAGACAGCCCTTCCGATCGTGGACCCAAAGACAATCGGGATCTTTGCCTCCGAGGCAATTCTCGACCCAGCTAGATTCAATGGCAAGGAGATTGCGTACACGGATGAGCTCCTCCCCATTGACAAACTACTGAATAAGCTGGGCAAGGCAGCTGGCAAGAATCTGGAGCTGGTTCCCCTCTCAGATGACGAGATTGAAGCCCAAAAGAAACAAAATCCCTTCATCTACGTGCAGCTTACTATGCAGGAGATTCATAAGCAAGTTGATATTGAAGATGTGAAGGCTTGGAATCTTCCCTTGAGCTCCTTCGACGCCTTCTTAGAGGGGAATAAGGAGAAGGCCCAGGCTACTTTTGCCAATGTACCGTAATATAGTCTAAGCTTGGGACTGAAATGTGTTTCGGTTACCCAACGACCAAGAAGATATCTACATTAAATTCAAAAAGAGTCACAATGTTCCTCTGTATATTAGAATCGCTCACACTATTGTCGAAGCATTAGAAGTAAAGACAGCATCCAAAATAATGCAGACCAACACTCTGTGTCAAGCACGTCAAGAAGAATTTCACTGAACTTCATCGTACGGTTTACAAATCCGTCAGAATATCTTCATCAGCAGCCTGCGACTTAGCCTTGGGAGTTTTGTCCGCCTCCCCAACCTCTGTACGGGCCTCAAAGTTTCTCTGACGTTCTTGAGGACACCAACGAAGAACCCGTGATTCCTTTCAGACTCCGGATCTGCCTTTGTACTGGTGCTGCTCTTCATCTGGCTGAATTTTGTGCGTAGGGAAATGAGTCTATCAAGAGTCTGCGAGAAGGCCTTAGGCATGGCCACGGCAGGATCGGTACGTTGGGCGATGAATTGGGCCAGTGGCAGGATGTCATCTAGGGCCAATATGTATTCCTCTCTCCGAGGGCGCAGTGGCATTAGCTTTCGACCACGAGCGGTCTTTTTGCGTTTTCCATCATTGAATTGGTCGAGTCTCGAGTGTATGACACCCCAAGATTTGGAGGCAAGCAAGTCCTCCGGATAGCCACATATCTTGGCCGCGGAAACGAGCCATAGACTGACTGCCTTGGTGTCATGTTTGTACTGTTTCTAGATGTGCTGGAGCTGATTTGGGCGCATCATGGCATATCCTCTAGAGCATCCCGCCTTGACCAGTTACTTGATGATGAAAATTTGATAATGTTGTCAGAATGAAATTCTGTGAGAAGGCTGACTCCAAGGTAGTCGATGATCTAGATCTCGGGTCACGCCTGATCTTTGCCCCGCATAATCAGTCCACTTGACCACATGGACGGGGCTCGTGGGATGGTCCGCACCGCTGTATGGACGAATCCTGAATGGTTGGAGCGGGGGCGCGATATCAGGAGCCCCCACCAGCTGGCATTATCACCCCTCGTTGCACATACCATGTTCGATGATGTGAAGTGTTTATGAGAAACACCGGTTTAGTGGTCACAATCTAGGTGACGATAAATCACAAGCAAAGATTTGATGATGATAGTTTGGAACTAAGCTGTACCTACCTACGTAGCACGACGATGAAGCCGGCTAGTATTTGATGCCATCATTGTTCACAAGTTCTTAAGCTTCTATGGATCTCATACACTGCATTTCCTAGACTAATTTGAGATTTAACTCCCAAATTTTCATTCCAAGTGCTCATTAGTATGCTTGAAAGTTGTGCTTTCGATCATTAGTCCTGACGGTAATCAGCTGTGGCCGTCGAAGCGACAAATCCTACGAGATAATAGTGGTTAATGCTCTCTACCAGTCACTCACTATGTTCTCATCGACCCGAAAAGGATGTAATGTGCCTGAGGTACCAGAACTTTAGGTTTAGATTAGATTGATAACTATACGAATTCAATACCTTATATCCAGTATCACTATCCACGAGTAATTTGGGGCTCTAACTGACTATTTACCCAAAATTTCATCCGCTATCTCCAAGTCAAATGCTCTCTATGTTTCTAGTACCTCAATGCTGAGTGCAACCTAAAGGCTTGTAAAAGGTTGACAACCCCTATCTATCAGACGATGACGTGGACTTCCTTCACTCTATAAGCCTCTGGATGCAATCTTACAGTCTTTGACCGCTGTTTTTCAGTTGCTTTCTACGTCTTACTACGCCCTGTGATCGAGTTAGAATTTCCTATTCATTGAAGAAGAGCGGCGGAAATACCTCTTGGAAGCAGCTCGCCAGCAAAGTCCCATCTCTGGCAAATATCTTCCCATTAACTAACCCCCTGCCTTCTCCTGACCAAGGAGTCTCAATCTCAAAAAGGATCCATTCATCGGCTCGAATCAGCAACGGCTCGTGGATAATTATGGTGTGGCTCAGGGTGGCCATCATTCCAATATCACTACCATCCAATGGCGACGAAGTGGTGTTGGAGAGAATAGCATCTGGGAACTTCCACAAGCCATGTGCGAGCGGAACTCCGGGCAGAAATATCCAATCAGAAAGAAAGCCCAGAATCATTTGGTGAACTTCGTTTTGAGAACCGGCGTTCAAGATTTTAGCCGGAGCGCGTATCCAGGAGCGGATGTGTTGCTGTTCAGGACTCCCCTCTTTCCCCTCGATGCCAACAGGGCTGGTCTGAGGGGCCCCTAAGGAAATACACATTGCATCCACATTGATGTCAGGAGGTGGAAGGATTCCTGAAGGGGCAGTAGAAGCATGGCGCAAGGGTTCTTCCCCCGCTGAGCCATGTCGGCTGAACGACAGGGTGCTTGTGCATATGCTGTTGCCGTTTTGGTTTGCCACTACTGTCCGCGTGACAAAAGATTGCCCGTCACGTACACGCTGCACAGAGTACTCCAGGGGTATTTGGTTATCGCCGGCCAACAGGAAGTAACAGGTCATGGAGTGGACTGAAAAGCCATCCGGGACAGTCTTCTGTGCAGCTCCAAGACATTGCGCTATAACCACACTGTGAAAGACATACATCTTTAGCCTTCCTGATGATACGTACATGAAGAAATCTTACTAATTGAAACAATCCTTACCCGCCATAGATTCCTCTGCCTCCCGGGGGATGCCAAAGTTCTCGCTTGTTCGTGAACGTATCCTAATAGGTTTTCCCTCTTCCATTAGCAAATCGCCTGCTCCAAGTAGATCAGATTCGTATTTGGAGCTCACCTTGCCATCACCAGTGACTAGTTCCAGTTCCAGCATCTCCTCTAACTTTGATCCCATTATGGCGTCTTCAAGATTAGGGCCTTATTCTCTTCCTAAACATCAGATTTCACAACGTATCGGAGGTATTTCACAGAATTCCGCAACTACCTTTGCATTGAAATGATGATATGTCGATAGACTCTTGATAAACACTATTTCTCAAACTAAAATTCCCGAAGACAACCCCGCCGAACACAGTATTCTCGCAATATCCCGACCAATCAATTTTATCCGGAATATCTGCCGAAGAGAGATGACCTCGGTCCAAATGATGTGGGGTTTCTGCGCAAATGAATGAAGGTCAACAGACCTACAGAAATGCGCGATCCTGGGAATCGGAACTTCGGCACAGCTGATCATTATGCTACAGGGGTTTGGTGGTAAGCAACAAGGGTAATAAATGTCCAAGCTCTTAAGGCCCTGACAATCACGCTCCAGGTGAAATCCGCTTACAACATCTAATACCGGGCCTGATTCTGACCGTGACACCCCGCGGATTGGGCATCTAAGGCAGACGTGGCACCACCAACACCCAGATGATGATCCCAGCATTGGAACCCTGATCGACTCGCACATGCTCGAGATGTGCTAGCTTTTCAGATGAAACTGCGATGAATTTCTTACCGAACCCTTTCGCGGGCGGCTCTTGAGCAAAGATGTGCTATTTATATTCATCCTCCTGTAAGCACTATGTGGTGTGATGTTCCGAGTTTCAGATTATAGGAGTACCTGGAGCTAATCCTTTTTCTTACAGGAACAACACGCACATAAAATCGAAAAATTCTTTACAACAATGTGTATTCGATGGCTATAACTCGGACAAGCCCTTACAGATCGAGAGTACTAAGGAGACAATCACAAGATATTGGCCGTTGTCCAAGACAAGAAGGAGAACCATTACGTGCCGTCAACAACAGAGCATAAGGAAGGTGGGAAAAGCATGTTGGCGCTGCATGACAGGCTGGCGACAGAATCTGGGGAGAGTGATCTCCACAGGATGCACACATGGGTCGCGTTTCCTTCTTCCAGGCAATAGAATTAGCTCACATCAGGTTTCAATTCATGGAGAGTAGTAGCAGGGGTGTTGGGCTAAGTTGTATTGGATGATCGTCTGACTGCTCGTTTTAGGAAGTAGATATTCGTAGGTAGCATTAGCAAGCTTACATCTCCTCGCGAGTCGGCCAAATTTTCTAAGTGTGATGAATACCAGTGTCTATAAAACCAGCATCAGACCATACATTTTCTAACACGGGACGAGACTCCTATCCCAAGGCTAGGTTTGCTTACTAGCTTGTCTATCTGCTACCTGAAGTGGTTGAATATGCCTTCGCCTCTCAGCATCCACACATTCACCCTGGGCTTGCTTGCTACGGGGTGTCTTGTTGCTGCCGGTCCTTGCGACATCTACTCTTCCGGTGGTACGCCATGTGTAGCTGCACATAGCACCACTCGTGCCCTCTATAGTGCCTACTCAGGCCCGCTGTACCAAGTGAAGCGTGGTTCTGACGGTGGTACTTTGGATATATCGCCGCTTTCTGCTGGTGGGGTTGCCGACGCTGGTTCCCAAGACTCTTTCTGCAGCGGGACAACTTGTCTCATCACTGTCATCTATGACCAGTCTGGTCACAACAGTCACCTTACCCAAGCTCCACCGGGTGGTGCTGCCAGTGGTGGGGATGTTGGTGGCTACGATTTCCCAGTCACTGCTATTGGCGCACCAGTCACCTTGAATGGTCATAAGGCATACGGCGTGTTTATCTCGCCCGGTACTGGCTATCGAAACAACGAAGCCAACGGGACAGCCGTAGGTGATGAGGCCGAGGGCATGTATGCCGTTTTCGATGGCACACACTACAATGGGGGATGCTGCTTTGACTATGGCAATGCTGAGACTAACAACATGGATAACGGTGATGGCCGTATGGAAACTATCTACTTTGGTCTGGGAACTGGCTACGGCGTGGGTGGTGGCAGTGGCCCATGGGTCCTCGCTGATCTTGAGAACGGGCTATACACGGACTCAAAAGTCAGCGTTAACCCTAATAACCCGAGCATCACCTCTCGCTTTGTCACGGCAGTTGTCAAGGGAAACACAAACAACCGATGGGCGGTCCGCGGCGGTGACTCTGTGTCAGGCTCACTATCAACTTACTACAGCGGAATCCGCCCAACAAATGGAGATTATAACCCAATGCAGAAAGAAGGTGCCATTATTCTAGGTATTGGCGGTGATAATAGCAACTGGGCTCAGGGCACCTTCTATGAAGGAGTGATGACAACAGGATATCCGTCCGACGACACCGAAAACCAGGTGCAGGCTGACATCGTGGCCGCCAAATATGCAGTTACAGCCATGAACAGTGGTCCTGAACTGACTGTTGGGGCTACCATTACCCTTCGAGCTACTACATCCTGCTGCACGACACGTTACCTTGCACACACTGGCGATGCAGTTAATACGCAAGACGTTTCATCATCCAGCAGCACGGCGCTTCAACAGCAGGCCAGTTGGGTGGTGCGCACTGGTCTTGGGAACAGCGCCTGTTACTCTTTTGAATCTGTAGATACACCCGGCAGTTATATTCGCCATTCCAACTTCCAACTCTATGTTAACAGCAACGATGGCTCAAAGCTGTTCGGTGAGGATGCCACGTACTGCACACAGGCTGGTTTGAATGGTCAGGGCAGCTCAATTCGATCATGGAACTATCCCGCTCACTACATCCGTCATTTCAATGCTTTGGGCTACGCTGCAAGCAACGGTGGACCCAAGGAATTTGAGTCTGCTACTCTGTTCAACGACGATGTTAGCTGGGTGGCTGGCTCTGGCTTTTCCTAAAACAATGGCATGTGGGAGACCGTAATTACTGGTTATATCTTCTCTACCAACAATGTCGCTTATGGTTAACATCCTAGTGAGTTATATTGTGTATCTCGTCACATTCATTGATAATCTAGTAGCTAGGTAGTCTTTATTGGGAATAAGACTTGATTGTGTTGACCCAGAACAACTTCGTTTACTGTGTGACGCAGTGATGGAATTACCTTGGACATATAAAATCTATGAGAACAGAACGAATCGCTAGACCTCGGGCCTAGAGTCGACCTCTATATCTATCACATAGCTACAATGTTTTGCCTTTCATATTCATTGTATTGATGTTGACTCGGGCCTCTGCTATCTGCTGAGCAGATGCCACCAAAAAATGGACAAGAGGCTTCAGGAGAGTAACTAACACCACCATTGAAGGCAGGGAAAATGCTGCCGGAGAATGCTGTCGCTTGGAAATACTCGGCAATAAAGCAAGAACCCAGGGAAATGATCAAACTGTTATCATATGATGAGGGGTCTACGCATTCGGCCAGTCCTAAAACAGGACTGTCACGCCTATTAACTGGGGCAAAGCCTAGATAACCAGAGCGTAGTCTTAACCCACAGCTTCGTGCCTCTTGAACATGTGCTGGGAAGAGAATGGTGGCTATGTACCAGGTATAAAAACACTCCCTAATACTCATGATCAAGAATCCCTATCCAACCTAACGAGTTCGGCTGAGTTAAGCTTGTATATCTGGTAGGAATCAAGCTCATATTATTTATTCGCAGACAGCTCAGCAAGATGAGTTTCTTATGTAGCTATAGATGAATAACTTGGTAGTGGAATCCTTACTACTTTATAGTACTAGGGGTTAGATTGACTATAAATCTTATTAGCTACAACATAGACGGGCGAAAATCTTATAACAACAAAACATCTTTAGAAGAATGGGGAGACACCATCGGAAACCTGACAGATGTTAACATCAGAGCTCCCTATGTCCTCACGCTACCGATATGCACTCTGACACAGGCACGCAAAAATTTGAATGCTCTGTATTCCGACGATCCTTCAGACAGGCCATAATACTTTCCCTTTTCCGCAGTGCTGAGCGAGGATTAGTTCATACTGCATGGTGTGCTTCATTGGACAAGAAAAGAAAGAGTCGAGCAGAATAGCTCGTGTAATCCAGGTATGGGCTTATTTGTCCAAAATCCTCAGTTGATTTCAACTCGCATTATTTGCATAATAGATTCTCTCAACCGATAGCTAATAGGATCTCTTTATTAGTATATATCCTATCTTTTATAGAAGATATTATCGTTGAAATAATATGTCCACCGTTCCTCCTAACAGTACCTTAATGCTATTTCGAGCATAATTCTCTAATGTACTTCTTTTAACTCTTATTTCTAATCTCCTTTAAATTCATACCGACGATCTCAGTTCTGGCCACTTCTAACCCCATTAGTGCTCTGTTCTTTCTCCCAAGCCTTTTGCCATTCGTGCAAGTAGGAGGCCATTTGCCTCTTGGCAAGCTTCTCACTACCATGGTATGGCTTCTTTTGATTCCCTATTCTTTCGAAGACAGTTGAAGTCGTCAAGCTGGAGGTGTATTCTTTCAAGCTGTGCGATTGCTTGTCGGGCTGGCTCTTCTCCTCGCTTGTTTCTTCAATTAATTTATCCCGATCAATAGGTACATGTTAGGACAGAAAAGACTAGGCTAGGCTTACAGCATTGTAATTATTAAGCAGATTCGAAAGACTTCCCGGGATAACACGCGGGTGTAAAGGCACAGCAAAGAATTAGGGATTGTTTAAGAATAGTTGTAGTTGGAAAGCACAAGACCGTATGCCTTTGCCGGCGTCGTCTAGACTTTAAATAGCCAACAAATAGCCTGTCCATCGTATAGGAACACTTGAGGTTGTCCTCTCGCATGATGTGAATTGTCCTTCCCCAATTATCTAGTTTCGACTATGGACATAAGTGTCCTCCTGCTATTTGAATAGCTGTCCTCCATACCCTGGTGTCTCTTCTAGGACAGCATGTCCTTCATTATGATATCAATCATATATAATACTATTAATAGCTTGTCCTCTCGCGAAAATCGGTAAGCATGATCTAACCAATGGGGTCACTGAACGTCCAACCAATGGACGTGTATTCAGCTGATGAAAGATTCAACTAATGAAATGATACAAAGTCCGCCATTGGGCTAGGTCATGCTGATGGATGTTTTGGCCAATTATATAAAGGGCCTGACTGGCCAATAGACCGTCTTCTCTACATGCATCCACCGTCCAATGAGATACCTCAACATAACGAGACAATTGCATAAGCACCATCTGAAACCTGAGCATCTGACGACATTTGCTGCCTTGTTTTTGAGGCAACAAGTCCTTCCACGGCAAGCCTGCCTAAAACGATCCATGTTGGATCAGTTCAGCCATGTCCTCTCTTCTTGGCTCGTCTCCTAGCCATGGTTCGCGGTTTCTAGCAATGTTACCCATCTAGGGAATTTTCAAGCAATGACAACTCTCTCCATGCTAAATCGCGTCGTGTCATTCAAATTTGTTGCACTTCTCTGGCTGGGCTAAACATTACGATGAGGCCAACCACTATTTCCATTTCCAGTGTGGTGGACTGCCCCAGCCCGCGCAGCTGTGAAAGTATCTGTGATCAGAACAGTTTTCTGGTCTGGGCAGCTATCCACCGCAATGATTGTGACCGGCTTACGGCGGAGGAGAGACGGGAATGTCCCATGCTACGGTGCAGGAAGATATTCCCAGACCATGAGAGGATGTTAAAACACCTGTATTCATGTGATCAGTTACCTATTGGAGAGTACTGGTGCTATGAGTGTACAAGGGTGGAGCGATTTACACACACATCCTCCCCTGATGTAAACACACGTCGCAAGTTCGGCGACGCCTGTGTGAAGCTCACAAAGAAGATCTTTTCGAAAGGAAAAGACAAGAAGAATGACGCCATGCAGGATGATATGTGAGTCTTGCGTCTCTATTCATCCCAAAAGTAACTGTGGCTAGCCAACTATTGCTAATTAAACCCTCTGTCAATAGGTTAGCTACGCAAGAAACCCATCTTGCTAAGCTGCCTGTCAATGAAATATATGAGCTTGATTCCCACCCAATTTGTGAGCTTGACTCAGTCGAACTCGTCAGGGAATCTCAGGGTCTCTTTGCTGGCATTCAGTACCTGGATACTATGACCGAGCTGGTTGATCACGACCCATGGCCAGATTCACCAACCGAAGCACCCAGCAAACAGCCAGAACGCACAATGAAAACCATTTCTCCGACTACCTCCTTATCTCCGAGTACCCCTGGGCCACTTGATTTTACAGATCCGCACACTTTCCGATTTCTTGACCAGGCCATAAAGAAAAGTCCCTCGGATTTGCAATGCCCGGAATGTTCCTATACTCCTCGCCCTAGAACAGGGTTGAATTTCAAAACATTCCTTCGAAAACACATAAAGAGACATCATCTTCGCGATCATCCATCTGAAGCCGAATCACACTCTTTGTTTCCTATTATTTCAGAGTGGCATCCGGAACGCAATGCCAATACGTGGCCGTCACAAGGTAGCTGTCTGACATCAGAGGCTCAATTTCCGAAAGGAGACAGCTTTGGAGAGCAGGATGATCCTCTAGCATGTGGACTAAGCATTCGTGAGGCTTGTATGGTGCACGAAGTTGATGATGCTGATCCCAGCTTGGATGACTGTGCACGGCCTCCTAGAGACAATCACGGCTCGGCAAATTTCTTACGCCGTCGTAATGCTCTAAAGGGGAAAGTCCCAGGGCACGTCGACGCGGTTTGTCCTGAAGTTTCCAAGTCTAATAATGTCTCCTATGTTAGAGACATTAACGAAGCGCCTGAAGAAGTTGATTTGATTCCAGAGGCACTAAGAGATTCTATGGATATGGATGATCCTCCTGGCCAGACCCATTTATCAAACGACACAACCAGTCACCTCTCCTCGGAAGCGCCTGAGAACAAAGCTCCAACGGATGACCAAGAGCTGAAGAATGGTCCCCATATATCCCAATGGATTACTCTGTGGCGACTTCGGCATGATCTGCGTGAACTATACAAAGGCTTGATGCGAGTTACCCATGTCAACGATTTCCCGCAAGCTGGGAAAGTCCGACGGTTGTATAAGAATGCAACGCACATGCTTGAGACGGGACTGTCTACCTTTCTCGAAGTCCTGGATGGTACCGTCCCTACCACCTTGGAGAAAGTTCTTGCGTTTGTCGCAGTTTCTCATATCATGTGGAATGCCGTCCGGAATGAGAACGCCGGCAGAGGGGTCGTGAACCATCATGATTCACTTGCTGGGTTGTCCACATGGCGATTAGCAATTGTCGACTCTGAAGATCAGCTTATCCTAGACCATATCGCATATGAGTTATGGGATGTCCCGATCCCATCAGCTTTTAGTGAGGATGATACACAAACGAGATCGCTGATAGACTCGGTAGACTCGGGACTCGGTGATCTATGGGCGCACCCAGTGAGCTATTCAGACATTCCGGAATCCCTCAATACCAACCGCTCTATACCACAAACTCCGCTTCAAACATTCCAAGACGACGTCAGCTTGCTTCTTTCTACTACTGCAGTCCACACGAGCCTTCTCTTTTCTGACTTTCTCCATGTCCCAGGACTAGAAGGCAACCTTCGACCTGAAGCGACAACATCCACCATAAATGGAGTCAGCTCCTCCCCCCAAATATCAAATGGAGGCAATCCGCTTACAGACAGTGATGCATTCACTCACCCACCGAGTGATTCGTGGGGAGATTTTGGTTATGTGCCGGGGTTAGATGGCATTATCAATCCAGAATGCCTACGACTTGGCAACCCACCAATATGGGATTCATCCACACAAACTTTGAATATGAATTCCCAATCTCAGGGCTTGATGGGCTTGCCTCCCCAAGGGCTCGGCAGCACTACCACTACTGATAGTGCAACAGGGGTTCTCCAATGCTTGATTGGCACTATACTGTTTCAAGTGGTTGTGATTTTCTTAAAGAGTAAGTAATGAGTTGTCAACAAGACCATTTTGGGTTGATGCTTACCTTATGCCAGTTATGAGCCACGCCGGCTCGATCTTACAAATCTTATCGGGTTGTACATCGATAGAGCCCAGCAGCACATCAGAGGGTCTCGGTGGTAAGAATGATCCAGCATCAAGCGGATCTTTCTTGGCAGAGATGAGAGAGCACGCTATAGAGCCACTCCGGTTGAAATTTTTAGAGTACCACACCCATTTCATCGGGCTTTTAGAATCTGGATACTCTTTGATCAAAGCTGGATGCATCAAATCTCTTCAAGAGTTTGAAAAATACCTAGTTCATGCTAGTTTGGTAAGTTTCAGGTAACTTATGAGCATTCTAAAGAATCTCTTGCTCACTAAACACGCCATTTTCAAAAGCACTTTTCCAATTCGAAGGACTTCATGTTTCTTGTTCACTCAGTCCTCTCCCAATGTTTGAAGTGCTCTTCAAAGATGAGTTGGAACGATCTGTACCACGACGGCCTTTGTGCTGACGAGTACTCAACCCGGTACTTCGATCGCCGAATGGGAGAGGAACAAGCGACAGCCGATGCGATATTTTCGGACCAGGGACCTACTGGCGCCTCATTATCTGAAGTAGCCAGTAACTCAGCTTCTTCTAGAACCTCGAAGTCTCCTCTCGACTCTAACATGTCCTCGCCATCATCGAAAACAGACACTGCTGATTCTGTATCAACCCGCCAAGGAAAAATTGAAAGATGCTCCCACCAAGGATGCGGTAAAGTCTATACAGGTGTTGATGCCCGTGTCAACCTACGCCGCCATGTACGATGCAAACACGAGCCAAGTAAATGGAGGTGCCCGGGCAGCGGGTGCGAGCTGGCTACACCAAGGCGCGATAATCTTCGCAAGCACTTCAAGACAAAACACCCGGATGAAACTATGCCACCTTGGCTGGGGAATAGGAAAAGATGCTAAGCGATAGAGCCATGGGGGGTTCTGGAGAGGTATTTATTCGTGTAATGCCACTACTTCTTACACTTATTGTATGTTTCCTACAGGATCAGAGTTTTCGCTTCCCAGACTGGTTCTGGCCCTGACATGATCTTTAACTGCACATTGAACAGTTGCTGGTTGAGTAATGATCCAACAGTCAGTGATTAATATGCACAAATATGACCGCATTGAAGACATGAATGGCTCCAGTCATATCTCAATCACTTCGACAGCGCAAAGCTCGGGTGCGAATCAAAATCCAAATTGCGTGTGTTCCTTAAAATTTCATGCCGGACGCGTCAAACATGACAGATGATTTGGGGGACAAGAGGTTGAGAAACCATTTAAGCGTAGAAATGAAAGCCATAGTGAACCAGGTCAATATGGTAGACATTCAACGGAAGTCTTGTTAAGCCTGCCAAGTAAAATGAGCCCCCGGGACGAATGAGCAGCGTCTCTCGGAAGTGATTCCGAATTGTAACTGAAGACGTAATTCGTTTCTATCTGGAAATTTGGGCCTTAGAAGTAAGCATCGGCCCGGTAGTGAGTCTTCTCTACTACCATTCCGATACGACTTAAAGACTTATCCTTGTTTGTATAGGCGAATTAACCTAACGTGCTTTCATTCATGTTAATCGTATAGGTCGTTGAATTGCCCCGTGCTATACTTTCTTGCATCTCCCCTCAATGTCTGTTATAAACAGGCTGGAAACCAAACAATCATAGATCAAAAATGAGTGATATTTTCGGTGGATGAAGCCGGCCGTACATAGACTTCCTTCTCAACAGTCAAGAATTGCGGCAAAGTTTCAGCATTGCTATTACTGACATGAGAGGAAGTACGGCTACACGGCTTCACATCTCTAGGGGCAAGACGTCATACTGAAACTTCTCCAGCTGATAATGTGACAAGACAATCCATTGAACAAGCAGTCAACTTGCCAAAGCAACACTCCGATCTGTAGAAGATGAGGTCAGGATGCTGTCATTGGTTTGTTCCATCCTTGGCCAGGGACGATCATGAGACTTATTGTTGGAAGTGATCGACAATCGCCGCCACAATTATGTCAAACTTCTCTCAGACTCTCCCCATCGCGCCACAAAATCCATGACGTAAGGCGGATGACCGACACTCTTTGATTTGTGGCTAAACGGCATAGCAAACCGTTGAAGACGAGCTAAAGACTAGATATTCTGAAATGTGGAAATCCCTGCATGCTTATTGGTTACGTCGAACTTCCTGTTCTCGAAAGGCATGGTCCCATTTGTGAACCTGGACTGCATTGAGACGTAATCATTGCAATCATAGCGTTCATCAATTTCCATGCTTATAAGTCTCAGATCGTCATAACCCAGGATCCCATTCACCATACTGTCTATATAAGCTGAAGAAACAGAAGCAAAAGAAAAGAAAGAATTTTGATTCTCTTCATCACAAGTTCCTAAACAACTTTTCCGCGCCCAATTATTACACACAATCTCACCCAAGAGTACCAACTACTGCAAGCTATCACATCATGGGCCTTCTGCACAAGAACCATCACCATGCTGCTCCGCCCGTGGCCAGCAACAATGTCCACGGAATGGCAGCCCCAGTCAATCCTGCCGGTCATGCTCCCATCAGTAACCACCATGCGCCAGGCATGCACGCCCCCCATCCAGGCCCAGCTCCCAACACTGCTGGCCCCCACCGCCATGACTTGCTCAACAAGCTCGATCCCACGGTCGACAGCCGTTCTGGAGGCGTTCAGCTCATGGGACCTGGCATTCCGCCCAACGCCATGTCGCAGCAACCCATGACCGCCGGAGCTGGCAACTACACCACTGCAGCACCATACCACAACTCTCGGGTCGCGGACACCGTGGACCCCCGAGTAGACACGAGGGCGGACAGGCACGTCATGCATGGTGCTGGCCCTATGGCGACAGGTCCAGAGGCTGGTTACAGCCACCACTCAACCAGGATGGGGGACACTGTCGACCCTAGAATGGAGCCTGGCCTGGACCATAGGGCACACGGTGGGATGCGTGGGCCAGCCTCAGTGCCCCGTGGCGGTATTGCGCAGCCCGGACCTGCGACCAAAACTGCCGGTCCGCATCATAGCAACCTGATGAACAGGCTGGATCCAGCCGTCGATCACAAGGCCACGTACGGGGGTGCGCCGCAATATCGCACCGCCTAGTTGCGGAGAGGACTTAGCGAGAGTAAACATTGGTTGATGATATCTATGGCTTAATTCATTGTTGTTTCCCGTCGTTGTTGATACCACTTTTCGTATAGCAAGCAAGATTAGCAAAATTTAAAGATCTTGTTGAATATGATATCCTTCATTCGGTCGTTTCTCACGAGACTGTTTTTCGATAATTTCGACGCAAATAATCAATCAAATCTACGAGTGTACACTCGTAGCAAATCAGATATAGTGACCAGAGGCCTTGTTCTCTAAGGTAATTAATCAGGCTGAGCAGAATTCTGCAAGATGTCGAGTATCAATGACCGACCGCACCTGACCATAAGGACCCAAAATGCTACACGAAGGTCATTAAGAGACGCAAACAAGCATAATGCGCAAAAATCTGTCCAATTTTTATTAATAGTTATAAGATAGATGTATGGCGTGATAATCAAACTCGCAGAATTAACATAATGATCCTCATCTGAGGTTTACGCTACAAAATCCTCGAATGCATGTAAACGTGTGAAGGCGTGATTTGGCCCATCCGCAACCTCGAGGAAGGGAAAAAAAAGTCTAACCAAAATGTCAGAGAATCTTACCTTTGATTAATGACAGAACCACGAGAACATGCACGCTAAAATGTACATTATTGTTGTAGTCTTTCATACTCTTTGGTAACGCTGTAGGGTAGGGTGTTTCAAGGAGAGGATGAGTGGCTACGCGTCGAAATTACGATCAAAATAGAAGAATGTGAGAAGCAGAAGCATTCCAGAAGACACGATATACAAAGACTTCAGATTGACTGCTGCTCGTACAGGGGACAGACAGCATGTGTCTCGGAGCGCTCACAACTTAATCTTTCACAGGTTTGGTCTTGTGATACGTGTCGTGTGTCTCACTTGCTTGGAATAACAACATAACGTGGTAGGCCTAAAAATTGGATACGCGTCTGACGAAATTGACCGCAGATTGGCATGGGTGAAAGGCAAAGGTCTGGAACATCTAGGGTCGATTACTAATGCGACATCGTCAGATGCCATCGTCTTAGGCACAAGTTTCTTCGTCTTATTAAGTGAATGTGACAAGATTTATCAGCCAATTCCATGGGGGATGATTATGCCGGACATATGAGTATTTTTGGCTACGGCGGAAAAAAGAGGAAACACTAAGACGGCGATTTGAAATGCTAGACGGAAAGAATCTCTGCCGTGTGACAGCGTGTTGCCCAGCATTGAAGTCAGCAAGCGGACCTTGTAAGTTCACCTTGCGGACTTTTCAGAACGGCCTCCTTATTGCGCGATTTCATTTGTCAGAGGCGCCAGCTTGCCTCCTAAGAAGACGGTTGGCGGAGCCCGGCGGCAATGGATCTGATTGGTTCAAGTCTGATTTCGGCGCTAATATCTATGATTGGCTGAGCTGGCGGCTAGCTCTCTGATTGGACAGGCATGTCGGTTTTGAGATCTCCCATGGCTGAATCATCGGCGACTTTTGCAAGTGAATGGGCAAGAGTAAAGGGTCCTGAGTCGGGCGAATCCATTCCCATGGCCAGTAGAAATACGGAGTGAGAAATTCTTTGGAGCCTAATTTGTATATAATGTGAGCCTCGGACATAGGTAGGTAGAGAGAAAGCTCTTCACTAAAGCTTCTCATTACCATCACACAACTCACCCATCTACCAAATACCAAACTTCCGCCATGGCCAAGAACATTGTAATTATTGGGGGATCGCATGCTGGAGTTAGCACCGCCCAGAGGCTACTCAAGTCAGCATCAACCCCAACCGCCATCAAAGTCACCCTGATCACTCCCAATTCACATATGTACTGGAATCTGGCTTCCCCCCGAGGGCTTATTCCGGGGAACTACGAAAAAGACGAATTATTTCTCGAGATAAAATCAGGATTCAAACAGTATTCTTCTGACCGCTTCGAGCTCGTCCTGGGCACGGCGGTGGGCCTCGATGAGGCTTCGCAAACCGTTACAGTTCGTTGCGCTGAAAAGGAGAAGTCGGTAGCATACGACATGTTGGTTCTTGCTAGCGGCTCTAGAACCCTGGATAGCTCACCATTCAAGAATATTGGCACAACAGAAGAAACGCGGAGTGCGTTGAAAGATCTCCAGGCCCGAGTGGAAGCAGCCAAGTCCATTACTGTCGCTGGCGCAGGTGTAACAGGGGTCGAAGTTGCTGGCGAACTTGGCTCAGCCTTTGGAAAAGAGAAGAAGATAATTCTGGTAGGTGCTGATCCAATTTTCAGGCTTCGATAAGAAAAGACTAACGCCGCCCTTCTTTTAGCTTGCACCTGGCCCGCGGGTCCTTGAAGACATGCTGGAAGTCAATTCGGATATCGCAACCAAGGAATTGCAAAGACTCGGAGTAGAGGTTCAACTCCGATCCAGAGTTAAAGAGTCAGTAATCGGAAGCAACGGCCAGTATGAGATCATCCTATCCAGCGGCACCACCGTTACGACCGACCTATACATTCCCACCTTCGGACTCGCCCCGAACTCTTCGTACGTCCCTGCGAAATTCCTCACATCACAAGGATTCGTCAAGGTGGATGAATTCTTGCAGGTCACCGGAGCGAAAAACATTTGGGCAATTGGAGACGTCTCAGACTTGGAGCAATCGCAATGGATCAAGGCAGAGTACCAATCTGCCCACCTCGCCAAAAACCTGATCAAAATCCTGCAAAATCAGGCGCCCCAGGCCTACAAAAAAGCAACAACGCGTAAGTACCATCTTGATTCTGAGACAAGTCACACAACTCTAATTTATTCTCTTCTGTATAGCAATCATGGGACTTTCGGTTGGCAAAGACATAAGCACCGGCCATTATGGAAACTGGCGTATTCCGACTTTTGTGGCACGCTATCTTCGAAAGACACTGTTCCTTGAAAAGTTAACTGGAATAGTTACTGGTACGGCTTTTTGAGCAGAACTTTGTTCAAGGGTGTTATGAATGAGCAGAGGGCTGGATTTTGCCTGGACTATTAGATTGATAGATTTCTCTCGTTTTCCTTGATTTACCGCTTAAGTTATTTACTTATTTTTTTAATGTTTACGTTATTTAGCAAGGCGCTCCATTATCCTTGTCTCTATCTTCATAGGCTGTCATAGCTCGTCAGAGTGTGTAAGAAAGAGTCAGAAAGTGTCAGAAAATAGCGCAGCTTTAGTACCCTTCTGGCTTCCCTACACATGATCACTCCTGGAGTGAGCTCAACTCAACCAGTCAACAGTGACCGAAATGAAATGCCCATAATGGACGCTGCCTGGAAACCGCACATGAAGTCCTCGGACGACGACTGGACCTCAATCGCCGACCCTGCAGAGCGGAAGCGCGTCCAAAATCGACTTGCGCAGCGAGCTAGACGTAGGTCCATCCCCGTAATCTTACATATAGGGGTAGCACGGCTTACCTCGATATTCAAATGGCAGGGTCAAAAATCCCCAAGAAACGCAAGAACTGCTCGAATAAGGAAGGTTGCCCGAAGAACGCGACTCATCAAGACGATCAAACGACCCACCATGATATCGAGAATACATCTGCCACTGATCTGATCAGTTCCACCTCATCGGTTTCCATGCCTGCGGGCCACGATCGAGAGTCACTTGACCCCACAAGGGATGGGCATTATATCATTATGCAGGATATGAAAACCTCAGCGGCCTTTTTCCGCATAGCAGATATTCTCCAGCTAGTATGTCTGCAAGAATCAGGCTTCAATGTCGGTGCTGCTACGTGGCTATTGCCAAAAACTCTTGCGCCAACTTCACGGCAGCAAATAGTCCCCCACATGCCCTATATTGATATGTTGCCATGGCCTTCTCTACGTGATCGGATGCTAAGATCATTACCGACCATCAATGAGCTAGAATTTGTACAGGACATGTCATCCAGCGACTTGAGAGTCTGGGGGCGATTGCCTTGGGACCCCCTTGGATGGGAAGTCGGACCTGTCTTCGCCAAGAAATGGTGGTTTCTTATGGATGAGAAGGTAATGCAGTCTACAAACTTCTGGAGGGCTCAGAGGGGAGAAGAGGCGTTGGAGTTAACCACATCGCCACTCCAAACGGAGGGTGACATATAGTCAGCCTGACAGCGGGTTTCTGACATTCCTACTGTTTACAGGCGCAAGTGGACTAGTCAATGACAGGACAAGAAGAACGTCTTCGATGAGAACTGTCCTTATGACTCCTTGACATCTTTTATTAATTTTGTACTTGCTCTCGCTTTTGTTTCTCTTGGATTTCTTCCTTTCTTTTAATGCTTGCCATCAATCTATCAACAACTACTTTTGAAAGTCAGTATGAGAGACGCACTCACACAACTCTTTCCCCCACCCCCAACCTACACTGAAGAACACGTCCCTTCTTTACAAGGCAAAGTGTTTCTGGTAACGGGAGGAAATGCAGGCGTTGGTCTCGAGCTCGTTAAGATCCTCTACTCCAAGGGCGGCAGAATCTACATTGCTAGCCGATCAGCCTCTAAAATTGCTACCGCCATCGACTTGATCAAGAGCACCAGCTTGACCACGACCCCCGGCGAACTTCAAAGTCTTATCGTTGATTTCAGCGACCTATCCACCATCTCCTCCTGCGCCTCGGCCTTCCTTGCCCAGGAATCACGGCTCGATGTCCTCTGGAACAACGCAGGGGTTAGCCAAGCGCCCATCGGTAGCACGAGCGCTCAAGGCCATGAACTTCACATGGCCACCAACTGTCTCGGGCCCTTTCTTTTAACGAAACTTTTGCTACCGGTACTCTCAACAACAGCGCGTAGCTCTCCTCGGGGAAGCGTACGTGTAGTCTGGGCGTCATCCGGAATCATTGACATGACTGGCCCTCCAGGTGGAGTCTCTCTCGCTGAGCTCGCACCTGGGAAGCACCCTAAGAATAAGGACTATAACTATAGTGCCTCGAAAGCCGGAAACTGGATGCTCGCGGCAGAGTTGGACAGGCGAGTTCGCAATGAAGGCATTATTAGCTTGGCTCAGAGCCCGGGAACGCTGAAAACCAAAGGTTGGGACAGGGCACCATGGTTGATGAGGACGATGATGGGACTTTTTATGTATGAAGCCAAAATGGGGGCTTATACGGAGCTATGGGCCGGTCTCAGTCCAGAAGTGAAGTGCCAGGATGGAGGTAGATTCGCCATACCCTTTGGTAGGTGGCATCCAAATCCGAAGAAAGCCATCTTAGAAAGTCTCAAGACAAGGGAAGAAGGTGGTACTGGCGTTGCAGCATCTTTTTGGGATTGGAACGAGGAGCACAGCAACAGTTTCATGTGATGTCTCCGCGAGAGAGAGGTTGGTTATTTATAAAGCCATGCACTGAGTTCTGTATACGGCCCGACATGTAATTCATAGGTCATCGTATCGGCATTCACCATAGATTTAAAGCATGTCAGATTATACCTTTGATTCAATTTAGCTCGCATTCGCCTCAAGTGAAACTTCCTCCACCGCCTGAAAAGACCGAGAAAGGTCCAGAAAAGCTCGCCGTGACACGAGAGGTCATAGACCCCCCCCGTGGCACCTTGGCTAAGGCTGCAGCACCTGAGGGATTGGTCATGTAACCACAAGTTGGAACCGATATGACGTCTTGCACTTGATACCTAGCAATGAAGTAGCAGTGATCGTTGCAGAAATCCGCGGCATCTCTCAATACGAAATCACCTCGACCAAGGGGAATTTTATTGATTCGGGATTCTAAGACTGTCCACGAGCACAACTTGGCAATGAAAATGTACGCACGGCCAGAGAAGGAGGTGCTGGTGACCCAGGCATTCGACGCCCATGCCCCGATCGCAAGGGACTCGGAAGCACAAACTTCAGCTGAAGCAAATACGCATTCTTTCTCGGCACCAGTGACTAGAGGTCTCGCCTCTGAGGATACTACATCAACAGCACGCGTGTCGGCAACGCAGACAACTTCAACCAGGACTGTCCTTATTGAAGAACCTAGAGATAACCGAGTCAATCTTACTCATCGAAAGACTTATGTCTTTGCCCCAATCTTAGCCGCCCCCACTGAAGTTGTCACCAGCGCTGTCGTGACTATTCTTTGGATACGCGGGTATATTTATGATTTCGAGAGCGAGTTTGACACCGACTACACCTCTTCTCCTAATTCTTCGTCAACTTCCTCCCTGAGCCTATCCCCTACCGGTTCATCCCATAGTTATTCCTCTGGCACGTCATCTACATCAGATAGTGGTAGTAGCTCATCATCTGGCTTAGAAACCGATAGCAGCCTGTCCTCTGAGTCGGAGACTGATGACAGCTCATCTTCTGGGTTAGACGTTGACAGCAGTTCTGATTCTGACAGTGATTCTAGCACAGACTGAGAAAGTATCCTCTGATGATGACTTTACAGACAGTCTTTTGAGCAACTAGGAAATATCTGACAATGGGTTCGACACTGATACAGATACCTCAGACTTAGAGGAGGATGTCGGCTTTAGTGACTCTGCAGATGAGGTGCTTACGCCATTAGGAGCTAACACGCAACAAGGAACTGGTGGGCTTGATTTCGTAACCTGGGCTGGTGTCGGCCGATGTCAACATACCAATGGGGAATAACAATATAAGACGAGTGCATACCGGTTCACCCGCAAACGAGCCTACTCGACCGCTCCCTGATGATGCTCAACATACCCAGCCCGTCAGTATAACGTCTCGCAGATAAGGCACGGTAGATTCGTCAACCCCGGATACGGAAGTGTCTGAAGAGAAGAGAAACTGAATATCGCTGGGGGACATAAGCAAATCTTAATAATCGTGTTAGTAATAATTGGACGACAGCCCTTGAGCTCAAAATGAGAGGCTCGTTAAGTATTTTGAGACTATTTGTGGAGCGATGGATGAGGCAAGAGTGGGAATGATGTAGCGTAATCTAGACAGCGCAGATAAGTTTTGTCGGAACAAGTACGGTTGATATACTCGGAGAATCAGGAAAGAACTCCGCCTTGACTCCTGAATTACCCATGTCGTTGCGTGGGGGTTCTACATAGGCGGAGCTGATCAGGGCCATGGAATGGTTGAATGTCGAGCACCTCATACACGCGAATATCGCACCAGAGTTAAGTCCCGCAAATATTTCCACCTTTCGACACGCGAAGAACCTCAATAGGCCATTCAAGCCCACAATATCTGTATCTTATGGATACCATTGCGATACGTTTTACAAACAATATCATTCTAGATGGATGGCGGGAAGAAACCCTGACTTTGGCGCCCAATGAAATAAACTGATCCAGTACTCCAGGTGGAGAGCGGACATCGGCCGCCGGTCTGACCTCTGGTATTGATTAAGTAGACCCCGAAATTGCCTGCGGCGACTTGTTTTGAAGAGCGAGGCTAGAGAAAACCACCCAAGATGACGAAGCGAAGTTATAAAAAGCTAGCACGACAAAGCTTTGTTGCGTGTTGTTAGAACAATTTTGTGGTTTGATGAAACAAAGAGAATACCCAAAGTTAAGTAAACCGTGAGGTGACATCCGCATTCAGCATGGGCAACGACATCGGAGTCCAAGAAATAGTCGCAGAGCTTCCCAGCTCTGCAACTCTACCGGTGAAACGGATATGGTATCGTCGGGTTTTCTTCCAGGCGACAATCGTGGGATTTTGTGCATTTCTTGCACCTGGCCTCTACAATGCAATGCAATCAACAGGAGCGGGCGGAGCACAGACTCCGTATCTTGTCATGTTAGAGTACTCAAACTGTCCCCGGGCACACAGGCTACTAACGATTTTAAAACAGGGGTGCGAACGCAGTTCTCGGAGTTATGATGGTCATCACTTGTTCTCTTGGAAGTGTGGTCGCGAACAGGATCGGTTTGAAGAATGCGTTGATCTTTGGCACCACGGGCTAGTAAGTACATAATTTGAGCCAGGAATCTTGAAAACCAGGACTAATTATTTATTCACAGCTGTATCTACGCTGCAGCTTTGTATACCAATAATCGCTACGGGACAGAGTGGTTTGTCTATTTCGGAGCTGCCGCTTGCGGTATCACTGCTGGTATTTTCTGGGCCGCAGAAGGTGCCATCATGATCAGCTGTGCGTAGTCTTGTCGAAAATAGTAGCAACACTGGTACTGACCTTTCTAGATCCTGTCGACTCTCAAAGAGGCCGATATTTGGCCTACTGGCTTGCATACCGTAATGTAATTATATGACTGAGATTTCCTTCTGCGTTCCATACCTTAACATTTGACAATAGGGTGGTTCCATCGTTGGTGGCATCATCAACCTCGCTTTCAGTCAGTTATCGAACCCTCCTCTAATAAATTTGAGAGACGAAAACTAACAAATCCAATGTTACAGATTACACTGGGAAAGCGACTGGAAAGCTCGACTGGAGAACATATCTCGTTTTTGTTGCTCTTCGTAAGCTTTGCGATCAAGCAAGTTGATACTTCTTTGCTTACGTTGACATAGAATGTATTACCCCCTTCGTGGCACTTCTCTTGTCACCGGCAGACAAGGTTCAGCGAAGTGACGGAAAAGCTGTCGAAACCGCCGAAAGAATCCATACCCTGGAAGAGCTGAAGGAAGTTGGCAAAATTCTTGTCCGAAAGGATTTCCTCCTAGTGTAAGCCGATATGAGTGGACTTCGTTCATCACCCCTTTTTTTCTCTAGCTGACCTTACATTCACAGTGTTCCCTTTTTCTTCTACGCCACATTCCTCTTGTCTTATGCTGGATCTTTTCTGTCCCTTTACTTCAGCGTTAGATCGCGAGCGTTAGCTTCCCTTGTGTCTGCTCTAGCTCAGATAGCGGCCAACATCTTGTTCGGAAGCTTCCTTGATTGGAAACGCTTCTCGTTGCGACAACGCGCTATAATTGCATACGTCTTCATGATGACGCTTTTTGGCGGTACCTGGGTGTGGGGAGCAGTTGTGCAGCATGAGTACGGCCTCAATAAGCCAGCTTTGGACTGGGATGACGCTGGTTTTGGCCGCGGATGGGCGTTGTACATTATCCTGCAGGTGAATTTGTGAGTACATATCCGTCTGCGATTCTCGAGGTTAGCCTAACTGACAACTTTTTACTGCCCTTGCCTACAATTACGGGTACTGGCTGGCGGGATACATGGCAAGGGATCCGGCCGAGATCGTTCGCCTAACCTCGACCGTTCGCGCTGTAGAGGCAGCTGGAGGAGCTGTTGCATCGGGAATCAGCTCTACCAAAGCACCCGTAAGAAGAAACCCGTCAGGCTGATGTTTTTTGCCTTGCTAATATGATGACATCAGTTACTTGCAGCGTTGGGTGTAAACTTTGGCCTCTGGGCTGTCGCAGTGATCCCAACATACTTCGTTGTTCGCACCGTCGGGACTGGAAAAGGGTTTGAGAGGACAGAAAGGGCTGATTCAGATGAGACTGATAGCACGAAGTGATTTACGCCCTTGAAAGAAAATGTTAGTAACAGCAACGTGATCGGCTTGGACTGGCACGGCAGAGGTAACTAGACTGATCGTATGCTCAGAGGAGTAGACTAGTGGATATGAATTAGGTGTTTGTTCGGCGGAGGAGTTTGAACACTCTTCTTCATTTCCTGTATCCTTTTGCTCGACAACCTTGGTCTCATTCACGATTAAGATATCACTCGTGACTACCTGAACTGAATAAATTAGTATAACAACTCCCCATTTCAATGTGTAGTGCGGTGTTCAAATCAAGTTCCCGGCATTCATATCACGCCATTATCCATGCTGATCACTAAATGGGTGTCTGAGTGGGTTGCACTGACAAGCTCGATATATCTTGAGACGGCCCTGCTGCTAGAAGCTTACACATTTTCGTCAGCTCCAGTTGGTAGCCCGATATCTGGCAAGGCAGCAATATTCACTACGCCATGTCTGCTGATTGGTATCAACATTTTACTGAGCATGGATATGCTGTTGTACCTTCAGTAATTTCCAAAAAGAAAGCTGAGAAGTATCAGCTTTCCGCATTTAAATGGTTAAAGTCATTCGACAATCCCGAGCTGGACCTCAATATTCCGTCGACATGGACGCCCTCGAACCTGCCTTTCATTTCCGAGATCAACACCTTCAATCACTACGGTGTGGTGCACGAAGATTTTATGTGGGACATACGGCTTGAGCCCGGACTAATTGATATCTTCGCGAGGATTTGGGGCACAGACGAACTGCTTGTGTCCTTCGATGCTCTGAACATTACATTGCCACGCCGCCCAGGGCATGTCCCGCGCAAGAAATGGCCGCATGTCGACCAATCCCCCTTTCGCGAAGGGTTACAATGTGTACAAGGCATTGTGAATCTCTCAAAGGCTGGACCTGATGATGGCGGCCTCACGATATACCCAGGCACACACAAAGTAACCGAAGAGTTCTTCCAGAGCCAAATCGATAGAGCATCTTGGGAGCGGAAAGACTGGTATCGCTATTCGGAAGAGCAACTTGCTTGGTTTGAAGGGAAGGGCTTCAAGGAATATAAAGTAGTGGCGGAGCCGGGAGATCTTATCATATGGGACTCGAGGCTTGTGCATTTCGGGGCTGAGCCGACCGAAAAGAGCTCTGTTATTCGGACAATAACCTATGTATCATACGCACCTTATTCATTTGCATCTGCAGAGGCTTTGGAGGCGAAGAGAAGCGCTTTTAGTCGGTGGTCAGCCACCACACACTGGCCACACGACAACATTAATATTCGATCTAACGAGCCTCTGTATCCGGATGGAAGTGTCGATTCTCGAAGGAAAGAGCCGAAGAATAAGCCGGAGCTGAGTGTCAAGCTCCTTAGACTTGCAGGAGTTGAGCCTTACCCAAGTTCCAAATGATTCGTTTTGAGCTGAGATTAGGACCTACCAAGATTCCGAGAACAGCATTGTCATCTAAAATATCAAGACACCGCTCGCTGCAAGAGTCCGAAACTCTTCCTTTCTGATGCTCACTGTACAATCATTGCCTTTCAGTATGACGGGATGATGAGAGGTCCCTTTGGGTGGCTATATGGGTAAGCGACTAGGGAATATTTACTTTAGCCAGGCTCGGAAATTTGCAATCGCATCGACTGATTTGCATCCACCTCGAACGTGGTTCTATTCTCCACAAGACAAGTAAACCGTTTTGTTGCCACTCAAGTTGTAAGCCGCTAGTAGCATTTGGTATATGTTCTTGGCCAATCATGCGACAAAAGGTTGCATGTTTCTAATTATAGAAACCTCTCAGCTTGAAAAGGCTGTCGCATGTTGCATGACCCCTTCTTCCTGCAGGTACGACTTTATTCAAGAGTGAACGTATGTATCGATCCCGTTCAGGACCTCTCTGTACTCCAATCCAACAATGTATGAAGAATCAAGAAGCTACCATGACATCCAGGGACTTGAAAGACACCTTCCGAGAGGCTTCATACATGTACGTTACGCTTCCTTGGTAATTCCTGAACGACACCACATGCTACTAGCTTCCCAGATAGTGCTCCTTAGGATTCGAAAGCACGTCTGGGCACCATTTGTGGATTCGTCATCTTGCATTCGTTCATGGCTTTGAACCCCAAAAGAGTCTGGTTGCGATCCTGTCAGATACGTTACATGTCTTCGGCTTTTACTACAATAGGCGATCGCCACATTTGCTTCTGTTTAAAAACTAGCGTGGCCTGAGACTGACCTATCGGTAAAGTAATATACAGAGAACGTGACCGGCAACCGCACCTCGTGTAAGTACATCCGCTCGCTTCCTGGACCCACATGTCATGTTAATATCGGCCGGTTCCTCTTCTGGAAGAATGAGGAGATAATATTTGGCAAGAAACTTGGCCTACGTGCATTGCGAGATTACTTCCGCGGAACCGAAGCCCACAAGCTGACACTTATGCATTGGCGTAGGATATGGCCCCTTGTTCTACACGTCCTCGATATGGAAGGTTGCTTGTCATTTCTTTCCACTCGATAAGCCGCCTTTCCTTTCGAGTCAAGTAATTGTGGACTTAACCGTATGGATTGGACGGGATCGCCACATGGGCACGTGGAGAGAATGGATGGGCGTTTTATATAAAGCACCCGCCTTCCCTCAACACCATGGCCTGAGCGTCGATGCATCTGTGACCCCTCCTTCAGAGAATATTACGAGATGCTGTCTCCAATTTCTTTCCTGAGGCGGCATTACGCCACATGCCTCTTGGCAACCTCCGCCATTTTAGGCCAGGTTGAGGCCGCCACGAAAATCAAGGGCGGCGCCGACCCCTCCATAATGAAGTATAATGGTTACTACTACTCCGCCGGAACCTGCGGCAGCTCCAGCATTTGCGTCCGGAAGGCTGCCGCCATAGCTGACTTGGGTGGTGATGCTGCGGAGAATAAGTATGTATGGTCTGACAAGAACGGGTTGACCAATATCTGGGCCCCCGAAATCATGATCGATGGGGGAAAGACGTACATCTACTTCACCGGTGGTGCCAGCGACGCACATCGGATGTATTACATCAGCAAGTGCTTTTCTGTGCCTTGAATGCCAGATTTTATTCTAATTCGTGTGGATAGGTGCCGACTCGCCGCACGGCACGTACTCGTCCGAGACGAAGATCAACCTGCCAGGAGACGGGCCTGCCATTGACGGCATTGTCTTCACATTCGAAGGCCAACGCTGGATGGTATGGTCCGGCTGGACTGCTGGAGGTGATGGGATGCAAACCCTTTACATCTGCAAGATGAGCAGCCCGACGACTGCAACTGGAGGGCGCTACGTCATCTCTCAACCCAAGGAACCGTGGGAACAGACAGTCGGAAAGGTCAACGAAGCACCTACAGCAATCGTCGATCCGAATGGCCAGCTGCACATCGTCTACTCTGCTAATGGTAGTTGGAGCGACAAGTATTGCCTGGGTGAAATCCGCCTCAAGAAGGGCGGTGACCCTACCTACGTTTGGGATTGGTACAAGTCTAACGGATGCCTTTTCGGTTCGAACCAAGCCGACATGATGAAGGGTTGGGATGCTACCCTCTCTATCAATGGGCCTGGTTCCCACACATTCCAACTCGACAGTGGCGATGTCCGTAAGAGTCCAGGTGGCTCCAACCGGATCCCATTTGTCTTCCACGGAGTACCGAAGGGCACGAGCTATTCATGGGGTGCTAGAAACTGGTACACTGGCAGCTTCGTGTGGTGGGGCAGCGTGAAGTACCACCGTGCCAATGTCCCTGGTGACAACGACAACGTTGGCTATGGCTTCAAGTTCTTTGAATAAACGCTTACAATCTAGCACGAATTAGAACAGTTTTATCAATGACAATACTGAAGATACATCTCCGTGCCCCCACACGTTAGACATGGTCACTAGGCGCAGTAAGCTGGCGTGATGAGTTTTACTGAACTAGGTAGACATTGAATTTGAGACACTCAAGCATTGTCCTGCTATTTACGGATCTACGGCCACTATTTTTAGATGATCAAGGGAATGTCTAAGAACCATACAATGAATCATGTCACTTTATGTCGGGTATACCGCTGATTTTAGCCATAGTAGAAAGTGGTCTGCTTATAAACCACCCTTTGGCTTGCCAACTGACCTAGTTTGAGGAGACTAGGAAAGACATCCTTCGTATCATAGTTTTCTCTGTATGATACAATATAAAGGTCACATTTATTACTTGTGCAACTAATATTTGCTGCATGGCGCTTTAGAACTACACGATCATAGACAGAATTGGGTTGAACTCGTGCGTACTGGCTTCAAGCAGCACTTCCCCCCGAATGACCGCTTTTATGTGCTCGGACCGCAACTTTTGAAAGTATGGCTTATAACAAAGATAAGGTGGTTTCTTATTCTGTAATAGTAATACGGGTGAGAGAGTTCGATTATAAAGTTGAACAACAATAGAAGATGCCGGAGCCCGACATCTCAACACAACGAATGTGATGATAGTAATATACATAAAGTTCTATTGAAAATGCTACACTGCTAAGCAAAACAGGCTAATTTCAGTTTCAAGTTGCGAAGTCACACCCCTTCCAATGGCCACTTAGCTGAGCTAGCATATGCTAAATAACTGAACTTCATGTATCCGAAGCTAATTCCACCTTTCAGCATTCTAGCAATCGACTTGCTATATCCTAGATACACGAACCAGAATCAACTGCTTCATTTAAGGGCTTATTGACGGATATACTTGTCCAACTTTATATAAAAACCTTCCTGGGGACTGAGAGGATTATCAGTATACTGCTCGTCCACGCCAGTCTCATTCACTTTAGGCCTAGATGCGGTGCTCAAGTCCCCATTTCCGCCGTCGCTAGACTTCTTCCGTTTTTTTTTTCACTTTGGCTCCTGTGGTAGAGATGCGAGAATAGCGAATCTTAAGGGCGGAAAGTTAACGTGGCTTGTAAATATTAGGGGCGCAACTACTTCCCGAGCCTGGTAACCCTCTCTAAGTTGACTTCTTATCTGGCCACTCAATAAGATCGACTAAAATGCTTCGTTACTTGGTTACTTATTGAGTGACCTCAAAGTCCTTCTGGAGTCTTTGGGGGGATGGCTATACATGGATTTGCTGGTCTTACATTACTACTCAGCACTATTTTATGAACGAGAGGGAATCATCTCGAAAGTGTGTAACAATTTATACGTATTTGAAATATTGAGATGCTAAAAGGCCCCCGGCTGTCGGTGATTCCGTTGAGCCCTGAAGATTTGTGGATGAGCCATTTGACACTTTTTGTGGGAACTACCGGGAATGGGGATGCGCATGAAACGGTTACAATGCCCTTCCTTGTCATATGGGTCCTAAATCTAATAGTCAATGGCTGCTATCTGCAATGACTGTGCTTATGTGGATCTTGGGCCAGCTCACATCTGAAAAGTTTGCGGCAGGATTCTGTCCTCTTTTACCCCTCCAAGGCCAACCTATCAAACACCGATCATTCCAGCCATTGAGCCAGTACAGCCACAATGCCTCCCAAGAAGATCGAAGTCGTCAAGGACAATGTTGTTGCCTTTGGCAGGGTCCGCAAGAACCTCAAGATGGGGTGTGTTGGCCTGCCAAACGTGGGAAAGTCGAGCTTGTTCAATCTCTTGACAGAGCAGAGCGCCGCCGCAGAAAACTACCCCTTCTGCACCATCGAGCCCAATGAGGCCCGATGCGCTGTTCCCGACGAAAGATATGTGAGTTAAAACGCTCTGTATCGAGTCCATAGGGCTTTGTGCTCTCTGCTCATGCTCGAGACCAACCCACCGCTAAAATCAGCGCGCTTTAGAACTTTCTGTGCGACCTCTGGAAACCGCCGTCCACGTACCCGGCTTACCTGCAAGTCACAGATATCGCCGGTCTCATTCGAGGTGCCTCTCAGGGAGAGGGACTTGGAAATGCCTTCTTGTCTCACATCCAGGCCGTTGATGGCATGTTTCACATCGTCAGGTATGATGAGAGGAGTGAAATAGCCTTAATCTGACCGTAATTAACACTCCAATAGAGCTTTCGATAATCACGAAGTCCTGCATGTCGATGACTCTATTGATCCCGTCCGCGACTTGAGTGAGTTCACCTGGCTTCTCTCAGAGAACATATCTAATCAATTCAACCTTCAGATACGATTCAAAGCGAGCTTTGCAAGAAAGATCTTGGTTAGTAGTGTGGCATGAACTTGCTCGACTTTCGCTAATTTTGTCTAGATATTCTTGACAAGGCAATTGTCGCCGAGGAACTTATTGTCAGAAAGGCAGGTGGCAAGTACAAGATGCTGCCACTCTTTACCGAGACAACGACTAAGATCCGGGCAGTAAGTGATATTTTCCAAATACTCCAGTAATAATGAGTACTTACCGCCGCAAATAGATGTTGGAGAAGGACCAGCCAGTCAGAGATGGAAGCTGGACACCCGCTGAGATTGCTCTCATCAACGAGAAGCTACAGTTGATCACTACAAAGCCGACCATCTATCTTGTCAACTTGACGATGAAGGATTACCTCAGGCAGAAGAGCAAGTATCTCCCTCTTATTGCTAAGTGGGTAACTGAGCACGGAGGTGTTCCCCGAGACATTATCCCATTTTCCATCGAGTTTGAAGAAAAGGTCTACAGCATGAAAGATGACCCAGCCGCACAGGCACAGTTCCTTGAGGAGAACAAGGTCAAGTCAAAGTTGGACAAGATCATCACTGAGGGATTTAATAAGCTTGGCTTGCAATACTACTTCACTGGTTCGTATATCTTGTAATCTGGAATTGATATCTTCCCCCTGCTAACATGTCTATAGCTGGCGAGAAGGAGGTCAGGTGCTGGACTATTCCCAAAGGATACCTTGCACCCCAAGCTGCCGGAGCTATTCATAGCGATTTCGAAAGGGGTTTCATCAAAGCGGAGGTCGTCGCCTACCAGGATTTCCACGATCTATGCGAAGGCGCCAAATCCATGGCTCCCATCAAGGCTGCGGGCAAATATCGCCAAGAGGGAAAGACCTATGTAAGTATTTCACAGCCCCATCAAATGTCGCGGTGGTTAACCACTGTCTCTAGGTTGTCCAAGATGGAGATATCATCCACTTCCAATTCAGTAAGTCACAAAGGTTCAAGGCCCCATTTAGTCTCGATCGAAGAACTGACAAGCCCTTTCTAGACGTTTCAAACAAGAAATAGAGATTATAGATTGTGGCGCCTACATTGACTTTCCAGTGTCTCTGAATTTCCTAAGATGCGATGACATTCATAGATAGATGAGCGGCAACAATTGTTAGGGTGGATTTGTTTCTGATTTTGAACATTATTGTTAAGCATGGTGCCATTTCTGTGGCCTACCACCATCTTGCTCTAGTCTCACGCCCGAATAGAGTTGTTTTCTTATGTATCTTCAAGCATCCTCATTATCGACTGATTTTTGTTAAACCAGTCCCAGAGCTGGGCTCCCGAAGGATCCATTTCCATGTCCACATCTCCAATACCAGGATTATGCAAGGACAGAGGATCGACCATCGCCAACAGTTCCGGCCTATCTCTGTGGCCAACATCTTCAACCATCATGCTTCCAGAATGAGCATGTGAGGATACAGCCATTGGCACATTTTGTACCACTGCACTGGGGACTATCGAGCCAAGGCCAATGGCGGCCGAGGCCGTGCCAGCGAACCCAGTGGCGTATTCTTGCTGGACTGCTGACCACGGAATTTCTACTTGGCCAGTGCTGTTCTCACGGGATTTAACCTCGATGTACTTACACGCGACGTCATATAATGCCCTGAAGAGACTGCGCTGCTTGCTGAATGTGCTTTGTGCGTGGGAGTTTGATATAGAATCAAGTGTCTCAACGAGGGCTCCCAAGTGCTTGAGATCCGAGGCCTGGGAAGTCTCAACAACGTAGCAGAATATGATAATGAAGGGTATGAACGGAGATCGAATAATGTACCTGCATCCTCAAGTTAGTCTCCGTCAAGAACAGTGTCCCCACCGGGTTGTTGAAGACGTACCAGTTGATGTATGTTTCAAGGAACACCGGCTTTCCCTGTGACTTGTTTATAACACCGACGCATCTTTCATGCTCTTGAAGCGTATCTCTCGCGTATCCGATACACTCGTCACAAAATTCTGACGTGGATGGTTCCTCCGGAGTAATGCTGCGGTAAATGAGGGTAAGAAAGCAAAGACCCATCACCCGGTCGGAACGCCGTGCTATTTCGTGATAGTCCAACCCAAGTATGTGCCCCTTTGACGCCGTATATTGCTCCTATAAGGAATTAGTCAAGACTTTTTGGGTCAATTGAAAGAATCTCCGTGTTATAGTTCTCGTAAAAAAAAGTAGTTAAAACTTACATGAACCTGTTGTGCACGCTGCATAAGAACTTTCAACTCCTCCGCAAGAGCTCGGGCACGGGACGTTCTAACATGTGCTGGTTGCATCAAGGCTCCTGGGCTATATATTTCGTCATAGATCTGACCCTGAATACTAGCCATGCTGACCCACGCCGGGGCGAGTACTGCCAAGAACGCATCACCAGGACGCGATTGAACAGGACGAGCGAGAGTAATATCCTGATCTCGGAAGTTCGAGGCACGGCCTAACCGCAAAGATAACGTCTTCTCGGCTGAATAGATTGTCCAGAACATATCTCTCCTGCGTTCCTTATCCTCTGGCCCCTCCGGGCTCATAGGCAGTTTATGATGCTGCAGGCCAAGAGCGTGGATGGTGTGTGCAGCAAAACTGAGGAAACTCCACGCCGCGGATATCTTGCTCTTCTGAAGGCAATACATGGACTAAGGGAAAATGTGATTAAATGAAATTCATTGTATGCTTGATCATTTTCCACGTAAAAAAATACATAGATAACTTACCGCAAAACCCATAGCATAGGCAAGGTCCATTGTCGTTGGGTGATGGAAATGGAAATTAACAAGAACGGTCTCAAGGTTGGCTTGGCATAATGAAGCCTGTGCATCATAATCTTTCATTGCTTCCTGGCCTGAAACTGCTCTGGAACATTCGCAAAAGAGCCAGTAAAGGCCGCAATGCACAATTATCAAGTCAGCTTCAGAAGCTGGGCCTGGCGATACGATCTTGATAAAATAGTCGTGGAACTGGGAAGGCTTCATAAAGTGCCCCAGCCATAACGTGGCCACTTGCGGACAGTCCTTGGCCATGCGTAAGCATGCAAAGACCTTCTCAATAAGCGGTAGCGGAAGGTTACGGATTGATGAACCAGGTGAGATTGTGCGCGCGTGAGAATACACTTTATCAAGGGTGTCAAATTGTTGGTTTCCAGAGTGTACAGCAGATCTCAGCCCCTCGAGGGCGGCTTCCATGTCGCGTGAAACATCGGGATTTTGTGAGTTGTTGATGAAGTTTTGCAGGAAACGGCTGGCAAAAACTGCGTGAGCAAAAAGTGAAGACTCTCCTTCGTACTCCCCCTTAGAGGAGTTGTTTGGATCCTTTCCCTGGCTATCATTAGTGATTGGATGTTCCAGCACTCCTGTGTTTGGTGTTGAGATCGCGGAGGAGGAAGATGGAGTGATCCCGAAGGAAGAGGATGAAGAGAACTGGTCTTGGTTCTCGGGAAGAATGGAGGCTCCAGGTCGGTGAGTCTCGTGACTCAACTGGCTCATCTGCTGGCTGAGCTGGTCGATTTTCCTCGATATTGAATCCAATTTGGAGTCACTAAACACAATATTAATCTCGCATTCTCCCTTGTTAGAGATGATGTTGAGCTCCTTACTATGTGTTTGAGACCATTACTCTCTGTCGCCTCTCCCTCGGCTTGGGTCCGCTTGCGTACGAGCATTCTACCCCGACTTTCACACAGTGGGCACACGGGGTCGAGCGGTCACATTTTATCTGATTAAGAGGTCAAAACCCGATATTGAATGACTTGGAGTGTTCAGGGTGTGTTGTCTGCTTTACCTTGCGCTGGCGACAACGAAAGCACTGTTTACCGAAGTTTGTCAGCTAAATATCGTCCTTTCGCACTAGAGCGCCTCTGTAAACTCACTGCCAGTTTCTCATTTGTTGCCGGACTCTGCACGTCATCCTCTTCAGGCCGGACTGACAAGGCATCTGGTGCGTCCATCGATACTGGTTCTTACGGGCAGAGACGTGCCGCTTGGTGCATATGCGTCACGTTTTCCGCGTCTTTCGATTGGCTCCTCTTGATCTGCACTTCTCGCAGGCGATGACGGGGAATCAAGAATGTGACTCTATAACGGGAAGATTCAACGGAGGCAAAACGAACATGGAGGTCCGAAGCTTCGTCATGGGCTCGCGAAAATCTCGGAGCTTCGGCGCCACAGTCGTAAAGGCTTGGCACGCAGGTGACATAAAACAAGGGGCAGAAGGAAATAACAAGCTGATGTTTCGGGGCAGTATCATGAAGTCACACAATATGAACAAAGTTGCAAGGTATTTCCAAAGAGAGACGCCATATAGCTACTTCTCAGTGTAATTATATCTTTACTTAAAAAGTAACAGGGCCGCAACCCAATCCCAGAAGTGAATAATGCGCCTTGGTGAGTGTGGTTTATGTCCCCCCTTTAACTGGCGGAGCTTCGGAGGCTCCGCTCTCCGCCTGCGTATCCGATACGCTCGAGGGGCGCTCTATTATTCGAATAGGCTAGGGCTCTCCCTGGCGGACATGATATCCTCCAAGCCTCCGAGGAATAGCATATCGAAGATGATACTTCCGCGTTCATGTTTCCCCTGACGTCCAAGCTCGGGTGGCTGAGATCCGATCGACAGGCAGCCATTTAGGGGTTCTCGATCTTGCCATACATAAGTCAAGTTTGTCTCTCCTCATAATCCTAACTACTAATTCTTTCTCTCCCAAAACACACAAACTAAATACTTGCAAGGTCGACATCTTGCGTCCACTCGTTCTTTTTTTCCTTTGCACACGTCATCATACTGCCAACAAAATGGCGTCCCACGAGAGCGCGAGGGAGTCCGAGAAAGCTGTTGGAGTAGTCAATGAGGACCAACTTCCAATCATTTCCCCAAAGTCAGACGACGACTCTGCTCAAGCGACAAAGGAAAAGAATCCTTTCTTCGTAAGTCCGGTCTGAAGCCTGCGCCCTGCGTGGCCGCTTGTTAACCAACGGTGTACTCTAGCGGGTTTTCACTTTCGGTAACACTAGACTCTACCTCCTGGAAGCCATTGCCATCATAGCGGCTATTGGATCTGGTGTTGCTCTCGCCATGGTCAATTTGGTAATGGGGCAATTCTTGACACTGCTCAGCGACTTCAGCTTCTCTGAAGGAGGTTCGATGCCGAGTGACTTCATGTCCGCTGTGCAATCGTCAGCGTAAGCTTGTTAATCTCAGACACGTGAGAATTTCAGATCACTGTGCTAACATGAGATTAGTCTCAAGTTTGTTTATATCGGTATCGCTCGCCTGGTCGCTACATACATCTACGCATCTCTTTTCACCTACGCCGCATACTTCCTAACCCGCAACCTCCGTCGCAGCTATCTTCGGGCTGCCCTTGGACAAGATGTCGCCTTCTACGATAAAGATATCTCTGGATCTATATCACAGCAAGCTACTACCAATGGTAAACTGATACAATCTGGCATCGGAGAGAAGCTCGGCATCGTCATCCAGGCACTGTCTACCTTCGTTACGGCATTTATCATTGCATTTGTCGCGCAATGGAAGCTCACGCTGATTCTCATTTTCATGGTACCGACTATGCTAATTGTATTGGGTGCCGCTGGCGGTATTGATGTTAAAATTGAGACCGGCATCCTACAGGTTTACGCCCAAGCCAGCAGCTATGCAGAAAATATCCTTGGGGGGGTTCGTACGCTCCAGGCGTTCAGCCTTCGTCCAAGGGTTATGGCCAAGTATGATTCCTATCTCCAAGATGCCTACAACAGAGGAATCAAGAAAAATAAGCTCTACGGCATCGTGTTTGGAGGGCAGTATTTTGTGATATACGCCGGCATGGGCCTAGCCTTCTGGCAGGGCGTCGCTATGATCGACCGTGGCGAGGTTTCTGACCTAGGAACAGTATTTATGTTAGTATCTATCCTCTCGCGTTCCAGAAAACGCTGTTGTTCCATCTCAACTATAACTATGAAACTGACTACAATTCCAGTGTTCTATTCTCTGTCATTATGGCTGCCAGTACAGTAATGCAAGTCATGCCGAATCTGGTCACGTTTAGTCGTGCAACAACGGCAGCGTCGGAAATGTTCACTCTCATTGACAGGAAATCTGAGATCGACCCCTTTCAAGACTCAGGATACAAGCCCGATGATGTCTCCGGGTCTATCCGTTTGGAAAGCATCAATTTTAGCTACCCAACACGCCCAGATGTCACAATTTTGGACGATTTTACGCTGGATATCCCTGCAGGGAAAGTAACGGCATTTGTGGTGCGTAACAATTTTTCCATACCTCTAGACGCGGCACCAGACTAATCTTGATGAAAGGGGCCGTCTGGATCGGGGAAGAGCACGATTATCGGTCTGATCGAGCGGTGGTACAATCCCTGCGGAGGGCTCATCACTTTGGATGACAAGAATATCAACCAGTTCAACCTCAAATGGTTGCGGACCAACGTTCGTCTGGTGCAACAGGTGAGGAATGACATACTCTACAGAATCTAAATGAACCCGTCTGACGACTCTAGGAACCTGTTCTTTTCAACGAAAGCGTTTTCGATAACATTGCCAACGGACTTATTGGCACTCCGTGGGAGGCAGCCTCGGAAGAAGAGAAGATGCGGCATGTACAAGAGGCTGCGGAGCTTGCATTTGCCCATAACTTCATCAAAGGCCTGCCACAAGGATACCATACACGTGTCGGTGAAAGAGGCGGACTGCTCTCAGGTGGGCAAAAGCAGCGAATTGCCATTGCCCGCAGTATCATATCGAAGCCAAAGATCCTGCTACTTGACGAGGCAACCAGCGCACTGGACTCGAATTCCGAGACCATTGTGCAGAGGGCCCTTGACAATGCTTCTAAGAACCGGACGACCATCGTGATCGCGCATAAACTCTCAACAATTCGCAATGCCGACAACATCGTGGTTATGACCAAGGGTAAGATTGCGGAACAGGGTAATCATGAACAGCTTCTCTCTCAGAAGGGCGTTTACGCCACTCTTGTCCGCGCTCAGGACCTTGCACCAACTGGCTTCGAAAAGAGCCAGGAATATAGCTCAGAAGACGCAGGCACGCCCGGTGAGGTTCCGGAAGATGAACTCGACATGCATCAAGTTCAGACCAACTTCGACACTAAAGTGACACAGGACCTACAATTGATGGCACTCAAGGACCGAGAGGACTACGACCTATACAAGCAAGCAGGGATTGTTGTTAATGTCTGGAAGCTATTGAGAGGCACGCCCGAAATATGGCTTTGGTTTGGCATCACAATTGCCACCTGTATTGGAGGAGGTGAGTTATTTTTATCGATTATGAGCACTTTCTGGGTCCAGTCATCGCGAGAGGCAGCTTTGATACGCGTGCTAACAAATCACTTGCAGCCGCTGTGAACCCCGGGCAAGCCCTCTTATTAGGCAACGTGATGAGTGTATTTACCTCTCCGGATATAGTCAGTCGTGGCAACTTCATAGCCTTGATGTTCTTCATCATGTCGCTCGGTGTTCTTATTGTCTACTTCATTATGGGCTGGTGCACGAATACCATTGCACAGGTGAGAGCTCATGCCATTCATCTATATCCACAACCGCGTTCGCATGATTCTAACCACATTCTATTCCACCATAGACTCTTAGTAGAAAACTACGGAGGGAAATATTGGAATCATTCCTGCGACAGGACCTCCGGTTTTTCGACCGCCCCGAAAACACTGTGGGTGCGCTTATCAGCAAGCTTGATTCCTATCCGCAGGCAATCTTAGAGCTGATGGGATTCGCCGTCGGTATCATCCTGATGTCTGTCTTCAACGTTCTTGCGTCCAGCGTCCTTGCGATTGCAGTCTCCTGGAAGTTGGGGCTCGTCGGTGTCTTCGTTGGGCTACCGCCTATGATGATAGGCGGCTACGCACGTGTGAAGCTCGAAACAACGATGGATGACGAGCTAGGCCGGAGATTGGCTACGAGCGCCTCTGTTGCTTCAGAGGCTGTCCTCGCTATCCGAACCGTGTCTTCACTGGCTATAGAGAACACCATGTTAAGGAAGTATGCTGACGAGCTCGACCTCGCAATTGCACAGACGACCGGGCCAATGTTCCATATGATGGCCTGGTTCTCTCTCACGCAGTCTGTCGAGTACTTCATTCTGGCCTTGGGTTTCTGGTAAGCCCTTGATCTTCCTCTTCAAAGTTTTGTGAATAGTCTAAGCTAAATATTCTTCAAATAGGTGGGGATCTAAGCTGATTGTTGACGGCGAAATTACTTTCTATCAGTTCATTGTATCTTTCATGGGTGTTTATTTCTCCGGCCAAGCTACTGCATTGGCATTTAGTTTTGTCAGCAGTGAGTATCAAAAAAAGTCCCGAAATGTTGAAAAAGCAAGTTACTGATAGCCATCAGGTATCACCAAGGCGAACCAAGCCGCCAACTACTACTTCTGGCTTGACGGGCTAGATGGAACCATCCGTGACACGTACGGTAACCGCGACATCGGACCTGAGAACGGAGAATACTCCTATGGCTTCCGAGATGTGAAGTTCGCATACCCCCTAGCACCCGACAATCGTGTTCTCAAAGGCGTGTCCTTCTCGGTGAGTCTTCCGCCCCCAAGACGGAGGTTGCCTCTAGGCTGTGAGAGAGTTTATATATGGGAGAATCTCATGACTCTAAAGTTGAAACGGTTTCATTAATACTCATGTACTAGATAAACAAAGGAGACTTTGTGGCCTTCGTGGGCCCCTCAGGATGTGGTAAGAGCACCATCATATCTCTTCTTGAGCGGTTCTATGACCCAACAAGCGGAACTATAACTGTTGGTTCGTCTCGCCCGTTGTCTTCCATGAACCCACTACTCTATCGAAAGCAAGTCGCCCTCGTTCAACAAGAGCCGACTCTATTCCCCGGAACAATCCGCGAGAATATCTCTCAGGGCTTGCCGGGCTTAGGTGTGGCGGAGGTGGCGTCAAATGACATGCTTGAAGAGGCGTGCCGAGCAGCCAACTCATGGGACTTTGTATCGTCGCTGCCTGATGGCCTCGACACCCAGTGCGGGACGAGTGGCAGCCAGCTCTCTGGCGGTCAACGGCAGCGCATTGCCATCGCCCGGGCGTTGGTACGAAAGCCCAATGTGATTCTCCTTGATGAAGCCACAAGTGCGTTGGACACAGAGTCCGAGAAACTTGTTCAAGGGGCTCTTTCGGAAGCAGCATCATCTGGCGACAAAATCACCATCGCGGTGGCGCACCGCCTCTCCACGGTCCGAAATGCTAACTGCATTTTCGTATTGTACGCTGGTAGGATCGTGGAAGCTGGAACTCACGATGAGTTAGTTGCAAAAGGAGGTATGTACGCCAATATGTGTGAGGGACAGCAGTTGGATGCCCAGATATGATAATAGAGCTTGTGAAGCGACTCGAGATTCTTCGAGACTCGATCGTTCCACCTTATCGTCAATAAGACAGCTGGTGTTGGTTAATAATTAGGTGGTTAAGCAGATGGATTACTCAAGGTGCGATATAGAATGTATTCAACATAGAAGAAGATTTGTCATTTTATTTATTATTTATTAGTCTAAACAAATATATATAGAGCTCGTTTGTTATCTCTACCGTCTCAGGGATTAACTGCTCAATCGTTTAACATTTTTCGGCTCATGTAGCTTTTTACATTGGTTGTAGCATCGCTCGACGAGTGTTGCAGCTAATGCATTCGTTGTTCGTTCAGCATAGAACTGATATCACAATAGAATCAGTATAAATTTATCTTAGGCTAGTTTTCATGCCCTAGTCATTTGCCCAGCTTAGAAAGGTGCGTGGTAAGGAGAAGCTTCCAAGGGTTTATCGTATCTAATAATTACTTGACCAGTGTTCATGCTCAGACCTTCGGGCCGGTTTAATGGAAGCTTTCTATCGCTATCCAAACATCATAGGGCATTGGAAGAGATACCACAACCAGTACGTCAAATACGCTTCTAATATGGCCCGTTGAAACTACTTTCCACTCCCTCAGTCAGAACTCAATCAAGGTTCCAACCCCAGTCACCGCGTACTGCAGCACTATCGCATGATTCGTATATTAGACTGTAAATTTTTGTCCAAAGTACTTCCTTCTGTGTGGAGACGCACGCCATTTCGTCAACAGCAGTTGGCTCTGAAAAGTAAGGAAGAAACGCCTCGCATAGGGGGAAAATGCCTCAATATGCATGTTAGGCGGCTGATTCATGCATCTTACCTAGCCCACGACCTGCTTTGCTGCGCGGAATACCTACAGCAATGTGGGCAGGGTTGCAGTAAAGGATTCAATATATTATCTACGCCTCTGGCACTTCGCCGACCTGAGCACAGGGAACGACCTGTACGCCAATTGTACGAAATACGGTTAAAAATAGGCCGACGCCCGCTATAACTTCATATAGATTAATTGATAAACGCCGATGTTGCAAGCATATGCAACCTTCCTCTAGGATTCTGTCGCCGTTGCATTCTAGGTATGCATTGCAGGTAGAATGTGCATCCAGTTGGTGGAAATATGCAAGCAATGTCGTGTTTTTCCGCTCGCCGTTTAACCAAAGTGCTTTAAAAGAATGTCACGATCCATGCTTGGCCCAATTCTGAAAGGTTAGCCTTTACCATCGTATTGGACCAGATCTCAAATTCGAATCACAGGCCAGTCCAAAAATGACCACCATAACAATAACCAAGGAGACACTCATGGCTCTCCCGCCAGAGTATATGGCTCACGATACAAGTCACAGACTCCAACACACTGGGATCGCCCTAATGGTTATTGTTAATTGTTTTTACATTCTATTCAATGTTTCTAGAATGTTTTTCGCTGAGCGGAATGGCTGGGAAATATGGACCGTTTACCCCATGTCCTACTGCTGTTGTCTATCGCTGGCGATCCTGTGTCACTGTGAGTTTCTCTCCTACCTTAAGATCCGTCCTGATTGATCGCATTTCTATGGAATACGCTGACTTCCCGCACTTGATAGTCTTTGCCACAGACGGCGGTGCAGGCAGACACGCGGCTTATTGGTTGCTTCACAACCCAGCCACAATCACAAAATTTCTGAAGTATCAGACCGCGAGCCAGTTTATATACATGGTAGGCATCACTTTACCAAAAGTGGCGCTTTTGATACTGTATCTCAAAGTCTTTGCAGACCGCAAAGTGATCATTGCCACCTGGGTTGTCATGGGTCTCCTCATCGGCCTCTGTTTCAGTAGCGTGGTTGCACTGTTCGCCATATGCCAGCCATTTGCTTATAACTGGAACAAGTCCATCCAAGGGGGCCATTGTGGCAACTTTATGGCTGCGTACAAGTATATCAGCATCCCCAACATCGTGTCGGATGTGGCGATTCTGCTCTTACCCATACCGAATCTCTGGTCTTTGAATATGAGCAGGTGGAAAAAAGCCGGTGTCTTTGCGACTTTCGCAGTGGGAGGTTTGTAAGTTTATTTTGATTCTGTTCACCTCGAAATATCAATTATTGTTCGATCTTGAACTAATGTACACGATGTCGGTTTAGGGGTATCATCACCTCCATCATCCGCTTTGTTGGCTTCTACCGGACCAACGTGGGTACGGATGTCACAAATAACGGTGGCACGACCGTGATTTACACCGCACTTGAGGTGGCCGCCTATTTCATTTGCTCCTGTCTTCCTGGAACGCGCCCGCTGGCACGGGCTATATACCAGGGAGCAGGCCTGGGCACGTATATTAACAGCCATTTCGGAACCTGGGATAAAAGCAAAGGTAGTTCATCCCATGCGACGTCAGGCAACAGCCGCTCAAATGACATCGCCCTTAATAACTTGAAGGGGAGACATAAGACCTCAGTTTCGACATCTATGATGAGTGGGCCGAATCAAAACCAGGAAGAATATGATGGCCGGGCTTTTATCCGCCTGGAGGAGTCTGTCCATGTCGATTTCTCTTCGGTTCGCAGTTCTAATAGAGGGTCATCCGAGGGAATCATGCGATGATACGGCTCAATAGATAAGGACTCTGTTTTCTCTTTCACACCTTACGATAGATGTCAATGAACTCATTGCCTTATACCCGCAGTATTTCTCACTTTTTTAAAGAAAAAAGATCTACGAGTGGAAGGAATTAATAACCAGCCCATATTTTATCTTCTTAGATGGTTTGTAGGATTCATTCTCGACAGTAAATAAGACATGACAGATGATGTAAACTACAAACACACACATTTATATTAGTGCTATGAAGTCGATCGCGAAGGTCAAACCATCCAGTGGTTTAACCATATCTCTTGTCTATATTCTAGATGCACAACTCAAGAACGTCCAAAGTAACCTGTTTCCAGGTTTGCCTTCTTTTCCTGTTCGCCGTTGCCATTTCCTTTCCCAGTACACCATTCTTCAAATGGTGTTGCCAGCGCTGCTGGCCAGACCAGTAGCTGAGCTGTATGCCTTAGCAGAGGCAACCTTAGATCCAGAGAAGCTGGAGAGGAAGCTGGAGTCAGTTCCGCTCCATTTGCCGGAGCTACTGTAACCGTTGGCCTGGCAAGATCGACCCAGACCACTGGAGCAGGCGGAGCCGTTGCTATCAGCGACGAAAAGCTGGCCGTTCGAGCCTTCAACGATGGTATCAACACCCTCGAAGTAGTTACCCTCAGCGAGAACCTGGGTGCCGGAGTCGATCTCGAAGGCGTGGCCCTTGATGTCGCTGAAGTAGTTGTTGACGGCGTGGAGAAGAGTCTTGCCGGTTACCTTGGGGCTTCGGCCCGAGGTGTGGTAGATGTAGTTGTTCTTGAAGGTAACTTGCTGTTGTCGGCGAGATTAGCATCGATCCTTTTCATCCTGACATCGAAAAACTTACATCGCTAGATCCACCGAAGTAAACACCCCAGTAAGCATACGAATCACAGTTGGGGGACCAAGATGTAGTGCCGTCAATCTTGGAGTTGGAGATGGTGACACGGTTGTCCGCGCTTGTGCCCAAGACAATGTGCTGGCGACCGATCAGAGAGGTGGTAACGTGGTCGATCCAAACTAGATCAGCCGAGTTGATGGTGACTCCATCGCCTCCCCAGACGTACTTCGGGTTGAGCTCGGTAATCTTGATGTTCTGGACGATGACGTTCTTCACGCCAGAGATCTTCAAGCCCTTTCCTCGGATAACACCGGAGGAGCCGGAGCCAATGATGGACTTGTTGTTTCCGACCTTGATACCGGACACGCCAGCCTTGTCATAGGTGACGCTAGCCGAGGGCGCAGACGACTGGTAGTTGCTGCACCAGTTGTTCTGGTTGATCGCGAGCTGGCAGGCGCTGCCAGTGCCCCAAGGGGCGCAACCGGTTTCTGTGGCACTTCCCTCAGTACCAGTAAAATCAAACTCCTTATTGAGGACAATGACACGGGCTTGGCTATCGCCAAGATAAGAGACCAGCTCGTCCGTTGTAGCTGGGTAGACGGGAGTGGCGCTGCCACCACCGGTCACAGCGGAGGCGAAACCTTCTGCAGTACCTTGGACGGCATCAGCGGCGACGGCAGTCCGGAGCAGGGTTGCGAGAACGGATGTGAGAGCAAGGGTGGACTTCATGATGCTGGCTGAAAAGAAAATGCCAATACGTATGGTTAGGTGGCGTAGATGCAAGACAAGACGAGGCGAAACTCCAGGTTATCGGCCTATTGAAAAGAATGTAATGGTGTAGAATGAAAGAGATAAGGCGAAGTGGCCACCGAATGAGAAAGTCTTCGGTGCAGCCTTGAGCATTCTATAATGATGGCCGCGCTCAGGGTCCAGCTCAGAACAGGCGGCTACGCGAACACGGGGCATTGTTACAGCTCCCAGGGCGAGTTTCGCTGACGACGACATGCCAGGAGAAAAAACACGGCCCCATTGCCCAATTGTAACAGGTTCCCGGTGATCGATGGAGTAAACTTCATGGTATCCAGGGGTTGATGTTTCATAAGTGCTAGAGCCGCTCCACTACAACTGATTACCAGGAACTAGACGCGCAGGGCATATTCGTAACACGAACTCTCGTTTTAGGCCTCGGAGCCAGATTGTGAAACTCCATGGCCAAGAATGTATACGCCTACCCGGTCACGTGGATCGGGGACATCCCGTGGTAAGCCAACACGATGAGAAATCTCCGATTATTAGGCGATGCCAAGGGCTGGTTTTCAAGTTGAACGGAAATCCGGCATTTTTGTCACGACAAGCCTTTGTTTTATGTTCCCGTCCAGATGTTACTTTATTTCACGCCACGTCGTATCAGATTATTCCGTTGCTGCACGAGAGAGATGGGTCTAACGGAGTGTTTTCTCCTGCCTTCCAACCATGTAAATGTCTCGACAAAACCTCGCCAAGTCTTACATACCCTGTAGTCATTATCTTGAGATGTCCGGTCTAGCCTCTTCCATGGCCAATTTTTACTTTATAGTCGAACTCTCATCAGGGCTCATATACCTAGCGAGTATTGTCCAAATAATGATCAAACTTCAGCGTAAGGTAGGAAGTGATATTGCATAGGAGTAGATTACACGATAAAGCAAGATTCATGGCACCTGTGTTGATGAGGGTTGTTTTCAGAGCAATGGATTATGGAGGCTAGCCATTGGTTTCAATAACTGCTATCAATGAACGAGGCTTCTCTTTCTATTTCGAAAAATACAAAGAGAACCAAAGTTTCCTCCGCCTTCTAATGTGATGGGGAATCTCGCCTATTGTTGTTTTAAATATCTTGCACAGCCTCACAGTAACCCAAATATCAATTTCCCCATTTCCTAATTTGTTTTCTGAATTACAAGACCCCAAGCTCTTGAAAGTGAACGGGAGGTATAGTGAGGCCCTCTGGCCGACCGAGTCGACGATATTTGTCTTCCTGGATCATTTACACAATGCCATACTCACATCAATACCACCCGCCGCTCTCATATTGCAAATAACATTAAATTTCTCCATGCGTATGCTAGTCATCTTCCAGAACAGCCTCAATGATACTCTCTGCAACCAGGTCTCCCCGCCAAATTTTCGACACACGAAGGCCCACACTCTGAAGAAGGTCTGAGAAATCGGCCTCTGTTCTCTCTTGACTCGCCAAACAAGCCATCATGGTGATATCTGAAGTTGCCACTCGAGCTGCCGGCTTCTCGTCGCTCAGCATGCTCTCATGGATTAACAACTTGGAATATCCCTTCTCCATTGCATTGGCAATGTTCGTAAGAAGAGTAATTGCCTGCTCTCCATCCCAATCATGCAAGACGTTGTGCATAAAGTACACACAGGCCCCTTTTGTAGGCTGGGATTCGAAGAAGTCGCACGGTTGCAAGATGATCCCTTCCAGAGTCAAATTGTTCAAGATATTGGGCAGGTCCTGAAGCACCAATCTCCCTGAAGCATCAGGATGGTATTGGAGAAACTTGATCAGATCATGGCCTCTGCTTCCGCCAATGTCAACGACAAGGGGACCGTCGTCCTTGGCTGACTCAAGTATTGTTTTGGTGGGGTATATCTCGGTCCATGGTGTCAGGTTGTTGTGGGAGTGGCTCTTCATCGTGTCGCCAAACGCTTTCCTGAGCTCTGCGTCGGTATCAATGTCTCCGAAGAAGCTGGTGCCAGGACCCTTGAGGAATTGCCAGTTGCAGTCATCGCCGTCGGTGGGGTTTCTGAAACCCGTAGTCTTCAAATGTAGAGGCAAAGACAAAAACATGGGTCCGTTGATTTCTCTGAAGAATGTGCCGTAGATGTTTGACAGTTCTTCATTGGCCCCTAACTCGCGGGCCCATGGTGTTGGAACGTAAACGTCTTTGCTGACCTCAATCACAAGATGATGCCCCGCAATCTGATGCATCATGCGACCTAAAGTTACCCCAAGTTGATCGCAATTAGAACAGCAATTGACAAGTTTTTGCAAGCACACTTACGAAGTAGGACTTCATCGGCTCCAGTAAGGGCAGCCAGCTCAGCACACGACTTTGGCGAGTTGTCTTTTGCCCAGTGCGTGAAGACACCCGCATAATTCAGGCTTCTCACACAAGACTGGGTAACTGGATTCTCCCAGTTGTGGTTCCAGATGGTCTCCCACGGCGTCTGGATTTTGGCTAGAGCCTTGGAAAGCGCATCCCTAAGGCGAGCCCGTTCATGTTCGTTGGGGAATGTGCCAGCGGAAATATTTTCCAGGTCTTCGACAAGACGATCTACAGTAGACATTTTGCATGATGCATGAGAGAGAACTCCAAATGCTGACACCGCGTTCTGCGGTTCGACTTTATACGTGGCGTCTCATCATCCAATCAGGTGGAGACACTTCGTTTGAACTATATAAGAGGAGAATCTCATGAGAGACATGGAATGGAAATTCACTCAATTCGCATCTCGAACATCCTCATGTGAATTTTTCCTAAGATCAGGCCACACTGGTTGCTGCAACCCTTGCGAGTAGAAGGGGCGGTCATGGCCACGCTGGCAGTTGGAGAAAGTAACCCAGGATGTACCCACCACTGCACCTCTGGTTCTATATATGCGTTGTTGATAAGTAAAACATCATTGCCTTTACTCTCACAATTATCATACCTCCTACATTATCAAGATGGCCAGTTCATCATCTCGAGTCATTATATCGAGCCTATCAAAGTAGTCGAAAGGCCACAATGCAAGCCAGGCTTTTGAAAAAAAATTAAATATGGTCCGATCAGGCCCGAGTTTGAAAATTGTCTTGGTACGTGGACCTCGCATCACCGTATAAATTGGGCATGCAATAGAAGGCGTACTATAGTTTAGCGAATGCACAACCGTTGCACTGATCATCTACTTATTGGCCAGGCCGACTAATTTCATGCTCTGGCGCTTCAATCACACCCACCAAAATACAGCGAGGCTTTAGGAAGAACGGAAGAACCGGAAAATGAGTTGGCAGTTGGCCAGTGCAAAGTACCTGTGTGATGTGCTTGGGATGTGGGCAAGTCCTTGGAAGCGCTGGGCCCATAGCGTGCACATTGGAATGTAACAACAGATAGGAGCAGATCACGGTGCCAATCCTATAGGCGCCTGCACATGAAAGAGCGGTAACGAGATCAAACGTTAGCTGAATGCATCATTCATGCAATGGACATCGTTCTCCACCCCTGTCATCCCTAATCCCGAAGTTGTTCATCCAGCGCGTAAGTGGAGTCCGTATCAGTTTCGAAAACGTACTGTTTGAACATACACACGGTCATTCGCCGAAAAAGTCCCTCGGTTCGAAGGTGAGAGATTGAGGTGGACGGAGGTCCGGATTTTAGAAACATGACCCACTGGTCTACCGCCGTGACGGGATGCCATGTAAATAAAATTAGAACGTAATATTAGATGATATAAAGCTGTTCTATATTTTTGATTGCTTCAAATCTCTAGAAGCTAATACGATGAAGTATATCTTCATAGATACTGGATGATGTCTTAATCAACCCGGAGGTTGTTAACGACAGTTCAGACAGAACGAAATAGTTGACCACAAATTAGCTGGTAATTTCGAGGAACCCTGAGACCTCTCAGACCAGCTACAATACCTCGCCAATGTTAATTCTTCTACAGGAGGGACGGAATCGTGCATTGCTAAACGCTTCATATTTTACTTTGTGTTCGGAATATGACAAGCGGCGCTTTGGCGGAGTGGTTAACGCGATGGCCTGCTAAGCCATTTCCTTCGGGAGCGCAAGTTCGAATCTTGCAGGCGTCGATTTTTTGTCCATTTCTTCACTGAATCAGCATTTATCACTTTTTTGATAGATTGAGGGAAGTATGAGTGTTTCCAAAATTTCTGTTTTATGTTTTATCTATATAATACGAGTTATATTGTTTTTAAGCCTTGCGCAATCTTCTGGGACCTTTTGTTGCAGTGACAATCATGTCCATCAGGCCCTTAATAAATACAGCCCTCCGATTGATAGAGCTTGTCCATCGGAAGATTGAAAACCTTATTCATAGGGAAGTATGCAGATAATGCTTAGGGCTCTGAAAGGAGGGCTGAAGCCTTCCATACAGCACAGCCGCTAAGGGAGCAATGTGAAAAGCATGTCAACCGTTGATCATCCATCTGTGGCCTTCCTAACCATGTCAATATTCAGGTAATGACGGTAGAGTGCTAGGTAAATCCCTTTACGAAATAAAAACCTCAACGGCAATATTCGCGCAGTTTGATTACACCTTATACTCGTGGTTGCCAATGCATAGGTGATACAAAAGATTCAGATACATGAGCATTTTTCTCATATGGGCGGAGGGTGGAGAATAGTTTTATGTTTCTCCGTAATAGCCAAACTACAATGTACTATTTGGGATGTTAAAAGGATGTTGGCTATTCTGAGAGAAAGGGTGAGGACCATCTTCGCGTGTCTAAATATAACAACTTCTTACGTCAATTCTTTTTGGAGTCGGCTGGTAGAGGAAACTATCTCTGGTGGTTGACATCGCACTCGATAATGGGCCACTATTCAAGAACCGTGCTTTTCTCCATCAAGTTGAGCCTCCGTTCATAGTTGGGCCCAAAAGGATAGCCAAAAACTATCTCCTAGAGCTGACTTGATGTCAAACTAACACCTTTCCTCTTCAACTCGTTCTTCAAAAACGAAACTTACCTAATCCACCTCTATTTCCGGCTATAGGTGGATTAATGGCGTAGGCAACTTGAGATTTTCCAAAAAGAGTGGTCCGATCAAAGCCATGGGAGAATTTGGGTGGCTTTAGACTATTGTATACATAGACATAATGACATACCGTGTCAATAGTTGCGGGACCAACCAGGGCACCACTGTAGTATGTTCTCCTTCCTTCATATCCCTTTCCTGCTGTTTGGCAGTACACAGATACTCATCGCTGCCAATAGTGGCAATCATCCTCTCCAATAACAGAATACCATCTCTCAGTCAGTTGGCTAGGAGCTTTGATGATGATCATCGTGATAACTTTGCTGTATACTAATAAATCTCTACCAGGGAAAAGAGCGTCTTGCTACAGCTATGGTAAACAAGAATATGACGATAGTAAATCATCCTGCTGCAGTGCTTGTTCTTGAGTGGAAGATATTCATGTTCACCATCACACTATTATCAATTGAATTGTTCGTAAGGGACTTCGAGAACAGATGAGGGTAAGATGCTCCTACGCCGTTCCTAGATTAAAATTTTTTTGCTTTAAGTTGACGCGCTCTTGAAAGCGTATTTGTGCAGTCACAAATAAAGGCTGGGATGGCTATTGACTGGGCAATATGATTCGGGCCTGTATAGGGATAAGGTCTGATCCGAATGAAGATACTTTTCCATAGTGGTGGTAAATCTAACCGATGAAGGTTCTTCGGCCCTCAAGGTTATGGTGCGTAGGAAGAAAATCTAACTTCACCTTGATGTATATGTCTTCTCTACATTCACAGAAAAATGGATCCAAGAACCACTCCTTCACGCTTTTACGCTAGAGGAATGAATATGTTCATCCTAATTTCGCAATCAGATGAGAGAGAATTCTGCGAGTACTTTACTAGTAGTCCAATTATCCAGAAGCCCCTGAACAATGTATTAGTTGTGTTGAGATGTCGGGTCTAGCATCTTTCATTGTTATTCTTACTTTATACTTGACCTCTCTCATCCTGCCCTAAACAATCCGGTTTTGATAATAGTTGGTGTTTCCAGGTTAAGAACTTTGAAAACCCCCTTTTTGGGCTTATGCCGGAGAGAGTTTTGATAGAAAGTTAAAATAAAAGAAGAAGTCAGATCTAACAACTTAACACAATGAATACGAAAGATTAAAAAAAAAAGCTTTGCTAGCCCAAGGCTGCAGTCATACGGCAGAAAATTCCATAAACCTTCATGCCGATGACTCGCTTGCCGTCAGGACGAGCTGCGCGTCGAATGACTACTAAAGCTGCTCTTTTCACCTGGCTTGGAAGAAATCACGGTTCGGAAGATAGCGTTAATAAAAAAGCTTTTAAACCTTTAACACAATGAAAGTTGGGCTTATGCAACAGGTATTGTTAGATTTCCGACTGTACGTGGAGGAGCGAATGGTTCGGAGGATTGATTTGGTCTCGGTTAGTTCCTATTCACCTTTCATAGAGATATTTCATTAACGACCACTTTCAACAACTTGAACACATCGCGGCACTATCATGATATGCTTCCTTCAAATTTTTCGGCTCTGACAGGTTGTATAAATTAGATCATCTATGTCAATTTATTTTCTATATTAACAAGGTGAGAGGCAAATTGCTTGATGATAATGAACCGAAACACGCGGCACAGCCTGCAGCCCCTGAATTTTGCCATGAAGTGAATTTACCAACCGTAACATTATTCTGGGCGTATGAAGCTAGTATTGAGTTGTGTTTTGATTCAAATTAAGCTGTTATATTTGTCGGTAAGGGCCATTTGGTGAAGAACGCACAACGCGAATCCGCCCAGATGATTCGATGCCATGTTACTGAAAGTGCCAAGGAGGTCTCGCTTAGACTTGCATCGAATTTCCATTATTTACTCTAAACCAAATCCCATACTCCACATCAGTTTTCATCAAATTTTGAAAGGTTCTCACAAACCAAAAAAGCTCATTGTAGGCCCTTGTAGGAACGTCTTTCTCCTTGACGAGGCCACAGGACATCGAGATATAATCACAGCACTTCTCTAAGGTGGCCTTGGATCCCTCTATTATATCTACCAAACTCGAAGCTATCCTCATAATTCGTCACTCGAGTGCTCAGGTACTTTACCGCACTATCGTTCCTCATTTCCCATCCTATACCCGTTAGACAGCAGTATCTGATTTGAGCAATCCTTACCCCAACAATAAATCGGTTTCGACATGGTAATCGTCAGCTTATCCAGCGTTTCCTCTCTCTTTCGTTAAAGACCCTGTGATTACTTTAGCTCTCTTTATATCATAACACCATTACATAACGAGGAGTCAAGAGTTAACCGAGAATCTCTATATTGCTATTCTCCTCTCTACCGCCGTACACGAGGCAAAGAAACCCACGATGGAAGAAACAATCCCCTCCAATGACGAGGATGTATAAGCAACCGACGGCGCTTTGGCGGAGTGGTTAACGCGATGGCCTGCTAAGCCATTTCCCTCGGGAGCGCAAGTTCGAATCTTGCAGGCGTCGGTTCTCTCTCTTTTGTCTTCCTCTCTCTTCATTTTTCATTATTTTTGCCCTTTATGTGATTTAAAGTTTGCCATAAATCGATCGATATAAGCACAGAGAGCATTTTCCCCCGACGTTAGCCTGAGGAGGGTGGTGCCAAGCCCAGGGATCCTTTATAACCCAGCCTTACTCGGCCATTAAGCCCTAGATTCCATGAGAACTTGTGCCTGTCTGTTTTTATTCTAATCATCATTATAATTCACATTTTTCCATCACCGCCATACAAGAAAAGCCTTCTTGGTAAGTATGTTCAGAGTGAATTGATCATCCTTGGTACGATGCAGCCTTGGGCAAATTCGGACCGAGTGACGCAGGCTCATATCTCACGGGAAAAGGGTAAGCAAGTTCCTTGGGGTGTTCAAAGACCAAATAATGAGCTTATCAAGCATAGCTGAGTTTCAGCACCCTGTCCAGTAAAATCAAATCAAGTGCTTGGTGCCTCTCAATTATCCAGACAGACAATGTCCCCAAAAATAAGTTCTCGGAGATAGCCTTATTTCTGCCCAGTTCTCTACATGCAGTTGGAGTCACTGCCGGCCCCAATAGTTGAATGGAGGCAAGGTGTATATGAGATACTGTATGATGCGTCCAGTATTCAGTTCTATGCCAATCATGATTTGACCAAAGCCGTATAGAGTACCAGTATTATTCCTTTCATTCGCCAAGCGTACCATCATCAGAAACACTCTTAGTCGCGGGGCTAGTGGCAGCGAATAGGTCTTTATGCATACGAACGTTTGAATCGTCTAATTCCTTGTGAACCTCTCTCTGGATAAGCAATAAACCCACGAACTTAACACACTTGTCGCTGGTGATATAATGCTCACACCACAATAGCTTGCGGTCCAGGTGGTAGCTGTCAATACAATAGGCATGTCCAGGAAATCTAGCATCCTTCTCATTATCTTTTACTAGCCATATGAGAACCCGCCGGCATATATTTTGAAATACATCCCATTATGTGAATCCGTCTCGTTTGTTTGTACCTGATTAAACGTAGGTCTCAGTTCATCAAAAAAAAAAAAGGCATCATAGTCAGAGCATCAGCTGTTGGACTGTAGTGTATCGAGTATATTAACAGTGCGTCGACGCCTCACAGCCATCTCTCATTTGAATCCAGACACATGACTAGAAACTCTGGGTTGTGTTATGTGGTAGGATGAAGGGCAAGTCATCCGGCTGCCTCTGAAAGTCATATCACAATAGGTTCACAAAATGTATACTTGCCCTCTTTTTGTGTAGAACATGGGAACATCAAAGAGCGGTATTGGCGCCGAATTCACAGGACATTTCAGAGCATTATGTGATCAGACTATTGGTGAGTCTACTTGCTGGTTTGAGGTCAAGAACGCGATGACAATCGAATTTTAGCTCTTCTTTCAAACCATCGTTTCTCGTAAGTGTATATAAAGCAGAATCTTGTTTTTTTTTTTATGGAATAGCAGTCACAATCACTAACGATTTTGTTTCTTTAGTGCCCGTATTAGCAGCTTTATTGGCACGCACGCAATGCAAAGCGGATTCTTACATCAGTTCTTCATCAAATTGTCGAAGCCCGCTTCTGAAACGAACGACTCCAGCGTCGGGGATTCGATATTCGTGGAAGAAGAAAAATAGAACGAGAACTGTATTAATCAAGCGGAATGTTTTCATACCAAACTGCGTATATGTGTTTGAGAACAGTTTTGTTGTTGTATTATAGCGTTAGAGAGCCAATCTCCTCTGTTGTCGAGTATAACCTAGGTTTTCTTGGAAAATCCCACGATCTTCAGAGATTGATCATTTACTTCTCAGCCCCGTGAATATAAACTCAGCATACTAATGCCTTCTCTCACAATGCAAAGGCATACACAATGGACAGAGAGTAGGACTGGTACTGCGAAAATGAAAGTTCATTCTTAGGTCTGTAGCACTATGAAGGTAAACAACCCCAACTCCGAGATTTAACCAATTCATCCAGCTGAGCAAGGAAGCGAAGATCGTCTAGGACATGCAGATCAACCTTTGGGATGCAACTCATCGCAAGTCTATGGTGGTCATCTACCCGGAAATAAGTAACTGTCGGCGCTTTGGCGGAGTGGTTAACGCGATGGCCTGCTAAGCCATTTCCTTCGGGAGCGCAAGTTCGAATCTTGCAGGCGTCGAATTTTTTTATATTTTACCCTTTTGCCTTGTTCCTCTCCCTTTTTCCTCATTTTGTTAAGCTCGCTTTTCAATATTGATATAAGCTCTGTGTATATATTGTATTCTTATCTTATAATGCGGCTAAGTATTAACAGAAGATACTGGCTGAGCCTTACCCTATAGATCCATCAATCCAAGCAATTTATTATTTAGTCACTGTCTCCTATTGAGGAATTGATTGCTGCTGTATAAATGGTTTTACTCCAATAAAGGATACCTAGTCTGTGTATCAGAGTAGTAGAATAGTGCCCGATCATTAGAAATGACATCGTTTTTGCGATTGTAGCTTCTCCTGAGGAACACGGCAATCCACCCTAAGTGTCTTAAAATTCCAAGATTTCTGGCAAAGCGAATGTCTCGTCAGTTCGAAAAATGCACTGATTTCTTGTCTCTATTCTACTCTCGTCTCTAAGCGACATGGTTCATCGTTTCAGCAATTACAACATCTATTCACGTAGACAAATAACACATGGCCCTCGCGCTTGGCTGTGGTGATTTCTGCTCAGGTAATTACGGGTTTGTTATCGATTCCAAGTATGGTTAGCCCTGCTTAAGTTACCTAACCTTTCCGTTTTAATCAAGCTCCCACGCGAAAAGGATTCGCGAAGCTGGCCGCTTGCAATGTCGCGTTTGCTGCTGCAAAACAAGACACGTGAAACAGGACACGTATCAGGAACAAAGAGCAAAAAAGGATCGACGCCTGCAAGATTCGAACTTGCGCTCCCGAAGGAAATGGCTTAGCAGGCCATCGCGTTAACCACTCCGCCAAAGCGCCGATGGATGTCCGGCGAGCTTCTGAATCAGCATATGAAGATCTCAAAGGCAGCAGAATTGAAACCGCTGACTAGTGACCCTCGCATTGATCTTGGTGGTATGTGAATGATCCGTTCGGATGGCAAATCAGCACATAAACTTGTCGCCGTAGTGGATAACGCCGATGCGTAGAACCATGTGCCTGAATTCCTGTCTTAATAAGAAGGACAGCCCATCTGTTGTGGATTGAAATTCCTCGCTTTTGGCCCTCGAGGCACAGTTCATGCACTTGCTGGTGGCTCGGCTTAATTCACCGTTTTGGATCAAGGGCCACTACAGATTACAGGCAGTAACGGCCATGACCCCTGTTGCTGAGCCACAGAATCCCGGAACATCCTCCCTGATGACATCCGATGTCAGGTTTGCCTGGTCATGACTCACATTTCAAAGTATTGGGTTCATTTCATATGCTTTTCTGTCATGAAGTGATGATTAAAAACTGCCTGCGGTCCTTCCCTGTATTTTGATCTTAATCACAACCTCTCATGGATTTCCCCTATTGCTCACTTATATTTAATCATTATCTCCTCGAGCACCAAAGCTTGAACGAATTTACCACCCACTCTGGCTTTGCAATATTCGATACTTCCTAGGAATGTATCGGAGCATCAACTTTCCATATGCGGTTCCACGTGAACCAGCCTACCAGGAACCTCTGCTCCCCTTTGTCTCAGAAAAGCTTAAAGTTGGAAGCCCGAGCCGTTCCTGGGACGATTTCGAACACCCAAAGCTCCGGCAGTGTCCGATATCTGTTAATGACATCGAACTAGGAGCAGTAACACACCCTGGTTATGATGCTGCTACGGTGAGAGGTCGCATCAAGTCGACGAAGAAACATGTCTTCATCACGATTGTAAACACGAGGCCCTTTCTCTGAAAATCATATATATACTCACGTCTAGTCTACTTAGTTCACATTCAACACAGACTGTCTAGAATCTGACTATATCAAAGAAAGTGGCGACCTAGAAAGCCTCTTAGGTTATCGGACGATAAAACAGGAATTTTTGAACTGTGCCTTAATGGACATGATCAACGACGCTTTCACGACTGCAGCCTCAAAATCAGAACAAGTAGTTCTTAATCCCGATCCAAGTACAGGTATTGAGGCCCTAGCGAATTTGCAGGCTCTGTCAACAACCGAACTGGGCGACACTCCTCCCAGGCCCGATACTGAACATCTCAAGCCTTACACATTCAAAGAACCATTCCGCGACTGTCTTGGATGGATAAAACTGGAAGGGACAGCCCTGAATTGGCTGTATCATAAAAATTGGATAAGAACGATGAGTATGTGGCACATCCTCAGCTCAAGTACGTATGGGAACCGCTTCCGTTCCTCGACATCGGGAAATCGTACTATGCTATTATTTACGATTACGGAGGCAACAGGCAACAAGTATTTGCTCAGCCAAAACCGGAGGACATTTTAGACAAAATCAAAAGCTATCACGCCTTTGGCTTCATTCTGGAGTACTACGCTCCTGCTCAATGGCGCGAAAGACTGTTGCAGACAAGGAATATCGTTCCACCCTTGGGTGATGAAGAAGACGGGTGGTGGAAGCCAGAAGTGTTCGCTGGTAATCTTGAAAAGATTAGCCAATTGATGCGAGATGATCTTGAACAGAACCGGGCTGCTGAAGATGAAGACGCAGTAGCTGAAGGCTCTGGCGGACATTCGTTGCCTAGACGAGCGAATAAAAAGGTCAATGCGAAAGGAAAGGGGAAAGGAAGCAAAAAAGGAAGAGGTATAGCTGAATAGTATCAGAGGCGATTGCTGCATTTGGTGTTCACAGGTATGGTTATTTGAATAGCAAAATCCAAGGCGGAAACAAAAGCTGTGTGAAATACTTCTTTTCCACTACCAAGCTGTAAATATGAATCGTAAACATTAATTCTCTTTCACATCTGCCCATGTCCCATTACATGCGAATGCACAAGGGTAATATAATGGTTCAAATGGGGTGTAACCGACAATTTATTTCTGGTTACTAAACTCCGCGTCGAATAGAAAAGAAACTTCCACGGGTCTTCGGCTACTAGAGACAAGCAGATATTTTGGCTAGTTGGCCCCAGTCCACAGAGCAGGCCCGGGAATAGTATAGCTTGAGAATGTCCTGTAGAGGTCGAACAGGATTCCCGGGTCGCTTCTGCTATAGAGGGCAGTACCTTTTGTTCCAGACGGTGCTGATACAGTTCCGCTACCACCGACTACGAGGTTAAGGCACTGCGGGTAGGCCTGTGCGCCATTGTCGTTGCCGGCGCTGTGGAGTCCGATGATCTCATGGCGAAGGATATAATTACCGGCCTTGAGCTTTGAGGGAATCTTAACGGTGCTGCTGAAATTCCCGGTGGCGATGAGCGTGTCAGTTACCCAGGTTCCTGGATTAGAACCCGAGATCCAAGCAGCTTCTGAAATCTTAGACCAGCCCAGGTTTCCTGCGGTCGCCGAGGCGAAGCCTTCACCGGGAGTTAGCAAGCTGTTGGCTGTTACGTGGAACCTTTAGAATTTTCAATGAGAAGTGCAGTGACATACTTGAAACAGGTGCAATGTAGTTGATAATTGGACCTTTATGGCTATCGGGCCAGGTGTTCCAGTACAGCGTGAGTGTGTCACCAGCGTTGGCGGTGACATACTGGGTGTTTGTAACTGCGCTCTTGTGACAGTCAATGTTTGAGGTCTGGAATGAAGCCGGATCGACAAAGCCGTTGTCCTGGTTGAGAGCTTTCCAGCCCGCCGTAGCCGGGGGACTGGTAATATAGTACCAGTTTGGGTTCTGCCCGTCTGTCCAACCGGCACCGTTGACTCGGGCACCAGTCAACCATCCGTGGCCCTCAGCAAGGCTAAAGAGTGCTGCAGATGCAGCGCCGAGAATAAATGAAGAGTGCATTTTCACTATTTTGTGAGATACTTTTCTCTCTGGAAGCGGCTGGCTATGAAGCGTTGGTCCTGTTGATGTCGATATGCTCAAGAGATACTCGAGAAGAAAAGGCTCTATATATATCATTAATAATTATGCTTTCTTTAAAAAGCATTGTATCCCAAAGAAGGCAGAAACACGGAGCTTTGGGACTTTCAACCCACTTCAGTTAGTCTTGTTGACATATTGAGACACTGGTTCGGTCATGCGGGCTCAGTGGGCTGTCACACACGACGAATATCTCGTAGGATTGGTGGTCTTCAAAACTACTTTATCCGGAGGCATGAATCCTAGCAATTTCACGTACATTTCAATTGCGCATCGTTAAAAGACCGGTTGTAGTGGTGGCGATGTTCCTTCCGCACTGCCTATTGCGGAAAGTATCTCGTGGCAACTTCATGCTAGCAATAGGAACCAAAGCCGGATAAAGCCGCGTAATCAAGGCATCTGAGTTCTAAAAGATCAATCATCGAATAATACAAGGGGTAGACGCTACGTATATTCGCTCTTATTGGCTGAACGTGCTGTTCGAGCTCACCATTGGGCCGCAGATGAGAGATGATTACGACTGATTGCGCGATTAGTTGTCATACAAATCGGTTTGCACGGCATCCCCATTGTTCAATTTAGCCTATCCCATCCGTCGCCTTTGTTGCATGGACGATTCTATCCTGGTTGGAGGGATTATAAACAGAGCTCCTTGATGACCAAGCCTACAGCCAGTCAACTAGGTAGTAGGTGCATGAGGAAATACAAGAAAGGAGGAGCCCACCAATATCTAGATACGTCAATCATAAGTTGGAAAGTTCCAAAACTCTCAAAGTGAGAATTATACGTCGTGTAGAAGAGATGGTAAGAAAGGAGTACATCAATTGGGGGGTTTCTCATGCTCGACCTGTTAACAAGCGACTGAGTTATATAGCGATGCATGGAGGTCTTCTTAGGATACTGTGCTCCGTAGAAAAACCCGACTGCAAGACATACAGTCTCTACGTTTAATGAAATAGGATCTCGCTTTGGGGGAGCCTGGTCTTCAGAGGGTTCGACATGTACGACGCCTTTCATGGTTACGTTGGTGCATCTCGACCGATAGCCCGGTTGGGAATGGGACTAACTGATCATTTCGGCCGAGAGTCGTAAACAGTTCCTAAAACTAGTTAGATACCATGCTGAGTCATATGATTGATTAGAATGTGCGTTGGTTACATGCTGGTCATTGGGTCAATAAGGGGGTATCTGTCAAAGTCCATGAATAATACATGTCTGGTAGGGGTTTCTACCAATGGTTCAAAAGATTTATCGGATTGGGGAATGCTATTGACGAGAGCTCAGCGTTGTTTTTTTATGTTCAAATTACAGCGAACCCGGAGATTTTAATAGAACAGCAATGTAGTGTTCCTTCGCGGGAGCGAGTTCGGAGGGAAGATCGGCTCAACTTCAATCTAGCTTATTAAATAACCATCTGGCATTACCAGAGAGAATATTCATCACAATGATTCGGTGAAGTGCTGTGAAAATGGTGGTTGCTCCTCCCTCCTCCTCTGAACCTCTCTTCTCACCCATACAAGTGCAGCTCAGACCTTGGTTGAAGCAAAGACAGTTGATCCCAATGGCTAATTTGTGAAATGGATATGAATCCATGATTGTGTTGAGTTGTTGGGTCTGACTTCTTCTTTTGTTTTAACTTCTATAAAAACTCTCTCCGGTAAATGAATATGAGTCTCCGGCTGATTTCTCGTCCTCATTGTAGATACATTGGGCTGGTGCGAGAATTTTAAAGGTAGAGAATGCCGCTCTAGAAGCCCACATATGAGTATTGGTTAACAGCGAGCGGAATCCTCCACATCATGGGCAAGACCTCCCAACAAGAAGGTCCCCAAGAATACTCCGGCCAGCACTGACAGAAAATAGCCAGTATTCATAGTCATCACTGCTATCATACTAAAGGGAGTCAGAAGTGATCGATGATGAGATCGTGAAGGGTTTCGTAGACATATTCGACTTACAGAAGATATCCAATACCAGCTATCACCAGCTCATAGCACGCTCGCCCAGTTGCGGCAGATGCTCTCCACCCCGTCCATCGTCGTCTCAATTCTGATCTGAAGGTAATCCAGCCATATTGCGAAGGGTATCCCGGTAGCCCAGATTTGCCAGCGTCTCCAGGACTGTGGGTGCCAGCTACGGATCGAGAGCCGCGCCATACTGACGCTTCTAGGACCGGTCGGAATGCAATCAAGACTCTGAAAATACCAGCGAGGAAGATGAGAAATATGCAAGTGCCGGCGTACTGCCCAGTCGTGGTTGGTGCCCAGGCGTTAGAGAACAGCGGCGTTTTGATGGAGTCGAAAAATGTCATAGTCATATCAGCCATGGACATCATCATGCTCCCGTCACTGTCACCCATGCTCATGGATGAGGTCGAAGTTGCAGCTGGCATGTCCATTGACATGTCAGCCGCGGTTGTCGTAGCCATGTTCATCATGATTGCTACTCCAGCTAGCAGAGAGGATGAAAGAACAGCAATGACTGATGAATTTGAAGTGGAAGAAATGGAGTTGTGCGAGAATGGAAAAATAGAATTAGCTTCACTCCTTGTACTAGCTTCAGAATCGTGGTTATTGAGCAATTTTAATCAGGGTTTGTGTTGCGCTGGGCGATAAATATAGAGAGATATGCTCGGAACAAGCCTACGAAACAAGGAGTCTATCAATTAATCTTCAAAAGGTATTCAATTTGATGTAATACGGATTCATCAGGACACACAGTGAGCGGGTTTGAGCACGTTTTCCAGTCTTCCGATGGGGCCATAACTCCAACGAATTACTCAATATGGCAATTTAACCCTGTCGATCAACGAAATCTCACTAAGTACGGGTAAACGGCAACGTCTCTTACGTTTTCTGGAAACGCAAACGGCACTTGGAAACAAGGGTTGGACGGAGATAGGGTGTTGGATGGATAAAAATTTATCTGGGACCCAGGGAATACATCAATAGCATGGCTTGAATTATTAATGTCGCCAGAGCTCATCACAAGGCTGCGTGCCTTTCCTTCCTCCCAAAGTTGCCCCTTCTTTGTTCTATTTCATATACAGCTAATCCTGCCTGACCCAACACGCTGCTTCGATTAAGGTAGCCAACCTCGAGCGCTTTAATCAGCAGCTCTAGACATTGTGGAACAAGCCGAGGGAGAATACATCAATTTGGTTCGCAACCATGCCGATGCTGCCATGGCTGACGGAGCCGATCATGTTCCACGGGGACCGTGATCGTGGTGAGTGTATGATGACCGAAGAACAATGTGCGTGGAAATGGCGTTGGTGGACAGATTGGTATTCTGCAGACCTCGTGTTTTCGCTGCCAACCGTTGCGTTCTTCATGGTTGCCATCGGCATCTTCATAATTGCCTACGTTTTATCAGCTATCCTCCCTACAAGCTGGAGAAGAAGCCGAGGCTGGCGACGGCTCCTTTCAGGCACACGGTTTCTTTCATACACTAGTTTTCACGTCCGAGGATGGAGTACGCCATCCATTGGAATCTGCCTGCTTGGCGCCGTGGGACTCGTTTACTTCTTGGGTAAGATCTATGTCTATTCTTGGCAACTTCTCATCGCGTATTGACAATGTTATAGCAATGACTCTGGGACCGAAGCCGTACTACTGGCCAAATACGAAAGAACTGAGCTACGGCAATTCACCTCCCATTGCCACTCGAACCGGATATATGGCACTTGCATGCATGCCGTTTCTATAGTACGCACGTGTCAATAATTTGGGAACTCACCTAGGCTAACCTCGAATTCAGTGTTTTGGGAACCAAGGCCAACTTCATCTCGCTGGTGACAGGCATATCGCACGAGAAGCTCAATGTCTTCCACAACTGGGTTGCATGGGCCATGTTTGTCTTGGCTCTTGTACACACTTTCCCTTTTATCATCTACCATGAATGGGCGGGTGACATTGTTGAGAACTGGGAGGCTGATGGAATGTGGATAACTGGCGTGATTGCGCTGATCGCTCAGGCATGGCTAACCTTCATGTCGATTCGGTCAATTCGGTGAGCATCTATCTTTGTTGTCCTCTGTGAGAGAAAAAGCCTGACCAAAGTGACAGAGACCGCTATTATGAGTTCTTCAAATCCACTCATATCTTCTTCGCCGTCGTCTTCTTCATCTTCTTTTTCCTGCACTGTGATTACATCCTGACAACATGGGACTATTTTGTTGCCACCGGTGTTCTATATGCGCTTTCTTGGCTATATAGCCTATCTCGCACCCTCTTTCAGTATGGCTTTCGTCATCGGGCTAGCCTTAGTCTGGATGCCGAGCAGAACCTTTCGATCACTATCGAAACAGACGCAGAGTGGAAGCCAGGCCAACACGTATTTCTCCGATTTCTGACATGTGGTGTGCACGCTCTGACTGCTCACCCTTTCACCATCTGCTCTTCGCCAGAGCGAACCAGTGCTGACGACAAACGGAAGATGATATTCCACGTGAAGCCTCGTGGAGGTTTGACATCGCGCTTGGCCAAGCTAGCAGAGAAGCAGCCGAATGCTAGCGTTGCTGTTCTTCTTGATGGACCTTACGGCGGCCTCCCCGTGAGATGGGGTGAAGGATTCGATCGGACTCTCGTTATTGGCGGAGGGGCGGGCGCTGGTACTACCCTTCCGCTCATCGAAAGCTATTTGCAAAAGGAGCTTCAAGGAAAGAAGGACGAACAATTCACTGCCATTGTGGCGTCCCGTGATCCTGCATTCCACAGCTGGTTTGTCCAGGCGTTGGAAGAACTGGCTACAAGATACTCGATCTCCAAGGGTGTTCCTGGACTCACTGTGTTGATTCATCAAACAGATGACAGCGCGATAGCCGTGGATGCTTCGTCAGTTTCTAACACAGAAGATGCTGAGAAAAAGGTCCACAGCCACGCAACGCCTGAGGACGGTACCGCGTCGTTAGTTGCCGATCTATTCGGGGTCCATCTCAAAAAAGGGCGACCGAATCTTCCAGCGTTGGCTAGAGTCCCATTACAAGAGAAGGGCGTGACAGTTGGGTTAGTTGTTTGTGGACCAAGCTCTATGGTGCAAGATGTATCTGTGGTGGCGTCTGAGGCGCAACGCGGAATCCTCAATGGCTCTGTAGCCGCCGCTGAAGTTTGGTTCCATAAGGAGTCTTTCTCGTAAGTTTTCTAAGATCTGGCTTTAGTAGCCGCATCCTCGTTCTGAATTTGTTTGAGCAGTACTGACAGATATATCGTTTAGGTATTAAATGTAGGACTTGGACAGAGCCCAAGTAAATAAAAATCCAGGTAAAATACTAGATAACATTTGCTGTGACTTGCAGACTCTCGAGAATATATCAAGGAACTATGCTTTGAGATCCTATCCACTGCAACCAGCTAATCCCAAGGAAGGCATCGTCCTCGGAAACTTATAATCTAACGAAGAATTGGTCTGAGGAAAAACTGGGGAGAAGAGATGAAGTATATTTGAGACATGAATAGGATATACGTTGAGAGCATAAGATACAGACAGAGAGAACTTATTTCTCACCAAACGCCTCAGGATACACAATTCCAACATGCTGCACTTTTAGGGTCATTGCAGCTAGACTCTAGTCGGGCCTTACTGGGATATGGGCACACAATACGATCCCATACGGTACCGTTGATCCCATCGAACCTGACAGGAGAACTCATCGGCTCTGTCCCATTCTCAACCCAGGCCCGCAGCTGCTCGAACATGGCGGTGGGTTGTCCCCCAGATCCTCCCGAACAGTGGGCAAGCCCGGGAATCTCATAGTGCTTGAAGAAACTATGAACTTCAGGTATGAGACTGGAAACCTCAAGGTAGTAGTTCTCCGTCCCTTGTGGGGGGATCACGTCGTCGGCCTGTACAGCGTGAGTGAGTTTCGGGGGTTCCGGGGAGATGAGAGAACTTACCAGGCCATGCCAAGTCAGCAGCTTTCCTCCCGACCGCTTCAAACCTTCCAAATCTGCGTCGTCAGTCCCCAAAAAGGATGACATTTCTTGCACGCTCTGCAAGACTAATTCTTGGAACCGTTCTTGTGTAAGACTTCCAACATCAAGCTTAGCATCCTTTGCGGCAAAATATTTTATCCAACCGCTGCCAAGTGGGTTGTATCGGCCCTCGCATTTCCCATTTGCTGTGCAATTCGTGCCGGCTATCCCGCCCTGAAAACCTGTTGTACCCGTAAGATTTGTCCCAGGTGTATAGCCGGGCCAGAGAATCCTGCCGTATGATGTTGCCATGCCCATCCATGTTGCATTAACCACCGCGGCAGCAGATTTGCTTATTTTCCTTTCCCCGCCTGTTTGTGGACACTTAATAGTGGTGTTAACCGCACTGAACGGATCAAAGTTCTTCAGACAAATAGAAGGTTCTGCGATGATCCCATCTACCAAACCGTCGAGGCTGTCACAAGCAGCGATAGCAGCATGGACGACTGCATCGACTTCGCAGTCGTACGGATGGTCCTTGAGTTCGTTCATGAATTGTTGTGGCCAGAAGATGCTGCTAACTACTTGGGGCATGTTGATAGCTGGTGCTCCGGCCACGATTCCATCATATTGGGTAGGGTATCGCTGAGCCAAAGCTAGACCTTGCCTGCCTCCCTGCGAGCAACCATTGAAGTAGCTATACTGAGGAGGTTTGCCATAATACTGTCGCACGATTTCTTTCGCAATAATAGCCTGTGACTCCGAGTTAGCCTGTAACTTAACATTTGGTGTGTCTATTCGATAATCATGGTGAAATGCTGACCTCCTCGTTTAGTGAAGTTGATCCGAAGTTGCGTGCTAACTGTAGATTCACATTCCCGGGACTTAGTAATGCCCATGAACTTCCATCAAGAATACTTGGGTCTGACCCTAGCCCGGCATCTGTGGTCACTGTGGCATAACCTTCTGCTATCGCGCCAGTCATGATTGTATAAGGGATGAAGAAACGGCCGGCGCCATAACCGCCACCTCCTGCAGCATAGAGACGTTCGTTCCAGCTACCACTTGTGGGTAGCCATGATTCCACAATAATTTGATCGTGAGCTTCTGGGTGTGTATATGTGACAGTCACGTTGCAGAAAGTCAGACCATCCGCGATTACTGACGGGGATGTATACCGAAGCGAGGCGTCTGATTGGGCGGTGAAGTTGGACACCACGGAAGCAGACAAAGAGAGAATCTTGATACCGAAAATTTCAGGAGAAATTGCGAATGTACTAGAAGCACAGCTGGTAGCATTGATGGTGAAAAATGTCATGTTGCTGTAGTAGATGAGGCGACTGGTTGTACAGAGAGGCGAAAGTACGGAGGGCATGGTTATCTTTTATCCTCAGCCTCACATGTCGCATGCAGGCACTGGGATAAGTTGGGTTTCATGACAGACTACCCACGGTTAGAATGATGCACCGATCTGCACTTTGAAACTCTCCGAGTGATGGAGGTCATAGCTGGTGGATACCAATCCTTCCGAGCTTGTTCGGCTTCAAAGAGAATATCGTCAAATTTCGAGTATGGATGCTTTTTTTGAGCTTTTTGGAGCCAAATGGCCGCGTAATTCACCTTGATTAGGTTCCTGTGAGAGCTTTCCGAAAAGTCATAGAAGATATCAAGACCAATCAACGCAATCGTAGTCGGATATTTCACTTAAGGCCTCAATAGCGATTGTTGGTGAAGTGTGGAACAGCAACACCACGGAACATGGAACAATTACTGCGAGACACGAGATATATCAACCAAATACATGAGGACGAGGTTGATTGAAAAACAATGCAACCTCTGGTTGATGAAAAACTAAACAAGAACAGGTATTGGGCGACAGTTAGGCAAGCCATTGAAGGGCAACATTGAGACATGAGTTGATATGTCTGTCAGAGATACTGAACTCCCGGGATGTGAAAACGCTATCGACAGAGAAATTATGAGAACTCGTTATCTAAATATTTACATTAAAGGCATACTGTCAAAATCAACAGAAGGAAAGCAATGTTACCAATCAACCGGTGATACCGATAATCACTTTCTCTCGATCTTCATATACAAGCCGTATCCAGCCAGCCACAATAGATCAATCCTCATGCCTAATCTCCTCTGGAACCAGCGGCGAGCTTCTGAGGCCATCCCACCAGTAGCTTGTGACTAGTAATGTGTGAATGGTGGCCATTGCTACTACGGATAAGACATGTTCTGCAGGAATAAGGCAGGGGCCTTTCCTAAATAGAGACGAATCCGAGAGCAGTTCAAATCCGAATTTGGCATTTAGAGGCTATTGTTGTCATCAGAATCCAGAATACATGATATCATGATGTGGTCTATGGGGAACAGGAGGAAGTTTGATGCTTACCCATTTCAACAAATGATTGATGGATATTACTTTTCGTGAGTTTGTGTCGTCCCACACAGTGCCCTAAACGTCATCAGCTTCATGACTTATTCTCGATCGAAATCAATTCTCTACCTCAATTGCCTTATAGCGGATGCGCTGACCAGCTGTCTCATCCCATGCAGAATGGAATAAGGGGTCCTCTAGACGTTCGGCAATATTAATCCCCATGTCGACAATCCGTACGGTCCTCGCCCCTCCTCGATGTGCACAGAGAAGAGCCTGAGGAGAGTCAAAGCAAACTGTATGGAACTATCAGTCCCGGTTGCGCACATAACTGTCAATAGCCTTTGCCTCGAAGTTCGAGCACTTACATTTGGGCTCATCGCGAGGGAAATAGCGGGCCCTGACCTCAAAGCAGGGGTTGCCGATGGTCTTTATCTTGGCGTGTCGTCGAAATCCGGTCCCATCCTCCGTCCTCGTGAAGATGGTTGCCTCGCTCGATTTGTAAGGAGGAGTAGCAAAGTAGATGACGACGAGAGCCTCGTTCAAGTCCTTGGGATATTTCTGCGCGACGGCAAAGATGTACTTATCCTCGAACTCGAACTCGAGTTCATGTTGACTGGCATCCAAATTACTCAGCCGAAATACACCCCTGAAGGAGCCACAATGGCATAAATGTCAGTACGGGTTAAAGATGCAAACCAGCCCATCTCGTCCGAAGGTTTCATCCCTTACAATCGACTTGGAATAGGGAACAGTCCCATTTTGCGACCGCTGATTTTCTTTCTCACTTGCAATAAGGAAGAAGTCAGCCGGCCCGTGGGCAGGAGAGACGTGATCTCTTGGGTAAGGGTTAATAGGGGAACCGGCTTGCTTATTTATTCCTTGCAAGCGAGTGACAGGGTACGGTAGGGGGACATTGGATAATACCACCTACTCACCTGAGGCGTTGTGGTGACATCTCCCCAACAAGTGTTCCCCGACCCCTGCTTTCTGCCCCCCCGCATTCACCTTGCTCGCTCTGTCGTTCTCGATTTGGGCTTTTCAACACGTGGTTTGTGACAATATGAAGGATTCTGGGTGGAGGGAGGGAGATTTGGTGGGACCACATGGATTTCTGATTGCTGCCTCTCTGGTGGTGCCAATATTGGGAGTGGAACCCTGGCAGCATTCCCCGAAGGATGCCCATAGTTTGAATCCTCCTGAAAGTTGGTGGATCGAATTACGTGCCAAGTCGTATTTATATGTCAAGTGTAGTCACGCACGAGGCCTCTCAAGCTTACTCAAGGCGACTGACTCTTAGGAAGTGGTGATCTGTTCATGATCGGCACTGGAAGCAAGGAGCGGCAGACGCTGTGGGGGAAAGTTTTTCAGCTACTGGGACGGTACAGAGATATTCTCATGCGCGACGTGTGTGTGACTGAAGGGGGTTTTGAAAGAGGCACCGGTCAGCTCCAGCGATATGTGAGAAGGATTGTGAAGCTATACAATAGAGAGATCTTAAGACTTTTGGTATTATGTCGAACCCATGAAAACGGCAATTTAATGTCTTGTTGAGCTTGAGCTCAGACTGAAGACTACTTCTGAATGAGAATCTCTCCAGACATCATAGAGAGAGTTGCCTCCTCACTCTGCAACCATTCATTCCAAGCCTTAATCATAATATCAAGATCGCCCTCAGTTGCTAATCTCATTTTGAGGGCCATATCCCGAAGCCTGCCCCCTTGGAGCATCCCGATCATTCCATCCGCTGGAGATGTGCGGTTAATACTGGCCGCCCACCCATTATAGATGTGGAGGAATAAGAAGGGGCATACTTACACCAGGCTTTCTTTTCCTCGGTGCTGCTATAGCCCCAGGATCCCCACGTTACTCTCGTATCCTCCCTCCTCGCCCCAGCCTTCAATGCCCACCCGAGCAACTGCCTCCCGCCGTCAGAATGCCCTCCAGAGGCTTTCATTAATTTCTCTGTGAAGTCATGGAACTTCTTTAGACCCTCCGTCTCGGGCCACACGGCCTCGGTCCTAAAATCGCCCTCACGCGCTGAGACGATGCCGCCTGGCTTCGTGACTCGAAGCATCTCGGCCAAGGCAACCCAGGGTTCCTTTTGCCAAGTGAGCACCTGATGGCAATGGACAATATCGAAACTGTCATCCGGGAAAGGTAGTTTTGACGCGTCGCCGGCCTGGAAGGTCACGTTCTTCGCTTCCCAAGAACGAGCTACTAGCTCTGCCCTTTTGAGTATCTCGGGGTCCTTATCTACTCCCGTGACAATACCCTGGGGTATCTCTGCTGCTAGAGTCGCGGTGATAGAACCGGAGCCACAGCCGACATCGAGAAGCTTGACATCGGGACGGGCATCTCGGAGAGCGTGGAGCGCTGGTAGGAGATGTGTTGCGCTGTTACTCGCCGTTCGCCATTCGTGATGTGTCAGCGGAGTGCTTCCCGAGGGATCCGGGATTTGGGGAGGCTTGGCTACAGGCGCTGTAGCCATGAAGTCTTTGAGAGCTGGGACGGACATTGTTAGTAGATAGGTCCGAGTTGTTAGGTATACAAGTAGTTTCGTAGGAAAGTCTGAGGAAATTTCATCGAGAGGCGTCGGTTGGTTATTGCCAAAGGTCGACACACTATTTGTCGTTGGAGGATCAAGTTTGGCTACTACAACTATAAATGTTGGGCATAACGGAGATAAGACAACTTTACCGCCGTTCACTTCAGACAAGGGAGCTCTTATGCACACGCTGGGGACAAATAAAGATAGTGCTTACATTTGGTATCAACCTGTCGGTTTAGGCTAGGCCGGCGCGAACCTGGACTCGCTACTCAATCGCTCGTTTCGATAGAAGCCACCTGTTGCAAATAAGGCACTCCTTACGGGGCGCCTATTCAAGCAATTCTGCCTGGTAGGACGTTGATGCCGAGCTAATGTTTATATGTAGCACATGGACATATTTTGTGATAAAAGTGCAATTTATTTCAAGAACCATAAAATCTAGTTCAATACATGTCCTGATATAGGAAGGCACAAGGATTGGTATCTCATCATTTCATCATATGACTCTTTATCGTCATGTTTGGTTATCAGCCGCCAGAAAATGCATAAAGGCATTGGCGAAGTTATGAAACGGAAAAGGAAAGATAGATAAGAAAATCTAAATAAGAAGACTTGGCCTGATCCGTCTTGGCGCAGGTTTATTCGGTTTGGGTGACTCCGAACTTATGCTGATTCTCCATCGTACTTGACGCGACTTGGCCCGTGCTGAAAGAGTGAGGCAAGGCTGAAGAAAACACCGAAGGTTGCTGTAACCATCCATGCTGTGAAGATGATGCGGGGGATATGTAGGATGGCCGTCCAGACGTTGGCGTAAGAGTTGTAGGTGCTGATAAACAGCGAAACGAAAGACGCGATGGCGTATAAACATTCGAAGGTTTGGCGTAATAGCGTGAGGATGAATATGGCTAGTAGAGATCGATAAACCCGGTGAGAGTTTTGAATCTGGAGGAGGATCACGTCAGCGGGTATCACATATATAACTGGCAATGGAGAGTAATTTACGTTGGGGTTGAAGTACCCCTTTCCCTTAACAAGATACACGGGAGACACAATAGACCCGACCCAGAGAAGGATGAACTGAATCAGATCTATAGCATAGCTCGCGAGGCTAACCCAGACTGTTGTTACGGCAGAGATCTCGTAGAGGATGAAACGGATAACGCTCAGAACAACAAAGACTCCTAGGAGGATCTTCGATGTTTTGCCCTTGACCCAACCACTAGATTCGCCCTTGAAGCCGCGAGCGACCTCAATTTGAGTGGCCATAACTACCGCAAGTGTTACAAGATAGAAAAGTTGATAGACGGCGTAAAGGTGGAAGCGGGGACTATCGTAGATGTTCCTTCTGGGAAAATACATGACTGGCGAAAGCATAGCACCAATCCAAAGTGCCATCCATCTAAAGAGAGGTTAGTTAATCGGCATACCACGCAGAATTGCACACTGTGCATGGTAGCTTACATTGTACCGAGGGTCATCGCCGCTTTAATCCAAGAAACATATGAACGAGTATAGTCCCCACGACGGTGGAGAGTAAAGAACCCCGCAACTGTCATAATGAAAGTACATAGTAGGGAAATGGCAATGAATGCCAAACCAACTACACTGATAGTCCAAATAGCAGTCGCCATGGTGTTGGTAGGGAGTGTTGAGACTGGAAACAGAATGTGCGTTTGATAACTTGACCTCTGTTGGATCCTTTGAATTGCAAGTAGGTCTTGCGGAGGAGCATCGCCTGCATAAATACGCGAGCTGGTATACGCATTCCTCTCTGTCTTGGCTTTTCCCCTACATGTTGGCACACACTTCTATTTTGCACTGCCTGGCACCTTGCCCAGTCAAGGGTGTTGACCATGTGCCCCTGCGAGCGCTAGATATGCCTAACGGGACTTTTGAGCCAATTGAATCATATCATACAAAGAGCTTGCGAATAAGGCCAAAGATCATCCCTGGCACACGTCACTGCATGCTGAGCCAATCTTTTCCCCATCTGTGAAGTCCAAGAAACATCCTTCCCCACTGTTCCGGCAACTCTTTTCCAAAATCATGAAGAAGCCGAAGTGCGTACTGCAGGGAGCGATCTTGAACTCTGGAGTCAGAAGCTGGCAGACGGAACGGGCTGTGCTGCGCCCTGTATCTGTATAGCCACGACATCGCCGCCGCGATCGTCTCGTCAGCAAGGCACAGCATAATTGGGGGACAGATCACTGCACATACAGGCTAAAAAATAAAATAAAAATTCAAGGACTCAATGCCGCACTTATTTCTTACATTTGGAATGAATTGCGCTATAATTCACCACTCAGCTCGTATTCAAGATGACATGCTGGCATTGGACTCAATTCCAATAGTTATTAGTTAAAACGAATTAGACTTCTTTCAGGATCTACGTTGACTGAGTGCCTAACGGGAAAATCGTGTTCTTTGCCACTTGGATTTGTCCCAAACAGACTAAGATCATGTGCCGCTATGCCCAGGCTGAGTGGATGATCTACACACGAGTTGATGAGAGTAAACTTAGCGTTGTGGATCATCCTCAGCTGAGCCTTGGGCAATGATCGTGACGACACGCAATCAACTTGCGTTTGTCTGGTGATTCGAAAGAGTCCTCATGATGCCCGTCGTAGAAAGACCGAATAAATGGTCTGATAGCACAGAAGAGTTCCTCAACTATACTTAGTGTGAATCGACATTGCATATCGCACTTTCAACTAGTGGCTTTGACCCAGAGCTTTTGAGGTGTTATAAGACTTCTTGCAAAAAATAAGCGTTAGTGAGGTGTCTGCATATGCAATCGTTAAGGAGAAACGCTCTCAAGATTACAAACATGGCATTTCCAAAATATGAGACGCTTGAGTATAAAGAGAACGAGAGCTACCTAAACCAAAGAAAGGGTACATCAATGCCAGGGTCCCTATGTAATGGGCCAGCTCCGTAGAAATTCCCATGCATTGTCTCCGAATTCAGACATTTCTAGCGTATCCCCCGTCGGACCAAATGGTGCCAACGAGGCATCGAATGGCAGTGACATCCACTCTTCTGCACTGGGCTGGAAGTTCTCAGCCGAGATATCTGCGTCACTGATTTGAACTGCTAGATCGATGCCGTTTTCCCACATGCCGCTGCCCCAGTTAATGGAGGCAGGTATTCCTCTAGGCACAGACGATGGAACCAGTCGCTCCCTGAACCTCGCGACGTGGCGATCCAGCAACGAGGCATAGCGAGAGGCGAGATGCATGTCGTCGAAATTGCTAGTATGGAGTGCCTGTATCGTCTCTTCTAGGATGGCTAGTGAGGACTGGACATTGGACGAGCGCGAGCCGAGACTGAGCGCTTTGAGCAGGAAAATCGAGGCAGCGATGACGCGAAGGAATATGCGGACAGGCTGATAGCGGAGCGTGCCGTCACCTGCTAGCTTATTGACGCTTTGCAGGACCGAGCAGCTCCCATCAATGACTTCCTGGATGAATTCGTAATCTGTTGATGTGAGGGAAGAGTTCAGGATGTCTTGGCGCTCAGTGGTCGATTTTCCGTCTTGTAGAACGCGGTCAACCACAGCCTGCATTCCAAGGCTATTCATGAATATGTTGAGATTATAGTAGTCGATAGAGAGTAGGCTGAAGAATTCTGGGTTCATGTTCTCGTCTTTGAGATGGGCTGCCTTCCACGATAACAACTGCCCCTTGAAGTGTTTAATTATGTTGATGTATCTGCTACCGAGAAGGATATGCCGCGCTTCCAACGATGATGGAAATAACACATCGCTAATCGTACGCAGAAGGCTCGTCAACTCAATCCACGCCGACAAAAAAGCCGAATCCGGGGCGGCAGGCGATCGGTCTGGCAGGGCGCGACCTTGCGTGTGCATCGCGAGTGAGGTGCATCCTAGTCGCGTGGAAAGTTGCTCGATGAAGATGTAAAGTAATTTAGCAAGTCTTGGACCCCGAGACCTCTGGCTCAGAGGGTGTGAGCCGGGAATATCAGTCTTGTTGGGGTCATAGAGGCCGAGTTCGTGGGCGAGCGATTGGGCGCAGCCGAGCAGCATCCAGGACATCTTGTCTGACATCCGGGCCGGCTCAACGATATCGGCCATCCATCTTGTTCCAGGCGCGTCGGCTTGGTTTCCGTAGGGATCATCGCGATCATCTTGCACGGATAGAAGAAGGTCTGAATCCCAACCATCTGAGCCTGGAGGGAAGTGGATGGCATTTGGCTGCCACTCATGGATGAGAAGGAGTGCCTCGAGAGCTCCAACCGTCCTAGTCTTTGCTTTTGATTTCTTTTCTTGGCCGAATATGATTCGCATAATGAGATGTTGGCAATGATCCCAGAGTCGTTGATGAATAATAACACCGCGAGTAGTTCCACCTACGCCTGGGAGGGTGTGATACCGAGCCGATATCATCAAGATGGTACAAGCCAGAAGAGGCTCTTGGGTAACGAGGCTGTAGTGCTTCGAATGGCTCAGATCCCAACCATGACAGACTGGAGACATAGGAGCAAGATTCTTGAAGAACCTACTCGTGGCGCTCAAGTTAGAGAAGGACTGGAGAGGGATAGTTGGTCTGATTTACTCACAAGTCCATATACGACACTGCTTCTTTAGAGGTGAACCAGCCCATCTTGACAAATCTAAAGGAATCCCAGATACGATAGACGTTGCTAGTTTGTACCGATCTTGACGCGGGATCAGGTCCAGCTGATGCCATTGTCACAGGGGTAAGGTGTTCTACGGCCTGTGTCCGATGGGATGCTGACATTGATAGCACCGGGCTTTCGGCATCCCGTTGCTGCGCGGCGCAATAAAGAAGATCGAGGGCTTCGTTTTCATTGGAGACAAATGTTCGTATCACCGTGTCTGCCAATCCATCCCTCTCGGAAAGAGCGGACAGGTCGCCTCCCGAACAGGCCTTCTCAGCCGTTCCCTGATACATCTCTGTTACTTGTAGAGGATCGAGTTTGCTCGGTTGTTGCGGTCGTCTAAACGATTGGGGGTTCTCAATGATGGTGGTATTATCTCCGGCACTATCGATGGAAGGCTCTCTGGCGGCAGCGGAGGTATAAAGCGTGTGGGAATCTTCTTCCCTTGGTTAGCAGCGAGGCCAAGAAGACAAGCGAAGGCCGTTAATTGTTGACGTACCCGAGTTTCTCCTCCCTTTCCAGTTCTCAGGGCCACGACTTGATCGCTCTAGACTGAAGAGACACGGCCGTGACTCCCGTTTGCATCTCTCGCAAGGGCCGCTACCGTGGCTGTCGCTAGGATCTAACACGCAGCGAGTCTTCTTCTTTCGACATGACTGGCAAGCCTTGTAGACACGCTGAAATTGAGACGCCCGTCGTCCAGAATAGCTCGTCATTGCTGCAGGCCGGGGGCAGGGGGGTATCACGGATGATAATGGCTGAGAAGAAAGTCCGGAAACCACCGGCCGGACGACTGCTCCTTATATTGTCCACGGCTGCATTAGTCCTCGATGAAAATTAATCCTGGGGTCATGCTAACTTGCGGGGTAAAGAACCAAGGACCAGGAAAGCTTGGCCCGATCTCCTCTAGATAGGTGGATCAAGGCATTACAAATGGCTGGGAAGCTTGTGGATTGGTTCCTACTGCTCCGTACGCTTTTGATGGATATGGCTAGGCCCGGATACTCACGGAGGAGGCGGACGGTCACAAGTCCCACAACCAAAGCTACGTAGCCCATTCTGAAGCTTCCCTGAAGAGTCACGGATTTCAAATCATGGCGAGTAGGTTTTATTTGATTGCCGATGAGGTCTCTCGCTTCTATGTGGATAATCTCTGCTTGCTCTCGTCCCCTATGTCATACGGCACATTGACCCCAGCTAGGTAAAACACATGTATCATCAGGTAACATATGAAGCGGAAGAAACATAACTGTAATTTATTTTTCTTCAGTGAATGGTATTCCAACCTCCAGTCTTTCTCCGTATTTCCATCGGTGCAGCATACAACAAAAACTCCTGTACAAGATACCTACAACTAGCCTGCCTAGGTGACAAATTAGGTGAAATAACGGAAATTCTTGTTCTTGTCGCCCTCCTCAGTGACATCAACCGTAGTGTCTGATCCGACAGGTCCGTGCTCGCGGTCCCTTCTCTTGTTCTCACGCTCCAAGAGAAAGTGAAGCGTGAGGGATAGGAGCACAATCAAGGCAGTCAGGCCACAGCCAATGGAGACGCCCTTGGTGTAGTGAGGACTGCCAGAAGAATAATGTTAGACTTGTGCACCACGCGTGCAATGTTGCGACCATAACTCACCTATCCTTTTGTGGGAACACGACACTGCTCAAGAACGAACTGCACTGCCCAAAAGTAGCCAGGATGGCCAGACCTGCGCCTCTCTTTGAGTCACCTCCCTGGTTGTTCAGCAACCAAGTAATGTTAATGCAAAGCGCTGGGTAAACACCGCAAGCAGCAAGCCAAACACCTGCGTATCGGATAGGTGTCTCTCTGCCAACGATGAGGAGGGCGTATCCAACAGTTCCAATACAAGCAAAACCGCTGACAAGGTAACCACGCTTGCCATACTTGTCAGAGGTGATGGCTACTACCACACACAACAAGAAGGCTGCAAAGTAGACGGGTGCAGTCAGTCCCTGGGCATGGATAGAAGAATATCCCATGTCTTTGACAATTGTGGGAAGGAAATTTGAGAGGCCGGCAAAGGAGTAGTTGCAGCAGAAATGCATGAGTGTGTGCATGTAGTTCTGGTAGTCTGTTATCCCGGCAAAAACCTGGGACCACTTCATGCCCGACTTCTTGGTCCGGTCAACAACCTGCAGACGCTCAACGGCATACCTCTGCTCCTCCTCTGTGAGATATTTGGCAGAACCAGGGGAATCTGCGAGGAGGAAGTATACGACAACAGAGAACGCGACAGTGGGCAGACCCTCTGTAAATGTTTCGTCAGCATGTTGGAGAGCCCATGGTACAATTAAAAGCATTGAGGACTTACCTATGATGAAGAGATACTGCCAAGGTCTCAAACTCCCTCGAATTTGAGTAAGGCCATACGCAAGGGCGGAAGCAAAGCAGTTAGCCAATGGTGACATGCCAAGAAGAATCGAGACTCTGAAGCCAAGCTCTTTGCGTCTATAGAAGAGCGAGAGGAAGTAGGGTGCACCAGCACCAAACGCAGCTTCGAAAATGCCCAATAGACATCGGCAGGCGACCAAGCCGGCCATGTTTGTCACCGCCCCAGAGCAGGCTGCTGCTGCTCCCCATCTGAAGATATCTTGTCAGCAGATGTACATTGAAAATATGAGCGGATGGGGTCTCCCTTACAAAACGCAAAGACACGCGATGTAGATATGAGCGGGAAAGATTTTCCAGAGGACTGTTGTCCATTCGAAACAAACATAGCATATGTAGAAAGCATTGAGAACCCATGCCCACTGGGAGTCGTTGAGATGAAGATCGACGTCAACCCCAGCTGTCTTAGCGTTGCCAATATTGCCTCGGTCAAGATACGAGAGCACGTAAAGACAGCAGACAATCGGCAGCAGACGACGATCAAACTATGGTACCACAATACTTAGTTGACTTCTCCAAATATCAAGTCTCGTATCTCGGTACTCACTGTTCTTTTGATCCGATTGCTCATGGCTTCGCTTGGAGCGTGAGTAACGGTACCCTCTCCAATAGCCTCCTCGACCTCTTCGCTCTTTATCTCCATCTTGTGATCAATATCAGGCATTGTGGCTGATATCACCTATGCGATGAAACAAATGAGGTCTTTGGGATTCCGAATCAATGCCTTCTTATGAGCAAGCGCTTCGGGAAGTAGAGGGTTGTGTTGTTGGCAAGTTATCTTTCCCTTCCAAGAGAGATGACCAGCCGCCTTTTAACCTTTTGCCAAGCTCGGCAGCCAATATGCCCCTGGTACGTTTGGTCCGGCACTATCCTGGTATCAAATGAGGCCTGAGGGTGACAGCCAGGATGAATTCCGCAGGTATTCTCTGAGAGCTCGGCCGCGGAGGCGGAATGAGGCGGGATCTTGCGTGTGCATTTCATGGGGGGGGGGGACTCTGGGGAAATCTGGGGAAGCGAAAGGGGCGGCCCACTGATCAACCTTCTCCGGTGCCGAACATGACCAAGCGTCCGTCAGTTGCCATAGATTTCCGGTCAATCGCCTGAACTTTCCGGCCGGTCGACTTTCCCATTCATCAGGAGCTTTCCATTATAAAGAGTCAAGCTTTTGTGCTTTTTTGTACATTCAAGGCTCACTCAACTCACAAGCATTCCCCGCCTCCTCACTCTTAAAGTCCAGTTGGCAACGGATTACCTACTCTCTACTCTCCCACCACGCTTCCTCAAGTCACCATGTCCAAGTCAATTGTCAACACTACCCCTTACCCTTTCCAGTTCAACCCGCCTGTGGTTGAGAAGGGAGGGAAGCTGGGCCAAATCCAAGATGTTGCTACCACCCTCAAGAACGTTCGGGGCAAGATTCCATCCGTTCAAGCCAGCCGCCTGAGGTCCATGATGCTGGAAGCTCACAACGACCCAAGCAAGATCCTAGCGCACTGCTGCTCTTATGATGGTCTTTCCTCTCGTCTCGTCGAGGAAGCCGGCTTCCCCATGATCTTCTTGGCTGGTTACCCAGTTGCCAGCGCCTACGGTCTTCCCGACACTGGCTACATCGCGATGGCTGAGATGTGCGATAAAATCCAAGAGGCCGTTCGCCAGGTCAATGTCCCAGTCATGGCCGACGGCGACACTGGATACGGCAGTCCTTTGAACGTTCGCCGCACGGTCGAGAGTTACGCTCACGCCGGCGCCGCCGGAATCATGATTGAGGACCAGACGTGGCCCAAGAGTAAGTCAAGTTCACGAATTGGCCTTGGAAAGACTTTCATTTTGTCTAACAAACTCTCTAGGATGCGGTCACACCAAAGGCAAGTCCGTCGTTTCCCGAGGCGAAGCGTTCGCTCGTATCAAGGCCGCTTGCGATGCTCGCGACGAGGGCAAGGACATCTTCGTCCTTGCACGAACCGACTCTTTAATACACGGATGGGAAGAGGCCATGGCCCGGGCTAAGGAGTTCAAGAGGCTGGGTGTCGATGCGGTGTTCGTGGAGGCCCTTCCCGACCGCGAATCCATGCGCAAATGCGTAGAGGAGATTGGCATTCCTACCTTTGCCAATAGTAAGTGGAGCCTATGGGATGGTTTTCGAGACTGCTCCGAATTGCGCGAGTCTTTCTCGACAAATTATCCTTTTTTATTCTCCTTTGAATATGGGAACGTATCGAATGCTAACTGTTTTTGCAGTCATCGAGGGTGGCCAGACAGAGAACCTCTCAGCCAAGGACCTTGCTGAGCTGGGCTTCTGTGCAGTCGCTTATCCATGGACCTTGGTAGCCGCTAAGCTCAGAAGTATTCGAGAGACCCTCGAAGATTTGAAGAAGAGCATGACCGTCGGCGCGCCACCTATGATCCTCTCATACAGTGAGGTCTGTGAAGGTGTTGGTTTCAACAAATACTGGGTAAGCTCCCCCTTCCCTGTGCCAACGTATTCCTGCATTATGGAAACTAACATCTCCAATAGGATCTCGAAGATAAATATCGATTTGACGAGCAAGGCCTCACCAACGGCCACCATTAATAAATGATAAAGCCAACGATAGTCGATCTGGTGAATACAATCTTAGAAAGCCCCTACACAAAGGAGGCGGGCAAATAAGAAAGAGCAAAGCCTAGAATAAACGTCGAGAAAATAAACAATATGGCTGTATCTATCTTTAGACACGAGTTTCGGAGAAATTAACCCTGTTTACTAGAGTTCGAACAGTAAATGCTCTGACTTTTGGCTCCCAACCAGCTGCTCTACTAGTAATTACTCTCAAACTGAGCGTTCTGGCTGGCTCAATACCCAATCCAAATCACTGTCAAATGTTCTTCAAGATGATTTAAATAACTAGGATGGCTCATATTAGATAGTCGAGATGCGTAGAAAACACCTTTCGCGGTGTTAGGGCTTCTGGCCGACACCTGGGGTAGTCAAGAGATATTTGGTGAGTGGCTGAGGCATCCTTTAGAGCGGCTGGCATAGGTAGCTTAGTAGTTAATAAGTACCTCTCTAGGCAGACAACTTACGCATGTATACTTGGGAACCATTTGTGTGCCATCTGGTTCACTGCAAGTTGCCGGCCTTCTCTTCCTTTCTCTTCCAACCCCGGCTTCTTCCCACTCTCTCTTCCTTCATCTTCCCTGCTCATTTTTTTAATTCACTTCCCGCTTTCTCGGAGACACAGATAAGTTTACCAAATTCTTTTGAGTTACCATCCTTCCTTTGGTTAACCCCCATCATTTGTCTGATTGATTTACGGATGAACAAGGTACCAGCCAAGGCTCCTTTCTCGCCCACTTCCTGCTTCCGAAGTGCCAGCCAGCTCAACGCACGAAACACGCTCACCCTTCCAGTATTTTTTCTCCCAAGTTTACTTATCATATTCCGCTCAGATTCTGACCTGCTAGTTTCTTTTCTTAATTTGACTAACTCTTCCCGTGCACAGCACTGAGCACTCGCGTTCTTCAGCTATGGAGGCAAGTGATTCTCCGACCGAAGGCACCCCCGCCGCTCGTAAGACTTGTGAAAGCAGCCTGCTGCTTCGAACGGCATGCAGATCACCGTCCCGGCTTCCGATAAGCAATTGTCTACCCCAACGCTAGATGTCGAGCTCAGTCCTGCGACTTCGCCGACCCATTCCGCCGTCTCCTTCTCCGACGCGAACCTCTCGGCCCAGACCGATAACTTGCCTTGCGCCGAACGATCCTTGGGCCCCCCTAAGTGGTACATGATCATGGTGACCTAGTTGCTTCCCTCAACGCACATGGAATCCTTGGTCGTGAATGCAAAATTAAGCCCTCCAAATCTCGAGATTCGGGCACCCTCTTCCGTCGATATCGCTCATATCCTCTCGAGCGGCGAAAGGCTTTAGTAAAAAATAGTATTTGTTTCCCACGCATGCAAAGAGAGGCACACATCCAAGCTCATAACGATGAAAGTCTCAAGAATGAATGTTCAATCAATCCTTGCCGCTGAAATTCTCGTGGAGCTTGTAAGTCCCCCAGCTATCTCTCTGTATTGACCTCGCTGGCTGACCATAGAAACGGCAGTATGTTCCCATAGATATCGACAACAACTTCCCATCAAGCGAGTCAGCCTAGCCAGCTAGCACGATCGTCACTGCATACGTACCCGGCACAAGATCCAGGATGCCCGCGAATAACAAGGTTCTTTAGCAAGGTCTCCCATCCCCGGCAGCCTGGGCAAACTTTGCCATGAAGCCTCTTCGTCTTTTCTGCAGTAGTATTTGTCATGGCAACTTTCTTGTTGATGATATTTCGGATCCCAAAAGCACAATTACCATCGTTGACTTCGAATACACCAACTATCTATCGACGTCGTTTCTCTTTAGGGAATTACAGTGGCAGACGGACTGACCAGTAAGGCGGTTCACGACAGACCGCTCCCAAATGTCCCGCTTGATGAACATGGTATCAGGGAGGTCAACTTCTTCTTCTCGACAAGGTGCGATCAGATTCAAAACGGTCATATCATTGTGGTGATTAAATCATGCAATTGAACCTGATACAACTCCTGTGCCCTGCTTTGAGAAATATGTGAAATATAATCTTTTTGCAGTGCGTAGGGCCTGCCAAATTGTAAAAATAAACTCTCCATGTCGAATTGAGAAAAGGAAGATCACTATTTCAGTTGTCTGCAAAACTAGACAGGTGACGTAGATATTTTCTCTCTCTCACTTTTTCCAAAAAAGCTTTCTCTTGTTAAATCCACGTGTACTCGGCCTACCTGTTACCTACATTCAATCAATTCCATCTTCCCTCTGTGAAGCTCTTACGACGCTCACCCTAGCAAATCCTCCTCCTTTACCTGATCTACTACTGGGCTGTATAGGGTAGCTAAGCACGACAGGAGGAAAATGCCTCATGTTTCAGCCATGAAGTACTCTAGCCTCATCGTAACAGAGGCAGAAGAGGGCATTTGAGGTAAAATCCACGAAACTTGTTAATAGAAGTAATCAATCAAGCCGCATATTGCTGCATTACTCTCATAAATGTGCGAAGAAGGCGCGTCTGAGCCAATCGGACACTTCTTCTCAGTAGCCCGGCGGCTCATAATCCACCGAAGCCGAGCGTCTATCCCCTTCTCAGCCGGATGCGATCGGTGGCACAGTTGAAAGTGGCCGGTAGGAATGCTTACCCGCGCCTTTTAGATGGGAATAAAAAGCAACGTGGCTGGACACTGAAAATTGAAAATTCTTCCGTCATCTCCGGACGTAGCCGCTTTACTAATTGCTTAAGATGCCTCGCACCTTACTAGGGGATAAAGAACACCTCATGATTGATGAAGGGGGCGTGGAAATACCGTTCGACAAGGATGAGAGACGATCGGTGACGTTAGTGATGAGAAGGGGAACAAAACAAACCACGGGCCTGCACTGGCATGAAGAAAAGACGGGTACGTGTTGCTCAGCCGCCTAACAATGAGGGTCTCAAACATGACTCGTTGTGATTCACAGCTGAACTGGAAAGTAGAATATTTGCAGGTGCTACAGGGCCAGGCACTGGTCACAGTAGGTGACAGCACAGCAGTATTTGGGCCGAATGATGGTGTCATCACTGTGCCCCGATTCACACTTCACGAGTTTGGACGCGCAGATCGCGTTGTAGAAGGCGCTGATTCTCGTGAGGTGGATCTGCGGATCATGGAATGGACCGAGCCCTCAGACGGTGCTAAAGAGGTCTTCTTTCGGAATATGCTTGGTGTGATCATCGATAGAGAGACGGGGATACTGGGCAACATCAAGCTGTTGCTGTCTCTTTTTGTGGTCATGCAAGGACATGATAACTATCCCGTCTTCATCAAGGGGCCCGCGCTCTTTGGCAGGACAGTGCAGAGCAGTATTCGACGAACGACGACTTACGTTATCAGAGGCGGCATCGCACTAACTGGGCGGCTATTTGGGCTGAAAGCGACTTATCACGAATATACCCCTACTTCACTGTTAGAGTTGAAGTAGGGTTGTGTAATGGAAGCAGCGTATATTCCTTAAACTCTGAGGTTTATTTTTCGGCGTTTCAAGACGAAACACTTTGTATCCGCAACAATATGTCCCTTGATAAAATAAAACATCGTATTGTCTTATGAATGAGCGTTGTAAGTTTAGTTTGTTTTGTGACATTTCGATTTTGCTAGGATAAACTGGCATTAGCTATGCGGCATTATCTGATGTGGAAGTTTGGAAGATCACAGCGATGAGAAGTATGAGGAGGTATGCTATACCTCTACCTTTACTTAGGCTCGGTCTTCTGTTACTTCGATATGAAGTGGCTGTGCCTGCAAAGTCGGGCATCAATTTGGGGATGTTGTACATGCTCAGCGTAGCCCACGTGGCTGTCTGAGTGAGTGTGAGTGAGCACTGTATTGGAGCAGCAGTGGCTTTCCACCAGTTATTCAGCGTATGAAAGCCGCTTTTAAAACGCTGCCACAAGGATATCCAGTTTAGAAGACTAGCTTCCTGTCGAATTCACTGCGATTAGACTGTTTCGTGCCATCATGGAGGCGGAAGACAAGGCGGTTTGGACTCTTGTACATGCTCCCTTTTACCATTATACTCTTGCTTGCCTAGGGCGGCTCATGTTCGCGGCGGCACGGGTTCTTGCATTCATGACTGACTGATAATTACCCGTAGTTACATCTTCATCCCGAAGAAAAGCCCCATTGACAGCCTCTTGATTCGTGCACACTGTGCGCATTAGGCTGAATACTTGCAATATCTCGGGGTTGGAGTCTGCCTTGGATCGTGCCTTGGGCCGAAACATGGCCTATCAACGGTGCGAACACCGACGCCAGATTGTAGCGTGATTTCTAGCACATTTAGTGGTATTTTACGCTTTCCTACTTCATCTTTGGCAGATATCCAAGATGGCGCATGTGGCCAGAGGGACCCCTCTTTCGTTGAGAGGCTCAGCCCCGACCGCAGCAACCGGCGCGGACGTCACTTTTGGGGAGACAAACTTCACACAGCCACCTTTCTGGCAGAATTCAGGTATGTCCAATTCATGCTGCCTGACCTCTCAATTCTGGGCACATTCCATAACGGAGAGGTATGGGTATGAATTGCAGATCCTAGAGCGAGTGTTTCTTTAAAATTTGTCTCCAGGTCGTTACGAAGAATACGAAACTGAACAAAGGTTATCTTCACTAGGAATACAAACACCGTCCAATTACAACCTGATATCACCAATAGGAGGCTGGGTTCTGCACGAGTGCTCGCGTGATTCGCAATGGGATCGCTTCTAGATCACTTTTTGAGTAATGAGTTCCCTTATCAAGCCGATGATATTGAAGCCTTTTGGTCAAGCTTTCTGGGGCTCGCGAAGGGTATCGAAACTATGCAGGGACAACCTAACAGCGGGTATGCATATGATAAACACCTAAAAGCTCATTAATCATGATTGTCTTTTAGGCTCCATGGCGACCTCAAACCTTCAAATATTCTTCTCTTTCAGGGAAGGAATCCCGCAGAGAGCAAGCACTCTTTCATGCTCACAATTGCGGACTTTGGTAGTAGTCGCATTGGCTCGATCAATGAATCTCCAGATGGGAGCACCCCTCTCCGCCTGAGAAGCACCCGGACGTATGGTGTGTTGACAATGCCTTTTGCTATTCCTAACGATACGGCTAGTCAACTTGCTAACCTTGGTGTTGTTAAGGTGCCCCCGAGGTCTATTCGATTAGCGATGGCAGACTTGAAACGAATCAATCAGTTGATATATGGTCTTTGGGATGTATCTTGATGGAAGTGGCTGTGTGGATCACAGGAGGGTTCAAAGCTCTTGAAAGTTTCAAAGTGGCCCGTGTGGAAGAGACTTCCAAGATACCGGACTTTCATGAAGTTGTGTTTTGTGACTGCTTCCATCAAGGATATGATCTTTTACCATCCGTTAAAGAGTGGGCTCGGATCGTTCAAGAAAATGCGCGACGCAACGACAACATAACACCGAGGATGGTAGATTTTATTTTGAACAGTCTGCTGCGACCTGAAAGTTTTAGATGTTCCCCTCAAAGCCTAGAGGCTAGCATGAGAGAGATTATATCCTCAACAAAGGTCGGATCTCAAGCATATCACAGCAGGATCGAGCAGCATCCCCCATCGCCGAGCTCCATTGGTTCTATACCTCCTATCACCATGAGGCCATTAATGGCCCAGCCAGTTTTATCAGTACAAACTTCACCTCAACACAATCTATCAGAGATGATGGGATCTCCCGTCACGCCAATGTCACCATCCATTTACTATCAGCACGGACCAACAGACAACACCGTGATTCAGCGTACCCTAACCGATCCTACCGCCGAGCTAATGAGGAGTAATACGACCAGCCCTTATCCAAACGTCACCTTGAGGGAACTGGCCCTGTGGAGGGGCAATAAGAAAAAGTATAGACCGGACCTGCCGGGCTGGAAAGAAGCACAGAACTTACTGAGAGGCCGCGATTTCGTACGTTCTACTTGATCATCCCACTTCATGTTTTCATTCTCCTTTACTCTATATGTAATTGTGTGCAACTACTTGGACTGACAACTTTAATAAACTAGCTCTTCATCATCGATAATTCTAGGTCGATGTTCGAGCATCAAGCAGCTGTCATCGAAGCCGTCGATAACCTAGCTTACCTTGTGAAGCAGCTTGATCCCGATGGTGGTGAGATTAGGTGGACATCCAGTCCTCAGACAAAGGAAAGCTTCTCCAACAGCACCCAAGCTGGAGATTCTGCAAGAAGAGCTTTCGCAGAAAGAAGCCAGGTTGACTGTAACATGGAAGGAGCTCTAATAGAAGCCTTACCAACCAACTTCCGCTCCGGATCGATGGCTAGCGGGACTTCTTGGGGAATTAGATCGGGAATTAACCGCATCCGCTCTAATTCCTCAGCAAAACGCCTCAGTGTCCTGATATTCACGGACGGTGTTTGGGTTCCATCAGATGCAGGACTATGCGGAGCTGATCGCCCGATCGAGCACCTCATTCAGCAAATGAAAAGTCAAGGTGTTCAGCGGTCAGGCATCGCCGTGCAGTTCTTAAGATTTGGTTCTGACCCCGCTGGAATCGGGCGACTGGACTACCTGGATAATGAGTTAGCTAAGAAGCCAGAGAACCAGGGATTGTCCGTATCCCCCCTCCCTGCCTTACTCTGTTGTCTTGTTCTTTTAGCTGACTTCAAAAATAGTGATATTGTCGACCATAAGTCTGAACAGGACAGTGTTTGGGGAATATTGATAGGCTCGGTTTTTGAGGCAATGGACCACCTGGGCTAATGTAGCGGCAATGGAACGGTTACCATTATCGTTATGCGACGTTACGCTTGAACTGGAGTGTGACTAGTATCTAACAAGATGAGGACCCGTGATAGTAGGAGCCTGTCACGAAAAGGGATTGGATGTGCACAATACCAGGCTCAAGGGCTCCACGTATGTATATTAGGGATGATAACTGGCTTGTATTCAATGAGCTTGAGATATATTTGGAATGATAAGAAGCACTCGCATAGGTATGGCCGCTAATCTCGCATGTCTAATGATTACTGTTTAATATCACACCATTCGAACCGAAAAGGCTAGGATATATCTCATGTTTGTATTCGCTTTTGTCTTTGTAAAGCGCTTTATCATGATCACCATCATGGTGTCAACATACCTCAGTAGATAACAGTGAAGACCATATAAAAGTTTTGAAAACCCCACCACTCCAGTCAGAACCTAGCCATTGCACAGTCCAAGATGCTGGTGACGAATTGCGCTCGACTTGGATTTCAATTTCCAAGCTGACATCCGGGTAGTCCTCCGTGTTTGGTCAATAGATTCCTTAATCTAACTTTCTGAGTACGATCAAGAAGGGTGTTGTTATTATGGTTCATAGCGTTAATTTTTGCACCCTTTCTTAGAAAATACATGAACAACCAAGATTCTTCTTCCGTTGATGGTGCATCTTCATCAAGGAAGTAGGGTATGGAAGAAGCAGCAACGAGGCTAATATCCAGCAAACTTTCGCCTTTTTCGTCATGCTCATTCATATCAAAGCCATATCCCAGAAGAAGTTCAAAAGCGATCTGTAGTTCTTCACCTTGATACCGTCCTTTGCTCATTTCACGAGCACAAGACATTAATAGAGATCGACCTTGACGTAGGAAATTGAGAACGTCTACTGGGTAGCCGCGCTTCTCAGCAGAGGAAGTATACATCTCCACCATCTTTCTAAGCGAAGCATGGCACCACCATGCTCTAAACAGTGGGCGAAAAGCAATTGCACCGCTATGGGTGATGGCTTTGGGGTCCGCGTCGGCATTTATAAGTATTTCGATTTTATCTACGGCACTGGAGTGCTGCTTTGGGTAATCGAGCATCGCATCTCCCTGGAGCTATATATGTAAGCTCGTAGCCCGGTGGAATGCTGTTTCACCCCAGTTATTCTTTGTCTTTACATCTGCTCCATAGTCGACTAAGAGTTTTACTATTAAGGGGTAGTACTCTGTAACTATTATAATTAGTAGTATCTTATTATGCTTATTTTAAGAAAAGAGATTTATAGTACTATTAAGTAATTATTTTATTTTTGTTTAAACTTTATTTAATTTAATTAAAATTAACTATTATTAAATATTAAAATAGATTTATATATTTATCTTATATATGACTTTCTATAACTTAATAAAGATCTTTATTTATATTATTAACTTATCTCTTATATTACTATTTACTTAATTTAATAAAATCCCCAGATGAAAAAAATGGAAACTATAGCTTAGAGATACTCTGCTTCGTCTAGACAGCTAGCTAATTAGCTGCTTAAGTAATACTGTCACGTGGAGCACCCCTTATATAACTCATTCGACCACACCTCAGGTAAGTGTAGGCCATACATACCTATCCTTGCACACGAAACAAGAGTTAGGTTCATCAATCAATCTATCCCGGCTCAAGGCACAGTGGCACAAGACTCTCCGCCAAAATGAGGAGCGAGTTTGACACAAGTGAGGTGAGGGCCAGTGCGGGAAGGTCTGAAGATTCTCAGCCCTCAAAGAAGATTCGTGCCGGCGACCGCACCATGTTGGCTTGCACAAACTGCAAGCAAAGGAAACTAAAGGTACAGCATGCGATTTGGATTCATCACAGACGTTCCCACCAAGTATTACTATTCCTTTATTAACCCCGACGCCATCTCTCAACAGTGCGATGGGCAAAGTCCCCAGTGCAGGAATTGCGTCAAGGCAGGGCGCGGTACGTCTCCCATCAGAGCAGAGGGTCGGATGGTTCAGTCTCGGATGTATGCATGCTGAACCCTTCCAGATTGCCTCGTCGAGGACCCTGGGACGGGTCTGCAGCGACCTCGAGATCACATACGCACGCTTGAGGCCCGTATCGCCTACTTGGAGACCCTGGTGCAAGACCAGACCCCAGAGGCGGCCAATCGTCATGTCTTTAGCACGTCGGGCCCGCGCGAGGGCCAGGCAGGCCCCTACGCCTACCACAGAGCAGACGCTGGCAGCGATACTTTAAGCAGTGAAGTTGCGGTCCTGTGCCTCAGCGCCGCCGGTCGGGAGCCCCACTACTTTGGGCCTTCATCGGCCGTCTCCTTTTCACGCATCGCCAGTGCAGTCATGGGCTTACCGAATAAGAAGAGTATGCGGGCAACTTCTGATCACGGGGGGTCCGACAAGGCGCGAGAGGGCCGGAGGCGGACCGTCCCTGTCATAGACTTTCCCTCGGCTAGTCGGATGGAAAAGCTTTCAGAGGCCTATTTTGCCAACATCCATCCCCAATATCCCTTTCTACATCGCCCGACGGCACGTATGATGGAAAAAGAGTGTATGGAGGCTAGCCAGACAGGCGACGTCAGCACAGCGCGCGACACATCGTTGTTTTTTGTGCTGATGGTGAGTGAAATTAATCTCTAGATTAGGGAGAGGCGAGGTGCATCTTTGGCTGACGGCCGATAGATATATGCCATTGGATCGCTGACGCTTGGCCGTGACGAGGTTGACGCGGCCGAGGTAGGCTGGCATGCACAGTCTTGGTTTCTGCAAAGCTGACGGGCAGCAGGGTTACTACGCAATGGCTCTCGACCGAATCGGTCAGCTATTGGAGCTGAATAATCTACAGTCGATTCAAGCTCTGTTATGCTGCGCGGTCTACTCTATACGCTCTCCAGTCGGAGTGAGTTTATGGTAAGGTGACCTCAGCGGACCTTGTACCCATGGACAAGATTGCTGATCTTTCAATTCAAACTCCTAGGAAGATCTCCAGCATGGCTATTCGGCACTGTGTCGAGCTTGGTTATCATCGAAGCTCAGAGAGGTTTTACAGTTCTGCTAATACTCTGACAAAGGAAATGTCGAGGCGGTGTTTTTGGGTGTCGTATGATATTGATAGAGTTGCTTCATTTATCCTTGGCCTTCCTGTCGGTATTGCAGATACAGCCATTGATGCAGAGGTATGACCCACGCACTGCTTTGCCCGTTCTAGCGCTCAAGCATTAACACCAGAGCCAGCTCCCATCTGATATCAATGATGAAGACATCACTATTAATGGATTCCAATGCCCTCCACGCACAGATCCGACCGAGCCTGCCACGACCATGACCAGCATGCTCCACGCCACCAAACTGCGTCAAATATGGTCCAAGTTCAGTGATAACATCTATTTCAACAGCGTCCATTCTGCCCAAACCCTGGGAATGGTGCACGGCACTTCTGTTGAAAGCCTCCGCCAAGAGCTCGAGCAGTGGTACGCCATGACGCCGGTCCAGCACCCCAGTCGTCCGTCCCAGCCTCTTTCTGTTTTCGTGTCCAAAGATTGGTTCCAGTTGGCGTACGACTACTCGATTCTGTTGCTTTATCGGCACTGCATCACGAGCTCCGGTAATACCCTGGGTGACTACCAGCCCATGGCGTCGGAAAGCGTCTCGGGGGCACGGGACCGCGCTTTTGAGATTTGCGCCGAAAAAGCGCGGGACATCTGCCTGATCTACCGCCGTGTGTACCAGATCAACGGCTCGGCCGTGCAGTTCACTTGGGGGAGCTTGCATATCCTCTTTTTAGGAGGCCTGACGTACCTGTACTGCCTATGGCGCTCTCCCTACGTGCGCCAGCAGATGCGCCCCATCAATGTCATGAATACGTGCATGGCCTGTACTACGGTGCTCATCATCATTGCCGAACGCTGGCCACAAACGGCGGCGTACCGAGACATCTGGGAAAGCCTCTCAGAGCGCACCATCAAGATGATATGTGACGGTACTGAAAAGGATGTACCCAACGTAGGATTGTCTGCAGGGTTCGATGGCTCTCTCGACCCGTCAAAGAACAGCGACATGGGCAGTCTGGACCCAGCCGACGCATCATGGACGACCTTGCAAGGGCTAGATACATTTGTGCCTCTGGAAGACTGGATCATTAACCTCGAGTACACAGCAATACCAGGGGATCCCCAATGGCTGGCCCAGGAACTCCTCCAGGGTTTGAGGGGGCAGGATCCCATGCTCGGGCCTTTGCAGGAGTAGCATAAATTAGACTAGACGATGGAGCAGTATTCCACTGTCGTGGACTTAGTTACCGGATGTCAATGGCGAGCTCCGCATTACCACCGAATTCCAGCTGCAAATAGTCAATGACTCACTCGGGCAGTCTCAAACCAGTGGCAGATTTTGGGGGAAGGGTTCTGCCGGCTTCCTCCGCGTCCGCTACGCACTCGGAGATCCCCGAGCACGACCCGGGCCAAGATGGGGTCCTCATTGCTCTGGCTGCTGCGGCTCAATCCCTGCCAGAATGAGTAAGTGCATTGGATTGATTGTCCATACGTCACTCGTCATATCCGAATAAAACGCTCTGCTTATGACCACCTATCTATAATGCCGGACGAGAGAGCGAGAAAGACGCTGTTATAGACATCATCTTTGCCATTGGATCTGCTCACTAATGACAAAAATTATCTTGCAGCATGGCGTCGAAGACCAGCACGCAGACCACCGGTCCGAGCGACAAACTGCCCCTCCATGCTTCTCTCAGTGCCAAAAAGTCTGGAGAGGTAAAGAGGCTGCACCACATTCCCCGCCCGGAAGCCCTCGAGGACCAGCGGCGATGGCAGCTTGAACAGATGGCTGGTGCCTTTCGCATCTTCTCCAAGCTGGGCTTCGCAGATGGCAGTAGCGGCCACATCAGCCTCCGCGGTATGGTGTAGATGCAACGGCCAAGGACACGTCACTAACGACAACACTCTACAGACCCCATACGCCCAGAGACGTTCTGGATCAACCCTTACGGCGTCCACTTTGGCGTTCTCAAAGTCTCCGATATGGTTCACGTCGACCACCAAGGTGATCGCATCGGCGGGGGCGAGGGGCCCGTCAACAAGGCGGGCTTCATCATCCATAGCGCCATCCATGAGCGGCGGCCCGACATCCACGCCGCGTGCCACATGCACAGCCCGTACGCCCGCGCCTGGAGCACTTTTGGCCGGCCCATCGACATGGTCAACCAGGACAGCTGCATGTTTTACGACGACCTGTCCGTCTACGCGTCCTTTGGCGGCGTCGTCTTCGCACCGGAAGAGGGCGGGAAAATTGCCGATGCGCTGGGACCGCACCACAAGAATGTCATACTTCAGAATCACGGTATCCTGACGTCGGGCGGCACCGTCGCCGAGGCCGCGGCTTTTTTCATCGCGCTGGAGCGTGCGTGCCAGACGCAGTTGCTACTCGAGTCGGCCGTCGCCCCAACCACCCTGGGCGGGGCAGTGAGCGGCCTGCAAAAGACGTACGTGTCACATGAGGAGGCCGAGTATACCAAGGCGGGCACCGGGACGCCCGAGGTGATGTATATGCAGTTTGTGCCAGAGTATCAGCTCATACTCAAGGAATCTGGGGGAGACTTTCTCGAGTAGTTTCTTGAGTTGTAGTTTGTATTTTATCTTGAATATATATTCACTTGAAACAACACTCTAGCTAAGGCCTTGGCCTTTACACACGGAAGAGGTTTCATTCTGTACAAGACTGCAACAAGTTATATGCTTGTAGGCTGATCGTGAGCTTTTGGCCGTCAACCCCTACGCAAGGTCTGCAGAGGCTTCGGCTCAATACCGAGTACACAACCGGCTGGTTTGGCCTACAAATGGACACGATTCATTCCCGACCACATCGATTAACGGCCTTCGCCATATTGGTGGAGATAGCGGCCATCTGGGTTTCCCTAGAGCCAAAATCGCAACAAAGCCTGGGTTTCCCCGTATTGCAGAACGGGATAAAAAGCCGTTTTCGAGCGTGTTGGGGGCGGGGGCAGAGCAATTCGCCGTATTCATGATCCCATCGTTTTCTAAGCTAGTGAGCCCAAGTAGACCTGATGACTCGGGAGAATCCGACTGTGTCACCACACTGGATGGAGGCAGCCGAGACGTGCCAAACAACGGCTTGAGCTGCTCCCTTATCTCTGAGCCTCGTCATTTGGCCAGGCCCGACTTGCTATCACCTGAAACCTAGGTGTGTACGGCATCTCCCTGTTGACATCAGTGCATTCATTGCCCGGTCTCGGCTGTGCGGAGGCTTGGAGACACTGCAGTAAGATTGGACCGCAATTGATCTTGCCGTTCTCGTCTGTTCCATTCCTTGTCGCTGCATATCTCGACTGACACTGTGGCATCACCACTTTGATTCAAGAACGCTCCTATCTATTAAGAGACCAACGGTATTGTCAAGCTTATGACGAGCCATATTCGACACATCCGATCCAGCGCCTGTAATCATACCGGGAAGTGGCGTCTTTGGGCTCAGTACAGCCATCCACCTGGCCAAACGAGGGTACCGAAACGTAACGGTTCTCGACAGGCAGCATTGCGATGAGTATCTCTACTCGTACCAAAGGGGCGCGGACGGCGCGCAAACAGAGTACCAGGATCTCGCTACTGAATCCATCGAGTCCTGGCAGACAAGGCTTGCCTATTTGCCCTTCATGGGAATTGAGTTGTGGACATTATGGAGGAGGATAACTTGTCCGGGTCGGCCGTTCAGGCGTGGCGCTGGAGACCAAGTCATGGCGATCCGATCAACTCCCTTATGGAAGGTTCACAAGGAAAAATAGCTCTGGGAAATATCTCTTTAGGCAGGGAGTCGCAGGTCAAGGACAAGGCGATCCCTAGATTGCGAGTATGTTGATGTGTAGTTTACTCTACAAACTTTCTCAGTCTCGTAGCTTTGAACTATCCCACCTTTTGCAGAATATTTCAGTGCACATACGGCATTCATACAATGTACTATGTAATTCTAGTTTGCTTATGATGATTGAGGGCTGCTTCTCACATGTTTGGTCTGTAATGGTTCAAAATATGATTTATTAAAATGCTGTTCAAGATATTCGACTATGCATAAGATGTGAAATACCACCCTTTCAATTGCTCCCCAGAGGCAGCTGCTTGACTCCAGCTGCCTTGCTCATCTCCAGGAAGCTATTCTCAATGCTCAACTTTTGTGCTAGAAAGTACAAGCTGTGAGGATCAGTAATCCGGCAGCCCATTGCAGCCTCGAAGCCCTCGGGGTCTGCCCAGGGTTTGAAGCTGGGTTTGCGACTGTCAGACTTATTGCCTAAATTGGATTGAAAGATTCCCGCCGCCGAAAATGGTAGAAAGTCCTCGTATGTAATGGGTTTCGCCTCTAGGTAGCCCTGCTCGACGAGCTGGTACACATTCTCCATGGTAAGAAGAGTATCCGTCCCCGCGTCCGTCGTCAGCGGTTTGCCCGTGTACTGGAATTCGAAATAGACTAGGCCCTGCAAAAGAAGCTGGTGCCAATCATCGGGATACTTTTGAAAGACATGCTTAAGCATCTGATCAAATGCTTCAGGCTCCTGCCCACTGCACAATTCCATGGTTTCGTCGAGCAGCCTATCGTAGAGCTGTCGGCCAGCTAGGGTCACGGCCGCGCCGCGTTCCTCAATCTCGCCAAAGCGGGCTTTGTGCGATCCACTAACAAGTTGGTCCTGGGCTTTGAACTTGATTGGCTCTTCGAGAGCAAGGAAGCTCGTCTGTCTGAGCAGGATCGGACACGCACGCCGGGGGGGCCCTTCGATTCTGTCCTTGACCGCGATGCCCTCCATGCCCATGGCGCTGTGGGCCAGGCTGATGTTGAGGGTTCGGGGGGTCAGGTGGTTGATATGTGCCGTTTTGAAGCAAGTGATGTCAGCGAGGATGGGATGCTGAGCCTTGAGCATGTTATACTCGTCGCTTGTCGAAGAGGCTACAGGGGCCCAGCTAAAAGTCTTGAGGGCCTCCCGGATAAATGTATCTGCTTCATGTGCATACAATCCATGCTGTCTCTCGGCTAGCGCCAGGATGGCCATCAGCTCGTCGGTGAAGATATTTCGCTGCGACAGCAGATGAAGCGCCAGGTTCCGGGCCTGTTCAGACCGAACCAAATCTGGTCTCAACAACGTTGTGAAGACGCGAAAGGGGTTCGTGGCGAGGGAGGAGTTGTCGACCGGTCGAAAGCAAGTGGCATGTAAGGGGAGTTTGGCGACGGAGAGGTCATAATACCCAACCGGCTGCATACCGAGCACTGCGAATACTCGGCGGATGGTATGGAGCTCCTCGGGCTTGCCTAGGCGGATCGCTCCGTGACGCTCCAGAGTCATGCGCTGCAAGCTGTCAGAGTTTATACGTCCGTGTCGGGCCTTGCGATTGACCTCGGTCACGATACGGATGAGGTCCCCGTAGAGAGGGACCTCGTCCCTGTACATTTGTGACATGGCTGTCGCAAAAGCAGTGCGTAGGCTGTCCGTCTTGACAAGCTCTCCATGGTGATTAGAACTGACACCAAACCTGGGCTCAGAGTAATGCAAGATTGTCGCCATCTTGGAACGATCGACCAGAGATGATCAGAAAGAGGTACGCAAGGTGTTGAATAGCGGGATATTGTGTGGCTCATCTGATTGTGAATCGTCTTTGCGGACCCTATATTGTACAATATATGCATACTACACGTGAATTCATTTCCACTTTGCTACTTCCCTCGGATTTCAATCTGCCATCACTCGCGGCATCCTCCGAATCTCGAGCTCCCGACTTCTCCTAGCATTCACCGTTACGTCGGATTGAATGGCCGGTAGTGAACAGACCTAACAGCACAGTTGACGTGGGGCTATGGGCCGGTCGGGGAAAGCCGCACACGGGAATGAGAAACCGCAATGACGATGCATCTACCTCGGGGGTTCCCGGTGAACAGTTCGGAGGGACGTGCGATCGTACTTTAACAGAACCGATGGGAGTCTGAAACACCGTGTCTTGCCCTAAAAGTGTGGGTTGACTAGGATACATATAGCTGTAAAGCAAAGCAAACGATTGATTGAAGCAAGGTTGGATTGATGTCTAAGGAAGAAAAAGCTATCTGTTCAATCCGACAGAAGGTGTTGACCACACAGCCTGCAACAGCCGGTATACAGGGGTTAAGGAAATAAGGTTGATTGAATTAACTGCCTACTGATCTCTCCGGGGGTTCCGGAGGGTTATTACTAGTTACAGCTGCAGTTATGTAATCTTATTTTATTTTAATTCTTAATAAAATTATAGCTTTTAGAGCGAATTGCAGACCTTATATTCTAATATTCTAATAAGACCTTATACAGGGTGAGGTTACTGTTAATCTAATGTCAAAAAAAGTAGATCTGATGTCTAGTGGGGCTTCGGCAGAACTTCGGGGCAGAATTCCGCACATATGCGGCGCATCAGCAGAGAGTACAGTAAGAGCACAGTGAGAGACAGCTAGGCCGGGCTTACAGCAAGAGACTGTTATTCATACTGTACAGATGTGTGCATATGCTGAGTATTTGCGAATTTCTCACCGCCTTTAGGTCATGGGACCCACTTAACATTAGATCTACTTTTTTCGACATTAGATCAGCTGCACGCCCACACAGGGTTGGTGGTTCTAACTATTCCTCAGACGGCTGAACAGTCTCAGCATATCACGTGACCTAGGCGGAGCGGCCCATGACGAGGGCGTAGCATCACCCCGCAACCTAGCGACCTGCATACTGTTTTCTCGTTCGCAGCAACCTCGGCTGAGACGAGTCAGCACGAAGCGACGGCACGTATAGATGGAACACTCAAGGCCAAATCAGCACCGTGAGAAGCGAGCACGGGCTTCAGAACGGGCTATGCTTGCTTGCATCAGCTGCAAGCAGAGGAAGCTCAAGGTATGCCTTCTCGCTTGTGTGTCCTGCTGTTGGATTTAGTCTAATCCTACCAGTGTGATAGGGACCTTCCGCGATGTGGGAATTGCGTCAAATGGGATCGAGGTACTCCCACCGCAGCATCCTCCAGGCCTTCCACGCCCACGTCCTTCTATGCTAACGTAGCATGTTCTTCTGCATAGAATGCCTAGTCGAAGACAATGCGACTGGGCAGCCTCGCCCACGTAATTACGTCCAGGAGCTGGAGCGCAAGATTGCGCATCTGCAGGGTGTCCTGAGTCAAGCTGGACCCGGCCACAACGTACAGCAGTCATCAGTGAGCACCTTGGCATCAATAGCGATTGCTTCCTTGTCCCCCATGACGTCTGGCATCGTGTCATTACTCAGGAGCTAAGCCTGGCACAGTGTAACGGAGAAGCTAGCTGCAATCTTCAAACTCAGACCCAAGCCAACGATCTGCCCCTTGAGTACGACACGCCTCGTGTATCGGCGTCACCTCATGAACAGGAACCACCCGATAAGCTCTCCAACGATGTGGCATGGCTCTGCGTTAAAACAGCCGGCCAAGATTCTGAATATCTGGGACCCACCTCGGCCGTATCGCTGGCGCGAGTTGTGAGCTCGGCTATGAAGCTACCCAAAGGTGGTGGAAGCGCCGGGTATGATGAAGGCATTGGCTCTACGAGGACGCACACTGTGCCTGCCCATCGAGTGAATGGAATTACATCTGCCCCTGCTTCGCACCGAGCGATGCTCGCGACTGTGTATCTTGAGAATATTCACCCGCAATATCCTTTCCTTCACTGGCCAACCTTCGAGGAGTGGCAGAATGTCTCGACCGAGACCGGCTTCAGCGAATCTAGAGCCGTGCCCTCATTCTTCCTGTGCATGGTAGGCCCATAAAATTTTCGATTTTTATCGGACCAGGGCGTTCGATATCAGTGTCCGAACTAGATGTCCTAGGCTAAGCGAGAATATTGCCATAGGTGTACGCGATCGCTTCCCTAACTCTCGGCCCACTATACTACAATGATGCCGAAGCTTATCAAGCAATAGCTCTTGAACACCATCCAGCAGTACTGGACTTGAACTCGCTTGAGTCCGTCCAGAGCCTCCTCGCCTGTGCAGTGTATTCGATCCGATCGCCTGGAACATCCGGTCTATGGTAGGCTCACATCTTATCAGGACATTACCTTGGAATTTAAGGCTTGGCCAATGTCGTTATGGCTGACGCGCAGGATAACGAATATAGGAAGTTGTCGGGTATGGCTATGAGGCTTTGCATAGAGCTCGGATACCATCGAAGCGTTAGCAGGTACAGAAGACACGCGAATCCCTTGGTCGCTGAGATCTCCAAGAGATGCTTCTGGGTGGCTTACGATATCGACCGTATGATTTCTTTCTATCTTGGTCGTCCCATTGGCATATCGGATGATTGGATTGATGTCGAGGTAAGGCTCAACTTGCGCCGCATCCTCGATGCTCCTGCTTGTAGAGGCATGTCCCTGATCTCTTGTGCAATAGTTGCCGCTCGATCTTGACGATCAATGTATTTCCGCGACCAGGATCTCACATGAAATGAAAACGACGCCGACCACGATGATTACTGGTGCCTTGCATATGATCAAATTGCGTAAGATATGGACTGTCATCAGTACAACCGTATACTCTCCCGTGCAGCAATCTTCCGACACCACCTTACACCCGAAACGACTTCGTACGGAAAGCATTTCTCAAGAGATTGACCAGTGGTACCGCAGCTCCCCAATATATCCACCCTGTCCCTCCCTGAACCCCATGTCCGTGTACGCGACGAGCGACTGGTTTTGGCTCGCCAACGCTCACACAGTTCTCATATTGTACCGATACTGGTTGGTTCATGACCCTGCTTCCACAGATGACCCCTTCATCGACCGGGCATTTTGCATATGCCAGACCACATCTCAACAGATGTGCTTCAAGTATCGCAAACTCTTCCGAACTCCAAACCTACAGTTTACGTGGAACTTGGTTCATGTGTTGTTCCTTGCTGGCATCACCTATATATACTGCATTTGGAAGTCACCCAAGTTGAGGCGCGAGACTCGGCACATTGATGTAGTCAACACCTGCGTCGCCTGTCATACGGTGCTTGTCATCGTAGCCGAAAGATGGCCTCATGCCGCTGGAATTCGCAGCATATTCGAGTTTCTTTGGGAGAAGACGATTGAGCTGGTTTACGGTGAGGAGGGTGCTCGGCGGCCACTACAAGCTGGTCAAGAGCGCGAAGAGGGAGATGTGCAGCCGCACATGATGCAAGACTGGTTAATCGGCCTAGAAGATACCGCGTTCTCCCAGGACTCCGATCACCTGCTGCTGGAACTATTGGGCGAAGTCGGTGATGGAGCCTGGGATCCGCACATGTTTCAAGTCGGCGGAACTACACCATTTGACGAGGGTGTGATGGTGCAGAACGGACAGTTTGAACCATAAATCTATGTATTTCTTAAGTGTAAAGACCAATTCTTCGCTATGATACATTAGGGTCAAAGCTGGGCTTGGGTCTTCTCGGACCATGTGCGGGGGTTTCGCCGTCTAAGTCCTGCGTAGAACCATTCTCCGAGAGTGTACACATCATAGACGGGAAGTCCCGTTGCCTTTTGCACGGCCTCGCCGTGGGGTCCCATGTTTGTGCATTCCAGTACAATGCAAGCCACATCAGGGTGATTGGCAACCAGCATCCTTGCCTGTTGGATAATTTCACTCTCCAGTCTCCTCGCGTCCAAGGGCTCGGTTTGGGTGACGAACGCTTGCAAGTGACCCTCTGCCGGAGCTCCCGATATCTTGATCCTCGTTATGTCAATATCGAGCTCCCTGAGATGCTTATCGTTAAGACGGGTGGCATCATAAGTCATGATTCCTACAGAGGCTGCGGGCGGAAGCATGGAGCAGAGGCTAGGTATCTGGACAAGTGCTGAGGTGGCAATTGGTATCGGCAACCTACTCGAAAGCCTGCAGCTGCGTGAGCTTGCGATGCTTGAGGGGTGAAGGAGGGATCCAGCTTTGTGTTGACATACCTCTTTTGCGCCAGCGCCAAAAACCCACAGCTAGTCATGATGCCGACAGCGCCGCGTTCAGCAAGCTTGAGACCAGCAGCGACAAACCCGTCAAGAAATGAGTCTTCGTATGGTACATCCGTGACAAGTGAAGAAACAGCCGTGTTACGGACCGTCTCGCGGATCAACGGGAAGCTCCATGTATGTTCGTTGTAGGGGTCACCGGGCGGCCTAGCAATGTCTACCTCGACAGCGAGGAAGCCCAACGGCGCAGCAACCTGATCCTTGGATGCCATGGCTGCGTTTCTATGAGATGAACCGATTGTGGCAGATCAACCGAGCTGTGTTGAGTTGAGTTGTGTGGGACAAACCTAGGCGGTCGGGGCCTCATATTGCCTTTCCAAGGTCATGAGAGTTGGTGTTGGCCTCGATTGAAGCTTCGACTCGGGGGTCTCGGGCATCACCACATCACACCTCCAAAGCCCCCACACAGCACCGCTCGGATTTGTCCGAAGTCGAGGGACGTGCTTGCGGGGTTTTCCGTGTGGAGCGCGGTTTGCCGAACCGCACTTGTCTCGGCTTTTTCCAACTGGAAAGTTCCGGCTTGTAAACGTGATGAGGCCCTGTCTTACTATACATACATACCGGTGCCTCGCAGGCACTACTACCTGGTATTTTGCCGCCTCATCCCGTGTTGTTGGATATTATTTACGTCATAATCAGGCTAGCAAAAGTCTTTGCACACTTGCCATCACCAAAATGTCTACCTCTCAGTCTGGTCAAAAGCCTTTGATAGTTTGTCTTGGTTCTACAAAGTACCTCGACAATGCCTATCTAGACAAGTTCCAGGAGCACTTCAACTACAAAGTACTTGACGCGCAAGACCGTGCCGAGACCATTGAGAAGCTGCCAGCCCTGATCAAAGAACATGGGCCTGTTGAGGGATTCATCATCCGCATGGGTACACCGCCATATGAACCCTTTGACGCCGAACTCCTCCAATCCTTGGCTCCCGGATGTCGCATCATCACGTCTGCTTCTGCAGGCTACAACGAGTTTGATGTCAAGTGGATGGCAGAGAACGGTATCCAGTTCTGCAACTCTGTTGATGCGGTAGCAGAAGCGACGGCCGACATGGCCATTTTCCTGCTCTTGTCAGTCCTCAAGAATGCGACCAACGCAGAGAGAAGCGCAAGGGCAGGGCAATGGAAGAAGAACCTGGTACCGACCAGGGACCCAACAAATTTGACTGTGGGCATTGTGGGTATGGGATCCATTGGAAAGGTGAGCTTGGCTTGCGCTGCACGATTGCTGCTATCTCCCCCCTGACGCTAACTGCCTCGCCGATCAGTATTTTGCAAAGAAGGCGGCTGTTTTCAATCTCAAAATAAAGTACTACAACCGCAACCGATTGTCTGTAAACGACGAGACGCTGTACAATGCGACGTACTGTTCGTCGTTGCACGAGTTGCTTGGTTGCTCCGATATCGTATCTCTGCACTGTCCTCTTAATGCTGAGACCACCAATCTCATTAGTGAGCCAGAGTTCGCTGCCATGAAGGATGGTGCGTTCCTCATCAACACAGCGCGTGGGGCAGTCATCAAGGAGTCCGCGCTGAAGGAGGCGCTCAAGTCGGGCAAAGTGGCACGAGCAGGCTTGGACGTCTTCGTCAATGAGCCGAGCCCTGACCCTTGGTTCTTTGAAGAAAATAACAATGTCACTATTCAGCCTCATCTGGGGGGCCTCACTGATGTGGCTTTTTACAAAGCGGAGAAGGAGTGTTTTGAGAACATCAGTGCTCTTTTCCTCCGCGGCAAGGCGAACAGTCCTGTCAACCTCCACCTCATGAAGCAGTAGTGAGCTGGGGACATTCCAAGCACTAAAATACATGATAGAATACAAAATATAAAGACCAATTTTATAACATAGAGAGAGAGAGAGAGAGAGAGTAAAGTGAGAGAAGCATCATTGTTAAAATACATCTATATACTCAAAACAACCTTGCGTGTGTATGTCGAGACGTCAAACCACAACATTAGTTAGCAATTGAAGTGCCACAAACAGATGTCTCGGAGACCTATTTGCCTTTATGTGCCTCATGGGTGCATCAGGATCCTAGAGAAGCGCTCCGCACTGAATAGATGACACAGTGATGGGAAGAGCTTGAGCAACTATCCTAACGTGTATAAGGTACATAGTACATACGCTTACGACCAACAACTCGCACGCATAAGACATGGGTATAGCTCATCATTCAATTACTCAACACACCTAATAACTAACACATTCTTGGACTAAAGCAAGGCGCATGATGTACCTTGAACAATCTTCACACCAACCCATCTGGTTCAACCTCTTACCCCATCAACACCGAACCGAATCTTTCTCACCTTTCCTCATCAACAGATGGAGTAGCCTTGAGAATCTTGGTTTGCGTGGTGGCGGACCCGCTCTCGATTCTAACCAGAGGTGTCAGCAAGTCTCCGTGATCCTCTGGACCGTCTTTCACTCACCCGTTAATGCCAGGGAAAGCCTTCGCCCTAATCTTCTTTGCCTGGGAACTCATCCTCCACCATGAACCAGTGAATAAATCGTTCATCTCCTCCACGCTCAACCCTGCAGTCTCAGGGACAGTAAAATATGACCAGGCCAGAGAGAAACAGCAGATGCCTGTGAAGAAGAGGAAAGCGCCCCAGTTATTCATACTGGAGAGGATGTTTGGCGTTGCGAACGTCATGCCAAAGAAGAACCACCAGTGAAAAGCCTGTGTGAAAGCAGAGCCGAATGAACGGATCCTGTTGGTCCACAGTTCTGCACCAAAAACATAAGGTAAGATGAGAAGACCTGTGGAGGAGGAGGAGAGGGGAAACTCGGTCAGCTATGATCTAGAAAAGGGTAGACACATCACTACTTACCGATTGCCCAACCAAAGCCGTGGATGAAAATGGCTGCAATCGCCGCCTGGGAAGCAGAGGGAGAGATGTCGGCCCCCGCTTGCTTCTGATGGATAAAGACGGCAATATAAAGGTCGGAGATGGCTTGGATGATGATACCAATGAATAGAGAATTTCGACGACCAACTGCGTCGATGAAGAAGAAGGATGCGATTAGAGTGTAAAAGAGTTTGGACAGTGAGTAGAACCCCGAGATCGTGATGGAATGGGCCCTATCGCCACCTTGACCGAGCATATCCAAGATGGCGACCAAGTAGCTTGTCAAGGAGTTGGCACCAGACAGTTGTGCGAGACAGTAGGCAACCGTGACTAGCAAAAGGCGGCGGAGATTCGAGGGGACCAGTAGTGCCTCCTTGATGATGGATAGGCTTCCTCCATCACCATGCAAGGCGCGGTCACGTTCGAGCTCATCGCGAATGCCTTGGATCTCCTGAACGACACGAGGATGGTCCAGCGGCAAGCCTCGAAGCTTGAGGAGGGACTTGATACCTTCTTCCTCTCGGCCCACGAGCATCAGCCAACGAGGCGATTCGTGCATGATGAAGAAGCTCAGTACGATGACTATACTGACAACAATGGTGGGAGCAAAGAAGACGATCTGGTACTGCAGCCTGGATGACTCGAGATATTTAAGGCAGGCCAGAGAGACAAAGGGGGCACTCGTTAGCGCCGTAAGCATTACGACATTGAACCAGACGGTGAGCAGGCCACGAATCTCTGGGGGAGCAATTTCCACAATGGAGATGGGACCGGTCACAGTCAACGGCCCTATCCCGAGCCCCGAAACAAGACGAGCAGCATACAGCACGCCTAGGTGGCCGTTGGAGAATGTGGCAATCAGCTGTCCAACGATCCAGATGAGAAAATATAGCCGCATGGACCAGAGCCGGCCGATGCGATCGTTGATGAAGAAGGACACTGCAGAGCCGAGGCCAGCGGTCAAGAAGACGAAGGATACGAAATTGGAAATCTCTTTGGGGTTCGCGGCCGACTGGATCCCAAATGCAGCTTGGAAGCCGGGCAGCGCGGGAATGACGGAACTGGAGGCCTGATCCCAGGCTTTGGAGGCCAGTCAGTTGCTTGTGGTTGATGGTGATGGAGAGCCATGGTGGCATGAGGGGGAGGTGACTTACAGATACAGATCCCTGACATTGCGTAGCCAGCCGCCGAGAGGAGCAAATGTCGGTTGAAGATCATGCTGCGCGGCGATGCCTTGATGGCTCGGACATAGCGAACAAATGTCGTGTTGCTCAACTTGTCATTCAACTTCATGGTGGGCAAGAAGGTTGGTGTGTGCTCTGGTAAAGTGTTTGGGGCGACAAAGTCTCAGTTGGAGAGAACAATGCTGCATCAACACCGAAGGGACGCAGGTGAGTTATAGGCGAGTTCGAGAGACGTCAACCTCCACCCCAACCTCAGAAGACCGAGCCAAGGGGACCGCACTCGACCGGGCAGCCTATCTGCTGCTAGGCTCAGCTCAGCTAGTACCAGAGGAGATAGTTTCTGTTGCCACGCACTAGACATATGTCGAGATAACCTAGTGACACGGTTCTCCGCATCGATCGTACAGGATTTAGATACAGGATTCAGATACTGGGGGACACCGAATCTGCCCCGCAGATTGCCAACCCCATGGGCATCGGGGCGATACGCTCACGATGATGGATTGTCTGACGGCAATTTCCGAAAGACACGGACGGTCCAAAGTAGCGTCGGGGCCTTTGGCATGACTCGTCGAACAACCGGGACAGTCACAACGGACATTTCCGGCTTCAGTCTTGTGGCGGTTCGATATCAATGGCACGACAGGTTGGATGCGGTCAGCCATTTATCTGCTCTCTCTCCATGCTAGCAGGAAGCGTTTCTATGCACTAGCTCCTACAATACTTCTGACTCTTACCACGTGGAGGCCAAGCCGCAATCGAGTGCACTGTCATCATGGCGTCGTCGCCCCTCTCTAAGCAAGACCCAGTCATCATTGTTGGTGCTGGAGTCTTTGGGTTAAGCACTGCACTGCACCTTGCCCAACGTGGATATTCCGCCATCACCGTCTTTGACCGTCTGGACTATGACAATTCTGAATACTCCTATCTCAAAGGGTGTGATGCGGCATCCGCAGGTAAGCAATGTCTCCTGGATCACGGCATCTCCTGGATTTGGTCAAAGCTCACACACCCCCGGCATAGATATCAACAAGATTGTCCGAACCGGCTATGGGAAGGAGACCATGTATTCGGACCTTTCACTTGAAGCTATCCAGGAATGGCACTCTTGGAATGCGCAAATTGCGGCCGGAGATGTCCCTCCTGGCATGGAACCCAACCAAGTCGTCTTCCGGCCCAATGGAGTTTTGGTCATCAATGAAGGATCGAATGTTCCCGACTTTGAAATGGCATCCATCAAGTCTATAGCCGACAGCGGGCTTGCAGGGACGCAGTTTCTCTCCACGCTGCCGGGTCAAGAAGAGGCGGCAAAGAAGAAGGGATTCAATATGGATCCCTTCCAAACCAGAGCCAGAGGGCAGCAAGTTGTAACGTTGCTTGATAGCGCCGGAGGAACTGCCATCGCGGACAGGGCTTGCTTATTCGCTGCTCACAAAGCGCGATCCTTTGGCGTCAAGTTTGTGCTCGGCCCCCAAGCTGGATCACTGGAATCTGTCCTGTACGGACCAGGTGGTGAAGCCATAGGCATACAGACCAAGGACGGAAAGCAACATAGAAGCCGTCTGACCGTGCTAGCATGCGGTGGCTGGACACCCGCCCTGCTACCCGAGTTGGACGGCTTGTGCGAGGCGACAGGAGGCGCCGTCGCTGTGTACCGCATCCCTCGAAGCTCTCCGTTATGGGACCGGCTATCCCACAAGAACTTTCCCGCATTCAATTTTCGAATGAGGGACGGCCATGTCGGTGGGCTCTATGGCTTTCCACGAGACGACAATGGCCTCTTCAAGATTGGATACAGAGGGACCAAATACACCAACCCTAAAACTCAACCCGATGGTAAAACCCGCAGCACGCCGGTGACACGCTACACCGAGAGTGAGAAGATTACCGCGATTCCCAAGCAGGCCTCTGAGGTCCTGCTGAAGTTTGTTTCAGAGTACTTGCCCGAACTGGCACAGGAGGGCCTGGGCGTGGACTTCACACGGATGTGCTGGTATACTGACACATTCGACAATCACTTTGTGGTAGACAAGGTGCCCAACCGGGATGGACTGATGGTGGCAACTGGAGGGAGTGGTCATGCTTTCAAGTATCTTCCCAACATAGGCAAATGGGTTGCAGATGTTATCGAGGGTATAGGCCTGGATCGACCGGCCGTTCAAGCCTGGCGCTGGCGGAGCCAAGGGAACGAGTCGCCGGCCAACGTTCTTTCTGAAGGGCCATCTAGCTCACGGGCTCTACACAATGTAGTGTTGGTGAAGCCAGAGTCCCGCGGTCCAGATATTAGAGCAAGACTCTGAGCGGATGGAAATAGATGTTGTACTAGGCGACTATTTCATGTATGGCGAGAGGGTAAATAAGCCTGCATTTTTGTGGTGGGTAGAAACTCTTTTTTTTCTAACCTCTAAAGTTATCCTTTAGTAGGATCATAGCTCTATACCTACTAGGCGACTATATAGATGTGGTCATGGCAACGTGCATAGACTCATTCAGGCATCTAAGTTGTTTGCTAGTCGTCTGCTAGTTGTCTGATTCGTGATGAATAAAACATTTGAGATAGACCGAGCTCCAAAGACTGGCTATTAGTGTGCTGCATACATGGAAACGACGGCCATGGAGTCACCATCTCTTTGCAATGGATGACTCGACGATTACCCGGGTGTCTCGGTCAAGTCCAAGGTCCAGTCTCAAGGTTGGTGGACCTCCAGACTGGGCCGCCATTTGGGGCGCTGGACATATCCGACCTCTCACTCCCCCAACAGTAGCCCACTTGGAAATCGCCGAAGCTGTAATGACGTCGGGTTAACCCATTAGAGGTCTTGATCCTAGTGGAGTGGAACCTTGTTTGGGTCGATATCAGCACTGTGACTTTGCGACTATGCCCATATGGTTAATTAGTTAGAACTCGAGTTCTCGCTCATCGCTTGCTTTCCGGCTCGAGGGTTATTCACTGGCCACCACTCCTTTCAGCTCATTACACTCTTCTTCTTCTTCTTCTTCTTCTTCTTTTCGAGGCAGATATCAATGCCTGACAACACAATGCAACTTGGACATTCTCGGCCGGCGGCCCAGTTCTCAACCGAGCTGCGAGAAAAAGTAACCAGATCCATTGCCAAGGCGTCGCATGACTTCCGCTCCGATGTTGTCACCGTACCAACTGAGGATATGCTGCAGGTAATCCAAGCCCCCGTGTAACTGAGCCGACCTGTAGGAAGATGACGGGAGGGTGATTGGAGGCTCACATCTGTATAGGCGATTCTCCATGCTTCCGTTGGAGACGACGTGTATGACATTGAGGGAGACGCCTCCACCAATGCTCTTGAGGCAAGAGTCCTAGAGTTGACGGGCAAGGAAGCCGCATTGTGGGCTGTTTCAGGAACACAGGCAAATCAACTTGGCCTCAGGACTCATCTCAATCAGCCACCGCATTCCGTCCTCCTTGATCACCGCGCCCACGTCCATTGCTCCGAGGTCGGCGCCCTTCCCTTGCTGTCCCAGGCGTCCGTCACCATGGTGGTGCCCCATAACGGCCTGCACCTGACTCTTGAAGATGTCAAGGGCAGAATCATACCGCAGGGAAACAGTGGGTGCTTTGCTCGAATCTCCCTTCATCGCGGCTTTGCTAATACATCTCGCAAATCATGTAGTCCATGCCACGCCTACCCGCGTAGTTTGCCTCGAAAATACGTTATCCGGAGTGATTCTACCACTCAGAGATGCCGAGGCTATCTCGCAGTACGTTCGGTCACTACCAGTTCCGCAGGGGCAACAGGCTATCGCCATGCATCTGGATGGAGCTAGGCTCTTCGATGCGGTTGTTGCAGAGGGTGTAGATGTAAAAGCGTACGTCGCTTGCTTTGACAGCGTCTCCATATGCCTTTCAAAAGGACTGGGCGCTCCCATTGGAAGTATCCTGCTCGGAAGTAAAGATTTTATATCACGGGCTCGAATCTTTCGTAAGATGTTTGGCGGTGGCACGCGGCAGCCAGGAATGATGACTGCCGCAGCTCACGCTGCACTCAACCACACGATACCCAGACTGCCTCTGGTACATTCCATGGCGCGGGAAACGTTCCAACGGCTGCAAGCCATTGGCTACACTGCATCTCTCCCTGTACAGACTAATATGATTTTGCTCGACCTACCCAAGGCCGGCATCTCGCCCGATGCTTTCATCGGTTATTGCAGGCAAGCTGGACTCCAAGTCACTTACAGTGGAAGGCTTGTGTTTCATCATCAGACATCTACTGAGGCCACCAACAAGCTGGTCAACGCCCTACAGCGGTTGATGGAGGACAAGAATCGGGGGCGTATTGAGGATTGTGTGGCGGTTCCATCGGCAGGACATTGCTAGTATCATGCCGCACAGGGAGCTCGTTCACAACTTCAACTTGGGATTGAATGGATCATACCTTGATTAGTTCAGTGTCCGAGTCAAATTGATTAGTATCGAGGTTTCTCATGCTCACTCTTGATAATCAATAAGTTTCTAGGGCAGAATGGTTGCTCGATGATGACACGCCATAGCATTACATGACAATCTTTTTCTTCCAGTTATGCCGATATATACTATGTTATTACCTTCACGTGTCTATACGTGTTTATACGTGTCTATACATATCTATACTAATGCCTATTTTTTTTTAAAACATAAATCAATAAATAAATAGATAAATAGTAATAACTTTAATATTATTACTAGGAGCTCTATTTATATAACTAAGTTTAAATAGGTTTAAAAATCATATTTATATATATATACATGTCCTAATTATTCTACTATCATAAATAAAACTACTATTATTGAAGCGGTGAGAGAGGCAGCCGTACATACACACGATACCCACAACCATAACATAGGGGTATATAGTATACAGTAGTTATCATATTAGTTACCAGCTTGATCACCCGTATTATAACTTATGATACAAAGACCTTGCTTATCTCGAGCGATTGAACAGTTTGAGAAGAGAGGGTCTCTCTCACGAAGGAAGTATTTAAAACGCTCGTCACAGTACCTCTTAAGACTACAGCCAGTTTCAATTGAACAGAGGCTTCGCAACCGGTCAGTCGATTCATTTGTCAGTTATAAGCTAGTATCCCAATTGAATGAAGGAAAAGGCGTATATTATCTCTCTAGGCTGCGAAAAACAGCTCCTTTTAACTAGGCCACTGAGCGGAATGACTCACGAAACCCGGAGCTTTTATCCCGGCTTCATTATATTCAAAGGTACATTGCCTAATAGACTAAGCCGAGGTAGATCAGTAGAGCAGCCCTTTCATACAAACTACACTAAAGGATGTTAATCCAATAGGCAGTAGGGTTAATCCTAGTGTATTGCTAAGTATGACCAAGTCACCCCTTGAGTGGGTGGACCTTGCTTCGGGGATCCCCATGCCCATTGAGCGGAGTTTTCCGCTCCATGTCACAGTGCGAAGCTCTCGTTGGAGCCAAGCTTTGATGCCAGCGAAGTGCAGGTGTCGGACATTGCCACGAGTACGCGCACTCTCTTTCCCGAAGCATCCAGGCAATGAATGGTGTTCGATATGTTCCTGTATATGAAAGGCACTGGGTGAGTTTGTTTTTGTCTTGATGATACTCTCAACCCCTCTCAAATTACAATCGTTAGGTCTACGGGACTTGTACTGGTTTACGACTCAAAATGGAGCTGAAGGATAAAACGTTACTAATCGACAAAAATTACATCGAAGGGAAGTGGCAGTCTTCAGTGACTGGCGAGGTATTCGAAATCTTTGGTTCGTCATTGTCTCGACCCAATCTCTGAAGGGGAGCTATGTGTAGGCCAGCATATTGAACTGAACGCTCCTAGATCCGGCCTCCGGCTTAGGAATTGGCACCTGCCCGGAATCCTCGACAAAAGATGTCGAAGCAGCCATTGCAGCTGCTGAGGCTGCATTCCAGTTCTGGGGTTCGACGATGCCCAGAGAGCGCGCGAGAGTCCTCCGCCGTTGGGCTGAGCTGATCTTGGAGAATGAAGATGATGTTGCCTTGATCATAACTCGGGAGAACGGCAAGATATTTGCGGATGCACGGAAGGAGGTTTTAATGGCAGCTCAATATCTTGAGTGGTTCTCCGAAGAAGCACCACGCATCTATGGTGATACCATCTCCCCGAGCTCTTCAAGCCTTGCTGAAATCACCGTGCGAAAAGAGCCGATTGGTGTCTGTGGGTTGATCACACCGTCAGTCACACAAGGCTCCTCCTTGTATGGACAGACTTTGCTGATGTAATGTATAGCTGGAATTTCCCGGCCGCCATGGTCACTCGTAAGATTGGGCCTGCTCTAGCCGCAGGCTGTACAGTTGTGCTTAAATCTGCCGGCGAAACGCCGTTGACGGCCAACGCACTTGTGGCATTGGGTGTCAGGGCAGGAATACCGAAAGGTGTTGTCAATGTTGTCAGTGCAATGTCTAATACCGTTGAGGTTGGATCAGTTATTTGCCGATCGAACATTGTGCGCAAGATCTCATTCACTGGTTCCACTAGAGTTGGCAAGCTTCTCATGGAACAGTCGAGCCCAACGTTGAAGAAGCTCAGCCTTGAACTAGGCGGCAACGCCCCTTTCATCGTGTTCGAGGACGCCGATCTTGATATTGCCGTCTCGAGCCTGCTCAACAACAAGTTTAGATGCTCAGGCCAGACTTGCGTTTGTGCCAATCGCATCTACGTCCAAGGCAGCATCTTTGAAAGATTCCAAGGGAAGCTAAAGAAGGCCATCGCTGGTTTGAAGCTGGGACCAGCTTCTAGTCCACAGTCTACCATGGGTCCTCTGATCACTTCTGCCGCTGTAAACAGAGTCTCCGCTCTTGTGAACGATGCCGTTCAAAGTGGCGCTGAAATTATTATAGGAGGTGAATGTTGCGCGGATCTTGGTATGTCGCCACACAGAAGCCATCCTCGTATCGTACATGCTGACCATCGTTCATGTCCGACATAGGCCCTTGCTACTATAAACCTACAATATTGACGAATATGAACCCCACTATGCGGATCGCGCAAGAGGAGATTTTCGGTCCTGTTGCCTGCCTGTTTCCGTTCGATTCTGAGCAGGATCTTATTAAAAAGGCCAACGATTGCGACGTCGGTCTCGCAGCCTACCTATTCACACAGACTCTGGACCGTATTTCTAGGTTGTCTAGAAACCTCCAATTCGGCATGATAGCCATTAATACTGGTATTGTGGCGGATCCTGCAGCACCGTATGTCACTAATTCTAACTACCCATCCTTGGATGCTAACTGCTTGAGTAGATTTGGTGGTGTGAAACACTCGGGCTTAGGTAGAGAAGGGAGTAAATATGGCATAGACGACTATGTGCAGCTCAAGTCAATAGTCACTGGTAGTGGGTCTTAAGGCTCTTCTATTGGTTGTTTATCGTGTAAACCAATCAACTGCTCTATTCTTGAAGGATTTCATAAGGCTTATATTGTTGTTAGCTAATTAGATATCTCTTCTTCCTCTTTCCTTCTTATATTTATAGGCAACGCCATGTTTAAATAAGGTTGAAGCCAAGATTGACTAGCAGTTAAAATAAAAAAGTGAGTGAAAGGGCGTTTGTGATAAAACTGCCTCCCCGTGTATCAGCAACAATGGCGGTGCGGCTACCTTTGTTACGTGCGCTGCCCCATACAACGTTCCTGTGGACCTACTACACAACTTAATCCTTACTATGAGAGCCGCATGCTGAGTGCTCAAATTTTTGGTCTGTGAGTAACCGGCGTGGCCCAGGAGGCTCCAAGCGCCCCAAACTGAATTGAAGTTAAGTTAAGAGGGCGATATTTAATATCCAGGTAGGCTGGACTTATCTAATATAAAATGAATAGAGATGTCATTTCTTTTTTCAGATCAGACTCACTTAAACATCTTTGTCCAAGGGAATAGCTCCTGCTGCTAGAAAATACTGCCATCACCTGTGTATTGTTACACCGCCAGTATGCGAAATTCGCATTGTTCAATGTTACGGAAGAGAGTTTCAGTTTCAAGTTAAAAATAGCAACGGAAGATACTAGGCCGGACATTTCCACACCACGAGTTCATTGTTACAATTGCGGCTTTACGGACATATACTCATGATTATCTTCTGTGTACCTTTGAATGTCCGGTTTCTCTGCTGGAGTTTTCTGTGCTGGAGTTCTATTTTACCGGTGTTGTAAAGCGGCATTTAGATTCGGGATTTCGATATCAAACGACCTTCAAATCTTCTCAACTTGGTAAACCAATAATTTCAACCGCGAGGCTTTTATACATTCTCTAAACGCGGTTCATATTTTCAGTTAAGGCGTGATTAGACTGCCTCATCTTAGTGCTGTTCACTACTTAGACAGCCTCCTCCGTACCAAACTGATGGAGTGCAACAATAGGATTAAAGAGCTCTGCTTGAAGCATGTTTCTGTCAGAACTTACACTAGTGACGCCTGTGGGATTCATCAAGTAACCCTCGACTCATCCGCGATCAAAGAACCAAAGTCGTTCGGTGGGGCTGAAGTATAGCCAACTTTCAGCTCGTTCTTAACGTTCTCGACCAGAAAATGAGCAACTTTGGAATAGACACCGACTTGGACACATATTTGGTTAACGGAGAAACATCTGCTAGAAATGTCTAGGCTTTAACGCAACTAATTGTGTGTAGCCTAGGCGAGGGTTCCATCATCGGAGATAATGTCAGCTGAATCACCTACGAGCTCAATAAAACACTTTCAACATGGCTAGAGGAGAGAGTTGTCCCGATCCTCCCAACTTTTGCGATCCTTATATATGTGCCTTTTCTGGCAGAGGGTGGGTTTGTGGGCTTCTGAGAGGCGAGGATACTCTCGTCATGGCAGTGACATAGGCAGCCGACCCGAAGCAACCTCTAGAAACCTAAACCGGGTCTAGACAGGAAACGATTTCTGCCTAGAAGTCTTACGCCTCTGTAAATCTTGCGCATCTGTAGCCTGACATCTGTATAGTGTGAATTTCAACACATACTGTCACGAATCAGCGTCTGACTCAGAGGGGCCTGCAATTGAATAAACAAAATAGCCAATCCGGGCCATTTATCAATTGCCTCTCCCATGTCATCATCGTGTAGGCCAACTCGGCATTCGGTTGGCTGGTCTTGTGGTGCGACCTGCAGCGAGGCAGCCAAACACTGCTGCTCACGTGGCTTCTGATCCCGCCGGAGACATTTGATGCAAACGCAATAAGGCAAGAATAAAAATAAGGCATCAACGCCGTTCACCTCATCTCATCGTTTCTGCACAATCCCTGCAGGCAGCACTCATCGCCCGTGATCCATCGACATCTCACCGGCCGCTCACTTCTCTCCGCATCAATTGCCAATCTCTCTCCTTTCCATCACCAGCTTTCATCCTCTTGAGAGGGCACCAGCACGATGATAACCGCGAGTCCCGAGATCCTCCACATCAACCCCAACCCGTGGCACATCCCGCGGCCCAAGAAACTCACCTTCATGCATCTGCCCCCCGAGGTGAGACTCCGCATCTACGAGTTCGTCCTCGTCGACATCCCCCGATGGGACAAGAAACATCATCTCAAGTGCCGCTGCCGCCCGCGCCTGGACACAGACGACACCGAGCACCCGCCCTTCCTCCAGAGCATGGTCAAGATCACGCCGCTCCCTCCCAAGTTTCACATCGCCACGACCACGCGGTGCGACTGTGCCAAACGCAAGGGCCTCTCTCTCCTCCTCGCGTCCAGGGAGATCAACCAGGCTGCCTCGCCCATCTTCTGGTCCCTCAACACCTTCTGCTTCCTCGACTCGATGGAGTTCCTCGCCACTGTCGGCCACAGACTCCGGCCCAAGCACCAGCAGCGCATCCAATCCGTCAGCTTCATGAGTCCTGATGCGAGGGGAATGCCGCGCCACGTCAGATTGTACGGCCGCCGGAGAAGGCACATCGAACCGTTCTGGCAGGCCATCAGGAAATGCATCCGTCTTCGCCACCTCGAACTGCCCGCCTGGTACATCAATCCTGCGCACTTCAACATCCATCGCAGCAACCAGCTCGCGAAGGCTCTACCTCATCTGCAGTCTCTGGAGATCAGCCATTTGCTCCCATATAGCAACAAGGCTCATTCCTGGGGATACCCGTCGCCATGGTACAAGCAGCCGGAGGAACGGACCTTCTACGTGCGCTGCTCCAGGCGAGTGCCTCTCGTGAGGGACGGATCGTGGACGAATCAGGCCGCAAAAGACCTTTTCCGGGAGCTGCAGCACAATTTTCGCGTGCATGTCAATACTGCCGTCAAGACGAAGCTGCTCGGAGCGACGATAGATGGCCTGGAGGAGTATCGAACCACGTTCAGGCTCCCGAGACAGCTGGATGAGCATAACTGCGTGCGCCGCATCACGCTGCCGTCGGGGGAGACGACGACCATTCGGTTCTATGGTCTGCGAACCAGCAAACAGACTAGACTTCACGTCGTTCAGGAGAAGAAGGCGCTGGATCAGAAGCAGAAGCTGAAAAATAACCGTACGCATGCGCAGCAGGAGGCGATGGACAGGGAAAAGCAGCGCAAGTGGCAAAAACGCAGATTTGAGGAAGATCTCGAACGTCGCAGGCATGATGTAGACCTGAAGCAACGGGATAGTCGGCTGGAGCTACTGAGGGAGGAGGAGGAAAAGCAGTCTAGGAAACTCGCGAGGGCTATCAAAAGAGCCGAGGACAAGAGGAAAAGCCTCCACCAGTCTGAGAGAAAGAAAACTATTCACATCAATAATTACTAAGGAGGCCAAAAATATCTTGATTCAGAGTCCATACTAGATCTCTGTCATTCGACTCATTTTTACAGTCTTCCTAGCTGTAATGCCATTTGGCCTTGAGCTATTCTATCACTGTCCAAAAAGATTAACTCCTGATACTATCCAAATGTTTCCCTTCTCATGATGCCTTCATATCCTGAAGTTTTGACCAGCAGTGTAGCTAGTAAAACGAGAGACTTTAACATCAACCTCTGCCGACGCCGTATATCGATCCCAGGCAACCCCTCCCCCGCCAACTCTAATCCATACCGAAGAGAGACTTTTGTGGTCAATATCCTTGCCTTCGCCCCAAGACTAACTCTTAATGACGTTTTGTGTCCCGCCCCATCATTCAGCGACAGTGCTAGCTCGTGCAGTCATGGGCTCTCGAACATGAACAGGTGGCACTGCTCCTGGTGCAACATAAACACCGGCCCTTGGTGGATTGGGCAATATGACAGTTGTCGTGGTCGAAGCAGACGAGCTGGAACTGGAGCTTGAGCTTGTGAAGGTGCGAGAGTGAGAGCGAGAGCCGGATAGCAGTAGGCTGAGCTCGTCGTTAAAATAGCGAAATAGGACGAGGAGGAGAGCTACAATCGCAACAAAAAGAAGCACCACAATGATTGCAATCACAGCGTTTCCCATCATTTTGCCCTTATGGCCGGAAAGCGAGGCCTGTAACAATTCGATGATTGTGGTGCTTGACCAATGAAGTCGGATGGGCGCCAACGGTAATTGTTGGCGACCGTGGTTTCAATTGAACAACGAAAAAAGGTATGCGTGTCTTCGTTCAATCTACTCTCAGGTGGCCTGATACGATCATTTGCTCTTGGCTGGAAGAAGTCTTGTTAACGATGGTTTGTTGTTCTCCAATAAGGGGGCGATGAGGATGGGTGATGAAGCCCTCTCGCTTGGTGCGCAATTGACATAGAAACAAGGGTAGAAAATCGAGAAGCGCCATGATCTGAGACCAGAGAGGGGACTCGGGCTTTTCTACGCACTCGGGGGACAGCAAGGACATACATCCTGGCCCCCATCCGTTTCTCGTGGCTACACAAACGGGCCCCTGCATCGAGCAGAAGTATTGAACACGGCCTTGATATTGGCTTAGTCAAGACAAGCCAATCGAAAACTCGATCATTCCCTCGTCGCCTCTGAAGCCCCCCAATATATCCCAATATATGCTTTCCTTTTCTCAGGTTCCTCGAGCTTGGCGAGTCCTACGTTGTTGTACATCGTAGCTCGTTAGAGCCACACAATGGGTAGGTGGGACATGACACATCCTTGGGGATGCAAGATTTGGGATGGGCGTACGATAAGAGACCATTAGAATATCCTGCATGGGGTGGTTCTCACACAATGGGGGGATACATGTTGGCCAGACGATCCTGCATTGGGAAGCTGGCGCAAGGGATGGCAATGAAGAAAGTTCTATGACAAGTAGCAATGTCGACTTCTTGTTCGCCAATTATGACCATTCAGGGTCTGAACTTGTAGGATATTTCGCAATCATGGCGTCATGATCGTTACCGTAGACGGGCTTGTGATACCAGAGAAGATTTGCGGACAAGCCCTTGCAGATTTGACCGACCTATTCCACAATTCCAAATTTTATCATTTTGTTGCTTATTCCAATCATCTTAGGTTTCTTTCATGTCACTACTCTGTTCGTTGTCTCAGAGTCCAGCGATGTTACAATGCATCTATATAATCATTCCTTCTACTCTTCACAGGATAGTGGCGATGGCTACCACCACAACATGGAACAAGCTTCCTCCACCGCTCTGTCGTCAGGAACATTGTATTCTTGATACCATTTGAGTAAGTCGACAACACTCCTAAACATTTCCGTCCCAAATTGTCCATTATTGACGTGATAGAACCAAGCGACCTCCTCTTCGAGCTTTTGACGGCCATGGATAATGTGGCAGCAACCTTCAGGCGCAGTTCCGCATTTCCAACCTGCTACCACATGCTCAAAGTCGGGGTATTGGCCGCCCAGATAGGCATTATTCTCCTTCAACCCGTCGTCGGAAAGCACCCCTTTCTTAGCTTCATCGTAGTCAAGAAAACCGGTAAAGAACACGACTTGCCGGCCTTGGTCTTTCTCCTCGTACCATTTATGTCCCTCGAGCGCATCCACGTGGGCAAGAAGAACAAGAAAGTCCTGAGGGAGGTCAAAAGTGGCAGCCTCGCCGCCTAGAACCCGCAGACCGTCGCGAAGCCCACGAATATAGTCGTTCATCAGCTTTGACCTTTTTCCCAAGTCCCGGTCATCGAACGCGGCCCCATTAAGTCCGCTCCGCTGCGAATACACGTCCCAGTGCGTGAGAACATCCTCGGGCTTAGTGATGAGCTCGCTCCCTCCAACTCCGAGTTTTCGGAGTGTCCAATCAAGGCGGCATTCCGCGATTTCTTCATCTGTTTCTTCTACATGTTCTGCACGTTCATCGTCGGGATATTCCTCGAGGTATTCCGGCAGATACTCTTCTGTCGCAGCATATTCGACGAGCCTTTTAACGGCGGACAAATTATGCTTCGTAACACAATCTTTATATTCAGTGAGGGCTTGAAGGATCTCAGTCTCCATATTTGGCCCAATTCTATTCCGATCGACCTGTATCGTAGTTAGAACTAAAACCCAATGGTCACCCGGAGCAATTGTGGGCTACTCGCAGCTTTTTCCTTCGAGGTCATGCTGGACTCCTTAAGACTTGTATTGCCGCTCCGGAAGATGGATATTCACTCTCGGGTTTCCTTCGACCCAAGTTCTGGCTGATTTGAGGGTAAGCGCGCCGAATGAAGACGAGAGAAGTGGTTACGGAGAGAAGCCTAACCACCACTTCAGGAGGGCGGTTGCCGTTATTAATAGCACGTTTTCACTGACAGGCGCATTTGTTACTTAAACCATCTTAGGTGACAGTTCATGGGTGCCTAATTATCAGTGGAACTTTGAGTGGAATCTCAGCGCGCGGTACGGTAGGGGAGCTTGTCGCAACTGTCAGCTTCTAGGCACTATTCTCTCTGTATTGCAGTCTGTTTCAAACAAGCCGGCCAGCCGATCTTACGTCCGACGCGAGGATACACGACCAAAGTTCTGGGGCATCAACATTATCATTGATAACCTCACACGATCCAATTACAACTAGCCCAATCGCTCAACTGAATTAGACACATGTATTATATCCCGAGCAACCGCTTGAACAAGGCACATCCCACAGTACTTGGGTTAGTTTTTTTTATTCAAGTACGTAGAATAATTACCGCACTATGGGCTACTTTTGGCCCTATTTCGCATCGCCACCACTCTTGGGCTTGTCTCTTATCACGAACACCTTCTCCTCGAGCCCTCCCACAGCTTGAGACGTGGCTCGAGTGTTGGAAGCAAGGTCTCGCCTGGGTGCTTTGAGAAACAACTCAGACAATCGTTCATCTAACCATCGTACATCCTCCATATTTCCTGGCGGTCCGCCTGCCCAGTGACCCCATATAGAGGGAAACACATCCAGCTTCCCAACTTGGCTCATACATGAGACTTCATATTCGGAGTCCTCGGGTCTATAATGATTCGTCAGTACAAAAGAGGCCGAGCGATTCTCATCTCGCGTCTACTTAGACTCACGGGAAATATAGATCAGTTTTCGACGGGAGAACCAAGGTCTGGGCCTTAATGCTGCCCAGCGCCTCTTCAAAATTCCCGTTAAAAGGCTCCTGCTTGCTGATATCGCCAGCCTGCCACGTATGCAGCATCACAAGGAGATTCTCCGGGTCTTTACTCAGTGCCCATTTCTCCCAAAAATTCACCATGAAGTCCTCCAAGCTCTTCTCGCCATACGCTTTCTTGTGTAGTTCCTCCCTGTAGAAAGCTTGCGAAAAACCCCAACCCGCATATCCTCTCCCAAAAGCTCGCAGTCCCACCTGTTTCTCTTCATCCGTCCATGGCGACACGTCCTTGCTTGTCGCGCCACGGGTGCTACCAGCGGATGAAAGGCCTTTGGCAGCCAGCAGTGCCGACTTCACGCCTTCAAGGAATACTTGATTGTGGAGCGAGGTCCTTGCTGAGCCACAGAATGGGACGCATATATCCATCATATCGGGAAACTGCGTAGCCCATTGGAATGCTTGCGCCGCGCCCATGGACCAACCTAGAACGGCACGTAGATGCTTGATCCCAAGACCCTTGACCAGTTCGTGCTGGGCCCGTACGTTGTCGTAGAATCTCACGTCTGGGAACGGACGGATGTCAGAATTAGAGGGGCTAATGGACTGACCATTGCCGAATATTGCAGGAATGATGATGAAGTATTTGGCCGGGTCGAGGGTCATTTTCTCTCCCACAAGCCACTCATTGTCAGAGATGAGCCCGGAGTACCAGGTAGGGTAGAGAACGGCGGGAGACGAGGGGTCACCAAATGTCTTGTATGCGATCCAAGCATCCTTGAGGACACCTCCTCCCTGGAGAGCGAAGTCGCCGAGCACAAACTTCTTTATCTCACTCATGGCTTTGAAAAGGTTGGACGGTGACTCCGCGTGTGTGTATGAGATCGTGAAATGAACAGCGGCCAAGAAATGGAGCACAAAGAGAAACAATAGCCGTATATACCCGGGCACTCGTGTGTTTACTCACTCCCGGATGGTAAGCCGATCCGAAGGACCTCATGTGACTCTTTATTACCATTACGGCATGCAAAACAAAGCCTTCCCCAGTAAGATAACGCGGTCGTTTATTCGTGGAAGCGTCTATCAGCTGAATCAATAGGTCGTATCGGAACGGGTAACCCCTCTTTCTAGTAGCAAGAGGAGGAGCATGACCAATGAGATTGATGTGACATCACCAGCATGCGAGATAGCCCGCTTCTACCCACATCTTCGCGTCCAATCGCCAGCTTTGTATGTATGTGTCACGGCTTCCTTATCGCGGGCACCGCTGCCGCATCCGAGGGAGTACTTATAGGATGAGTGCGGGGGAGCCGCCATTGTTATCAGTACGGACCAGTCTTGTTGTAGGAGCCTGCTTTGAATTATTTTGTCTTACTGTCAACACCATCTCCCTCATTGACACGATGCCCGGAAAACTCAGAACCGCCCTTCAAGTCGATTTAGATAAACCTGCCTCTGAGCAGCGTTCCCTTCATGTAGGTTTGAATACGCTCGGCCAATGTGGCTTCAAGTCCAAGTAGCTAATGTTCGTGCAGAATCGGTGGCATCCAGACAGTCAGAGAGCCTTACTCAGGCATGCCATACATTGAGTATCTCATACTAATTGGCTTCTTTATAGTTCCAAGCTGCGCAACGGTCGGTGACGGAGAAACCGTCAAAATTGAATGTCTTGATTGGACTGGTGGTCAAATTGGCAATAATGACTCTGCTGACGATGTGAAGAACGTCGACCTCAGCCGCATTCACTATCTCTCCGGGCCTTTTGAAATCACCGGCGCGGAGCCAGGCGACGTCCTCCGCGTCGAGATCGAAGATGTCCAGCCTCTCGAGGAGCAGTCATGGGGGTTTACCGGTGTGTTTCACAAAGAGAACGGAGGCGGTTTCCTGGACGAGCTCTACCCACACGCGTGCGTCAGACCTGAATATTTACGCTGTGATAATTCGACTGACTATTCTCCTCTATCAGAGCCAAGGCAATCTGGGATTTTGAGGGCATATCCTGCACGTCGCGACACATTCCAGGCGTCAAATTCGCCGGCCTCATCCATCCCGGTATCCTCGGCTGCGCCCCCTCTCATGAGATCCTAGCCGAGTGGAATCGACGCGAGGGGGAGCTTGTCCAGGCAAATACGCTTTCGCGCACGGTAGCCAATCTTCCCCTTGAGCTCAACGCTCACGCTGGTTCAGCAGATGAAGACATTGCCCGTAAGGTGGCCAAGGAAGGGGCACGAACAATCCCCGGCCGACCGGAGCATGGAGGAAACTGCGACATCAAGAACTTGTCTCGGGGAAGCAAGGTTTACCTACCGGTGCATGTGCCAGGGGCCAAGTTCAGCGTTGGAGACTTGCATTTCTCCCGTGAGTGTCCTTTCCGTTCATACAAAGGACGCAAAGCATTCTAACGAATTTTCAATCCATCCAGAGGGCGATGGAGAGATCTCTTTCTGCGGTGCTATCGAGATGGCTGGCACTATTACTCTAAACTTCAAAGTGATCAAGCAGGGCCAGGCACAGATGGGAATGGTCAATGGCCGCTCTCCGATATATATCCCAGGTCCAGTGCAGCCACAGTTCGGGCCCTCTAGGATGATATTCTTCGAAGTAAGACCATGCGCATCTTCCAACTTTTGTCTATTAACCGTGGCGCGCTGACAATGGTTGGGCTAGGGGTTTTCGGTCGACGAGCACGGCAAACAACACTACCTAGATACCACAATTGCCTACCGCCAGAGTTGTCTTCGTGTAATTGAATATCTCCGAAGGTATGGATACACGGACTATCAGATCTACCTGCTTCTGAGCGCGGCTCCGATCGAAGGGCACGTCGCTGGCATAGTTGATGTGAGTCGCTACTTTTCAAAAATACCAACGGTTTCATAAGCTTATTGGGTGCCCATAGATTCCGAATTCGTGCACTACTATTGGGCTTCCAATGGATATATTTTCCTTCGATATCCGTCCAGAGACAGTTCCCCAGCGGCACATTTCCGAGTCCGACGCTTGCCCCGTCTCACACTGATGACAAGAAACGATAATGCATACTTAGATGAAGAATGACGCATTATTGATGCTTAAGGCTGGGAGATCTAAGTCTTCTCTAAGAATGCTCTTGTAGCTAGGATGTAACTCGATATATCATCGTCTGAGGCTAGTCTATACGTAAGAGAAATGAGTATAAAGTTCAACAACGGTGGAAGATCTGACATCTCAAAACAATGGATAGAGGCTAGTCTATGATAAACCGGCAGCAACAATTGCTCCGACTCCGAATACACTCGCAATCGTGATCATGCTCGATGTAGAAAGCAGAGAGATCCCACTAATTCCATGACCTGATGTGCACCCTCCAGCTGTCCTAGCACCAATGATCATCAGAAATGCTCCCAATGTCGCAAGGAGCGGTGATGTTTCAACGACAACTTCTCCGACCAACGTAGGGGCTGCCTTAGCCAGTAGCCATACCCCAGAGAACATCCCCGTGGCAAATAGAGTGTTCCGTAAGGAGGTGGGCTTTGAACTGGCTTTGAAGCCGCTGAGAATCCACCAAAAGATCTGGCCTGCTTCATCGTAGAAGGACGAGACGCCAACCATCGACCGCCGGGTCAAAATGGAAAAGGCCTGTGCCGAGCCAATAAGAAGACCACCAATTGCCCCAAGGAGCTTGGGTTCCGGGGCGGCAGGCGTGGTAAGAGTTGTGAGCACAATGATGGAGGTGAAAACCGTTTCCAAGGCGACCAATGTCGCAGTTCTGGAGAGCCCGAGATGCTCCCCGACAGGAACAACATCCAACTTCAGATCGGCACTTTTTGCTCTTCTATTGATTAGCTTGCCCAGAAATCCAGTCCATGCAATGCCGCCGAGTATCGCACCACTCAAAGAGAACACGCTTGTGCCAACACCCGCTCCAGCTTGAATGATGAGTGTTCCAGGACACGAGGCTGACAAAGCCATGCCTGCCCCGAGCAGACCGCCACCAACAATATTGCCATCATACTTGGAAAAAAGTCCCAGCGGAGAGTTTGACCGTGGATTCAGATGAGTATAGTTGAGTTTTTCCGCAATGGTGTACACGATCCTGCAGAGTTGTCAGTGGGCTAAGCCGGGCGGCGGTGGTTCACCGAGATAAAGTTTGCTCAACACGGAGGAAAAGCTGTACTTACGCGCTAGTCGCTGTTGCGGTGAGGAAAGCCTGTATCATATGAAAGTTTTCAAACTTGAGCTGGGCGACGATGACGGACGGGTGGTGGAAGCCAGCAGCAAACATGGCAGCGCCGAAGGCAGCACCAGAGATGAAGGACGCCATTGCTGCTCACGCTCACGTACAAATCAGTATAGGTTTGGAAATGTTTTGAGTCCGACAAAGACAAGGCAAATAGGCCCTTATTTAACTACCTTGGATTACAAATAGCGACTCCGGGGTCCGTCGTCGCCGACCGGTCAAGCTTGGGACCCGTAATGATCGCCGACCACTGAGTCCGGCGGACGGGATTGCGTAACCTGGCTAAAGAGTCATTTGTAGGCATTAGGCTTCACTGTCTGGTGAATGAAGTGATGACGCCATTTTCAGCCTTTATTCGGAATTGGCCACGGCCAGTTACATGTGCCTCAGCCGCCATATCGTCTGATGAGCATGCTTGATATGCAAGCAACCCCATGTTATTGCTCGCTTGGTCTATCATTCGTAGAAATGCAGAATTCTATCATATCACAATACAATTTCAATTCAAAATAGCCTCCAGACCCGAGTAAATGGCAGGTTTGATATTGTTGGCCATACAAGACTTTACTGAAACCAGGATAGCTCCATTAGCGTTCCCCTCACACTTACATGCCTAACCTAAAAACTTGGAGATGTATTCCATTGATCCTAGCGCCCAGCCACGAAGTCAAAAGCGTATAAAGTATCCACGGGCTAATGCGGCGTTCCGTCGCCGATGTCGAGGCAACCGTGTAGCTGAAGGCTTGGAATACGAACGATAACGTGTAGCTACCAAGACGGCACCTATCTGACTGGCTACTAAAATAAGAGACCACAAACTAAAGATTAACCTACTCTATCTTGGTAGGGGAAAGGCTCTGGAAGACGACCCGAGAAAAAAACACTAACTAATAATAATGCTGCGTTGTTTTCTTAATCTCAACGAATAATATGTGGTACCGTAGGGCATCAATTTGATCTTGCATTCATATATCGCAAAGCTGGAAATGATTGCACCCGCATAAAGTAGTATCATCAGGGGATAGACGCATGTACGTTTTGAGTAAGATATTTGATTCTTCATGATTCGTCGGAGTTCTATTTCCCCAGAGTAGAGTAAATCCAGGAAGCGCCGTTCCCGTGTCCAAATTAGTTCTATATGATGCCCCCCAAGATTAGGATATATACCATTCTATACAACGCCCGAACAAAGTGAAAACTCTAGCAGTCAAATCAGAATACAACAAGCACCTTGAATCCAGTGCGATGGATCCTAGCGATGAGGATGAGCGTCGTTCCGGCAAGACACATGATGCCGGAGAAGATCTTGATGCCGGTGAAACCAAGAGGAGCCTCGAGGATCGCTCCGTTGATGGGGTTAGTGGTGAGACCGCCGATGGAAGAGATGAGGAAGACAAGGCCGGTACGGAAGCCGATCTCGGGCAGGGGAGAGATCTGCATGACAAGGGGGGCGATGAGAGAGACGTAAGCGCCGGAGCAGAAACCAAACAGGACGGCGAAGGCGATGAGGGCGGGATTGCTAACATCGGGAATCCATAGAGCGAGAATCCAGATGCCCGATAAGTAGCAGACGACGACGAAGATGTTGTATCGACCAATCTTGTCACCCATGAACCCAGAAAACAGACGACCGAAAAGAGAGGCGGCGTTGAGAATGGGGATGAGGTACTGGGCGAGATCGTTGCTCATTCCGGCGGCAAGAGCTTGAACGGGGAGATAATTGATAGGGACGAAGATGCCGTATGTAAAGCAGAAGAAACCGCCGAGGAGGAAGAGGAATTCCATCTCGTGGAAGGGCTTGACCATCTGAGCGCGCGTCATGGGCTGAGGACGAGGAGGATGGAAAGCGCGGACGGTGAGATTGGCGACGATGAGGAGGAAGAGGATCAGAAAGGCGCAGATCCGCATGGCCCATCCATAGCCGACCTTCTCGATAAGGTGGGAGACCATGATGGGGAAGATGACACCACCGATACTGGAACCGGTGGAGAGAATGCCGAATGCAGCGCCACGCTTGAGGTTGAACCATCCACCAATGCAGCTCAGAGCTGATACAATGTTAGTGAGATGAAAAGAAACATGCGAATGTGGAGGTACTCACAAGGCTGGAAGATGGCAGAGACACCAATGGCGGAGCAGACACCCTGAGCAAGGAGGATCTGCCAGTACTTGGATGCCAGACTAGTCATCATGATACCAAAGACATGCAGGAGACTACCGATGAGGATAAGCCATCGAGGGCCAAAGTTGTCGTAGAGAGCACCGATGATGGGGCCCATTCCCATCATGAAGAAGATCTGGAGAGAGGGGATCCATGCGATGGTACTGGCTGAGTAGTTGCTAAGGAGAGTAGTCTGGTAGTATTCTTGAAACACACCGACACCTATAAGCAAACACAGGGTTAGTGAGTTGTTGAAAGCCGCGGTGATAAGAAGGGTGGAGTTGGCTTACTGTTGAGCCACCCAAAACTGCAGAAGGATGTGCACCAGGCTCCAAGAACAACCAGCCATGCGACGATACCTCCGTCGGGGGCATCGCTCCCAGGAGGGCCGCTGACTACCACCTTCTCTGCGTCCTTTTCTGTGTCCTCGAACCCCTTGGAGCTTGGGGGAGCGCTTGAGATAGCCCCCTGGTCATCGATGGTCGGCGTGAGCGTCTGCTCCGACCTGTGCGGAGTCTGAGCCTGTGACATGTTTACGGTTACTTGGCGTAAGTGTCTGGTCTGAGAGGATGTTCCAGAACTGGAATGGTTGGTTCAGTGAGGCTGCGTCCCGTCGAAGATTGATAAGATGCAAGATATGAGTCGATTTGGGTCGATCTTGTTTCGATGGGATGCAGCAGATGCGACGTAGGGGATATTTAAACGTCCTGAACCCAACTCACTTCCATTATTATTAATTTACCAGCCCTGGAGACGCGAAACCGCGAGGACAAGGCCGAGTACAGAAAAGGCCGAGCCAGACAGGCCCCAACACGCGGAGCTAAAAGAAAATTGGACATTATGGGGCCAGATTTGGGCTTTTCTTACAAAATCACCCCGTTCTGATCTTCCTGTAAGTCGCCACCCTAGTCAACGGCCTACCCCCCTCAACGGTCTACTATTGAATATCCTAACCTCTTTATTTTCTATACCTGTAACTGTACGATTTCTTATACAAATTTTATTCTTTTTAATTAAAAATTATATTATTTAATTTATAAATAACTGGGCTTTCTAAAGATAATATTTAATCGGCTATTTATAATATAAAAGCAGGCTATTTATAGTAAATAGCTATAATATAATAGGGAATCCCTCGGATAACCCTATATATATATATAGAAGGTCGTAAGATATAGTAATAAGAGGCAGAGACCTAGCAGTAGCTCTTAAAGATCCAGGAAGCCTATTTAATAAAATAGATCCTTATTTAAGATTTAATTAGGTTTCCTCCGATCTATATAAAGATTAGAGATATTACTTTATTCCTACTGTTCGAATAGGGTAAACTTAACCCCCTTAGTAAGTACTAGTTAGAGGGATTTTTATACTATAACCCGGAGATTAGAACCCTTTAAGATAAAAGAATTAACTTCCTAAGAGTTAAAGGAGCTATAGTTAACTATATTAAGGATTTCTTTATACTTAAGCTGATTCCTAATATCTAGAAGATCCCTTCTTATAATTATTAGAATATAGATAAAGCTGGTATTATAGAAGATATTAGTAATAACAGCCTGGTTCTTAGGTCTTCTTATAAGAACTGGGTAGCTAAGATATAGCCCGGAACTTATTATTAGACTATAATAATTAAGTATATTAGTACAGCAGGTAGGTACCTTAAGCCTCTTATTATCTTTAAAGGAAAGACTGTATAGTAGTAGTAGTTTCCAGTTAAATTAGATTATTTTAAGCAGTAGTATTTTACAGCTTCTAAAAAGGGGTAGACTTCTAATAAGATTATATTAGTATAACTTAAGGAGGTATTTATCCTGTTAATAAAGCCTAAGAATAACAGCTAGTATTTACTTGTTATTAATAGCTATAAAAGTTATAAAACTATTAAATTTATATAGGAATACTTTAAGAATAAGATCTAGCTTCTATTCTTACCCTTATATTTATTATATATATTATAGCTGCTTAATTTATCTATCTTTTCTACCCTTAAGTAAGTATTTTATTATTTCCTTTCCGAATAATAATTACAGACGGATTTATTACTAGTTAGTAAGATAATCTTCCTAAGGTATTATTACCTAGCTCAGCTAGCTACCTTAATAGTTAAGAATATCCTCTCGGGCTGGAAAGTATCTGGAATATAGCCTATTAATATAGCAGTACTATTAATAAGCCCGTATATACTTACGCCTTAATATACCTTTTAGACCCAGCTATTAATACCCCCAGTTATACCTACAGTTAGGTTAAAGAGGAAAGAAGCTATAATAATAACTCTAATAGGCTTATAATAGCTATATAGCTTAATATAAGACTTTATAGATAAGAAGGAGGTAGATCTAATAATTCAGCTGCTGTTCTATAAGATCTATAAGGGTCTTAATAAACAGTAAATATAGCTATCTATCTTAAATACTGAAAATATATAGCTAAAGGAGTTAAATAAGCTCCTATAGCTAAAGAAAAGATATACTATTTATCCGGATCCAAATAAACGCTTTATTAAGATCTCTAATATTATTAATATAAGAGACCGGTATAAGGGTTAATTAGATACTGAGATCTCAGCTGTAGAACTTAAGATTTATATTTTTAAAGAGCTATACTTTACCTAGCAGCTTAAATAGCTTCCTTTTTATTCTAAAAAATTCATTACGTTAAGAAATATATAGTTAACTTATGTAATTCAATTATTGAAGGTAGACCGTTGAGGGGGGTGGGCCGTTGACTAGGGTGGCGACTTAGACCCTTTTGAGCAACGGGGTCCGCGGCGAAATGAATCATTCGTCTAGGGCCAGGGTGGTATAAGCACTTTGTTCCGGCTGCGCGGCACTTTAGCCTTTGCCGGATGGTTTCATGCCATTTTAACACCGAGGCCGAGCGTATCTAATGACTAATCTCATACGACATCGGGCAAGGTCTGCGGCCTGTTGTTTCGTCTTAAAACCGAGGCCGTCCCATCTCACAGGTCCAGTTGGTCGGTGTATTGACCCTCGTTCATATCGGCCGTAGATGCTCGGCGCAAGCAGTGAAAACAGAGCCTGGGCAATTATATTCGCCGAGACACCCAAAGCCAGGCGCGCCTTACTATTCCCCGAGACGGGTTACAATAGATCAATAAGCCAGGGAATATGGACGAGAAAGCAGGTTCACCGACCGCAGCCAACGCGGAGCTTTCCATCATGTCGTCCGACACCCTCAGTAACAACAGCCAAGACCTGTCAAGCAGTCGGCCCCGGCCTCGATCTTGTATCCTCTGCCATCGTAGGAAGATCCGATGCGACAAGAAGGAGCCCTGCATGCATTGTGTCCGGGCAGACAAGCAATGCGTGTATCCGCCCTCTGGGCCACGGGTTCGGCGGACAAAGCGGACGTTGATGGCTGACATGTCATCGCGGATCCAGAGCCTAGAGAAGACTCTGACAAATGCCAGAGCGGCAGTCCAGGCGGGGCAGCACCGGGGCGGGAGTGTGCCTTCGCCAGCTGAGACCGAGGAGGCACATCGGTCTCCGGCCTCTTCTATCGCCTCGCTGCCGATAGGTCCGGCGGCTCCTAGTGGGAGGGCACCAGCACATCGTCGCAGGAGGTCCGGGGAGGGAGAGGCCATTGTTGTTGAGAAGGGGTCTTCCAGCCAATACTTTAACGAGTTTCTCATCTCACGTGTTCTTGAAGATGTGCGTCCATCCCTAACTCCATCACACATCAGAGGCCACCTTTCAGTCAGCTTCCGGGGCTATCACTAACTAGATAACCCGTCATAGGAACAAGAGGTTAGGAGCGTTCTGACAACACCCCAGTCATTAAGCCAAAAACCTCCTCCCTTGACACCATTCAACCCCCTGGGCATCCTCTCCGCGCCCTCGTTATCACAGCCAGTCTCGAGCTTCCACCCCCCAAAAAACGTGGCCCTCAGGCTCTGGAGACTGTACGGTGAAAGGGTGGAAGATGTCACAGGTCACAAGGTCCTCCACGGCCCCACGGACGAGGTCAAGGTGTACACCACCATTGGCGACCCAAGCAACGCACCTTATGAAGATCTCGCGCTTTGCTACGCCATATACTTTACGGCAACCGTGTCGCTCGAAAAGTCCGAGACAGAGCAATACCTAGAAGACGACAGGGTTACTTCTCTGTTCAACTTCAAACATGGACTGGAGCAAGCGTTTGCACATGGAGACTTTCTGGACCGCCCTTCCATCACTGCACTCTTCGCCTTATCAATATACCTTGTGAGTTCTTCATTCCATCTTGGTGATATGCCCATGCTAACCTCAAAATTCCAGTGCGGTCTCCGTGTCCAGCATCGTGGGCGATCCCTTTGGATTCTGAACGGCTTGGCCATCCGTATAGCACAATCTCTCGGGCTGCATAGAGACGGTGAACGCCTCGGCCTAACTCCCTTCCAATCAGAAATACGCCGACGATTATGGTGGCATCTACTCTCCAAGGACGGGCGAGCAGGCGAGGACCACGGCCTCCAGGTCGCCACCTCTCATACCTGGGATACACTAAACGTAGCCATGCCACTCAACGTCGAGGACGTAGACTTATACCCAGAGATGACGGAGCTGCCACCACCCCGGAAAGGCTGGACGCCCATGACGTTCAGCCTCATCGCCATCCACATCTCACGCGCGACGTCCAGGCTCGACAGCATCGCGTCCGAGTCGACCTCGTCCTCGCCGCCAGACGAGAACCTCCGCCGGCAGATCTGCCAGGAGCTCTCAGACCACGTCGAGCAACATCTAGAACTGTGCAATCACGCCATTCCCCGACAGCGCATGACGCTGACCATGGCCCGGTTCGTCGTCAGCAAGATCGAGATCATGACGCGGCAGCAGTGGACATTCCTCGCCGCGCGGGGCGGATCGCGCGAGCAGTTCGCGACGGAGCAGAACCTAATCGAGTCGCTGGACATCATGGACATGAAGCTGTCCATCAAGGCGGATGAGATGCTCAAGCCGTACTGGTGGTCGCACCCGGCGTTTCCACAGTATCACGCGCTGTTGTATGCGCTCTGGCATCTCTGCGTGAAGCCGGACAGCCCGCTTGCCGAGCGTGCTTGGAAGACGATTGACAAGGTGTTTGAGAGCGACATGGGTGATGATTCTATCGAGGGGTTCAAGTCAAAAGAGGCCGTCCTGTACGCCCTCCGGGCCAAGGCCAGGCTGCTCCTTGAGCAGTCGAAGGATCCTGCTGCTACGACGGTGCCGACGATGGATCAAGCCGGGAGTGAGGGAGCCACAACTGGCCGGAGAGACCAGGCACCGTTACCAGCACATCCAGCTAGAGTGGCAACGGCTATAACCGGAGGAGTGGAGAATGGTGCCGCCGCCTGGGCTGGCTATCCCATGGCTGGAGTGCCTTCAAATCCGATTGATCTGAATATTGACTCGTTGGACTGGGAGGCGCTGGTTCAGGGGTTTCAACCCCAGATGCCTACAATATGTGATCTCTCGTGGTAAGGCGCGTTGGGTAATCTGTAAATAATAAAATATAGCGGGAAGATAAAGATCTCAGAGTGACACATGTGCTATCTAAAACATTCATTCCAACAAATTTGAAGCCATATGTGATATACTATTTCATGGTCAAGTGGTCCGTATAGAGGCTATAGGCCTATTATTCGGGTCGACCATACCAACCATAACAATTGACAAACACTAAACCATTTGGCTATATTTAATTTTTTATGAAATTAATGATTTCAAATTCAAGTCGAAATTTGACGCCGTGCCCGTGTGTCTCTCACCAGCACTCATAACCCTAGAATATCTGGCTACCCTATACTTCTGGAACGTCGTCTCAGAACTCCTATGCTGTTTATCTAAATGGTCATGATTCAATGGAGTAATTTATACGAATATGTCCAGTAGAGATCTCAAACCCTTTCCGTAGCTCCTGTGGTGTTAAAGGGTTGATACTGATTGGTTCAGATGTCTTTCGTTTTCCCAACGATGATCTCACATAGAGAGCTAGCTTGCAAACCTGTACTCAGATATATCTTAGAAGTTAGTTTCTCTAACTTGATTGTTGTAGGATTGAAATATCATACTCAGAGTCGACTGGTGAAGCCACTCGACATAAGAACATTTTCATAGGCCGCCAGGTTTGTGACGACGGCCATTAGATGATGCCAGTGTTGGACACAAATGGATTTGGTTCCATTCCCTGCACGTGTTGCCAAAACAACGACTCACCTGTTACCATTAGGACACACAAAGAATAGTGATAGTCTCATTTTTATGAGCCTCATATTCTCCCTCATTAACTGCAAGCTGTATAGTAACGTCACTTGTGCTCGGATCGTCCTCTGTTTTTTTTTTGTTTTTTTCTGAATAAAGAAAACCATTCCACCAAATTTGATAGCCAATTGAGCGAGGTGTATTGACCAAGTCTCGATGAGCTTTGCAGGACTACTTAGACGTAATAAATTATTACCCTGTGGTCTAGGAAGGCTTTCAAGTTCTTCGAGGTCCTGATGATGCAGCACAACTTATTCGTCATTGCCAATCGCTCGATCTAGCTTAATAAATTAATCTTGGAGAGTTCGCTTATCGTGCCCATTGGAGAGTTCGCTTATCGTGCCCAATAGCTCTTGGAGCAGTCTGAACGAACGGTTTCGGTAGCCACTTGAGTGGGGTGGATGGACAACCATGTTACGACACTGATTATTACATGGCATTGAATGTTGAGACGCTTAAACATTAATCAGTGTGCTCGCAAACTCTTGACCGGTAATGCCGGATTACTGAGGGCCAATAATCAATATTTGCGAAATAATGCACTGAAGTCTATCAGTTTTTGTCAATCAAGCTCCTCTATCATCCTAGTTCTAGAAGGCGGTGTCCGCGTACCATCCTTCAAACTGGGGTCGCGTTTCTTCTCTCACCCAGTTGTCGTTTACTTCATTCCTGTTTCAGTAATTAACATTCCAAGCCTAGAAAATTTATGCCTTGGTGTAAGAAGACCCATTGCCAAGCTGCCAAGGCTCTCAATATGAGCTGTGCCCCCATTCTGGGTCATGCCCACCACAAGAGCTGGGCAACATGTTCCTTGCCGTTTTAACCGATGGAAACCCCGGGAGAATTTATGCATATTTATATCCGGCCTGCTCCCTGCCTGTCCAATTTACTGATTTTACGTCAAGGTCTCGCTTGTTTCCGAAGACACTCGTTTAAACCCGCCGATCTCTAAAACCTACTAACAACTTTCGACGCTCGTTATCCGTCCCTCGCGATGATCTCCTCTACGCTCGTTAACGCCCTGAGCTTGCTGCTAATCGGGGCACACCATGTCCGAGCCAGCACAGTCAAGATTGGATCCTCGGTCAAAGCAGACACCGAATTTACAGTTACCGTGGACACTGACGGCCTGGATAAATGGGGTGGCTCTGAACGCTGGAGCAAGTTCAATGTCTTCCTGGCATTGCAATTGCCCGATACCGCCAAGACCGAAAGCCAGGTGTGCGTTCTGGCGAATTCGACCGACCTTGGGAGTCTCTCCGGAACTAAGACCCCAAAGGTCAAGATCCCGGCCGACGCAGTTCCTGATGGTGCGAAAGTCATGGCCAGCGTGATCATATACGAGTCAGATCCCTACGGAAACCTCACATCCGGGAACCGGTACAGTGGCAAGGCTACATTCGAGGGCGGAAAAGCTAAGTGGGCAGAGTTTGAAAACCAAGGCCGCTCGTTGTTGCTGCCGGAACGCACCCCCTGCACTTCTTACGCTTGTGTCCGAGAGTGCGGCGTGAAGCATTGGGATGAATTCAAGGAGATCAATAGTTATGATGACTATAAGACTGTCTACGAATGCATGGCATCGTGCTCTGGTACTACCTTCGACCCTTGGAGCGACTGGGTTGCCCTCTATTACGGCGGTGATTACTACGGGACTGTCAATGACACTGATTCAGCGAGCACTACATCTGCTACCTCGGCCTCAGCTACGGCTTCGACTACCACTAGTGTTTCTCAGACCAGTTCTTCTGCTTCTGCTTCTTCCACCAGCACCGATACAGGCGGTGCCGGTCAACTATTGGCTGGGAACTTTGGCTCGATCGTGGCGGTGATGCTTTCTGGCATCGCCATGTTGTAGGGAAATAAAGCCCATTCATCTGGTTCTTTTAGGTAGCAATAATCTAGCATTCTTGGCTACAGTTAGTTGTTGTATCTGAAGGTGATACTTGCTATGAAGGTCCAATGCATAGTTTAGGCTTTATGACTCATCCATGCAGATTAAGCAGATTAAACGCGTCCCAATGCAAACCACCTAGCCCCAGAGTTCGAGAAGAGAACTCATTAAAGAGATAGAAAATTCGCATAAATCTAAGATTTGAGAAGGACTTCCAGCTCTTATTACAGCTGCGGCACAACAACTCCACCAGGCAGAAGAGTATTGGCTGACCAGATGATATGGGAGAAATGAGATTATATTGCATCAAGGCAGACCTCGGGTGTAGACCAATTAGAGTAAGGGGTGTCGGAGATAATGGCATGACAGCGAGGCGCAGCGTATCCTGTGACTAGGTTAAGGCATTCTTGTTGCATGGGTTACTGGCTTGGCACACATTGAAAACGAGACAAGGCTAACTACTGAGACTTGTATATGATTATTTCCGGACAGATCCTGGTTCGCTTGTGGGAGTTGAAAAGTGACTCTCGTGACGAAACATGATTCAATGATGCTGTGACGCACTATTGAGCTCGAGTCTCTGGGTCGGGACAAGTGGAATTGCTACGAAGCTCTACGTCTCAATGGCCATGAACACATCCGAGAAGACTAGAATTAAAATAATGTAATCATCTTTACCATACCCTAGGTTGTGAACAGTTATTTTTTCCGGTTCTCTGTTCTTTATTCTCCGTTCCTTGTTCTCTGTTCTCTGTTCCGGGAGCGTTCATGTAGATGCTGTAATCAATATGAGGGTGTCCATCAAATGCTACCATGTACGTGAGAGCTGACCAAGGGACCTTTATCATTGTTGCATTAGACATCTCACCCCCTAAATAATCTCTTCATGTTAATTGCTTCACGAAGTAAAATAGCGAGCCACCGTTGACTATCAATTTACGCGCGTGAAGCTGCCCATCTGCGACTCGCCCCTACCGCCATTGTCATCCACGAAGAGTATTGTTAAACACGCTGAAGGATGAGTGGGATGCTTGCATCTTTGGCCAAATGGCTGGACCGAACTCGCCGAGGGAAGAAGAGGGCAAACACGAGAACCCAGGCCAATTCTCTTAATGCCAACCCCTGAAATGAAATGGAATGCCAGGAAAGAACTATAAACCTCCAAGGGGCTACTCTTGATGAAAGACGTTCCAACGAATTTGCTCGATATATCCCGGAAACTGCAGAGCCGGTCCCCGCTCTTCCGATAGTCAGGCCGAGGCTACTTACGCCTTCAGCATCAAGGGAAGACTTGAGCTTCTCCGCGACCAACGTCACGGCCCAATGTGCCTTTTTTGGGAGACTTCCATTTGAGATCCGTCGCAGGATCCTTGTCGAGGCTTTTGGTGGGCACATTGTTCACATGGATCTTCCGTTCAATCATCCCGAACTGCCAATAGATGAGGCATATTTCGATGGCTCAAAGGAGAATTTTCCTAACCATGGAAATCGGCATCTAGATGAGAGGAAGAATTGGCACATGGAAGTTCCCCAGCTCAGAGTCGACACGTCTTTACCTAAAGGATGGATATGGCGCAGTTCTGAGTGCCATAGGCGTTTCCCGTGGAAGAGCAGGGACGAGCTCAAGGAAAGGCAACTAGACCGGTATACCAATGCGGCAGAGGATCGTTGTCGCTTTGGAGGAGTGTGGCCAAGGATGTGCCAATGGTGGCCTGGCGACGGGCCATCGAAGTGCTGCACCGGGGCGATGGGGTGGCTGTTGAGCTGCCGCCAGGCGTACGTTCTTTTCCAAGACTACTGCGATATGGGTGAACTGATCTTAGCTAATATTCTTTCAAACGCAGGTATTCTGAAGGAATTGATGTTTTATATGGAACAAATACGATTCATACAGCCAGTAAACAGATGATGCTACACTTGGATGAGCTCATTCTTCCTCAACGTCTGTCGATGATCAAATCAGTTGAGCTAGTATGGTTTTTTAAACCATATCCTTGGTCGCACAGCGAGTCCGGACCCCTTGATGATTTGTTTACATTCTATCAATTCTTGGCCGTCTTGCCCCGGGTACTCCCAAACCTTAGGTCTTGTTATCTCGCATTACAGGGCCATATCTTACCAAGAGTGCCTGGGCAAGGCTATGCGCCTTTCATGGACGTGTCGGAGTCAGTCAAGATCACAGACAGGGATATAATGGGGCCAATTGATTCAATGGTAGGTAAACTGAGTCCACAACTAACAAATTTCAGAGTAGCGTTGTCCAGCTTGGCCTATCAGGGGAGAAGGACTGAGGCATTAAAGCTAGGAAAAGCCATTGTCGAACAGGTCCACGACGGTCACTTGATAGAACGTCACTGGAGAAGCATCGACAAAGGCACAAATTTGAAGGGATACTGGATACAACTTGGGCATCGAGACTTGATTCGAAACCCGCATCAAATCTATTGCTTTTGTAGCCCGCCCGAGATCCCAGAGGAAGACCAGGTGTTTCAGAGACCTTTTGGCCTCGAAGGACGTAGCGAGCATATGATTACCTAGAAGCAATCCCTTTTCTAGCACCAACTCAGTTCAAATGATAATGTCAACATCAAAATGACGCCGTTCTGAATCGAAGATGTACTGAAAGTCCTAGAGATTGGGTGAATTCCGATATTACCTCAGCACTACATTTGTAAATTTCTGCCAAGACGAGATGCCCAGTGCAACATACTACATAGAGCCTTCCACGGTTGTGTCAGCGATGACAGTATCCCAGCTGCAGAGCTTTCGGAGCTAATACGTTGATAAAGTCCTAAACCCGGGGAATTATTATGTCGGGGATAAGGGGAAAGGACTATAAGTTTGCTCTTATCATGACTTTTTGAAGGTAACAGAGATATATCTCAAACAACAAGAGCAAGATGGCATCTTCAAACAAACCTACCTCCGATACTTTACTATCAACGGCGACTGCCTATTTCCAGGTCTTCGCTGCCATGGACCCAGACGTCATCTCCCATATTCAAAGCGACAACTATACTCATGAATTTGGCCCGGCCTCCTTGAATATGTCCAGTCCACGCACAAAGGAAACGTTCGCCTCACATCTGAAACATCTTGGAGGTGTTCTGAAGAGCTTCCCTGTGAGCATCAAACGAGCTTGGGTCAACCCATCCCTGAATCAGGTGACAGTGTGGGCAGTTTCAGAGACCAGATTCCACGAGCATGTTAAAGACAATAATGACGAGGAAGAGTGGAAATTTCACGGGGAGTATATATTTATTTTGGACATGGACGAGACGGGAGAGAAGGTGAAGCGCGTGTTTGAATTCCTGGATAGTAAAGCTACTGAGAATTTAAGGCTCTTGGCCGCCAGAGCGTTCAAGAAGAAGGAAGAAATAGAAGGCAAATAGCTAGGTATTCCAAGTTGAACAGCTAAAAAAGTTCTCCTCTCTCCCGCACAAGAACGAACAAGTTAATGGTTGAATGAAAAGACCAAGGGCCCAAACCCTCTCACTTTATTTCGCCTGTTTCCTCACTATAACGGGATGTACTCCCCAGATGGTCCAATGCGACCGAAGGCTCTTCGCATGATGCTGTCATTGCTGTGATTTTCCACAGTACTTGGATCACTGTGGAACACACTGTGGACGAAGGAACAATCATATTTGACTGAGGTGGTGGACTTGGGGCTATAATCAAACTGATTCTGTGAAGTGTGTAGGTAACCTCGCTACCCATCACTTAGTTTTAGAACAAGATCAGAAATGTGGCAGCAGATATGGGGACGTTGCAAATTGATTGCTTGGGACAATAAAGATACTAATCAAATTTGTCAGTGGCACTTGGGTGTCATGTTCGGTTCTCAGATAACCATAAAAAGGGGGTAGTCATAAAGTGTAACCAGGGAAGGCTCGGAATGTACAGACAGCTCCGAAGCCCGCCCTTGAATTACGGAAAAGGCTCTAACACTTCAAGGAATCTAACTCAGCTGGCGATGGATACTAATTTATGCTTCCTGATCCCAAACTAACAGTTGTCCCTAGGCGATACAAGGTAGACACACGCAAGCTTAACGTTAAGATGGCAATAAAAAATGACATCTTCAAGTCAACTAATTTTAAGGAATATCCAATTCCTAAATACCTAGGAATTTTGCATGATCCCATTCCTTCCTCGTTAAATACGGCGATCATATTCGCATCACCGGTGAATGCAAGGCACAAAATCCTACCGGAACCGATAGAGTAGTATATTAAACGGCCCTTCAACCGAATTAACATTTATTTTAGACTATTAGTATAATGATACTAGTAGATATATGGTATATTACACTGGAGAGAAAAAGTCAGGTAGGCTTCCACAGGATCAGCAGTCGCCATCCTAAGCCAGCTTGACTAGACTCGAGCTAACTAGCGAACCAGGGCCGGGTTCAAGGCTCATGGAAGAATTGGCATCTTGTCGCTAATGGCATCGCAAAAAAAGATAAAAGGATCCTCCCTTCAGCAGTTGCACTTGGAACCAGGCTTAGCCTTCTTATCACAAGTTCCACACTTTCGCCACCTCTGAGCCCAAGTATCTGGCCCTGGAACTGCCTCTGAGCAGTCGTAGGGCTTAGTCTGGCCTCTGCAGACGGTGGGGCCGCCAAGCTGATTTTAGATATCATGTCAATAAACCAGTTCTTTTCAAGAAATAAGCAGAGAGGAAAGGGTGGGCTTACACGACGGAAGAGGTCACGCTTCGAAATGTACTCGTCGCGGGAAGCGAGCATGTCCCCATGGGCCTGCGCATACTCGCGGACTTCGTGCGAAATGGGCTCGCCGTACGTACGTTCCGAGAGAGTGGCAGTAGTAACCGAGGCCACGGCGACAATGGAAAGAAGAACGTTGGGGAAATGCATCTTCGGTAGTTGCAAGTTCGAAAAGATTTAATATAAGTGGGGTTGATAAAATTCCTGGACAGATGAGAAAGGGAAGAGTAGCTATCTTGGTTCGCTTGCTGGTTGTTGGATTGGTGTTATATTGACGATGGGATAGGGTGGGGAGAGCTTATATACTTTTTGTCTTAAATCAAGACCAATCATTACCAACTCAAACCGCAGTTTCTATTTTTCTATTTCAGGTCTTACATTCTTCATCAGAAGATGAGCTCCGCATCTAACCAAGACAGACAGACCGTATTGCTGGGATCACAACAAGGTGGGCCAGGCCACTGGGATCGCAACGATATAGGTCGGACCATCTAATAAAAATCTATATCGAGATGGGTCAGACCGCTAGGATCGCAACGAGAGAGGTCAGGGATCGCAACGAGGTGGATTAGCCAGTGGGGATCGCAACGAGGTAATTCAGACCGCTGGAATCACAACGAGGTTGGTCAGGCTGCTGGGATCGCAACAACGAGATAGGTCAGACTGCGGGGATCGCAACGAGGTGGGTCAGACGAACGATGGTAAATGACTGCATATTACTGCAGGTACAAACACGTGGAGTAATTTCATAATGGCCACTCCGTATTTCATGATCCGCGCTCGGCTGATGGACTGAGTATAAGTCCCGGCCAGACACGACACAAATGATAGATGATGTGAATAGGCCATCAATGGCAACGATCCGCTACTCAGTAAATCCTGGAGCCTCTGGCTTGTACATGCCGTAAACTCGTTTATCCGTGGCATCCACTTCATACGCGATGTCGCGTTTCCAGAACAAAAATCCATCATACGTGAGCAGCAAGTAAGTAAAATAAAAATAAAAAGGGAAGTAAATGAAGCAAATATTGTTACAATATCGACCCAACAAGTAAGTCTTAGGCTAGTCTAATTAAAGACGGGGAAGATATTCCTTCAGTCCTCCAAGCCTACTATAGCTAGCATAAGATGGTTGGTGCAAAGAAAATTGTCCTCTCCTAGTCATCCGGATGAGCCGATGGTCGCTGCCGGCATCGATGTATACGCGGCTTCTCTTGAACTCCCCTGACTTATGGCCCTACGTGTATTTCACGACTTACCTCTCCCGCCCTCCGAAATCACAAAGTATTTACCGGTGGTCAGCAAGGATAGGCTCGGGGATGATAGTTGTGCTATCTAGTCCGAATGCAGGATTTAACTGGACGGCGCATCCATTGCCTGATTCGAGTCTTTCTCATGAGCTTCTCGCTATCTCATTCTCAGAATAGTTGATTCCCTGCGGGAGGTAGGGCTTATTGTGGATGTCAACGCAATGTGCCGAGGCATATTTACATAGGCAAGACGTTGCAGACCATCATAACTGCTGATGTGAAGATCCTAGCCAATCTTTCCCTGTGGCTTTGCGAGAAAAAAAAAACAATGAAATTCGGCCCCAGTAGTTTTCTGTGAGTAGCTGCGCGTGGCAATTTACCAGACCGTAATATCAGCTTCAGACCACAAGTCTATCGTGGTTAACCATCGGATACTTCTGTATCGGGCAGATCATCTGCAATAGTCAGCACCTCAGAAACGATCCTTCTTCAAGATTTTTCTAGAGGTACCATTTGTAAATTCCAATTGCATGGCTTCGATTATTGCCCAAAACGGCGCACTACTTATCTCTAGTCTCAGAGTGTCACCGTCACGTTCCATATGACAAGGTTCCAGGGGCATACTGCGTGGTGGACTCCATATTGAATCGTTTCACAGTGTATTCCCAAGCTTGCAAGTCTATAAACCATGGAGTTCCCCTGAAAATTATGACGGTAACTTATGACGCTGCTTTCTCCCTATGAAGATGTCCTTGGCTTAGTCCGAATCAACCTTTAGATCAACCAATTATAACTTGCAATATACTATCGCCATAAATGGAAAGTAAACAGGGCTATGATCAAACAATTGGCTAAAGAGATTTTGCCAGCCTTTATCGCCTTGTTGTGATGATGGTGGGGCACTTGATCTTATCTCTGCAACGATGCAAAGAACGACAAGTTACATTTCAATACTTGGATTCTCGCGGTAGCATGCTCTCTCGGAAAGAAGACAGCCGGTAGTCGCAAACCATCTTCAGTTCCGACTCTTCCGCTAGCAAACCTGTCGAGCATTATGAAACGATCTAGAACAGGTGGGACATTTCAAGGATTATGCATAATTCCATTGATGAGAGCTAATAAGCTAAAGGATGTTTCACTTGCCGAGCAAGAAAAGTATATTGTTTAAAATTAACTGATACAGTTGAACTAATGCGCCAATAAGGTTAAATGTAATAAACTACGACCAACCTGCCAGAAATGTAAGCGATGTGTCCTTGAATGTAAATGGCCGGTGGTTGAGGACCTCGTGTCCTCGCGAGCTCGAAGACGAGCGAACCATAATACCAGTGTCCACCAGCCCCCAGCTTTTACCAGAACCAGTGAATTTGGCTCCATGAGAGGTGTTCAAAGCAATGGAGATTGTCTTGACTGTGGTGCAATTGGGGTTCAGTGCTCCCGGGAGCGGCCGGTTTGCGAAAGGTGCCGAGACGAAGGGCTTGATTGCAACTATCGACAAGATGGAGCTTCGACACATAACAGTCCACAACCATTGACTACAAGCAAGCAATCCGAGACCATTAATGATAACTGGTAAATACTCCATAATCACGTTATACTTTTTATTAGGACATAAGTCACTGAAGTACTTACTCCTACCAGTCAAATCTATGGTGTTCCAAGGAGCGTAGCTCTCAAACACATAGAAGCATTCTTCACCAAGATTTACCCCTGCCAAGGGAGTGGGTTCCTTCACCGTGGCACCTTGTTTCAAAATTTCCATTCCGGTACAGTCGATCGAAAGCTTCTGCTAGCCATCTGTGCCGCGGCCTCGCGGTTCATTAATGATGATAAATCACTGGCGAACAATGACACGCAAGCTAGAACATGGGCTAAGGAGGCCAAGACCCTCCTGATCTTGGAGGATATGACAATTGACACCGTGGCTGCCGCTCTGCTCTTAGCTAGGCACGAAGTCCACTCGAGAAACTATACCTCAGCCTGGATGCTATCTTCGATTGCCACAAGGGCGGCATCGGCTCTGGGCTTAAACAGGGACAGTCGGGACGGTGAAACTTCCATGTCCTCTACCGAGCAGGAGACTCGCCGCCGTCTATTCTGGGCGTGTTACTGCCTTGACCGCATGATGTCGGCGGGGTCACCTGAACTTGTCGTCTTCCGTAGCGAGCATATCCGCCTCCAGCTGCCTTGCGATGAGCATCAGTACCTCTTTGGTATCCAATGCTGGACACCTGTCATCAATCTAGAAGACATGCCTGCCGTTGAGCATGAGCTGGTACAGTCCCAACGCGATCTTGGTTTGTTCAGTCAATACGTGCAAATAATGCAATTACGATACAGCATTTTGAGGTGCGTCCACATCTAATTTTTCCATGTCATTTCTTCTTCTCCTCTCTCCTTTGTTAGCCCAGGAAAGCGTTCGCTAACTCTCTGGTTTGCTCTCAAGATATGTGCGCAATCATCCTGAAGACCCCAAAGAGCTCGCCCCATGGGACCCATCTTCGACGTTTGCCCAATGCACCCATAAGATGTTGACATGGAAAGAATCTCTAGCCCCTCAATTTCAGCTACTCCCAGACATAATACATGCACGACAGACGCAGGACCAGCTCACCCCTTTGATGATGCTACACGTATGGTACGAGCAGTGCATGTCAGATCTCTACCGCATCGTCATGCCCGGCTTCCCCGAATCCTTGCCCGACTCCATCTTGTCGCAAGCGCCGGCGGGCTGGGTCGAGCAACACCAGCTGGCCTGCGTACAGCACGCTGTCAACATATCTTCAGTCTTTAAGACTTTTTGCGTCTGTCGCCAACATAGAGGGATTCATCTTCCTCGACTCGAGTCTGCCCATGTGCGTGTTTGATAGCATTTGCGTGCGACTCCAGTGGCTGTTCATGCTGCCGCCCAAGTCGCAAGCGAAGCGTAAGCAAGAAGATGTGGCGAGCTTCAAGATATTAAGCAGGCAAATCGAACGCATGGCGAAATACTTCAGACAGGCACAATGGTTGGTAAGGATCAGCGCCCGAGCCAATTTCCATGTTTGCCCCCGCTAAACACCCTCTAGCTTAGAGAGATGCACCATATGTTATCTCGCCACGGAATCGATATCCATGTGGCGACTGAATTATTTGGCGAGTAAGTTGCTTCTTTCTACTGCGGGTTTCAAGACGACAGATCCCTCTTTGTGCTTTAGAATACGGGCTCACGTGAAGTGCTTTGATAGCGATTCTGCGGATGCGGAGCCCGGTAGCCATCCATGACAAAAGCGTATACAGGGTCTCAACATTGGAAGAGGCAAAAGCGCTCACCAAGAGAGCCAACGGATGGGAAGTTCCGACATGCCGTTTGGTGTATCACGAATAGCTGCCCCTGGAGACGTTGATCCGAGTGCCAATCCCGGGGCCATCAATCCATGCAATCCCCGACCTGGCGATGGATCGTTGTACTCGCCTAATCAGGAAATGGGCTTCAGCAATGCGCTGTATCATGATAGCCATATAGTGCCGTTCAATGGGTGGGGTGATGCGGAGGTAGTGTCCAGCTTGACCAACTTTGCGGGTATGTCAGGAGAATGGTTGGCCATTGGCGTTGAAGAAGAGTCGGATTTGACCAGATTCTGTGAAACGGGTGGCCAATGATTGGCACAATGATTATGCACGCCACCTATACTACTTTAAATTATGTTTATATTGCGCAACAGATCTGGGTGTAGCGGCTATACGGCCCAGGTTGGGAAGAGACAACCTTGGAGCGATGGCGATAGGGGTTGGTTGAGTTCAACTCTCTACAAACCCAAACGTCAACCTAGTTCCAAGCGAATAATGTTCAATGCCGAGGCCATGACACCTTCTCAAATAGTCCATTAATCGGGGAACTTTTTGAATTTGTGCAGCCAGATTGCCCACCACAAGAGACCGGATAGACGAGTTAGCTGAGTTAGCCGAGCAGAGCGAGCAAGGGGGTTACAGTCTCGAGGATAAAACTGCCACCTTCTCCTACTGCGGTTTAGACACAAAGAACCAGAGGATCATCCTCCACTCCTGGAAGTAATGGCTGGCGTCATGGTCAATCGCAAGCCATCTCTAGGACCGGAACCTACGTCGTTTCCGGAAACTTTCCATGGGGAGCCCGCAATTGTTTGCATAATGACCCGCGCCATGTGGACGTCGGCATATCTCGTTACATGGTTTACTCCCAGTTGACAGCATGGCCTTTGAGAGGAAATTTGATAAGATTCCATCATCCGGACAGATTGTTTTATGTCCTTCATGCACCTGATCTTTCCTTTTCTTGGGGCCTTGAGTACAAACACAAACACTCTAAGTTCGTCAACACATACCTCGCCGCGATGCGTGTGTCTATCGCTTCCACTCTTGGCCTCCTAGTCACTGGTGCCATTGCAGAATGCCCGTATGCCAAACACCAAAGAGGGCCTAGCAAATGTCCTTATGCTAGCGATCTCGTTCGTGATTCGCCAGAAGGCGCCCTCTCTCACGGCCTGCCTAAACGCGCTCCTCCTAGTGATGGAAAGCTTGGGGCTTTCTACATGAACCGAATTGCACCATCAGGAGCACAGTTGTGGATTGCTGATACAGATGGTTCCAACGCCATTCCATTGATGGCTAACCAGTCCAACCCTTTCGACTATCATCCCAGCTGGTCTTTGGATGGTGAATGGATAGTCTTTACGAGCGAAAGACGTGCAGACGGACAGTCCGACATCTACAGAATTAAACCCGACGGCACCGGCCTCGAAACGCTTGTCGAGACAGACTCATTCGAGGATTCTGGAAGCTTGTCTCCTGATGGCTCAAAGCTTGCCTACATCTCCACCACCATGAACTATACGGCCAACGTCTTCGTCAAGGATCTCCATACAGGGGCTACGCATAATTTCACTGGAAGTGACGAGTCTGTAATCAACTTTGTGGGGCCTCACAGCTTTTTCCGACCCTCATGGTCACCCGATGGCAAGTGGCTGACCTTTTAGTTCGGACGTCAACACCGAATGGACTGGCCACAGCAACGGCACCGGCTGGGAGCATACGCAATCTCTTTCCATCTACATCGTGAGGGCGGATGGTAGTGTGTTTCGCAAAGTTGTAGGGCAGGATAGCTACAGCCTTGGGTCGCCTCAATGGTCACCAGACGAAAAGCGCTTACTTTATTCCAACATGACGACGGAGGATACATATGGAGCACACGGAAAGAGTGCTCAGCAGAGCCACATCGTTTCCCAGCTTTTCAGCGTCGACGTAGAATCTGGCATAAGTGTCACACAGCATACCTATGAAGCATCCCTCAAAGTTTCCGGCCGCTACGTTGGGACTAACGGCAATAACATTGGCTATGTTGTCAAGGCTGGCATCAACTCGGGCATTAACTACACAGCGTCCACTGAGACTCACCAATATCTCAACGGCTCTATGCGCAACCCATCATGGTCACCTGATGGCACTCAGGTCGTCTACGAAGTGTACTAATGGGCCCAGCGGCCAGCTGAAATGCCGCTCTTTAGCTGGGATAACGAGTGGGAGTACCGCTTCATGGACGTATTCCCTCAATTCAACGAGGCAACCAAGCGTTTAGCTACAACCGAGAAGCAGCTCGGAAACGCTTCTTCTTCGGTCGTGATTACCGATGCCGGTTACGGCAACCTCGTTAGAGCCTTCGATGTCTATGACGTGAACAGCACAGATGCCGAGAAGGACGCGTACGCATCTGGGTTGGCTGGCGCCTTTCAACCAACGTGGTCAAATGATGGCTCCAAGCTGATTGTTGGCTTTGGAACATGGTTTTCAATCGCGGAAACTACCTAGCAAACTTGTATTTGTTCGACGCCAAGGGCAATAGAGACTATGAAAAGATGACTAAAGGCAGTCTAAACGCTGGGTTTCCATCATGGTCGCCTGACGGAACCAAAGTAGTCTATCGCCTCTGGGACGGCCAGAACGGTCCGCTGGGCCTGCATATTGTAGACCTTGCCAGTGGAGAATCGACGCAACTGACCAACGGCTGGGACCATACGCCAGGCTGGTCGCCTGATGGAGAACTCATTGTATTTACTCGCCAGACGAATTGGACCTCTGGGAGCAGCTGGGATGCTGATCGCTTCGACATCTGCACCGTCAGGCCTGACGGAACCGACTTTAAGGTGCTCACCGACTCTCAAGCGAACGATGCCCATGCTGTATGGTCTCTAGACGGACGAATCTTGTACAGCAGTGGCATGTTTGGCTTCCGTGACGAGAGCCCCTTGTATGACGAGACCTTTCAACCTTACGGCCAAATTATCGTCATGAACGCCGATGGATCAAACAAGACCATGTTGACCGACAGTATGTGGGAAGACTCCATGCCCATGTACGTGTGGCGGTCGGCCTTTGAGGAAAGGGCATAGAAATATCGTTTGCTACTATAACCATCCGAGAGGTTGGATGCGGGATTAATGGTATCACAACTACTGGTTACTTCAGATGTGTGTGAGAGTGACTGGGAGAAAACTTGGAATTCATTTGTTCAAGAAAATTGAGACCTATAAACAAAGAAACCTATAATGCGAATGATATTTTAAGCTAGTAGCCGGAACAGTTCATTATGCAGTCACCTTTCAATCTAATGTCTTAACTATATTGTCACCAGTTGCCTCCTCGCCGTCGATAACTGGTATGAAGCTGTCTCGTTTCACCCGGGCAGGCAACTACCCTGGACTTCACCTGACTTGACGCGTGCTTTCCCTTTTGTTAGATTGTTCTAGAGAAATTCATTCCCCTCATTTGTTACCCTACACCCAGCCAAACAAAAAATCACCCTCGACCCAGGAGCATCTTCTGTTCAGGACGGGCACCCGAGGGAAATGCTTGAACAAGAGCAGGTCCCCGGCCCCTTGGAGGTTCGCGAGAGAGTCAACGAAATCATCAAAGCGGTCGGAGATGCTTTACCATGGCCATCGGGTATGAAAGAATCCACCCACACGGCGAGGTCACTCGATGGAACGACCTTGGAAATCCGACGCTTCGTCCCCAGGGACCTGCTCGGTGACAGCTCCGACAGTCCGTCAGAGCGAGCGGTCATTTTCGCCTTCGGTGGTGGTATGACGGCGGGCAGCGTCGAGGTGTTCCGAGGCTTCATCGCCACAATAGCCCAGCAGAGCGCGACGCAGGTCTTCGCGCCCCAGTGGCGCATTGCGCCTGAGAACCCTTACCCGGCGGGAGTAGAGGACGTCTACTCATCCATGGTATGGCTACAGGCACACGCGGCAGACTTCCACGTCGACCCGGCCCGCCTGGTCGTCTTCGGCGTGAGCGCGGGCGGCTTGGTGGCGGCGGGCGCGGCGCTGATGGCTCGCGACAGGCAGTTGGATCCTCCTCTGGCTGCCCAGTGCCTGCGCTACCCTTGCCTGAGTGACCAAACCACGGTGGCAGCCGACGACCCGAGGCTGGGCAGGTTCACGTGGTCGGTGGAATCCAATGATTCAGCGTGGAAGATCTACATGGGCGGCTTGGAAAAGTGTACGTCGGCTGCCCTGTCCCTTGCTACGAGAGCTCAAAACTAACTTCACCGTCTGATGTGTTCCAGGGGAGAGGAACGATGAAAACTGCCCAATCTACGCGGTGCCTCTTCGAGCCCAGAACCTGGACGGATTGCCACCTACTCACATTGGAGTCGGAGAGTACGATATCTTAAGGGACGAGAATAAGGAGTATGCCCGGCGGCTAGGCGAAGGGACAGAGCTGTACGTGTACCCCGAGATGCCACATGGGTTTGATGCGAACCCAACGCTCAGCCTTGGGAAGGTGATGTGGGATCGAGAGGCCAAGTTCATTCAGAGATTTTAAGATAGATAACGGTAATGAGTGCTGACAGACTCATCTTCACCTGCCATCTTTAGATCCTGGAACTACATGCTAGGCGATTCCTCATGTCATCAACTCGATGACAGAGCTGTGAAAGGAAGCTCTTTCCTGAACACCGGCACTCGGACTTAACCACTTCCCCCGTCGGTTATATCTCTCCCGAGCCGGATTGATAAAAGTTAGCCTGGCCAAATGACAGAGAGAGAGTGGATTCAACCGCGCGCTATTTCATCCCACTTACGTAGTGTCGGAAATCAGCCACTATCGTCGTCATGAAGCTTAACTTGAGTTTATTCTAGCGGGTGGATGACATCGATTCCAGGTCTCATGTTGGCCTAAATTTCTCGAACTGGATACCGATGATTTTGTCAGCAGCTACAAATCAGCCTCAACCTTGCACTCTCGATGTGGACGGGTCCACAAGGCATCGCGGAAATCCCAGGAGATTCGATGGGTCCTCTTGGCAGTCACAGAAAAGTGGATGGACTCAATAAGATCTAAGCCTCAGTCAATCAAAGCTTCCAAGCCTCGGTCGGCTACGCTCCGTCCAGTTCAAATCGTTCGTTGGCGGTGACATATGCCGCGCCGCGTGGAATATCTCCAGAGCTGGTAGAACAAGCTCGCTTGGCAGAACTTGTCCTTGCATTCAACTCCGCCCAAGTGAATGACTCCATTCAAGGCAATTGCGTCTACAGGCCCGAGTCAGTCCGCGCCAGCCTTAAGCGGCAGGACCTTGTCAAAGCAAGACATCCCACCGGGATCTTGATTGGATACCAGCAGAATCGTCCGAGCTTTTGTTTTCGTTTCGCCTTCACCAGTTTCACTTTCATTTCTCGCCCATTATGACGGGGGTTTTAAGCTCGTCTGATGTCCCCGAGCACCAATTGGTAAGCTTAACCTTGCTAGAGTGGCAGGATATTTATCCGACATCGGTCTCTGGACCCTTTTTCGGCTCCCACCGATGTGTATCTTGATTCCGTTTCTGGCTGCCTCCCTCCATCTCTAATCCTTTGGGATCAGCGCCTCTAATATCTTTGGAGACGGATCCAGTTTCACCCTGGTATGAGCTAGTGACGTTCATGCCTTGGCCTCAGTCTAGGCCACGATGATTCCACTGTACTGACAGCAAGGATCAAACTCCGACACTTTTTGCGTCAATTCTGTCAAAGGAATGAACTAAATCGGGTCGTGTATGACTTTCTTCTATATTGCTGTACATATATATATCTATATAAGCCACATGTGGTAGGACAAAATTTCTAGTTCCCCACGCGCATCCTCGGTATCTCCCATCCGTCATTCTGTGAGTTTCGCAAGTACATTCTTTATCAAAATGCGTACCGCTACTTTCCTCCAGCTCGTTGCTGGCGTCGCTGCCTATAGTCCATGGGTCAACGAGCCCGACACTGGTCTTGAGACCTTCCTCAAGGGTACCAACTGGACCGAAGGCACCCTCCCCGACCTGAAGGACATGCGCGCCGTCAACGACTTCGACTTCGCCGCTCGCCAGGTTCTCACCGACCAGCAGTATGCCTTCTACAGAGTGGCAGCCGCAGGCGAGTGGTCATACCGCAACAACCTCGAGGTGTGGTCCAAGTGCCGTCTCAGGCCACACCAGTTGGCTGGAGTCACTGGCCTGAACGAGACCATGGGTGTCACCATCCTGGGCTACAACTTCAGCTCTCCCATTTTCATCTCACCGGCTGCCAGAGGCGTGTATGGCAACGAGCGCGCCGAGCTCAACTTCGTCGATGCCGCCGCCGAGGAAAACATCCTGTACATCTCGGCGCTCTACGCTTCCAAGACCATCGAGGAGATTGGTGAGGCCAAGAAGAAGCACAACAGCACCCTCAACGGACCCCAGGTCACCTTCCAGCAGATCTACGGAAACGTCAACCAGACCGTCACCTGGGAGGCCATCCGCCGCGCCGAGGAGCAGAACGCCAAGGCCATCGTCTTCACCGTCGATGCTCCCGCCACTTCCACACGTCACCGCGCCGCTAGGTACGATACCACCAACGCCAACGGTGTCACCTCCAACCTCGACTGGGACCTGTACGAGGAGATGAAGCAGCGCACCAAGCTCCCCATCATCATTAAGGGTATCACAACCGTCGAGGATGCTGTCAAGGCTGTTGAGAAGGGTGTTCCAGGTATCATGCTCTCCAACCACGGCGGTCGCCAGGTTGAGTACTCTCCATCTCCTCTCGAGATTGCCTATGAGATCCGACGCAACGCCCCCGAGGTTTTCTCCAAGACTGAAGTCATTGCCGACAGCGGTATCCGCTATGGTACTGATGCCATCAAGCTGCTTGCTCTTGGTGTCAAGGCTGTTGGCATGGGTCGGCCGTAAGTTAAACCCCTCTTTATGTTGCTTTGACTAGTCTGACCGTTCATAGATTCATGTACTCCAACGTCTATGGAGTCGATGGTGTGAAGAAGCTGATCCAGATTATGAAGTCTGAGATCCTCAACGATGCTGCCCAGATTGGTATCACCGATTTCCACAACATTTCCACCAAGGTGGTAAGTAAAAGACCCATGAAGGTTCCTCATATATTTATCTTAACCGCATACTAACATTGTCACTAGCTTTCCACCAAGCTCCTAGAGAACGAGGTCTACCTCCAGGATGAAAACTTCATCTAAACATCCCCTAGCCCTTACTCGTATATAGAAGAATTCCGATCATGGGAGTACATAGATCATAAAAGCAAATTAGTAAAAAATTGCAAAACAGCATTCATCCAGATGTATTCCTCATCGCCAGTTATCATTAGTCGAGCTTGTGCTTCCGCATCCCGAGCTTGTCGTGAAGGACCTGTTGGGGTCGCTCTCCCACGTCACCTGTCCGTTCTGCTTGATGATGTACTTGTAGTTGAATGCCGTTCCCGCAGGGAGGTCAATCTCCACAAACCACAGGTGGTCGCTCGAAGTGTACTTGGACGCGCTCAACGCAATGCCGTTGGCTGGTGACCAGTTGGCCAGCTGGGTCAGCGATCCCACGACGAAGACGTCCTGTCCTGGGACGGTTGTGACGCGGACGTTGAAGGTCGTCTTGGAGTTGCAAGAGGGCGGCGCAGTGCATACAGACGGCACGTTGTTGTTTGCAGACTCGCCCCAGGACGGTGGGACGACACCGCTGCGGCGCTCGACGGTTGTGAGGAAGGCGGCGTACGACCAGGTCAAGTCTGTCGCAGAAGTGGGCGAGCCATTGGCTCGGGTATACTGCTCAGCAAGGGCGCCGCTGGAGGGAGTGTACTTTTGGACGACGGCGATGAAGTCGTCTGCGTAAGCATGGACGGCGCTGATGATTGTTTGGTATGTGGTCGAGCCCTTGGCGTATGTTCCTGCAGCAGCAGAGGGAACAATGTCCTTGAAGAAGGCCAAGTTGACAGAGTCGACGGTGAGAGAACCAACCTTGTCCCATTGGTAGATGGCCGCATAGAGCTGCTCAGCGGCAGCAAGGGTAGTCAGGTACCAAGGATTGCCGTTATAGTAAACATCCTCAGCGTAGCGGCCAACAGCTGCAGCCTTGCCCTGAGCGATGCCGCTGTTGATGGCGTAGATGGAGCGGAAAGAGTCAACAACGGCCTTGTGGTTTGCCAGAGCCCTGGAAGAGCAGGGCTGGAAAGTTGAGTCCGTACACTTAGAGGTGGGGTCGAAAGTGTGTATCGAAGAGATTAGCGAGTTGGCGTCCTTGCCAGTGCGGCCATCGTTGACATTGATGTTGGAATCGATGTAGCCGTTCACCCAGAAGCTCTGGGCAAAGCACAAGACCTGAGGCGCGGCTGCTGCATAACCACCGTCAGCCTGGCCGAGCGCAGTTGCGAGTGCAGCACCTTCGACCAGAGCGCGATGCGTGGCAGCAATGGTAAAGAACGAGCTTCCGTTGACTTCCTCCCAGAGGTCGTAACCGGTCTGGTTCCAGTACTTGACGGTGTATGCCAGGTCTTTCTGGATGACAGGCCAGACGTTGCTGAGAGCCTTGCTCTGCTGGCCGTTGGCAATCAGCCAATTGGCGTAGAGGGTCAGCGCAGTCGCTCTCAGCGGGGGACCGTCTCTCTGAGGTCGACCCCAAGCTCCTGTAAAGGCAGTACCATCGACGTTGAACTTTGGTTCGCCTAGACCCCCTGAGTCTGGGCTGCCTGAGGGGTTGCTGACGGTTTGGAGTTTGGCCTGTGAACTAACATAGTAGTCAATTACAGTCTGCAGAGACGAGTCGCCGGCGATGAAGCGCTCAACGAGGGCCTTGAAGGTCAGAGCAGAGTCACGAGTCCATGTGTACCAGTCTGTTAGGAGACGAGTTGTCAGCGATGTGGCCAGGATATTGATGGGCTCTCTTACAGTCAGGGTTGGAACGGGAGGGACTGGCGACAACAAGACCGGCAGAAACACCCTGGGCCTTGGATCCGTCTGGGCCGATGTTGGCGAGAACACCGGTGATGGAAACCTGGCTCTGTGAAGCGATGAATTCTTCAAGGGTTGCGCGAGTGTACAGATATGGCGGGAGGGGCTCGGAGTAGACAAGGCCAGCCCAGACTGCCAGAGTGCTGAGAAGCACAGTGGGAATTATCTTCACCATGATTGCGCACAAGAGAATAGCGATAAGCAATTTGTGTGTTCTTGTCAAGGTTGGGAGATGATGATGGAACGAGGAAATCAAAGGGCGATCCCCAGCCCTCTTTATAGAGCTTCCCATCTGGTGTTTGAGCTGGGGTCGCAACTTGTAACTACTGACGATAGGGCTCTGCACCTGGCCCTTCACATGATGATTCACCTAATTTTTTTTTTCGTGCTTCCTTCGCTGCACGCCAAGGGTGGCGGACTCCAACTCCTGTTAGAAGGGCCGGCCGGTTAATTCTGCTTCTGGATGGAGAAATCGGAGCTCGATTCTCTCAACTCCCAGAGCGGCAGAAAATGGGTTCAGGGACTCAATCTCAGCACGTGGATGGAAGGGAATTCACGATCTGAAGGTCAGGGCGGGTCTGATGCTCGGTCTGACTTTCGGCATTGGCAGACGTTCCTCAAGTGACTAGACCGGGGGGTCTGTTCATCTTGGTAAATGGGCCAATCAGTCAAATGGAGGGGATTGAGAAGTCGATGTAGGCGACCAGGGAGGAAAGCTTGTCAAGGGGGAACGTGCTTCACTGGTGGTTGGCAGTACTAGATGAGTGACACGCGGGGTCGAAGGAGCGGGGAAAGGGGTCATGGAGAACTGAGCAGGTTCCTGAGCATGTGACACCGGATAGCCGGAGCAGAAGAAATTGGTGATCTGTGCGTTTTGGAGATCTCTGCCAACAAAAGCAGAGCACGGCAGAGTAGAGAGTACTGTTCCCCGTTCCCCTTAGCCGGTAGCAACCTGTGCCATGTGTGATACACTGCTTCTAAGACAAGTCCCGTGCCGGCTGACACCCAATTCAGGAACGGGCCTCTCCACGAGGTGGGTGTCGGTCATCACACAGATGAGGCAGTGATTAAGCAGCAAATTGGAGCTCAGCAGTGACCACACACCTGCCTAACTCCCCGAGCTACATACGAGTGCCCCAGAAACGAAGCAGTCGGCAATCACAACAAGCAAGCAGGGAACCTCTGCTCCAGGAAATGACGCCACAGTGGACAGCATCCCCACGAAACGGCCCGTGGAGGCAGCTCGAACATCAAGCAGAGTTACATGTGGAGAAGAGCGGCTAATGCTGATCGGTCCGACCTACAAATGGGGTCAGTCCCTCCCTGCAAGGTGCAACAAGGGATCCTCGCTTGGCATTGGCTGTGTGTGTTCAGGTTGGAGAGTTTGATTACTGATGCTGAGCCTTGAGCAAAACACCATCCCGGTCATCTCCCGGCCCTATTCCAGCTGCTCGCCTCCAGCTTCATCCCAGAACGTTCCCAACGTCCGCTACTTCGGCGCTATAATCGGGCTCTTACATGCCAAATATACATCGCTTCGCCTCCGACCTAAGGCGTCGGTCGCTTCTGAGTGGCGCGCAAGTCTGACTACGGAAACCACCTCGTCTGCGTTGATGCCTCAAGTCCGTCCTTTGCCAAAAAAGGGCCACGATGGCGCAAAAGGCGGACTTTAGAGATCCACCTTGATAGCAATTGCGCTCGACGAGAGAAATCCAGTCACGACCAGCCACGCCCTCTTCTTCCCTCCCTCCAGCGCCGGATCAATGCCCAAGAGCACGGCGGCGCTCGACGACCGAATTCTCGACCCGTCATCCTCGAAAATAATCTTCTTGTTCCATTTTGTAGTCGCTCTCCCCTCCTCCTTCACAGGCTGTACCAGCCAAACGATGACAGGTTCCGTTGCTGTCTCATTCTGTGCGCTCTTCGCCAATTCTCCCGCCTTGCTCAAACCACCCAACACGTACCCGCTCGCGTCGTTCTCTTCGGTCGCGTACTCGTCGTTGAAGTAGCTGGGGTTGTCGATGATACTGTCCAGATAGATGGTTTCCTTGACTTTCAGCTGCTGAGTGTCGGTAATGTCAGCCAAAGAAAGAATGCCGCTCCCTGCAGACCCGATCGCCACGTCCTCATGGGACGGGCCATGGCCCAGCCCGTTGTTGTTATGAAGCCCTGCCAATGCAATGCTGGCATTGATACCGGCTTGAGGATCGCTGCTAGACCAGTCATCTATCTGTACACGGACAGTGTTAGACCATCTGGCAGCGGGGATTATGGCTTCCACTTGTCGCAGATAGCCTTCGGTGTAGTGGTGGTCATTGGTGACATAGATAGATGTTGGTGTATGGGCAAATATGTCATTGGGTGTCTTAACGAGAGGGTGCCGTATGGAACGAATCCATTTAACTGTAGATGACCCGAGAGCATGGTGGAAAACCTCGATCTGCGACCGCGCCTTCGGCGTCCCCTCCAGAAGGGGAGTTCGATTCTTCACGGACAGCACATACTCTGGATGAGGAGCATGGTTGACCGCGAAGATGTAGACGGCTCCGTTTTTCTCAGGGTCTGCAATGATGTCAATCCCGTGCGTGCTAAACGAGCCCTCAAAGTTCTGAAGGACAAGTCTCTTCGACTTGAAGTCCTATTCTCTCATCATAGTGTGTTAGTCATCCGATCATGCTGTTGAATGTGATCTGATATCAGTTACCTTAGTGTCAATGACGTGAATAGATCCTCGCGCCTCCGAAGCAAGTACGGGGTCCTTAAAGATGACCAGGGGCGGGAACCATGAGAATCTTGTAGGAAAGGAATCTTCACACGCAGTGAACAGCCAGTCCGAATATCGGTGAATGTCTTCACAATGGACAGTGTCTTCAATTCGAATAATCTCCCCTTCTACATGAGAGATATTGGCGCTCCGTAGAAAGCCAAGGACCGTGAGCCAGCGGTGGACCACGGGAAAGTAGTAGGCAGCCAGGAAAGCCGCGGCTGCGGTTTTGAGAATGGTGATGGGCGCTGACATAATGGCCACAATACAGGGTTCGTGATAACCTTGGAGACACTTGATTTGCAGTAGATATCGAATGTCTACCACGAAATGAATGAGATGATTCGCACAATGCTGTGACTGAAGAGGGGGCAGTATTGAGGACAAGGCGGAATGTGCGGAGTTGCGGTACCAGTTCCCCTCATTAGCTAACATGTCACACAATGCAACTACCTGCCTCGGCAAAGATTGTCCGGCCTTGCCTAGTTTCGAAAGCCCAAAAAGAATGCACCGCAAAGGGGATTCAAATGGTCGGAGTTTGCTAACCTGTGTTGATGTATGCCAATCCAATGGTCGGACAAGGAACTGCTCCTCACCGAACCTAGTCGAAGCCTGCGACCTTCCAACATCAAATGAATCAAAAGATTCACGACGAAATGAAGGCTCTCACCTAATTTATATTCCAGAGTTTCAGCACTTACATCCCTACTGAATTAGTGCCGCGCGTTTGTAACTAAAATCCAATGGTAACTTTCAATGGGTTTTAGCATGAACGCTTCTTCATTTAGGCCAACTCCCTTATCAAACTTACCGACAGCTACCTACTTCATTAAAGAACACCCCTCAGACCTAAAAGCCCACAATATCCCCGCAAACGATCTCTCATATTGACGCAGATGGCGCCTTGAAACGGACGTCATCGTCTGCGCCACTGGCTTTGTTACGTCAGTTGATCATGAACTTTCCCCTGCATATTGTTTCACTGATGAATTACACCAAAATTGAACCACTGATCCTGACAGATACATAAGACCTCGATCTGTGAGTGAGCTCGACCCAGCTCAGCGCCACGCGACAATGTCTTAATCTCGTAACCGTGCCAGATTCGACATGTACAAAGGCTAAGGGAAACAGCGATCCCTTCCATAGAATATTTAGTAACGTAGCGAGGAGTCCGAGAGATGAGAGGGGCATGGCCTCTCACTGATCATATTTTCGAGCATGATGTAAAACGAGCATATGGATGTCGAAACCGGATCGCGTGATTTCAGAAGCGAAAGGGCTCTCCTAAGATAAGTAACTGATAAACCATCTCAAAGGGAGCCTTGTTAGACTGCAGCCAACTCTGCAGATCTATAATGTCTTGGTACTGAGTGTATGTTCTTAAATACGAGGCAAGATGCATTTTCCCTCATTTGGTTTATAAATAGCGTTATCCATAAGAAATAGTGTCCTAGTCTTCGAGCTTTGTTAACTGCGTCAGTTCTGAGAGTTGCACCCCCCAATAGAGCCAGCGGTTGGAATCGTCCTTCTCTGGATTCCAAATAAAATAGGAAAGTAATTCGACATTATGAATTTTCTAGTAAGTTAAGTCTTTTGAAGAAGAAAAATCCCCACGCTAGAATTCACATGGATGATGAAATTCGAATATAGCATAGACTTGAATGTACCCAAGGATAGTAACGATAGAATACTAAAATGACCCAAAAAACAGTCTAGATAGCAGTGAACATCGACACCAACAAACCGCTCGATGAGCCACAATACTGACGACTAGACGAGGTCAGATTACATGGAGTGGTACATAGAGTTCTATCAGTGGTTCCAGACAAAAGCCCTAGAGCATTTCCACATGTGCATTGTGAGACCCCTGTAGGGGATGTTCCAAGCGAAAAGTAATACGTGGGATAGCCAGAACTCTGAATAGTGGAACACGTTTTTGCACAATCATCCACGGATGTTGTCAAGGGCTCAGAATACACGTATGTATCGAAACCATACTTGCCGAGGATCGACGAATAGCAGCCAATATAGTCGTAGTTTGCGGTGTAGCCAGCAGAAGCGCCATCAGCACCGGCTGGTCCTCTTCCGCCTGTTGGGCCGGCTGTACCTTGGGCGCCTTGTATGCCTTGGGCACCTGTATCGCCTTGAGGTCCAATTGGTCCTGCTGGCCCTTGTGGCCCTTTTGGCCCGACTGCTCCTTCAGGCCCAACAGGCCCTTGAGGACCAGTCGTACCAGTTGGGCCCTGGGCACCAGTCGCTCCTGTTAAACCTTGAGCTCCCGTTTGCCCTTGAAGTCCCTCTGGTCCAATAGTGCCTTGGAGGCCAGCTACTCCAGGTAAACCCTGCGAGCCAGTATCACCTTTGGGTCCTTCGGGGCCAGCTGGGCCCATCGGCCCTTGAAGACCCGTTTCGCCTTGAGGACCAGTCGCTCCCATCGGTCCTGGAAGACCTTGAGGCCCTGAATCACCTGTATCGCCCTTTGGGCCTGTTGCTCCTGTCTCCCCCGGAATGCCAGTATCTCCTTGAGGCCCTTGAGGGCCAGTTAGTCCTGTTGGTCCCTGGGAACCAGTACTACCTATTGGGCCCATTACTCCAGTCACTCCCTGTAAGCCCTGTATACCTTGAGGACCTGTATCACCTTTTGGCCCCGTTAGTCCCTAGGGTCCTACTGCTCCATTCGGACCTTGGGAGCCAATATCGCCTTGAATACCACTAGCTCCAGTGTCGCCTTTTGGCCCCTGTGGACCAACAGGTCCAGTATCACCTATCAAGCCTACTGGCCCCTGAGACCCAACTTCACCTTTGGGTCCTATATCCCCAGTATCTCCCTTAGGACCCGGAGGCCCTTGAGCACCAGTTCCTCCAGCAAATCCCTGAGGGCCAACGGGACCAATATCTCCAGCTAACCCGGTAAGCCCCTGTGGCCCTGCATCGCCTTTGGGGCCAGTATCGCCAGTATCACCCTTTGGTCCTGAAGGGCCCTCGAGGCCGGCAGCTCCGGTTTCTCCAGTTTGCCCAACCGGACCTTGGGCTCCTGTGTCACCCTTCGGGCCAGTGGCGCCCGTTAGACCTTGAGGCCCTTGAGGCCCATAGTCACCTTTTGGCCCGGCATTGCCTTGAGCTCCCGTATCGCCCTTGGGGCCCTGATCACCCGTCACACCAGGTAAACCTTGGGGCCCTTGGAGACCTGTATCTCCCTGAGGACCTTGAGGACCGGTGCTTCCCTGTGGCCCAGTAGCACCAGTTTCGCCCGATGGCCCTATGGGGCCTTGAGTTCCGCTATCTCCCTTGGGACCAGTATCTCCCGTAGCTCCAGTTGGCCCTATAGACCCCTGTGTCCCATCGTCTCCTTTGACACCTGTATCCCCAGTATCACCTTTGGGTCCTTGAGCGCCAGTTGGGCCTGCTGGGCCAGTTGGACCCTCAGAACCAGCCGAGCCCCGAGGGCCGGTGTCGCCTTTCGGCCCTGGAGGCCCAGTCTCTCCATCTTGGCCATTTGTTCCTGCGGGACCCTGTTCACCGGTGGCTCCCTGTGGTCCAGCCGGTCCAGCGTCTCCTTGAGCTCCTTGCGGTCCTTGAGCTCCTTGCGGTCCTTGAGCTCCTTGCGGTCCTTGAGGTCCAGGTGGTCCTGGAGGGCCTACAGTTACTGGATCGTCTTGCAGTTCTTGTTTTGGTGATCCTCGTGGAGCCCCTGGCGGTTGGGTCTTCCGATTCGGCCACCCTCCTGTCCCATACAACCATTCAATAAACTGCCTCCAGGCTGATCGGCGACGTATATTTTCTTTTGATGGTAATTTGTACTTTGGCACATGTGAAGGATCACATATATGCGTATAGCCATGCCTACGAAGATTGGATCGGCATTGTTCCTTCGTAGATCCCATAATATTCTTCTCTTGAACGTTATTTTGCCTAGTTTGATGTCAGCCTTATTCATTCTAATAAGGTTATTTAGTTATTTACACTTACTTCTCTACCGTACAGTTATCCGAATTCATTCGACAGACCCCGTCGTGTCGGTCTCGAAGGTCTGGGACAGCCAGAGCAGTTACAGGAACCAAATAGGCCAAGAGCATGACAAAGGCTATGAAGCCCAATGCCTTGGTGTGGGCTGCCCTCATAGCTAACCCTCATGCAAACCAAGCAAGCTTGATTGCGAAAATCAATGCGATAGAGAATAAGAGGAATCAAGGCAAATGTTATTTTTTCCTGTATCAAAACCGAAGGGCATAATCACAACATACCTCCATGGCAATCTTCGGATATATTTGAGGAAAGCAGATGCTCCATACTGCATACCTCTTGGTGGAGTGAAACATGGTAAACGGTAGCATTCCTGCTACCGGTCTTCAACGGCCTATACGTAGATTGCCAGGACTATGCGTGATGCCATGCTGCCTACAAATGTCTCGGATGATTCAAGTTGTTTCCATTTACGACTCGAAATCTCAAACTCGAATCACTACTATTTCAGCTTGCTCCGGTCATGATTTCCAATAAAATTCGTTTCTTTCCTATTATTTCCTGCTCTGAAGATAAACATCCAAGATTCTGCTTTAGAACTATCGATATCTTCTCTTTGAGGAATCAGTTTCTTTACCTTTGGTCTCCATGAATTATCATTGCTTACATGACCCACTCAACTGGTATTGTGGCTTTTCGTAGCTGGCCAAACGTCCCATGTACAACAACTGTTTCACCGGATTCTGAGATCATCACAAATATATTATGTCTTAGTTCAAGTTTCCTGGACAACATATACTTGGCCTACAGCCACTGGTTCCTCCTAAGATAGCTGAACTGAAGAAGAAGACATTTAGCAGTGGCTAAGGTATGCAGCTTTCATCAGGAAATATTCATAGACGCAATTGGTCTTTCCTCAGTTATTTCCTAGGTTGCATCTATTTTCTGTTTCGAAGGAATGAGCAGGACAAAAATGTGGATCAAGGTTATAGCATAGCTAGCGACTACGTTCTTTTCTTGCAAGTATAGAGATTCACTGTGATGATATGAACAAAATTCTTCTCGTGGGATTATCTACTTGAGAATACGAACTAGTCATTTCTAGATCCAAGTGCCGAACATGATTCCTGGTGAGCCTCACTCAAAGAATATTCTAGTAATATACCTCGAAGACCACTAAATCATTTTGAGGTTCCTTCATATAAGTGTCCAGCTTTCATGCCCCTTAAGTAAAATAAGAGGCCTAGAGAATACCATTTCCACCAGTAATATTAGAAACATGTCTGTGCCTACTAGTATGCAAACTTATGTCATGAGTTTAAGCGATCCCGTTATCATATACAGATCTACACGTAGAAAATCTACTTCTTATTGTTCTTATTCAAAAGCTGCGGCTACAGAGTTCCTATTTTAAACGCCCGGGTTTCCATTGAAAGCAAGTCTGTTGCTAGTACCGCTGGGAAGTCCAGTAAGGAGGCCAACCGAAGCAAGTTCCTTGATACGCTCACAGAGAGCGTCTCCCTTGAGTCCTTCAAGACCACCCAAGTAGGCAGCGAGGCCTGCCGCGTGGGGGGAGGCCATTGAGGTTCCGGACATGGTAGCCTAATGAAATTTTTTAGCTCCTACAACTTTCTTCAAATTTTTATCACGAAAGGCTTACCGTCAAGTTGCCAGGGGCCAATGACAGGACACTGGTACCCGGAGCAAATACGTCAACTCCCGGTCCGTAGTTGGAGAAGCTGGACTTGACATCGGCAGAGTCCGTGGCTCCAATTGTGCACACAGTGGGCTCAGCGGCGGGAGACTGGTTAGAGGAGTCGATGTTGCTGTTGCCTGCCGAGACAGCAAGGAAGATATCGTTTGATGGGAGGGCTGCCGCTGCAGCATTGAGAGCAGCTGACACAGAGGATCGAAGTGACATGTTGGCGACAGCACCGTTGGGGCAGCCACGCGTGGGCACGTCGGAAACAACAAACTCAAGGCCGCGGATCATGTTAGCGACCGTGCCGCTGCCATTGTTGTCCAGAACCTTGACGGCGAAGAGGCTGGTCTTCTTGGCGATTCCGTAGGTTTTGGACCCAATGGTGCCAGCAACGTGAGTTCCATGTCCATGGCCTTGGAAATTGTTTCGTCAGTTGAGGTTTCCCAGGGGTTCAATAAGAGATAAGGAGATGTCTTACCGTCAATGTTGTTTGAATCTCCATAGTTGACTGCAAAGGTAGCGCGGCCTTCAAAGTCCTACGAATATATTTGTTAGATCGAATCATACTAAGTCTTTTACACCGAAACCTACCGTGTGGGTTACATCAATGCCGGTGTCAATAATGTAGGCACAAGTTCCCTCGCCTGCGGTCTCGTCATAAACGTATGTGGTAGAGCCCTTGGCACGGTGGGAAATTCTTCCAAGACCCCAGGCAGCGTTAGATTGCTCAAGGAAGCCATCTAGATAAACATAGGAATCCTCCTCGATGAAGTCAACCTAATTACAGATGTTAGCACATAACCAGTACGGTGCGGAATAGCGCTGGCTACATACATCTGGGTGGTTTCGAAGAGCATCTAGAGCTTCCTGGCTAAGTTCCCCAGAGAATCCCTTGAATACATGCTCGAATGTGTACTCGGGAGCCACGGAAATAGTGCTCAGAGCACTATCCAGTGAGGCAAGGGCGCTGTTATCCTTGAACTTAACAATGTACTTGTTAGCTACAACATCAGCCCTCTCATTAAGCCTCACAAGAGGAGCAGGGACAGATCGAGTGGCAGGGGCAGCCAAGACGGCTGGAAGGATAGCGAGGAGGACAGAGAGACGCATTTTGATGTGAATGACTCTCAAAATGTGTTTGTGATGTATACTCTTGGTATCCCTAGAGAGGCTTGATTAAGCAAAGCACTCGATACTTCAGTACCGAGGAGACAGCTGCTATTTATCACCTTGATTATCGTCCTCTGCAAGAGAACTGGCAAGGCAGGATAGTGGGCCTCTCCCAGTCGGCCGCAAGTTTATTGCTTCCCATTGGGGAAGGTCTTCGCCAGTTGCTCATCAGAGGGGTGGATCACACAATGGCGGAGAGTCGTTATCTCTCTCTGGTAGGTAGCAATGGCTACGCGACTGGGTAAAATCCTGTATTGCACTTAGACCTTCTTCTGCCCAACTAATCATGGCCTTCAAAGTCGGCAACAGACGAGCTCTTGGTGGGGGCTCGGAATTGCCTGATGTTGAGGAGAAGCCCCTGCTCTGCTAGCAAGTGCTCAGTACATTCGGCGGCTTTTGGAATAAGCAATCGAGTCTGGGGAATTAAGCTCTCTCCGTGCCGGGTTTCAAGTACTAGCTACCTCGGGGGTTCCTTTCATTGTTCCCGCTTATTCCTTCATGCTTAGTCTGACGTCCAAAGTCCCGTAGGAATGCACTTGATATCACTGCCGTGTGAATAGCTGCATGATCTCGTATTGTCGCCTGCCCATTGCCCTCGCTTACGAGAAATTTAGGTCGCTAAGCTAGAAATCGGAATGCTACGCTGTAGAAGCGCGACCTTTGCGTTCACCGCAGCTGGCACCCAGACCTTCCTAAACGAGGGTGCTTACAGTGAGCCATATGTACTTTGGGGAGCATTCAGGCATACCGACGTGAAGCTATAAGAATATTAGGTTAGAATACGCATATATGGGGATGTCCCGCATGGAACGTACGAGGCGAGTGACTCGTATTGGGATCTCCAGGCCTGCCCTCTGCGAACATATCTGGCTCAGTTAAGGAGCTGGGCCAAGGCCCGGAAGAACGCACGTTGCCGAAGGCCAACTTGTGTTACATTGATGGACACTTACTATCTAATCATCAAGGGTCCAAAAGGGCAGTGCCGATGGTCACGATGCTGAGAAATCGGGCATGTCCTCACAGATTATCACAAACGCCAAGCAGACCTTCCACAATTGCGTTAATTTCCAGGAATGGCCTCAAATACCCGCGCGGCGATGTTCTTGGCGCATAACGCACGATTCCGCAGAGATGGAAGGTCAAACTACGCTCATCCAAGCTCCGCCACTATTTCGAATCTTGTTAGGTCTGGCATCTTGAGTTTGATGATAGTAACCATCTAGGTCTTTGACATACATTCCTTCCATAGAGCAATACATAACACCATCTGTGTACTTGATATCGAGATCTATTTCGATCAGCAGCAGCCAACTGAAAAGAATTTAGTGGACTGAGATTCACCTCCGAAGTGCTGTCAAGATGGATTCTCTAGCGGCAAATGTGCCCATCTTTCACCACATAAGACAAATTATCTTGCGTCCTAATAATGGTGACTATAAAATACTACAGAGTCTCTCGGGCTATAAGATAGGTTTGGAACCTACATATTCTAGTCCAATCTACTTACACGATTGCTCGTTCGGTCCTTTCCATCATTCATTATAAGTGTTATAGCTAATTGAAAGGCAAATAAATCGGTTTCTCAGTTCATACAATTGATTCATAATATCTATTTAGTGACAATACGTCTGGGTTTCAACCGACTTGTTGAATGGCTTCCGTCGATCAATGTCGGTTGATATTTTCCTTCACAAACTCTCTTCTTCAACGATTCACCCTCAATCTATATTTTAACTTGTGGACAATTTACACGTTGAGAAACAATAGGGCTAAGAATAAAACAGAAAGCCATGCGTAAACGTATAACTGTCGTCAACTATCGGAGAACTGTTCCAGTTTCAAGCGCTTTTCTTTCGTGTTATCCTTCTGAAGAAAGCCAATATGCGATCTTTGAAACTACCTCCTTCTGTTTCCTGGACATCCTTAGTGGGGGACTCATCCGTTGCAGCCAGCTTCTTCGCTTGCTCTGTCCTTCGGTGCGCTCTAATCAAATCAGTGAACGTCTGTTCCACGTTCACGTTATCTTTCGCGGAAGTCTCGACAAATCCGCAACCCAACTCCCGGGCCAGATCTGCACCCTCTTCATGAGACACAGCCCTCATGTTCGAACTCAGGTCGCATTTGTTGCCTACGAGAATGATGGGCACTTTGTCCTCCCTGCGTCCTAGGATGAGCTGATGCCGTTCTTTCATCTCGTCGAAGGACTCGCGAGAGCCTATACGATACACCAGCAGGAACATATCGGCCTTTCTGATAAACATCTCCGTCGTCGCCACACTCTCCATGCGATTTGACCGGTGAATTTCCAGTAAACATGGCTCTCCGTCAACCTCCACGCGTTTCCTGTCGCCAGCCCCATGCAATGGGTCAAACTATCACCAAGTTAGCTCCTAGACATGGATCACGACGTCGCTTCAAAGGGCATTGTCTGACCTCTGGAGGGAACACCCCAAACAAATAGCGCTGGACCAAGGCGGATTTCCCAACCCCTGAAGGGCCGCATACCACCACCATGGGCTCCGGCAATAACTCACTCGACGGCATGATGCACGTAGATGGTCTTGCTGCCTATTGACTTCAAGAGGCTCAGGTTTCGCCAGTTGGATAGTGTTTGGGAAATAAATCCAGGGAAACATTACAGATCACAGGCTAGAAAAGGGGACATGAGTTTAGAATCTATCCTCCCCTGCATAATTCTGACGTGGCGACGCCTGCAGAATTGTGCTGGCCATCAAATTAATTAATGCGTATTCCCGTGCTACATTCGATGAAATGCAAGAAATTCATGTTCGTTTCTTTCCGGGGTTGATGACTGTTTATGCAGGACACCATTGCATGCCTGCTCCAGATCCGCTCTAAGGCCCACCGTCAGTCTGTCAGAAGTGAAGGCCTCGGCAATATATGACCATATACAACGAAATATGCAATCTATCTGCGGGATGACATGGGGTTGGGGTTTTATGGTCTGGTCATTTTATGATCTGCCGGGGCAAGGCTTGTCAATGATAAGTTCCACATGACAAGAAAAACTTTTCATTGATGGGATGATGGTTATTTTATTAGATATTTCCCAGGTTTCCTCTTTCCATTTCCTATTCAATCCATGGGAACAACCCCTGCTTCTTACATGCCTCCTCACTATTCAGCTACCCTATACTTTACCCAATCCTCGATGCTTCCTCATTGTAGCAGCCGTCCGGTGCATCCAGCCTATACGCTTTTTTTCTAGTTATGATTCTTTGAGTGTTCCCAAATAATTGGAGTAATCTAGAAGAGTCTGATACATTGCTTGTAGGATGGCAATGAGGGCGGAAGATCATCATCTCCGACCCTGGCTTTCATTACATTCTCACGATGTACGTGCACGATACATGGTTATTCATGGATAAGATTGATGGCTCATTATGAATGAATGCACCATGAACCGCACCCTTAAAAAGAACCAGGGGTCCAAGGTTACCAGCAGGACGGTTTTTGGAGATGAGGAACACCGAACGTTCGATCATCCTTCTAACCGTCCGACTTGCTTAAGTGGATTCATGTAGCGCTTCTTTCATCACCACGCAAGGCTGAGAAGGGCCAGTCCATCACATCGTAATGATGGATTGATGTCTTGCTAATCAACCTTTCATGATGTTCACAGATCGGTCACTACACCCAATCACTCTCAACCACATGGACCTATTGAATCATGAACGAGCCAATATGAGCATCAACCACTAAGACGAAGCCGCTACCCAAGGTAATATTTGGGCTGTAGGCGGCCCTCAAGTGGCGAAACTCGCTTCTACCTGACAAAAAAAGCCCAGCGAATGGTGCATCTATTGGTCGTCTAGATGGCGCCGTCGTTTCAGTGCGTTACAGCGGACCACATGTCCATCAAAGCACCTACAGGGCGTCCGTTGGGTGCATCAACGCCCGATGTGACCCTTCCTCGGATAGCCATCCATCCGAATGATCAAGCACAAGCGTCGTAAGCGTTGGGCTCCAGCCCTGAGGGGCTGGGATGGGTGAGGCTTACGGATGGATAGATGCCTTCACGAGGAGCTGAAAGAGCACAGGAGGGTGCAAGAAATGGTGATGGATGGATGGTAGGTATAAATCCTCGTCGAGAGTGGTTAGATTCTTCTAGGTAAAGAATGAGGTAAATACAATGATAATGATGATGATGATTGTCCCAAGAAACTCCAGCCAACTCCATACGTAACGACTTTCTGTCGCTCTTTCTGCTATTTCGGCGAGACATGCGTTCGTTTGACCAAAAGAAAGACAATGATAAGAAGAAAAAAAAGCCTCATTTCTCGTTCACTCCTGCTTGTGCAGCCTCCACCACGGCCGGCGTATCCAGCCGAAATACCTCGCGGCGGTGGACGTGCTGCACATCTGCTGCACCCAGGCGCCGACGTGGAACCAGCGGTTGCCCTGCCCCTTGAGGGTCTCGCTGGTGATGAGCTCGAGGCTGGCTATCCGGCGGCTCAGCATCATGTTGCGGCTCTCCTCGTCGACGACCCGCGCCCGCAGCTGCTGGAGCTGCAGGTCCTTGGCGGCCAGCTCCTGCGCCATCTTCTGCTGCTCCTCCTTGGCCTTCTGGGCCTCCTTGGCGGCCTTGTCGATCTGGCGCTGCATGGCCTTCTTCTCCGTCTTCATGGCGGCGACCTCGGCGCGCAGCTGGCTGCTCTCCTGCCGCGCCTGGTCCCGCTCGGCCTGGCAGGAGAGCACGCGGTCGTCCATGCGCTCGAGCTGGTCCTTGAGGGTGGCGTTCTTCTCGAGGGCCTTGTTTTTGGTGACGACGGTGTGCTGGACCTTGTCCTGCAGCTGCTGGTCGCGGGTCGAGCCCGACGAGACGCTACGGGTGTCGTGGGCGGTGGTGTTGTTGTCGTTGTCCTCCTCGAGGAGGGCGTCGAGGGTGTCGATGCGCTTCTGGGCCTCGTGCAGCTCCGAGTTGAGGCGGCGGCAGTCCTCGCGCTCCTGCGAGAGCGACGTCTGCGTGTCCTGGAGGTCGGTGGCCAGGCGGTGCGACTCGGAGCGCTCCTTGGCGAGGGCGCGCTCGAGCCCCTCACACCATCCCTGGAGCTTGGTGAGTTCCTTCTCCTTCTCGCGGACGTCGGATTCGAGGACGGATCGGCGTAGGCGCTCGCGACCGAAGATGGAGCCGCTGTGGCTCGCGGTGCGAGGCGGCGAGGGCGTATTGGGCTCCAGTTTGGCGGTGTTGGAGTGGTCTTGAGGCATTAGGATTATCGAGCCGTGGCTTTCACGAGCAGAGGAATGCGTAGAATAGAAGAAAAAAAGCGAACACCACTATTAGCGTGCGGGGAAGAAGATAAGAGCCAAGGCTTGGTGGGTAGGTGGTTGGGATCTTGTCCGTTTCAGTGGACTGGATTATGTATATGGGGCTCAATTGGCTGAGCGCCGGTCTGGCGATGGCTGGGAATAGTATGACAAAAGAGAGAGCTACAGCAGAGTCTTTGCCGGATGGAAGCCGACAGAAGTTTGATCAATATCAATAGTGGGAGGTTGGTCTTGGACTTGGCTTTGGACTGAGACGAGGGAAAAAAGCAAGTTTCAGGATCCGGCTCCAGACTGCGGGCACCCAAAGTAAAGAGCTCGGTCAATATGGCCCATGCTTTTCTATTATTCACCACCAAGAAGGATTGCCATCATTGTACAGCCAGAGAGAAGCACCTGATGGGCGGGGCGCAGCCTCTGCAGGGAAACGAACAAACTTGCATGATGCAATTGTGGTTCGACGTAAGAGCTTTTTGCAAGGCTGAAGGCCCCGGGATATTATCTCTGAGCTCCTTCCAACAGCCCGAGGGCAAGCGGACAATCAGCTCACTTTGCCTCCTGATTGCCAGAGCCTAGATTTCGTCAATCGTTGCTGTGCCATCTGGTGAATCTCCGACGGCCAAGATGGACAGATGGACAGATGGGATAAGCACGCCTACCAATCCAGAGCGGCCCAAAAGCCCAGCATAGACGTCTTCAGTTTGCCGGCAGACGATTGGCCTCTTCTGGCACAAGCCCTGCGTCATCTGCTGCCAGCCAGACCGAGTTGGGCACGTGAGGCGGCCCATCTCCAGGCCCTCTCCCATGCCAATGGCTCGATGCTTTGCAGGCCCCATACGACTAGTTGGAGGAATGTCTCACTCCGTGTCCCAAGTGTTGTCTCCTCCACGCCCGACGGCGAGTTGTTGGCCCAGCCAATGCGTGCTTACGGCCCTGTGCCTCCCCTCCTGGGCTCCTGAGGGGGAAGAGGCCAAAACACCGGAACAGCTCCAAGATTGTGGGTTCATTGTGGCAGGGGCAGCGAGGAGAATGGGGTGGTGGCAGGGAACCTCCGCGAGCCGCACACGTTATCGGGAATTTCAGGGGAGAGCAGAAAAAAATCAAAAGCCCAGCAGACGCCCATCCCATCTGACAGGCCCTTGCGGAGGCTGCCGAATTGTCAGATTCCGCTGTAACCCCCCAATCCTGTGACTTGACTCGGGCAAGCCATCCGCTTTCTCTTCGTGCTTGTGTCTGCCTGCTCTGATTCTCTCCTCCGGTGGCCAATTGGGCCACACAGGCTCGGGCTGCGCCGGCTCAGCTCAGCTCGGTCTGGCTCTCTGCCTGCATAACGAATATTCTGCAGTTCTAAGCCCGCATGAGCACATGTCCTTCGTTCTCTCTCGCCCTGGTCCCTGCCGGGGGCATCCGCTATTTGTGGGCCGAGGGCATGAGCGGTTTGTCGTCCTCTCTGGGCTCACTTTCCAGGTCAGCCGGGTGGAGTCTCATTGTTCTTCGTCCCGTCTGTTGTTCTGTGGCAGAGGACGGATGAGCTGATCTTGTTATTACTACCTGCATCCTAAATAGCAATGGGAAGCACCATGTACGTAGGCATCGGATGTGGAGTTGAGTTGGGGTAAAGACACATGCCAGCCTGCCATGGATCATGCAGAATACTACATAGTACCCGCGATGCGATGTGACACGATGTGATAGCGGCCACCAGGTTCTCAATTGGGGCTCCAGCTTTGTCGGAGGACACCGCTCGGTCTGCTCAGTACGCATACCTTGTCTTGACGCGGCTCGTCTATGCTGCGACTGATATTCAGGCTTCTAGCATCGACCAAATTGACGCAGAGCCAGCCTTTGACATGCCAATCGTCAATGGACTGATCTTGCTCAATGGAATCTAAAACATGCCAATCGAGGTCGCCTCATCCCATGTCACGCTCCAGACCTACCCAAAGGGGACGCAACCACTCACAGCAGTCTGTGTTCCACGAAATAGTAGATATATGCTAATACGTACTATTGTCTTGATGAATGATCGTGCATAGTGACTCGGCAGAGAGGATACGGACGCCGGCCCGGCCCAAGCAGACCCGGCATGTCCCTCATCACATCATGTCCCCATACTGCTCAGCTCCCTGGTGCAGTGCATGTATAGCAGCTACCCGTGGCCCACGGCACGTCCGGGGTCGAGAAGTCTCGGTCGATGCACAAACGAATGAACGACCACCAAGTATTTGCTCCACGGGATCCTAAGTTGGAGTGCACCTTGCTATCACAATCAAGGGATTGCCACATCTTCAATAAATAATTCTTAAATTGATTAGCGGATATGTGAAAGTCTTTGCCCCCAAGTCATGTAGAATTCTTAACAACACCACTGCTTCCTTGATATAGTAAGTAGATGGCAAACTCATGTGTTCTAACGTAGGGATATGTCATGTAGAGAGTCAAGAGGTTCCATGCACAAGAGTAGAGATAGGTAAGACACGGGCCAATATCAATGCATAGAGTAGAGACATCCAAACTATCTCGCATCCAAATTGTAGAAAAAACTTGCCAGCAAAATGAGGTTTTGGACCATTCATCACTCGAATCCTCGAAAGACATTTCTGGCTCTCCTCGCCCAATCCCCAGCTACTGCACATGCCGTGAATCTCATCGCGCAAGTGAAAGCTGGGCTTGTCTAGACGCTGATGTTTATATCGGATATTGCATAGATAATAGATATGCTGGCGATATTGAATCTGAATTATAGCTATCAGACTATCAGAATCTCCAGTCGGTTCTTGCTTGGAAGCGCAGCACCTAGTAAGAAGTCAATAGATATGTATCATCTATCACTACTATATATAATACTCACTAAACTGTAATTTCCAACATGCGGATTTGAACCTCTTGATTAGACTTCATTGAAAACATATCTGACTTCACAAATCCAAGACACTGGATACCACGAGAAATTTCGAGCATAGGCCCTCAGAATTGCCGAGGAGTAATATTAGCAAAACAGATGCAGAGAATACAGAACACGAACTGACACGATGATGAAAGGCCCGAAGAGAATGAGATCCATAGAAAAATAACCGATGTTGTTGAGCAATACAGCAAATACCTGATATAGCCGCTCATTCTATACGCTCAAACGCCAAGAAGATCAAAATGCCGTAGTAAAAAGTCGTAAAATCATTCGGAATGAAGCCTCCAGACTGCCCTGGCAGCCAAGGCCGACGATGGTTCAATCCCAAGCATGGTTGCCCTCTCCATGGTAAGAATGGCCTCCGTTGCCCATGTAACCTCCGCCATGGCTCGTCCCGTAAACACCGCCATAGACACCTCCATTGACTCCCCCGTTGGGTCCTCCGTAGACGCCGGAATAGACGCCTCCGTTGACGCCGCCGTAAAGGCCTCCCGAATCAACGTTGCCGCTGTTTGAGCCAGAAATGGGTCCACCGTAGGCGTGGGTTTGGCTGGCCTTCTCCCACGAGTTCTTCTTCCTATTGAGCTCATTGCTCTGGGAAGCCTGGGCCTGGGCCTCCTTGAGGCGGGCAGTAGCTGCGGCTGTTCTGCGTCCCGTTGGCATCCTCACTGGAGGCATTGCCTCGACAGGCTGCTCTGTGTTGGCCTTGTCTTTGAAGCACATCCCTAAGGAGGACAGGGGTAGTGACGTTCTGCTGGATGTGTGGGAGATGCAAGGCACGGTTGCTTTCTGGGATGCGGGTGGGAGCTGTGGATTGCCGCACGCTATCAATTGGCGAAGGAATCTGGAATTGGCCTTGATCTTGACAAAGCGAGCTTTGAGGTCAAGGCTAAATGGATATTTAGTTGAGAATTTCTTTATGGTGAAGGAAAAGAGAATGAAACACTGGGGTGGCTGGTGAGGACAGAAAACGACGATGGGCTACGTAACAAGATCAACACGAGCCAAAATTGACTAATCTCTAGTTTGTTTAGTTCATTCACCATGCTGAAATCAAGCTCTCGGTCCCCTGAAAACCGGTATTCTCGCTAGAAACGAGAGCCCGAACGACTGCCTGTTCGCGTCCCCTTTGCACAGCCTCAGCAGCTAACGTGTTGCCCCTGAGCAAGTGGCGCAGCACCTGGAATTGAAGAGAAGAACATTACTCCCATGAGCTTCTGCTGTCAGGTGACATTCACTTACTCGAGAAAAGCACACATCTTCGGCAAGAAAGAGAAGAGCTACAAATTATATCAATTGGCCAAGGGTTTCAAGCGAGTCTATCCGCCTCCGTTGGTTTTGGTCTGGAAAACTCATCAGGGAGCTCGCTGCTGACAGTGAAACTTACTAGGGACAGATGAGCTCCACTCCCTGAATCGCAGCAGATGCAGGGTCCCTCCCGTATTGCCATTTCATCATTGTCCATTGCGAATACTGCGTCTGCGGGACTCATTGACGATCTCGTCTTTGAAGTTGACTGGACAGAAATCTCAGAAACCGCCTGTCACGGGCACAATGATAAAAATAATACCGAGCCCCGGTCTTGACTATTCCAAAATATTCCTAGAGAGCATCGAAGAAGTCAAATCCCATAGGCCACGGCCCGCCGACCATGCTGACCGCCATCTCCCGCCTCCTTGTTCTATCACACGCTACGTCCAAGCTGTGCGACACGTTACCTACTGAGGGATCTGGCCTACGTACGTTTACTCGTAAACCCCCGAATGGCTAATTAAAGTAAAACGCGCCATTTGCAAATAAGATGCATTCGGTTGGCTACATGTAGGCTAGGGATTACCCCCACCGCCCTATTTCAAGTGTCCGGCCTGTGTAACCGATCACGATCTGACGGGCCTTCGATTTGGTTTCCTAAACCTTAGATTGATCTGAGCTGGCCCCTTGTCAAGATCGCCACCGCCACGAGAGTCATTATCAAGCTCCCTCGGGGATTTCCGTGTTTCTTCGAATACCCCTTTCTGCCAAGGCGTCCTAACCATCCAGCCTCACATAATACTGCCTTCAGCTGCCTGCATCTAGCTACCTTAGCTCAGCCACTAGAAATTTCACAGGAAAAGCAAAGAGGACTGATATCCTATCATTTGATGACTTTCGACTAGCAAACGACTTGTCATAGAACCAATCCTGGCTATTTGATTGCGTGCCCCGGCTACATTAAGAGCTAACGCAAGATTTTGCAGCATCAAAGATCCATGGCATGACAACAGAAACTGCTCTGGTGATGTTGGGCCTAGCGTAAGTGGTAAATGCATTGCGGTTTATCGGTTGAGGGCTCGTCGTTATCGTCCTCTCTCCTATCTACGGATAATATTTATACGCACACCGTAATATTTCAATCATGTCAGGGGAACAAGGGCCTCAAACTCCAGCTGCTTCAGCCGTACGGGAAGTAGGTAGGATATATTTCTCCACAATGGTTAATAGTCTGGCCACGATCCACGTGGGAAGCGCGCGGAGGAGGAAAATAACCAAGTAGCGCGCGGGTGGCGTACGCGGAGAGGTCCAAGCACTGGCTTAAACAGAAGTAATTCCCTGAATCAGAGCTCTGATAGCAGGATAGGATTAAATTGTCCGTTGAGAATGATAAGGCCCAGCTGAGGTGCCCGTTGCTTTTTACGTGACATTGGATCTATATAAGTTGGTTTCCTCGTCCAGAAAATACTCTGAGTATTCGATCTCCTACCTCTTTTATCCCGACCCAGACTGCAGGTACACCCTCCACCGCTCGAAGAACACATTATCTACAATGGGTGCCGAAGAAGCTCCCGCTCTCCCTGACTACTTCCTCTCCCCGGACGCTGTCCTTAAGGACGAGGCCACCTGGCGGTTTGGGCGGCGTCCAGACTACACCAAGAATCGGAAAGCATGGAAAGAAAGTAAGAACGGCCCTCTTTTTCTGCCCCCCTTCCCTTGGAATTACCCTCTTCTCAACATCCCCTATGGTTCATTGGTTGGCAAACACTGAACAATGTGCACATCAGCCAAGACCATGAACCACACTGCCGGCAGCCTGGAAGAGCTCGTCGAGAACATGGTTAAGAATTGGGAAATCGAGGCATCCTATAAGCCCAACCCTAAGGAATGGCGCACCATCAACGCCGAAAAGTACCAGTTCCGTCTCAACGGCGGCCCTCCTCAGCCTGCAGAGGCCATGGCCAGGATCGGGACCTACAACGCCCTGATTGAGCCGAACAAGTACTACAGCCCGGAGCACAACGACTTCTCTGCCAGCCACAAGACGTTCAAGCGCATGATGCCCTTTTTCGCGTGGGAGGTCTTGGATGTGTATGGCGGGCCGCCGAAGCTGGCTATTCGGTGGCGTCACTGGGGGACTTTCCAGGGGGACTACACGGCCAAGAATGAGTAAGTTGATCTCGTGAGGTTTGTTTCAGATAGGTGAATACATTGTTTCTGACCAGTGTACAGGCAGGGGGAGAAGGTGACGGTGAAGTCGACGGGCAAGGTGATTGATATCAAGGGGATGGCAGTCGCGGAACTGGACGATCAGATGCGTGTGATCATGCTTGATATTTACTTTGATCCGATGGATATGTTCCGTCAAATGGACGACGGAAACGCCTCGGAGAGTGAGCATGCCGCCACTCAGGCTACGTGCCCCTTTCTGGGCCAGGGGAAGGTTGAGAAGCCGGAGGGACATCCTTGACATGGAACTGCTAGGAATTAATACAGCTAGAGCTTTTCATAGAATAGAATGCGTACTCTCTCTTTCAATTGATTAATTAAGGATTATTTGTAGAGATTCATGGTTCTTCACAAACAAGTCTTTTACGGGCAAGTTGAAGTGGAAATAAACGACAAACTCGGCGTCAGAGTAGTACTTAATTTATTCTACCATCCTGATGCTCGCACCCAAACGTCAATTACACGTGTTGGCGAACCTGAGCTAGAGTCTACTACTAAGTACCAGTCATACATTGCTCCCGTGATACAAGCGTGGTTGGGGAAGATAGAGACCGTTCGGCCAACTTCAAGGGGAATCGGGGGCAAGTGGGAAGTGTTGTCATCACCTTCCATCTTCTCCCAGGCGACGATCGAATGCTCCTGACTGATTCTCTCCAAGATCAGTCGGCGCCCATCTGCACCCCCCGCTGAAGGATAAGACGCACGGCTGAGAACGCCCCATCCGCCATACGCGGCTGGTTCTCTCCCTAGGCCCAGGACGCCAACAGCAACTAACGCTTCAGGCTGGCTACGTTCGCCGTCGTTATAGACGCTGGCCACTTCCGCCACGACCGACACCGCGATCTCATCGTCAAAGGAACCCAATGAGGTGCGCGAATTGGTGCTGAGCTGCTGAATGTCGAGGACGGAGTACACGCCGGCATGGAGCTCCAGCTCCACGCCAGGGTGCAACGACATGTGCTGCAAGCTTGTTGCAAGCTTGCCAGTCGGCGCGTTCCCCGAGACAGGTGCAAAGTTCTGGATTGATGTGACCTGGGGGGAGGCGCCGACACTGACGATGAGCTTCTTGTCCTTAGGGAAGTGCTGGGCGTTGACGGCAATCGCCTCGAGACAGCCGTCGATTTCGGACGCCAGGTTGTCTATGGCCTGTTCGGCCGTCGTGTCTTTGTAGCTGAGACTGCTGTGCGAGTACAGCCCGGCCAGGGCGGCTTTGCCCTGTGACTCGAGCTGTGCGGTCTCCTGGATCAGGCCCTGTTTGTTGAGTGAGCTGGGAGGGAGGCCTGCTCTGTGGTAGCCTGTGTCGACCTTGAGGAACACGCTGGCCGGGGACCCGACCAAATCATAGAACTCGCTGAGCGACGCGAGCTGTGAAGGATGGTCGACCAGGAAGGAGATGGAGACGAGGCGAAGACGGATAGCTATCTTGGCAATCCGCACGATCTGGGACGGCGGGATGGGAATGCCGTAGAGGACATCGACTGCACGTCCATTTCGCGTAAAGTCTTCAAAGACAGGGACCATGTGCTCCAGCTCAGCGACTGTCGATACCACGAATCTCGCTGCATCAGGGGACTCGCCGACCTGCATGCGAGCCAGCTGCGTAGTCTGTGATTTCACCTCCGGTCAGCATCGAGACAGGGGATACCCGAGGTATTGGGTCGCTGGCCAACCTTGTGTGTCTTTACATGCGCTCGAAATGCCACGCGGAGCGATTGAGCAGCCTGAAGCATTTGAGCTGCATGGCGGCTTGCTTTGGCGACATCGAGGACAATCGCGGGCTTTGGGAGGCTGTTGATGTCTCGGCCGACGTAGAATTCCCGCAGCTCATCCTCCGATGGGAGGCTTCGACGAGGGATTGGCATGGCGGCGTCAATTGACTACAGTTCTATTTGAGAGAGAGCAGTCGAACAGACGAGAACTGCAGATTTGAAGCTTAGGTTGAGACTTCATTCCTGTATGACTGAGGGTTGGCTGACTACGAGTTGAGCGAGGGCAAAAGAATACCCGCTCAGCCAGAAATAGCGGTTAGACCCTGCTGTATTCTCACTCAGCAGCTGCTTCAGAAGGTACCTCCACTGGAAACAAAAACAATCGCTATTTTTACGGGGTTTGAGTGGTAAAAAGTTTACCCGTCAAGAATCAATTGCTCGTAGTGGAAAGACGCCCAAAGCGAGAATGTCCATATTCTGAGCATATCAATCTAGAGATTTGATTCCTTCATCTTTCCTTTTGTTTTTTTTTCTCTTTCAAAGAGATCAGACCCTCCCGTACGAAGTGGCATGGCACATGTAGGACGCTATTGTCAATGGACTCACTCATAGCATTTGCTTTTTAGACGCTGGCAAATTAGTCCAAATTTCTTTTTATTATCATATCCTCTATATCATTAATCAATTTTCTTTTTTTTTTTCTTTTCCTACTCACACAACTCTAAGCGAAGATGCGCAGAGGGTGGTTGGGCAGGTAGAAGCCGGGATCGTTGAAGCGCAGCCCGCGGTCCAGCCCCGAGATCTGCTCAATCTCCTCCTTGGCGAGGTCGAAGCCCGTCACGTCGAGGTTCTGCGCCAGGCGTCCCGGGTTGTTGGACTTGGGGATGACGGCGACGCCGCGCTGCGTGGCCCAGCGGAGGAGGACCTGGGCGGGCGTCTTGCCGTGCTTGTCGGCGATGGCCTTGATGGCGGCGCTCTCGAGGAGGAGGGGCGTGTCCTTGGCGCGGGCGGAGAAGATGCCGGCAAGCTCGATGAAGCTCTGGGGGCCGAAGGACGAGTAGGCGGTGACGGTGATGTTGAGCTCGGCGGCGAGGGCGACGAGGTCGGGCTGGACGAGGTAGGGGTGATGCTCGATCTGGAGGGCCGAGATGGGGTGGCGGGCGTATGTCTGGATGTCGTAGAGCGACTGGGCCTGGAAGTTGGACACGCCGATGGAGCGGGCGATGCCCTGGTCGACGACGGTCTCGAGGGCCTCCCACGTCTCGCGGATGGGGACCTTGTCCCAGGAGACGACCTCCCTGTTGTCGTCCATCCACCAGGCCTGAGGAGGTCAGTATTTTCAATAGGACAGGACGAATGTGAAGAAGAAGTGGTTGAGAGAGAAGGCACTTACAGGGAACCGGCGCTTGGATGGCTCGACGTACTCGAGCGACACGGGGAAGTGAATCAGGTAGAGGTCGATGTACCCCAGACCCCAGGCCTCGTTCTGGAGCTTGGCCATTTCGAGGGCATGCTCGCGACGGTGGTAGTTGTTCCACAGCTTGGTGGTGACGAAGATGTCCTCGCGCTTCACCAGACCCTCGGCGATGGCGCGCTTGATGCCCTCGCCAGCCTCCTTCTCGTTCTGGTAGTCGTAGGCACCGTCGAACAGGCGGTAGCCGGCCTTGATGGCCTACAGTAGATGGGTGAGTATTGCGAAATCTCCCACATGGTCAATTGAGGGGGATGGGTTTGCTCACATTGTAGACGGTTTCCGCGGCGGTCTCGGCGGGGACCTTCCAGAGACCGAAGCCCACAAGGGGCATCTCACGGCCAGAGGCGAGCTTGACGGTAGTAGACATGATGACTAAAGAATATAGACAGATTCAAATCAATCAATGGATCAGTAAAGAGAAGTGAAGAGAGGAAACGCGCACTCGGGGACGTCCCCTCTATCCCCTTTATTATATGACCCATCCACCCACCACATCCACAGCCAAAACGCTTCACAGAAAGAAACAACGCCAAACCAACGTCACTGTCCAGTGTGAACTGGAACTGCCCCTCCAGAAAAATGAGGCATTACCCAAGTGGGCAGGGCGACGAGCCACCACCAAGTGCTTACAACTTCCAGATGTGGTATCTTCGGGAGAACTGGACGAGTGGATCACAGCCCAAACACCAATGGTTTAGCTCTGGCATGTTTCCTCGGCTACAAGCTTCCAGCTCGAGTCAGGGACCTATGACCTCCCCAGCTAGCAGCCTGACTCCAGCCCCTCCAGTTCAGTTACACTACGCAGAGAGAGAGAGCGGAGGTGCTGGGCCAAAAGGCGGGGATGGAAGATGAAACCCCCCAGTTGATCTCAGGACTTCCCTCTCCGGAAGTTTCTACCCTTCGAGCCCCCGTCTGCTCGTTCTGTACGCTGCTTCCACCACCCATCAACCATGTCCGCCAATGCGGGCGAGAAGACCCGCTTCAAGAGGACACGCACCGGTTGTTTGAAATGCCGTGTGCGCAGGCGTAAATGTAGGAATGATATGACGGTCGATTGCTCTTCGGCTTGATGCGCTAACGGCAGCCCAATTGCGACAGGCGACGAAGGGAAACCCAAATGCCAGCGATGTCGCGACGGCGGCTTCGACTGCCAGTACGGCATGCGGCTCTCGTTCCTCGATAAGAACTCGCTCACGGCGCCTGGGTCGACCGAGAAGCCGGCCTCGTCGTCGTACTCGACGCTTCGTGTATGTTGAACCGTCTCATATGTTCTGTTGGAGAGGCACAGCCAGCCGCGTAGAGAGGATCGTTCGCTGACGAGGAGCTGGGCAGTTCGTCGAACCTGGATCGGCCACATCCAAGCAAATCAATAAACCCCGTGAAGACTTGTCTGTCTCGTCCGAGCCTCGCCCGCAGACGAGCGACAGTTCAGCGCCGTCGACCGTCCTCACGAACGCGACCGACCTCGATGCGATACCCCGAGACCCTGAACAAGAACCAGGCTCTGCATTGTCGAACCCGCCGCTCTCTCTACACACATCGCATGACCCAGCGCTGATCGCCCAGCCCGTTGACGCGAGGCAAGACTTTGCTGCCACACCGACCACCCAGAACAACGAGACGGACGAGACGTCACCGGGTCACAGGGCGTACGACACGGCCTTGAACGTGTTGCTGTCCCTCAGCCATCCCGACAATTCGACCTTCGAGAAGGGAATACATGGTGGCGGCGGCGGATTCTCGTTGGCAGGTTCCAACGAGCTTGCGTCCAGCCCCGGATTGACCGTCCAGAGCTCTGGTTCGTTGAAGGAGTTGTTTCCCAACTGCGCGCATCTTCCTCAGAGCGAGAAGATTCAGTTGATACGCCACTACCGATACAATATTGCACCATGGGTACGTTCGACCAGGCTATAAACTCCAGACCTTTCCCAGCTAATTTCCGATGATCGGTGCAGCTTGATATTGGCGATTCGGGTCAAACCTTTGGGCTTCAGGTCGCTCGCATGGCATCACTCTGCCCCCCAGTGCTGGAGGCTTTGTTGATATTATCCTCCGTATCTCTCGACAGTGAGGTGGGGAGAGAATACTATCCCTCAGAGACAAGCAGCCAATACATGTCTCCTTCAGATACGAGCTTCACGATCGATCTTGCTGCCTTTGTGCTGAACATGACGCGGCACCACATCTTGACACATCCTCTTGCCTGGAAACGGCCATTCCAAGACGTGAACAGCGTCTGGGTGCAGTTCTTGAACTCGGCTGCGGCCAGTCAACAGTACACCAGCATCAATGTGGCATCAGCCTGGGTGCTGCTTCGGTTTGGTAAGGCCAACAACTTCTCGTCTCAAAGGGATGGAGTAACTAATAGATTGAGCAGATTTAAGCACTGGGCTGGTGATGAAGTCGCCCGTCTTCGTCCCCAACATCCTCTCCTCCGGAATCACATCACCCTCATCCCGAAACCTCTCCCGCGACATGCTCGGCTACGACCGCGAACCAGCCCTCCTCTGCGCTCAAGTGCTCAACCTGTGCTTCCACGGCGACACCGGCCAACCTACCCACGTCGGCACCGTCCAGACCTGGATGGAGCTCTCGCAGAGCCTCAACATCTGGTACGCCAACCGGCCCCAGGACTTCAAGCCCATGGTCGAGCTCGAGGACAGCATCAACGAGACGGACACCAACCTCTTCCCCACCATCCTCTTCACCAACGCGGCCGCCGTCCTCGCCAATCAGCTGTACCACACCGCCATGCTCCTCCTCCTCCAGAACCGGCCCCGCACCCTCAGCAAGGACGCCGCCGGCCGCTCCATCCTCGTGTCGCCGCTGTGGCACGCCCAGCGCGTCTGCGGCATCAGCCTCAACAACGAGGACCGCTGCAGCTGGGACTTTAGCCTCGTGGCCTCGCTGTTCCTCGCCGCGCAGCGCATGACGTACGAGCCGCAGCAGAACGCCGTCCTGGGCGGGTTTCACCGGATCGCGGCCATCACGGGGTGGAATCTGAGTGGGCTGTCGGAGCATCTGAGTAGTCTGTGGCAGCCGGATTAAGGATTCATGGGAAGCAAACAAAAGCGGGTGATTTTGGAATGGTTTTATTGGTTCTATAGTATAGCTATACTCGTACATAACGTTATATACCCGGGGTTTACATCCCCTTATGCAATTGCACTTCATTTCAGTACTCTCCGCGGTGATCTGGGCACCGTATGCCCCCAGGCCACTTCTAGGTCCGAAATCCTCCAGCACGTCGCCCACCCCGTCATGTTCTCGATGCTCCGGATCAGCTTGGCGATGAGCACGTGCTCGGACCGGTGGCTCAGCAGCCTCCCCGCGATCCACAGCGGCTGGATGGCGTTGTTCAGGCAGCCCCGGTGCGGGTTCGTGAACGAGATGCCGCAGATGCACTTTGCGTGCCAGACGGCCGAGCCGACGTGGCCCGGGTCGAGCCGGAGCCCCGCGGGCGCGCAGCCCAGCAGCAGGATGCAGGCCGTGTGGTAGAGCTGGTTGGAGGAGATGCCCGCCCAGTGGACGAAGAGGATCTGCGGAAAGGGCTGGGCGTCGACGAGCTCGACGGGGACGATGTCGGGCGGGCGGTCGCGGACCCAGGCCTGCAGGGAGTCCCAAAGGGCGAGCCAGCGGCGCTCGAAGCGAGGGGCGTCGCAGCCGTTGGTGCGGTCGCCCAGCTCGACGAAGCGGGTGCGGTCGGCGATGAGCTCGCAGACCTGGGCGCAGAGGAAGACGGCGTAGTTGGCGTGCATGTCCGGGGAGGCGTGCTCGCGGAAGAGGTGGGCGGCCTGGAACTGCGGCGAGCCGGGGGAGAGCCAGCTGTCCATACTGACGAGGGTGGCCTGCGTGCCGTCGGAGATGAGGGCGCCGCAGAGATCTGTGAGATGGATGTTTAGCTTGGGGATGAGGAGGTTTTGTATTGAGATGGACGTACCCATTCGCGCGTAGCACCAGAACACGGCCTGCAGCATCCCGCCGCTGAAGCCGTTCACGCCAAAGGCGTCGAAGAGGGCCGCGCAGCCCTCGAGGTGCTTGCGCCAGTCGTGCGGGCTCGCGGACATCATCTCGAGGCAGCACAGGATGACGCAGATGGGGATGATGGCCAGGTCCTTGGCCTGGAGGAGAGGGTTCAGCAGGCGGATGGCTTCCTGGTAGAGCTCGAGGCTGTCAAACGAGTGCTGCTTGCCTTCTTTGCGCTCAATCTGGCGTGCTGAGAGGGCGAGGATGGCATAGAGCAGGGCGGGACAGCGTTGGGCGAGATTCGGGACCTGGATGGTGAAGGTCCTGCTGCTGTCGAACATGTCGAGCTGGGACAGTCAGTATATCCCATTGGGAGATTGTAGTAGAATAAGAATAAGAATAAGAATCATTTGAAATAGAAGTACATACCCAGGGCGCAACTTCAGCAACATAATTCTTCAGATACTCGACGTGGCGGCCGGTGGACAGGATGGCCTTGACCTGCGCCTGCGTCTCCTGCTGCTGCTCGGGCGAAAAGGACGTCCCGTCCGGTGGGATCCCGAGTCCGGGAGAGCCTTCTCTCGACGGGGCAGCCGTCTGGGCCGTGTGGAAGATGAGGCATCGCAGCTCCTCCTGGAAGGCGAGGTACCCCGGATCCAAGACGAACTCGTCCGGGGAGAGGGTGGTACTCATGTTGCCCCGGCTCGACCAGGCATCACGCGCCCGGCGCTGGGATTATTCAATCGAGGTCCTCGAGGGCGGGCGATAGTGCATTAGTCGAACGTGTGCCATCCCCGTCTATAAATCTCGAGGCTGAACGAGGCAGCAGACGATGATATGCGCGACTCAGTCCGATTGAGAATCTGGAGTGTCACATGATCCCCCGCAGATGTGTTTTTTTTAGCTCAGTTCCTCCAGCGGAGGTTGACACATTTTAGCCCCATCTCGAAGCAGCTAAGTGAGGTCCTCTTGACCCGGGCCACCGGCTAAGTTGTGTCCTTTGGTGGCTGTGGGTGGTCTGGATAGTTGGGAGATATAAGCAGCGCGTGGCAATGCCTCATCTGGCCAATTTCAATGTGTGGACTTATTCACATTGGCAGTCACAAAGATTCACTGCTTCAATCTTGTCTTGAAAGTGAAGCGAAAAGGGGAATCTGGTGACAAAATGATCACACTGCTCCAAGTGGAGGGTGTCTGTATAGGGTAGCAAGAAAGAGAGGGTTGTGTGTTTTGGAGTTGACTGATTGACTGATTGATTCATAAACGCTCGGCATCTGCTCTTAATAAAGTTCAATTTTATAATTCCGTCGCTTCTATGCTTATTTGTTTTAATTTATCCAGCCTCGCTTTGAGTGTACAGCCCTGCTGTTGCTTGTTACTCAGGCCTACCCCTTCCACTTGTGTGATTACAGCGCAGCCTCATGTTGACATCATGTTATTAACACGGCGACAAACGCTACAGCGCATTAAAAGTGAAACAAGACCTTCCCCGTCGAATACTTCCCGCGCTCAACCTCGGGGCTGGAGAAGGGATCCTCCAGTGACTGGTCGGGAATATTCTCTTTCCTGATCGACCAAACGGCCTGCCACCTCCCCTTGAGCTCCATCGAGACCTTGCCTTGGAGCACCCCAGGCGGCACGGCGTCCTCCTTCAGCAGAATCGAGCCCATCACGCTCCCGCCAGGCCCGACGGTGATGAGCTGGTCGCGTGTCGGGGGCCACGCCCTGCGGACGACGATCTTGTTCAGCTCGAGGGGAGCCTTCGCGCCCGCCGGCGTGATCTCCAGCTGGCCCAATGCCACCACCAGTGGATCGAGCGGCGACTCGTAGGATAGTATCGAGACGGGGAACTTGTTCTCGTTGACGACGATGGCCATGATCTCGGGCGGCGAGGAGCCGGGAGTGTGCTTGATGTTGAGCTTCAGGCCCGCGATGGCCGACACCTTGGGCTCCTTCTTCTTGATCTTTATCGTGCTCGGCAGCGGGAGATTATTGCACAGCATGAAGAGCGCGAGGATGGCGAAGACGGCCGCCAGCAGCCGGAGCGACCAGTAGGTCTGTGAGATTGGTTGTTGTTGTGGGCGTCTCATGGCTGGCGCCTCTCGCTCGCGTCAGTCAATTCAGTGTAGGTTGGAATTAAGAATTTGTCGAGCCATCCATCGAGGACTGGAAGGGCGGGTTTGGGGGAAATCCTGGGGGATGAGGTCGATGACTCGGCGGGTTTCATCGCGACGCAACGCAGTGGTGGACGAGTCAATCCCCTTTAGGCTGCTGCAAAGCTGCTATCGGATGCCAAGCGACGAAGAAACAGCCAGCATGCGACATGGCAGGGATCAATCCTGGCGCAAAGACCTGATACGAGGGTCAGTGAAGCCGCCTGCGACGTGGGAGTGGAGTCTTGGAGCTTCTCCCAGCTGTTTCATGCCCGCCGCTCCCTCTTGGCGCAAGCATCAAGTAGGACAAGTGTATCGCCAATCCGAATGTGAGGATGTGAGGATGATGGGCTGCAGAGAAAGAAATCGCTCCTCGAGAGTAATTTACAGCCGTCTTAGGTGCGGATAGACCGGGCTTAGATAAAGTTGGATGACTGTCCGATTGACAGGGAACAGGCTTGACATGAATAATAAATGCCAGGACTGCCGTGGGATGCAGATCATGAAACCCGTTTTGAGCTTGTGTTTCAGCACGCAGTGCAGCCAACAACTCTGCTCAAGGCCAGTTGAACCAGGTGCCTCAACCACGTAGACAGCGACGAGGAGTAGTACCGCCGTCTTATTTCTTTTTACGAGAGTTCAACTCTAGATAACTCGAAAGTGGAAGGTACTTGTATCGTCCCAAGACGTAGTGACAGACATCCATTCTAGAACCCGTAGAATCTACCAGATGGAGAAAATCCCCCGTCGGTGCCAAGAGACCGGCACTCATACCTAGCGTGGTGATCCCCGCTTGAGAGCCTGATCCTCGGGCTTGGGGCCTTCACTGGTCCTGCTCGGAAGAGAGCCTCCATCTTGGGTCGTGAAGACTGTCGGTCAGGCCATCGAGGCATGATAGCTGCTGACAACTCACTCACAGATGATTGGTTTGTCTTTGCCATACACCAGTCTCCGGTGTCACATTACCCTCCCGAAGTAAAATTCACTAGACACCCGATTTTGATTGCAGTGCATCCGAACAATGCCACATCCATTGGATCTAGGATTCGGAAGAGGCCGATCCTCCTGCGGTTTGTGTTTCCCACCCGAATGTTTATCTCCTGCATGTTGCAGCTTGCTCCGGTGTGGCGGCTTACTCACGAAAACATGCCTTCTTGGGATCCTTCCACCATATAAACTCGCAAGAATCCTAATAAGGCTGTTTTAACTCCAGACGGGAGCTGCAGATCTCGATGATTTCCAGCCAAGCCCCTCCCACAACAAGGCTAACGTAGCCCACCAAGTATCACCTAATTCATCTTAATTCCATTATGGAAGGTGAGTGACTGTACCATCGCGTGGTTTTTATGCATAAGTGCCAAACTTTAGTCTACGCTTTAATACATATGTACTCACATTGCCAGTAACAAGACATGCAACAGCCTCTTGGCATGATATTAGTTACCCCCACGACTGAATTTCAGCGTAGGCACCTGCTTAATCAAGATCCTGCTGCACACATATTCCTGTTGGGAACTTTTGAAGTTGAGACTCACATACCGCCGTAGAAGCAGACCACTTTGTAGCTTGACTGGCAGAGTAGAACATTAGTATAAACCGAGATACGTTGAGAATATTCAGCATAGCGTCTATTGGGCGTCTATTGTTTGCCCACGATAGTCTCAATAATCTGATGGTGTTAGTTACAGACTCGCACATAAGCACTGTCTGCAACAAATAGGTAGGATGGCGGCCATCTCGCCCCCCATTGGTGTGGCTTCCCCCTGCCTGCCAAGCCTTCTTGATAAGAATAGTCTCGGCAGTGACCATCGACTAATACATATTGGTCTTGGCGATTAAAACGAATTGGCTGCTTGATGGGGACGTGGATGCTGGCGCTAATAACGAAAGTGCAAACAACCCGCTCGTTGTGTGTATATAAAAGGCCCAATGGTTCTCGTTTAGTATCAGAATACCACAGACCTCATTAAGCTCCAGCTCCTCAGCACAGGGTGAATCAATTGTTTAATCTCAAGAAATATTCATCATGAAGTTCGTCCCTTTTGTTGCCCTTGCCTCTATGGCTCTGGCTGCTCCCTCCTCGGAGAGGCGTGATGACAGCCCTCTTGACATCAAGATTGAGATGGTTGGCAACTCTGAAGTCAAGGCCACCATTGTCAACACCGGCAGCAGCAGCCTCAAGGTTCTCAAGACTGGTTCAATCCTTGACTCTGCCCCTGTTGAGAAGGCCAGAGTCTTCAAGGACTGTAAGTGACGTCTTGTTTCTCTGCAGAACACGCGTGTATCATAGCATGTATACGCTGTGTTCCTACTGTTTTGCTTCGTGGAAAGATACTGGTCACTAACCACAATCATAGCAAACGCCCTGGAGTTCGAGGGTGCTCGCCTTCTCATTGATACCGAGCATCTCAACAATGAAGCCTTCCAAAAGATTGCTGCTGGTGAGACTATCGAGGTGACATTTGACGTTGCCGAGGTCCACGATCTGTCTGCCGGAGGAGACTTTGACATCTCTGTCGTGGGTGGTCTTTCCTACGCTGAAGAGGGCTCCAACAAACTTGCTGGCGCTGTCCCCTTTGTGAACAGCTCCGTCAAAGCCCAAGTTGACGGCGGCAAGGCCAATGCTGTTCGCATCGCCTCTCAATCCAAGCGCACCGCAGTCCAGAGCGACTGCACCGGCACTCGTCTGACCGCTGTTCGCAACGCCCTGTCCAACTGCCGCAGTCTTGCCACTGCCGCCTCTACCGCCGCCTCCTCTGGCGCTGCTGCCAAGATGACTGAATATTTCAAGTCTAGCACATCAGCCACTCGAAGCACCGTCGCCAATGTCTTCTCCCTTACCGCCTCCGAGTGCGGCTCTACCACTGGTGGCAACTCCAGGACCTACTGCTCTGACCCATACCCTGCCTGCAGCAATGGCGTCATTGCATACACTGTTCCTGCTTCTAGCTACATGGCTTACTGCGACTACTTCTTCACCATGCCTGCTACCTCATCTGGATGCTATACCCAGACCCAGGCTAACACCTTTGTCCATGAGGTTACCCATCTCCGCCAGATCAAGGGCACCTCTGACTATGGTGGCTATGGTACGTAAACTGCATAAACGCTACTCGTATAGATATCTATTTCTGACACTCTGGCAGGTTACAACTTTGTCCGCGGCCTTACCGCTGCCCAGAACCTTAACCATGCTGACACTTATACGCTCTTCGCCCAGAGCCTGTATGCCGGCTGCTAGAGATACTGTGGAGGGAATTGTGAAGTTGAGATATGAATCGAATAGCACAATATGAACAGATTTCATAGTCAATATAAGCAAATCTGAAATGCAAGATGAACAGATTTCATACATAATGTGAATAAATTTACACAATATGAGCAGATTTTATATCTAGTATCAACGGATTTCATACACCGTTTATTAAACACTTTCAATGCAAATTAACCGTATGGAGGCCTCTGACAACGAGCCATAGTAATAGCTGCAAAGTTTATATGACCAAGATTGATTTGTCTACAGCATGTTGGCAAGCAGCGCAAGCTTTTGGACGTAAACAACAATGACTACATGGATTGAAAAATAAGACAATTAGTGGAAATTAAAGGGTTCAACTTATGGCTTATGATGTGAAAAGCAGCTTGAAAGTTTTCATCTTAAAGTGAGAAACCAACCGCAGGAAGAATTCATCATCCAATTCGAGTCTGTTGGGTAGGGCCAGTAGAAGTATGGTTGATAGATAACTCTCTGTTTAAACGGTGAATCAAAGGCTTTGTTTTGTCAGTGCTTCAGTACACCTTTAAATTGACTATGCCACAAGCTCTTTGTGTTCGTGATTCAATCGCACATTCATGTCATTCACTTCTCTTTGTCTAGATTATAATCACATCAGGTGCCATCAACGAGCAGACTTAGCTCGCTAGCCTTTGATTCAGTCAAGAAGATTTTAATATAAATACCCTCTCGTAGGATGCACCCTTCTTCTTCTCCATTTTACAGACCGCTCCTTGCAGCTGAAATATCACGGCTACAGTACTACTATTACTTCAATTTCCACCGCAAAGGTGAGTTTTCTCAAGACTCCTCTCCCACTCCCTGCTTTCCAAGAACTGTTCTGACATTGAAATTTCGGGTAGGAAGAACTTTCGGAAACCTTTCAACAAACCAACAACACCTTCAAGATGGACCGCGCTGAGCTAGAAGCCAAACAGAAGAGCTTGATTGCAGAGTCCCAGCAGGTCCAGAAGGCACTTGACACTCTAAACGGTAGCATGGGTAAAAGCCCCTCTATGAGTGATGTAAAGGCTCATGAGGCCCTCACACAAGCGCGAAAAGATACGCAAAAGGAACTCATCCAGGTCGAGCGTGAGCTCTCTGATCTTACGGCCAAAGGAGTAAGTGATGAATAAATATTCTCTCTGATATATTGTGTTGGAAGTGGAAAAGGTGACACAAGGCGGCCGTATGCTGTCATGATCGTACTGTGGGAACTGGATAGTTGGACGGTAGTAGGTGATATTTAGAGCATTTCTACTTTGTCAAGTCTGATAGGATAATCTATTACAATTCTCAATGGCGATGCTATCTGAGTCATAAACTTTACTGTGAAACACGTGCGTGAGATACTTAAATCCAGTTCTAATGATGCTGCGAGAGTGAGATAAGACCCTGGATTGTAAACCTGCAACCGTTCCTCTCGAACTGACTTTCATCAATAAATCCAAAAGCTCTGGTAGGCTAAATCATACACATGTCCTCCAGACGTTTTAATGTTTTGTCGTATGCTTTCCATATGCCAGGGCACCAAGCCAATGTTTTTCAAGATTTGGCGGTTTTCCGGGCGACCTGGATCCTTAGCATGCTTTCTTCTAGTTTCATGGGGACTTCAATTAATCTGACTTTGATCAAACAATTAATTCATGCTCGGGAAGCGGCAAAGAAGGAAATGGACGGATCGGACGTAGGGACAAACACCGATGATCGCCCCATTCTTGTGACGCTTCTCCTTGGCCAGTTCGCTCTTTGTAACTGGGGCCTGCCTTTGCATGAATCATATATGGCTACCGTTGTGGTAGCCGGCGGCAGATATTCAGTGGCACAGCGCTGCTGCATTCCAGGCTGTAACAGGGTCGATCAAACGTTTTGACAGCTCCAAACACACGCCTGCCTAATGAAGCAAATGATTATCCATTGCCCCTGAGCTACTGCAGCGATCGCAACAATACATACCTCGCAGCTGGGCAAGCGGGGTTGGGTATTGTGCGCAACAAATACGAGCGTGGTTCGAGTACAGCATGACACACAGGGCTGTCTCGTATTTGTCTCCTTGAGGGCCGGAAAGATGTAAGCATTGCGTATAAGGATCTGCGATGCGAAACAGCCGTATTAATACCGGTAGGGCTGGGTTAGAGGGCCTATATCTGCCTTAAATCCCTTCCTTTATCGTATTGTTTGCTCCTTCATCCCTAGTAGTTGCATCACAGTCGAGCAGCAAGAAACATCAATCTTTGACGATACAATACAATGCGTTTCTCCTATAATGCCGCTTTGGTTGCCGTCACCCTGATGGGGAGTGCCGCCACTGCCGACGATTGCCCTGCCTTGCCCATCGAAGGACCTTTTGCCCTCACTATCGTTATAAAGGACAGCACAGAGACATATGCGACTAACATCGAGTACGCATCTCGTGGCGTTCCAGACCTAAATCCCACCACGACTTCTAATCAAACGTTCACTTGGAATGTGTGAGTTATCTCTCGACTTAAACCTGCAACATGAACTGGATCTTCGTATCCAGCTAGCAGAACAATCTCAAGACAGCGGAGTTGAATGCTGACGTTGAGTAGAGATGAAAGTCGGGTTATCATGGGCGGCAAGTCCTTTTATAAGTCTGGCAAAATCAGTAAAGGGTCTGTATTCTTCTTCTGGTCCGAGGGTTCTATGCCAGACGATGGAGAGTGGCTCCTTGAGCAAACTGTATCTGATTGCGCTGTATATCTCGTCAAAGAAGGCAGTACCAAGGAAGAGGGCGTATTTCAATGGCAGAGCACTCCACCGCAGAGCTCGCTCTCTCCAATCTCATGGTTGGGCTCCGTGGCGGAGGCAAACGCCGCTATTCGTGTGGATGTTACTAAGTCCTCTTGAGGGTATTCTGAGAGCTATATATTCTCTAGTAGATATATCTACTATAGACCGCGAGGATCTTGAACCGGGCTACGCAATCACGGGATCCAAGTAGTCTTAGAATGCACGCGTTCTTTATTAAAGGTACGCCTACTACTCTAACAAAGAATGGTTTTGGATTTGTTCAAGAGAACCTCAACATCTCATATTCCAAGCTGTTGCTCAACTCGCCATTCATGATCCCATGTAGATACGCATCCGAAACCAAAGTCCAAGTCCTATCATTTCCTGGACGAATCACCACTGGCACCTTGCCTCCTTTCAACAAGGCAATATGGTCATGCTCCTCCACATGGCCCATAGCCAATCCAATATATCCACTCTCCGTGCGGATGACTGTGCGGTTCACCCCTGACATCCTTGACTGCTCTCTCTCCTTGCTCATAGTGAATGACATCTTCACAGCTTTATACGTTAGCTTGCCCACCCAGTGAGCACCTGCCGCGATCTTGTACAGCGTTCCCGACTGGCTCTCCTCTATCTTCGTCCAGCCATCATCTGAATATCTGGTCAGCTCGGCGGCATCTTGGAGAGGCTTGTACCATTTTCCCCATGCTTCTCTTGTCAGCTGCTCGGTTCCGTGTGGGTAACAACCAGCATAGAGAGTTCTCCAATACACTTCCTTAGGTGTTTCCCCTGTGAAGTATGGTCTTCCGTCCGGTATCCCACACATTTCCTCCCATTTAATCAGCACGTCTGAGCCTTCTTTCATCAGCGAAGCGATCTCGAGGTTGGCATGGCCTGGCTGGTGTTCATAATATCCTTTCTCAAGAACCCCACCAGTCTCAACGATTCGGTCAAAGATGCATCCCGAAAGGGAGAGAATCTTGAGATCCTCGGAAACGTCGACGACAGGAAAACTGTTACCGCTGGCCGATGTCCAAGAAGCAGGGCAGCCTTGATGATTAAACAAGCCACCCAGGATGAAACGAGGCAGCAGTGGTTGAGACCGCTCGCGGTACGTCCAATCGGGGACCCATGAAGGTAATGGAGATTCTTCCTGGCCGCAACCCGCGAAGCTAAGAACATCGAGGCAGCCCTCAGAAAGAATGCAGTCAAGGGCCGCCCTGGTGAACACCTCGACGACATTCATGTCATAGTTGGGCTGCAGGCTCACCCTCGCCAGATCCGACTCGCTGAACAAGCTGTACATCCCAAACACCTTGTCTCGCGGGTCCGTGGCGAGAAAGATGCGGAAGCTGGTGAACATGTCCAGAGGGCGCAACATCTGGCCATGTACCATATCCGTCCGGGCTTTCTCAATGCTTCTCAGCGAGCTGTACATCTCAGGCGCCGTGTTTGAAAAGTAATCCAAATCTATGGCATAGCTCACTGCGCGATAAAAGTCGTCCCACGACGCCGAGTGCTGGCCACAAAGAACCACGGCGTGAGTCGCCAGCGCAACCTCCTGGATGATCCACGTCCGCAGAAACCACGGACGCTGAAGCATTAAAATTAGGCTCTTGATGATGGCATTCCACCTCTTATCTTCCAAGTCTCCGTTCGTCGTCCAGTCATTGCTCAGCACGAATCTCACCCAGTCTCTGGTCCCGTGCCTGATGGGCAGCTGGGTGCGCTTGAGGTTCTTCTGCGCCGCCTCGAGGAGATGCGGGATTGCCCACAGGTCCTTGCCATCTACCTCAATGGGACCGCCTAGCCAGACGTCCACTATGCTGGCTCGTCGGTAGATGTCCTGCATCAACAGCACCTGGGCGCCGCGCTCGGCTGTGTCGCCCTGGTTGATGCATATCGCGTCTGCCCAGACGATGCGTGGCTGAATTGGCAGCCGCAGCCGGACGAGAGCAGAATGCAGGCTTTTGGTGACGTTGAAGGGAATGCCATCGCAGGTGATCGGGGTCGTGTCCTTGGGGTCGCCCCAACAGTAGCTGAGAGCCTCGTATTTGGGAGGCTGGCGAACATCAGCGTGGTCTAGACCACACGAGACCGGGTCGTGAGGGGATCCCGGGTGGATTGTCAACAGCCGGATCGTGTTGGGCGGCAGAGGGGAATAGGGGTATGATGCCATGGCGATTTCTCAAGGTGGCCCATTATTCGTAGTCGTTTGAGGTTAAAGGTGTTCCATTTTGAATTTCCAATAAGATGGTGATCAATAAGAGCCACTCAAGAATGACATTGATGGGAGAGGGGTCACGAGTTGGTGTGTCACTGTGTAGCGTTGGGGCTGAGCTGCATGAGCTAGAAGTAGACGTCCAATCAACATGAGCCTGACAAACAAAACTATTGATCCTTTGCTTCGCCACATGAAAGATGCTCAGCTTACAAGGTCAGCAGCAGGCTGGTAGGCATAGATCGCCTTTGTGATTATTTGTAGCTGCAATCAAGGTAAGGCTGCCAATAATTGGAGCTCCCAACGTAGGGTTCGTCATCTACAGATAGAGACTTGCAACGCGAATTGGGGTAGGGATCGCACCAATCTTATGAGATGTCTAATTCAGTCGACTCCTGGCATATCTTTGGGCTCCTGTTCTTCTAACGGCAGCCTCCTCTCTCTGACTCCCACAGATTGGTTGAGCAGTCCACATGGTATTTGAAAAGATCAAGAGGGGCTGGCTGTGTTGGTACTCCTCACTTGAAGATACGTTCTTTTCCAGAAGCTCTACACTTTTTTTGTCTGCAAAACAAACGTCCGGTTCCTCTGGAATTGAAGACGCGGATAAGTGAGTTTAGATTTCGGCAACTAATAAAGAGTTGTATGGGTGTTCCCATCTGGCCAACACACCTCTGATGAGAAGAACAGGTAGGCCCAGCCAATGAATCTTAAGTTTGAATACAAAATCTTGAGCTTCGGAATTGTCTAGCTGTACACTTTTAGTCATGGTATTAACTTTACTGTCTAGAAAATGCCATTTTCAGATTTCCAAGTATCCCAATTATTTCCACGCAGCTACCCTAGAGCACTTGATCCCTTGACATGAAGAATGTTCTCGGGAGAGGGATCTTTTCAATCGCATGTCCCACCAAAATACGAATGAATTGTATCATTGTATTGCATTGAAAGATTTTTTCACTCGTTTGGGAGTCTGAGCGAATAGGTTTGTGCACGGATTTGAAGTGTTATCCATTGGAGTGCGGACACGTTTTTAGGGATGCCTCGGTCGTGCAGTTCCTCAGGTTTAGATTGCCCAAGAAAAAAGGTTCTTAATTCATTACAAATTGGAACGTCGACTAACACGCTCTATTGTGCCCACAGCCGTGTGTTATGCGCTGCGATATCTTACCTGAGGCATTTCACTCTGCTGTCGTATGGAGGCCCGTCATTCATCACCTTGGATACAATTGCCCATGGTTGTGGCAATGAGGCTGCCGCACCCTCAGGATTCGCGCAAAATCAACGCGTCTTCATGCTTATATTGGATAGTAATAATTCTGCAAGAATAAAAATAAATATTGACTTTAAGTTAGAGATAAAATTTAGCACGAAACTTGTGCACATTTAGATAGAAAGTTTTTAAGTATCATAATTAGCTCAGGTGGTAGAGTTAGGGGAGAGCTAGCGATTGCTTTAGAGCTTTCGTAGGGGCGCTTCAGTGGCCATTATAGTACAAATATAGCGCTTGCAATTGTACCACTGAAAACACATGATCCGGCCTGGAAAATGATCAATTAATATGCTTGGACATTGAATAATTGAACAGGATATGCTGACGCGTTAGAGACTCGAGTTCTGGCCTAGAATATCAAAAACTCTGTACGGTTGTCACTGTTCATCGATGATTGCTCACAGCCAATATTGAACTACCCTTTCACTGTAGGGAGTGCGGAATGTGCCGTCCATTTGGAAGGCCTCACACAGTAGTTGACTGGATTACTGATGCTGAGTTCACGCCAGACAACGGACACGAGGCGGCCCAGGCACACAGGCACCGTATACGAGGGGCGAAGGGGTGTGTGAGCGTCTTGTTCCATCGCTCTGTTGGCTATGGCGATCCATCAGGCCGGATTGAGCCCAAGCCCCGACACTACAGAAGGCACTAGCGATTTCATTCTCAGGTCTCGCCCCGTCAGGGCCCGGCTACAGGAAGCGAGTGATGATGTGGGCAGGCACCTGATGTTGACCGAAAGTCTGGATGACTCCCTGTCACTCTTTATCTCTTCCTCAGGTCCTTTCGTGACTTCGTGATCGATATCAGGTAAGCCCCAGCTCTTCAGCTCTTCTCTCTTTCTGCATTGAACAGAGCCCTTCTGCTCCCGGATAGCGGCAATCTCTTGGCAGATCACCTGCGGGAGGGAAAAAGCAACCATCTCAGCCCCAGGCGCTCAGCAGATTTCTCCAGGTGAGGGCTTGCGCTAAATGTACACTGACCCAGCCCCTATCCATTTGTTTCGATCAAGTTGGTTGATCTCGCTCTAGCAGCCTTGGACTGCAGGGCAGATCACAGAGGCCTGGAGGAAAAAAGAAAATGCATGTCTCCGTGCATTCTGCCGGTGGCTGCATGCACGCCGAGCGCCGTCATAGGCCAGAGCAAACGCAATTGTAGGTCTAAATATATCATTCTCCAGCATCAAATGAACCTCTCGTGACGCAAGCGAAAATGTTGGGCGGCGAGTCTTTAGGAATTTTTGCAAGTCCGCACATTTTCAATCTCTGTTTTCTTCAGGTCATTTGCTTCCTTTTTTTGCAAGATAAGATATGTGTGAAACAAGCCTCTTTGAATACTTGACCTTCCCTAAGGTAGGGGAGATCAAAGACATGGCTTGCGCATGACACAGACATCGAGGATGAAGGGCTGGCGTTTCCCTGGAGTTCACCATTCCAATAAGATTATAAAGTCCAGTAAAAAATTCCACAGATTGAACCCTGACGCTAATTGTACTCACATTGTGTACGTTGGCTAGGAAGTTCAAGTGCGACTAACCCAGCCCTTGAAGGGAGCATCATTCTTGAAGAGGGAGGTGGCCTAACATTATAGCATGACCTTGAGACTGTGAGCAAAATTGATCCCACTCCTCGCCATTCCCTTCACAAGTTAAGCTATTGAAAGTCGAGTCATGAAACTCACGGCCCTCAAATAAGCTCTGGATTGTGCTGTGGAGCGAGTCCTTGCCCTACATGTATGGAGAACTCCCTCTTGGATGTTCATCCGACCGTTTCTGCCGAGGATCGGCAATGGAGAAATTTAAGCTTTCCAACGTCCTGATGTCGAATTCCAGATGATGATTGCCGTAGGGATGAGGGAGATCTAATCTGGAATGTTGCTTCTCTTAGCTCCATCGTAGAATGTGGTTTAGTCAGGGCGGTGGGTTGCTGAGCAAGTCGACGGCGTGGGTTGATGCTCCCTAACTCAAACTTCAAATTTTTGAACCTATCATAAGCGCCCACATCTCCCGTGTGCACAATTGGCGAAAGATGTTGCCATCAATCTCAGATATGGTACAGGAACTGTATGACAGTGTGGCATTTAGCTATATTATGGCCTTCTTGCCTAGAAATTCATGGATGGAAACGTATGCCAGGGCACCAGGTACGTAGTGGATGGACCAGGGGACGAGGTTTTATCCAGTTAGTGTAATACTCTAAAAAAAACCTTTGAGTGCGCAGAGGAAGCGCCATTCTACCCACATCAGGCACAGCGCTGATGAGGATTTCGCTAGTGAATGATCTGGCCCGGTTCGACCTGGCTCAGACTCTCTGCTTTGCTGAGGCTGAGAGGTACCTGGGGAAATGTGATGTGCCTGGTAGCCACTGTGCGGGATGTGAGGTGAGAAGTGACACATGGGCCAGAAGTGAATCATTCTCATGCACGGGGCATGTACAATTAACCCTTTTATTAATTGGATTATGAATCATCTAACGAAAATATGCAAATTGATTAGATGGACTAGGAAATGAGGGCGTGGATACCAAGCGCCCACGTTTTGCGCCTGGGATCACTGAAAAGGGAGTAGAAGCAGCAAACAAAGTTAAGCATACTGAGAAAGCATATTGGGAAGACTCGACCGGCAGTTGCTACTTGGCAAAAACAGCCATTACAGCCTGCAGCACCCGGCAATCCGGCACAGACGTGGCGTTCTCTACAAATAGAGGGCTTCAGAGGACTGGGCTAGTGCAGCCACGAATGCCGGGTTCCACCCCCATGTCTCTGTTTGACGGGTGATTCTGCGATGGATTGGCCAGAAGGGGCGTGTGGAGAGGGACAGTGGACGAAATGGAGAGTGAGAGAGGGCAGAGTGGCTCGGTGAGGTTGTACGTAACGCAGATGGGATGGTACACCTCACCAACGTCACACCAATAGTCTGGGTTGAGCTCTGTGCAAAACGACGTGGGTAAAAATAGGAAGCCCCCAATGTCATCGTCACATTCTCGGCCGCCTGCATAGACGACCTGTGGAATCACGGTCGGGACGCTGATGGAAGCTGACGAACATTGGTGGCCCAGGCCTACACAGCTCCCACTCTCGACCCCCTGAGAAAAATGAAGAGTGGTCCATGACAGGGCTGGCCACTTTAGGCATTATTTTGCCCTGGGGCCTGTCGATCTCGCAAAACCCCTTCTGTTTTGCGGCCATCATGCACCGCCCAGTCTACAACAAGCATGCAGCATCTCCATTCTCCCACTAGGCTGATGTCTTTGTCCATCCCTTCTGCGTCCGCTTGAAGCAGCCCTCCCAGTTCATCCATTCCGTGGATGAGGCCACCACACGCGGGGCTCATCGTGAACAATTCTCCTACCAGATCGCCCAGCTAGCTCGAGTCTGGCTAGACACATACGCTTGCCGACGGTGGCCCGTGGCCCGTGGGCACCAGACTGTTCGCTGGACCGGCGCTATCTCCTGACTAGCCGCCAAGAAATGATGTGCTGGTTCAGCTAGCTGGGTGCCATCGTGGTCTGGACTATGGATCGGGGTCGAGCTGGGCAAGTCTGCCTGAAGTGCTCGCCAGCTCGTCCCTCTGCCAGGCACTTCTCAACCACTCCACCGTCGTCCGCCCAAACCACCGGCCCAGGCACAAGTTGCAATAGAGGGTGCGGCGGGAAGACATCCCCACCCCACGCCCTCCCGTATTGGGCCGTTGCGAGGTGTGATCTAGATGCGTTCCTGTGGCTGTCTCGACCCCCCTCGGTGCCCCTGACTGGACCAACCGTTCAGCTTCCCACGCGTCCAGCCAATTCCCATCGGGCGCTCGCTAATGTCCCAGACCATTGGAATTATCAGAAAGCGTTGCCCAGGCGGGACTGGAGCACCGAGAATGCAGCTGTAGCCAGGGCAGCGGTCTGCGCGATCGCTGGCCCAGCTCGTTAGGGGCTGCTAAGGCCGAGGCTCCCGTTTCGTCCATGCCCGGATGGTTCCCGCGGCGATCGTGCCTCTTATGCTTCCCAGGCCCTCTTCTTCTCATGACTATTTCATGCTCGCTTCCCTTCCTCATGTCATGACTGTGTCCCTTCGTTATCATCTCATTGTTCTTCATTGTGTGAAGACACCTCTTGAGTCATCTTGACAATAGAGGTCTAATCGACAATACTAACCCTTGATCCCACCCTAGTCTCTCGCTCCACAAGACATACTGGGTTCTGATCTACGCCCCTCGACTCTCGCTCACACGTCCGGACCTGGACTCACATCTTAACCCACAATGAGGTATCTCAGCGTCGCCGTGGCGGCCCTGGGCCTGCTCACGGCTGGTGGTGATGCCGCCACCTGCACGCCTCGCGACGCATCCGCCACTCCCAGTGCCAGTCCTTACGACGACTCAGGTTATGTGAAGAACCCTCACTTCCTTAACCACCTCGAGTACTTCACATCTACTGGACAAGTCAGCTGGATTGAGAACGGCTGGAACGAAGATGACATTGGCGGTGGTGCCGCTCAGTTGGAGGGTGAAGCCAGCGACGAGGTTGTTGATGAGACCGAGTCTGGAGTTCAGAAGCGTCAGGTTACGAGCACATCCATCTCTACTACCGTCAAAAACCTCACGCCCAATACCCCTTACACTTTCAAGTTCAGTTACCTGCTCCTCTCCGCCTCACCCGCTAACAGCTGCCGCCTGAGAGCCTACTTTGTAAACAACAACTACTACAACAGTGACAAGTGGCCTCTTACCACCAATCCACAGACCAACTGGACTGTGATCGCCGCAACGGTTACCCCAACGGCCTCTTCTGGAACCCTGACCATCAGCATCGACTGTGCTGCCAATGGCAAGGCTCAGATCTGGGTTGACAGCATTAGCGTCACCAAAGGTGCTCTGGTTACTTCCACCACCAAGACGACCAGTACGACCCCATCGGTTGTTCCCACCACGACCACGAAGCCTTCTACCACGACTACTCCGGCTACTACGACTACTCCGGCTACTACGACTACTCCTTCTACAACCAGCACTCCCAGCAGCACTCCCAGCAGCACCCCGTCATCTACCAGCACGTCGGCTGCTGCTTCTGCGAGCGTCGACAGCACGATCCTCGTCCTCGCCAAGGATGTGACGACCGCTAAGCTTGGCAGCGATGGTCTTCTCGCCTACGGAATCCCCTTCCAGCAACTCATCGTGCCCCAGACTGGTGTCGACCTGCCCGTCCTCAACGACACCCTCACCCACGGCAACTTTGGTGGTATTATTGTCCTGAGTGCTGTATCCTACGACTATGGTACCGGTGTCGGCTGGCGCAGTGCCATCACTGACGCTCAGTGGGCCTCCATCTATGCTTATCAGAGTCGCTTCAATGTTCGCTTGGTCCGTATTGACGATTATCCTGGACCCGGCACTGGAACCACCCCCGCTGCCGGAGGCTGCTGTGATAGCACAGTTGACCAGAAAATCTACTTCACCGATACCAGCTCCTTCGCTTCCGCCGGTCTCGTTACCAACGCGCAGGTCATTACTACCGGTCTGTATCACGTCCCTGCCAGCATCACTGATGCCTCAACCACTCGGCAGGTTGCTGCCTTCAACGCCGTTTCTGGCAACGCTGGTGGTGTTGCCGCCGTTATCAACAACTTCAGCGGTCGTGAGCAGTTCGTCTGGTTCATCAGCTGGGCTCCTTCTTGGTCTATGACCTCTGCCTGGCTCCAGCATGCCCACATCCACTGGATGACCCGTGGTGTGTTTGTTGGCAAGCGCAAGACCTATCTGAACACTCAGATCGATGACGTCCAGCTTTCTACTGAGATGTACTACCCCAGCGGAATTCCCGAGATCAAGATCACCACTGTTGATCTTGAGGCCCATGTAGATTGGCAGGTCAGCATTAACTCACGCATGCCTGCTGGCTCAGACTTCTGGCTCGAACTGGGACACAATGGAAACGGTGATCTTATCAATGCCACCATTGGTGATATAAAGAGCATTTGCAACCCTGATGATGCCGTCTACTGGGACCTCGATGTCCAAGCACCCCACGAGTGGAGGAAGCCCTTGGGAAGTGGTACCGATGTCTGGCCTACGGACAAGGAGGTATATTCGTGGTCGTCGGCCTGCGCTCTCCTGGATCCCTTCGCCAAGTGGTTCACCAACACTAATAACCTCAACAAGTTTGGCCACATTTCTCACACCTTCAGCCATCTTAACTTGAACAACTGCACCTACCATGACTCCAAGCGAGAGATTCAGTTCAACCAAGCCTGGATGAAGCAGATCGGGATTGACAAGGCTACGCGTTACACCGGAAACGGAATCATCCCCCCTCAGATCACTGGTCTCTACAACGGCGACTCCCTCCAGGCTCTCAAGGACAATGGCATTACCCACTGTGTTGGTGATAACACCCGTCCCCAGACCCGCAACCCGGACAGCGTCTACTGGCCTCTGATTACCAACTTCGCCACCAACGGCTTTGATGGCATGGTCGTCATTCCTCGCTTCTCCTCCCGTATCTACTTCAACTGTCACACCCCGATGTGTACTCTGACTGAATGGATCAACACCTCCGCCGGAACTGGCGACTTCAACAACTTGCTCAAGGTTGAGAGAGAGTCATCGGTCCGAAATCTGCTTGCCCTCATGTCTGATCCATACATGTTCCACCAGGCCAACATGTATACCACCGGAAACGATATCCTGACTATCGGTGACCAGACCCGCCGCATGTCGCTGGTTATGGCTTGGACTGAGACTGTTGCCCAAGAGCTCTACCGTATTACCACCTGGCCAGTCAAGACTCAGACCCAGGCTGAGATGGCTCTCTACTTCCTTGCAAGACAGACGGTCGACGGCTGCACCCCCAACTTGTCCTACGTCTGGTCCGATGACGGCAAGAGCCTCACATCCGTCATTGTCACTGCCAAGGGCAACACCTGTGCCTCCCCCATCCCAGTCACCATCCCTGCGGGCACTGTCACCGCCAGTGGCGGTAGCTTCACCTCTGATGTCGTCGGTAACGAGCCGCCCATCGTGTGGGTTACCCTTAACGGATCGCCCGTCACCCTGACCTTGGGCACCAAGGTCGCTGCCTCCACTACCTCCTCATAAGCGAGGATGAGATTTGGACTTCAGAGAGGTCTCACTTGACGATTGGAAAAAAAAAGTATTAATATGTTGGCTATCAATTGGCTTTGAATTGTTTGAATAGCCGTTCTTTTCTTTTCATGAGATGGATCTCATCCGATCTCGACCTCTGCATTTATTTGTTACTTAGATATGTAGTTACGGCTTATCTACTGGTGTTGTCTGAGGCTTTTGGGAGCGTGTTCAAAAATGACAGGTCATGATATTATGCTCTGAATGTCTGAATATCCTCCTGTGATCAATCTGGCCGTCTCTGAATGAGTTCTTCCTGCTCGGGTTTCGGTATGGGAAACAGTGCGTTTAACGAAGCTTGGGAATACGATAGGTAGCGTTAGAAATGTTGCAAGACATAGTTTATCCTTGAATTGAAATGTTAGCCTTTCCATCATTCTTCTTGCTACTTAACGGGCCTTTGACACCTACCGTTTGATGCCTTCCCTGAGAGTCGCTGAATCCACGCTGAATACCAGCCGGAATCTCCCTGCGGTCGGAGCGGAAAACACTGCGCCGCGGTCTACAAGGACGCCTGCTTCTTCGAATCGCTTTGCAATCAACTGCTCGGCGAACCAAGGGTCATAGTTGGCGCCTAGCGATGGGATGAATCCTCTCAAGTCAAGCCAGATGGCAAGACCGGAATTTCTGTACCAAGTAATTATATTAGTATGGGATGAAGTTCAGCGAACAGGTGGAGGCTCGACTTACCCTTGGTCATGGAATGGGATATCGGTTTGTTTCAGAAGCTCCTCGGCGTACAGACGGCCCTGTAGAAGCATACGTCGAGACTCTTGTAAGAACTGGTGAACGAACTGACGATCTTCAAGAAACTTGGCAGCCAGGTCCATGGAAAACTTTGAAGGTGAGGCAAAGCGACTGCAGAATGGAATGTTCAGCGATCTGGTCACCTGGAGGACATGGCCGGCGAGTAGACTTACGACACGGCTTGCACTGCTTTAGTGAAATTCGGATTTTGTGAAATTACACAACCTAGACGCATTCCGCCGGCGCCATAGTCCTGTAGAAGAGTATAAGCAGTGAAGGCTAGCTTATGGACGAGTGATTTTCCACCGCTTACTTTTGACATGCCGTAGAGAACATGAACTTGGCGAGGATCGATAATGCCCGAGGGATCGATGGATCGTACGGATGTGAATTTTTCGGACGGCCGATCTTCTCTTTCGTAGGTTGACAGTGCGTATATTTCGTCGCTAATTAAATGGATTTCTTTGGAAGCGCAGAATTCCATCAACGCTTTGAGAGTGTCGGGAGGGTAGCACTGGCCTATCAATTCATTAGACGATTGTTTGGAATCGCGAACTGGGCATTTTCCCATAATCCTACCTAACGGATTATGAGGGTTGCATATGATCAATGCCTTGATATTGCTTCCTCGAGCTTTGGCCTCTTCAAAGGCGGCATCGTAGTCGGCGACTTCAAGAAGAGAGAACTGGTTATCGCCTGCAAATGATATCCACTCTATATTTACTCTTTCAAAGGATTAGATGTTGGGATGCGATCATTGTGTGACTAGATTTCTCACCCTGTTCTCATACAAAGATCCTTTTCGAAGCCTGAATGACATGGCCGTCCGATCATGATGGCGTCACCAGGATCGCACAAAACCATGGCACTGATTTCATTAAGGCTGGTGACACCTGCTGCGAAGGTGATTTGCTCAGCGTCGAAGCTGCTCACAGGCGCAAAGTACTCGTTCAAATGATTGGCCATGGCAGTCCGTAAACGAAGGGTGCCCGTGTCTCCTTTTCCGTAAGAGCAATCTCCCTTATCAAATTGGTTCTGGAGGGATATATGGTCAGCGGTAATCTTGTTTCGTGCGAACTGTGATTTTTTACGTGGGAGTTGATGAATGCTGCCAAGTCATCGTGTAGGAATGCCTATGTACTAGTTAACATATATACCTTTCCAACGATACTTATTCAAACTTTAGGTGAACGCTCACATTATGGGCGTTGGTGAGTCTCACGACACCATCTGGATTCTTCACGGGGTCGTAAAGGTCTTGGCTACGGCCAATATTTAATTTTGACCAGTCATTGCCCCTGGTAGATAGCTTTGGGACTCTCTCTTCTATAGTAGACCAGAAAAAGTTAGCTTGGACGAGAATTCTTCCATCGCTGTCATTTAGGCCTGGACTTGTCGAACCTTCGCGTAGGGTGGGAGTTACTGTAGCGAAGATCGACTCGGCTATGATCTTCTTAGGGGCACCCATTCTGGATAAGGTAGTCTGTCCTGTGAATGTAGAGAATAAGTTGCTAAGAATTCAATACTAGGCTGAGAGACAAGAAGCAACTCTCGCAACGGTCTGATCTCTCGCTTGCGTTGGGCTCGCGGGGAAGTTGTATGGGCCATTGCGCGGCTTACAAACCACATGTGAGACGAAATCAGAGCATTTATACGTTGGACTAAGCACAAGCACCCTAAGAAGAGGGGAAGGCGATTGGCCTGCTTGATGTGGCCGACAGGTAGAGACGGGTGGGGAATCCATAAACAAGGGTTCTTCTGGGAAGTCGCATCGTCACTATAGAGGTAAGAGTCTGATCTTGTCTTGAGAAGGCTACTATAAATCCAATTTAAGGTTGTGGTTTTATGACAGATTTGGACAATATGTTTTATAGCGCATATCTATTTGGGGGGGTTCAAAATCCTTGAGTAGGGATGTACAGTGACAAGTCATGTAGAGCGTATTTTGCTTCTTCGCTACTTTTGCATATATCTCTCTATTGTGAAGTGTGTTAGGCTGCTTTGCGATCTGGTTGATTTTTTGTATCCTCTTCATTTTTAGGATGGTGGACATTTGGATAAGATACATACTGAATGAGCAAGCAGCCTTCACTTCTCACTGACTCGTGACTTGAGTGCTAGTTCGGCAGTCCCACTGCCAGTTCTATTGAAAACAGCGGTAGTTAAAGCCTTTTTTTTTTTTTTTTTAATCCAGTAGGAGCCGCTATATTATTGCTGACAAAGCTGACCCTGGTGCCGAAATCGCACAGAGTCTTAAACTCGGCGAATGAATTCAAACAGCGATCTTTTTGATTCAGGAATCAACGTCATTGCGTGACCCCAGAAACCCAGGTCTAGCAGATACATCCTCATTTCCCATCACACTGCGTGATACGCTCACGGACGGGACCTGGATTGTCATGGCCCAGGGCCGCCCTGACACATCATGGCATTTCGTCGGCCAGGCTTCTGCATTCCCTAACGTCACTTCTGACAAGGCAAGCGCTCTTAATGAGTTATATCCATGTGGAAGTGCTCGCGGGCCAGAGTTAGATTCCTCCGCTACTGGCTGCAAGGTATTCTTTGTGTCTGACGAGAAAGACTCTGATGCCACAACTGTCGACCTGAATGACCCAATCAAGGCTCTGGAGCTCAAGAATCAAGTACTCATCTTTCAATACAATGGAAAGTTTCATGCCATTGATCATGTAAGTACTCACATTGGTATACTCTCTCCTTCTGCGGCCTGTTCTTCTGCCGATGTTCTATGCTCTCACCCCGCGCCTACGATGCTTACAATCGCACGATATTAGAAATGCCCCCACTCCTCGTTCCCATTATCGCAAGGGATACCGTTTGACATCGAAGATTTTGGGGTTGTATTGAGCGCTGGGATCCAGTGCCCAAAACACGGCTGGTCGTTCGACCTCTTCACAGGGATGGCAGATAGGAATGCGTATAAACTCACAATATGGGAGCTCCAACTACGCCCTGCAACTGTGAATCTAGAACAAGGAGAAAATGGCCAAGACCAAGAAATCTGGGTGCGGAAAAAACCAAGGATGGGATAATGTAATATTCATGAATCTCAGTGCTCTAAGCTAATTCATGTTTTCGTAGAATAACACGCTTAGGCGAGCGGCAAACGCATGGAACGTTTTGACACTCCATTATGCGCCAACACTGGGATAATCTAATACGAGCGGGGAGGATTGGCATAATCTTATGTGTAAAGGAAAGGGGGTCACGTGATGCAAATTGTGATGAAAGCGCTTAGTAACCCATTCTTGGCGATCTCATTTCCCTCGAACAAACCCGTTTCTCCCCTTGCCATCCTGCTTTATCCATCGAGGTATTTATTTCACGATTGTGCTTTGTTAAGACCTGCTATTTGGTCCGCGGATCGCGCAATCATGGAGTCCTCACTCTCGTACCACGAACCATCTGTCGTTATTATTGCCATTCTATCTGGCTTCCTCCTGTTGACCAATGTGGTCAATTATGGGTTAGACAAGATTGCCTACTGTGGTCTCATTGGTCAAGTTGCCATTGGCATGGCTTGGGGCACACCGGGTGGAAAGCTACTTGATAGCGATATAGAGAATGCAGTGATGCAATTGGGCTATCTCGGTCTAATCCTTCTGGTTTTTGAAGGTCAGTTCCCTTCCGTGTATACAGGCTCTCTTATCTTAACGTGTATTAATAGGTGGGTTGGCAACATCATTTAAGACCTTGAAAGCCAATATTGTCCTCTCGTCCGGTGTGGCCCTCACTGGAATTGCTGTCCCGATGGGATTTTCGTTTCTACTGCAATCCATGGTCGGCGCCTCATCGCTGCAAGCGTTTGCTGCTGGGGCTGCTCTTTGTTCAACCAGCCTCGGAACAACTTTTACCATCTTAGGAACCAGCGGTCTTTCATCTACTCGCTTGGGTGTTGTATTGACAAGTGCAGCTATGATGGATGATGTTGTGGGGTTGATAATGGTCCAGATTGTGTCAACTTAGGCAATAGTGGTGGCTTCAGTGCCGTTACTGTTGTCCGACCGATCATGGTCTCCATGGCCTTTGCACTCCTTGTCCCTATTGTCTGCAGGTTTGTTGTTATCCCCGTCACGCTCATGTTAAACCACATACGGGTTTCGAATTCAACTTCAAACCTTGCTCTTCTCCTCCAACGGCCACAGACCGCTCTTGTCACACACACCATGCTGCTTCTGGGGCTAGTAATCGGAGGAACTTATTCGGGGACTTCAAGCCTTTTAGCAGCATATATCGCTGGAGCTGCAATCAGCTGGTGGGATTCAGAAATTGGTCACCCCAATCCAGCACTAGAAACAAACTCCATTGGTGATAGCGAAGTCAACTCTGCGACCCAATCAACATCAGGCGAGGATCAAAGTCAACCAGAAAACCCCATCAGCCAGCCCGTGAGCGAGGGGAACAGCAACACGTCAGGGATGAGTATATACGAGACGTACTACCGCCCTGCTGTCGAACACGTCCTCAAACCATTTTTCTTTGTAAGTCAGACCGTTCAGCCCTCCGCCTACGATTATGGACAGTTTCTAACTAAACAGGCCTCTATCGGATTTTCTATACCAATCACTAAGATGTTTTCCGGGTCCATCATATGGAGAGGGATTATCTACACCATTCTAATGATAGTCGGCAAGCTTCTTTGTGGTGCCTGGCTGGTCCCGTTTGGTAGTCCGCTTCAGTTCATCACAAGGCTTGCCAGGCGCGTTCCCATTTTCGACAAGCTTGTCTACAAACCTTCCTCACCAGGGTCCCAGTGTGCGAATTCGGCCCAGACCACGGATCAAGTCGCGACTACTCAGTCTGGAGACGGGAATAACCAGGATGGAGTGGACTTGAATCCACTCCCTGACCGAGCATCACAGCGCACATCTGCCGAGACCCGGAATTCAACGCCGAACCCAAAGCAACCAAAGTCTGTATATCCTGCATGTATTGTTGGACTGGGGATGGTAGCCCGCGGCGAAATTGGGTTTTTGGTTGCTGCCCTGGCAGAAAGCAAGGGCATTTTTGGCCGTCCGTCCGGCTCCAGCCAACCGTCGGAGTTATTCCTCGTTGTGACGTGGGCTATTTCGCTTTGCACTGTGATTGGGCCCATCTGTGTTGGACTTCTCGTGAATAGAGTGAAGCGCTTAGAAACGTTGAGCCGCCAAGGCTCGGCCGAGGGACGAGCAAATGTGCTTGGTGCTTGGGGAGTTATTTGAGATTTGAGAAGGGGGTGATTGCGGTTGTTTTGAAGTCTGGACATATTATTAATCCCCCAGCTCTATGCTTTTCAAAGCCGGTGACTTGGACACATGGGTTATTAATCTATTACTAGTTGCTTGAGCTGCGGCAGCCCATGCATCTATCGTTTCCGCCAAGGAGTAGCCTGACTCATTATTACATCTAACAATCCAACATGTAGGTTACTCGCTGCATTTAGCTGGTTGTGGACCAAGTGCTAGCTGTTAGGCGTCAATCAAGATGTGTGACCAACCGAGAAATGGGACTTTCACTGTTAAATTTGCGCATCATACTACCTGATACAGAATGCTGGTTGTTGGTTGTTGGCTGATCCATGTCAAAACTTCCGGCAGGGGCCGCCTCATCAGAGGCTGATCAGGACGAGTCCTCCACAACTGTACGTAACGTCAGATGTGGGTGATCGAACACAGCCTTCATCGTTGGTCCTTACTTCATATGACGCCACCCCACCAGTGGTCCATGAGTTACCGTTATCCTCCCTCTCCCCTCCTACCGACAGTCCTCGCATGAGCAATAGCACTATCCTATATTCAGCAAATTCATCAAGAAGCAACACATTGTGACTGAGTTAAACTCTCAACTGCTCTGGGCCGTGTTCGAACATCAGGACTAAACTTTCAGCTATGTCTTTTCTCTACAACTCCCGCACTATTGATAGGGCCTTGAACAAGATCCGGCCCCCTGGATACACAGGCAATCGCAGCCCAGCATTTCAGGAGAGCCGACGAAACTGGCTCAGAAACATATCCAAAGGTGAGTGTTGCTCCACCACCACTGTCCGGACCCTCCACTCAAGCGACCTGGGTGGGAAAAGCTGACTGGCGGAAGAGTCCATATGTGCTGAATACACCGACTTCATCTTTAATGGTAGACCAGGATGCGGAAGTACCCTTGATAAAAGCGAATGCAAGGCCTTGAAAGAGACCTTTGCTTCTCATGCTAATGCAGATAACTGTAGGTTGCCCTGGCGTCCGCTCTTTGTCATACTTTTTTTTTCTTTCTTTTGTTGATCGCTGGAACGCAGTATGGGACAGTCAGTCACTTCAGGCTTGCTTTGCGGCACGGATTCCTCACGATGAGAAGTATAAGAAACTCCTTGAAAGTTGCGCATCTTCTCTCTGGACTCTAACCACTTACTTCGCCCAATGGCCCTTTAATGACGCCCTCTCGACAACACCTGAACCAACAACCCTGACGTTCGAATCCTATGTCCGCGCCATAGCCTTCCTCTGCGGCAGGCAAAATAGTATGCTTTGGCCTACCCACCTAGCAGAGAATGGGTTTGCGCGGACCCATATTCTGGCACTAGAGCACATCTTCCGAGCGTTGGCTATAGCTCCAGAGATAGCGAAACAGGCTTCTGATTCGAGCTGTGAAGATGAATCTCTGTTGTCGCCCCAACAGCGCGAGGTATTCGACGTTGTATACACAGTACAACCGAGTCTGTCCGGGTCCACTGAAAGATTGGAAGAAGAGCTGATCCCAACAGCTCGTTGGTTGTCACCCTCCCAGCGTCCGGTATTATCCACCTTGTCTATCTCCACCATGGTCCTTATCCCGCTCCTTGACTTTATTACACCGCTCTTAGAGTATACTCACCTACCTTGCGGTGAGGTATTGCCCAAGAGGTTCAAGGTCGTGAGCTCCAAGCTACAGAATTTTGAGGAGGTGTCATTTAGCGACTTTACCGAGTGGTCAGGCGACGATACCATGTATAATTTTTATAATTCCATTGCCGTTCTTTTTAGCACTGTTCTCTATCCGGAAAGTTTGAGGAGATAAGAGTCGCAGCACTTACGGCTTTTCGGTTTTCTGATTTACACTTCGGGCGGACATTCAACAGCATCCGTTATATTGTCCGGGAGTAGAAGACCAGGAAAATTGGAAGGATGGGAGTTAATCATTAGTTTGTACTGGAATTTCACGTTTTAAGTAAAATCGCTCCCAGGGTAGTGCATTACCAGTTGTATTGCAATATCTTGACCACAAACTGTCGCAGCCTCAACTGCTATCCATGTCCTCGACCCCATGGAGACTAGAGGTTCAAGAGTATATCCACTAACTATGATATAAGCTGTCCACGGGCTACTAGAGGATATAATAGCCATTCTGCCCTAATTGTAACAGAGTTCAATGGTTTGGGTGCTGCTAGAATGTACAATATCGGCTGCTTAGGTATAGGCCCCTGTTATTGAATCTTTTTTGTAATCCCGTCATTGTTTTATCAATAAAGACATAATTACATACTCAGGTAAACGATTAGATCAGATATTATCATAATTATCTCTCTCCACTCTAAAATCGCTTGCGCGTCCCGATGTAAGTCTTACTCTGCTGACATTAGACAATGATTATTGATGTTTGATAAAATCACAAGGGTTAGACTGAGCCACCTCGGTACTTATTTTGGACAGCTAAATTACCGTAGAGCTCGCAAGTCCTGTGTGATTGCTTAAAAATTCTGGCAAAATGCGTCTTTGAACATAACTTCAATAGACATCCTCACAGGCCGTAGTAGTGTTATGCCTTGTAGGAATACTAGCTGCATGCTTGATTTAGGGAGTTCTGGGGCACTGGCGCATAGACGCTTCGTGATAGAGCTTGAAGAGAGGTGTTCATTAGCATTTCGCAATGAGTTATGTTCTCCATATCCCGGACGGACATGAAATGTCGCTGCCAGCGGACATGGCGTGCCCATGTCGGAGTTGTGGACCAATCACAACTTGATGACGGGCTACACTTTCGACTACAGTGTTGAACTGAGATGCTCAACAAGTCCGCCCCATTTCCACGAAGGTTTAAGAAATTCCGCATAGGAACTGGAACTACTTCAATCGAAAGTATAAGAATAAGGTACTGTCACTAACATTCTCGTTTCAATCACCACCCTCCCCTATACTCTTCTTCTGGAACATAACTTAGCTTTGTCTTGCCCGTTAAATCCCGGCATAATCAACGATGACCAACTCCCCGAAATCATGCTTGATAACAGGCTGTTCTGAAGGCGGAGCTGGTGCTGCTCTCGCGGAGGCCTTCGCAAAGAAGGAATATCACGTTTTTGCGACAGCACGATCTCCATCCAAGGTGCCACGATCACTACACGAGGCATCCAATGTCACCGTTCTTGCACTTGATGTTGCATCTTCCGAATCTATCGCAAATGCAGCTGAAGAGGTTCGAGAAAAGGCTGCTGGGAAGTTACATGTTTTGATCAACAACGCTGGGATGGGGCTGAGTGCGCCTGGTCTGGACACGCCCATGAGCGATGCGCGGAAACTCTTTGACATCAACTTCTTTGGGGTGTTGGAGATGATACAAGTATTTGGTCCCCTTTTGGTGGAGGCTAAAGGCTTTATCGTCAATAACTCTTCTGTTGGAGGCCATTTGCCGTTGCCGTTTTTGAGTATGTATCTGTTGACCCCTTGTACTCATCAAAGTCTTGAAATTCCTCAGCGTGGAGTCTGATCTAATCATCTCGTGTGTTCAGGCGTGTACCAAGCAACAAAGGCTGCCATTATACAAGCAAGCGAAGTATGGCGGCTTGAATTGGAACCCCTGGGGGTGAGGGTTCTGACGCTGCTCACTGGCGGAATTGCAACGCATTTCGTGGACAATCAACCTGTTCCAGCGCTCCCACCAAACTCATACTACCTCGGAGTCAAAGACGTGATCGACGCAAAACCAGATAACATTCGTTTTGCTGTTAGTCCAGAAGCTTTCGCAAACGATGTGTTGCGCCATGTTGAGAAAGGCACAACTGGCAAGCTCTGGATTGGTGGCGGAGCTGGCCTTCTCCGCCCGCTTCTCTGGTTCTCCCCCCAGAGCTTGATTGTATGGCCTCCCTGCTAATCTCTTGTATCCTTACCGAGAACTAATATTCGCCTTTTCAGGACTATCTAGCACGGGGTATGAAGCCCTTTGCCGAGAAACTAGCAGCCGCGCATGAGAAATCTGCCTAAGTAAGCAGGCTGGAAGGGGAGAAAATCTTTCCCCGAGAATGTTGATAGATTTCCTACGTCTTTTTACATGTATTCTTATTCAATAATTTTATTGTTATAGTCAAATCATCGGTCATTTCTATTTCTCGGTAATCTAGATTGAGGGCATCTTCCAAATGACAAAGGGCAGAGCATATGTAGTCCCGTCTTATCTATTCTAGCTTCCGCTCATAAATCCAAGTGAATGCATAACCGCCAGAATTTTTACTGCTTTTATGTAGCTACGCTAATTTATGCTGCAAATTCAACATGAGAACTCCGATCTACTACGTCTGATGCCAACTTGCTCAAACTCGGGCTCTGCATGATATTGAATATGGACAGCTCAGCCCCTGCCTGGCCGAAGAGCATGTTGCGCACCTCCACAGCCACAAGGGAATCGACGCCCTGCTGTGAGGGTGATTGGCTCAAGTCAACCTCCTCAGCTGGAACCATGAACATGTCTGCCAGCATATCCGCCAAGGCCGAACCGACCACGCAGATGGCCTCATCCCGTGACGAGCACGCCGCCATCCTTGCGGCTAGAGTGTCATCCTCACCCTGCTGCGTTTGCTTCTCACCAGCAGTTGTTGAGGTCTGACGATACTTGAGTGGCAGGACTCGCATGTCGCGCCCAAGCTCGCCATCAGCTTCCCAATGGGCGCCTGGGCCGGAGTTAATACCACCGACGACAAACTGCGGGTCGAAAGGCGACTGGATGGCCGACTCGAGAGATGAAAGGACGTGGGATTCGTCGATAACCCTACGACCAGCCCTGGTGAGTGACTTGCGTAGCATCTCGGCCCCTTCAGCCTCGGCCACGTATCCGACAGCATTCACTACAGACAAATCAATTGACACGCCCGGGAGGCCGCAATGTTTGACACGCCAATGGGCCAAGGCATCCTCATAAGCACCTGCAGCCGAGTAGGCCGCCTGACTGGCATAGCCGAGAACTCCGTTGATAGAAGAGAAGAGGACAAAAAAGTCGAGATCTCCGGGCAGATTGAATTGGTTGTGCAGATTCCAGGCGCCAGCAACCTTGCTCTGAGTTGTGTACTTCCAGTCATCCAGTGTCATGTTTTCTACGAAAAAATCCTACCAAACTTGTCAGTGAGATGAATGCGTGTGAAAATAAGATGTGCTTACCTGGAGAACAAAGGCTGCGTGAATGACGCCGCGAATAGGAGGCAGCCCCTCCTGTGCGCAAGTCTGTATTCCTTTGGCAAGGTCATCCTCGCTGGCAACATCACAGCTGACAGGTAGAACGCGGCTGCACCCTGCTTCCATCAGTTCCTTGGCTAGAGTCGCAGTCTTCTCGCTTTTGGATGCGCTGCGCGAGAGTAAGACGAGGTTTCTGGCTCCATGAGCGACCATCCAGTGCGCGGCGGACTGACCCAACCCGCCATTTCCGCCGACGATCAGGTATGACGCTTCAGGGGACAGCTTAACAACCGCCTTCTGTGGGAAGACAGGTACGTTTTCGTCAGGACTGACTGAAAGGACGACCTTGCCGATATGGGATTCTGCTCGTAGTAGTTGCATAGCGCTGGTGATATCCGCCAACCTAGTTGAGATGATGGGAGAAACGACTTTCACAGCTTTTGACTTGATAAGACGCATTATCTCACCCAAGCAACGATGAACATGGGCCCCGCGATGTTCTAGCAAAGTACGGATATCAACAGAGGAGAAGGACACTGAGCGGGAGAAGGAACCCATCTCCAGGTTGCTGTTGGCCTCCAAGTCTCGCTTGCCAACCTCTACAAAGTGCCCAAGTGGCGCTACCAAATTGAAGCTCTCCTGCAGCAGGAGACCAGATAACGAGTTCAGCACGACGTCTACTCCCCTGCCATTTGTAGCAGCGAGAATTGCTCGGCTGAATGATGCATTTTCGCTATCAAATATGCGACTGGCGGGGATTCCGTACTGTTGCATTATCACATCACGCCCTTCCCGACTGCTTGTTGTGGCATATATTTCTGCTCCAAGGCTTTGCGCTATCATTACAGCAGCTTGCCCAAAATCGCTTGTTGCAGAATGAATCAGGACAGATTGAGTGCGCTGAAGTCTCGAGACCTCTACGAGGGAGAAGTAAGCCGTAAGGAATGCCATAGGGATTGACGCTGCCTCCTGGAAGTCCAGTTCAGTCGGGATATGTGTCGCAGCGGTCCAGTCAACCACAGCGCGGTTTGGGAATGATGATTGCTGCAGTATGCAGACCACTCGATCACCAGCCGAGTAGCCCTGCAATGATGCCTCTGTACCGACTCGTGAGATAATACCGGCGCACTCGACGCCGACAATATGGTCTCCTGTGACGTTTAGGCTAGTACCGTAGGCCCTCGGCTCTATCTCCAACGTGTTGGGAGGGAGAGAATCGCGATAAGCTTCAGCATGAGGGTCATCACCGAAAGCGAGCCGCTCTGGGTCCAAGCACAAGAGTCTGTCTCGTTGACAGAAACGCTCGACAGGCAATTTCTCCGGCTCAGCCGCTTCTGTGGTGCCTGGGGACAGATGTAGATTTTTGGCTACATCATGGTAAAGTCGTGGGACTAAAATGATACCGTCTCGCTCGGCAAATTCGTAATCGCCTGGCCCCCTTTCAGCTGCGGGATCGTCTTTGGGGTTTATAAGCGTAGCTTGGAGTACTTGGGCGATCACGCTTGTACTACTTTGAGACCAAAGTTCTCCCCTTGGGTCAAGGTCGAGTGTGAGTAACTTGCGGCCTGGATATTCTGTCCGAAGCGTGCGAACGAACCCAGAGGCAAGACTGAGCTCAGGACGCTGACAATCTACTGCACCGCCTCTTGTTACCCAGAGCAAACCTTTGAAGCTTGTAGCCATCGCTCGGATGCCTTCTAAAGAAGTTGAATCAAGATCGTAAAGTACGCCATCATCTACTTCGCCAACGAAAACGCAAATTTTGTCAGTGAACCATGGTGGATCAATATTGGAAACTGAACATAGATCTTTCATCAACGGCACTGCTCCGCCGTCAGCACCTTTTATGACCGAATCAATAGACTTTTGGAGACTTTCCAGCCACTCCGGTGGAGGCATCGATTCAGGTTTGTGGCTTGTGATGATAACTATGCGCTCTGGGTCTACGCCCTGCAGCGGCGGAAGCGACAACGGTACTGTTGCGAGAAGCGTGACCGACGTCTTGTTTTCCGGATCTTCACAGTCGGCTAGCTCGACCTCTACCCCATTGAAGCCAGCGTCACGAAGTTGAAGATCCCAGATGCCTGCATCAAGTAACGGGTTTGCATCTTTGCCGGATTCTTGTGCGAGCCACCAGCCTGGAAAGAGACCATTTACAAACTGAATGTCATTCCGGCATTTTATATCTTCAGCAACCAAGAGGGCTCCGCCTGGTTTGATCAGATTCCGAATATTTTGTAGGGCTTGGGGAATATTTCTGGTGGCACTGAGAGCATGAGAAGCAATCACTATATCGCAGGTTCCGAGAGCAAAACCCTGTGAAGCTGGATCAAGCTCAATGTCAAGCTCTTGAAAGGAAAGCAAGTCGCTCCAAGTCGCTAAGTCTTTTTTGGCATCGTCGAAAGAAGCCGTGGAGCGATCCGTGTAGTAATACACGGAAGCGTGCGGGCCACCCGTGGCAGATGTACCGAGTGCTTCAAGAGCATATTGGGTCATCCCACCGTCTCTTGAACCAATTTCCAGAATCTGAACACGAGGGTTCTTATGTACTAGATGCTTTAGTAGTCCAGCTAATTGTGACCCCGTTCGCTTTCCTCTCGGGGTTTCACTTCTATATTTAGCTAGCAGATTGTCTTGAGAGAGCACCTCCGCTGGCGATGCTTGACCCTTTAGCATGGCGAGTAACTGTGTGCTTATACGCTTGACGATCTCGCCTTCCACCCCAAAATCAGATACTTGGTTGATGAGATCTTGTTTTTCGGGCTCTGTCATTGATGACCAAGTCCTACCGTCTCCGATGAGTTGATCAGAGGCTTCCTTATCAACCGTGTCTTTCAACCAGGTGTAATATTTGGCAAGGTGGGGAGCCATGTCGGCTGCATCATTCTGATCCATCTCAAGCAGCGCCCGCTGCATGAAGTAGAAGCATACTTGACAAAGTCGTTTGGTGAGACTAGGCTCTGAACTGTCACCGGCATTACTTAATTGCTTATTGATGAAGGAAACTGTGGCTGGCGACAGGAATGAGATGTCTAGTGACCAATCGACAATGTTGCAAAGCTCGGTTTGCCACCGCTCTGTTTTGCTGAGGGACAGATTCTTCCCTAGCGACTGGTATGAGAAACCTTTCATTTCTAGTACCATTCTCCCATTTCCATCATGTACAGATAGATCGGCTTCCATGCCTTGAATATTATCACGATTGATAATAGAACCAACTTCGAGCAAATGTCCTGGGTTCGAACCAATGCTTTCCGACACCCAGAAACTTTTTACAGCCCTGGGTACTTTAGCTGCAGTCTCATGGGCCCCGGCTCCTGGGACAGCTGAATAAGGGGACGTGATGATCGAGTCTAATGTTACCGGATGCAACACATGATTTTGCGGAAGATCCTTTGGTAGGGACGTGTCCGGAATGGACATGGTGACAACACTTTTCATTTCCGAGCCTGATTGAATGATGTGCTTCATATTCTGGAACATGGGTCCGTGAGAAATGCCAAGAGCCTTGAGGTTCGAGAAAAGGTCGGCTGGTATGACTCGGCGAGCGTAGCCTTTTATGTCGAGGTTGCTCACCCCTCGACCAATGGCTGTAGTTAGAGAGAAGTCTTCAAACTCCACAGAGATTGAACCTTTGGCATGCTGGGTCCATTGATTATCCAGTGTGACTGTCCAGATTTCAAATTCCTTCCAATTCTGCTTCCCAATATCTTTTGTGTTGGCAGAGCGCAAGGTGGTTTGTATTTCAATACCATCTGAGTTGTCTAGAATAACAAGCGCTTGCAGAAAGTCGACATCTCTTAGTTTGTAACCCGCAATCTTGCTAATGTCGGTTCTGTTGTTCAATTTGGAGAGTTGCTTAACTGCCTCGATAGCTAAGCAAATGTAGCCAGCGGCAGGATATACAATATTAGACTGAATTACATGGTCCCTAGTCCAAGGTGATGCCGAAGTCCTGAGTGTGTGTCTCCATGAGGGAGCATCGAGATTTGAACCGTCGACAAGTGTGCCGAGTAAATCATGGGGGGTCTCCGAACGCTGACACAGAGCTTTGTTGAACCTAGGTTCTACCCAATGTCTGATTTGGTGGTTCCAGGGGTATGATGGCAGATCTACCAGTACCTTAACATGTGGTCCCTTGCCACGAGGGAAGTTGACGGCTGCCATATCGACAGGATACCCCTCAAGCACCAAGTTAGCAGCCAGTGCCTGAATGCTGTCTCGTGCATTCATTTTGCGGACTAAAGTACCATAGTACGGTAACTTGAAATCCTTGAACTCGGGAAGTGCGAGGATCTGTTGGATCGGCCCTCCCAGGGCAGTGTGTGGCCCAACCTCTACAATGACATCCACATTAGGAGTGTCCGAGTCGCCCAGTGCGAAGTCAGTAAAGGCCTTGACAAACTGAACTGGTTGCAGTAAGCTTTCTACCCAGTGCCCCGGACGAGATATTTGTTTGGAATGTGTGAGGCGACCTCCGGTTACCGGCGACGAAAACCGCACGGCTTCGAGTGCGATATTCTCAGTATCTTCCTTTGGAAGACTCTCGAGAGTATATAAAAAGACCTTGGCTATCGGGGCCATATGGTGTGAGTGCCACGCAGTGTCGACTTTCAAGCGGCGTGCAAAGACTCCTTCTTCATTGGCTAATTTCTCCAGTTCGAGTATGGCAGGAACATCGCCAGCGACAGTGATACTAGAAGGACTATTCACACATGCAATCACTGCTTTACCGCCCGAATTCAATCTTTCCAAGTAAGATTGTGTTTCGTCGTGTCCGAGCCCCACGGCGATCATGCCGCCCTTTACGGGCCCTTGGAAGTCCTTGTTTGCTGCCAGTACAGCACGGTGGTAAGAGTAAGCCATAGCTTGCTGGTAACTCATTGCTCCTGCAGCATAGGCCGCTGCCATTTCCCCGCTCGAATGGCTCGTGACGGCTACGGGTATGATACCCCAGGAGCGAAGCAAGCGCACGAGGGACACTTGAACAGCCACACAGATGGGAGTGCTGAGCGATACTTCGTTGATTCGAGAGGATTCGGCGTCGCGAGAAAGTTCTTCTATCATAGACCACTCGGCTCCAAACTCTTTTAGCATTTTCTCGCCTTCTTCGAGTGATGCCTTATATACGGGATAGGCATCCATGAGCTCTCTGCCCATGGCATACCATTGTGCACCCTGACCAGTGAAAACCATACCAATTCGTGGTCTGCCCGAACTGCGAGTTGGCTTGAATTTTGGCGACTGAAGTGTCTGAATGACCTCATCGATGCCGTCGGTGATAGGAACAGGGTGAGCAGCTGTCCAAGGAAACCGTGTTCGCCGCTGCCCAAGTGTATAAGCTAAACTTTCCAGGAATTCTTCTGATTTTGAAGTTGACGGCTTATTGTCACTTAGGAACTCAGTGAGGTTGGAGACCATTTTCTGGCATGCCTGCTCATCCTTCCCGCTCAGGAGGAGAACCTTGGATGGGCCGTTGGGCCTGTTCTGGCCATCATTTTTCCGAACGTCATTGGAATGACTGGTGCTATGATTGTTGAAACTTGAATGCCCATTTAAATGGCCATTGAGGTGCCCGTTTGAGCTACCATTCGCATGTCCGTTTTTGTCTGGGAGACTTGAAGCCCATGACGCTGCATCTTCCAAGATGATGTGTGCATTCGTGCCTCCATAGCCAAAATTGTTGATAGATGCACGTCTAATTGGAGTGTCAGGCCAATTCTTGAGACTTCTCACGAGCTTTAGGTTCCACTCTTCCAGGGTGATCTTTGGGTTGGGACTCTCGAAGTTGATCGAGGGAGGTATCACCCCCCTTTCCATGGCCAATGCCGTTTTCACGATACTTGCAAGCCCGCTGGCTGCTTCAGTATGTCCGATATTTGTTTTTATTGACCCAATGAGAAGTGGCTCTCGGTGGGATTGAAAGACATTTGCAATGGCACGCGCCTCGATGGTATCTCCAGCCTGGGTGCCAGTCCCATGAGCTTCGAAATACTGAGTCCCCCTAGTGTCGAGGCCTGCTTTCGCATAGCAGCCTCTCAGTAAATCTTCCTGGGCTTTTAGACTCGGGGTTGTAATGGTTTCTGTTTTGCCATCCTGATTGAGCATTGATTCGCGAATCACTGCTCTGATCGGATCACCAGCTGCGAGCGCGTCTTTCAGGCGCTTGAGGACCAGAGTGGCTACTCCCTCGCCACGGCCGTAGCCGGAAGCCCGTGAATCGAAAGCAAAAGACTTTCCCTCGCCGGATAGAAATCTATATGAAATCAATTGTCAGTCAATCTGATATCTTGGATGGAAAGGGCATAGTTTGGTACTCACCCGGCAGAACCTAAGGCCTTGAACATGTCTGGGTAGAGCGTCAAGTTGGCGCCTCCCACGATTGCCATGTCAGATTCACCGGCTCGCAAATTTTGGACGGCCTGGTGCGTCGCCACCATCCCTGAGGAGCATGCCGTTTCGATTGTCATGCTCGCCCCACGAAGATCGAAGAAATGAGAGATGCGGTTCGACATCATGGGAACGCCAGTGCCCGTGGCCATCAACCGAGGCAGGTTGTCTGCATCTCGGAGTAAGGCGTCTCTATAGTCATGTACGAATACTCCTGTGTATACCGAGGCATTTGACCCAGCTATTGAATGAAGCGGGATACCGGCTACATGATGGGACGTTAGCGAGTTTGACCATGCTGCGGTCAAGCGAGACTGCTCACCAGCTTCTAAGGCTTCATATACAGACTCGAGCTGCAATCGATATTGCGGATCGACGGACTAGAAGGAGCAGATTTAGATACAGCAAGTGGAGAGAGCAGCATCAAAGGGTACTTACTGCCGCTGTCTCGGCCGAGTAGCTGAAGAATGCCGCATCGAATAGCCCAACATCTTCTTGGAGGAAATGGGCACCTTTGACGTGTGTCTAGTCAAATTTTATATGTATCAGGCTTTTCTTGGGTCTATAGGAATTTCCAAGATCACTCACCGTATTGAGCTTTTCATTATTCGGATGATAGACACCTTCCGGTCTAAATCTCGAAGACGGAAAAGGAGTCCAAGCGCTCCGGGCGTTGATGAGCATGCGCCAGAGATTCTCAGTATTTGTTGCCTCTCCAGCATATTTGGCGCTCATACCAACGATGGCTATTGGTTCATTGGCCCATTCATCTTTGATCCCGTAGCTGGTGCTTCCCATCTTGTCTGGTTGAGATATTGAGAAACAGGTTGAAGCCTAGCGTTCGCTTTGAGTGACCGTATTCTGCGGTCCGAATTGTAAGTTCAAAGCCCCAATTAGAGTGGACATTCAACTACTGCAGAATGAAGAAGCCAGTTACTCCAGTTAAGAGCTTCGAGCCTCATTCAACGTTGTAACCTTGGGACCTATCATGCCAACCGTATGCATTGGGGCTATTTCTCTCTCAATCATCAATGAATGTGGAGAATATCCTATCTACGTCGCCATGACCTCTTGAATTCAATGCCAGGACGGCGAATCTTCCCTTGTGAGGTCGAGGTTCGAAGCCGGAATTACCTCAAGTCCTATGGGGTATTCGCAGACGGACATCGGAGTAATTGTTTAGCTGCATGGCTAGTACGCCCTGGCCATCAAGCGTGGCGAATGTTACCTTGTGATAAGGATCATGGTTCACGCATTGTGTGGTGCTGACAGGCAGGGGTGATGGTAACGTTCACATTATCATATTGCGTAGAAGTCAGGAATAGGTAGCCTATGAACGACGGATCGGGCATTCGTTTATCAACCTAGAGGCCCTCAAGGTTACACGGTCTATATGTCTGCCTGATATGCTGAACATCGAAGTTTTCGCAGGATGTCGAACGGTGTACAATCAATTATGTATTTAGTCCGGCTGAAAAGAGAAAACTCCGATAAATTTCAGATCATCAACTCCGATCAATACGGGCTTATCTCGAACCTGGACTGGATACATCAAGAGTTGTGGAACCTGTCTGATTAGGATTATACCAAATGATAACGCAACATACAGTGCTCTAGTCAGCTATCGTTATTTTGTCCTAAATATACAGACAGCCAAATCGACACGTCTGGAAACCCGCTTTTCAACAACTTCCATATGACTAAAGAATAAAGAGCGACAGCTGTGGTACTCAACTTTGCCACAGACTCTCCAGATTCGCAACTGAAAGAGCACTATCCACTATGGCTGATTCTAAGACGCAAACGGCAATGGCCAGCAAAAACCTTTTGCTGTTCGGACCTGGTGCTATGACACTGGACGAAGCGTACTACAATCGCATTCTTTCATTCATGAAAGAAGGTTCCAAGAGTCAGTGGGCGTTGGATGCCGTTGACGACATTGGAAACTATTGGGAATCAGTGTGTGAGTTGATTCCCAAACTCGAGCAAGTCTCGGGCGTGAGCGATGCCCAGAGGCTAGCGAACTGGATCCGAAAGGGCACCATTCCATCTCAGTCAACCGTCTCGAACCTGCCCAACTCAATTCTAGGGCCTCTTGTCATCATCTCGCAACTGGTTGAATACATCCAGTACATCACTTCATCTTCAAAATCAAGTCAAACCGAGACAAACAAATTCCCCAAGCCTTCCAAAACAAACACAGAGACAGTAGGGTGCTGTCTTGGTGTATTTAGCGCTCTAGTGGTATCATCCAGCTCGTCTTGGCGGCAGTTTCACCACAATGCTTGCGCAGTCCTTCGTACAGTTTTCATTCTAGGAGCATTGTCAGATGTGCAGGACAATGATGATAAGTCTGGCTCTTCCGTCTCCTTGATAGCGTTTTGGAGAGGTGGCCGCTCGCTGTCCGACCTAGAAAAGGCTCTGGAAAAGCATCCCGAGGTAATCCCAAAATACCGAAAACTTCTTCAAAGAAGATTTACTAAACGAACTTGGTTGCAGGCTTATGTTTCCGTTCTTTACGATGAAAACCGAGTAACTGTGACAACATCTACTCGTACGGTATCAGATCTGAAGAGAAGTCTACAGACGATTGGGATCACAACCAACGAAACCGAATTTCACGGACGCTTCCACGCCGGAAAGCTCTACAAAGAGGAACTTGAGAAATTCTTCAACTTTTGCAATAGTTTTCCTGCATTCCAACTCCCAGATGCCTCTTGCTTGGTTGTACCGACTCGCATAAACGCCGATACTACCCTGAGTGAACCAGGTAACCTTCTCGAGGCGGCTTCGCGGGCCTTCTTGGTGGAGCGGTTCAACTGGATCAAGACATTTCGAGCCGTGGTATCTAGTTCGTTGCAAGATAGAAATTCTCGAGTGATTGAATTTGGACCTGAAAAATGCGTTCCTCCTACATTGCTCCGACGGCTGAGCAGTCAAATCAACCACTTCGATTTTGAGCAAAGCATCGCCTGCACTATTAATGGCACTATATCCTCGAGCTTGGACTTCAAATCGACAGATAACGATATTGCTGTGATCGGCATGTCATGTTCTGTCGCCGGAGCCACTGATCTCGAGCAGTTCTGGAAGATTCTCTTGGAAGGCAAATCACAACATAGGAAACTTGTACCAAACGATCGATTTGTTATGGAGACCGTTTTCAGACAACATGAAATGGGGGACGAGAAGAAGCCGTGGTTTGGCAATTTTCTTGACGATCAAGACACGTTCGACTCAAAATTCTTCAAGAAGTCTCCCCGAGAAGCGCTGCATATGGATCCCCAGCAGAGACTTATTTTGCAGGCCGCGTATCGGGCAGTAGCACAATCTGGATATTACAACAAGCCCGAATCGGATAATCGTGTTGGCTGCTATATTGGCCTGGTAGCTAATGATTATGAGAACAACATCGCATGCACTGCTCCAACGGCCTTTTCGGCTACCGGCGCCCTAAGGAGCTACGTATCTGGGAAAGTCAGTCACTTTTTTGGATGGACAGGTCCAGGGATGACGATCGATACTGCCTGTTCGGCATCAACGGTTGCTATTGATCTTGCTTGCCGGGCCATCTTGAGCGGCGACTGTTCTGCAGCGCTGGCTGGGGGGACGAACTTGTACACTACGCCCATGTTCTTCCAAAACCTTGCCGCCGGGTCATTCCTTAGCCCAACTGGACAGTGTAAGCCTTTTGATGCAAACGCTGACGGCTACTGCCGAGGGGAAGCCATTGGTGCCGTGTTTCTCAAGAAACTATCCAGCGCTATCGCTGACGGTGATCAAATCTTGGGCGTCATCTCATCCACGGCCATTAATCAGAACGACAATTCTACACCGATATTCGTACCAAATCCAAAGTCTCTCACAGAAGTCTTCAAGAAAGTTATCTCCAAGTCTGGTCTTGACGCCAAGGATATCTCTGTCGTTGAAGCCCATGGAACAGGCACACCCGTGGGAGATCCGGTTGAGTACGACAGCATCCGTCAGGTGCTTGGGGGTGCCACTCGTGTTGGGCTGGATCCCTTGCAAATAGGCTCAGTCAAGGGTTTGATTGGTCACACGGAGGGAGCTTCCGGTGTTATTGCTCTCATCAAAATCCTTTTGATGATGAACGAAGGTTATATTCCGCCACAGGCTAGCTTCACCACTATCAGCCCTTCCATCAGAGCGTCGGATATGGATAATATGGCGATAGCTCAGGCGCCTGTTCCGTGGAAAGAAACTTTAAAGGCGGCGCTTATCAATAATTATGGTGCTGCCGGATCGAATGCATCAATGGTCATCAAACAGGCACCGAAGCTTGGTCTAGAGCGTGGGGATGGCGACCAGAAAGATGGTGCGTTGTTATCATCGCCCATGGCCCCATTCAAATGTCCATTCTACATCGGTGGCCTTGATGAGCAAGCCATCAGACGGTATGCTGCTGAAGTACGGGAATTTATCAAAAGAAAGGCGATTTCAGGAGACTGTCTAGGCATTGAAAATCTAGCTTTCAATGTAAACAGACAATCGAATTGGTCCCTCCGGCATGCCATGGTCTTCAGCTCCGACTCCATTGAGGGCTTGGATGGAGCTCTGGCCTCTATTGGAACCTTTACTCGACCTTCCGCAAGACCCGTCATCCTCTGCTTTGGTGGTCAGGTTTCCAAGTTTGTCGGCCTAGCCCGGGAAGTGTTTGACAAGGCTGCCGTCTTACGGAAGCATCTCGATCACTGCGATGATGTGTGCAAGTCGATCGACGCAGGAAGTATCTACCCTGGTATATTTGGGCGTGAGCCAATTGACGACCCATCAGTGTTGCAGCCGCTTCTCTTTGCAATGCAATACTCATCTGCCATGAGCTGGATCGAGTGTGGAATCAAGCCAGCAACTCTTGTCGGCCACTCGTTCGGGGAGTTGACGGCGCTTTGTGTTTCTGGTATCCTTAGCCTTGAAGATGCCTTGAAAATTATCTATGGCAGGGCGAAGATTATTAGAGATAGCTGGGGTTCCGAAAAGGGTTCCATGATAGCCGTGGAGGCAGACCTAGACGTCGTTACAAACCTTCTTGCTTTAGCAAACGCCTGCCTGCCTGCCCCTGAAGGCACAGGTAGAGCCACAATCGCATGTTTCAATGGACCAAGGAGCTTTACCCTGGCTGGATCCGTGGTTGCAATAGATGCGATCGAGGAAAACATTTCTTCCAATCGTACCAAAGCTCCGATTTCCAAATACAAGAGATTAGATGTGACCAATGCCTTCCACTCAACGCTTGTGGAGAAACTGAAACCGGAACTGGAATCCTTGGCCCAAAATGTCGTTCTGAATCCGCCACAGATTCGAATGGACACTGCTACTGAGGAGCCTACAACTAATCCAATTTCCGTGAGCTATGTGGTTGAACACATGCGAAGGCCTGTGTACTTCAATCAGGCAGTGCAAAGAATCGCCAAAGAGTATCCAGAGGCAGTCTGGTTAGAGGCTGGCTCCAACTCTACTATTACCACCATGGCAAACAAGGCCCTTGGAATTCCAAAGGGTGCGACCTTCCAGCCAGTGAATGTGACAAGTGCCAATCAAGCCCTACAGAATCTCGTTGACACAACAATGACTCTGTGGAAGGCTGGTTTGCAAGTCACATTCTGGCCACATTCGCGACTTCAAACCTATGAATATAGGCCTATATTCCTTCCATCTTACCAGTTCGACAAACAGCGTTACTGGTTGGATTTCAAACCCCCCCCAAAGCAGGTGATCACGCAAGTTGTTGCTGAGCAGGCCAATGGGCTCAGTACAGAACTCCCACCCGCAGGACTTTATATTTTCTTGGGCTATACAGACGATGCAGAGAACAAATGTCAATTCCGTCTTAATACTGGAGCAACGCCGTACTTAAAAGCTATGTCGGCTCATGTTCTGCTCAAAACCCAAAAGACATGCCCAATCACATATGAGATCGATATCGCCATCCAGGCAATTACAAGTATCCGCCCCGAATTATCCCAAGAAGCGAACTTGCAACCTCAAATCTACAACATTACGAATCAGTCTCCGATTTTAGATTCATCGGGGGCCATCTTCATTTCCTTCGAGCGCCTTAGCCGTGAAGTAAATAGTTGGAGTTTCGCGTTCACCAGCACCCTCAAAGGGTCTCCAGATATCGTACACTTGAGTGGGCAGCTTTGTTTCTTACCCATTGACGATCATCGCTCCTGTCTCGAATTCAGCAGGCTTGAGCGCCTTGTGACTCACAGCCGATGCCTCAAGGTTCTCAGGAGTGATGACGAGGCCGAGGAGGTGATTCAGGGTCAGAGTATCTACAAAGTTCTCTCAGATATTATTGACTATGGGGAGCAATTACGAAGTCTCACTAAATTGGTGGGACGAGTTGATGAATCCGCTGGTAGGATCGTAAGGACTCGTTCCTGTGAGACCTGGTTCGATTTCTCACTGAGTGAGGTCTTCACTCAGGTAGGCAGCATTTGGGCCAATTCCATGGCCCGGGATCGTCACAAGCCGCATGGAACCGTATATGTTTGCAGCAGCATTGAACAGTGGGTGAGATCGCCAAGCGTACTTCGGAAGGTTCGTGATGGCGCCTATCGGGACGGTGTTCAACAAGAGTGGCAAGTTCTTGCACAGCATAAACGCGCCAGTAGCCCAGAAAGTTCTTATATCACAGACATATTTGTCTTTGATGCTCTTTCCGGGTCACTTGAGGAGGCAATCCTTGGAATGCTTTTCACACCACTTGAGCTGTAAGTATTTTTGAACACTCCCGCAAAACTTCCCATTTTCTCAAGGCTGACATTCACGACAGGAACCAATCCACTGAAACCCCGAGCTCTTTTCAGATTGCCGCCACAGTAACAGATAAGTTTGTGCTCCCTCTAGCTACAACTGCGCCGACAATTCACACACCCGCAAGTGGTTTCGAGCCCCCACGGACAACAGTGAAGCCGGCGAAGCGTGCCGTTCGCCAGAAAAAGAACGCCAAAGAAGAAATATGGGTCAAACTACAGCCGGTATTGGCGGACATTTCTGGCCTCGCGCCCGAGGAGATCAACCAGACAGATTCACTTGCCGACATTGGCATTGACTCTCTGATGGGAATGGAGATGGCACGCGAAGTTGAAACAACCTTCAAGTGCACCTTGGAACAATCCCAACTAGTCACTCTTGTTGATATTCCTGGTATACTGATCTTCCTTCAATCAGTTCTGGGTGAAGGAGAGGAAGATGATGTGGGTTTTTCAGACTCGTCAGAAGCAGCATATTCCGAAGCCAGCGTGCCATCGAGCCATGATGATATTGCTTCAATATCCAGTTCAGATCAATTGGAAGCTTGTGGGAAATCAGAGGCGGCACTCCGACTCCCCACTTCTGTTATTCTTGAGGCATTCAAGGAATCCAAATCTCATACAGACCAGTTCCTCAAGGCATATGGCTGCGCAGGATACCTAGATGGCGTATCTCAAAAACAGACTCGGCTATGCCTGGTGCTCACGAGCGAGGCTTTCAAGAAGCTTGGCTGTGATCTTGAGGCAGCCAAGCCGGGAGAAGTCCTACAGCCTGTCCCATTCATTGCCAAACATAAACGTTTCCATGAGTATTTATACGGAATGCTGGAAGAAACGCGCATCATTGATATTGATGGCGACATCATCACTCGGACGGCAATCCCTCTTCCTTCCCAGAGTGCTGAGGCAATTCTCGAAAACTTGATGCGCCATCATGCAGATAATGGGTCTTCACACCAACTGACGTACAACGTTGGCACCCGGATGGCAGACGTCTTGTCTGGTAAAGCCGACGGGCCTCAGCTCATTTTCGGAGACGCGAAGAACCGCGAGCTAGTTGCTAGCTTCTATGGAGAATTGCCTTTCAACCGGTTGTACTTTGAACAGATGGTAGAATTCCTCACTCTGTTGGCGACAAGATTAAAGTTGTCATCACACAGTCAACATCCTCTCAGAATTTTGGAGATGGGAGCTGGAACGGGTGGAACAACAAAAGTCATTGTGCCAGCGCTTGCGAAACTTGGCATACCAGTCGAATATACATTCACCGATCTCTCGCCGTCTCTTGTGGCACAAGCAAAGAGGAAGTTTAAACAATACTCCTTCATGAAGTTCGCCGTCCATGATATCGAGCAGCCTCCTTCTGACCCAGAGTTAATGGGCTCCCAACATTTAGTCATTGCTAGCAATGCTGTTCATGCGACTCACTCACTAAGAGGCTCCGCAGAAAATATACGCAAGTTCTTGAGACCGGACGGATTCGTCATGCTTCTAGAGATGATGGGCACACTTCACTGGGTTGACGTGGTCTGGGGCACCCTTGAAGGGTGGTGGCTGTTTGACGATGGGCGACGGCACGCCATTGTGAATGAACAAAGATGGGAAATGGAGCTCAAGAACGCAGGCTACAAGCATGTCGATTGGACTGATGGCAAGTTCCCGGAAAATCATGTCCAAAGAGTTGTAATTGCCATGGTGGCCGATGCAGAGCAAGACCTTGAAACCTCGTCTCCCAGTGGTGAAAGTCTCCCAACGGCAACCAATAACCACGGTATATCTAGAGACGACATCGAATCCAGAAAGTCAGCTGCTGATAGATATGTTCAAAGCGCAGCAGATGGATTTTTGATCCCGGAATATAATGGGCCGTCTCTCGAATATACAACGACAAAATGCGTGCTCGTAACTGGGGGAACTGGGAGTCTTGGTAGCCACATTATTTCTCACCTGTTAAGTTTACCTACGGTTGACTTCGTATACTGCCTTAATCGACATGCACCACCGATCAAGGATGCTCCGATCCGCAGCCCATTACGTCGACAAATGGACTCATTTGAATCAAAGGGCATTAAATTAAGTGAGGGCCAACTGGCGAAGCTGAAAGTGTTTGAATCAGACTCATCGAAGTCCCAGCTTGGTATGCCTGCAGATGAGTATGATCAACTTCTCAAGAATGTCACTCACCTGGTCCATAATGCCTTCCCAGTCAACGGGATGCGTTCTCTTTCTCAGAATGAACCGCAATTCGCCACGATGCGGAACCTTGTCGATTTGGCGGCCGCGGTCTCTGCACGCCGAAAGACTGGCACAAGAAATGAGTTCAAATTCACCTTCCAGTTCATATCTTCTCTCTCAGCCGTGGGAATGTATCCAATCGTCAACAATGGCGAGATAGCTGTGCCCGAAAAAGAATTAGATATCGACTGTGCGCTTCCGAACGGGTATGGTGGTGGCAAGGTTATATGTGAACGTCTTCTCTTTGAGACTCTTGGCCGATATCCTGACCGCTTCAAAGCCATGACTACACGATTAGGCCAGCTTTCTGGTTCCATTGAAACCGGATACTGGAATCACATGGAGGTTCTGGGCTTCTTATTCAAATCGGCACAAACATTAAAAGCATTCCCTGATGTGAAAGGAGTAATATCATGGCTGGCTCTTGAGGATGCATCGGCTTCTTTAGCAGAGCTTCTTTTACGAGAGGATCCAGAGTGCCACCGAATTTATCACGTTGATAACCCAAGCCGAAGAACCTGGGAAGACATGTTGCCGGTGCTAACCGAGACGCTTGGAGTGCCATCTAGCGGAGTAATCCCTCTCCCCGAGTGGCTAAAAAGAGTTCAGGCCTACCCAGGCGAGAACCCTTGGGATAACCCAGCGGCAAAGGCCATTGACTTCTTTGATCATAAGTTTGAACATATGTCTTGCGGTGGAGTTACCATGTCTACGGATCATGCCAGGGAGCATTCGCCTACTTTGAGAGCAGTTCAGCCGGTGAGTGATGGGCTGGTGAGAAAATACATACAAGGTTGGAAAGACAGTGGATTTTTGAGATAGCATGTCGGCTATGGTATCAGTAATGTATAAGATAGATTGATTGTGTTATCCTTGGTTCAAATGAGACAACTTTCTGTTTGTAGTCATTTTACGGCTAGAACAGCTAAAGAAATGCACTTTCTCTGTATATAATCCCCAGTTTATGGCTCACCAACGACAACAGGAACGTAACATGAAAACAATAAATTGTGTAGTGATGGAAATAAAACTCTTTCTATTGCCTGCAAGTTCGTCCCCGATAAAACTCCCATCGTAATTCTATGTGAAATAGGGATGAAACAGATTTCTCTCTTAACTTTCATTAAGAATATAATATACATTTTGTATGTACATCGTCACATACGACCATACCCATTCGAGAACACGCAATCCCGTCTTGCTCTTGTACGACAGGCCTTTGCCTACTTTTCCGGACTTATAGTCCTCCAGTTCTGGCTACCAATGCCTCCATTAATAGAGGCAATACACATACGTATCCAATCAAACGATATTTACTGAACAAACAGATAGTAGTAAGGGTAGAGCCTACAGCTGAAGCCGAGAAATACAGGTCTTAAGGAAACTTATAGGTGTAAATGGATTGGAAAGAAGTATATGTTTATTTTTCTGGCGAAAGCCTGATAGAGCTCTTTTTATAGCCCTTTTCTAGCTGCCTATTTCAGGCAGGCAGCCCCTATTTCCAGCAATCTAAGGTAACGGTAGCATGTCCCGTTTCACTATGAACCAACTCCTCAAGCGTTACCAGCAGGATAAGTGTTGTCGATCTTGATCGAAACTCTGTTGCTTGTGAGTATAGGCTCTTCAAATACTTTATAGAAAGACTTTGCATTAGGGCCTTCTTTGACCGTAGCAAGAGTGGTCTCCTTCGTCGTATATGAAGCCCATGCCTTAGATATAACACCCCAGGCTTCGACCCAGTCATTCACATTGGTGCCCGGGATAGCGCAGTAGTCAGCTTTAGGAATACAGTACTTCTGGAGAGTATTTTTATAACTATTTGAGCATTAGATATGAAAAGAATAGGCAAGTGTAGTATTGTGGGGTTTCCACATGAAAGTAAAGGAACGGGTGAAGGAGGAAGAAAGTGATCACCCTCCTGACTCGGGAAAACACACATGTTCTGTTTGGACGCTTTGTCATTGTTGATCGCTTTGAGAATTGTCGTCTCAACGGTCTGTAACTTCTTGGCTTTGGCAACCTGAAACGCTTTTGCAGGACCAATGCCAGAGTGCATCATAGTCTGGGAGGATGGTGGGCCGAAAGCTTTGATAGCAGCAACAGCGTGCTTGGCAAAGTCCTGCGGGATTCCGCGAGTGATAAGGACTTCATCTCTGATAAATGGTTTGTCCACTGAAGTAGGGAATGGAAGAGCATTGATAGTCGTGATAGCCAGCAGAATGGCAGAGCTAATTAACTGAAAAATGATCATCTTGTAAAGAGGTGAAAGAGGTGTGGTTGCAAAGTAAAAGGTTAAAAAGTATATTATGAAAGACGCGACTAAACTGTTTTCGTTTTGTTTATAAGACTTCTCAATCATCAGGTCTAGAAATTGGTCTTTATATAATAAAAAAGAAAGTAATCAGGAAAATGTCCACAGTATAAACATGTAGCAAGCCTTCACACAAACGATTAGAAGGCAGAGCTCATAGCGGTTAGAATGTCCAATACTGAGTCATATCTTGCATAGATCCGTATGATTAATTCTAAATAGATTTGCATGTTTCATGGAGGGCGTGGTTATCGTGGCGCCTTTTGCAGAATTCCCTACACGCGCCGGAGGCTATGGCACTTCCGGGTATATTGTTGCACGGTATAGCGGACCCCTTGAGCAATCACTCACCATGATTGGGCCAATAAATTGTTTCAGTTACAATTTCTATATTTACGGCAATCATGGAGCCCATTAGAACATTACGTGCCTGGTTGGTCTGTTACATTGGTTGTTGGTTGTTGGTTGCATAATGGAACCCTAGACCGCAGCAAGGTACAGAAATAGCGCATTTCGCGTCAGCCTGAGCTTTGGCCTTGCCCTACATTGGGTTGATATTACTAGAAATTTAAAATCAAGGTATCAATTTGTCTCTAAGAATAGGTAGAAAGCCTAAGAATCTATGCCCGTCGTCGTTCGCCATCCCCTACATCTGCCTGCTACCTGATTGCAATGGGACCCGCTTTCCATGGACGTTTGCCTTACCGTCAGTGTCAGTCTTACTCAGACCCGCACAATTGCCTTGCATAACAGAACCGTGGCAATGCGTCACCATCACGTGATACATGGTCACGGCTTGTCAACGACTTTGTTGGTTGCTATCTTCGTACCTTTGTAATCTGTACAAGGCTCACCTCAACATCCAATACCAGTGGAACATAGCCCAAAGCGCATAACGAACAAAAAATCGATTCTTTACTTTCTTTGTCACTTTCCTTGTATATCGTTCCCATCTCGACAATACTCCGGAAGTCTTCTCTCCCAAAGCCCCTTGGCTCGTTCACTCCTGAATATGCCTACAGGTAAAGAATATCCTCTAAGCCGCCAGTTGTCTACGAGATGGTAAAATTGACGATTGAAGAATCTCAACTGCGCACTTTATCTGCCAGGCTTCTCACAGCCTGCAAGCAAGGCTCCGTATCTACTGTTCGGTCCATCATACCTACTCTTTACCCAGCTACTTCATCTTCCGCTGCAACTGCTGCTGCGATTGCAACCTCGTCAATTGTTCCACCTCTAACCATCCCTCTCGCAACGGCAGCTTCCCACGGCCAAGCCACTGTTCTCAAGTATCTTCTCACTTCGCCCCCGTGCTCCACCTCACGAACCCCCTGGAGCCCCGATTTCTCAACTCCCATCTCGTCTCTCCCTGATGAATGGAAAGAAGCTCAATACTCATGTCTTGTCCCTCTATATGCCGTGAAGTCCAAATCCCCAAGCGTGGTGCAAGCATTGCTGGATGCAGGCATGCACGTTGACGAAGATATAGAGAAGATGGGCCCGCCACTGAGTATCGCCATTCGAACGCAGAGTTCAGAGATGGTCAATTTTTTACTGGAGAAGGGGGCAGATGTGAATGGAGTGGAATGGATACCACCAGTGAGGTTTTTGGCCAGTGCCGCAAAACTGCCATCCCTCGACGTCTTGGCTGCACTGTTGGACCATGGGGCAACCCTGCCAGGATCCCACGCTCTGAGGACAGCAGCTGGAGCGGGCAACATTGGTGCGGTAGAGATGCTACTAGAGAGGGGAGCGGATATAGATGAGGTTCATGAATGGGAAATCTATGGTGATGAAATGGATATTATTGGAACAGCCTTGCACGAGGCAGTGGAAAACGACCAGGCTGAAATGGTTAAATTTCTACTGAAGAGGGACGCAAAAAGAGATGTGAAAAATGGCAGGGGCGAGACGGCAATGGATGTTGCGGAAAAGGATAACAAGTTAGAAATTCTCAAGATTCTAGATGGGAACATCGCTTAAAGTACTACTTCTCTATGCTTTGGGTCAGCCGAGGACTTGATTCCATCACAAGATTTCTTCCAGACTTTGTCTTCACCACTGCCGTGTCCTCAACCTCAGACAGAGAAGAGGTTCGAATTGATTCGGAAGTCGCTAAAACAGGGAATTGAACAGAGTTTATGCCTCCTCCTGTGCTGCCATTTTCCTTTCAAGAGGCCCTGTCAGACGCCGAAATTCCAATGTAAATCTTGCCTCGCTAGGAATCAATGCCATTTAGTTTTTCCAAATCTTCCAACTTCTCCTATTCCACGATTCGGGTCCGTAAGATGGATTGTTCTCCCCCTTTTTGTAATGCTCCTAAACCCAAGGCGGCTCTTTCGGGTGCCGGCTCGGTCTCTTACACTCCAGCGACCATCTGCACCCTGTCCGACGGCCACCACCACGCTAGCACCCCTATAACCAGCAATGCGGTTACCGATTGTTGACAAATAATTTTGTGGAAGCAATCTCTCTCATATACATAAAGATGGGCTTTGACGTGATGATTTACTTGTCGCACGTTCAAGCAGGGAGTGGGAGTTTGGGGCTCGCGGAACCTACGGCATGGTAGAGGATAGAGGCATTTGATTAGAATCACTACTGTTTGAGCTGGATGACGGAGCGGGAGACGGTGCAACACGCGCGCATAAGGGGCTTGAGGTGTAAACTGAGCTGAGCATGTGGCAATTCTTAACTTATTCTTTACAAGCGACGCGTGGCACGGATAAAAGATAGGTAATCACTTGGTAACTTCCACAGCAATGGCTTAAGATCCTGCAGATATTGACAACTAACTTGATACGTCAATAGAAAGTCTAACATTATGTCTCGACTTATTAGGACTGCATGAATATGCCGTCCAGTTTTTTCCCTTCCCCTTTTCTTTTGAATCATAGTTCGTGTGAAATAGCTTAGTTTCACCTAAGACGTTACTGCTCTCTCACAGATGCTGCCAAGTTTAGTCGGCTCGGGTAGCTAATAAACGAAGGAGCTGATAACTGAAGTAGCTAGATTCCGTAGGTAGAAAATTAATTTTCTTTCCCCGATCATCTTACTTTCCTTTGAACATTTCTAGTTTGAAAGACGAGTCTTTCCTTACCAATAACACCTCAACAGCTATAGCTCTAAGCCGAAAAATAAAGTGGTACATCCAGTAAAATTAATTTAACATATCTAGACCCTGTTTCTCGCCAGCTCATAGATAATAATTCATTTTAAAGCTATCAAAAAAGGTGCTTCTGCTTTATATCTATAGACTGAAGGTGTATGTATTACGCTTTATAAAGTTGACACAAATCTAGTTTCTTCCATAATCTTAAAGCTCGGCTGGATATCGCCACTGAGGACAGGTCGATCTTGATTCGGAGAAGGTATTATAAGAGTGCACTGTTCCATGAATTATACATCCTCACTTGTAGCTGCTAGGTCTTCTTCGAGGGTGCTTTCTTTATCTAAGCTCCTAGTAGCAACCTACAAGCGCTCTAGATTCTGCTGGCAGGGGTGTGTCGGATGGTTGGAAATGCTCCATCCGGGTGGGTGGTACGGGATGGGTTGGGACGACCGCCAACAAAACGACTTGACGGTAAAGCGGTTGATGGTTTTGGATGGTTTCGCCAGACGGGAAGGAAAATTGCCTTCTAGCTGTCCGCCGGGAGAAAAAAATGCGTAGAATTGCCACCAATTGCCGTGTGCAATGGTCCGAATTACGTGTATGAACGATCTTGATTGAAACTCAATAATCTGTCGGCAGCTAGCTACCTAGGTTATCAATTCTCTGCTTATCGCTAATCGGTTTACCGTCAGCTGCATTCCCTGCAGCAGATTCAAACAAGTGAATGAGAAAGTAGCTTGAAGTCTGATGTGAAGGCGAGGGGTGTGATTGAGAGAGAAAGTTTTTTCACCATTTTATGGTGGAGCCCTATGTAGGGTATATAGCCCTCTCGATAGCTTCATCCTTCACATACGACCATACCCATTCGAGAACACGCGATCCCGTCCGCTCTCGCCTAGTTAAACGGATGAGGGGCGGATTAGTAGTTGGGTCGGTGACGACCAGCGAATACCTGCTGTTGTATGTTTTTTTGCTCTTCTTTTATTTGTTTTCGGTGCTCACAAATAGGAGTTTGATGACACTGCTAGGCATTGAAAAATCCAAGTAGATACTGGTGATACACAAATCAAGAACATGGACCGATTTCAAGGGAGGTGTAATTAGCAAGCATAAGCGCTGCAGGCATAGAAACCTCCAGGACAAGGGAAGAAACTCCGGAGTCCGGGTGAGTGTTGACCTACTATCTCAAGAAAACTCCGCCAATTGAGCACAGCCGCTATGATCCAGTGGGGGGGGTGGGGTTTTACCAGCGATTGGATAAGTGAGTAATACAAAACTGTACCCAGCTTCATGACTTGTTGACACAGCCTCTTTCTGCTATCAACTTTCATTGCCTACCTACCCTACGCTTCAATCAAAAAGTTGGATTACTACGAGATGGCCGAGACGCAAGGCGAATCCGGGAGTTCTCCGCTCGAAGTGGCCATCATAGGTGGTGGAATGACGGGTTTAGCGCTTGCAGTTGGCCTGCTCAAGCGGGACGTAAACTTCACTCTCTATGAACGCGCCAACAACTTTGGTGAGCTTGGTGTTGGCATTCATTTTACTCCCAACGCCGAGCGTGCAATGGCGGCCCTCGACCCCCGGGTTTTACAAAGCTACGTGGAAATAGCAACTCATGCTGAGGGCGGCTTCTTAACTTTCGTTGACGGATTTCACGAGGAGAAAGGGGCGGACCCCGTGACATCCACGGAAGAGACAATGTTTCAGCTTCACGTTGGGGACGGTTACAAAGCCTGTCGTCGGTGTGATTTCGTTGATCAGCTTGTCAAACATATCTCGCCGGAAAAGGTTCGTTATCAGAAATGGTTACAGTCTATCGATGTTGAAGAGGGCAGATCTATTTTGACATTCAGGGACGGTTCCAAAGCTCAGGCAGATATTGGTAAGTTTATCCCTACAAGTGCATAGATCAGATGCTACAGTTAGCAAATTATCTTAGCTTACCTTGTTTGAAGTGGTCGGATGCGATGGGATTCGATCTAAAGTCCGTGAAGCAATGTTTGGCTCTGCCAATTCCAGTCCCAAAGCACAATACTCACATCAGCTTGGATTTCGCGGTCTGGTCCCCATGGATAAAGCCTTAGCTGCCGTAGGCCCCAGCAAGACGTCAAACGCGCTTGGCCATCTCGGACCGGGAGGGTTTGTCTTGACCATTCCGCTCTCTGGAGTGAACGCGATGCATGTCGAGGCATTTGTAATGGATTCACAGCCCTGGCCGGAGATCAAAACGGAAAACGATACTCAGAGATACGTCTTACCAGCGACAAGAGACGAAGTAGTTGCTGCCTTCAAGGATTTTGGTCCTACAGTTCAAACATATGTGTCATTACTCCCCGAAAAACTGGATAAATGGGCGGTTTTCGACATGCTTGATGCCCCAGCACCATCATTCTCCAAGGGTCGGATGTGCCTCGCCGGGGACGCGGCACATGCATCTACACCAAATCAGGGAGCCGGTGCCGGTGCTGGAATGGAAGATGCCCTGGTACTTGCAGAGGTACTGGCAGCTGTGGCAAATCTGCCGCACGTGGATGAGGGTGCCGTTAACGCGGCTTTAGGGGTATACAGTGAGATGCGTCACGAACGATGTCAGTGGCTTGTGGCTAGCAGCAGGAGGGTGGCAGAGCTCTTCACATGGAAGGATCCGCAATATGGTCACAACAAAGACAAGATCAGGTGTGAAATAGAAGAACGGAGCCATGTTTTATGGGATTATGATACAGACGGTATGGTCAAGGAGACAATAGCCAAGTTTGAAACCAAACTTAAACGTATGTAGAACGTCACAGTCGCAGTCTAATACATTTACCTTTGGCCACCATCTCGGCACGACGGCACTGACTTCCCTAGGCGATCAATTGCGTGAGGAATAGCTCACTCTGATATCCAGGGTGTGCGAGGGGATGGAAGCCGGCCGGATACATTGGCCGACCCTGTAAGCCACCATGCTAGATGCAGATTTCGTTCCTCTCGTAAATGCAATGGCACCATGTGCGAAGCGATTATGCCCGAAGACCCTGCTAACTGTCATAATAGCAACATGGGTCACTAGGTTGCAGCCACAAGCATGTGGGCACATGGGTCGTGCTAGGCTTCGCCGTAATCTGTCCAAGTATCTCCCATGTCGTACCAATAGCAGCATGGATACTCGCGCTTGGCCTGTGACGCGGAGAGAGTGGCGGAGGAGAAGAAAGAACAGGATCTAAATTGCAAGACCTTTGGTCCCTGCCACATGAATGATCTACATTTTAGCGGCAAAGAATATAAAACGCCTCCTAGGCAGTGAATTCACTCGAAGAGCGGTACTGGTATGGATATCCAACCGCATTGTTCATCTCACCAGGACCAGCGCGATTTCTGTTTTCTGTTCTGAGTTGGCTATGTTGCCGAAAAGGGGGGACGATCAGACATTATCTTTCAGATTTTAGTTACCCTGTAGTAATTACATATTTTCTTTCGTAGTAATTGACTTGGTCCTTTGCTATGAGTACTTCTCGGGCTGCTAGCCAAGCTCAGCCCGCCCGATACGTTTAACGTCACATGCATGGAACTTTTTGCCCTGTAAAGATACGAAAAGTACGGTTTGAGAAATCCATGCATGCGGCTATCGCCTGCTTATCCTCTCGGCACGCTGTCTAATAAAATTCCTTAAAGCGGCAGATGCTTCTCAAAACAGTATTGGCAAGCCGAGTATAAGATATACCGATCACACCTTGTGTAAATCACGTATAATCCCCACCTCAATCTCAAAGAAGCCCTCCACCAGTTCTTCGCAGGGGAAATATGGTCGAAGCAAGCAGCACTCGGCAACAGCCGGGGCTTGCCTGCGAGGAATGCCGTAAGCGAAAGGCAAGATGCGATAGGGGACGACCTCAATGCGGGGCCTGCGCTGATGCAGGTAGAGACTGTGTCATTGTAGACAAGAGGTCTCAGCGAGGCCCAAAGAAGGGCCAGCTGAAGGACTTGCGTTCAAGAATTGGTGAGTGTGAACTCTCTGATACAACCACAAAGACAGCCAGGACCCAGAATTTCATTGCAAATTCAAGCAAGCATACACCTATTCTCACCTTACTCAAGGCCACTCCCATTGATTTGTTTACAATAGCGGCACTAGAGCAGCGATTGATCGACCAAACCAACATCCTTGAACCCGATATTCTTCAATTGGGTTATTCTGAAGTCACTCCAGAACAGGAAACGCCAGAGGAATCAGGCTCGAATGGGAGTAGCGAGATGGGAATCGAGGCCGACCCTTTCCAAATCCTAGACTTCACTTCTGCGAGTGGATTACCAGACTTATCCGAATTCGCAACCTTATCTAGTTGTTTTGGTAAAGCATGGTCGTGTGAACTTGGGTCCGAAGCCTCGCGCAACATCACGCCGAATATCTCGTTGACCCCAGTGGCACCGATCGAGCCAATCCAAGTGACCTCGAGACTGGTCCCTGGGCTTAGTGATGAAGGCTTGGGTATATCAGACCTTCTGAGAGCCGAGTTGTAAGTCAGCTTCAGTCACAGGCTGGCGGGGTAGCCGAGACTAATGTATGGGATGAAAACCCGGTTAGAGATCTATTGTACTTCGAGAGAGTGCATCCAATTGTACCCATGATACACAAACGACGGTACTTCACATGGGCAGCCGACGGCAGCCTCTCTCCTGCAAGATACTGCTTACAATTAGCAATGAGAACTATGGCTGCGGCCATGTCCTCCCAGTTTCGTGGGCTAGGAGATGCTTTATGTGCCAAAACCCGCCGAATGCTCGAGATGCAGGATTCTCATGGTGAAGTTGGTCTACCCTGGGCGACGAGCATGAGAAGTCAACGGCATAAGATAGAGCATGAGCGCATACAGGCATGGCTCTTACTTGCCCACTACGAGTTCCTGCGAAAACCTGAACAACAGGCTCTTCTCACGGCTGGACGAGCTTTTCGACTGCTACAGATGTCCCGCCTATTTGATGTTGATTCTCAAGATATGGACAGCCAGACAGTATCGGATGAGGGCTGGATAGAAACTGAAGAGAAGAGAAGAACGATCTGGATCGCCTTCATATTGGATCGACTCTCTTGCATGCTCAAGGATCGGCCATGGATGCTCCACGAAGAAACAGTAGGTCACATACCAGCGATACAATTCCCGGCGGGAGATAAGAATAGATAATTATCTTGACTCTCAACGCTAGCTAACACACCTTTCAAATTTAGATTTGTGCCCGACTTCCTATGCCTGAGGAAGAATTTCAAGACGGGTGTCAGGTCAGTCAAATGGGATTTCTCTCCGAGTTAGGGAGAAATAATGATGAAAGCATGATCCTCCATCCCTTTGCGGAGTGGGTTGTTCTGGCCAACTTTTTCGGCCGATGCATCACACATCGAAGACTCGCTCAGGCTGTCCCTCTGTCTGGCTCAGAACTGGAATCCAAAGACTTTTGGAAACGGCATGACTGGCTTGCGGCCGCGACTAGATCACGAACTCATGCTTACACTATGGCTCTTGAAGCGAGAACCACGCCGCGAAAGTGTGACCCAATGTCATGTTATAATAAAATCCTGGCCTACAGTGCATCTGTATGCCTCAGCCATACTGCTGAGTCAAATGCGTGGCAGACCCTCGATGGACAATTGAGGACCATGAGACATAGGCAGGTCGCTTATGAGGCAGCCAGTGAAATCGTATCCCTTATCAAATGCGCACCCCGGATGTTCTTTTTCAAGGTAAGAGTTTTTTCTAACCATTGCCCCTTGTCATGGATGCTTCATGGGACTGTCCATATTTCCTCTAAGGCTGAAAACCAGATACCTTTCGTAATTTAACCATTACTTGTCATAGATGCATCCCTTCCTGCCAAATGCAATATCCTTGGTCGCCAGCTTCCTCAATGCATCGAAGACGGACCCCGGAGCACCTGACGAAGGTAGGCCAGAAGGAGTAAGTTCATTACTTTGTGCTCTAAGGCACATGGGTGAGTTCAATGATCTGGCAAGAGAGCTACGGGATAAGTTAGAAGCCGATGTTGTACAAGGCACCCCGAATACCATGGAATTAACGAGGCAATGGGCTACCTAGACATACAAACACAATTAAGAATGTCCTGGGAACAAATCCATGGACTATGTCCCATAGAGCTGCCAACATAGAATACGCAAACCTATAAATTACCAATGATTCTACCTATCCGTGTAGATAGAAACCATCTAGCCGTTGCTACTGTGAAGAATTTGGCCGTTTAGCTAACAAACAACATATGTCAGGTCACATTCATGAAAGATAAAGGCACCAAATAGACCCCCATACCTATTATGGTCGAGAGGAAGTACCTCCCTACCTGCCGATCCTGCCTAGTTTGAGGAGAAAGCTTAGATTTCTCGCTATGTACCTGTAGGTATGCTGCCAGAATGGTATCCACACGCTCCATAACATCGGCAACCTCCAAGCCAAGCGTGAAGGAGGCACGGGGTGACGGAAGTATTCGCATTAGCAGGGGTGCTCGCCTTGCATCAACGCATATCACCTGCCGCTTTTACTCGAGTGGCACAGGCCCGACTCGGCCAAGTACTTATACGGAGTACCCTATCCGGATTTGGAGATACAGATTTATTGAATTGCGTGACAGACCACGTTTGGTACGTTGCAGTGGCTCATGAGTCTTGCAGATTGCTCGCATTATCACGCTTCAGCTCGTGAATAAAGTTCGCTGGCTGCAGCTGTAGTGTATTCAACAGGGTGGGCAATTGGACAAGCGATAACCGGCGGGATATCATAATGGAACGTTCCAAAGTCTCACCTCTCAAACGACCCCCACTCCACGGTTGAAAGGGGGTATGAAGCCAGAGGCCTCCCTATATTCCCACTCGTAATTGATCATGGCTAGTCATCTGATAGCTTACCTCTATACTTGATGTCAAGACCAATTACTGTATGGTAGGCACAAGCCACCGGCACTCCATAGCCGTGTAGGCTGGATAAGGACGGCGTTGCTTCCCGGGGTACATTTCGGGTACAGGGCAGGGCGCGGCACGGCTCGTATATCAACCGATAATAGCGCTCGGCCCATTGCAAGGAGCAAGCCCGGGTATGTGCTTGGATGCTTGGCGAAAGTGCCTATTGGCAAGCAAGAACATGGTTCCCTGCCCGCCCAGTAATCAGTACACAGAGTGAGAAACCGTAATCACTAACATCTACTTGATTTGCTAGTTTATCCCTCGATCGAAAATGCTGTCCGTTCTTACACTTAATTCAAGAGTCAAGCGTTGGAGGCATCATTTCAGTGCATAATGATGAAGTACGGGCAAAGAGAGAGATTCAATGAATGGGTTCCATTTCCAGGTCGAATACTAATGAGCCGGGAGTCTAGTTTCAACCGCTCGATGATCCTTCCCGAACTCGTATGCCATCCATAAGGATTGCTTTCAAAGTTCCAGAACCATCTACTCCTTCCAATCTATCTTCGGAACTATCTACCGCAGCAATATTCTTCCTTTTTGATTCAACGAATGGCCTGATCGTTATCAGGTTGCTCTCTTTTTATCCTTTCAGGAAAAAGCCAATGCAGTCGGCTGCAGCTGATGCAACCTCCAATTAAGAGAAGATCTACAATAGTTACATCCGACTCAATCAACCACGTGGAGATTCACCAGTGGAGAATCATACATTGAATACGAATTACTTAAAAGAAATTAAACAACATCTGAAATACTTTAAAATTTCGTCTGGAGTTTTGGGACTGGTAAGCTTAATTGTAAGCTTGTCAAAACAATCATCGTCACATTCTCCTTACAACGTGGACATTGATGAACTTTTGAATGCCTGAGTTCCCATACAAAAAAATCCAGTACCGGAATGGAAATTGTCTTCTGTAGTTGCACACAGTTCTTCTACTAGTGAGCTTGGAGGGACAAAGATAACGCGTTTCTCCCATTAAGCTTCTCGACATCTTATATATACATGTATAAATAATACCTGGCTTGACCATTTCATACTACATGTATGCTTTAAAATTCAAGAAACCGTGCCATTGACTAAACTAAGTACTTCAAGATCTGTCCCTTCAAATTTCTGGCTGCTGAAAAATCGCTGAGTCTCAGTTCCAGGGGAGATGGAATGTCTCCCTTCGATAATTGGAATGCTATGTAATACGGCATTAGAGGCCCTCCATGACACGCCATTCATGATCTGGATCTGATGTAACATATAGCTTAGATGTTTGGTAAACCTTCATCACTGCAGTAACAACTGCATTGACATGTGCTGTCTTTATAGGTACTCGGTGATCTCCATCCCACTCAACCACTATGGTGCTGGTCGTTGAGCAGCAACGCTTTCGCATCTCTTGATGCAGGCGGAGACCTGCGTCCCTCAAGCCATGGACATGTACAGTTGGAAGTTCTAGTAGTGCTTCCTTTACCTCTTCTTCCCGGCCGAAGTAGGCTTGGGTATGGTGGTCCAGTGACACAAGTGGTCCTTGACCTGCTAGGAGTATGGCGAACCGAAAGCAACTAAAGTGCAACCCTCCCAAAGACTTCGCACGTTCCTGTTCTCTTAACAACACACTGGCGGCAATTTTAGCACCCTGGCTGAATCCGAGCAGACCAACCCACTCTCCAGTTGCACCTGAGAGATCATCGACCCTCATCGCATCCATGATGGAAGAATCAATGCTATCCACAACTTCCAGTGCATCGTGTTCGTGTGCTGGCATGACCACACTATGCATACGATGATAGGGTGTGCCAAAAGGATTGCTTTCATTGGTGTCGACAGGTTGGGCCTTCACCCAGCTTCGAAAGGGGCCCCATTCGGAGTAAACTGTTGTGACGTCAGGGCCGGGTTTGCTAATGTAGGGAGCATCGCAAAAAACGAGACGGAATGACTTCTCGAGGTGGTGCTTGATGACGCGGCACTGGTTGCTGAAGATGCGAGCGTTGGTGCCGCCTCCATGTAGACAGAGAATTCTCGGGAGGGAAAGATCTGTATTGACAGGAGCGATATCTTCCAGGAGGGCAACCATGCTGGGCTGTTTGCGTTCTCGGCTAGGAACACACCAGGTGATCTTGCTTGCCTTTCGAATAGTTGAGTTCACGAAGCGACTGGAAGGATTGTATCCCAGGCTCGCGCCAATGTTTAGACGAATAAGGAACCTCAAGTGTGGCGATACGAAATTTCACCCCTAGTCATCTTTGAGTCGTTATCATCAAAGTCGTCGTTTCCAATTCTCCGACAAGACTTATCTTTGACCATATGTCTGAAGATGTACATGGTATGCTGATGTTCTTCGTCATCGCCACTCGGACTTACCCAGCAACATCCATGCCCCCATGCTACGGACTCCGGAGTTTCTTTGTTTGTCTGCGGAGTTCCTCTCGGCACGACTTTGCCGGTGCTGTCGCATTGGTCGCTTTCCGGGACGGGCTTTCCGTTGCTTACCCCCCTCCTGACTTGATCCTCCTAAACTACACACATCTTTCAAGGCGGGTCTCCAAACTGAGGTCGTATTCAAACTTGATGGTGCGGTTTGAGCTACCAGTCAAATCATACAGGCTTATCGGATTTCCCATCTAGCTTTATGCAAACAACTAAATCGTTCGACCATTGATATTGGTGTAATCCATGTATCAGTGGTGCCATATTCGCCTTCAAAGTTCAATATTTCTGGCTTTCACATGATGCTAGAGGGCACAAGGGAACGCGCTGATCTTGTTTCTTCCTCGAGTAATCCCAATATTGCCTCTTAACATGAGATCACCATTTTTGTACTTTGTTGCACCGACAGGCCCGCATCGTAGACTAATACCTCTAGTGTCTGGCATTGAGCGCAGCTCATGATAGTGGTAACAAACCTCCAGAGGCTCGCTATAATCCAAACCCAAGACTCCTCTCTTAGTAGCCAGTTAGATATTATGTGAAATGAATGATTTGTATTTAAATGAAGTTTTCTAGTGAAAATTACCCTTTCAGAAAGCTATGAGATATTTGATCAACCCAGTTCCACTCTGCCCAAGCCAGCATCACGAAAAGCTCCAACTCTGACCTCCTCTTGACAGCTCATCCTCCAATTTGTGCCATCACTCGATGCTTGGGCTCCCTGATTCCCTACTCTGAACGGTTGGTCTCTTCTTCGGTCTTCTCTGCTGCCTGAACTTGCTGCATCTGCATGCGCTTCATCATCTCAGCCGCCTCAAAGGCATATTTGCACTTCATCCTCAGCGCCCCGCCATAACGATGCATCACCCAAGGGAATGGCATGCAAGCCAGCGTCAAAAAGGCCGGTATGGAGCTTGCCCACTGATTCCCTAGATTTTGATACATCTGGGGCGTGAAAAGAGGGAACACAGCACCGACGACGGCGCGAAAGATAGCGGCAGCTGCCAAGACGGACGCTGCGTAGATGGTGTAAGCATCGATGAGATAGTTGACAATTGGCAGGATAACAAGGACACAACCGAAGCCAAATGGCGCGGATAAAATAATACCTACGGACCAATGAATCCAAGTATAGTTGGTCCAGGCAAAGAGGAACATTCCGACCGGTAGAGCGACGGCGCCAGCCATTGCTGGTGGCAAGCGTGACTCCGGGGTGGATTTTTTAGCCAGGAGAAGCTTCATAAATCTGCCATTGTTGTCGTAGATTGCACAGATCAAACCGATGACGATTCCGACGGCAATGCCCAAGAAAGAAAGCCCGACAATGCCCTCGCCCCAGCCACGATCTTTGCCGTAGACGATGGGCATGGCAGCCATGAACATGTACACGGTACCATAGATGATGGCCATGTAGACCGAGGCCACGAGAACAATGGGCTCTTTGAAGAGCAATACCCACGGTCGCACCAGTGCCCTCTGGAAAACTTCAGATGGCTTCTTCTTGCCCTGGTCTTTGTCGAGAACGCTGATGTAGACCTTGCCGTCTGCTTTCGACAATTTACGGGCCTTTCTGAGGAGGAGAACCGGACCGTATGTTTCAGGGACGAACACGGTTCCAAGAATGCCGACAACGCCAATGAACGCACAGCAGACCCCTTGAACCCACCTCCATCCAGCGCCTTCAGAGATAAAGCCTCCGATGATTGGGCCAAGAATGGGGCCGAGAAAGGGAGCAACACAATACAGTGTCATGGCGAGGCCTCTCTGGGCAGGGGGGAAGATGTCGGCAATAGCGCCGCCAGAATTGACCAGAGGTGAGCCTCCAAATGTGCCACCAAAGAATCGCAGTATGAGAAGTGTCTGGATGTTTTTGCTTCCAGCAGAGCCTCCAATGAATCCCACCATGGCAATGTGGGATACTACCCAAAGAATCTGTCGTCCGTAAAGCTCTGACCTGCATGATATCGCTCGTGATTAGCTAAACGCAAATACCGGAATATTTTCGATCTGGAGAACTCACTAGAAAATACAAATAGATCGTTAGCTCGTTTATACGTAAGAGAGTAGGAGATCGTGGCAATCTGTGCTTACCAAGGGACCCCATAGTGCAGGTCCAATTGCAAAACCAAGCACGTAGAGAGTAACGCCGATAATGAATACCACATTGCTAATGTTGAACTCTTCAATGATCTCCCGGGAAGAGACAGAGTACGCCGAGGAGGTATATGTGACCGCAAAAACGGACAGAGTGACAATAGTTGTAATGAACCACTTCCTGAATTGACCCCAATTCATGGGATTTTCCGGGTCATCTTTGACGAATTCTACCACAAAGGGATCTTCTTCTGTCCCTTGCCCATCAAAGACATGTGATTTCTCGACATCGGTGGCAGTGGGTGCCTTGTCGCTGTCGGTTGGGGAAGACATATTGGTGCAGAGAACTTGACAAACCACCAAGAACGTGCTAGAAAAGCGAGACTGAGGCTGTACTTAGTTATTCAAGAAGTTCTAGGAGACCAAAGAAATAAATATTTAACAAACATTCGACACGAATGACGAAGGCTCGGAGCTTCCCAGCACGAAGATGCAGACACAGGGCGGAAGCGCATCTCATTGGCTCGTGCCGCGGGCTTTACATTTGTCAGCCCCGAATCAATTTGCCAGTTCAGCCAATTAAATACCGGTCCGCTGTGGGTCGCATTTGAGAGAGCGGATAGCATGATCATTGGCTGATTTCCCCCTTCACCACAACATCATCACCATCTCTCTCTCCTCATTGTTTTGGCGGCCCGTGTCGGCCAAGAGCCTGGAGAAAGAACTACCCTGAATCTGATAAAATGGACTCTCGGCCTGATGAGCGACGGCATGAACTGAGCAAACCATTCCACAGGCAGCGCTTAAAAGTCACGAGCGCCTGTCAAGCTTGTCGACTAAGGAAGATCAAGTGTGATGGAGGGCGGCCAGGTGGGTATCACCTCCATCTCCGACCTCATCCGTGCATGAGATTTTTGCTGATACGACATGTTTGCACCTAAAGTATGTAACAGATGCCAGGTCAGAGGGAAAACCTGCGCTTACCGCCAGGGTTCCGCCCCCCTCGAGCAACAAGCTCAACATCCGCCGCCAGTCAACCAGGAATCTGCTCCGCCAAAACACCATCACAAGCCCATACTGCCTACACTCGTATTTCCCTCTCCTTCAGCTGTGGATGATCACTCTTCTGAACCTTCTTCGATTTCAGCAACGCCAATCGCCACTCCAGCGACAAGCCAAGACTCTGAACCGGAGTCGGATCAGAACCGAGTATGTTATGCCGCCCATGGCCGCTTTGCAGGCGAGGTCGCCGCTGCAATTGATGTCAGAGCCGGCGTGGTTCCAGCGACTACTTCAAATCTTGTTCCTTTCGTGGATGCGCCTCTGTTTGGCGAAATAGACCTTCTAAATCCGCAGCTTGGCTTTGGCTACACACTACCGCCTCGCGAGTATGCAGACAAACTAATTGATATATACTGGCAATACATCGACCCAGTGGAGCCAGTTCTGGATCGTGAACGCTTCTCACGGGATTATGAGGCCGTTTATGTGGGCTCGGGAGCACTGCCTCATGCAGACCGTGACACCTGGCTGTGCATTTTCAACATTGTCATCGCTTTAGCCGTTCAGCGACAAGAATCTATTCCTTTGGAGAAGCGAGACGCGGAGGCTAGCCATTACTTCCAGCGCGCGTGGGCTCTTCTCCGTCCAGAGGCCATTCTTTGGAAGCCAGGATCTATTGAGCTGGTGCAGAGTCTAATGCTCATGAACCGGTATCTGCACTGCACAAATAACCAACAAAAAACCTGGATGACCGCCGGGTTGGCCGTGAGGATCGCGCAAGGCATGTGCTGTCACTTACCGGAATCTTTATCGACCAAAGACTCTTCCAGCGACGCCAAACTGAAGCATCGGGTTTGGGTCAGTTGCGTTGCCTTGGATCGGTAAGTGTCACTCGCTACTCATAACATAGATAATTGAAGCCCGCTACTGACTCTACTTCAGGTGCGTTTCCTGGTCACTAGGCAGGACATCAGTGCCATCCTTAGTCCATCTACCCATGAAGACGAATTCTCTAGTGGCGAGTGGCACCTCCCATATAGGTGCTGAGCATGCTGATAAGCTGAGGCGCAAGATGGAGCTTCATGAAATAGGAAATCAGATCCAACTAGCCCAAACCCAGACGCGGAACGGGCTCGCCACTGGCTTAGGTCTCCCGCGTCTGTATCAACACGATGACTATATTTCGGTCGCCGTGCAGCTCGACTCTTGTTTAAGCAAATGGGAGAAAGGTCTACCAGACGAGTGGCAGCTACAAAACCTTCCACGGGTTACCGACCGAGCTTCGCGAGCTGAAGGATACCTGCTTCAGTTACGGTAAGCAAGTTCGATGCGTCTCCTTCACCAAAGGGGAATCTTCTCATTGTAGCCTTCCCTGTTGCTAATAGCGATGCCCTAGTCTCTTACATTCACGTATTTTTCTATTTCGGCCCATGCTTGCTCGGTTCTACTCAATGAAACCTCAGCAAGTGAATTCCCGGGCCACATCGAGCCCTCCGAGCCTGATCGACCGGCTGTTGAAAGACTCTTCTGCAATGTGTATCGAGGCAGCTCAAAAGATCGCATTTCTCATCAACCAAACTCTCACTCCCCCAACTGAATCTACCAGCCTTCTACCATGGTGGTACCGAGTCTACTACTTGCATATCGCTGGAACCATCTTCTTAGCCGCCATGTTTGCATCCGATCTATACACTCCATCCGTGTCGGACTCGTGGAGCATTGTTTTATCAGCCCTTCGAGCACATACACACCTCAGCGCCTACGTCCAGCAATGCATCCACACGTTTGAGACGCTATCGGCTAGGATCTTACAAACAAAATTCCCATCCTCCAATGGCTGCACTGTAGACGTGCCACTTGACAGGACGTTTGGGTTTTCTTTTGGCGACCTCTTCGAGGATGTTGGCTTTGATTTTGATACTTTTGTATTTGGCATGGAAGATTTCCCTGAGAACTAAGAAGGGCAATGAATTAAATTGTGTAAAGCTTTGATGTTATATTTCTGTATTACATACATCTTGCTTATTTCACAGTATTATCCTCCCATATCAAAACCCCAACATATTGAATGCACATACTCCACATCATGCTATAGTTCCCAGATAAGATGATCTCATCTTATGAGGATACACGACAGAGTCGCTTATCGTCAGTTTCTTTCCACTTCTCACTCCCCACTACGGTATTTCCCCAGAATATACCATCAGGGTCATACTTGTTCTTTGTGCAGAGGAGAGTGTTGTAGTTCACACCATAAAAGGTCTGTTGCCATTTTGGTTCGCGGAAGTCGGCTTGGTTCAGATAAGCAGAGCCACCACCTGGGATTAGTTTGGCTAATGATGGCACGAGTGTATTTGTAATCAGATTTTGGTTTTTAATGTTCGCTGCCCAGTCCGTAGTGTTCCAGAGGCTGTCGTGCTGTGATGTTAGTCAGGCTAGTTCAAAAGGATTACGATTCTGTCTACTTACGTTCCAACTTGTAGGGAGACCAAACTGTTTCTCAGCTCCGGATTGACAGCATTGGGCACACCGGGAGTGCTCGGAGCTTTATACGCAACGCCAGTCACTGCCGCACCATATCCAACTATGCTGCGGATAGTCTCGATCAACCCGTCAATATTACCAGTGATTACCGATCGGGGGAGGAGTCTCCCGCCGATTTGAATTCCGGGGGTACTTGCTGGCGGATTGTATGCCAAGTAGCTCTCATAATAACTTCTGAATTCTGTTGACGAATAGGCTGTTTGTTCATGTAAGTTTACGCCAATCATCATGTGTAACTCGAAATTCCTTACAGTAAGTAATGTTGAGTCCCTCCAATTTCTTGAGCACTGGTTCAAAGAGAGCATCGATTGTTTTCTTTGAAACCCCAGGCGCCGTCGCAGGGGCCAAAGAGAAAGCACCAGACCGTACTGTCCATAGCGCCGTTCCCCCTAAATCAGTAAGCGAAGGAACAACGGCAGTGAAAGCCTTGACCCCTTCAAAAAACGAATCTGATGCCCCTGAATTCGCGAAGGTAAGGTTCGCCGCTGTAGTCAACTCATTCGGATGGGCCTTGATAGTCACTGAGTAAACCACGCCATATGCACCGCCTCCACCACCGCTCAGGGCCCAGTACAGGTCGGTGTACTTCTCTGGAGTTGCCGTGACAAAATTTCCGTCTGTAAGAACAACTTGCCATTCTAGAACCTGGTCTGCTCCGAATCCGTGCTTGGAAGTCAAGGGCCCGAGGCCTCCTCCTTGGGTAAACCCTCCGGCAGGGCCGACAGTTGGGCAGACCCCGGCAACGATGGCGTAGCCTTGTTTAAAGGCAAGTGGAAGAATCTCCCCTCCCTGAATTCCAGAGCCTACTTTGATTGCCTTCCCGGTATAGGAAGGAGAAGTAAAGTCGACAAGGTCAAAGCTCTTCAGATGGTGCGTCCACACGCTCAAAGCACCAGCGCCTGTGGATTTCCCAAAGTAATCATGACCAGTGTTCCTGATAACAAGACGCAAATTCTTCTTCTTAGCAAACGACAGCGCACGTTGTATATGAGAGATATTGGCCACGTCAATGGCATATTGGACGTAAGTCCCAATCACACATTGGCTATCCCTCGGTAAGAAGGGATCGCAGCTCTGGTTTGCGAAGAATGGAGCAAGAACTGAGCTCGATGTATCGGTATGTGTCTCAGGCACATTCCACGCCGCTTTGAGGTTTGCACATTTTTCAGCGTTGTATGTGGTGCTTCCATGACAAACCGACCCAATCGGTACCGTGGCCACAAGCCGGCCATCAACAGATTGATTCAAGGCATTCCACTCCTCTTGGGTTGGCCAACAAGCATCCCCAGGGAAGCATCTACATTTGGTAGACTTCTCTTCTTCGGAGAATCGTTTCTCGACTCGTATCTTTGGATTCCTATCAGGATATGCATTGACATAGCTGGCTGCCTCCAGAAAGAGAAAGAGAAGGAGAGCGCGTAGCACTGAGTGATTGGGGATAGTCATGATTCAAAGAGAGTTGTCGAACCAAGCGTGGAGAGCAAACAGGTACAAGGAGGTGGCATCTGGCTGCGCCTTGTATTATATCCATTCACCTCCAAGGTGCGCAATGATATTTTTTCAATTTCTTATCAAAACCGCTCGATTACGGCGCTTAGGCAACAGGGCCGGAGTACGGAGTAATTTCGACTCCTTAACAGCCCCAGATCACGAGAATGGGTTGATATTGCGGCGTAACGGATGTGTAATACATGAGGGTAATTTAAATCTGTACTTCCATTTGCCTAAAAACCAAATGGGATTTTCCCTTTCCTAGACCTGAATGTATTGAAGATTTTTCACGTATACCAAGAGCAAGGAGCAGAATGCGAACTCGCTCATTTATGGGAAACCTACTTGATTTGGCATCTCCCTGAAAATGCATTTTAGGCATTTTACAATCATCACCAAGTCACCAAGATTCGAGAAGCGCAGTCGTTGCATGAAAGCCAGACAGAGTCGCATTGCAGAATCTGGGGCAACACGTGCTGAGCCAACATCGCGGATGCCGTTGGTTGTTCCAGAAAGTGCCTAGCTCATTAGATTAAATGTTTCAGTTTGCTTACAAGCGTATATGGATGGGGTAGCCCGAATGGTGGAGGATAGAGCTTGGTACAATAGCGAGTTCTCAGGTGGCAACTATCAGTACTACTGCTCTTTCAACGCCAATTCCAGGTCTGCCAACATGATTATTCAGGAACTCTCCGCGGTCAGACTATTCGTACCAATTTCATAATAAGGACATGCCAGCATACATATTAATCTCTCCTAGAGCCTACTGCCTGTATCGTAGATAGTATAGGTCGTAGGATGGACTCTCTTGGATCTGAGGACAGACTTGAGCAGTATCTATACATTGTTGACCGCCTTTCAGGTTTTGATATTAAGTAGTGGATCTTTTGGGGAGTCAGTCATGTCTGACATCAGCTATAAGAGCTTTGTAAGTGGTCTATATTTCCAACCTACAGCCCTGTTTAGTGGATTACTTAGGCCCAGAGATGTCAACCTGACCTTTTTGCCAGATGGTATGATTACACGATTACCTCCAAAACACACCTCACATCATGGCAGAAATGAGAGAATCAAGTCTCTACGGAGACTTGGACGCCTCCGTCCCGGAAATCAGACTTTTCACCCTTCTTCCTTCTCCCCAGCCCAACGCACCTCTCGTGGGGCAACTCCAGGTCGTGTCCCTGCATTCCACTCCGCCGTACGAAAGCTTGTCTTACGCCTGGGGTGCACCAGAGTTTTCCGAACCCATCATCATCAATGAGCAGACCCTGTTCGTGACGCCCAATCTGGATTCAGCCCTGCGTGCCCTGCGCCATGAAGAAAAAGTCCGACTTCTCTGGATTGATGCCATCTGCATCAATCAGAGGTCGCCGCAGGAGCGGGGTCACCAGGTGACGCTGATGCGAACCATCTATTCAGAGTGTGAGCGCGACTTGCTGTGGCTCGGACCGAACACGCATGTCGAGCAAGCCCATTACATGAACCTAAGTGAGGATCTTCTCGGAGAGGGAATGCAGTTGATGAGGGGCATCGCGGACAAAGACATCTCGGTGTTGGGGGTGATGGGCCACAAATGGGCTGCTTATAAGAAGAACCAAATAGAGAGGTTTTTGCATATTTTGAAGAGACAACAGAGCGAAAAGGATGCGTCTGATGCTGAACTGGCCGCTAAGATAAAACAGAGGGAGGCAGAATTATCAGGCACCGCAAATGACTCAGCTTGGCTCCTATCATACGACGAGCAAACGGCCCTCGAAAGAGTTCTGACTTTCCCCACGGTTTGGAACCGATTGTGGGTGATGCAGGAACTGTCGTTGGCTCCGAATATTCAGCTTGTTGGAGGCAGATATACGCTCGATTGGGATGTCATTTCCGGATTCTTGGGCGATACACCGTATGCAGATGCCTTTCACGGGACATACTCTCACAATACCGTTCAGCCTTGTGTGGGGAGAATATTCGAGATCGTACAAAAGATTGACCATCAACGTCGGATCATGAAGGAAGTCACTGCTGGGCGCCGCGAGTCCAAACTGATGGATGTTCTTGCGCGGTTTCGGGATACAGAATCAAGCGACCCACGAGACAAGATATATGGTCTATTGGGCCTAGTCTCAGACAACATCAACATTGAGATCAGTTACGAGCTGACCCCTCAGCAAGTATTCGCCAGTGTTACCGCTGCTATCATCAATGAGTCAGGGAATCTCGATATCATCTGCCAACGGCCTTGGACGTCTAACACTGAGTTTATATCCTTTATAGATGGCCAAGAAAGCTCAACAGGGAAAGATAAACTCCCATCTTGGGCTGCTGATTTCTCTCAAGGTGGTCAAGTTCACCTTTTTGCTCAGAGGTCAATCTTCCAAGCAGGCAGGCCGTCTTGCAAGGTACCGTGCCAGGTGATGAATGGGAGCGTCCTGCACACAAAAGGGACAGTGTTGGGTCGAATTGGTCCAATTCTGCAGCAAAATTCTGTCGAATCGCCGCAACAGGGTGCGGATTCTACTTGGATACCACTTAAATGGCTTAAGCTTTACCTGGGATACGATGTATTGTCCGCCTCCGAGTCGGATCATTCATATGTGACAGTCGAACCGGCTTTCACGGCCTTTTGGCGGACATTGATAGTGGACTGCGCAGCATATCCCATGACTCGACTTACAAAGAGTCAGGTGGAAGAAGAAGACTCAGCGATACGAGCAAGATGGCTACAGAAACTGAACGACTCAACTGACTCCGAGGCAATACCCAGTCACGATGACGAGCCATTCGTTAATCCTGAGCTTCACACAATGTGGAGACACATCACCTCTGACTGGGTGTTTTCAACTACAACAAACGGCCTGTATGTGTTGATAACGCAGCCGACGAAGGAGGGGGATATCATCGCCTGCTTGGATGGCGGGAAGGTTCCCGTCGTCCTCAGGCCACTGGAGGACGCTTCCAGTGGCGAAGAAAATAGATACCAATTCATCAACGTCGCATACGTACATGGACTGATGAATTTTGGGACCAAGGACTCAACGATTCTCCGCGAAAAACTTGGCCTAGAAGATCAGGAGTTTTGGCTTGTGTAGGTTTTGTAAGAAACAAGATCTGCATTGGGAATGGCATCCGGACAGGGGACTAGATCTATGAATCCAACATAATAGCACGGCTAGACTGCCTCAAAACTGATCCCAAAATGAGTTGTACGAATGTTTCCATCGCCTCAATGCCTGCTTGAACATGAGTCACCTCAACCTTGCTCCTTAACATTCTTAGGTAAAATTACGAGCCCGCCTTTCATCCACTGCGTAATTGGTTTAGTGGTAAAATTCTCCGTTGCCATCCGAGCAGCGTCGGGGAGCCCTGGGTTCGATTCCCAGATTACGCATTTTTGCTTTTACGACGGTTTTCTTTTTTTTATGATTGAGATCTCGACAATCTCAGCTCTGCCTGTCTCGCTAGTTGTTTTCTTGATTGCTTTGAAGAGGTCAGTGTGAGTAGCCGAAAACACCAGATTTAGGCGTGCTTACCTAATCATGTGCCTTCCAACCCGAAACACCCTCACTCGCATTTTCGCTCTTTCAAGCTTTTTTTTTTCGCATCTTTCCTTTTTTGCGATGATGTTCCTAATTTTTATGATTGAGATTTCATCAATCCCAGCTCTGCCGGCCTCGCTGGTTGTTTTCTTGGAGTTTTGTTATAATGTTGCCGCATTTCTGCTCTTGTCTCATTCGCTCTCTTGAACGAAATCGCATTTTGTATTTATTATTAGTTTAATTGTATTAATATTGTATTAAAATATTAAATTGAAGGTTTGGACTGCTATGTTTTATTTATATTAATCGCTTGACTGGTTGGTTATATTTCCATAGTATATAAGAAGTTGGATTCTAGAAATATCCTAGAAGGAAGCAAAACATGAAGCTCTCTCAGTTCGACCATAGGGGATATATAATATTTTTTTCAGGTAGGTGTATATATTTAAACGCTATGGTAAAAGAACCATTATAAGAGGCTTAGGGAGAAGGGCGCTACTTCTTTCCATTCCTGCCAACCACACCACCAACGACACGACCCTTCACTCCCTGCTTCATCTTGTCTAGCTTATAGTCTGTCATCAGGAGACCACAGAGGCAGGAGGATGGAGAGGCTGGAGGCTGGAGAGGCAGGAGGCTGGAGAGGCAGGAGGCTGGAGAGGAAAGAGGCTGCAGAAGACGGAAGCGTACATGCAAACAGCAATGGTGAGTGTTGTTATGATTTCCTGGTAGCTGCGTGAGATTGCAGCTCGGGTGAACCAACCTCATATACCAATGACCAGCAAGCCACTAATATCGAACAATAATCTACTAAAGCTCTTTCACACAAGCCAGGGACCTTGTTTTTAAGAATAATACTAAATGTAACAATAAGGAAATAATGTATTATTCTGTATTATTTAGCTCACTATTGTGTTTGTTGTTAGGTTAATTGTGCTCTAGCTTCGCTTGAACCAGGTGAGTGGATTATACGTGTTTCCCTTCCTGACGTCCTTCTTCTTTCCATCCTCGCCAATCTCGCCGCCAATAACAAGACCCTTCACGCCCTGCTCCATCTCATCAAGCTTATAGTCCGTCATAAAGAGGCTGCAGAGGAAGATGGGAGCGCACATGCAAACAGCAATAGTAAGGAGCGTGGTCATGGTCTCTTGGTAGCTGCGTGAGATTGCAATCCGCTCGGGTGTGCCAACCTCATACGACAGCGCCGCGGTGATGTCGCCATAAATGACGGTGGCGTTCACCTTGGCGGCCTCAGGAAGATACTCGGTGAGCTTGGCAGGAATGTTCTTGCCCCAAATGGCACCACTAATGGCCGAGCCGATGGCGGACCCGATGCTAATAACAGTGAGGAACATGGCGGTGGCAGTAGCGACGTTCTGGTGGCCAGCACTGGCCTGAACACCGAGCTGAGTAGGCACATTGAGCATGCCGCCGCCGAAGCCGATGAGGACCTGGCAGCCGATGATGGCGGAGAGGGAGGAGGTTTCGGTACGGTACTTCATCATCAGACCCAGACCGAGCGTGTAAAGACTCGACCCAATGACAACAAACCATTTGTATCGTTTGGTCAGCTTGATGATGACAGAAATGATGATGGATGAGACGGTGGATGAGAAACTGAAGATCTGAGTGATGTAGGTGGCGGACTTCATGTCGAGGTTTCTGACGACCATCAGGTAGGAGTAGAAGTAAGGGAACACGGAGAGGTAAAAGGCGACTAGGTCAAAATATTAGCCCTGTGATATCGCTGCTGTGTGTCATCAAACATGTCTGTCAAACTTACCGAAGTAAAAGGTGATGAGAATACAGCCGGCAGTAAAAGTCCTGGATTTGAGCAGGTGCAGAGGGGTCAGAGGGTATGGTGCGGTGTACTCGAGGACCTTGGCCAAGGTTCCCTTGACGCCGTGTTTCCTTCCAAAGCGCGTGCTGATCTCCCAACAAGGATAAATGACAAGCAAGATGGCGCCGATGGTGATCATGGCAATGACCTCGCGATTCTGCCAGCCATCAGGCAGCGTTCCCGCAACTGTGCATGGAATGAGAATCAGGGCAAAGGAGGCAGAGAGGAGGATGATTCCACCCATGTCGAGATCGCGCCACAAGTTGGCAAGAATCCGGGGGACCGATCCCTGGAGGGTCCTCCGCTCTGGCGCAATACCCAGCTGCTTCGCCCGGCGGGTGTTCATCACGAGCGAGAAGAGAAGGGGCAAGAAAGCCACAGGTAGAATGATGGCCCACATGCCATAGGCCCATTGCCAGCTGCCAGAGCTGCTCATGATGCCACCACCAATAATGGAGCCGATCCAAGTGGTGACGAGGAAAGGAAGATCGGGCAGAGTGGACATCAGGGCACGCCAGGACAAGTCGGTAGTGTCAGCAATGAAGACCTGCTGGAGAATCATAAGACCAGTAGAGCCTGCAGAGTAGAAGATTTGGGCAGCGGCATAGTTGGACACGTTCTGTGAGCTCGCCATTACAATGTAGCCAAGCGTGTAGAGGGCGATGCTGACGCAGAAGGCCTCGGTACGGCCGAAGACGTCTGCAACCTTGGCCATCGGAGGCTTCACAACAGCTGTTTAGCAATTAGCATCATCGCAATGCCGAGATCCCACGCAGACATCAGAGTAGCGCACCGTTGATGACACCCTGGACGACGTTGATGGTCGAGACCATGGAGTGGTTTTGGAAAGAACTGGTGACGAATATAAGGAGAGAGTTGATCACCTGGCCCTCCAACGAGGTGACGAAAGCCATGAGAAAAATACTGAAATATGCGACAACGAGCGCAGTCCTGGTCCAGGCCTGAGAAATGGCCTCTATGGCTTTGACACCATCCTGCAAAGAGCCATCGCCACTCGCGTTGTCTGGTGCCACCTCAGAGTGCTCCTCGAGGCCCTTCGCCTCCTGACTGCTGATGTGCTTCTCGTCGTCCATGCCTGCGGGAGCGTTCTTCTCCGTGCCCATGATGTAGGAAGCAGGCCTCAGCCTGGTGTTGAGAAATGGATGGAGCAAGCTTCCGTTTGCGGAAGAGTGACGCAGACGGAAGGTCTCAGAAGGAAAGTCAATTCGGCTGGGGGGCACACAGAAAGAGAGATCGACGGAGACAATGACCACCAGCTCTTGAGAGAATAAAAAAAGAATAGAAGTACATTAATGGGGTATTTGTCCCTTTACATATCCTGACGCCCTAACCACATCATGCATAAGAGGCCAAGATGCAAAGTCTATTCTGGGTGTTATTCGCCTTGATCCAGCGCCGGTGAAGCCCGAGCTCTCAGCTCATCCCCACCCATCCCCCAAATTCTGGGTCTTGGACGGGAATCCTCAGACTTAGCATCAATGGCCCAGCAAGGATGGCGACGCAGAAGACAGGTGTTGGGTGTCTCCTGCTCCCCTGCTCTCCTCTCCCACCAAGTGAGACAGAAAATGGCACACCCAAATGAAGACCCAAATGAAGACCCAAATAAGCACCTAAACACCCGAATAAACATCTAAATATCTAGACAAGTAGCTAATTCTAAACAGAGATTAGAGAATATTAGTACTTAGGCCCGGTTATTCTTTTCCTTTAATCCATAGCTACCTATAAAAGATAATAGATCAAGTATGTGTTAAGGGAGTGCTTAGGTGTGCAATTTCCTATATCACCCACTTGCCTGCTCTCTGCACATTCGTGCAAGCACTACGTAGCATTTGATAGCGGTGGATATAGCCAATTGTCCGAGATGACGATCATGCAGCGCTGGGGGGAGAATAAGCTTAGCTTTCGCTCATGGTTTCAAGGAGAAAGCTTCCCCCCAGCCATCGCTCGATCATCCGCTCTCCACTTGGGACTTCTTGTTTCTATTCTGATTACTCCCTTCAGCCCCTATCCTGCTTCATTGACCTGGCTCATTGGGAACCTAGCCAGATCTCCCTCGGCGAGCAGAATCAGCATGGGAGGCAGCCAGGAAGAGGGGTGGATGGGGTGAGGCGATTTAAGTCGTATCCCATCAGCTTTAATCACATTTAGCTTTTCCACTTGCTCCTGCGACGTAATTAGTGTGTAGCTCAAAAAGTAAGGATCGGCCCAACCTTCTCTCACTGCTCTTGGCGACAGCCACCACATCCACTTGGCTCTCCTCAATTGGGTCAAAGGATCTGATAAAGCCTCAGCTCTGGCGTTCTAGCAGCTTGGCTCAGTCTCTTGAGGATTCATCTTATCAATCAGAAATTGCACTTGGAGCTGCAACCTTGGGAAGAAAAGGGAATCGCCGGACCAAGCGCGTCAAGAGCAGGCACGGCGCTGCCGTTCGCCCCCGGCCTGCGGGCACGAATCGCTTCCTGATGTGCGTCCCTGCAACAGCTGATGACCTCCTTCAACTCCACTCGGGCAAATCGACTGGCCAAGTCTGTGGATGCTGTGCTGGGGATTTGCCCACCCAGGCAATGATCCCCAGCCATCTCCCCACACATGCTGGACCTTTTGGTCTCTCTAGAGCTAGAGTATTGCAGGTGCCTAGATGCTGTCTCAATCCCGTGACAGACGGACAAAAAAGAAAAGAAAAGAAAAGGGGCTTTTGTTCATCGCAAGAAGACGGTTCTTGTTGCTGTTGTCGTCCGAGTTGATCGGCAATCGACAAGCAATTGGTTCAGTAAATTTACCGGCAGGAAACAAAACATTCGCAACCCCGACGCCTACCACAAATACCCCGGGAAGCAGATAAACAAAGACTCCATACAATTAGCTTTTTACGCTTCCCGCGGCCCCGGTCATTGCTTTTTGGGGCCCTGCTACCACGTTTCCTTTTCCCTTCGGCCAGTCCGTGATCTACCCCCCAACATGAAGGGACCGAGTGATACCTTGCCAATTGGGTGACAGGAGAAATGAGACACCTAATGGAAGAGTTAGTTATTAATCGACTACTTTCTGCAATAAATAGAGAATTTCAGTAGTATGAAAATTGAAGAAAGTAAAAATAAATAGAGTGTTATATATTATTAGGACTCAATAATCTGATAATACCAGTCGCAGACTTGAGAATAAGCAGCTTAATGTTTGAGTGTCTCAATTTCCATGTCACCCACTTCTTGCCTTTGAGACTATCAAAGAAAGGGAGGTAGAACTTCACTCAATTCTTGCATGTGCGCATGGTCCATTCCGAAACTGTATGCTAACACTACCGACTTGTCCTGGCGTGCCCTGATGTCCACTCTGCCCGATCTTCATTTCCTCGTCACCACTTGGAGGGGGGAAAAAAACACTCCAGAGGCAATCTATCTAAAACCATGTTAGCGGGTCGTCAGAAAATACAGCACCCCCTGGCCTCATCATGCCCTGTACGGCCCTAATATGCTATTTTTGGTGCAGCAGATCTTGGGATAGCGCCTACAGCAAGTGCTGGATCAGCAGGCATAACGAATGAGCATGTCAATTTCTGCATCACTACTTAGCCCAATAATAGCAAGTTAAAACTACAGGTGTATGTCGATTTGTGTTGGAAAAATAACATTCCTTTTGCTCCGCCATTTGCTCCCACACGAGGGTGGAGGAAAAGGACCTACCCTGTACTTGAGGTCCGCTTCGCACTTCTATCTATCACTCTTTCAATGATATGTCGAATTAGTCTTTCATATAAGTTTGTGGTAATTCTTGTATATTCTCACAGAGAAGAAAGAGATAACTTTTAGGCCTCGCTAGCTGATTTGAGTAAAGTGGTTGGAACTTTTCATGGGACCATAAATATTGTATCTGGTTACCACATTACCTCTGATGGATCACAATATTCGTCAAATTCCATCAAAGACAGTGCTCTAAAGTGGTAAATGCCTGATATAATTCTACCTATAGTCAATAGAATCGCCCAGAGGTAGCATCAGAGACGTGGAAAATATTCTAGATTTCTCCCAAATAGAAAAAGAACACCATGACAAGCTAGTAATCAAGCTGCCTCCGAACAAAACGGTCTAAAACGCAGTAGCAACCATTTTCCTTCCATGAGTCTATAGTTCTATTCTAACGCTTCTTTCAGTAGAGATCCTTTCTTAATCGGGGGTAACACCTTTAGGTCCAGGCTTGCCGGATCGTGATCTGGGCTCCAATGCTCAATACCGTATCGCAGCCAGTGGGCATACGTGCCTGGGACATTGTCTGAGCCTGGATTTGCTCTCCAGAGAGATCCCAGAGTAGGACCCATGACCCTTACGATGAGTCCATGTGCAAGCTTGAACCCCCAGCTTCGCTGTAAACAGCCTTGAACAATTTCCCTTGCCTTCTTCTGCTCTTCCGTCTCGGTTTCACCCTCCTTGGGGAGTGGGAGTGACATGAGTTCCCAAGCCTTGGGCCCATTCCAGCCCGTGAAGACATTGATTAACTGCGAGCCTTCCATGTACTCGATGGCGAATAGATGCTTCGCTGTATACTCGGGGCCATTCCAGCCATCTTCCTCATCCACAAGGCCCATTACCAAGGTCAATGTCTGGCACTGGATGATGTAGTCTGTCAAAAGCTTGCTGACTTCTTCATGCCCATACTTCTTCCCGTCTTCTTCGAATTCGAGCGTCACTGGTGCTTTCATCAGAGGGAGCGGCTTCATGAGAGGACTGGCGTGCATCCCATCCGTGCTCGTCTTCCCGCCGTCTTCCGCCCAGAGAGCGAGGAAAAGCTTGTGGCACCGCGCGAACAGCGGGTTGTTTGGTGTTGATGCGAGGAGGTAGTTGGTCACCTCGTGGCGCGTCTCATTTCCATTGTAGTAGGCCAGGACTTCGTAGGGGCTCTCGGGGTTCCCCAGAGTCTTGTTCCAGAGCCGATCCAGATCCCCGATTTGCAGCATGCCCACATCTGCGTAGACTCCTCCATACTTTAGCAGGAGGGGCCAACGCACGAGATCCGAAGTATGCTGAATTCCGTAGGTACCGCCGATAGCCCCGTCGACAAATGCTTTTGGGAATGTCTCCGGGTCGCTGGTATCTAGGAATTGATCTATGTTGAGGGGGGATGCAGGCTGGCGATCGAGGACGCGAATCACCCACCCGGATTTGGAGAGGCGGCGATACCAGGCCCTCACGTTTCGCTGGGTGTAGCCATGCATGCTGGAGAAGCCAGAGTGCCAGAAAAACCACACATTCTTGACATCCTTGACTGGTGGGGGATTGAGGAGTTCGGCATCAATTTCAGCATCGGGACGGCCATCAAATAAATGGTCAGGAACCTTTTGAAGGCCCTCAGGAATCGGGTACGTTAAGGGTTCCATATTCAGGCTCGGGCTAGATATTGTCTCGAGCGATGTTGGTAGTAGAATTGTTTCGAAAATAAATGCCCTGTGGTTGACCAACAGGGACGAAAGTGAATGAGCTGATGGAATGGATCTATCATCACCAAAATCAACTGAAACCGCAGCCTGTATTATAGGCGCTGCCGCTACTGTGGGCCTTCAATTTGGGGGAGCAAACACTATGTCGTCTTCGTGAGTCATAATGATTGACTGGAGACGACCCATTGCGCCAATTGAAGCGACTGGAGCCCGCTGAGAGAGGAAATGGCCGTGATTCTGATCGACTTCACTTGGATTTTCTAACTTGCAGAATCGAAACGACTTTGCATGAAATTTATTCTCTCATCTGAAAAAACTACACGTCACCAACCAACGCTCCAGCGAAGGGGCTGCGTGCTCGGATTCTCTGACCGTAGAACGCCAACAACCATGGAATGGCTGTCAGACACAGCCCAATGCCACCCAGTAAACTTCCAGCGCCCCAATACCTAAGGCCTTTGAGCATGAACATGGTGAACAATGGGAAAATGCCCGCCAAGAGATTCCGGCACATGCTCTGCGCAGCCAGTGCGGAGGATGCATACAGGTGGTAAGAGTCTGCCAGATAGTTGAACCCTGCGAGATAGATGCTGAAGATGCCGATAGTGCAACTTCCAATAGCCAGTGTTGGGGAAATCCAGTGTACACTCGGCGTAGCGGTCCAGCCAAACCAGAACAATCCAATCGGAAGCAATGCAGATAGTATCCCAGGCGGCAGCAAGCGGCCCTCGGGGGAGGTCATTCGGGACGGCCAGAACTTATGCGTGATGGGCTCCTGGAAGATGGCAAGCAAGCAGGCTATGGTAGATCCTACGACAACGGCCACGTAGACAGCGCCGACTTGGGTGCTATTGAAGCCGTAGACATCCCGGAACACGATGCCAATGCTGCTGAACTGCATATACAGAATCGCCCACGCGAAGGAAGCCCACGCCGAGAACCAGAAGACGATGGATTCCGTGGCGAGGAGCTGGAGCGGAAAGGCGAAGCTACGCCAGACTATGCTGATATTGAACTTGCGTTCCTCCATCTCTGATTGGAACTGCAGCCAGGTTGCCGATGTATTCTCGCTTATGGCATTGTTCATGGCTCTACATTTCTTCCTCAGAACAACGTTGCTGCGCGTCTCCTGGAAGAAGACGAAGATGATGAGCGTCGTGAAGCCTACCGTGCAGGCTTGAATGTAAAAGACCCATCTCCAGCCAAGGTGGTCGACAACAGCACCACTCACGAGAGGACCGAGGCCAGTCCCGGCCATGATGCTCAGAGAGTATAGAGCCATCGGTGTGTTCCGATCCTCTTTATGGTACAGATCGCTCACAACGCCTCCTGTCAGGGTAGCATACACCGAGGCGCCGCAACCGACGATGAACCTGGAGACGAGCATCCCCGCGTAGTGGTTCGTTACAGCACAGCCGATTGTCCCTATCAAGAAAGTAACTCCAGATCCCACAAATACCCAGTAGCGCCCGTGGGCCTCACTAACGGGCGCGAGGATCATGGGAGCAATCCCAAATCCCATGACGAACGTGGTAATACCCGCATTGAATTGAACGTCTGAAATACGCCAAAGTTCCCGGACTGGTACGGCTGCCAGGGCGTAAGCACCAGCAGCGTACGCGGCGAGGCAGGACGCCATGAACGCGCCGCAGAGCACTGTCACCTTCTTGGAGGTGCTCCAAAGGAACGGGGATCCGAGCTCTGCTGTTTTTGAGACTCGTTCTGATACGAGTGCATCGTTGATGCCGTTCTCCTTCAAGATCTCGACTGGACAAAATGTGGGAAGGAGGGCATCTAAGCCGAGTAAGTGGACGGTAGGCTCATCATCTGGATTCCGTTCCCGAGGACCTGCCACAGGCACTGGATGGTGTACCGACTTTTCTTGTGCTAACACGTCTAGGTCTGATTCTGACCCATGCTCCAATACCAAGTCGGGCTCAACGTTCGGAGCGTGCATGGTGAGATATGGTTTGCAGTCACACTCCTGGAAAGTGCACGTCCAAATCAAGGGGCAGTGATGGGGATGGAGTGAACGGGAATCTCCCACTCCCAGTCGTTGTTTTACAAAGATCTCGGCTCCCCGCCTCCGACGTCGGTTAAGGGGATTGGGTATAACTGGAAATAATGCTTCTCCATTACGTAGGCATGAAAAGCTTAATGCCGATCAGGGTGCGATATGCACGCCAAGAAGCTGCCAACCCCAGACGGGGAGGATTAGTTTGCCAAAGATTGAGGAGTAGCGTCCAGGACTCCCCAGGCGGCGGATTTCATCCTGTTTTCTTAAACTCTTGAAGGTGTTCCTTCGCGTAAACAACAAGTCGAAGCAGTTAAACAACGTGTCTAAGTAGATGTCTTCAGCAGCAGGCTCTTTTTTTGGAAAGGAGAAGCTGCGAAAATCAACTTCCCAACGGTCTGGATAACAACAGCCAATTTGACTCCGAAGCCTCCGCCACGTCAGTTTTCACAACTCATGGGCAGAGTGATCCACTTCGATAGGTCTTACCTCGCTGACGCTCGACGGCCGTAACTAGCGGTGGGAGGATTGCGGTATTGCGATCAAAAGCTATCGTAAGCATGATAAATATGTATAACAGTCATCCATTCCATATTAACCCATGCCATGAATTCCAAATCCCTGCTCGCTATGTTGTGGTGACAGTTCATATTAGTACAAGTCTTTTTTCCTTCCAAATCTAACCAAAAAACGTATATGAAACATAAATGTGATGATAGGTATCACACGCGGCCGAGGACTTCACTGTCCCGCCACACAGTAGGACAGGAGTGAGACGCATCAGCCGCGACCCTCTGCCGAAGCCGACGGGTCATCCTCCACTCCCTGGGTAAAGCAAAGTTGGTCCTGTCCTGCTTTTTGCAAAATGCGATTTGTACTTCCAATTCAAATAAACTGTTTCTTGTGAGCATCCGCGGCTGGTGATTTTCGGAGTAGGCGCAAAGGGAAAGGGGAACATACCTTCTCCAAGAACTAAGGGGGCTCAGGACTAGAGGCAAGGGCTCGTGAAAAAGTCCGCTGTGATAAGTTGATAGGAAACTAGAGCGGACTGCTATTCGAGCACCCTCTAGGTCATCCTCAGAAAGCATTGTAGAAGTATAGTCATAATGCAATGCTCGATATATAAACGGTCGATACAGAATGGATTTGATATGGTAGTAGCGTGCCATCAGGTGCCCACGTAATCGTTCCTCGGCCGGCCGAGGTTCAAAGGGACCTGTGGATACATCTTGAGAGGAGGAGTACGCCGGAAACTCGAGACATTCGGGAAGGCCTTCTCTCCACTCTTCTAGCTGTCTGTTTAACTCCTCTATTCTAGATCGAGAGGCGGAGAGAAACATGCTAGGGCGGTCAAAAGCCGGCGAGTTTATCGGGCTTCTGAAATCGTTATTTTGTTGTTTATCTAGGGCCTTGTTAGCAGCAAGGGACTAATAGGGAATAATAAGCTTTGCGATCATACCTCGCCTATACATGTAATATAATATTCTGTTGCCGAGTTTCCTCACTGTAATCAAAGACAGGAAATAGAACTGATATTGCGCAAGGCGAGGGTCCGTTGCAGTGTCTGGAGAAATGGGCAAAAGGAAACTGCCCGCAACCTTGCCTAACCCGCTCGACGGAAAATCATACTCAGCGAGCAATTGACTGCTATACATTAGCGGGTATTTCTTAATTGGGTTGAGGAGTGGATTGGGAGGGGTACCTTTCTTGAAGATAGGTAATCCAAAGGAGCTGCACCTCGTGGGCGTCTAGACGATCTTGCCTGTAAGGGATGAGACTAAGAGAAACTTTACAACCATGCAGGGGAATCTTCTTACAATCGCACTAAGATTAATACCGAGCAGCAAGCACGGTGGATACAACGCCAGGCATCGTATGGTCTAAGTTTGGAGGTGTAGAACAACCTATTAAGGACCATGTGTCAGTACTCGACTTATGAGAGCATATCCTAGTTGGGATATATCGGGCTTTGGCACAAGACACACATACCCCGAAAGGACTAAACACTGGACACTGGCCCAGTCGGCTGTTTCCAGGTCACGAAGCATGTCTTGGGCCAGAGAGAAGAATGTGAATCCAGTATTCTCTTTGCTCTCCGTCCCCCACTCATCGAATCCCAGGAACCGGGCAGCAACAGCGCCCAATGCACAAACCAGCAAGACGACACACGTGTCCATGCTCTCTGCGAAGTTGATGTTTATGGCCTGATTGAGGACACTCGAGTAGAAGTGGTTCTCATCAAGAATGAGGCAGGAAGGGTGGAAATGTGAAAAGTACAGCTGTGTAAGCCGGTGGAGCTGCGACATGGGGACTTGAGACAAGAAGCTTTCTCCCATCGCAGACTGACCTGTATTTACGGGCTGAGGTAGCTGTTTTGATATCTTGGGGCGATTAATCTCCAGCTCTGTTGGGTATCGAAGCTCTCTCTTGCTCAACTTGAGTGTGGAACACGGCCATGCCAGCAGGTGTTGAGGGTCAATGGCGTGCTTCTGGGCAGAAGCTATCTCCTCCCGAATTCGACCTGTGTCGAAAAAGAGGGGCGAGGCGGGTAGAGGCGTGGGAGGAGGCTCAAGAGAGACTGATGAAACTGTAGCCGGCGTTTGGGGCTTGGAGCTGGGAGGAGGTGATAGGTGGCTGCGTTGGTAAGTGGGAGAACTTTGCAATTGGCCTTGAGTCTGAACCAACGAATCGAGCTTCATATCCATGCGTTTCAGCATGTCGTTAAGCTCGGAGACAGGTAGATTTTCCCTAGGGACTGGTTAGCAGCTACACACCGAAAGGATGCCCTCACTTGCGACAGCAGGCAGGGGTGGCACGGGCAGCGTAGTATGGTAGGGCAACGAACCCGGAGAGGGAGAGGATGGTCTCAAAGCAGGTGCACTCGAAGATCGGTTGAGCACAGCGGCTGCAGTTGGTTTCGCTTGCATCGTCGCGGCCCGACGACGGTGGGCTGGGAGAGCCTTGCTTCTAGATTCAAACAACACACGATGGATTAGCATGCGTGCCTGGCGGTCGTGGTGATGGCCTCATCAGACGGGCTACCCTACATACATTGACCTTGAGCGGCGGCCAGCGAGAACTGGTCGCCGGATCCACTGGACTTTCCATTGTCCCACAGGACGGGAACGAGAACGAGGCCTGAGTGAGCAGGGAGAGGGGGACAGCGTCGGTATCTGGCCGATGAATCAGGGACTGACTGCCTCAATCCCAGGGAACGATCTCGGGGCCGCTGCAGAGGTGATCGCCGGGCAGAGCAGTTGGGGCATAATTGATCAATGACCAGCCGAGTCAAATAGGCAGGCCGGTGGTTCGGTGCAGGTTTTCGAGAAGCAGCTTGGGTCAGACGATTGGACCAAGTGCGTGGTGGGGCTGGAGGCTGGCAATTAATGATCCTAGCCTCCTCGCAGTCAGAGTCAATCAATTGAAATTCACTTGCGAGCAATGCTTCAGTTTCGAGGCAATCCCAACTGCTTATATTACTAAGTCCACCGATATGGCCAGGACTGGGGGCCAGGACATGGGCATGGACATGGGCGCGACGAGGACGGACTGGCGATGGCGGACACGGTGCAGGCAGCAGGCCGAGCGAGGGTGGTTAGTCATCAGGACCGCAGTCACGTGCAGCCGCAGCTGGAGGGAAGCACCAACAGTCAGCAAAAGGTCTAAAATTAAATCCTTCGCCGGAGCTCTTGACGCAACCGACGGGCAGATATGCACCAGCAGCGTGTCTGAGCCGCGCTCATCACGATGGCGGTGGGCTGGGCCAGACGATGATCACCTCCACCCTCGTTCGCCCAAGCGCTGCCTGCAGTTTCGGCCGCACAACCAACTGCATAGTATTACTACGTAACCGGCCGGCATGTGTGGGCAAGGTTTGGCTGGGCTTGGGGGCCGTCCGTTCTAGCGGGTGAGACCAGGTGAGACAGGTCCCAATTGAGTGCTGCCGAGCTAATTTAATACGAAGGGATGTGTGGGTGGCGCAGAGGCCAGAGGATGGATTTGGCACCCGCCTTGCCCAGCCCAGCTCTCACCAACAAACACGTCCCGGCCCTACCATCCTACCCTGGCCTGGCATGCCGCTTACCAGGATCCATCTGCCAGACAAGACTCAGACAAGACTACCTCGAGAGCACGTATAACGCACAGCGGTTACACCGTCCAATCGTCGCCCACCGCACTGCCCCCCCAAACAGGCCACGGCCCACTACCGAAGACCTCGCTGCATTGCCTGCGAAATGCACCTCGAGTTTCAGCCCCGGAGCCGACCCAACGTCATTCGTCATGCGCGGGGCATCCTGGAATTTCTGGCTAACGCAGGAGGGAAGGATCCAAACCTGGAATTTGCCTGTCTCGGCGCCTAGGTCTTCGCTTGGCGACACCCATCGTAATACTGTGTACAGGCGGTAGGCGCTGCGCCCCGGGCCCTCACTCGCCTGCGAGGCAGAGTTGGGCTCCCTCCTCCGATCGGTCCTTGCAAGAATCATCATCGCGTGTCCATTGCCGTAGTGAGCCTCGCTAAGGTTGTTTTACCGCCCAGACCAGTGCCGTGGACGAAGCGCCCTGTTCAACTGTTGGCCCATCCCTTGCTCTTGCTCCTCCCCCCCGCAGGCAACGCACGGGTCGTTCCTAGGGCTCTGATCTGAATCTCGGCTCTATCATTTTTTGGGTTCCAATTTCCTTAAACTTCCCTGCCTTGCTTGTTCGTTCGTTTGGGGATCATGAATGAGGACTTCTGCGCTGCTCTCGCGGAACTTCCCTAAGACGACGCGACGATTTCATCCAGAGCATAGGGTCCTCCTACGACTTGCTGGCGCCCGGCTGGGGATCACAGCATCATGGATCCCCATTCCATTTCCTCGTTCACGACCACGCTGACCCAGGCAGCCGCGATAGTATGTCTTCTTACCCTCCCCTTCGCCGCCTGACCTAGACGTTGGTTTGTTTCTGGTGGATTGGATGCTGACTCCGGGAAAGGTGACGACGGCTCTTGGAAATATCGCCCAGCTGCGCACTGCCGACACTCGCCTGGCTGGCCTTTGCGAAGAACTCTCCGACCTTCCTGCCCCCCTCCAAGATATCGGCGACGCGCTCGAGAAATGCGACAAGTCCGACCTTGCCCCCATTCACGATGCGCTCTCGCGCCAGTGCGACTCTGCCCTGGCAAATTGCCATATAATTCTTCGCGAATTAGGCCAGCTGGTGGACAAGATATGGCAATCGTCCCCGGGAGGGGCTGGCTGGAAGTCGAAGAGCTCGATAGATCTCAGCATTTTCGGGGAGGAGTTTACAACCTACCGTGACAAAATCCGTCTATTCAACTTGGCATTCCAGACCATGCTTCAAGTAATCACCCTGTATGTCCGCAACTTCTTCCTCCAGCACCAGTCCCTACTACTAACGTGCCATATTACTTAGGTGCCTTGCGCTGCGAGCAAATGCCCCCGAGGGCCAAGTCCGTGGCGACCTTGACCATCTCCAAGCATCGATCGACGAGTCCCTACACGCTTCGTCTCGACCTGTGGGGGGTTTTCGCCGTGCCAAGGGTGCAAATAAAGCAGACAGCCAAATATCGCAGAACGTGCGGCAGCTAGCTGAAGAGGCCGGAGCTTTCCACGATACCACCAGTTCCGCGGTCGACGCACCCCAAAGTCACGATGTAACTCCGCATCACGCGCCACACGAGCCGGCGGAGGACGACGTATTTGATACGAGTAATCTAGAGGCACCCGAAATGGATTCTGCGCACCTCGCCCCGACTCCTCTGCGAAGCGCCCGCACGAGTTTTTCCTCTGTTTTCAGCTCCCAAGACAAGACCGAGCAGGACGCCCGCGGTATCCTTGATGCATCGGGACCTGTCAGCACTAAGTATGCCGGACCTGCCGGTGAGGAGGATGACGGTGGCGATGACGAACTCGAACAAGAATATCTGGATGGACTGCGCGAGTTGGCCGCAGCAAGCATTTGGAAGAAGGAGTATGCTAAAGCTGCTGAATATTTAAACGACGCTCTTTTCCGAGGGACGGAAACGGAGTCAACGCAAATGAGCCGGCGCCAACTACAGACCCAGCTTGCTCTGTGCTACTTCCTCCAAGGGGATTGGCGACAGGCAGAACTACTGGTAAAGGATTTGGCCAGGGTGAAGGATGATGATGAGCTCATCATCTACAACTTTCTCCATGCCTTGTCATTAGCGCACCTGGGAGAGTATGCGTTTGGCTACGCGTTCGAGTATTGCAAACTCGCTTTGAATGGCAAGAGGAAGCTCTGCAAGAATATGAAGGCGGATTGGGTCGAATATCAAGAGACGCTGGGATTGTTTGCAACAATATTTGACCTCTCTGGCGACTACATCCGAGCAGAGGTGTTTAAACGTCGGCTGCCACCCGGATTCGAGTATTCGCACCCGACGAATGAAATCGCCTTTATTCAATCGAAGAAAGATCTCCTTGTTAACATCTTGGGAGAAGAGGATACATCTGTCACCCGACCGAAATCTTTCAGAGCCGAGTTGGAGGGAGGGCAGTTCGAGAAGCAGACTATTTTGAAGCAAGCTTTGCTTCGGCATGCGTCGATGCCTATCGAAGCTGAGACCAACCTACGGAGAAACCTTTCTCAGTACCAGAAGTACGATGCGGATACCGCCAAGGAGGTTATTGCAATTGTGGCAGCCCGATCATCATGCGATGCAGATGATGAAAATCCTCATGATTCATTGATGTCGCCTCCACCTCCTGTCCTTAGGTCGCGGCTAAGCTTTGGCCGCCTATTCGGAGCGAAAAACAGCCGCTCGAATACATTGGACGGGAAAGACGACATTTCACAGTCACCGGTATCCGATACACCAATCATAGAGACGCCGACAGCGAAACAGAAACCAATCACAGAGACACCAACAGCGAAACAGAAGTGGCTTGGAATTGCAAAACCCAAACTTCTGCTCCGGAAAATGAAGAGCGAATCCAAGATTCCTGGTCTCAGCGTCACCGAGGCATCGCCGCAAGAAGGATCATTCAGCCTCATCAATATGCAGAGGGTGACGACGCCAACCCAATCGCAGTCGGCGCGCCAATGCAGCTGGGGCGGTCCAAGGTCTCAACCCTTCGACACCGATGCACCTACTGGTTCTCAGTCTGCACCGATACATGGGCGGTTTCGTTCCAACTCGTGCGTTAGTGATCTTGACGCACCACTCTCGGGTCTACCTGGCCGAGCTCCTTCGCCATTTCATGAATCTGAAATATCAGACATTTCAGCAGGACCCGCTGGAAGAGTCGATGAGCTTCCCCCGCCAGCGTTTGAATTGGCAGACACCTCTCAATCTTCCCTGCCGTCGGATCCGAATGGAAACGGAAGTTCAGCTCCAGATGAGCTATTAACTCCCACAGCCCAAGACCATCCAACCTCGCCTTCGCTTGCACCCGAGCTTGACTTTCTGGGTGCTGCCATGGTGGAATCCAGAGACCGCACATCGGTGATATCTAGTAGAAGCCCGTCTCCCTTCTCTCCGCCCCCAGACCCCCTTCCCTTTGCGAGATGCTCTTCCAAAGAATTCGAAGAATCAGTTGCGATAGCTGGTGCAAAGGAGCCCACACTTCTAGCGAGGGCACATAGTGCCCGCAGCTGTTTTGGGCTCATTGAAGTCGCGTCGCCTATCGAATATTCCCCTGTTGAACTAGCATCCAAACCCGTCCCTTTATCCACCACGCCTTCTCCAGCTACAGCATACGCACCCGTCAACAAACCAATAATTGCTGATGCCTCAATCCATGATTCTCCCGTCAATAGCTCTCCAGTCGATGAGCTGCCTATCGAGAATTCACCTGTTCAAGAAGCTGCCAGTGATGTCTTGCCTGGTGATGATTCATCGGTTGATGAATCTGTAGCTGAGTCATTGTCAGAAATTGATCCCCAACTCGTGACAGTTCTCGGAGAGGTGGCTTCTATCCTGGCATCTTTGAACGATGAAGGAAAAACAGATGTACAAGATCTGAAAGACTACCACAGCCGCCTCACCGTTCTTTTCCCCGACTTGAAAGATATGAGCCGGGACCGACTGATTGTGGATGACATCAGGGGGGTCCTATTTACCCTCCGTAAACGAATCAAGAACTGGCACAAAAAGGTTGAAGATGACTCTGGCTACGAGTCAGCGTCGCCGCGCACGGAAACTGCTGCAACGGTCAATGAGGAGCCTACGGATGAGGCAGCTGATCCACAGGCAGTTCAGCCAGCGCCAAGTGAGCCAGTGCCCACTGAGCCAAAGCAGGGAATTGACGAGATCAAGCCCCTGGAAGAAGTTGAGCAGTGCCCTTCACCTGAGCCTGAACCAGTGCCGGCAAAGCAAGAATTCATGAACATGAAGGTGCCTACTATTGTGACTACCGAAGTTACGACTGAGGATGGGTCTTCGGTAGTGGAAGTCGCACCGATAAGGGTGGAGGTTAAGAGTCGGCCAGTGAGTCTACATACTGTACAGTCGACAATGACGAAGCAGGGCGCTGTAGTTACTGCGGCTCCTGTACCAATGCGGCCTGGGTCCGTCATCAAACCCAACCATGTGATGGTGACAGCTTCTCCAATTCCCAAGGATGACAAGTTGCAACAGAGAATCATGAACCTCGTTTCCACTATGATCGATGAGGCGTGCCCGGCTATCTCAGCTGAAGCGACAAAGTCTACTCCATCCGTTGCTCAACAAGACGAGGGTCCCAAACAGGCGGCCAACTCAAACGATGCCTCAGATGCGAGTACTGGAAAAGCCTTTCTCCTTGACCTGTGGAACTCATTGATTGAAGAGGGTGGGGAGTCTGATCTCAGGATCAGCATCGACCCTCCGAAACGCGCACGTACCGAAAGCGATGCCGAATCAACCACGGGTGGAGTGAAGCTTGCCGCAGACACAGACACCCAGGCATCGGAAATCAATGAATACGTGTTTGACGAATCCCGCTCCTCTAATTGGGATTGGGATGAGTGGCGAAGTATAGGATCGAACATGGGGCGTCCTTTGCAGTCGCTTCAGCCTTCTGATCTTTATGGAGCATAATGGTGGAATTCCTGAACAACAGGAACGCTCACGAATAATGTGGTCAATGACCCCTAATGAACAACATGATGTCTTGTTTGACTTACACTCCTTTACTTTGTTACAGCATCTGGAGAGGAGTTTTAGGTTGTTTGCGGAGTTCTGGATAGCGATTGTTTTGGTCAAAGGAATATATACATGTGTGGCAAGCAGTGCGGAGCAATACCGTTTGATAATTTTTAGACATAAAAGATTTCTGTTCCAAAGAGATTTCTCTTCTACACTACTTGCGAAGACTCAAGCGAAGTATTAAATGATCATTATCCGGCTTTAAACCCTCTTCGAAAAGAAAAATAGCAAAACACTAGCCTGCCCTCGTCAACTTGAAGAGTGGTCAACTTTATCCCATGTACACGACCTGTGATGGATGTCCGATGAACTGCTTGATCAAGTCCACTTCTTTCGTCTTATCGACGAATTCATCTAACAGGATGCATGCCTCTTGTGAATCCAACAGGATCAACACGCGGCTTGTGCCGAACCCTTCAGGCAATAACTGGCTATATAAATTCTGTACACCGCCCACATCAACCTCCGGTGCCGTCTCACGAAGGAAATCTTCAATGGTGAAAACGTCAATCATCTCGGGCTCGATGGGCTTGCGGGCCCGGATGGACTCCTTGATACGTATCATCTTCCTGACCCTGACGAACGCGTACTGGAAGGTGGAGGAGCGGATCTGGCGCAGCAGGACGGTCCACTGCCCAGGCTGGAGGTCTCTCATGGAGGAGAATTTACCTCGGTGGCATACTTTGCGGCCGGCCATGAGGCCGTACTTGTAAATTTGGGCAGGGAGAGGGCCGATCTCGCCGAACTGCGTTGGAGCGAGGGACGAGGAGCTGGCTGCGAAGCATGCGGACACGTTGAGGGCGGTGGTCCCGCCGGTTACGAAAAGGAGGGAGCGCATCATGCTCATGTACTGGAACAGACCGGTGAGGAGCCTGACGGGGCTGAGGAGAGCATCGCCGAGGGAGAAGTACTCGTATTGCGTGAGGTCGTGGATTTTTGGCCTGTCGTGGTGGACGAGGAGTTGAGCAATGGGGAAGGAGGGTGTGAGTAATGGGGGAGAGGTGTCGTCCGAGATCCAATTTTCTTCGTGTATGGAGTGGTAAAAGGGTGCGGTTATGGTGAGTTTGTCGAGGCGGATGTTGAGGTCGGACTGAGCCAGCTCGACAAAGGGCTCGCAGGTAACGAATCCGTTGACGGAGAGCGGGTCGAGGAGACAGACGGTTTTGAGGTTTGGGAGTGTAGAGAGGACGGGCCATAGTCGTTTGGAATGATTATAACTGGCTCGGGGCGTGGCGAGACTGATAGTGTGGACGTTCTGAAACTCGGGATTTTGCAGTAGGGCTTCCAGGGAGGAAACTTCAAGAAAGGGGAAATAACCCCAGTCGAGAATCTGTTCTCCTTCGTACGCCAGGGAGATGAGAGAGAGGGTATTAGGGGATCCGTCCACGAGGTGTGAGTTTTCACAAAACCAGTCCTGGACAAGCTTTTTGAGACCTGGAAAATGTGACATTTCCTGTTTGATTGTGTTGAGGTCGACTGTACTTGAAGATGATTGGAGAGCTTTCATCATCTTATCGACAGTCTGCTCAACTAATCCTCGAGGGCCAGTTACGGGAGTTTGTGTTTTACCTACGGACTGGGCCTGTAGAGGCGACATATTCCACCTCCCCCCAGGCCATGTATCTGTTTGCTGAATCAGTCACTTGAACTCCATAGCATGCTCCCTGTCGAGTCGGCCTTACCTGCAAGACTAACCACATCAATGATGTGCCATCTTTCCAGTCCTCTAGTTATAGCCACGGACCGCGGCTCTTGTAGAAATTTGTCATGTTCCGAATAGTATGTTAAAAGATACTGCCTGGCAGAGAGCGGGCGGGAGCGTAGCCCTTTTCTTGCTGGATTTAAGCGCTCATCATAATAGGCAGGTCCTTTGTGATATCAGTACATGCGCTTGCAATATAGACTGGAAGCAGAGGTGGGGAGGATATCATACTTGAAGTAAACGCAAAGCAGTATTTGAGTTTATTCAAATTAGTGATGTCGATAACAATGATGCCCCCGCCATTCTGGTAGTCATCGAAGGGAAGACTGAAGGGAAGCTCGTGTATGGCGGCTGGAGGGTGACCGTCGGTGCGATGCAAGGATCCCACTGTCAAACAGGTGGAGATAAAGGAGAAAGGGGATCGTAGATCATAGCTAGAGCTACTCCGTTGCCTGAGGTCCGATGCTGTCCAGTTTTTGAAGAATGTCTTGGCTGAGAAGAGCTCCGCCTCGAGGGCAATCCGGTTGCTTGGATGGGAGAATATCTGGAGCTGGCGATGGCACTGGGCCAGGGCGCGCATCCCGCTGAGGTCTGGATGGCCGAGGGCGGCAATAGGGCGGTATAAACCGTACACCTCGGCGATGACGAACGTCTGGTTGCTGTGCGCCATATCCGCGTATGAGTCTGTACTCTGGAGGGTTGTGTCGATGTGTGAACGTGCTTGTGGCCCTGATGGTCTTTAAGTAGTCGGAGGAGATGTTGGAAGGCGGCCTTATTGGGTTGCATATTTGTTGGTCCAATGATTCGTCTCCTTCCTACTGAGGGGCAACAGGCTGATTTCAGACTCTTCTGTCATCAATAACACCGCCGGGTGGAGCAGTGCCATCAGTTGGGACGACGCGACGTGAGAGAAAATGCCATTGTTCGGTCAGCACTAGATGCACTAAATGGTTGCCTCGCCTCTCTAAAGGCGCTACTGTCATTGTGTTGGTTGTGCTGTGTCAATTATATTGCCTGCGCCCGGTAGGAAATGACTGGTTTTCCCCCAACAGTCACACCAACAGGCTTTTATCATGGACATCAGCCCATACATTAATTCATAACCCGTTCTTTCACGTTACTCTCAATACAGATCAAATAAAATTTGGGGGTTGTTCCAGTTTTCGATTGGCCGAGGATCATCTAGAAGAGCCAGCAGCTCGTTCACTGCAAGGGATTGTTTGCCCAACACCTTCCTTATTATACCGTATTTCCTTTCTCTTTACATCTCCTCTCATATTGCTATTGGTTCATATTATCTATATCATCGCCCCCCTTTAAGCCAATGAGTTAAGAACTAATTCGGCTATTGATGATGAAATGGACAGTAACATCTTGCGTGGCTTATAAGCCTGGCACTCATGGAAGGGGATATTCTAGCTGTTGGCCATAGGAATGGCGATCTCTGAAAGACAGGCCTGTAGTTTCAACAGTTTAGTGATGCCATAAATGAACGGAGAGGCATGCGTGGCCACCTCACACGAGGCTGCCTCTATCTCCAGCTGCTGCTAGATTGAAATAAGTACTAGCAAGGCGGATAAGCTCGATGATATCATGCCTACTGAGGAGTGCGAGACTAATTCTAATCCTCTTACCCGATGTTCAGTGAGTAGAGGGAATAAGTTGTCAAAGAACCGAACTGACTCATTCAATGATGAAAACGCGGCGGACAAGTTGGAAATAAGGGGAATAAAACTTTGGGTGGATCTGCTATGTAGATAAACGATTGGAATTTTGCTGGATTCTCTTTGAAGTCGTTCCTTCAAACGATGAGCCCTGCCAGGAACCTAATCACCCATCCAAGAAGAGGTCCACACTGGGCCTATAGATTGGCTAGCTCATGAAATCGAGAAAGATCAAACTCTTAGACTAAGTGCTAGCTACAATATTATTTATAGAATACCCGTTATTTTTATATCTTGGTCCCATAACGGAACTACAGCCACTCGTACGCAAGTATACTGATGATGTGGACGGACGGGTCCCCAACACGCACTACTCAACGTACGGACCCGAAACACGCAACCATAAGCAGATGGTAAGATAGTATAATGACAGGAGAAATATATCTCTTATTGAAATTAAAATTCTCAGTAAGCTTTACATATGTTTTGCGTATTATCCTGCTCAGTTGATAATGATTGGTTGTAAGTCAATTCGTCACGTGAATACACAATCGCTCACGTGACTCCGTACATCCCGAATTGGTAGGAAGGAAGCCATCACTAAATCACACGTAGGGTTGTCACCTCAATATTCAAGCATCTTTTGCGTACACAACATCGGTTCCGGTATCTATGATGATTCAGACCTGTTATGATATTGATGCGCAAAAATTGTAGCTGGGAATCAACCCAGCTGAGACGTGCCTCTTATCGTTGGCTAAGATGCTGAGATTTGTCACAGACCATGTGGGAGGCGTGGGGTCAAAGCGGAAGCAGGCTTCAAAAAGCTGCGAACCTTGTAAGAAGCGTCATGTATGTATGTAATTTAATTCCTGTACTGATTCCTGCTAATCGAAACAACTTAGAAACGTTGTCGTCACAATGAGCCACCAGTAACTGACGCAGAGCCTGTACCAACCGCATCACGGCAAGCCCCAGATCACCAGGCGATAGACTCTTCGAAAGACAACTTAGAGCCTTCTAATAGTGCCCTTGGGTCTTCTTCTCACTTTTCGGATACTATGCCGGCTGTTATTAGCCTGGAAAACGCTAAATCCGGGCCAGCAGACCCAAAACGCGGCTCTTCAAGAGATACCCATCTGCGCTTTGTTGGAGACTTGAGCCCCGAGGCTTCCCTCTTAGTCAACAGAACAACCAGAGAAGGAGCTCAAAGTGTGTCGCGTCATGATTATGTGGGGGTGTGGCTGGATCAAAAGTCTGAACAACCAACCCGTCGAGATATTCATGAGAGGAACGACCATGGACAACCAAGAGCTGAATCTCGAACAGATGACGGGGCTCCACTACTTGAGAGGCTCAGGCCAGCACTTTCGCAGGAGTGTTTGGTAACTGTGCCTCCGGATTCCGAATATGCATGCCTCTCGTCCATATATTACGCCAAGATCAACCCGATCTTTCCAATCCTCCACGCCGAGGCCCTGGATCAGCATGCTGAAATGGAAGCTGTGGCCCTGAAACAGTGCATTTGTTTGGTCGCGTCGATGGATCCATCGTCGAGGAAGCACCTGCGTTTGATGAATACTGAGAGAGTCCACTCGCAGATTGAATTCAGAGACCGAATGGCGGCGGCTGTCAAGCAATCTCTTAACATGGGATTCCTCAGCGACAACATGGTTATCCTACAAGTTTCGGTTCTTATGGCATTTCATGTGGATAAACCGGGCTGTAGTGATCTGTCGTCCTACTATTGCGCTCAAGCAGTGAACCTTGCACAGACTCTTGGCCTTCACCTAGGATGGCCAAGTGAGTGTGACAGAATCGAAAAGTCCAAACGCATATTCTGGTGCGTGTGGGTTCTAGACCGGCTTAATGCAGCTGCCAATGGGCGTCCAATAATAATACATGAGCGAGACATGGACCAAACCATCCAGGCCTCTGCTGACTCCCAACAACCTGCATTTAAACTGCTAATATTTATCACGCGGTACTTGGATCAAACTATATCTTTCTATCGTCCACACGCCGATCTCCCAGGAGCAGATGCTGTAAGTAATACTTCCTTTGAGGACATGGTCGAGGAAGCTGGTGCTTTGGAAGTAGGGAATGCTCTGCTTGGTAAGTTATTCTAGCGGAATCCAACAGGATGATGAGTTTAACGAAAGACGAGATTAACATATTAATAGCATCACTCGAGTTGCTTTACCTGTCGGTTGTCATTCTCCATAGTAGACCGAAAGCGAAGAAAGATTATAATGGAACCCGAAGCTCCGAACTTCAGATATTTGGTGCGACAAGTATTGTTTCAATTGCTTCGCAAGAGTTCAAGGATACCGTTTCGTTTTGGCCTATCGTTCCTTACTCTGTCTCGTTGGCAACATCCATCGCATACAAGGGCCTTCGCAATAGCATCACGGCTGCAAGTCGAAGACGAGCCTACGCCCTCTTTCAGAATAGCTGCGAGGTACTTGATGGCCTAAGGAAAGCATTTGTATCTGCACGTGCTGTCGCTAAGTTGGCAATGGATACATTGCAAGAGATGGAGCGGGTTACAGCTGAGAGGAGAAGGAATCAGTTTGCACACAGCGGCCCAGCGTCCTCAGTAGAACAGTCCCAAGATGCTGGCCAGCCGGAAGATGTGATTCAACTCCATGAAGGCCAACGATCGACTTCAGCGGCGCATCAGGCTCCTCACATGCTTTTGGAGGTCTCCGAATCTTCTCGGAGCAGCCTTCGGCCTTTACCGGCGCTGAATGACAGCTTGATGTTACCTGATGAGTATGGCCTCACTCATTTTGAAGGAGAGGCAGGGATTTTCACAGACTTTGATCCCAGCTTTGATCTTGATCGTCTTGACGCTCTCTTTTCGTCGAATCTTGATCCTACAGTTCCCGTTATATCAACGGAATGGTTTGAAGCAAACTAATACAACTACACCAGGTTAATATATCAGAATTTATGTCAAGATCTGATGTGCTAGGTTTTGTTCAATTTCAATACTTGATGGGGAATCTCATACGTAATAACGCTCAACCCTGGCGTACTGAGCTCAGAAACGTGAGGATTCGTGCTTACAGCGTCTTTGAATACCCAAAGTCTCTCACAGAGACCATATTCCTATGAAGAGGCAGAGATACTATGATAGTCAAAATACTTTGCGAGGGGCCATTTGGATTTGAATGCAGTGAATTAATTTTCTCTTCTTAATCGATAGTTCAAGATTGAGACTCTATGATCCAATCTCTTCGGTTTTCACTTCCTCTTTCGCTGGACAGCGTAGAAAGCCATTCCTTCATCAGATGTGCTAAATGTCACCATACTGCTTTCTGGGAAAAAGTATACATCGCCCTTCTTAGCAGACGACTTGTTTCCAGTGCCGTCGACCAGTTCAAAGGTCCCATCGAGAATGATCAACGTCTCATTGTACGGGTATTTGCCAGTAAGTGATTCACCGCGCGTCATGCGGAAGAAGCCACAAGATAAATTCTCTCCGTCCGATTGTCTAGTGTTCCTGTATAAGTCACGATCATCCTACAGATTGGAAGAAATCAGTTTACTTACGTGCCGCAAATATCACCGAGGTAGGCGTTTGACTCCCCGATCTGCGGTATTTGGAATGTGCTCTGGGCATTGACAAAATGCTGAATGGGCGTTTGGAAATCCTGGGCTGGGGACATCTTGCTTGCTAGGTAGTATAGGCTTGAACGTTTATAGGAACAAATCGAATGACAACGTTTATCCTATTGGCGCCTCTGTTCTACGATATGCCCTGAAGTATTTATAATCCAAGCCATGCACGCGCTTTGGCCTCTTGATTTAGTGTATCGCAGTGAGTATGGCCCATTACCTAAAACGGCAAAAAGTTGCGATTGAGGCATCAACATGGACCGCCCATCGCCAAGAGGAGATGAGATGAATGGTCTGATAGCCTGAGAAAGTAAAAGCTTAGTTTGTTGAGTATGGTGTTCGAAAATGAGGCGCTAGGTGTTTGAGTCTATCTCAAGGGTCAAGTCGGCTGCCTTAGGTGACCAAGAAGTTGTGTTAAAGATGAATGGAATTGAAGCGGCTTTATATCTAACCATATAACAGCAAAGAAGGGAATGGCATACCAAGCTCACACCGAATGGTAAAATGAGGCTAATTCTGCATTGTATCCAACCGTTTGGGATATCGTTAAACTGACGTGCACCGGGTTGTGTGTAGAATTCAAGAATTTTGAACCCACCTCCCCAAAGTCTACCATGTGCTTGTCCTCGTGGCGACTTCCATCCGTGAGGTCTTGTATAAACCTGAGAATATCCCCCCGTCCATAATAAGAGAGCGACCAACGAATCGACAAATTAGACATGTTCTACATCTCCAATAACATTACTAAGGCCTATTGTTATCCATTTCCCTATTGAGCCCATGTTGGCCACTGTGCGCTTGCTGTTGAATCAGAATAATCTGGTTGCATATTCCCCGTGGGCCTGTTGGTACTCGAAATAGCCCTAGCTCTGTTAGTATGTCTATTTCTACGGAAGATTAGAGAGCCATATTCACATACATAGTCGAGATGCCACCCAGTTGCTGTACTGGGTCATGTAGCTCTGATAACCATGCGTGGGTGAGAGCTTGATGCGCTGAAAGTCGATCTGATGGAGATCGAGCCATAATATTTTCAATAAAGTTAATGCAAGTATGGCTTATTCTCTTCTCTAAAAGGGGAGAAGTCGGAAATGGTTGTTTCAATATCACGTATCGTCCTACATCTGGAGGATTGACGAAGATATCCTGGTTCGTGAGGAGCCGGAATGTGATGGCACCAAGAGCCCAGAGGTCCACAGAAACAGTATACATGTTGTTCTCTTGGGCAGACTGATGGGCATTGGTGTCCTCAGGGGAGAAGAAGCCAAGAATCTCGGGCGCTAGGTATCCTCTCGTTCCAACTAGTGTGTGGAAAGCAGTGACCTCCTCTTCTGCCCTCTTGGATATGCCAAAGTCGCTGATCTTCACCCACCAGTCAGGGGAGGATTCAAAGACAAGAATATTCTAACAGAAAGTTATTACCCGACCAATTGCGTCTTGGATACGGTCGACTTGCCGCAGGCTTCAAATCCCTATGGGCGAAGCTGTTCTCATGCATATAGGAGATTCCCTCAGCAATTTGATATGTGATCTGCTGAACTTCTCCTTCGGGAAACTGTTTCGTCAGATAACCCTGAAGATTGCCCTTGCTGGCATATTCCATGGTAATAAATATCGTCAAATCACTCTCGTACCAACCGTATGATTTCACAAAACAGTGAACATACTAAGGCAGCATTAAATCTTTCCTTTCTTTTTTTTCATCGAATGTTCACTCGACTTACCTTAGGATGGGAGAATTTGGCGATTGCCTCTAGCTCTCGAGTATAGTCGATTTCCTTCCTTGGATCCTGGGGCGGCGTCTTTGCAATTTCCTTGACAGCGCGGAGCTTTCCAGCCTCACTTCCACTTAGAAGTTCCTCAAGATAGACCTGTCCAAAGGCGCCAGTACCAAGCTTTTCGCGCCTCTTCCATGCCTCCTCCTTCTTCATCCGCCTTTGGCGCATATGGGGATTTGAAGTATAGACGATATGGCGGACTATTGAAGTATCATCGGTCTGGAAAGCTATGAGCTTCGAGTCACGAACTAGGTCAGATACAGATCTATTCTTTGATGGTAGACCAAGACTCGGGCTTGGACTTTGGCTTTGGCTTTCTAGAGGGGGGTTTACGGCAGGGATGCGCTGCGGTGTGAGGCCGGGTGGTTCACTCGATTTCATGTAGGGTCCTGGTTGCTGAGCCGGCATTCGACCAACAATTGTGGCTGACGGTTGAGGCTCAGGGTTTACCGTAAACCCTCCTAGTGGAGGAGGGGGTTTGAACCGCTTATGTTCACCAACAGCCAAGGGCGGTCTGGGAGAACCTCGAGAAGGTGGTGGGGGAGGTGGCTTTTCGCGCCTGCTTGTATGCTGAATCACCGAGGCTTGAATACGCGTAAAATCCAAGGGAGGGTTCGGTGGTCGCTGATCTCTATAGCGCTTTGGTTCGGATGGAATTTGTGGAGGTGGCCCCATCATTTCTTCATCCATGAAGAACCGCGGCGGGGATATCTTGTCGGCCTGGTCAGTCACTTGATGAGGGAGGCTGTTTGATGCTGTTTGACGCCAACCCTCCTGTAGTTGGAGGGAAAGGGGGAGAGACGTTGCATACCGGAGCCGTTGCCGAATTGGCCTCCTCATTATATTTGCTCATTGTGCTCTTAGGTTCCTCTTGACCTGATTTCTTCCAGAACATTGTTCCCAGTGGGTTCATCAGTTCGGTCGTGATGATCCCAAGGGTCGCAGAACCACTGGCAGATGGACAGTGCGAGCTTGTGCCAATGGATTAGGCGGTGATACAAGCCCTGTGACGAGTATGATAACGCCAGATTGATGGGAAATGAGAGGCTGTGTAGTCCTAGTCTTGGGTGAGTGTTCAGCTGGGCTGTGTTTTTCTGGGGCTCAGGCTAGCCCAACAGCAATCAATCAAGGATCAGCTCAGCATTTGATTCATTCAGCTGCCTCCCCATTGGCTTTCCCCGCTCATGGGACCACGTGATTGATCGGGAGTGGTGTGCTGAGTCGATGCTGTGGCATCTGTCATCACCAAGATCAATCCTTCATCTCAAAGCAGCCAGACGTGAACGTACACGATCGCCTTTGCATCACCTTTGCAGCCACATATCAATAGATTCGTGGAGCTAGGGGCATCCTGTGCCCGTCATGCCCAGCATCTTAACGGATCCTGAAAAAGAGATCGTCAAATCAATAATACCGAAGCCCAGTAATAAAATACTCGCGGTCGGCCTTATCCGTCTTTATGTTGCCTACCCTGACCCCAAAAAATGGACATACACTGGGCTTGAGGGTGCGCTGGTACTGTTGAACGACTTGCTTCCTCCCCATGCGATATGGCTCCGGCTTGTTGACATTGCTGTGCGTGGCTTAAATCTTTCCCTAGTAAACAATCAATAGCTCTAACGGGAAACCCTCTACCAGCCGGCAACACGCGGCGTTATTTGGGAAATGCAGGTCCCTGAAGAATGGCGATACAGTGCCACCAAACCATTGCTGCACACTTTCGAGATGGACGGAGTAGTCTATGGGTGCTCATTCTCTGACGAGAAAGAGGCAAAATGGTTTCTCAAGAAAATGGACGGCCGGGAAGATTCGGCGTCCAAGAAGACCAAGTTAACTCCATTTAGTTACACATGGGACTTGAAGTTCGAGACTCTCGATGCATTTGACCCAAAATGGCAGGAGAATATTGGAGATGCCCTACGTGAGAAGGGCCTTGACGATATGTTTATATACAAGAACCAGGAGTTTATAGTGGACTTTTTGAAGGAGGAGCAATCCAAGGCCCGTTCTTAGGGAAGTCGTGATCCTCGTGTTATCGATGATGACTCTCTAAGGTATGAAGCGTTGGCCGGCATAATTATACACGAGATTAGCTCCTACAAACTCTGCGAGTTCCAATTTTTATATGCGTCTCGCCGACCCATCACTTCAGTGTTAGAAGAATTTTGTTCCAAGCCAACCCGTATGTCAAGTGATTATTTCCGACCCCGGATGATGTTGCAAGCAGGGTCGGTAAAATATTAACAAGCTGGGAATAACTGGTGCTGGTCACGTATGTCGAGAGTGCCCATGTAATGTAATTGAGGTATGAGTCATTCTGGGCTTGAACTAACGAGGAGTTTCCCGCGTGGAACAATTCCTATCTGAGACCCATTGTGAAGATAAAATGTATTTCCCATTTAGATAAGCTACATACTTGAACTCTCTCTGACGCGCAAGACCGATCTATTATGAGTGATATCCTACATCTCCCGTAGGTTGGGGTGTGTACGGAAAACTTTTCTACCCCTAAAGATCCAATCAAGTGATGCCGCCACTATGATGAAACCGTATACTGCGGAAATATAATTCATGTCTGCCCCTGGATGTCAGCACTCTTGCACAAAGGTAAATACCCGATTGATTTACTCACTATCGGCCGTTGCAGGTAAATATGATGGGAACGAGTATCTAATAAGATAGTCTCGCATGTGAGTAAAGATTTCTCTTTGATGGCATGCGTCTGAGAAGTTTGGAGACCTACAGGACGAAGGTAAACAACACCCACATAAGGAGGACGATATTTGATACCCAGCCAAAAGAATGTAACCAAAATGGTCCATGCTTGATATTATTTCGGCCTTTTATGAGCAAGCATAAGACCGGAATGGCATAAGAGAGGTAAGGCAAAACAATACAACCCGTTAGAATTCTGAGGAGGTTAGTTTGTGCTGGCTGTTCAGTGGAAGGAGACTTGTCTCTTACGCATTGAATGCAGTTGTTGAGACAAGATATAGACAGCCTAGAATAGCATCCAGGATGCAGCTAGTGATATGAGCATTGAGCGGGACGTCGAGCCGGGGGTGAACCTTGGCTAAAGACAAGGAGAATGGGAGCCCCCCGTCTCGAGCAAAGGTCCAGCAAAGTCTTGACTGCCATGTGTGGCAAGCCGCCAGACATCCGACTCCGGTAGCAATTACCAGAGTCTCAAGAACAATTGCACCTGCTCTGTTTTTCAAGGCTTGATAGAAGAGCTCTAGGATGGGGACACCGGTCAAAGTTGTTGATACAACATCAAAGTTAGAGAGACTGAACATCATGGAGAGAATGAATCCAAAGGAAGTGACAAATCCTATCCCTACAGTGCCCATAATGGCAATCGGAATAGCTCTTTCTGGCTGGGCTATTTCTTCTGCCATGTGGACGGCTGAATCGAGACAAGAAAAGCCATAATTGACGTTGATGAGCCCAAGGATGAATGCCATGGCATCCTGCGACCAACCAGTATTGTTGATAAAGGTTGCGAAAACGAACTTGGCGTCCTGATGTGTCCTCGCAACTGAGGGGACTGTGATAAGGATTACAACAAAGGAGATCAATGTTGTGTATAGTGAAATAGCGGCGATTTTCGGGAGGGTCCGTCCGTAACAGTTGAAGAAGAATACTACTATATTGGCAACCTGATACCCAACAATAGTATGCCAAGGGCTTATTTCGCTGAGAACACGATAATGTTAGCTTAATTGGCACTTGGGGAGCAGAAACAAGGCTTACAATTCAGGATGGGAAAGTTGGTAGCACCCGATGGCAGCAGATGCCACAGAAAGAGAGACCGTCGCGCACGCACAGATAGATCCAGCCCAAGCTAGCCACCCAGTCACATAGGCAGCGCCACGGGCATAGTTCTTAGGAGCGAGCTCAGAAACCCAGAAGATTTGTCCGGCCGCATTGGGCATTGAACTGACCAGCTCAGCGAGAGAAACAGCAACACCAATGGAGACGAGAGCGAGGAGAAACGTGCCATAGACCAGCAGACATGAGCCTCCCGAGTTGATGCCAGTTATCAGGGCGGCCGAGACACCCCACCAGGAGTTGGTCAAAGAGAAGCCAACGCCCAAGACTGACCAGACCGAGAAGTTCCGTTTCAAGTCTTGGACGTAGCCCATCTCAGCAAGTCGCTCGGCATCAGCATCGGAGCCGTTGCGGACCTTCTCAACCTCAGGGGCGCCTTCGTCGTGATTCATAGCGACTAGTGTGACCCTCACTGGAGGATAACTGTATGGATAAATGTTCTTTGACAAAAGTTCGTCGAGGAGTATGCGGGAGCACAGACAACTGAGACGAATGCAGCAGAGTGAAGATTGAGAAGGGAACTCTACTGCATATAGCTGTGCCAGGCCATGCAAGCAGAACCTCATCTGACAGACCCCAAGCCTTAGATCCTGGGGAAATTGTGGAGAAGTCTGATATTGTATCAGGATTGATTAATTGGTTTGAGACTAGTCGGCTGAGTCTGCTTAAGATTAGGAGGCCTTCATTTTGACGGCTGGGTGAAAGCCGAGATAAGGAGAGTGACGCTATTCCCAAAAGTGCAAAAAATCTCGACTGCCCAATTGTGGGACACGCCATCGAAATTTACTTCCTCATGTAGAAGATCTCTGGTCCTCTCGGGAATTTGAATAGGCTTCATTCGTCGGGTAACTAATCGAGACAAGAAAGCCTATCAGTAGCCACAGCCGGGGATGGTTGCACGTGTAGATAAGTTCTGTCCATAGCCTCCCTGGCCAGCATCTGCAAAACTTGATATATCTAGCCTCCTGTGAGCATTGGTAATGCTAGTCTAGCTGGAAATAGTATCTCTGTCGTCATGTCACAACTCAGCATCCCCTCCATCGCAGCTACTGCTGCGGTGTTCTTCCTTGTGTATCGGTTCATCATTTTCCCTCTCTTCCTATCGCCATTGTCTAAAATTCCATCGGCACACTTCACGAGTCATCTTTGTCCACTATGGATTTACTGGATCCGCTACAAGAACATTGAGAATCGTACAATGTACGATCTACACAAGTTGAAAGGGCCTATTCTCAGAACTGCCCCATCACAGCTTAGTATCAACTGTTATGAAGGCGGCCTGAAGACCATATACACTGGGGGATTTCACAAAACCGACTTCTACCACAATCGATTCATCAACTATGGGTCAGTTCACCTCTGTTTTATTCGTAATCTCCAAACTAACGCCTCAGTAAAGAGTGGACCCTATGTTCGCCATGTCGGGCGCTGCTCATTCTGCTCGAAAGCGAATGCTTTCACACGTGTATGCCAAGTCATACATCTTGTCCAACCCAACAGTGCGTGCAACTACCAAGGCAGTTCTATATGATAGGCTGCTACCAATCATCCACGAGGCTGCCACATCTGGAGCTACTCTTGAGGTGTTGGAAATTCTTGCATCATATTCTATGGACGCCTTCATGACCTTCCAGTTTGGCTTGAAACTAGGAAGCAACTTTCTTCACAATGAGCAAGAACGTAAATGGTATCTGCACACATTTTATGTTAGGAGACCATACCTATTCTGGATGACTGAACTGCCTAAGTTTACCAACTTCATGAAAAAGGTCGGCTTCCCGCTGGTTCCGAAGTGGGTGGACCAAGCCACTCTTGACCTCGAGGACTGGCAAATGCGCATCTGCGATAATGCAGAAAAGCTCCTCTCCGATGGCTCCGAAATAGATGTCAAGGATGTTCCCCTAGTATACAAACATGAGCGGGCGGCCTTCATCAAGCAAGATGGGGAGAAGGGACCTCTCAATGGCCAAGCTTACCCTCGCCGCTTGGAGATTGCAAGTGATATGTATGATCACAATGCAGCTGCTCATGAGACTAGCGGCGATACTTTGTGCTATTTATTCTATGAGCTCTCGCGTCGACCAGATCTCCAGGATAAGCTACGAGCGGAGCTTCGCTCTTTGTCGCCTCCTCTTCACTACCCTTCGACACCGGATGAAAACGGCGAATCGCTTCCTGATTCAAAAGCCGTTGACCAGCTACCTTTCCTCGATGCAGTTCTTCAAGAGACTCTTCGTTTGTGGGTCGCCGTACCAGGAGGTCAGCCACGTGTCACCCCAGAACCATCTTGCAGTCTTGCTGGTTATGACAACATTCCCCCAGGTGTTCGTGTACAATCCTCTGGATTCGCAATCCACCGTGATCTAAATGTCTTCCCTGAACCAAACGAATGGATACCGGAGCGTTGGTTGAACCAAACACCAGAGAAATTGTCCGAGATGAGACGGTGGTTTTGGGCATGGGGCAGTGGGGGCGCCATGTGCATAGGAAGCAATATTGCCATTCATTGTGAGTTTCGTTGTTATAGGAACATAACTGTATAATACTAACCAAGCTCCTCTCAGCTATGAAGCATTGCATTGCCGGCGTCTACTCCAACTACAAAACATTCATTGTCCATGCACCGGACATGGAGTTGGCAGAAGGCTTCACTGCGGGACCACAGGGTGGCAAGTTGGAACTTAGGTTTCAGCATGTTTCTGAATAGAAAGCTGAAGTTCATTGGCTTGGTTTGAGTCAAAATTACGTTTTATATGGAATTGGGAGGCATTTTGCATGTAGCTCGGTCGATAAATGTGAAGCAAAAAGTAGTATGTTCCTCCTTCGTTGCAATGAGCCGATCTTTTAGACGCATCGCAATAAATTTTTCGTTCGCTTGAATTAAGAAGACGAAATGAGTCGATTTGATTATCATGCCTCACGAATGGTTGCTCGCCCAACTCATTCCTACCGCATCAGATCTTGCTGAAATGCTCATTTACTGCCTATGATTGTCAAGTATCAGCATTACCTCAGGGCGTAAAGGAAATTCAGGGATAAAGAATTGAATAATTTCATTTGTTCAAGCATATAATATATTGTGTTGGGGGAAAAACGAACAACACCACGGCTGTTAGCGAACTTGAAATGCAGACTGCCGACCGCACCAAAATCTAACAACCTTCCACAATAGCTATGAAAAGGAGGTTTTGAGTTTTGTGTGTATTCTTATTTGATCAAATGGTTCACGTTTACAGCTAGTCAATTGACCTATCATAGCCGCCGTAATATTGCAAAAGATGTATCTTTCATAAGAAGGGATTTTCAAAAGTAAAAATAAGAAGGGGTAAAAAGGATGTTATTTTCTACGGATGCGAAAAATAGCTAATTTATCTAACCCGGCCAATTTGACAAGTGGGCCCCGACTCAATATATTATACCTTCGAGTCTGTGCCGTCCATTGCAATCTATACAGGATCAAAACAACAACGCCAAGTGGCTCAGAGACAGAGCAGCAACACAGCCAGCATAGATCTCTGTAGATTACAAATTAAATTATACACAGGAGACTTTACCAATGTATTGTATTTATAATTCAAGATGCCGTTAAATATCGGCAGCCCTTGGCTTGGGTTTAATGCCGTAAGCTTCCATGCTATCTACCTGAAGTGCCCTTGGTGCTACTGTGGCATTCGTCAACTCTTCTCTCCTCATACAAAGCTCATCAGACAGACGATGGAAATCGTTAAGGAGACCAATGCGCTCAATTTCTTCCCATTTCTTGTATCCTCGTGCGCTGTCCTCCTCAATCGTCTTGAGTACGCCTTCTCCAGGTTGGAAGACCATGATCTTGCCACTCTTATCAAACCGCTCCCAAGGATCGTTGCCACCGGCAAAGGTAATCCACATCTTGGACATTTGCGCTGAGACCTGGCGATGTGAAGCCGGGAGATGCTGGCTAAGAAGAGACCAGATGTACACATTGTCTAGCGAATGATGGGCCAGTCCACTCCAGTCGTTATCAAAGGGAGAAGGCACGTCAAAATGATATGCATAAACTGTAGGGTATGCCCGAATCAATGACCAATTCACCGCCGAATAGAGGCCATGTGTGGTAAATTCTTCCATCTTCCAAAAGTTGTCATCGCCGTCTGCTGAGGGATTAACTTGGTAAAGAGAAAGAAGTTTGTCCGCTTTCTCCTTTGAGCCAAGGAAGGAATAGACCCTATCTGTAAACTCTTTCGAGTTAAGGGATCTAAAGCTTTTGTTCCAGATAACGCATTCGTTCTTGACGTCGCCAATGATGATCCGTTGGCACCAAGATGGCGCTTTGAAACTGGAATAGTCACTGTATTTGGGCATGGGCTGTCTGATGAGGACATTGTCATCACACGGGCTGAAGGTTATAACGGGAATGACGCAGACGGGCACCATAGCTGCTGTGACTTTGCCCTCGTCCATATCTATTAGGCGCTGTAGACGTTCTCTTGGTGGTAGTTCTGTGGAAATGTCGAGTTCTGCGAGCATCTTATCGTAGATGACTTGATATTGTTCAACTGTCATAACGCCACAGAGGGGGAGTAGCCCTGACTGGATGATTGTAGACGAGAAGAGAGGTTCGTTGCGGAGAAGATGGACGTTGGCGGAAACTATTATTATGAGCTTCTCTCTTGACAGTTTGACGCAGTCGTGGTGATATGACATATTGAGGTTATACTTACCACCTCCAGCGCTCTGGCCAAAGAGCGTGACCCTGTCTGGGTCTCCGCCAAAGGCGCGGATGTTTTTCTGGACCCAGCGAAGGGCCTCAACTTGATCCCAGAGTCCATAATTTCCGACACCACTTTCCCCAAACTCAAGATTATACTCTTGAATCTCTTTGCTTGCCAAGAAGCCAAAGACCCCAAGTCTAAAGTTAACCGAAATGATAATTGTGGGCTCATTGAGTTGTTGTGAGATATCAGCCAGTGCACGACCATCATATATAGCAGCACCGCCGGCAGCGTAGACAAAAGCACCCCCATGCATAAAGATCATGACAGGGTAGTGGCCTTCGCCTGCATTTACGGGCGGTTTGGAGGGCACGGATATGTTCAGGCTAAGGCAATCACTGGAACTTGTCTTGGGGTTGTCAACCCACGGTCGTTCTGGGCTGGGGATGGGGTAAAAGTCTCGGGGCGGCTGTGAGCAGAACGGCCTAATCCGAGCAGGTAAGAGGATAAGCGAACGAACACATTACTAACTGGATGAATAACAGTTTGATACGTACCCAAGCTTAGTGCCGTCCCATTTTCCACTGGGCCAGGGTTTCGAGACTGGCTGCGGGCGGCGGAACCGGCCTGGGACTGTTGCGTAGGGGACACCCATGTACTGACAGACATTGTTATCGAAACAAAGACCAGCGAGAGTGCCGAAGCCGGGCACATCCAGGTCGATTGGGGTCCACTCTTTGGGATTCATTTTGATAACAGTGTGCTAATCACGAAGCACAGCAGATAGTAGACTTTGTGTGTGCACTCGACGTGTGGAAAGAAGCCATGGCCAACTGGTTTCGCAGATCTTATATTATAAGCCATGGTCATGCATCGCATTCTGTTGCCGTATCATACAAATCAGCGCAGTCGCAATTTTTTCCCCAATATGGAAGGCAATCCGACTGAACGGCTTTATCTGAGATGCGGGGAACATGATACCCCGATGGCCCAGGAGAGATAATGACATATGACTACACGAGATGGGCTAGTGTTAGATTCTGATAGCACAGGGAGATGAGGCATGAAGAGATAACCAGTGAGAGAGGTGGGATTGGTCACTGAGTCAGTCACCCATCAGCTTGACTCGACTCCACCCCCGCACTTACAGGCCTCGCCTCTGGATTTCTCCAACCGATCTGATCTGTTGTGTGCAATCTTTATTTCGTTTGGCCATCGATTGCCTTGTGTGCTCACCATGGACAAATCATCTCCCCAGCCCACCAGGGCCAAGACGAAGAAGGCAGGCCGGGCTCCGAAGAGATACTCCCACAATGGCTGCCCGAGGTGCAAGGGTCAACGTGTACGTATCGCGTCCCCAACAGAAACTCACTCCCTGTTTCAGTCGTTCCATGCTCACAGACCGGTGGATAGGTGCGATGTGATGAACAGCATCCTGAGTGCGGACGATGCGTGCGTGCCGGTGTCAAATGCCCGGGCTATGACCAGCAACTCAAGTGGTCGAACAAGTATGAGGTTTTTCTTCCAAATGGGGCTGAGAAAGCCGTTCGCAAAACCACCAGTGCCACCAATGCAAAGAACGTTAAGGACAATGCCGAAGTCCCCGCCATGCACATGCCAGATGCTCCAAACAAGAGCAAAAGCCCGGTAACCCCAATGAATAGCCAAGAGCACGATGAGGTTGCTCAGGGAAACCCTTTTGTGGACGATCTCTCAACCCAAACCACCCCACCAAGTCACTCGCTTCTCAACGTACCAGAGCTTGAAGAGTGCTCTAAAGTGCCAGAACTGGCCGAGTATCTTGAGTTCCTAGATCCAGTCCCAACACTGGATTACCTCGACACCTTTGATTTGTCAAGCTTCGGTGAAGACTCGATAAATCCGCTAGAACGGCATAGCCCTAATGATGCACCCTCCCCCAGCCAAATGGACAGGCCCCAGGGCCAATGGCTACGGAGAGAATCAACACCTTTCTCAACTTCAGCAAGCGCCTCGTCTAACTTCATATCTGTGCCTTCGTTGAACCGAGCTGACGGCGCTACCTGGTCGGGCTTGATCAATGGTCGCCTTACGAGTACCAAGCCGCCCAAATCGCTCAACACCCCTGCGTTGGTTCTTGTTGAGTTTTACTTCAAAGAAACTGCACAGATATTCTCCTGTTACGACAGCAAGATGAATCCGTTCAGGACAACTGTCTCGCGTTTGTGGGACTCTTCCCCGCTCCTCTACTCAACGCTCCAAAGTATGGCCGCCGCGAGCCTTGTTCAAGACTTCCCACAGCTTGGAGCGTTGGGGCGGAAGTTGAGAAAGGATGCGGTCGAACTACTCGACCAATGCCCTTCGCACAACTTGGATTCCTTATTAGCCATGCTCATGCTCGGCGGTTCAGCCAGCTGGCATGATCCGCGGGACCTGGGACTGACTTTCTTCAACCGAATTCGTAAATGCTTATCCACCATGCCAGCAAGCGAATTTACGCAGGCCGATGTTGATTATCACTTCTTCCACCAGTCTATGACCTATTGGGAAATGCTTCTCTCATATGTGGCGGAAGATGATACTTTAGATATGTGTGAGAAGCCCATCATGTCTACCGGTAGTACTCCTCTTCACTTTGTGCCACATCCATGGACAGGATTCGCACGAGACACACAGAATGCCGTTCAGCAGGTTGGAAGATTGATCCGGAAGCAGAGAAAGATGGCCTTTTCGCATCGGTTTGCATCTCTTGCACATATAAGACAATTAGAGAAGGATATGGCTACAGCAAGTGAATTGGAACAGTATCTTGTCAACCTATCCTACCCTCTCGAACACACTGTGGTCGACCCGGAGGATAGCAACACGCCGGTATGGCATCTGCTGACTCTAGCAGAAGTATACCGATGTTCTGGCCTGATGCAGCTCTATCACATCTTCCCCGATTTATTGGATCGCCGGCTCTCCAAGGATGGCCTCTTGGATCTTGAAGCTTACCACGATGGTATCCCTGGTGGAATTGAACATAGAATGAAGTTGCGCAATTCATGGTTAACGTCGTCGGCGGTACAAGTGCTAAGCATGATGAAGTCAATCCCTGTCGAATCTGGAACCCGGGACTTTCAACCTTTCATCCTAGTATCGCTTTCGAGTGAACTGAGAACCCCGATCAGGGCCCAATCCACCGGCGGCTCTACGTCCGAGGCCGAGCCGGTAGATCAGCTTGATGGTGTAAACTCTCACGCCATCGAAATATCACGGATGCGGCACTTTGTGACAAACCGCCTCAACTCGTTTCTTTACATTTTGCCACCAAAGCCTATTCACGTATGTCTTGATATCATAACTGAGACCTGGAAGAGAATGGATGAGTGTGCTTTTTTGGCGGTGGATATTCGTGTTGATGAGGAGGGTCTCTATGACCACCCAACGGATGTGTATTGGATGGATGTTATGATTGAAAACGGCTGGGAAACGACAATGGCGTAATATCTCAGCCATGTCTCACTCACACGCGTTTAGAGAAATTAAAGTATTGTCAATATGAGTCAGGCGCATGGCACTACTGTATGGCCATAATTTGCTTGCTTTTTCAGTATAAGCACCATGCAATGATCTTCATGCAAGCTTAATGATATCAGCATAGCATAAGGTCACTACAGTAGAACCAAAAGTCTGCATTACCCTTCTTATTATTAATGCAGAATTCATCAATCGGCCAGAAGACATCATAGTATGGCAGCCACAGTCCGCGAGATAGCATCATAGTGCTACTGGGATCGGGGAAATGGACCAAGATCGATCTGGCTAAGTCTCTAGAGCCAGACCTTGTGACTGTCAAATATCTCCGGCCTACACCCACTTGTGCTTCCACCTACATCGGCCCGCCATCTTTGCCACACAGTCGTTTGGATGGTGCTTCACCGCCAAATAGCGTCCGGTCGCACTACTTTAGAGGAATCGTTACGCCGCGTCGTTCCACCAAGAAAACGGACGCTTTGGTGCGAGTCGGTATGGGACATTCATGAATCACGGATGGTGCTGGCTCACTGGCCTTGCCCAGAGCAAGCCAAGAGCTGAGCTGATTGATGCTTGGCAGCCACTTTTCCAATACGTCTCCACATGATGGTGCTAACGGAGGGCCATTTACCATGGCCTGGGCTCACCAGATACTCAGTAGGTCGTGTATCATCGCGATTTGATACGGGAAATCGATAGTGTCAGGGAACTCTGGACGTGTTTCGTCGAGCGAGCCCGGCGCTTGTATCATGTGTCAAACAACACTGCGGCAGGTGGCGGGCATTTATCGATGGCATTCCGTCATTGGCTCCCTCCGGCTAGCGACTAGCAACGCCGTGTTATCGGGTGGGCTGTCGTGTAAGCGCGGATTTCAGGGGGACGGCGAGATTGATGGCGTTCACGGCTGGCGTAGCGTCTGATTCGTGTCACACTGACCCATCGCACGATAACGAAGTCAGGCCAGGCTAAGATGGCGGGATGGGATGGGGAAGTGGTATTTTATAATACGAACCCGCCTGAGATGTGGGTTGGGATGGGGGACAGGAGGAGCATCAGAGGCAGCAGCTTGGTTGGTGGTGCCGGTGCGACCGGTGAGAACGACCTAGCCAAGATCTGGCAGAGGCTTCATTGGACCTGTGCCCACGAGTTTGCCTCTGGTCGATCCGGGTTATGCCGCCTGACGCAGAGGGACGAATTGGAACCTGCGCGGAGCCTCCAGCAATGATGCCGTGGCTGGACTAGACCGGTCCCAAGAAACAATAGTCTGGACTGAACGCACTAATAATAATTCCAAACGGGGCTTCAGGTTCAGGAGCCTCAGGGCGCTACAAGAAATTGGAGCAAAGCGGCATGCTGCATTGACGCGCCGCAGCTGGTTGGGCCTGCACATGCACGTAATGTATGTCTTCCCAACATATTAGCGAGGGGCGGCCCAAGGCGCCAGTTCCTCGCCGGTCCTGGTTCCCATATCACTGTCGTGATGCAGCTGTGACATCGCCTTCGCCATCTCTTGTCATTGCTTGCGTGTGCTCTGCCGTGCTGGGCTGGTTTGCGCAGCCAAGTCTCCTTTGCCGGCGCTGGTCGACCTTTCTCTAGGTGCCAAGCGCACCAGCACGCCGCCGTCTGCCCTTCGAATGCGTCAATTGGCTCCAAGGGAGCTCATCATCCAAGCTTGGGCCGGCTTCAGAAATCCACCGTACCTCACAAGCAGTCCAAAATATCCCAAGGTCAGGATGGGACCTGCGGAAACTCACCTCGAGCATGGGCTCGTGAAGCTCTACTGGGATGGCGTCGAGCATGAGCTCCCTGGGCTTTTGCACCTTTTCCATCAGGAAGCACCGCCGGTAGTCACTGTCGACGACGGGAAGATGGCCTCCGAGGACGGAGCCACGCAGATGGACCTAACGGTGACTGTAGAGGATGTTGAGAGAGCGGGATCTCACTCAACCCCTCCCCAAGCTGCACAGGAGGATGCTATTTCCCTGAGGAACAGAGTCCGCACCCTCCTCCGCGCATCAGAATGGCTGGACATTGAAAAAGTCGTCGAGGATCGGGAACACGCCACAGTGCCACAGAAAGCCCAGGGTGTCACAAACGTCTCTAATCCCACCCGAAATGAGAAGATGGCAAAGAAAAGGCCATCTGCCGGGAGACGACTATTTGAGCGGATGAGGCGCGTGAGATACTCCGTCATTCGGAGTACGTATGGGAGGGGCAAGTCTCCCTATGCCGCGATGCACATGGCTTTGCGTATTGGAACAGTCATGTTCGAGAATGGTGTAGCCCAGTAAGTTCCCTCTGCACGTGGATGTTTCTCACGCCTCTACTTGTCGGATACTAACGTGGGATAGCACGGATGGAGGCGTGGTGATTTCAAGTCGACTTTCACCACATCCGGATCAGGCAACCCTTCGCTCTTCAGAAAACACCAGAGCACTTCTCTTGACCGGAAAGAAGAGGAAACTCGTCTTCAGCCAATCACGGAACCCGGCCCAGCAATGGAACAACACGGCGATGAAGCAGGTTTCCGGGAATGACTTTTGCGGTCTGTTTGATGCAAAGAACGAGAACAAAGTCATCGACGCATTCATCCAAGAGAGTCTCAACGTCAAGGAAAGTTGTACTGGGAATGTCTGCTCATGTGAAAGAGACAAAATCTATGCAGGCACCATTCGGGTCCTGAACGAACTCAAGCGGTATCTTGGGCCAAGAGTCAGACTCTATATGAGCACAGTGGCGAGCCGTCTTCTCGACCCCTCCGTCCGCTTAGCATGGCACCCAGACAATAACAACTGCCAAGCTTTTTGCGAGAGCCTGATCGACAGTTCCATCTTCCGGCTGTCGTTCACCTCGAACGAACCGATCAGTTTCGGGGGCGGGGAAAGCACCGCGCTAAACCCCTTCGTCGACAACTCGGATCGGTTGAAAGAAGTTACACGTGATTCTCGGCTTGATACTTCTGGTGGTCTTGCCGAGTTTCTGTCGACCATCAACCCAGAGTCGAAGCGAGGCTCTGAAGCGATGGATCAGCTCACGCAAGTGAAAACCAAGAATCTTTCCATCCACCTTCATCGTCCATCCCGCACTAGGAACAAGAACTCCATACACGAGCTAGTACAATAATAATAATAATGTTTTGGGTGAAGCTTCTTCCTAGGGTCCAGTATAATTCTTTGCATCAAAGGCGTCGTTGATAGTTTCCTAGGCACAAGGAATGACTTAACGGGGAGACTCAGGCTTGGAGCGTTCAGCATTCATACAGTTTCTTTTTATGTTATATGGACAGGATTATGTATATGAAGAAGCTGCCATAATTAATTTCAGAATATCCTTCTCACTTCCATGGCGCCTTGGGTTTAATCATCATGCATCTATGTTCCCTTGGGAGCATTCTCTAGTCTGGAAAGCAACATCCCAATTCCCCCGCTATCCTTCCAATAGTTGTCTCTGGTATTCTTCTTGTTCTTGCCGTACCTTCTCATTGTACTCGTCAATCTTCGCCTGCTTTTCCTTCGGCGGCAACGAGTCAAACTCCTTCACGTTCTTATCCCACGTCGCCACACAAGTTGGCTCCCAATTACAGTCCTCCACTTGCCCATAGGCAGGGTGCAGATATCTCCTATGCTTTGATGGCCAATTTGACGCGTGGTAATGGTGCTTGACCAGCGAGTTTCGCGAGTCGTGGTTGCCAGAGTCTGAGTGCCCCTGACCAGCGCAGAAGGCCTCTACTGTCAGCACCAGCACACGTCCCACCACCTTGGACTCGTACATATTATGGAAATTATCCCAAGTCACCTTTCCCTCTCCGCGCTTCCTCTTGCTGTTCATCTCATCTAGCAAAGCCCGCGTGAAGGCAGAGGGGCCCGTTCCGCTGATGACTTGGTCAAAGTCAAGCTCGACAGCTCCGATGGCAACTCCTTGCTCTCGCGCAACCTTCTTCATCCAGGCCATGATATTCTCAATCAATTTGAGCATCACTGGCTGCCCAGGACGGGAGACTATTGTCCATTGGCAGAATGACTCGGACTTGGACCCCAGGATTGGGTGGTTGCGGAACTCGGGCTGGTCTACCTCCACACCCACAATCATATCGTAGTCGTTCTCGTCGAAGTGCTCGGGGAAGAAGCGATGGAAGGGCTTCATGGCCTCGACGTCAATGTCTGCATAGACCCCACCCTCAGCGTACATAATCATGTACCGCAGCAGGTCAGCCTTGATGATGGGCAGGTTGACGCTCTGGTAGAAGTGGATAATGTCTGGGCGGTTCAGCCCGCGGGCGCCAAACTTCTCCTCAATCCAGGTGAGGTCATTGAAGTCGGTGATGACCTCATATCGCAAGTAGGGGTTCTTCTCGAGCCATGTGTGGGCGATGACGGAGTCGCGGATGCCGAACCTCATCGGATCGATCTTCCATGTCTGCCATATCTTCTGGGGGAATGTGCTGCCCGGGCGCGTCGGTCGTGCCGCGTAGCCATTCCAGATAATTGTGGCAGGTGAGTAGAAGAGGTCCCAGTTGAGGATGAGGAGGAAGAAGAAGACAATGGCGGCGTACAAGGGCACGCTTCGCTTGACTTGTGTGGGTATTCTGTTCCTGAACTTGGCCGTTGAGGCGGCGAGCGTCGGGGAGCCCAACGGCGAGTTCATCATCGCATACGCCTTCATTCGGTGGGATATAGGATGCGAATTGTGGAAGATATATGGATATTGATCACCAGCAAAACGAATGTGCCGTCTATAGAGCGCAGACGTGAGGTAATAACGAGAGTGTGTTCATGTCCCAGAGCCTGGCGAGAGGAGGGGAACAAGGCCAGGACAGGGATGCTAAGAGGAAAAGAATTGAGTTCAGAACCGCCCGATTGAAATCGCTTATTACCCCTTGTTGAATACAGGAGTACAAGTCTGTGGCACTTTCAGGATAATGACACCTGCACCAGGATGAGGTAGGGTGGCAAAGGGGATTTCTTAATACTAAATCTGGCCGTGTGTGTGTGTGTATGTTGCCTGAGGGCATGGATGCGAGCTTCTCTCCCGGGATACGTGGGGCATAAGCCATGTGATTGATCCTGTCGTGATGGTATCATATCACAGCTCGGACAAGGGTCTCGAGATGAGAGCCCAATAATGAGACCGAAGCGGGGTGTCATGGCCTAGTAGGTCACAGTGGGGTGGCAACAGAGACAAGGCATCTATGGAATGTGGGAAGGGCTGGGAGAGTGGGAGGGTTGCATCGACGGTTTGTTCCCTGTCGAAGGTGTAGGCGGAGGCGATGTGAGTGGTGCTGTTGGCAGTGGTGCGATGGAATCAGACCGCAAGCTGCCTCCAGTTTTACCCTCCCCTCCCTGCTTTGTGATGGGGATAGAAAAGCCCGAGGCAGCAGATCTTCGGCTTGGACATTATAGTGTCGGAAGGTGATCGTATGCCATGTGCTCTGAGTGATCCAAGATGCGGTGAAAGGCCAGAAGTGGTGGCATACACCAGCTTGACGGAAGGTTGACGATACGGTTTTTGGTGGTATTCTTGCCATACTCCCTCATAAACCTACACCCGCTTATAGGTGTGTAAAACCGTAGCATGTCCATTTCGTTCTTGGCCAGGGTAGTAGAGCAACTCCTCAACACGCAGTAGGTAAGATAGCTATCTTGGCCGATTCTCCCTATCCAAGCGGCAAGCACTCTTCGTTCGGCCGGAAAACATTCGGCGAAGGCAGAAAGCACATGTCTCCGAATCGACTGACATGTGGGATTCGAGCCGAGTGAGATAGCCGCCCGCGCTGCCATGATCGTCGTGAAATGCAATGCGAAAGCAGCCAAAACTCCAGGCCATACCGTTCTCGTGTTGTTGCTGCATTGATAGTCATTGGTTACTCCACGATGAGGCACACAAACCCGCGCTCCATTAAGCCGCGGCGCTAGCAGAGCAGAAAGAGGGTGTGCTCGACGCAATGCGAGAAAGCTGATCGATCCGACAAGGACGATCTCATTATGTTCCCCAGCATGAAATAACGGCCAGGCGATCCTCATTTGGCAAGGCCAGTGTGGTTTTTAGGGCCGGAAGATGGCATGACATATTCCTCTCCGCAAACATGACCTTTTGTGACCGGGGAGCCCCTGAATAAACCCCTGATCCCCTCACGGTCGACGCCAAAGGATCCAATAACTAGAGCGCTTCTAGCCTTAGACCTGCTCTCCATGGGCGAAATGAACCATTCTACCCCAGACTCCACCGCAAAGCAAGTGTGCTTTCATCGTGGTTGTTGGTCGCTTCTCGGATCAAGCTGCCGTAGAACTCCTCAAACATCAGACACTAGGCAGGGGGTGCATTTTAATGCCTCCGTTCACCTCCCACTCCTTCCGTGATAACTTGGAATCCAACACATGCAGGTCCTGGAAAAGTGTGGCAGCCGAGGTAACCTTGGGGATCGTATTCCTACCAACCTCACCGCAGGCACACACCAACAGCTCACGTTGGACACTCGAGTGTCTGCAATAAGCGTAGGCAGCGTTCCATTGCAGTTTAGCGGAGCAACCCCCGTCATCCTCCTCCCACCTCTTGGATCGCTGCTTTTTACCTGCTGGGTCTTGTTTGCCTGAGCAACAGCTCTGGGCTCCGGCCCCCCTGTTCCATCATGTCACAATTGGTGCCAGCCCCTCGTCCCAATTCTTGGCTTTGTTCCAATGGCTGGGATTTCATTATTACTTGATGTAAATGCACTAAACGGGCGATCTCCATCATTACGTGCCGGTTGACGCGGTTTTGAAGATTTCCCCTCTTCCATCCCCTCGGTCCCCTTACTTGATCTTCACATGCGAAAGCCGATTCCTGTCCATTGCGCGTCTTCCTCCATCACTTTCGGGCAAAAGAGCAATAGACATTTCTCTACATCTTCGACGACCGTTCACGACTCGAAGCAGCAGAGAATTTAGGCTTGGATCTGTTCCGGCTCGATTCTCCTCAGAGCAGACACACAACCAAGACATGATTTAAATTCCACTGACTCAGTCTGACTGACTGCTCTCGCCCATGGAAGGAAAGCCGCATTCGACCACGAAACTCCCCAAGATCCGACTCCAAACCGACTTGCCACCCCTCATGCCTACCCCTTCACAGCAGGGCGTCCAGGAGTGGGACGAGGTTGACACTGAGATGCAGAATGGCGGTCTGCTACTGCAGAGGGACGAGTGGTCGCCGTCGTGGAAACCTATCGCATCTGTCTACAATGCTCCAAGACATATCCTGTCATTCGTCGGTGCCGTTTTCCGCTTCTCGAGCGGCCCCAGAACCATGGCAAAGATGAGGCCAACGGCGTATCTCGACGGCCTTCGAGGCTTTGCCTGCCTGATCGTCTACTTCCATCATCACCAGCTGTTTGCGCACTGGAAGAAAGGTCAGGCCGAATTATTCGAGAGGGGATTCGGCTACGGTGGTAATTATTATGCCATCGCATTTCCGTTCATTCGGAACTTCTTCAGTGGTGGGCACTTTGCCGTCTCAATCTTTTTCGTCATGTCGGGTTACGTCCTCTCCCTGAAACTTCTACATCTTATCCAGGCGGGCGATCATATTCAATTGGGCGATCATGTCGCATCTTCCCTCTTTCGACGGTGGCTTCGCCTATTCATTCCCCTATTTGTCACTCTTGCGATCTACGCAAGTTTACTGCATTCCTTTGGAGGTATCACACCAGGAGACAAATTGCTCGTCAAGCAAGGCAGCTGGAGGGACGAGATGTGGAACCTCTACTGCAAATTCAAAAATTTCAGCTACATATTTGGCGATGGAGGAGAGCCTTTCTTCACGTACAACAGCCATCTATGGTCTATACCCGTGGAGATGAAAGGGTCCATCCTCGTCTATACCTCCCTCATGGCCTTTTCCCGCTGTACACGCAACGCAAGGCTCTGGGGCTACGTCGCCCTCTTTGTATACTTCATGTATATTTGTGACGGCTCCTACTACACTTTTTTCTGCGCAGGGATGCTGCTTTGTGACCTGGATCTTCTTGCAGAGAAAGATGAACTGCCCGGTTGGATGGCTCGTTTGACCCCGTACAGAAAATGGATTTTCTACCACCTATTCATCGCCAGCCTGTACCTTGGCGGTGTCCCATCATTCAACGCTGAAATCAATGACCTCCGAGAGAGTCGCGGCTGGTACTTGTTGTCTTTATTGAAGCCACAAGCGGTGTTTGACCCTAAATGGTTCTACCTGTTCTGGGCATCTCTCTTCTTCGTCTCATCGATTCCACATTTACCATGGCTAAAACGATTCTTTGAGACAAGTTTCTGCCAATACCTGGGCCGCATTTCTTTCTCGCTCTATCTGGTCCATGGGCCAATTCTAGCAGTAGTCGGTGAAAGGCTCTACATGCTCACAGGCTGGGTTGGGGATGAACCAGAAGACATCATGTGGTGGGCGGACAGATTCCCACTACCTGGAGGACCACTTGGATTCGAATTATCGTTCCTTGCTCCGCATTTGATACTCCTGCCATTTACTTTATTTGTGGCAGATTTGGTGACGAGGGGCATAGATACCCCGAGTGTGCGCTTTGCAGCGTGGCTTTACAAACAGACACTGGGAGATGCATCAAATGGTGGTAATAAGACAAAGGCGTAATTTAGACAAAGGATCAGAGCAGGTAGGTAGCATTCAATAAATGAGATCTGCCTGCATTCCTTCATATAGCAATTTGGATATAGAGCCTTGCCATTGGACACAACTAACCTTGTTGAGTGCTCCAATTTCGCCCCTTGCGTATTCCTTCTGGTGACAACCGTAATCATTGCAGTAATTCACAGAGGAGCCATTTGTCCCCTATGCCCATAGTACAACACTGGCTGCCACCGCCGGAAAATTATCTCGACATACTTCAGCTCACTTGCCAGTTCCACCAGAGCTCACCCGCAACTGAGGGGCAGCTTCATTGACTATGACGATGGTATTGATCGACACCCTTCCCCGCCTCTCCAAACAGACCCATGGCCCTTAGCTCTGTGAGGCCGGGGGAATGACCGAGTTTGGGACCCTTGGCGTGCAATAGCGTGCCGTTGCCACCCCTGACCTGAGACTCCCCAGGGATCAGCAAAGCTATCTACGGCTGCTCTAAACGGTGTGGCCCCCCAAATGGCCTGAGCTGCCTCGGTAAGCACATGATTTTCGATGTAACGCATCGCTTCGCACAGCACGCGTTAATTTCCAGCCCTTCATGGCCCATCTGCCATCTGGGGAGGGGTTTTCCCAGCGACCCGGAATTTTGACTGATGAATGAAGCACGGCCCAGTTCTCTCTTGGGTACGGTGAGTTTTCATATGCAGACAACGTCATAGAATATCTTGTCCGGATAGCTTGCAGAGTGGCTATTGCATCCCCCTCTTCACGACAGGAGTGATGAATGGAGATAGCAGGATTTCAGTCTAGATGCGTACATATTGGTGTGCTTAACTGTGAGGTGATCTGACGCCATCCCCTACAGTTTCATGATCCCACTCTAGCACGCTGGTCCCAGAGAACATCCTCATCTATGCGGACCCCTTACCTCCCTGAATCGCCAATATGATATTCAGAGATGCCAAGCGGTTATCGCTGCTTGTAGCCCCCGTCTTACTTTTATTATATTTAACATATAGTGTGTACCATTCACCGCTTGCACTTGCGCAAGATCAGATGTTGGGTGCACACGGATCGCCGCAACAACAAAATCAAAATCAAGAGCACCTTTCCAGTCCGGATTCCAATCAAGAAACCGACTCTAGCGATTCTGAAAAGTCCAAGGCAGACACAGACACGTTAAAAGGAGTCCCGATTTTCCCCAACGGAGCGCAAACAGACATTCCTCCACCAAAAGAAAATGAAGAATCGGGGCTTGTGCTGGGACATGTGGAGGAAGAGCTTGTCGCTCCAGAGACACACAAGGAGATTTTCTCCCAGTCTACCTTGAACAAGCAATTCTTTTACATCGACATGGACGGTGCAACTATTCTCAATCCAAATCTGATTCCTCATCCCACTGAGAACGAACGATGGATCGTGGTTGCTCAACTCAAAAACGCCGACCATATGTCTGTGGACAGTTTCGAGATTGAGTGCACTGCCTCCTTCAGAGATCTAGCGATGCGCTGTGACGGCGCACCCAAAGTACTACCTATCAAGCCGACAAGGGGAGACAAGTGCACGGGCAAGTGGGAGATAAACAACCTGAACAGCGGCCCTCATGACGCACGAGTCTTCATGGGCCCCGAGTCGCCATTCGTCGTTTACGGTTCCAATTCCCAATTCATCTGTTTTGGCCAGTTTGTACAAAGCTTTCAGCACCTGAGCGATTGGGATTCGAAACCGAAACCTCCCTTGTTTGAGACGGGGACAGAGATGCAAAGACCCGAGCCTTCAGGAAACCAGGTTGAGAAGAACTGGTTCCTATTTTGGGACGCGGAGGGGAACATGTACACCCATTATGATGCGTATCCGAAACGAGGGTTTTCACGATTATACTCAGACGGAACAACAGGTCCTGATCTTGCGCTACTAGCCGCTGAGAGTGATGGCAAATGCCTGGACAAATATATGCCCAAGCTGGCTACGGAGAATGAATGGATACACCAGGCGACAAACTCGCTTCTCCTTACCATGTGTCGCCGGAGCGACCAGACTTGCGTCCGGTCAGAAGAAAATACCTTCATTATCACCATAATTCAGCAGAAAGTTCTCCAAGGACTACGCTCTGTATACGAGCCGTACGTGATGGTTTTCAATCAGCGGGCACCCTTCGCGATCCACGGAATATCCAAGAGACCGTTGTGGATTCATGGGAGGAAGCCACGGCTAGATCAGAGCACAACCGATATGTTCTATGTTACCTCAATGGGATGGAAAAGCCAGGGTCAGAAGAATCATGGATATCTGGACGATCACTTATTCTTGGCGTTTGGGATAGAGGATGAGATGGGAGGGGCGATTGATATCGTTGCCAATGATTTGGTCGATGATTTGGGGCTATGCTACGAAGCCTGAAGCAAGTCCACGCTGTTTCATACTCTGTTTGTATATTTCTCCTTCGTGTAATTTTGAGGGTCTGTAGAGTTTTATTTTCAAAGTACATACATTTGGGTCTTCTAAGGTAATACCGCTGATATAGACAAAAGTCAGGCACAGACTTCATGGGCTGCGTATTATGATGATTGTCATTGTTCCTAGTTACCCATTACTTGGGCAGTAAACTTCTTATACTTCCTTCTACCCTTGACTTCTCAACCTAATGTCAGGAGAGATATGCCCCGAGCTAGTTATATTTCCGATCAGATGTCTTACTCTACAACAATGCGGGTGTATATCTCCACCATAGCTATTGCTTTAAAGAGCCAGAACTATGATTGCTCATCCGATGTCTGACTTCAGAATAACGTACGATCTCACACACCAAGTCTTCGTGACGAGACTGTTAATGCTCGATAGCTCCCTATGAAATCTGAAATACCAAATATTACTACGTATGCATGATGGATATCTGGATTTTGCGTATCTCATATATTCCCACCAGTTGCTTTTGCTATCAATTAGTAAATACATAATCATACGTTCGTTGACAAGCAATGTACCATTTCCTGTCTCGCTATCATTTATAAACTACTCTTCAAAGAAATGTCGATGGCTTTACCTCATAATCTAGTAATTGATTTTTCATTTCGTCTCATGCTCTCTAGTCGGAAGTGGCTCCCACTTTACAGCATCTCTGGGGCCCCAACTCGGTATACAACCACATCACAAGGATGCTCGAACTGACTGCAAGCTTGCCTTCGAATATGCGGCGGTCTTCTCCCATCCCTCTTCTGCCACCATGTTTTTGACAGCTGCGCTACCTTTATGATGACAACATACAGCTAACAGACTAAAGAAGGTTGTCAACTATTGTCCTACTGGGGAGAAATGAATTTGATTGAAAGATTTGTGGAAAATTCAGTACGGGGATTCCCAGAATCCCGGGTTGGTGTATTGACGGAGGAGAGAATTGAATGGGAAGGCAGATAGCTTCCTTCTCGATTCTCTATTGCTTTGTGCAGCAAAACGATAAGTCTCTGAGTTTCACATTCTGAGGCAGATAGAACACTACAAATGTCACCAGAACTTTGGAATATGCACTTGAGAATACAAGTATTGTCTTAGGGCCCTTTCACTTCTAATCTATATCTCGTATCCAAACGCTGGCTGAGAAGTATATTTTGGTAACTTGCGTTCTTCCATGCTCTTTTGCTTGTCCAACCTTTGGTTATCTGATGTTTTCTTGAATATATATGTATAGTCGATGATGAAAATTTTCACTTATTCTAAGTAATTCGGGAAACGTCTGATTGTAACAGGGCTATCTTGTCCGTCACCCACGGGTCGTATGAATTGTCCCTCCTAGGGGCTGACCAATGTAAGTACTGTCAACCTGTACTTGTGTCTCACAAACAATTCCACGCTGTCCAAACTGCCTAGTATACATGGCTCTTTTAAAACGATCTGGGGAGTTTCCAACTACTTCGGCTTTCCGCTCCAAACCTGAAAGGGGCACTAATCGGACCTCATCTGTGAGCAGAGTTGAGTCTGTATCTTTGGTAGATACGCACCCATGTCTAGGCAAGCATTGTGATGAAGATGTTCGTTCTTTGGTGCTCATTGAACCTTTCAGCCAGTCTCCCGAAGAGGTGGTCCAGGAACCGATCGTCGAGAAAGTTGAGGCCAATGATCCAACTGCACGCGGCAGGATCGGACAGCACATAACCAGTATGATACTGGCACCCTCGCCGGCGCAGGTCATTAACACGGAAGAGAAATAGTACTAAACAATCTGTGAGCCTCATTACATGGAAAAGTTGACTGATAAGACCAGCTAGCCTCGTCAATAGGGATCGTCATACTGTCATATCGTCTTCAATCGCGAGCATGAGTCTGATCATGTATGTGGTTCGCACCGCAGCCGCGATTATACCAATAACACCAATCGCAAACACAACCGAGACTCCAACTTTCTTGTGAGTGGACATTTGAAGACTGAAAATGACCTTTTGTGGAATGATGAAAATGACTACGTCCGTAGCCAAGTTGAAGCTTGACGTGACAATGCCAATCAAGGGCGAGTTGAACACATTGCAATGGCCCCCAATCCGCTTATCCCAGCTGGAAAATCATCAGTCAGTTTGTCTCCTGCGTTTGCGGCACGTCTGGAACTGGTACTCTGTCTCGTTAAAGAATTCATAGCCAGTATCCAGTCATGTTGGACGGCACAACAAAGCCACTTACTTGTATGCAAATGGAGTACAAGATGTACTCTCCATCATAATAACACACGTGTAGAAAATTATGTTAGCCCCGAGGGTCATGTACACAGCCCAAAACTCCGCGCCTCGTCTGCTTCCTAATGCGAAGATACGGATCCATTCCAGCAAGATGGCTGATTTGAGAAATACCATGTAAATACTCAGAATGACACAGAGCAGCTTCAAAGTCTAGCCCAGCCCAGCATTGTCAGCGCGACCAAGTAGGTTGATCATCGTTCACCAAGTAAACGTACCCGGAAGAAAGGTAGCAACAAGCTGGGGTCGTCGGAGAGGAGTTCTGTCAAGTCGGCCATGTGAACAAAAAGGCCAGGGTTTTGGCCTAATTGATAGCCAAGAGCGAGATATACCACCCAGATAGCCTAGAATATCGTCGTGAGCAAAATGGATAAACATCGAGTATCGGTGGTCGCGGAAGACAAACATATCCAATAAGTAAGAGGTCTAAAAACAACAATTAGTACATGTACAATTCCCAAGGGCAAGTACAAAGGTGCTACTTCCAATCTGCCAAGAGGGGATTCCGGAGAACAATAAAGCGTGCATGTACACGAAGCAAAAGAGCGACGGTCGCGATCAATAGACAAAGGCTGATGATCGCATAACCCATGATGTTGTTATTTGGCGGCAGCTCCTCCTCCATGCTGGGCTCTGTGTGCCCTGCAATCGGGGTGCAGTATTCGAGAATATTGGAGAAGATGAAGAAAGAATGTTTCCACGGCCCAGAAAAAAAACCAACAGGAATTTTCAGGGTGGTTTGCCACGTTTTGTTTTCGTGCAACCTCTCAGATAAGCGTTCCAAGAAAAGAGGTAGTATTATGTGGTAGCACTCCACTCCTCAGCGTCGCAAATGCCACCTCTGCAAACGAAGGGACATTTTTTCTCAAAGAAGAAGGTGGAATTGTTTGGTATGATCGAGGGATCATGAAATGCAGTGCATATGCTCGGGATAGCCGCGCGTTGCGGTAATGTCGTGTAACAGTCCCAAGTCCATAGGCATGGCAATGAGCTGCCGCCATTCTATGCTATTCTTAGCAGGGGCTGATGCATGTATTCATTCTCCTGGTTGGCCAGTAAATATTGACCCCGGGCCTATTGCAGAGCGGCAGTTGTATTCCGGCTCATAGGGGCAAACAATGTGTAGCATCCCCCCTTGTAGGTGCATTCGGTTAACCACTCATTGCATTCCTTCTCGCAAATGGCACCACTGCCATCAGCATTACTGTTGCATCAGCTGGAGCTTTTGTCCCGCCCTCACCAATCAAGATCGCTGCCACTGTGTTGCTCTTTGAAAGACTCTAATTCTTTACATAGCATCCCCTGTAGGCCACGCGTTTACACCCAAAAGCAAACTCTTGGCTTTTTGTGAAGCAAGCTGATAGGACAAGTTGTCTCAGCCATTACTCCTGTCAAGTCTGTAACCTAATAAGCATCTCCTGTCAAAGCTATGCACTGCTTTTATCGCTGAAAAACGCGGGGGTTGACGAAAAACAATAACTACTATACCTAATTTTCTGTTTCTCTAAACTAACATTACTGTAATCTTATTCTTAATTAAAGCGATAGAGTATCCTCTGCGTATTTAGTATGAATCCTTCCTGGAATGCCTTTTGTTATTATCTTCCTCCGATCCATCATTCGTCGGGCTATCCTCCCTTCGTGAAATCTTAATCGTCATCGTGTTTTTGACCATAATCCCCTCCTCGTCGTGACTATTCTTACGGAACTTGTTGCTCTGGGTATCTCCAGAGATGACCGTAGCTACACCGAACGGCTTGTCGATGGCATGGTGGTCGAATCCCCCATTAGAAGAGCCTTCTCCATGTGAAACGTCGGCGAGCTCATATGTTGACGCAGTCTCGTCTGCTTCGCTGGGAATCGCAGTCATGTTTTTCGTTGAGATTCTACCGCGGTGAGAGAGCCCGTGAGAAGCGACACCAGACTCCATGGCCGAACTTCCGGGGAGTTTACGTTTGAAGATGAAGTTCAAGGCTGGTCGGAAGGTGGGCAGGGAAGCTGCGAAACAGATGGTTAGGCTTGGTCACTTACGTCTATTGACAAATGACGGGATGGGGGTAGGAACATACCTGACACGGTAACAAGGTTGACCTCGATTGTGGCCCAGAAAACAATACTGCTAATGTTCCAAGTGAAGTCGATTGATTTTGCGTCGAAGTTGACAGACTCGACTATAATGGCCACCGCAGCCACACAGATGCTATTCAATTACGCCTGCTGTCAGTCTGCTGCTTTCATCTAATCCAGTCGAAGAACTAAACTTACAATACACCAAACATGAACATCAGCATGACACCAATCTTTTGCATAATCGGCAAGTTGAGTTTGTAGATCTGCACGACGGGCAATGAAAGGATAGCCAAGTCGATGAAGACGTGAACCATAATGGTACCAAAGAAGAACTTGGAGTCATCGATAGCGCAGTATCCGCCCGCATTGGAATCCCAAAAAGCATGGATTGGAACACAATGCCATATGCCCATGAAAGTCTATTGCATCTGTCAGCATGATGACCTGCTGGCTTCAGCTGAGGCATAGAAAGCTCACTCTGATGATGATCCAGACGACCGAACAGCCCAAGAGGATCTGGATTGGAAGCTTGATATTGGTGACGCCGAACATTCGCCAATAGAATGCCAGAATAGAGACCTTGCCGAAGAATAGTGCAAAAGCGTAGAATAATTCGGCAACGTAGAGGAGTAGTTTGTTGATCGTAAGGACATCTTCGATAGGTCCCCATGTCACATCGTGGACATGCTGCCCCAGTCCCTTCTGTATCCCTGTGATAAGAGTATGGTTAGCTCAGTATTCGTATTGTCAAGATGAGGTTTCCAACATACAGATAATGATGATAATCAACCACACAACGTCAATAATCTATGTGACAGCGACGTGTTAGTTTCTAGGGCCCAATGTCAAAACGACCAGTAGCCGTAAATCTTACGTAGCATGTGATGGCAAGCCAATCATCCCACCAAAACTTCAGTCGCGTAAGAACCCTGCTTAGTACTCGTAGCAGTATTGCGATAGTTGCAAAACCGAATGTAATACCAAGAAGGGTCCAGTGGATGTACACCTGAGACGCCATCTTGAAAACTGGCCGATAGGTGCGGTCAGACACAGTACTCCCTCTAGGTCCGGATGAAAGGAAAGACACAGAGAACGAGGGGCCTGCCAAATGTGCAGGAGATCAAGTAGACTAAAAAGCAAAACTCTGGGGTGCAGCGTAACGCGAAAACGTCGAATACTTCGCTAGTCATTCATTACTCCGTGTTTTCTCAATTACTGGCCTCGTCCCTGTCTGCTCGCATAAGATCCGTACTTTCAGGGCTTAGAGCGATCCCAATCCCTGGTAGCGATCCGGATCTTCATCCCGGTACCCAGTGCTGGGCCCAAGTACGTGGGACATGACATGCGTAGGGTCTCGGCTAGGGCCAGGCGTATGGCCCCTTTCAGGTTTGGCAGGTGGAGGGTTTCATCGGGGCTTCGCTGGTCGGCAGTCGCTCGGAAATCTAGGACGACAATACTGTGGATTCTCGACACAAGCAAGCTTGATGGAGGGCGGTTCTTGGAACGTTGGGCATACAACGGCCTGTTTGACGAGCAGTAGCTCAGCTTTAGTTCGCTTCGACGTCGATCAGAACACTAGCTGGAGGTGGCGTCAGAGTTTGGGTGAACGGACTGCTTGACTATCACTGAACGGGGTAGTCCAGGGGTTGCGGATGTCATCGAACACGCAATGCGTGACGGGTTTCAACAGCCACCAGGTCGGCAGTTGACAGTTGGCCGACGCCATGAAGAGCTTAAGACATTAGAGTGTGGCATCTTATTCTGTTTGACAGTTGCTAGTCGCGACCAGAGCAGCGTTGGTCGTAGGTGAAGCCAGCAGTCTTTGAGTAGATGCCCAGGACATTGCTTCGTAAGAGACGTAGCGTTTGATATTGCAATCTCGGCTGTCGATCTGCGGTGAGCGAGCTCATGTTCTAGTGCTCACTCAAAACTGGGCACCGATTCCATTCTAACTGAAAATTCAGACTCACATTTGGCGAGTAATTACTCCAAGCAGCTAAGATGTCACCAATGATCTGAGGGATGATCTTCTTCATGTCGATCACCACTCCACAGGCCCCGTCGCCACCCTGATAAATTGTACATCACCCGCTGATTCTTTTCTTTCCGAACCAGTGCTTTTCATGAAATCGGGCACCGGGGATCTGTGCTGGCTACCCGGCGCGAGTCAAACTCGACATCTTTCTTCGGATCAGTCAAGGCACTCGATCGATGAACCAAATTGAACGAAATGTTGTACAAATCGACCATTGTAGCAAGAAAGCAATACACGAAATTAGATAATACAATGAAAAACAAGCCATAGAGCTAGGCTAGATTGATTGTCACTGTGATCGGCACGACTAAGTCCCGGCCTCTGGCGCGTGAACTAACGCAACGGTGCTTCTTTGTCAGAATGAGCCAAGGATTCATGAATATCCACTTGGCTTCAATAAATCTGCATTCATTTCGCCTAAACCCCGGAAATCCCTAGGTCAGAGAGTTCACCCCACGAGTGATCGGCGTGATGACCTTCAGGGCATCCACGTGATCGTGCCGACCAGGAGGTTCACATGGCTGTCAAACTGTTCAAGGGTCAGCTTCTGATCCTACCTACCTATGCATCAGCTTGCTGAGAATGCGCTGCGGAAAGGGAAACTGTGGCCTTTTTCAGTTGAAGCATATAACACTGGCGGTTCAGCTTGTTGGCCAACTCACCCGTCAGCATTGATGGGACTTTGGGCGGCCTCAAACAGGCCCCAACCATGTATTTCGACCGAGTGACTCCCCTGAGTTGGCAAGCACTAGCAATACGGAAAGCCAAGACTCCAGGACACCCTGTGAAGAAATTCTCCCTTCAGTCTACAGTCTGTCTTTTTGCATTGCAATTTATTCTAAATACAATGCGAAGCCCAAAGAGCTCTAAAAGACAACGTGTTTTAAACCGCGCAACATGCTTGCTGTTATGTTCTTAAGATAACTTGGGACTATGAATTCACATCGATCGCTCGTGACGGATGCTGATCAGAACTCCAGGAGTAAGAACATCCAAAATCTAGGGCCTAGCATAGAGGCACAACTTCAACGCCTTCTCGTACATGTCTCCTGTCAAACAAACCATGATGAAATCCATCTTCGCCATCGTCTTTTTCTCCGTTTTCGTTTCTGCACCTCAACACCCAACCTTCCCAGAAAGTTCCACCTCGAATCAGATCCCCCAGTTCATTCTAGATCTCGGGAATGACTACATCGAAGCAAACCGCCACATATTAGAATTGCACGGCAACCCCAAGGAGGTGCTCTGCCACCAAGAATCTCTACTTCGAGACTCCCTCCCATTCAGCGTTCCAGATGATCTGTTCAATGGATTGTTCATCGACAATATCAGGTTTTCAACACCTCGCCGGGGGTGGCAGAATGCCCAGGATAGGTTATCCGAGATTCTGGACTGCCCAGCAGCCCTTGAGTCATGTTCAAGATTTTACGTCAACATCTATCGGCATGAATACGACACGTCTCAGCAGGAGCGGATCTCCCAATTCCACGGCCGCCTTGGGAAGTGTAATGATTCACCCAAATGTGACGATGCAATACCATTATATGGGCGACAGCATTGCCCCAATTGATACACACAATGAACTAGGGGAGCAAGCCGATGCCCCGACTGCTCTGGCAGATTTGTTTGTTGAAGTTCTAACCTCCATGCCCAACCTGCAGACGGTCGAATGGAAAGGCCCTGAAGGGACTTTGCAAGGTGAACATTTCGATGGAATGTTCACCGAACGCCGGCTTTCGTTACCGACGGTCAAAACTATGCATCTGCGGTCAGATTTTATATTCCTCGCCGGCATGGCACCCAGCCTAGAGTTGTTGACATATACTCCGGTTCTATCTACGCATCAATCGCAAGAAAGGTACCGGAAACAGGTGCTGAAAATCATATCAGACCTACCAAGTTTGAAGAGCGTTCGGCTGCATTCCTCGTGGGACGAGCGTGATTTCCTGGAGCTGTACAAGGCAGTTCCAAGACTGGAAAGACTGGAAATTGATGGTATTGTGGAGTTCGTGGACTTTTCTAGCTTCATGTGGTCCGGCAAGAAACCATATCCCGAGGGATACAGATTAAGAGCAAGTTTTTTAAGTGTTTTTTCCATTTCAAAACAAATTCATGGTAAAGGACATGCTTAGTGTGCTAACATGGTGACAGAAATATCTCCGCTTGCTCCGACTTTTTGATCGACTTAAAGCACTTGAGTTACCAAATCCATCGCACATAGGAATGCATGTCGCGCCGTTACAAGGACATCCTTTCGCCTACAGGGGGGTTCTTGGTTGCCAAGTTTGGAAGGTATGAGGCGTTTAGGCATATACAAAAAACGGAACAAGTTGCAGCACTCGTTCTCAAGGAGTTGCCGAATCTTGAACGGCTTTGCGTTGGGGGAACATGTACAAACCTGACCGATGACAAGGCGCCTCGTTGGCCTTGGTCTGGGCGCGTACGCGAATACCTACTCAGCAAATACAGCAGGTGGAACTCCGAGGTCTGGGGGAAAATGCTGGTTGAGGATCCTGATGGACCTGTTTTCTTCACTCGCGAGGAAGATAAAACATGGCTGGAGGCCGATAAAGAGCCAGGGGAATTAGACCTCATCAAACCAGATCGTGATTCATGGTTAGCTTGGGATGACAGGTACTCTTGCCTCGGCGTCATTAAATGAGCTCAGTCTTAGTGTTCTTAGGTCTTAAGACATTTCGCAAATAGTTCGGATCAGAGATAGGGAGCCCGAGAGATTATTACAGTTCAGGACAGTTTATCGAAAACGATTATCGCTAGATGTGAGCTCGCCAGATTTGGCGCCAATTTTGCTCAACAGAAGTGCTGGACTTAACACCCTTGGACACTCTAGAGTGAATATCAAGTCACCTGTCTTTCGTCGAGGGGGGAGGAATACTTCATGGGACACGAAGTAAATGTTTTGGGAGTTTATTATACATCTACGAATCAATGAAATGGCCTGCGGAAAATATCAAGGTGAATTTACTAAGCCTAAGGTCATGTTGGGGGCATCTGTGGTGGAAATTGTCAAACGCTTTCTTGCCGACAGATCCAGAAAGAAAGCGTCTTTATGAGCTTGGCCTTCATCCGACAGACAGACTTTGCAAAGATCTGGCCTTAGCTGCTATGATTTCAAGCCTTCAGATGGACAATTAGTCTTATCAGTCGGCTCTACAGGAGAATGGGGAAAATTTACCGCTCATGCAAGCGAGGCTGATTCAGGAAACAGATACATGTTTACAGACCTCTCTTAGGCAAATCAAATAGCTTTCACTGCTTCAACTCGGAATATCTCAATGCAATCCCAAAGTAATTCAAGTGATAACCTAAATTTTCCACGATACAGATGAAGAAGCCATGTCATTTCTGATAGGTATCATAGGATGAAGACATGGATAACTTGCTCTGGCAGCTTCGCTAAAAGATTGCAAGCCGCAAGCGAGAACAGGCCTATTCATCTGGTCTATTCCGGCCGGTGAGTCCGCAATCGTACGACCTACGGTGAATTCCATCCCAATGTCTCCAAGATGACGAATCTACATGACCCAATGCAGGGGGGCTTCAGTCCAACAGACGTTACCCGACGTTACATCGAGGCACAACCCACCGGGGAACCAGGAACGCTATCTACCAATGGGGTATCCCCATACCTGGGGGAAGGCTCGATTACTGGGACGCCTCCCCAAGATCGGAGAAACAAATTCCGAGAGATGAATAACCGGGTGGGTAGCACTCAAATCTTCCGCGTATAGCATTTCTGCAAGCTCAATTGGGCTTCGTCATCCTCAGCCATCTAATTAAAACGTTCAAGTATTTAATAGTCTGGGTCAAAAGCCAACAGAATGGTTCGTCAGCGAAATTGCACAGAGTGCAGGGACGAGCTGAGTCAATCCGAGGATCGTCGCATCCTTCCAATCTCGCCATGAGGTCTATCCTCACCATCTTCGGTGCTCTGCTGAGCTTCTCCGACCTCGTCTATTCGGTGGAGCTCTCCAACGGCCGTTCAATCCCCGATCGACCGGTGCTGATCCCCGCGCCGTACGGTCCTGCGGTGTCTCGACCATATTCGCCTCCACGAGATGAAGACAAATATTGCTTCGTCCCTGGGCCCTGCAAAGAGGGAGAGGACTCGGCTCCTCGCATCTTGAAGGCGTTCCAGAAATGCAATGACGGCGGCACCGTCGTCCTGGACAAGGTGTACACCATCTCCTCGCCGCTGGACCTGACCTTCCTCAAACATGTTGATGTGGTGATCACGGGCGAGGTGCATATGAATGATGATGTGTACTATTGGGCAGACAACAGCTTCAAGTATCCCTTCCAGAACACTTCGGCCATCTGGATGATTGGAGGCGAGGATGTCAACATCTACGGAGATCTTACAAATGAGCAGTCGCTCATCCACGGACATGGCCAGGCGTTCTGGGAAGAGAACCAAACAAATAAGACGGTAGGTTTTGTTTCATACGTCGCTTATCAATTGAGTGAGGCTGACCAGAGAGAAAGCTTCGGCGCCCACTGCTCGTCGCCATTGAGGGTTTACACGGTGGCTCCATGTCCAATCTACGCATGAAGAATCCTGCCTTTGTGAGTATGAAAAAGTCTTCGAATGGATTTCCTGGTGTTAACGGGTCTCAGTGGTTCAACATTGTTGCGAACAGCTCCGACATCATCATCAGTGACATGCATCTTGAGGCCAAGGTAAGAGGTCTTGGATTCTTGCAGTTCAAAGATCAAATGCTGACTTTGACCAATTCAGTCTGAAAATGGCGTCAAAATTGCGAACTCTGATGGCTGGGATACGTACAGATCTGAACGTATTGTCATCCAAAACTCCATCATCGATAACACTGATGGTATGCCTTCCCTTCCTATTTCAATTGTGAATTTGACCATTGACTTAATTATTGTAGACTGTGTCTCCTTCAAGCCAAACAGCACAGACATCGTAGTCCAGAATCTCGTCTGCGACGGCTCGCACGGAATAAGCATCGGCTCCCTCGGACAGTACAGGAACGTCACAGACATCGTAGAGGACCTGCACATTTTCAACATCTCCATGAGCAATGCGAGCGACGGTGCCCGTATCAAGGTCTGGCCGGGCATCGAGACGGATTTCCAGAGCGATCTCAATGGCGGTGGCGGGCTTGGCCGTGTCAAGAACGTCACTTACGACACGTTCTACCACTACAACAACGACAGGGCCATCACAATCACTCAGTGCTATGGACAGTCGAACCAAACATTATGCAATGAGTTCCCGGTGAGTAGTCCTCGATTCCTACACAAGGCGCTTTCTAACAAGTGTTCCCCAGGCGAATCTCACCATCAACGATATCACCATGAAGAATTTCTGGGGAGTCACTTCTTCCAAGTACGATCCCGAGGCCGGCACCCTGGTTTGTAGCGCAGCAGACGTAAGTTATCCAGATAGTGGACTCAGGGGCAAATACTGACCAGTACTACAGCGTTGCAGCAACATCAACCTGCACAACATCACCGTCACTGTGCCCAGCGGAAAGCCACCTGTCTACGAATGTAGCAACGTCGACGAGAGCCTGCTCGAGAACATCACCTGCGTCAACGCTGATGATGGCCGTGACACCGGCCAGGGGTAATGGAAGGATATGGAAAGGGGGAAGGCACATGGTACCATTTAGATTGCTACACTCACGAAAATGGAAAGAAAATTCTACAATTGTACGGAAGAGAGTTCGAGTATTAAGTTAGATAATGGAAGATGCCAGACCTGACATCTCAACACAATGGGTACGAAAGCTTTAAAAAGCTGTAGCAACACAAGACTGCAGTCAAACGGAAGGAAAAGTCTGCAAACCCTCATACCGGGTTCTACAATTATACACATCACAGATTATAGGACAGGTTAAAAATGATGAGCCAGTCTTTTTATTTATTTTTGCTTTACAGAAATGCTCTATGTGCAACTCAGTCCCCGAGACAAATCCACCACCGGAAAAGAAAACCACTGTTAATTAGACACTAGGAATGCGAGAAAGAAACTTGATATCCAAGTGCTTCAAGGGTCCCAGACCCAGGAAGACAAGACAGGATGGTCCTTTTGTTGATCCGCTTACAGCTTGGGGCGGGCACCACCACGGATGGAGCGCTTCTTGGCGCAGGTGCTGGGAGCCTTGGTAGAGCTGGGGCGGGCGGCGCTGGAGCTGGCGCTTGGGGAACCGCCGTTGTTGCCGCCGTTGGTGGGACGGGCGGAAGCGGAGGTGACGATGGAGGTGAAGCTGGGGGTGGCGGTCTGAGTGGCAGCAGGGGAAGAAGCGATGGGCTGGGCAGCAGAGGTGCTGGGGGCGGCAGCTGAGGAGGTGGGAGCAGAGCCAGCGCTGGTGGTGGCGGTAGCGGTGGGAGCAGCAGCGGCGGAGGATGAAGGAGCTGGGGAGGAACCGCTGTCACCGCCGGTCCAGACGGCAGGTCCGGGGATGGTGTAGCTGGTGAAGCTGCCGTAGAGGTTGAAGACAATGCCGGGGTCAGCGTAGGTGTAGCCAGTGTTGAAGTCGAAGTTCTCGCTGGGGCTGGAGCTGCCGCCGGAGGTGATCTCGACCTGGACGCAAGTAGGGTAGAACTGAGCACCACGGGCGGAGTTGACATTGTAGGCGGTGTCGGACTCGTGGTGGGCGATGATCTCCTGGCGGAACAGGTACTTGCCAGCCTTCAGGGAAGAGGGGATGGTGACGACCTTCTTGCCGCCGTTGGAGACGAGCTTCTCAACAGCCCACTTGGAGCCGTCGTAGCCCTCCTCGGCAATCTTGGTCCAGATGCCGCCGGTGCCAGCGGTGTCAGTGTACTCGGCAACGTAGGTGATGATGGGGCCCTTGTGGGACAGGTCGATGATATCGTCGGCGCGGGTGTTGTGGTACCACTCGAAGGTGAGCTCGTCACCAGCGGCAGCAGAGACGAAGTCAGTGACGGCCTTGCCGCCGTTGACGTTGCAGACAAGGTTGGGCGAGGTCAGGTCCTTGACGGGGTCGTTGTTGGGAGGGCTTCGGATGTATTTGCTTCGACCATCGCCTTGGTCTTTGCCGTTGACCCAGACACTCCAGAGGTGGGTGTGAGCAGAGACAACGCTGGCCATGGCCAGGATAGTAGCAGCGGTGCAACGCATGTTGATGGTTTAGGAATGGGTTTTGGAAAGAATGGAATGTAAGTTCTCGTTGGAAGTGAATCGATGCGCAAATGGTGCGTATGTTTTTCGAATGTATGTTCAGAGAATTCGTGATAGAACGTCAAGTTCAGGTATTCCGGCACAGCCAGCTAAATCAAAAAGAGAAGTGGAAAGAGAGAGTGTATCCTGGCCAGGAGGCTATGGTTTGGTGAGGAGAAGGAAGAAACAGCAACATGGCAGAGGAGGTCTGGGAGCTTTATACGATGCTCTCCTGGTTGTCACAAGGCGGCGATGGAGGCTTCGAGGCTGGTAGGTCCCGCCACGACCCGTAACGCAATTCTAAACAGGCTCCATTCATCATCTCGCCCGTCAGGTGGGAGACAGCAGGCCAACGGTCGGCTCCATGGGTTAGAAGCCCTTGTTATGACCACACCAGCCCAATCACGAGGCGGGCAACCGAGCATCTGGAACATGATAATATGCAGTCATAATTTCAGGCACTAGGCGTTGGCTCGTTTCGATCATCTAGCCGATAGCAGGGGGCCTTGGCCAAGGAAAAGAGCTCTGATATGGGTTACATACATCCTGCCGCCGCTGACCAAGCCCCAACATGTGGCAGACCATAGGTTCATCTCACATCTACTGACGAATTCGGATTTCGGAGCGATGAGCCCGGGCGGCAACATGCTTAAAGCGGAGAGAGGCCCCAGCGCAGGGGTCATCTCTCACCCCGGGAACCGAGCAGCCGCAGATTCAAAGTGAGGGAGTGTAGGGATCAGGGCTTCGGGGCAGATGTTTCAGGTCCCAAGCCATGCTCCAGACCTGAGGCACAAACTCGGCGAGCAGACTACTACATACGCGCAAGGAAAAACCGCGGGCTGGCAGGGATTTGGCCAAATGAAAGGTCAAGATTGGCCAACTGAAAGTCCCTTCTGAGCAGCGGTGCCTTGTTTTGAGACCTGTAGCGAGATAGAGATGGCGATTGTGCCACAGATGGCATCGAAATCAAGGGCAGAGGAAAAAAGGAGAGAAAAACTAGATCCGGACATCTTGGATCCAGGAGCGTTTGCGTCAGAAACATGTGAGTTTGGCCAACGAATTGGCCAACCAGAGGCGATTTGAATTATTTTGAGTCGAGGGGCAACAGCAGAGGGGGTAAAATTACATGAATCCATTCCAACCTGCCAACCTGCCTACAGACATGTGCAGGATGGATGAATCAATCAACAGGTGGTATGGCGCAACGCCATGCATGCCCATTGGCCATGTGCGTATGCAGGTACACAACTCTCACGCAGCGCTAATGCTCTGAAGAGGAAAAGGGGGAGCATTGGATTCTGGATATTACCCCTCACTGTATCATCAATGTCTGTCCAAGGAGAGCCGACGCAGGGAGCGAACGGTGGCACGGACAGGCAGATGGAACCATGTTTCACAGTCCACCAGGACGCCGACCTGACGGCTCCTACATGATAGGTACGGTAGGAATAATGAGGATCCAATCTTGATCAAAGTCCAGCCAGGGCTTGGCCAGCGTAGGCTTGTCCTCTCTCGTCTCTGCCGACGACACCACCGTCGACCAAGACAGTTAGTCTGCCCGAGTGTGAGGACTCCTTCATTCGCCAGCTTCCGTTGCGGTCAAGTCAAACGCCTAACCCATCAGCCCTTTCAACGGTCTGGTGCCCGTATGTGTGCTTAGTCCAGACGCCCGCACGCTGGTCGCGTCATACAGGCCCGGCGTCTACGTGAGACGGCGAGCGTCAGGTTGCGACCCCTTACATATGACAGCTGAGCGGTAATCCCCTGCCTCAGCCAACACACACAGCCATTGACCTGTCGGCTGCTAGGCGCGAGAAAACTCTGCCCTGACTGACCCTTGGCCGTCGAAGGGTCACTTCCAAATTCTAATCCCATTTAAGCTCATGCTATGCCAGCACATATAACCTTGATTCAATTTCTTGTTCTAGTCCTTGCCAGACAGTCTTGAGAGGGCCAGAATTGATTTTACTGCTGATCAGCGAAGCACGGGGCTATTGCTTGTTCTGTCTGGCACCGCAGCTTCAGCGCCTCATCGCAGCAGCAGTCCGATTGTTGGATGTTGGACTTGCATCGCACACCAACTCTATTTATTATGATTAAAATAGGCTCATTTATGTATAAGATTATGTTTCAAGATATGCTTACACGTAGTTTGAGAGCGAAAATGCCCAGCGCGCTGCTCTATCTCCGATTGAACCGAATGTCACCCTTCAGGCAACATGGGCCGATCCGACAGGGCTGTTTACAGGGCTGTGGGCAGCGTTGTAGCGGGCAGCCTCTGCATCTTAGCGGGCAGCCTCTGCTGACGCTCTCCACCCGGGGCGCCTCCCCAGCTGCCTCCCGCGGACTCCAGCTGATAAGCCCCCTATCAGGGTCCACTATTGTCCAGGTGCCCCAGATCGCTACCCTGGAGCTCTCAAACACGAGAACCCAGGTCTACGAGCAATCCCTTACCCTATATCACGAGAAATTGCAACTCTCCCAAACACATCTTGAGACAGATGACGCCTCTAGAAACATCCCTAGACGTCTTTATGTGGTTATCCTATGCAAGAAATTGTGAATTAGAATGCGTTTCAATTTTTTTCTAAAAAGAAATTAGTTTGTTGTATATTATTGGAGGCTTCTCCAATTGGAGCCTTCTCTACAGACCTCTGTTACTTGATACGATTGAATGGCTTAAGTCAAGAAAGAAAGAGGTCAGTAGCAACAGCAATCCATAACGTGTCACACAGGCGACTCGCACGAAAGTCTCCGCGGAGACGTGACGGAGATCTGTAAGGCATCAATACAATGAATTGTCGTCTTTCCCATGTGTCAAAACGGCCCTTTTCTGACGTTCGTTCTTCCGCTCCGTTCCTCCCGACCCCTGACCATCTCGGCATAACGAGGCTTAATTGCTGGCCTTAACTTTTTTTACTCCGAGATTCCAGCGAATGAGAACTCGTATTTACGATACAGGTAGTCTCTGGAATAAGCATGTTGATGTTCAATTAATTACTTGAGAAGATTTTATCATGGCCCTCAGGTATCTTAAACTCAGGTATTCCAACCATTGAGCAGAGTTAGACGATCAAGGATGCAGCAATAGGCTATTCGTCTGCCAATTACCCCGGTTTTGTCCGTTTTCTAGGCTCAAGCTCAGCCGCAGCACACAACATCCATGTTGGGCGTCCCGGAATGTTCTCGTGCCTGTTCTGCGCTCACATCAGGTCATAATATGTCAGAGAAACACTGAGCGCTCTCCGTCATTGGCTTCTAAAGTCAATCTAGATGACTCGCAGTGGATACTCTGCGAACGAGACGGAGCCTTGCGAAAACCACTCACAGATCTCATTTTTGTCAGCACCAGAGTGTGGAGTGGCCCTTGTCGGAATGATGGAATACCGGCCTGCAGGATCTGGCACAATCGCAGCGGCAGTGTAATACCTCTTGAAGCAGATTATAAGGCTTATTGTAGCATGACGATGCGTCGAAAACAGCAGAGAGCTGCTACGAATGCATAGACCAGCATCGCGGCTTGCACCACCACGTCCAGCCACCTTACTGATTGATTGTTTAAACAATGACACACCGGCCGTCATCATTCTTAGGCGTTCCTGAAAAACCGTTCCTGCGCGTGCCGAGCCGGTGGCGCCCAAATTCAGTCTCCGCGGAGATGCAGTCCAAAACATCACCCCACGAACCATCGCCTCGTGAAGAATCTGAGGATATCCCAACGGAACGCTGAGGAATCAATCCACGCCTAGTTGCTAGCTCATACCCGGAGATGCCATGCGCAACTGGCAGAGTAAATATAGATAGATATATAAACCCGTGGCTTGCTCAATTGCCATGACTGTGCTCGAATCCCATCTTCATCCATCGAACCATCAACCTCATCTACAACCACCTTTTACATCTAAACCACAGCTATGGCTCCTACACAGGCTCAGATTGACATTGTCAAGGCCACAATCCCCATTCTCAAGGAGCATGGCACCACCGTAACTTCCACCATGTACAAAAACATGATTGGAAACAACCCAGAGCTGCGCAACGTCTTCTCCATGCGAAGCCAAGCAACCGGCGCCCAACCCGCTGCCCTCGCTGCCTCCGTCCTCGCCTACGCCACGTATATTGACGATCTCCCCAAGCTGCAGCATGCCGTCGAGCGCATTGCCCAGAAGCACGTCTCCCTCTTCATCCAGCCCGACCAGTACATGATTGTCGCCAAGTACCTCATCGAGGCATTCGGCATCGTCCTCGGCGACGCCTTCACCGACGAGATCAAGGACGCCTGGGTCGCCGCCTACCTCCAGCTCGCCGACGTCTTCATCCAGCGCGAGGCCGCCCTGTACAAGGGTGACGGCGAGTGGACCGACTGGCGCGACTTCAAGATTGTTAAGAAGGAGCTCGAGAACGAGGCCGTCGCCAGCTTCTACCTCGAGCCCGTCGACGGCAAGCCCATCCCCTCCTACCTCCCCGGCCAGTACATCAGCCTGCAGCTGCCCATCCCGGGCGTCGACTTCAAGCAGAGCCGCCAGTTCAGCCTGAGCGAGGCCCCCGCCAAGCAGCCCACCTACTACCGCGTCAGCGTCAAGCGCGAGGAGACGATTGGCGAGGCCGACGCCGCGACCAAGGAGGTCGGCCAGGTGCCGGGCCTCGTCTCGAACCTGCTGCACGCCAAGTACAACGTCGGCGACGTCGTGGAGCTCAGCGCCCCCCACGGCGAGTTCTTCGTCGACCCCGCCGTGCCCGTCGAGGGCGACAAGCCCATCGTCCTGCTCTCGGCGGGCGTCGGCGCGACGCCCATGCGCTCCATCCTCGATGCCGTCCTCGCGTCGCCGACGACGGGCACGCGGCCCATCAAGTGGATTCACGCTGCGCGCCGGGCGGGCACCTCGCTCTTCGTCGAGCACGCGCGTGAGGTGGCGGCCAAGCACGAGAACGTCACTGCGACCATCTTCCTCAAGGAGGTGAAGGAGGGTCAGGTGAAGGGTCAGGCGTTCGACTTTGAGGGTCGCCTGGATCTCGGCAAGCTGGCCGAGGAGAAGGCTCTGTCGCTGGAGGATGATGGCGCTGAGTATTTCATCTGCGGGCCTGAATCGTGGATGCTCTTTGTCAAGGAGTGGCTGCTGGAGCATGGCGTTCCTCTAGAAAGGCAGCACCTTGAGCTGTTCAACACTGGCGACGTTGTTTAAATGAGATTTATCAGCATCGAGAAGCAAGAGAGGGAGGCGAAGCCTGTGCACGTGTTGATGCGCACTTATGGGTGGGCAAGAATAGTCGGAGAGCGGCCTTGTACTTGTAATTTGATACCACTTGTAAATGGGGGATTAATGTTGATTTTTGGGCGCATTGATAGATATGAAATCTCTTTCTCTTGTAACGAGTCGCCGTCTTTAGATATTATGAATATACACACAACTCCTATCCATATACAGCCCTTCCCTCTAATCCATTACGTCTCCAACTTCTTCTCGTGCTCTGCATCCGGCGGCGAGTCAATCCTGACGCCCGTGGACTCCCCCATGATCTCCTCCCTCGTCACCGGCGGCCCGGTAAAGTTCTTGCGCGCGTACGCGACGTACCACACCACGGCGATGGTGCCGAACCCGGCGAACACGACGGACGCGTAGTTCATGGTGCTGGCGTCCACCGGCAGCGACACGGGCATGCAGAAGATGACGAGGGCGAAGAAGATCCACACGACGCAGACCGAGTTGATCACGGGGCCCAGCTTGCCCAGGGGGTATGGCGAGTTCTTGACGGCCTTGCGGCCCTGAACGAGGTTCACTCCTACGGGGACGGCGTAGGAGGCGGAAAGGCAGATCGTCGCTACACCGGTGAAACTGTTGAAGGCTGATTGGAGGTCGTATTAGACATTGGGAAGTTTAGTTACGGGGAGGAGGAAGGTTGACAAACCGGCCGAGGAACCAAAGTAGATGCATCCAAGGAGGCAGTCTACAACGGTTGACAGTCCCAGCGCCCATAGTGGCATATCGAGGCGGTGGTTGATGCGGCTCCAGAGCTTGTACCCTGGGATGGCGCCGTCACGGGCAAATGCGTACGTGCATCGGGACGAAGCTGTCAAGGCACCGACGCCCGCGAACAAGTGAATGCCTTGTTATCATAATTAGTTGGGCTGCGCCTTGACTAAGAGACACTGGATCTGAACATACCGAGGATCAGGAAGAGCAGACCGAAGCCACCCGCTGCGGAACCGGTGACAGTCTTGAATAACAGACCAATTGGCTGGCCGTTTGCAACCTCGAGGAGCATACTGACGTCGGGAAGGACGAATAGCAGGGGAACGAGGTAAACGAGACCGGTGAGGCCTGCGGCGACAACAGAGAGGACAATGGCTCGGGGTACTTCGCGTTCGGGACTGAGGGTCAATGTTAGAATCACTGAGCGTATGTGATGAATTGTGCTGGAACATCTCACTTCTGAACCTCCTCGGCCATAGCGGCCACCATTCCGTAGCCAGTCAGCGTATACGCGGCTTCAATAGGTATGATGTTAGCTGTGATGTGCAAAATAATAGTCCGTAGATGGGAAGGGAGCCGTACCTTGGAGCAAGCCGACAAAGAAGGACCAGCCTGCCGGCCAGCCGCTGCCCGACGCATCGTAGTGCGAGAACACAAATTCACCAGACCGCCGGTCCTTGCACATGACAAGCAGGGTCACGATGATGATGACGACACTCGCGGCGGTCCAGTACACGCAGAGCTTGTTGATGAAGTCCAGGTACCTCGACCCAAACGCGTTGATAGCGGCGTGCAGCAGCATGACGGCCCAGAAACACAGCACCGTCTGCCACTGATTGGCGACGTAGTCCTCGTTGAAGACGGAGATTGCGCTCAGGATGAGCTGCGCGCCGGAGAAGTTGATGGACAGGGTGACGGTCCAGTTGCCAATCAGGCCAAGCCAGCCGTCGACGAAGCTGACGGGGGCGGCCCAGCGCGGGCTGCTGAGCATGGCGCTCCAGTAGTAGACGCCGCCGGCGGTCGGGAAGACGGCGCAGATCTCGGCGAGGGAGGCGGCGATGCACAGGGAGATGAGGGAGACGAAGGCCCAGCCGTAGAGGATGGTGACGGACTGGCCGTTGGTGAGCGTGATGTAGAGCGTGGTGGAGAGGCCGAAGGGGACGGCCATGATGGCGAACGAGAGCCCGAGGATGGACATCATGCCCAGATGACGAGGCAGTTCGGACTTGTAGCCCAGCTTGGCGAGCGCCTGGTCGGCGGTTTGCGCTTGGGACTCGGCCATGATGGAGGTTTGCCGTGGTCACTCTGCGACCACTCTCTCTATCCTTGTCTTTCTCCCTGTGGCCGACGTTAATACGAAATAAAGGTTGAGAGAATGGCGGAGACGATGTTCTGCCAATGTATCACCTACTCCTTGGCTAATGTGCGACAGAGGATGGGCGCCGTGATGGACAGAGGAGTTGGGGAAGAGGCCTCCTCTGGATCAAACGAAGTTTGGGGAAGCGAGGCAGTAATACACACTGAGAAAAGGAAAAGGAAGCCCAGCTCCAACTCACATGCTTATCATTTCTCCAACTTGTCCTAATGAGGATCTCCCATGATGGATCACCGGGGCCAAGGACATGATCTGGAACAGGCCAAACCTCATCCAGCGACCGAGGCCCCTGTCTCCAGCCGCTGTGACGACACGAAGTTTGATCTTAGTCAATTCCCCAGACAAACTATCAGTGTGTATCTAATCAGCCTCTCCACCGAGCCAGGGCTCAACCCAGTCCAGACCAGGACGCTGGGTGGAGCCTGGGGAATGGCCTGGGATCTTGATAAGCACTGCTAAGGTGAAGGAAGAGCCTGTAATCCGCGCAGACGAGGAGTGTGTGGTAGCATCGGAGGAGGCCGAGGCAGGGAGTCAGCGTGTGGGAGAGAAATTGGGCCGCTGAACTGCTCACGCGAGCGCCAAGCAGGAGACTGCAGCCAAGCCGGGCCAGTCCTTTGCTCTAACGATATTAGCGCTTTCAGTGTTGTCCTGCCTCCTTCTGGCTTGCATTTAAGTCTTCCAAGCCCCGGTTGCTCAGCAATCACAACCCGGCACAGACTGTCCTGGCCGGGCGAATCCTGTCGTCGCGATGACAATCTGACAGAGCCGTGTAGGATCCACAGTCTGGTCATTCGAATCAGCCCACTGATAAGGACGGACTGTCGGCACCATTGGCGCTTGGCCATAGCTCATGGGCGGCGGCCGGAGCATGGAGGCTCATGTCTGGCCGAGGTGTTTGCCTGGGAGGGGACCGCGATATCGACATTTTATCACTGGGCGGCAGTCATTCAATATCTGGTTCAGATGAGAAATGCTTCATCCAACAGAGACATACACGTGGTATTCAACAGCAATCTATTTACACAAGATGAACCCTTGACCCGCTGAAGCTGCGCTTCCAAAAGTCAACGTCGATCCCGAATCCCATACTCCAAACAATTTCGAGAAGTATTCACTTGGACTGCAGAACCCTTGTATTGGCCACCAGACAGACGAAATTTCCCCCCAAGTTCATTATTTTACATTCTCTTCACTGGCTTCATTTAGGCTGGGGTTTCAAATGGATTTTCATCCATCCAGAGTTCCGCAAGACTCTTCCTAGGCGCATGGTCGATGGCAGCGCAGCAATTCGTGACATCTTCTGTGTCAACGGCAACGACTTCTCGTGTGATCTGACATTCAACTGCCATGTTGCTCTGATCGGGTCTACGGTCCTCCGATAAGTCACCAGACGCACTTTTCGGTGTTGGTGTCGTGCCGATGTTATCCATGCGCTGCTGGGGTTTTTCTTCCGCGGGAATATGGCTCTGTTGTGATCTGTACCAAAGCTTGGATTCGTATCTCCAAACTTTTTCCATGACCGAGGCCATTTTATTCGGCCGAAATGGTAGCCAGCGATAGTTAGCTTCCTTGAATGCCAACAGTGCTCTTCGGGTTGACATTTCTTGTTTTGCGGAGGCTACATCCTCAATGGCCTGGCATATGCCAATCAGTTCCTGGATGGAGACTGCACAAACGCCTTCTTGATTGTACAACTCCTTTTGACGCCTCGTGATTTTGTAATTAAACCCTAGAACCCTCGCCTGGGCAAAACGCCCGACTTTTGCAAGTACCAAGGTCTCAACTGATTCCGGATGTGATTTCGTCAGTCGGGTGAATCGTTCGTATATCGACTCGGATGGGCGGTCCTTTTTCGACACCAGAGACATCTCCTTCCTTAGCTCATCGAGGACGGGATTGTCGAGAGCGGGACAGTAGGATCTCCCACTCGCAAGCGGCGGAGTCCATCCTGTCCTAGCACCAATCTTCGCGATCACGGAAAATTGTAGAAAAAGCCGTAAAGTCTCGGAAGTTGATCTTTCATTGAGGAACGGGTGGCTGATGATGCTTAGAAGGCGTTCTACTGACGCTTGTGTGAAGATAGGGCTTGTATCGCCGACCTTGAATTGACTCCCCGTGAGGTACATCATCCCCTTCGTTCTCGAAAAAATGCCGTACGGAGATTCGCCAAAAATGAGAAGAGTCGCTTGCCATAACTTTGTGTTTTCCTTCAGAATATCCGGGCGAGCCTCGTAGATAATCCCTCGAGCAGCTCGATTTTCATCCCTCATCCTCACCCGTGTTTCTAAATTACGACACAACCCCTCTAATTCCTTTCTGGAAGGCATCGCAAGTTCAGAAACAGTAGAACCCATTCTGGCCGACATCTTGGCGTCGAGGAGGCGGAGGAGCCTTTGCTGGTCGTCCATAGCTTCCATCGTAGCTGCGGCCATCTCCCATTCTCTGATAGTGGTGCAGCTTTTGTGACAGCTGTGGGCAATGCGTACCGGCAAATCACTGCAAAAAACAAATCGAACTGGAAAAGCAAAGAATACACCACCGTATGGGTGAGGTTTCGCGTGGCAAAGGCGCGTTGAGGAAACACGAAAGGCACGACACGAAAAACACACGCCCGGCCCGAGTTCACTCTTCTCTCATAACGCGCAGTCACCAAGCCATGCAAACCATCCGCCGAGTGGTGATTGTACTCTAAGTTTGATCAACGAGCTCTTCTAGACTACCCTCTGTGAATCATTTTCAACACATTTCTTGCTTTTTTACTCAAGGCTGGCAAAGGCGGCATTTATAGTCCGTCCTATATCTGCGACCATTAGCCCCTCACAGTGGCTCTGGTTCTTACAAAATCGACCTGTTTGTGCCTTTCATCGGTTTGATTAGGGCAGCTGGGGTGCCTGAGGTTCTCTTGCATGGAAAATCAAGCATAGACATCTGGATATTGTAGTATAGACGCATATATCACCATAATTAGCGCCCTGACAAGTACGAATCTCATAAAGCGCGACAAAACGTGCTCGATTACGCGAAAAAGGTCATTTTGATGGTACTGTTATGGATTCAGCTTCTTCTTTCTTGGGGCCTTTGAAACTATCAGGAGCATCTTGTTCCACAGGAAACTGTCCCTTTAAGAGGTATAAATCGTTGAGAGTCCGCATAACGCAAGCCCATATCTGCTCTTCATCTGCATATTGATGAGCATAAACGTACCAAAATAAGTAACATGTGTTGCAGTAGAAGGGCCAAGAGGAATGGAATATCTGAATCCAGGAACTAAAATATGGGTCACGTCTTTGCCTGGCTGCCCTAAGCTGCCTCAGTAGTGTTAATTACACTAAGCGGAACTCGAAGCCTTGGCTTTCAAAACAGCTCAAATGCATTGGGATGAAGAGTTGCGTCTTTATTATGATTCATACTGTCTTGATCATTGAAGACGATCAGCTGCTCCGCATTTTTGGCAAATTTTTGGCTGAAGCTTCGGAAAGGATATGTTATCTTTGCGTCTAATCTTACGAAACTCAGTTGTTGAACGGAATCGAGTCTATTAAGGACTGAACTACCTTTTCGACTTGATTAAACGAAGGGGAGATTCTCTGGTCAGAGTTGTCCCGTCTTATATCTTTACTCCGGGTCCGAATTGCAAGGTTGATGTAAACGGAGATGATGAGCAATTGTACCTCGAGCCTAATCATGCTGCTGATCACCACAGCGTATTCCAGAGAACCTAGAATTTGATAGTACTTTCGGGAAAATGGTAGAGATGCGATTACCTTTGGGGACAATTCTAGGAGGCTTCTGTATCCATGTAGACAGATTTCATCTCGCCTCTTATCCGGATGCTCTAACCTACGTCGCTGGGAGAGTGGTAGTTTTTTGGACTGTGATACCGAACCTACTATATCTACAAGAACGCCAGATAGCCTCTGGAACCGCGAATGGAGATTGATGAATTCGTTTCAAATGTGGCTATCTTTATTTCAACACACTAAGTTAAGCTAGCCAAATCATTGCGCTCGTCTCTCAATGAAGACTTTCTTCTCTAATATGCCTCATACTAAAGAATGCACAGGCGAAATCTGCCTACTGTATACTAGGTGCTTTAAACATTCGTGGACATTCGTGGAGGCAAGAAACATAGGTGAATATTGACTGGGAGTGGCTATCCTTTGTCGCCGTGGAGCTCGTGATATCAACGGTACTCTTGACTTTCACAATTTCTCTCCAGAAATGTCGGAGAGAGGAGCTGCCATTGTTTCGTGATATCTGAGACTCACCACTTCTCATATGGGTGGCGCTTAGTGGGAGGTATGGTTCCATAGCCAGCAATAGTTCTCAATCTATGTCAATCTAGGGTGATCTGAACAATACTGCAGGAGACTTCGCCGGAGACGGCACCGGGGGCGAGGGTCTATCCCAGATCTCATAAAGGGGGGTGCCTCAAGTGAACGTTAAGGTGACTCCTCAGATATGACCATACACTGGAGGATAAGTAAGGCTATGCCCATGTCTGCCACCCCGGTCGTTTTGGTAAGGTCTTCGGGTGCCCATGCATGACCTCAAGGGACTCTGGCTGTCATCTTTGTATCTACGACGTAATTCATTGAAGTTGTGTTCTGGAATAGATTATGGAGAAGTTTATTTGAGATGTGTTCTGGCTCGAGCCAACATGCCATTCCCTAAAAACACAGCTCTCCGTCGATGGAGGGGAGAAGACGGAATCATCTCTTGAAATATCATGAGACTACCCTCACTGTAGAAGAAAAAATCAGATTTCATTTTGAATGTGAACCATTTTCTTTCTCAACTTACTCCACACGGCTAAGGAATCCCGTGCTAGATCGATATTATATGCCCACATGGCACGCCTCCTCTCGAGCCCCTGTTGAGCAATTGCGTGTTACTGTGGCGTGGTGCCATTGTCTGGAGAGCGGCCAGATCCCAGTCAACCAGTTTCGTAACCACTACTCTGAAGTGACAAATAGAAACTCGGTAGGCAAGCGTGCTATGGTTCGTCGGCATCTCCTGTGCAAGACGAATCGATTTACTACGCCGTCCTCAACATTGGACCCTTCCTATGCATACGCATGCAGGTGTATCCATTTTGGTAAGTTGGACGAACGCCGGCTCCTTTAATCCCACTTGGTCCCCCTAACAAAACTTTTGCACTCACATGAGCCAATAGCTGCGCTTGATCAAGCCCATTCATTGAGTCTTAAATGGCCGAGGACACTCGCTAACTAGAAAGTGGGCTGCGCCTTGGCTTGAAATGGTGTGAAAGGGGGGGAAGGGAGGGACCGTCCGAATGGGAGGCCAATAGCTTCCGGAAAAGCTTGTTCAGAGCTGCCCGATGGTGGGCCATGTGTTTTGTATGCACATGATCTAGCTTCGGGGCGTTTGTCAGTGATGACCGATCCTGAAATCGTGGCGAAAGAGCGGCTCTGCAAGCCACTCGGCAGTTGCAGAGGAAGCGAGCAAAAGCCAAGACCTTGGCAGGCGTTAGGGATGGGATGGAAGTTGCCGGGATTAGACTACAGCCAAGAAGAACACAGCCATGGGCAACGATTATGCCTCAGCAAGATGACTACCAGGCAAAGGGAGCTAGGCTTCCTCTCGCGGTGTGTTAATGTCACCGGCGGCTCCTGCGGAGGAGAAATTTGCATGATACCCTTGATCATCTCCACCTGCGGTTTGTGCGATCCCTGAGGGTCGCGAATGTAAGCAATATCGCGCCACGATCACCAACATGGACGCGAGAGAGCAAAGAGAAAGAAAAGACAACTGAATGGTTGACCTGGTTTTCCACAGTCAAGCAAGAGCATCACCGGCACTTGGAGCTTATGTGAAAGGATAATAATCTCGCAAGACATCCCCGGCCCTGGCTGACATGGTTGATTTCATCGATCCTTTCGTCGGGTGCGTACGTCAAACCGATCTCGCAGGGCAATGTTCAAGCTTTTCAAAGCTCCGGCCCATTGGTATGGAAAGGACCAAGCGCCCCATCTTATCAGATCATGAGCAGGCCTTGTCTAATCAATCACCTGAAGGGATTGCGCGGTTTGTGGATCATGGCTAATGGGGCAGCCCTGTTTTGAGAGGGAAACTCCGGCTGGCGAGAGACTAAGAGTGCCGTCTTAGCCGCAATATAGTGGAATTCCAACAACTAGGTATGTTTTATCGATCAAAATAGTGACTCCGATGGCGGACAAGTTCAAATTGACGCTCAGCCTGTCCATTTCCAGACCTTCATCACCATGTAGGTGTACTCAAGAGGAGTTTGCCCTCCACTCGTCCTCAATTCTCGCTAAGGATGTAGTCTGATTGATTAGATGGTCCACATGGCTAGATTCTTCGTCTTGCGTGGCCAATGTTACTGAGTCCACTTATTGTGATACATGCTTTTCTTCTTCTATATAACATTGTCAGTTTTCCTCGGTATCATGCCTTTCTCCCCTACTCTTGCTATCCTTTGTGCGTTGACATTGGCTTCAATTACTCCCAAGACTGGGTTCATATAAATTCAAGATGCGGTTCCTCCCTAAGTTCTCGTCCAACGACAACGATGTCGTTGACGAAGTCGCCCATAAGGATGCCGAGAATACCGGCCCAGAGAACAAGGAGGCAGGAGTGGTAACGGAAAAGATCGACTCCGATTATGAGAATGAACAAATTGCGAAGGCCGAATACCAACATGGAGACGAGGCAATCCGGGCCACGACCCAGGCTTGGTCCAAGTACCATCTCTACGCCTCCTACTTTCTGTAAGTTCGCGATAATCACAAAGGAAACTGACATTTTCTAACTTGAGGTCCTAGGATCTGGCTCATCTGCTTCGTTCAGGCTTTCTCGGCCGGTATCATCGGTACTATGACTCCGTATGTCACCAGTAGCTTTCAATACCACTCTCTCACTGCCACTATGAGCATCGCTGCAAGCCTTGTCTCCGGTTTGATCAAGCTTCCTTTCGCCAAACTCCTCAATATCTGGGGCCGCCCTCAAGCCTTTGGTATTATGATCATCATAGTCACCATGGGTATCGTCATGATGGCTGCTTGCAACAATGTCGAGACCTATGCTGCTGCTCTTGTCTTCTACAATGTTGGATACAGCACCATCAGTTTCGCCACTACCATTCTCATCGCGGATACCTCGGCTCTGAAGAGTCGAGCTTTGGCTATTGCCGTCTCCGCAACTCCCTATCTGTTCACTGTCTGGGCTTATGGGCCCGCTGCTGAGAGAATCCTGGCCGACGGAGGAATAGGTTTCCGATGGGGTATTGGCATCTGGGCCATCATCTACCCCGTTGTGTGCGTCCCTCTATTCGCTCTCTTGTACTACTACCAGAAGAAGGCTGAGAAGCTGGGCATGATCAAGAGGGAGCCTAGTGGCCGCACCTTTACACAATCTTGCGTTCACTGGTTCAATGAGTTCGATATCTTCGGTATCCTCATTCTTGCTACAGGCTTGGCCCTTTTCCTGCTTGCATTTGCCATCTACTCGTACCAGGCGGACACTTGGAAATCGCCTCTCATTATTTGCTTCATCATCTTCGGAGCACTCCTCATCATCGGTTTCGTCGTCTGGGAGAGATGGTTTGCACCAGTCACCTTCATTCCCTGGAGATTGATCGCCAACCGGACCGTCTTCTTCACATACACCATGGTAGCAAGCATCTACTGTGCGTGGTACATTTGGGACAACTACTTCTACTCCTTCCTCATTGTGGTGTTCGACGAATCCGTCACCAATGCCACGTATATCACCAACATCTATACCATGGGCTCGACCCTTGCCTCTCTCATCATGGGCGTTGTCATCTACTACAACGGTCGTCTTAAGTGGCAGGCTCTTTACTTTGGTGTGCCTCTGACCATCCTCGGTGTTGGACTGATGATCCACTTCCGAAACCCCGACTCCCCAATCGGCTACATTGTCATGTGCCAAATCTTCATTGCCTTCGGCGGTGGCGTCCTTGTCATCTGTGAGCAAATGACCATCATGGCCGTCTGCTCTCAGGGTGAAATCCCAAGTCTCATGGCCATGGAGACCATGATTTCCTCAGTCGGTGGATCCATTGGCAGCGCTATTGCTGCTGGTATGTGGACAGGTATCTTCCCCGTCAAGCTACTGGAATACCTTCCCGCAGAGTCCCAGGGAGACTTCGCTTCCATCTATGGCGACCTCACAGTCCAGTCCGGTTACCCTGTTGGATCTGCCACCCGGGACGGCATCAACCTTGCTTATAGTGAGACCCAGCGCCTCATGCTGATCACGGCCACTTGTCTGTACATCATCACCTTGGGCTCTGTTCTCATGTGGAAGGACGTCAACGTGAAGAAGATCAACCAGGTCAAGGGTACTGTCTTTTAAAGTAGTGTAGACGTCAGTCAACTTCATTTCAATAATACGAAATCAGAGCCAGCCCTGGTATCTTAATCTCTTGTTGGGGGAATGGAAAAGCCGCCAATAATAGTTGTAGACAGTCCTATGACTCTTAGTTCTATCCTCAACCAAAGTCCGATGACATCAGCGCTCGGCGCTCTCAACTAAATGTCATAATAAATTTACGTCTTATTAGCTCAAACAGTCGCTCCTGGCTTGGCTTTCTGGTCTTATGTTTGTCCGTCGGCCCGTAAATTGCACATTGCATCAGTGCCGTGGAGAAACACATCATGTGCCGACTCTAAACGTACATCAAACACTGTCTATCCCTTCTCATTATGTATTCCCTGCATGACTAGATTCTTGGAAGTTTACTAATGCCTCCACTGCTAAGCGGTAACATGCTCCGTGTTGCCGATTTCTTGCATTTCGGCCCGGATGGTAACCCCCCGTCAACCACTTCGAGGAACCCCGGATTTTTCCAGTCTCTCCATGCGTTTCAACTTTTCTTGGCGCCACGATCCTGGGATTTGCTAAGCAAATTTGGGCATTCATTCAGAATATATAACCATTCCACTTTCTCCCCTAGGTCAATGTGCTTCTCGATGTTGCCGCCACAGGTTCACGACGTCAATTTCCGAAATCAGTGATCATGTTGCAGGCAAAATTGGTTACTATCCTGTCTCTCGTAACCGCGAGCCTGGCCGCTCCGGTTGCAGACACCACAATCACAGCAGAGGCCAAAACATTGGAAGCTGAGGATGCTACTCTCAGTGGCACCGAAGTCCTCACGGAACTTGGAGGATACTCAGGTGAGTCGTGTATATTAATCAATAGATACCGTGTAAAAAAGAGACTGCTTCATTTCTGACTCTGTCCCATATCTTAGGATCTGGCTATGTGGGTGGCTTCGACGAGTCTACTGACAAGATCACTTTCACAATTGACAGCGACGCTTTGACTCTGTACGATGTTAGCATTCGCTATGCAGGCATTTACGGAGAGAAAAGAGCGTCGCTCGTTCTCAATGGAGGCTCAACAAGCGAAGTTATTATACCAGAAACTACCTCATGGGAATCTGTCAGCGCTGGCCAAGTTCTTCTTAACGAGGGTTCCAACACAATCGACATCGTTAGCAACTGGGGGTGGTGAGTAAAGGTCCCGGTTGGTTTCTACTACAGCTTGAACCTAATAATTTCAGGTATCTGATCGACTATATTGAGCTGAGCCCTTCTGAGCCACGGCCACCCCACAACATCAACGCCAATCTCGTCAATAGCAACGCAAATGCAGATGCCAAAGCATTGTACAGCTACCTGATCAGCATTTACGGAAAAAACATCCTCTCGGGACAGCAGGATCTAACCTGGGCGGACTGGATTGAGGAGAAGATTGGAAAGATACCCGCTCTTGTGTCCGTGGACCTCATGGACTACAGTCCATCCCGAGTTGAACATGGTACCGTGGGCACTTCTATTGAAGAAGCCATTACGCATGCGGGCCGTGGCGGCATCATATCTGTTCTTTGGCATTGGAATGCACCTACTGGACTTTATGACACAGAGGAGAACCCGTGGTGGAGCGGCTTCTATACCCGTAAGAGGACAACCGAGATTCAAGCCGCTGCTAAGTATTCGGTTTAGCTAACCTCAGGTCTTAGGTGCAACTGATTTCAATGTCGCTACCGCTCTCGCGGATACTACTAATGCCAACTATACACTTATTATACGGGACATTGACGCCATTGCTACGGAACTTAAGAGGCTTCAGTCGGCTGGTATTCCGGTGCTGTTCAGGCCCTTGCATGAGGCTGAGGGTGCTTGGTTCTGGTGGGGAGCCCAAGGGGCTGAGCCGGCCAAGAAGCTGTGGGCTTTGCTCTACGACAGATTGACCAACTATCATGAGCTGAATAACTTGATCTGGGTCTGGAACTCAGTGGCAGAGGACTGGTACCCTGGCGATGACACTGTGGACATTGTCAGCGCCGATGTATATGCCACAGGTAACGGGGTGAGTTTTGTTTCTCTATTGCCCAAAGCGAGTTGGATTGATCCCTAACCTGAAGTAGCCCATGTCAACACAGTATCAGCAGCTTGTCGACCTCGGAAAAGACACTAAGCTTATCGCCGCAACAGAGGTCGGCTCTGCCCCTCTCCCAGATCAACTTATCGCATACGAAGCCCATTGGTTGTGGTTCGCAGTATGGGGTGACACGTTCATCAACAATGAGGAGTACAACTCGATAGCAACCCTCACTACGGTACGTCTACCTTATCTAGTCTAGATTCTTCGTGGTTCGTTGAAACTGACAAACTTTTCTAGATTTATAACCATGATTACGTCCTGACACTTGATGAAATTCAAGGGTGGCGAGGATGAGGAACTGAGAAAACGAAATTGTCTCAAACTTGGTTTTTATTGTAAATATTTGGGAGAAGATGCTTCCTTTCAGATATCCATTTTGCAGCAATTAAACTCCTGACATAATGGAGGTGGCGTTCTCTCTGAACCAGCTACGGCCTTCGTGTTCCGGTACCGCGAGATCATACATGCCGAGAACTCTAGCAATTGAGTAAGCCATGCATACATAGATGGCTAACTTAGCTTAAGTCAGAGGCGAAGAATGCCTCTGCTGTCGCAGTCCGCGAGTGCCGCGGAGGTAATTCACCGACGTCATGCGACTGAACAAATGAGCTTCCCCCAAAGTTACTGTTCGCAAGGTAGAAACCCCGTTGTTCAGCAAGCCCCTCCAAGGCCACTCTCTATCCAGGAGCTTGACGTCAGTTGAGCTTGCACAAAGTGATTTATAGCGCTGCTATGCAAGGTCGTACGTATCAGCTACTTACTTCATCGCCTGCTCCTTGGGCGTAAACCCACAATAGGAGGTCTGATGCCTTGTCTTGTCTTTTCTTTTGCCTACCGTGGTCTAAATTTGACCATGTGGGTTCCTGTAGCGCCAACTGATCATCCTTGTCTCTCATTCAACGCCTCGCTTGGCATTCTACATCTACGAGGAGAGGAGAGCATCGTTTCACTACGGTGAACGATATGTCGAAATGATAAATAGAGAATGGGAGACTAATTGGACCTTTTTGGTCGGCAGTGATCACGTCCACAACCTTGCATCCCTAGAATTGAACGCAAGCTGCATGCAGCCAAGACTTGCCGAACAGACCTTGATGGCTCCTTTCATGATGGACTGGGTTGGTTAGATTTCGATCTCCGTCAATCTCCACAAAACTGCAAAAGACAAGGTTTACATGGATTGTCTCCTCGTTGCACAGCCTCTAAGCCAGCCGACCAAACGAGATGAACCATGAATAAGAGATCTTAGACCGTTGACCGCTAAATATGGCCAAGCAACGCTCTGACCTACTCGACAACAGCTCCAGCCCAAGCTTATTGGCCTGATCAGCCTTTCTGATCATATGTCGGCAGGCATTACGCATACCGATCTGCCATGGAACCACCCGCGGCCGGCAGCCAGGCGTTGCCTTCCACTGGCGCTATTACCGTCTCATCTCAACACGACGATGGGTTTATATGGCTTCCCCTGAGAACCCTAGTAAGGCAAAGGGCGGCATATTGACCATCATTGAATGATGGCTCTGGTTTAAAAGGACGGCTTCCTTCAACCACAATACAATCTTGAGATTCGCTCCCATTAACCCATTTCTCTCATTTCAACTTCAAGTCACTCTTTTTGGAGGTTGTCTCCGGCCACTCGTTATAATTTCCACTCTCTTATAATGCGTTTCTCAATTCTGGCTCCAGCCTTTGCTGGGCTGATTAGCATTGCCCAGGCGACTTTGCCCAACCTTGCTAGCAAGAACACTCCTGCTACATGCGATCTCGCTAAAAGCTGGGCAAATGAGGTTCTGTACAAAGGGTATAGAAGCTTCAGTTACATTTACGACGACTTGATCACATGCTAACAACCCTCTAGTATTGCCGGCCCTAAGACCGAGACTACACCAGCTACCTCATTAGACTTGATCCTCAAGGAGGCTCAGGTGTCTGGTGATGTGAGCCTGAAGGCTCTTGATAATTTCCTTGTTCAGCCGACTGTACGATTAAACCTCGCCGGTATCAAGGCCTACGTCGAGATCGACCTTTCCGCTTCCGCGGCTGTCTTCCAGACAGTAGAACTTTTTGCCTCTGGGGAGGTTTCTGTTGACACCGAACTCCTTGAGCTCGACCTGGGTGCTGCATTTGCACTCGATCTCATTGTTGGTGTCAGTGCTGCTATTGACGTCTATGCTGGGTTCTACATCTCTTTCGGCGAAGGCGATTACATCGACATCTCCGTCGCGAGCAAGGAGATTATTGAGACCAAGCTTGATGGCCTGGTTTCCAAGGCCCTCCCTGTCTCCGTTGGTGCCGAGGTCGACCTATCCGCTGCCATCGAACTTGAACTTGGACTTCGTCTCCGATCCCACATCTCTGTTGGTGCTGAGGTTGAACTCCTTGACATTGACCTGCTTGAAGCCGGGGCCGAGATTTCCCTCTGGGCTGATCTCTGCCACTACACTATTGCCCTTGTTGAGACTGCTGAGTGTGCTCTTTCCGTCAGCAACGAATTCATCCTCAACCTGGGTCTCAGTGTCGGTGTCAACGTGGAAGCTCTCGATATTCTTGACATCACAGCCGCTCCCAGTGTTACCATTACGATTGCTCGCGGGGAGAAAGGCACCGAATGCCTTCCTGGACGCATTTTCTCCAACCCAAGTACACCACCCAAGGTGACGGCTACTTTGAAGCTGGCCCAGCCCATTACCAGCGGCGGATTTGTAACCAGCGAGACGACTGTCACAAAGCAGTACACCATCACCAGCTGCCACGCTTCTGTGCTGAACTGCCCTGCATCCCAGACCCAGCAAATTGTCACAGAGACCGTGGTCCCTACGATCACTGTGTGCCCCATCTCCCAGGGCGGCAATACCAACATCAGTACTACCACTTCCAACCCCAAGCCAGTTCGGACCATCACCGAGACCCTGACCACCATTGTGCCATGCGAGCCTACCACAAGCACATATACTCCTCCCGCCACACCGGCAGAAATCGTCATGCCCACCGTTACCATTACTGGTACCACAACTGTCTGCCCTGTTACGACTGGTGTTTCTCAGACGCATGCTCCAACTGCTCCCGTCTCCCAGCCTGATAACGGCGCCACCTCGGTTCCAGTTACCACTCCTATTCACAGCGAGTCAGCTACTCCCTCAGTCACTCCCATCAACCCAGCCAACACTGGAAACGAAGCTGCAGGCCCTACTGCTCCAGCTCCCTCGGTCATCCACACTCCTGCTCCGATCGTTTCATCACCTCCTGCTGGAAACACACCCGCCCCCGGCGCCCCGGGTATTCCAAACCCTATTCCCGCTTACCCTCAACCTAACAACACCCTCACGAGCGTCGTCATCGCCTCACCCTCTGGCTACCTCCCTACTGTGGTTACCCCCCCTGCTGGGAACCCAACCGCGGCTCCGTCCGGGCCATCTCAAGCCGGTGCCGGCTCTGTCAAGGTTGGGCTCGCTCTGCTCGCGCCCGCTATCGTTGCTTTGTTGGCTTAAGCCTGGAGATGGGTTTGTATATGGTGGAGGCGGAATTGGAGCGATTGTAGATTAACTCACGTATATTATCCCCGTAATCTTAATTATAACTTATGATTTCAAGTCCTTGTTCCTCTATCCAAGACTCGAAACTCTTGCTTATGAGGAGGCTGTTAGATATCGGGGCCCCTCGTCAATTAATTTGGCTCAGTCTCTACTCCTCAACCTACAACCCATTGGCTTCATTTTTAAACAGCGAGTTCCGGTGTAGGAAGCGGCGACGATGAATACAAAGATAGGTGCTCAGTTCAGTGTTATGAAGATGCATTGCTTTGATTTATGGAGATAGATAGGTATTCATAAGAAGTCAAACCTGATTCTAATTTCGTGACAACTAATATTTTAGCTCCTCACCACCAACATCTTAGCAACACAGAGACTCAAATCAATTAGTTGATTTCAGTTTGTCCAAACATTACTTAGAAAATCAATTCTATCTTGCGTCCTTCGCAAGGCCAATATGGCGAAGGGTTGGTGACTCTCACAATTTGATATTAGGCTTTTAATCTTGTTGACCTACCTACCTACCCTAGATCGTTGGGGCGTACCAGTTCCGCCAAAGAGCCAAAACTCAATGATAGAGTGTCGCACGGACGAGATTCCTTATCAATAGGCTGACTGCTGGGCTAACGGTGATCCCGAGCTGTGTACCTCTATGTCAAACTCTAACTAAGGCTTTGGGGTGGGCGTATCGGGCCGGAAATGTCAAGACTGACTGGTTTTAGGGCGTGATTGGAATTCAAGAGGCAGTACAATATGCACACATGCACATTTATCACGGCCCACGTCACAGTCGGCCTAGCGCAGGCTCAATGCGGCCAGCGAAGATGAAGATGCAAAGCTAATCAGCCGGGCGAGCTATGCAGACCTGTGCGGCTGGAATCGAGCCTAGAGATACGAGTGCGCTGCGCCGCGCTGAAGTCCTGATCACAGGATAAAGATTGCGGGGAAAGAGACGGCGTAGGTAGATCACCACGGGCGGCTTTGGGCCTGTGATGCCGATTACCCGGGCTGATGCACGACTGGCACATATTGGAAGGGCGTCAGGACAGACAAATGGGACGATGCCAGAGTGTATGCTCACGCGAGTTGTTTCGGGCTACTGCAAGCCACTCTGCGCGTCGTTCGAGGAACAAAGCAGAGAGTCAGCCTAGCGGCGCTCTCTGTGCAGGAAGAGGCAGACAATGACGGCTCTCGCTGGGGGCGAGGTTGGATCCCGCGCCATTGATGATGGTCGATGGGCTCATGTTCTTTCGCGTTGCTGCAGGCAGTTTAGCTTGTGGTCGGGGAATGCCTTGAACGGATGCATTAGCTCGCTAGCAGAGAGCGGCTGGGCTTATCGGCTCACAATGCAACGGGGCACCGGGCATCAGCATTTTAATGCAAGTGCGTGGGACAGAGGCTGATCTCGCTGTGGTGATGATTGTTTGCATGGTCATGGCCGTCTGCACGCGACACTTTGCTTCCTTCCCGGTACGCTTACGACTTGCCCATTTGTTGGGGTGGTGACCTACCCTGGAGCAGTTGTGATCGGATCCGATGGCACGAGCTAGTTGTAGGTGGTGAGCAAGATCAAGATCTGGCACACGACTTGTCGCTAGGAATTCGATCGTCGACCAAGAAATCAATCCTGTATCTAGCTGCGCCATTATTCCCACCGGACCATCAAAAGCGGGAAGAGAGGCGCGTCATGCGTGAGGGAAAAACGCAGTCGTCTCCAAAAGTGCCATGTCATTCTCGGACACAGACCGAGTAAGTGGTGTCACACTAGCACACAATAATCAATAATCGACGACAGCCCAAAGTCAATCAGTCGGCCGTAAACGAAGAAGAGCTACAACGCCAAGGCATTTGTGAGAATGGAGGGATGGAGGCCTCGGAGGGGGCGCTCTTGGCGACGCTGCCCAGCAGTCTTGGACTCTTGGTTGCCCTGTCATGGCCCAGCCAAGCGCCGTATCAAGGAAGACCAAGGATGGCTCGGAACGTCAGTGGCGTCTGCCCAGCCGGCGGAAAACATGGGTTGTGCCTGGCATCTTCAACCTCATGCCATGCTGGTGCGCTCCCAGAGGGCTCATCGCGTGATGATGCCACGGTGAATGAATCCAACAACTGGCGATGGAGCTGCGAGTACCGCCGGCTGAAGTGATGAGGAGAGGCATAAAGCCAATCTGGGACCAGTCCGGGGCGAGATCTGGGGGGAGATGAGGGAGCGTAATGAGTACGTAATAGCACTGCGGGGGGAAGCATGAGAGGAGCATCGACACATTCCCAGGATCCCCAGGGTCCAGCGCAACAGTCGTGGCTCCCTGGAGAGGGACAGCGAGAGACAGCATCCGCCGTCGTTTAAGCTTCATCCAACTCTAAATGTAAAAATAAGAGCAAGCCGAGATCGTGGTTTTCCCATCGGGCGGGCTGGTCTGTACAGTGTTTCGGATCCTCAGTAGCATTACAGAGTGGTGGTGCAGGCGGGCTAGTGACTTGCGAGACGGCGATCATCAAAAGAACCGCCTCTTAGGTGGGATAGGCAGAGGATGTCTCTCTGGCTCCATGTATGTCACCCCCTCAATGGTAATCTCCTGCCATTTTGGCCACAGCGGCCGATTGCGACAGTGGTCCATCCTCGGCCCCCTGTCATTCCGAGGACGTGCGGTCTGAGCTTGGGTTGGTCTCGTGGCCTACCAGTTGATTATTCTCTCCCTAGTAATTTTCTCCCTCGTCTTGCTCTGCTTGACTATTACGATATTGGTAGCAACGGCATGGGCCTAGAACCTTGCCTTCGTGTTCCCGGATCCCGCTTACCGAAGGGCATTCTTGGCGGAAGACCAAAGCAATGAGTCGAGGGTAATATTAATTTGAATTTGAATCATGATAAGGTAATCACCCTAGGCGCAAAAATATATTGCGATATGGCGAGAGAGTGCGTGTTGTTCCCCCGAAGAGGCTCCTTCGCACGTCTCACTCGCCTCCCCGGCTGGCCAGCAACCAATAGCACGGCAGTGGCATATCAAAATACCCAGCTCGGCGGCCACCGCCCCCTGTTCCATCGTGGAGAAGACAGGGCGCGCTATGGTCATCAGTCCGCTGGGTATTGGCCGAGATGAGCCAGGGGGGGATGGGTGGAGCATGGGGGGCAGCCTAGAAGATTTGGAAGGATGAGAATATTTGCGTGGTGACGAGGTTTCTGGCTGCTTATCTTGCAGGATTGCAACGGAGGGTCTGTGCGTGCTTCTGTGGCCTCATCCATGGCTTGCCTCCTCTCTCGCTCTCTCCTCTCCACTCTTTGGACACGGAGATGGGTCCTAGAGCGGACAGATACGGTCACGCTTGCTTCTGGTTGGATGGACGGCTCCTGATGCCAGCCTGTATTCAGTATCGCGCACCGCCGTCCGAATAAGGCTTAGAAGCGGAAAAAATGGATAGCGGCCAAGATGTTCGCAGGAAACGGTCTGGAAGGCTTCTAGAATCTCTAGCTTCCCACTCTCCTGCTGCTTCGCATTACCTTAAGCCCATCCGCCTAATGATGTACGTAATGGGAAGCAGAGGGCCCAGGTGCTTATTTCTCTCTTCGCGCGCGAGCTTGTCAGGCGGAGCTCTCTCTCTCGTGCTGCTGCGGGGTTTGGGCCATTTGTCCCCGCCTTTCCACACGCTGCTGGTTTCTATTAGGTATTGAAAACGTCAAGAATAGGGAATCCATCAGTCATGCCATGCTCTGGTATCAAGATAGATTGTGGGGTACTGATCTTTGGAAACACTGGTAAACGGGGCGTCTAGAGAGATAGAGTAGGCAGACTTTTCTCGGGCCACGTCCGGCGGGCAGTAGCACAGTTGGGTAGTACAGGCTGGGAGGACTAGTCTGCCAGTAAGTAAGCCTCCGATTCAGATGCATGCTGAGCTGCCGAGCTGAGGTGCCACTAGCCCAGAGGAGGGGGTAAGAGAGGAGGAGGAAGTGAATCAGAAATGCGCCTGGGCAGTCTGCGTTGGAGATCTCGCTGTTTTCGGCCAAGGCGGGCGCCCTCTCAGCTAAAAAATTGGGGGAAGGCGCGACGGGACGTAGGTAGGGGGCAGGTAGAGTGAGCAGCAAAGACGCGCTGATTGGGTACATGGCGGGTACCTCGCTAGGCTGTTGGGGTAGGATTGACCGCTAGCCGGTGGGCGGCGACAGCGAGTGAAGCCGCTGTGTCTCAACCGCCAGTGCATTAGTGCGCTGTGGCTTCGGGGCTTTCTCGCCAGGTCATTACACGCACATTAGTCGCGTCTTGGCCCGGGGCAATGATATCTGCTTTCTCAGCTGCTGCTGGCCAACAGCATTGCCGACAATTCGTCTGCCTAGACTTCCCTATGCCGGCTGCCCAGCTCCGAAGCAAAGCGAGCGCCGTTTGCTGTGTCCAGGGGGGCTTGGCTGTTTCTGCGTCCGCGCAGGGCCCCCCTGTGCTCTTTGGGGCCTGCTGTTCCCGGGGAAATGCTGCCCCGTCCTCATCCTTCCATCTGTGCTCGATTCCAAGGCCAGGCCAGCAGGGCTCCGTGATAAGTAGCACGCAGAATTAGCATATCTCCTCTCGGTCTGATCACCTTCCTTCTTCGGTTATTGCTGAAGGAACGCGTGTGGTTGACCCCGTCCGTGGTCTCCCCCCCCCGGTCTCTGCTACGCAGTGATAGCATCGTATCATATTGTCTAGCAGAGCCGTTCTTTTGCCTCCCCTCCACTCGCAACGGACTAACAGTGGCTAGACTGGCTTAGGCATGGCGGCGGCAGAAAAAAAGTCCCAGGGCAGTCTGGGGCCCTGATGAAGCTTATCAGGCTGCCTCCACACACACGCCCCATGCCGCCATGTTGCCTCTCACTCACACACGGGCTGGGCGATGTTTCTGTGTGCCACATGGTGCACTCTCCGCGTCCTACAAGTAGATAAAGGGTCCTGTCCCGTCCACCGTGTCTCGTTGCGACCCTCCCCTCCCCTCTCCTGTAGCTCATTCATTGGAGTTCGCCGTTGGTTTAGAACAGGACTGGCCGCATCCGGGTTTGTAGATCGCAGACAATCTCTTACCTTTAACCTCTTCCTTTTTCCCTTCCCACCTAGAAGCGAGCCAATTGATCTTGGCCCGTTCGCGATAGACAAGCACAATGCAGCGACACTCCAGCTCGTCCATCAAGGGCGCGTCCGGGGGCTACGGCAGCGGCGATGCTGAGAAGCACGCCGATGTCTCCCGGGGCGAGGACCTTCACATCCGCGGTCTCGAGACCTCTGCCGAGACCTCGCTGCACCGTGGGCTCAAGGCTCGTCACATTTCCATGATTGCCATCGGTGGTGCCCTGGGAACAGGTCTCATCATTGGTACTGGTAGTGCGCTGGCCACCTCCGGTCCCGGTTCTCTCTTCATCTCCTACACCTTCATCGGTGCCGTCGTCTTCTTGGTCATGGCTGCTCTTGGTGAGATGGCTGCTTGGCTGCCTCTCAGTGCTGGTTTCACCGGTTACGCTACTCGTTACTGCCACCCCTCTCTCGGTTTCGCTCTCGGATGGACGTAAGTGACTCCTCATCCAACGGCTTCTTCGTTCTCCTGTCGCACAGACTGACCATTGAGACAGATACTGGTGCAAGTACATCATCATCACTCCCAACCAGCTTACCGCCGCCGCCCTCGTTATCCAGGAATGGGTACCGCGAGAGAAACTCAATCCAGGTGTCTTCATTGCCATCTTCATTGTCATCATCTTCTGCATCAATTACTTCGGTGGTATCAAGTTCTTCGGAGAGTTCGAGTTCTGGCTGTCTTCCATTAAGGTCGTGGTCATTGTCGGCATCATTCTCTTCTCCCTCATCATCGCTTGTGGCGGTGGCCCCAACCGCGAACCCCTCGGCTTCAAGTACTGGTCCGACCCCGGTGCCTTTGCCATCCCCACGGGCTACCCCAAAGGCTCCTTGGGCAAGTTCCTCGGTTTCTGGTCCGTCATGGTCAACGCCACCTTCGCCTACTTGGGAACTGAGCTTGTCGGTGTTACTGCTGGCGAGGCCCAGAACCCCCGCCGCAGCATCCCCAAGGCCATCAACCTGACCTTCTACCGTATCCTCTTCTTCTACTGTCTCTCTGTCCTCCTCGTCGGCATGATTGTCCCCTACAACAGTGACAAGCTATCCTTCGCCAACTCCCAGCAGACCGGAGCCAGCGCCAGTCCCTTCGTCGTCGCTGCCAAGCTCGCCGGTGTCAACGCCCTCCCCAACATCATCAATGCCTGTATCCTCATCTTTGTCTTCTCCGCCTCCAACTCCGATCTCTACATTGCCAGCCGTACCCTCTACGGTCTTGCCTCCGACGAGTCCGCCCCCGCCATCTTCAAGAAGACTGACCGCCGTGGTGTTCCCTACCCCGCCCTCTTCCTGTGCACTGCCTTCACCTTCCTGGCCTTCATGAACGTCGCCGACGACTCCAAGAAGGTGTTCAAGCACTTTGTCAACCTGACCACCATCTTCGGTATCCTGACCTGGATCTCCATCCTCGTCACCCACATCTACTTCGTCAAGGCCCGCCGCGCCCAGGACATTCCCGACAGCGCCATGCCTTACAGGGCACCTCTGGGCGTCTGGTAAGTTCACACATCAATTTCACGAGTAAAATATCCTCATATGTCTAACCTAATTCTTCTTCTGTAGGGGCTCGTACATCGCTCTCTTCTTCTGCTGCCTCATCGCCCTGACCAAGAACTACGGAGTCTTCATCAACACCGGCAAGCCCTTCGACTACGCCACCTTCATCACCGCCTACCTCGGCATCCCCGTCTACCTTATCGCCCTTGTCGGCCACATGATCTACACCAAGAGCCGCGGCCACAAGGCCCACGAGGTCGACTTCTACACCGGCAAGGACGTCATCGACAAGGAGGAGGAGGAGTACCTCGAGAACCAGGCCGCGCGCGCCGCCTCCGCCAGGGGCTGGGACAAGTTCTACAACAGGTACATTTCGTGGCTGTTCTGAGCGTCCTCCGTCTTTATTCAGGAGGCGCGCTGCGCAAAGGATGGTGTTGTTGTTTTAGTATACCCGTATAGCATAGGCGGTTGATGTGTATATAAGCGTCATATCACACGTGTTACATGTTAATGATAAATATTGATATCACGAGATCAATTTATTTATGAAATCAAGTGCGAGTGAACCTCATGTGAAGGCTAGTGGCTGCTTTTCATGGTGCTTCTCGAGAGGCATACTGATACTCGGCGCGGGACCTCGTCGTACCTTGGCCGTTTTATCCTGCAGCGGATCTGCCTTGATCAGACAACGGCGGCCCGAAGAGCCTGGTTCCCTGATTCTTGGAGGATGAAGGGCTACTTTTCTATACTTGACATTCAATGCAGTGCGCAGATTATATTGATTGGACCAGGTCAAGGTAGGCTACTTCTTTCTCTGTAGTTAAAAACAAACATTGAATTCTTTATTTGCTATATACTTTCAATCGCCACCTCTTAATCAACAGTACCAAGAGGCAGCACGGAGATATAATCAAGAGGAGCCTGCTCGGCCCCATTCGCCACACCCCTCACGCTCAGCTCGTCGCCTCGCGCAATCTCAACGCCCCAAAAGGTGACCCGGATGGCAGAGTGGCCGTCAAGATACTGAGACGGGAACTTGCCAAGCTTGTACTCGGCATCGCCCGCCCACGCGCCGAGCGCCTTTCCGTTCAGGCTGATCTCGTACGTCGCGTTTCCGCCAGTAATGTCAAAGTAGTTTACCGCCACGTTGTACGTCCCGTCGTCGAAGTCGAGCGTCGCCGTCGCGGTGCCTGTCGAGTTGGTGATGACGGCCGTGTACCCGGATGCCGACTCGGTGGGCTGGACTGCCACGGGGTAGTAGCCCTCGAGGGTCATGTTCTCGGCCTCGATGCGCCACGGGTGGTTCCTCACGCGGCCTGCCTCGTCGGGTATCCCGGACAGGTTGCGGTAGAACTCGTTGATGGCGTCGCGCCAGACGATGGAGTGGCCGGCCTGGTACTTGAGGCGGTGGAGCACGTGCTCGAAGCGCTCGTCGTCCAGCTTTCCTCGGACCTTCTCCCAGGTGTCGGGGAATGTGGCTGCTGTTTCGGCGCCCTCGTAATGCGCGTCGTAGAAGTGCTGGATGACCGACTTGCCAGAGTGTAGCTTGAAGGAGTAAGGAACGTGGTGGAACCAGAGCATCAGGTCATCTGGAGTCGTGTCTGTGTTTTCAAAGCGTTGCGATACCTCATCAGGGTACTATATGGGCGGTATCTTGTCAGTTTTTTGTTCTCCCAGGACATAGCGTCAGATTTCCCGGGAATCCTTACCTGGCCAGCATTGCATGTTCCGTTCCAGCATGTGCGGTCCATGCCGATGCTCTCGTGGTTCGCCCTGGTCCCTGTTTTGATCGTCCAGTTAGAGTCTATGTAGACTAGATTCATGTCGTGTCGCACGAGTACTTACATTGACCCCAGCCATTGTTATCTTGACTGGCGGGTTTGGGTCCATAATGAGTGTAGAGAATGTCTGTCAGAGTCTGGATACCGAGATTGCCAGTGTAATTCTCGTACGCAGGCCACGACAGCATCGACATCTCCGTCACCGCATCGCGAATTCCTCGGCTCAGTCCAAAGGTAAGGCGAGTCCAGTCCTCCAGGATCTCAACCGAGTCAAGCGTCGGCTCCCAAGCTAGACGGCCAAAGGCATACAGGTTTGACATGGCTAGATGGCTGCCCAACCAAGTGGCGTTCATGCCGACATTGGTCACTGCCGTGTAACCGCCGCGCTTCCGGTTGAATACCTTGCCACTGATGATATCGCGAACGTAAGACTGCTTGCCGTCGACTCTCATATCAAAGTCGAAGATGGAGCGCCAAAGGGGTGGTAGATAGAACAGATGGCATTGCTGGCCGAGATACTCCTGGGTGACTTGCAGCTCGATCGCCACATCCGTATTGCGAAGATGTCCAAAGAGAGGCGACACGGGTTCACGGACCTGGAAGTCGATGGGGCCGTATTTAATTTGAACCACGACGTTATCGTCGAACTTGCCATCAAGCTCACCGAAAAACTCGACCTGGGCGTTGGCGCGATCAGCGTGCCAGTCTTCCCAGTCAGCCAGGTGATTGTACACAAAAGCTCGGAACATGAGCAGGCCTCCATGCGGCTTGAGAGCCTTGGCAAATAGGTTGGCTCCCTCGGCCAGCGTGCGATTGTATGTGATGGGTCCGGGCTGGCCCTCGGAGTTGGCCTTGACGACAAACCCTGCCAAATCTGGGACGCGGCGATAGAACTCGTTTGTGAGGTCGGTCCAGAACGTGATGACCCCCTCATCTAGAGGATCAAAAGTGTCGAGGCCGCCAATCGTTTGTGGTGATGCAAAGTATTGAGAGAGACCAATCTGCACTCCCCAGGGTCGGAAGAGATCTGCGATTCTCTGAAGGCCGTCAAGGTTTGTACCCTGGAAAAGAGAAGCATCGGCATTGACGTTGTTGATGACGATAGCATTGATACGAACAGACGACAGGAGTCTACCGAGAAGTGGCACTCGGGACAAATCTTCTCTGACATGCCCAAAACCATCGTAGAAGATGGAAACGCCGCCATAACCACGCTCGATACTGCCATGTGTGCCGTTAGCCCAAAGATTATCCCACTGGTTGGCCCAACGGACGGGCACTTCTGGGTTGGTCACATAGACATCTTTGGAGAAATCCGCCTGGGCCAGCCGCGAGAGATACTCGAAAACACCGTATAAAGCACCACGCTGATTCGAGCCAATGATGAGGACGTCCGCGTCCTTCGTGTTCAGATAAAAGCCATCATCAATCAGATCAACACCCTCAGGAAGATCACCGTTCTCTTCCTTGTACGCATCTGCGGTCGAGATGACAAATTTAGTGCTCTTTTCGGAGGTTCCAGGATTGATTTCTAAATCTAGGCCCAGAATACCACTGATTCCCGTTTGTAGCTCAGTGCCAGCCGTCTCGAGGGGGGTGTCCTTTGTCGCATTGAGGGTAATGATGGTCTTGGGGATGGAATCTAGCTTGCCCTTGGTATGGCAATCGTCCAGCCTGGCGTATCTCAGCCAGCCATTGAGACCATCCTCGGCAACACAGACGACTGCTAGAGTCGCGAGCCAGAATAGAGGGCGCATGATGTTTCTAGGGCGACGCCAGGCCTTGGTGTTACTGAGCAATTCCAGGCCTTCATATCGCTCTGGGAATGAGTGTGCACATACATTATATACATCCTCCTTTGTTTTGGGGTCAATAATCCGGCTAACCTTCCCTGAAGGTCCGTAGGGTTGCACGCATGGTCGCAATTTGTCCCTATCAGTGGAGATGGCAACGCCGAGGCGGTGATGAACATGTGTGTTTAGCCTAAACTTCCTGCTTCACCCGCATATCATTGTAGCGAATGATGCTCAGAGGGGAATGGGAGAGCTCGAACCAGCTCCAATTCTCAATTCTGGAGAGCCACAATGCGGAGTCTTGACGCGGATAAAGACTCAATGAGCGGGGAGATGCTGTAGGTCATGTTCGCGGTGACATTGCGAGGCAAATTAGCTGCGCTAGGCGACAGGGGAAAGTGATCAACAGGTTCGTGGAGCAAAACCGGTTGGAAGAGCCGGGAAAGGACCCATGGAGAAGGTCATTCCACTTCATCATACCAATAAAATGGCATGGTGGTGATGTTCTATTTAGCCTTTTTCCCGGGAGTCAAGTGCATACCTATGCCCCTCCATCCACAGAGACAGCTGATGGGTCCTCTCAACGAGCACACACGTAGATGTGCCTCTACCAGGCTTTGATTAGTATGGTGAAGCTTAATTACTGTAGTATTCTCGGCTATCTTGCAGTTTCGTACCGCCCCGACCAAGTAACTGGTTTTGCGTGCCCGGAAGCATGCCCCGGACTGATGATCAGTCTTTGTTTGGGTCACTTCATGTTCATAATAACTAAAGATCCACATCATATATCCACCAGCCAGGCAGAATGCTAAGGCAGTGCCATGGATCATGGAGATATGGAAGTGCATGGTCAAGCAGTGGGGTAATCCCCATACCCCAAGAAGCCATTCGACTCTTTCGTGAGGGGCGTAATTTAGGCTCAAGCGTGATTGTTGTTCCCAACTAGTAATGTTCCTGACAGAGCTCTCGTGGAGAGACGCGTAATGAACCGATGATGATGGACACAGATTAAACTATGTGATACCCTCCGAGATTCTGTTTGTTTCAGCATCTAGATGCCTGGGGAAGCGGCAGTGTTAGAGTTACCTTAACCCACACCCTTCAGTTCAGCCATCACAATAATCATCAGCGGACTACCTTTCAAAGCAATAAAAGACTTGAGAAGCATATATTTCCGATTGAAGATGAAGTATGCTACCCAGCTGGTGGCCCTTGGACAAAAAGCTGGGGGAAAGAGTGATCATTCCATGATCATGGGGAGGCCTAGCACAGTAAAGCAGCAGCTGATGAACTATAGAAGGCTTTATACCTCAAGAAACATCGTGCTGATCCTGGGATAATGATAAAGCAGAAATCCGTGTCAAAACTCAATACTTTATATGTGGAGCACGCTTGCGATGTCATAGAAAACTCACCGAAAACTCTCCGCTCAAGTGGCTGACAATATTTAAAATCTTACCGCCCCAGATTATTTGAAATTTGGAATTTGACGAGAAAGGCTGATCAATGTCATCTGCTTAACTTAGTGATTCTGACACTTAGAGGTTCCTGTTACACAAGACGATCATGAATCAAGATACAATGCCAGAGAGGGAGAGCTTCACTTCTCCTGAGTCTGGTCACGAATACTCCTTCATTTATCTTCCTGCGACAAGCCCCTCAAATCCGACACTACTCTTTCTCCATGGCTTCCCGTCTCAGTTAAATGACTGGGCATTTCAGATTGCCTACTTCTCATCCCACGGCTACGGGGTTGTAGCGCCGGACCTATTGGGATACGGCCAATCCAGCAAACCCGATGACGCAGCTCAATATCGGCTTAAGCTCATAAGCGATGATATTTATCGCCTGCTTGACCACTTAGATCTACCATCTGTGGTCGGTGTAGGCCATGACTTTGGGGCCACGCTCCTGTCGCGAATGGTGGCATATGGATCAACACGTTGGTCGGCTCTGGTGTTTCTTGCTGTCGGCCCGCCACAAATGGGCACTCCTTTCGATCTGGACATGGTCAACTCCATGACTAAGGATTTCCTTGGCTACGAGTTACTTGGGTACATAACGTGGCTGGGTGGTGACGAAGCGGAAGAAGCACAGAACGCTCTGGAATCTCACCCAGAGGCGGCTATGAGCTTAGTGTTTCCTGCGGATCAGAGCGTTTGGGAGGAGTGGTACCGTCCATTGGGAAAGATGAAACAATTCGTGACGGAGGACCGGAGAGTGGCGGTTGGCTCCTGGTATACACCAAAGCTTCAACAACACCATTTAGATTCATTTGCCCGAAAGGATGGTTACAAGGGTGCAGTTAGATGGTACAAGATGTGGAAGCAGAATCTCTTTCTACCTGACGAGGCTGGGCATGAGAATTTCATAACCAACTTGCCAGTTCTATTCATAGGCGATTCAAACTCGGCACAGCAACAGGATATGTTGAAGGCATGGGCGCCAAGGATGAAAAGTGTGCAATTGCAGGCTGGGCATTGGGTACATCTGGAATGCTCTGACAGGGTCAACGAGGAAGTCAGGCATTTTATTACATCCGCTCGATTAAAGAGCTCTTAAGGGAACCTGAAAGGTACCATCGGGAAGATTAGGTCATGTTTGATATCTACTTTTTCAGAAACCTACTCAGCGACTTCTGGATGGTCACATTGCCTTCCTGGAACAGTTTCTGACGCTGATCCTCCCAACCCCCTTCCTTCAGCAACCCTTCTCCTGGCCCAATCGCAAACTGATCGAGACCGCTTTGTAGACGCTCGTACATAGTTTCAGTATACTGATCAAGTGGCATTCCCATCTCCCCGCCATCCACTAAATCAGGCTGGTGTTTGGTATCGTGCAGCTCAGTCTGAACCGCCGGAGGGAAAACCTCGATGAGTTTCACATTTCCCTGGCCACCTTCAACGAGCTGCTGGCGCACTGCCATGATGAAGGCATGCAAAGCTGCCTTGGAGGCACAGTAATTCGGCGTTCGAATGAGGGAAGGGATGAGGCCAAGAGTAGCCGACACGAAAATTAGATGTGCCCTGTCTTTGGTCCTGAGATGGGGGAGAAAGGCGGTAGTGATGTGAACTGCGGAGGTATAATTCGTCGTAACCTCAAGATCGAGCTGGGAGAGATCGACGGACTCCGGCGCTGTGAAGTCAAATGCTCGTTGGATACCGGCATTGACAACTACACAGTCCAGGTCTGGGTGAGCCCTGGTAATAGTCCGCGCGAAATCCGAGATGGCAGCCAGATTGCTCAAGTCGAAAGCATGGGATATGGCCTTTTTGTTACCGTGAGTCTGAACGAAGGCGTCTAGCCGGTCCTCCCGACGGCCAACGACAATGACATGAGTGCCTTGGGATATGAGTTTGGCAGCGAAGGCCTCGCCTATGCCTGACGTAGCACCTAAAATGAGGGCCTTCCGGTAAATAGGGGCCATGTTATATGCATTAACTGAGGGCTAAATCATGGATTTGGCGCATATACACATAGATGGTTGATGATGAGTTGGCTGAGATGAAGTGCGGGGTGCATCGCTCGAGTTGAGGGAGCTTATTAATAATGAGGAGTCCTGAGAGAACCTTTTGGATATCCCACCAACAAAATGAGTGACAATATTTCAGCAATATACATGCTGTTGGGTTTAGAATGTCTGCAAAATGCCAATGGCCAATTGAGAATGGCACGGTTTAAAAACAAGTCGATAATTGATCAGCTATACATGGATTTATTATACACAGATACACAGTACACTCGGCTATTCTGATACGATTCTCTCAACTTTAAGGTTTGCATACTAGACGTCATCACGTCGTTGAGAATGTTCAAGGAGCGACTTGTTGAACCTCTTCCAAGAAATTCATTGCACTCTTGGGGTCTCTTGCCCTAGGTCTAGTGTGAGTTAATTTGTACCACATTGGCATGCTTTTCTCTCTAAGAAGGGGAAGGCACGCTTGAAAGCTAAGCTCTTGATGGCTTCTGTTCTGCCAGTCCTCCCATTACCGTTCTGGTCTGGAAGGTCCTTCAATTGGTAGAGGTTCTGTGTTGGCCTCTAGTGAATCATGATTAGGCTCATATTATTTCTCCATCTCATCTGTCACCGCGGATTCTTCCACGTTGTGATAGTAGGGTAATGTCTGGATTTCATCACGAATACTTAACACTTATTCGGCTACAGACTCGGGCAAAGGCTTTGTTCATATAGCTTGCGGTGCTCTTCGATCATCCTCGGCGTGGGGCAATTAATGTGTTGATCGCATCCTTGACGGACGTGACTGATAGTGTAAATATTAAATGACTCGTCTGGCTTCAGGATGACCTCAATTATCTCAACCGTATTCAGTAGCGCCTCGATCATTTATGGAACATTTAAAGTTGAAGAAGTTGGGATAACCAGTTCCGTTATTCTATCCGTTATATCCGAAGGGCTTTCGAAGGCATAAGAATACGGACTATACTCTGACTCAAACCCCTTGCCGGCCTTGAAACGATTAAGCAGATGGGTTATATCATCTTTGCTTCTAGGAGCTAAAGCGATTGGCTGAAAGATCTGGTAGGAGTAGCCCGGCCCATCTGCAGTCTAGCTCTCGGGGGGTAAGTCTCCGTAGCCTGTACCAGGGCAGGGTTGGAGATGTTGGAGGCATATCGGAGACAGTAACGAGAGTTTTTGATATGGTTCATCTACTTTTCTTTGAGAGACAAGAAAAAGAGGACAAAAAAAAGTATTGAAGGGATTTTTCTATTATTTATGATACTTAACGTTAATTCAATTCATCAGAGTTCGTGTTGTTGTGACATTTCGACGTTCGGAAATACAAGTGGCTGTTAGAAGAATACGTACCTCGAAAGCCTTATGGCGAATAATATGCATAGATTATAACTATGGTTTAACAGTAGTACTCTATCTTGACAATTTTTCATTAACAGTTCAAGTTTATTGTCTCCAAACATCGTGACTTAGGTTAGAGACTTGAGATCTGGAATCGCCCTTGTGGTCCTTGTTTCTCCGACACCACTTGACCAGTTCGATGAGTTACTACCATCCCTACCTAAATCAGATAATAGTTGGAAAGGATTCTTCCAGATTTGCCTTAAAATTTGACCGAAGGCAGCAAGGTAGAGCTGGTGCTGCACCCGACATCGCATCAATGTTTGCCAAGGGACAGAAGTCCGTCTCTGGCTTATTGAACAAAGTGGGCGCTTGTCGCCCAACATATAGCCAGAAATGAAGCCAGAAATAACCAAAGTTTGTTGAAAAAAGGTTCGATTTCGCACCATGTCTCCTTCGCCGGCCTGGCCCCCTTCCAAATTCAAACCCATCCTCGTATTTCAGGGTTGATCTTTCTCGCATGGCTGAATGACACAGTCTTTGTCGAAGTGCCGAAACCCGTCAACTTTCGTCAAAAGAGACGCTGATGGTGTTGTCATTGGAAGATCCCTCTAATGACGTCGTCTGTCAAAGTGGGATTGATGCCGCTCTTCGTAAGAATCAGAAAACCTTTATCACTAATGCGGCCCGGGTATGTCGTCTCAACGAATCCCGACGGAAGATGGTGCCGATGGAGGGCTCTAGGAAAGTCCATCTGATCAGAAGATATGCCCGTAGCTGGGAAGGGGACTAGGGACCGGGGTAGAACTGCTGGTGTAATGCATGAGGAAGTTGTGGATGATGTAAATAAATGCCAAGGATAGGTGAGGGAGCAGGCCACAATTATGCCGCCGGAACCGATTTCAGGTATTATCATTAGCTAATGGATCACGGAATCTGTGTGTGCAATTGGGTGTCGTTCTCCAAGGCTTTAAACATCCTACATGTCGGGATTCGGAAATCAAGCAACTGGAGTGGGACGTGCCACCTAGGATGATACCCACGGAACGGTTGGTTGACAAAGAACCCCGAGAGCTCGCTCTAGAAGGGAATTAGAACGCGAGAGCGCGAATTTACGATCTGAGTTCCATAATACGTCGATCACGGATCATGCGGAGCCTCTCAGTCATCTCATCAGCACGGGAACTATCATCGGAATGGACGGCAACGGTGGAGAAGAAGTCTCCGTTCAATTGATGACAACTAACAATAGGAAGGAATTGTGACTTGAGGACCAAGAATCAGATTACAATGCTCACACCCACAAATATATATCTATATAATGCATCTCATCCATTCTTGCTTTGCTCGTCTCCCAACTCACCAGGCTCCTTTTTCTAACATAAAAAATTATAGTGATTGACCTACGCAAGGATACTTCCGCTATTACCCCTTCATAACTAGCAATGGTACCTCAGCTTAGGACTCACATCACTAACTTGGTCGAAGTCGCTTCCAAGCACCCAGACCGCTCAGCATTGAAAGTGCCCCTATTGTCTGACAAGGGAACTTTCACAGGGTATGAGACTCTTAGTTTCGCTCAGTTCTTGGGTGATGTTGAGAACTCTGCTCGATACTGGACTCGGGAGCTCTCTAAAAAAGGACTGAAGCAGGGTGATGTTGTTGGGCTTTGGTAATAATAACCAGTCTCTTTCTGCTAAGGTCATTTGAGCTAACCGTATGGTATAGGCTGAAGGGTCTTTCATACCTCGACGGCCTTGTCATTTGGGGGATTTCCAGAACCGGGTTCACCCCCCAGATATTTTCAGTCAAACTGACCAGTGGCGAGGTCATAGCTACCCTCCTTGGCGGTGCAGATGCCAAAGCTTTCCTGGTAGAACCAAGCTGGGTAGATAAAGCGAAGGTGAATGTTCCAATGATCCCCATCGTGGACACACGGTTCATGGATCTTGACCATTTGCCACTCGCTCCCGTCTGGGTTCCATCCAGTGATAAAGATATTGTCACAATTTACCACTCATCGGGCTCAACTTCAGGAATGCCGAAATCGATTCCTGTGACAGTTGGATGGCTGGAATTTTGTATAATCAAGATGCAAGAACTTCTTCCACAGAAAGAGGAGACTGTCATCGCGGCGAAGTAAGTAATCGCCTTACAGGTCCAACCGGTTCCAAGGTGTAGCAGTCAACTGATAGGTCTCAACAGCGGAACCTTCGCCCACCCTGCTATCTTCATGGTCACGACCGGTGTTCATGCCAGCGCAGGGTCAATTATCCTACCGAAGGAAATGCCCTGCAGCTCGAGTGAAATCAAATTAATGGTCAAGGAATATGGGCTGAGAAGCCTGTTCATGTATTCCTCGTACCTGGCCGATAGACTGCGCGACGCCCACAGCGATCCAGAATTGCTCAGGGCTTTCCAAAGCCTTGAAGATATCATGTTCGGTGGCCTTCCCCTTGAGCAAGAAGAGGCTTCTTGGGCTCGTGCCAAAGGGTTGAAGATGAAGGAAGTGTTCGCCAGCACTGAACTCGGAGTTCTGATGAGCTCTGTGGGAGGCAATGGGCCGGATTCAACCCTTCTTCAGCCAATGAAAGGAACTTCTTACAAACTCTTACCAGTAAACAGCGGGAATCTGAACAACACCGAAGTTTCCGCCAGTGAACAGTTACTAGAACTCGTCGTTTCTGCTGAATCCCGAGACTGCCCTGTGCCTGCTCTACGCAACAAAGAAACTGGCAATTTCCACACTGGTGACCTTTTTGTAGAGGCCAAGCCTGGCCTCTATGAGTCTAGAGGTCGGAATGATGATTGGATCAAGATGTCTTCTGCTCTCCGCTGCGACACGCTAGCGATTGAACAGAATATCATGGAGAAGTGTGCTTTTGATCTGATAGATCGAGTGGTCGTGGTTGGAAGTGGCCGCCCCTCTCCGGCGGTGCTGGTCGAGCCCAAGGCCGAGCAAGCCGATCCTCTCTCACTTAGCAAGGAGATTCTTCGCCGTATTACGCCTTTCCATGAGAGAAGATACATGCATGAAAGGATTGACAATGCTCGCTACGTCATCATTCTGCCCCATGGTTCCTTGTCCAAAACGGCCAAGGGAAGCGTGCAAAGGAAACTCGTGGAAAAGACTTTCCAAACTCAGCTGGACCAGGTCTACGCTTCAGCTTGAGTAATATATTGCTAGACATGAGGGAGAGATTATGACAATTTAGGTCCATCGCACCAGGAAAAAGAGATTATCGGACCAGAATAGTTGCCAGCTTGTTTAGTTTACAAATACTGAACTGCGCGTTCGCCTATGGTACCTGTCTTCTCCGTGATAAGCATACACCATCTACCAACCTCCTCAAAGCTGATACGTCCATAACTTTCCGAACTCCCCCAATGTTCATTCCGGCTGATAGACGGCACGGTCAAAAGTCGGTCACCGCTCGTCTCGGGGGGTAGGTTTCATGAAGCACACTATCTTGGTATCTCCTTATCTCTCCTCCAATCTTGGTCTCATCTAGGCTAGGGTACAAAGTCTGGAGAATGCATATATGTCGCATACATGATCCTTCAAACTCCCCACTCTCAATGGAACATGAATACCTAAGCGAGCATGAACAGAACGATTCGAGAAATAAGCTGAGCGTCTATGGCCATATTTTGATACAGTTGGACGCCTCTAAATTAAGGTTATCGAAGGTTAAACCTGAAGACCATTGTCACAAGATACGAAACTAGAGGTGGAAGAACTGAATAAGGGAGTTCATCAAGGTCCAAAGGCCTGGTTATTCTCTCAATTGTATCTGCTGGTAGACAGATGAACCTCCAAGAAATACCTTATCTGTGGAGTCCATATGCATACAAGTACATACCTAGTATCTTCTTAATAACCCATAATAAGTCAAACTTACCTCCAACGTGGGATCAATGAGTGCTGGAAAGAGTACTCGAGATAAACGATTGGCTATTTCTAATTAAACAACTTACAATATTAATGTGTAATCGGTATTGAATGACCGCAAGGTGTGCGTGCCGAGATAGAGATATGCTTCAGCCGGTGCTATCTTCCCCGTTAGGGTGGCAGATTTATATATTCTCTATACGTCTTGCCTTCGATATTTCTTCTCTGACTTTACGACTTAATGAAAATAATTTTCCGAGATTTGTCAACTTTGCGTCTTTGCGCGATTACTAGACTATCCTATCTTCAAGTCTAAAGAAAGTCACTCTCTATCATTGCGATGTCTTCGACTCTTTTTGGGGTTATATATCTATTAGCAATCGCCATTGGCCCCGCTTCAACTTCACCGCTTACTTACCTTGGTAATAAGGGTATAGCCTTATGTATGGATGGCCATTAATATACATCATGAGACACTGCGAATGCCGTCATAGCTGGTGGTGTTGCAACCAAAGACTTGGTCTTTGTCAGTGGAACTACGCCATCGATTAATGGAACAATTCCAAACGGAATCGAAGCTCAGACAGTAAGTTATAAATACTTCGCGATTTACTCTTGATTACTGCGCAAAAGCCATCGGGATGGTGCTGATTATACGTCTTCTATCAGGCTGTTGTAATCAACGACACAGCTGCTATTCTAGAAGAAGCAGGGACGTCGTGGAAACATGTTTTGAAGACGACAGTATACCTTGCCGATATGGATGACTTTTCTGTCATGAATGCAGTGTACGGAAGCATGTTGCCCAGTCCTAAGCCGGCCCGAAGCACCATCCAGGTTGCGAAACTGCCTGGGGATTTCGTTATTGAGATTGAAGCAACAGCCGCCATTCCGTGATGCTGAAGACCAAGCAGTGAACATATAAATGACAACAGAATTGATCAAATTGCCGATAATTTTACGTGCAATTGATCTATGGTGGATGCGAATGGTGGGGATGAATTGCAGGTAATCAAGGGATCAGATCGTATTTAATTACTTCCATGAATCTACGTCCTGGCATGGCATAGCATGAAGATAGTAATTAAGACACCTTGGCACGTTTGAAGAAGATCGAAAAGGCCTGGTAGTATTGGTACACACAATAGTAGAAATCATGCGTGACCCAAAACCTCTTCAGTCACTTACCCTAGAGCCCACCAAGCATCATGGATGTTCGCTTTGTGTCGGTCCGAGCTCCATCCCATCGCCTCTCCTTGAATCTTCTTTCCACCAAACAATTGATTGCCTTGATCAATCCATCATTCGGCACCCCTGCCGACAGTCGATAATGTGCAGTAACCTACCATTGACACACCCGTCACGATGACTTCCCACCGCTCACGACAGGCCAAGCCCTGAGGACGCACTTCAGCTTCTGCGCGACGATTCCTGGCTGGTTGTCTACCTTGGCACTCTGCCCTCCGCATCCCACCTGGCTCGCGATATCTCCCTTCCTGCCTAAATCGATCCGATTGCTCCGAGAGACCGAAACACTGCGTAATGCGCACCGTACCCTGCTCGAGAATAGCGACGCCGAAACGGGTAGAGCAACCAGGCCCCTCCTAAACGACAATGCTCGAACGCGATATTGGTCTGCTCCCGCAACCAAGAATACTTTCTCACCAATTGATAATCGTCGGAGGAGAACTGAATCTGAAAGCAGGGTGTGTGGCTGTCCCAGATCAGCTCGGCACTTCTGCTGGATGATCGGGACTCCAACACTTTCGAGCGGCCATTCCTTTGCAACGACATTGCAACGACCGTTCCAAGCGTTGCCTAATTACAAGTATGGGATACTACGATACCGCAATTCGAGCAACGGACGCATGGGGCCGTAGAATACACTGTGGTAGCGAGAAAGCCCCCCAGCTCCCGACTTGCTAGCCCATCATGCTCTTCTCGGGCTTGTTGGGTCCTTGCTGATATCTTCGGCTAAAACGCCGTCAAATATCCTGGACGAGGAACGCTCTTGACCACCTGAACGGGTGAGCAGGATGGAAATCCCTTACCAAAGCGATGCCCGACCTTCCAAGGGGTAACGAATCCCGTCGGTAGCCATCGGCAGCCGAAAAAGCCAACGGTCTACTTGGGCAAGAGGGATTTCAGGAACTAGTCAGTGCTGGGCATAACAGCGTACGCTTGCAGAACGTGCGCCCGCCAGAGGGAAGGATGATATGGGCCTCAAGAATTACACCAATCGCCACCCAAAACATGGATGTGCGAGCTTCATCTGGGTGGTTTCCTTATCAATGACGCCAATGACGACTAATGGGTTGTACAACAAGCGCTAGTTCTTGATGGGGCGTTCAAGCCTAGTTACCCCTTAATCCTGCCAGAAAACTGAAAGACGGTTAGTTAGAGCAGGCAGATCCCAATAATATCCAGAGCACCAATGTGATACAATATCTATTTACAGCGCCCTCCCTCCAAGATGCAATAAGCCGTGGTAATAAGGCATCAGGGTGCCCAAGCTCTCTCCCATCAACGCCTCCCGAGCGAAGAAGACATCAGCTGGTTCCAGTTCAGGGTCATGATAGCATATCACCACATGGCTTTCGACTATGGCACGCTACTTATCACATTCCAGTGCTAAGCCAATCAACAGGCGCATCTCCTTCTCTGGGATGGTTCAGAGTTCACGCCAGGAGGGTTCCATGAGGGTCTAAGACCGTTTCCTACGCCTAAAAGGAGTTGGATACCGCCTACGACGTACTAGATTTGCCCTGACTCGTGCCAACCGGCCCCTAACTCCCTCAACTACGAGCTTACCAGCTCTTCGGGTATCAAGATCAAATCGCTGCCATGTCGTCGGGTCCCCGGGGAACCCGTGATCGCCCTCCGGATCCCAAGTCCTCTCCATGCCACGCTATTATCTTCTAAGCCAAGCTTAATCAAGACTCAGTCTTGCCTTCTCCTATCCCTACCTAAGTTGTTTGAGATTACCGCCTTCAGCCATTCTGCTTGGCTTCATCGTCCCCCCATGTTCACATCGCCATTCACGACATGGAGCGCTCCATCTCCATATACCTGATGGCGTCGCGAATTGCGCGTGCCGACGACGATACGGGCTCTATCGGGGTATTGCCTGCACCTCCCGGTGTGACGCCAGATCTCCAAAACCCCAGAGACGCCGGGCGTAAAACCTGCATCATAATCATGTCCGTCTGTCTCGGTCTGGTGACAATCCTTTTCTTTCTACGCTCGTATGTCAAGATACGCCTTGTCCGGAACTCCTTCTTGGAAGATGGTATGTACACTCAGGGAGAACCTGTGCTTCATCAGAGTGACTGACATGCGTGACCAGTAACTTGCACTATAGCCTGGGTATGTACCAACGTCATGTTTGTCGCTCATGAGCGTCGTTGACTCTTCGGCCAGGCCATGATTGTAGTATTCACGGCCACGGTATTAATGAGTATGTGACACCTGTCGTGCGACACCAATACACATTGTCACTGACCATAGGTAGCGAATTCATACGGTGTCGGCTATCATGTCTGGGAAATATCGCAGGAAACATACTTAAACTCGCTCAAGGTAAGCCGGACCAGTTGCTACTCATCACAAACAATTGAGGGTCCAGCACAGTCAACTGACGACTTCCAACTTACAAGTGGCTCTGGGGTTGCTCAGTTGCATACTGTCCAGCCGCTTTCTTTACCAAGACGACACTTCTTCTATTGATCGCGCGTGTCTTCGCAGTTGAAGAGCGCACCGCTCGCGCTATCTATTGCTTCATCATCTTCATTCTGATTCTTTACCTACCTATTCAGATAGTCAAGACCATCATCTGCCTTCCGATAAGATCCTACTGGGACAAGAGCGTTCCAGGACGGTGCCTGGACCAAAAGAAGGCCTTTGTGGTCGACCTTTCCGTTGCCATCCTGACAGACCTTGTGATTCTCCTTCTCCCGATCCCCCTGACCTGGAACTTGCGAATGCCCCGGAAGCAGAAACTGAAGATCTGGGCCCTCCTGGGCACTGGGGGTGTCGCAGTTGCCACAACAGTCTATCGCATGGTCAAGGCCATTCAATTCATGCACCAAACTGATGTGACGGCGGATATTATTGCTCTAGATCTGTCAACGTAGGTCCTCATACTCCCCCCATCAGTATTTTCCCATGAAGGCTAATCCAAGGCGGTGGCAGGATGGTTGAGTTGACGATTGGATTCTCATGTGCCTGCCTCCCGGCACTCAACATCCTATTTCAGAGACGGTCGAACCGGCGTTCCGATGGCAATTCGCCGCGAACAAGCAAGAATAACAGCCCATGGCGCAGCTGGAAGTGGGATTTCATGTCTAGCACGGGGAAACCGACTTCGTCTGCGACAATCCATCACTCTGCGCCCTCTAGACTGCCGTCCGTCACAGAGACCAAGGCGGGCCCGGTCAACTTCGACGTCGAGTTGGCCATGATATCAGATCCAGATGGCGTTAATGCGACTGTGTCATCCCCTCGGGAGCATGAGGAGGACCGGAATGGGGATCATTGGTTTGTTCACGAACGGGCCAACTCGCTGGATGGAAGGCGGCAAGGCTGGCTTGATCCAAAGATGCACCAGCAGACACAGAATCCAGCGTCATATGAGAATGTCAGCGAGGATTCTCGGACATCGGTAACAAACCCTTCAACGGAACTAGCGAGGGTCAGTGGCAACAGGCCGTGGAGTAGAATCTTTGACGGGACCGATAATTCTCCACCACCTTGAGAACCCAAATGGACGATGGAACGATCGTGATAGAACAGTCATTCGGCAATATCCGACAACTGGGACGAGGCTGCGGCCCATTTCCAATGATGATTATCATGACAATGACGATTATTGTCATTTTTATCGTGGCTTATGTTGGATACAGGGCTCGCCTGAGTGGGCTCGCCGTAATCCCTGCGGAGGGGAGGAGAGAAGGATACCACAACAATGACGATCCAACAAGGCAGCCACCATGTCCTGCATGCGTGATTAATACACGAACCCCGAGAGGCTCCTAGCAGCCTCTTCCGAACCCAGTTTTGCTCCTCTTAGCTCGATTGCGGCAGCCAATGTACGCTCGCTGCCAGAGAGACAGACGGCGGCATGGATCGAGGCATCACCACCGCTACCTGTGATCAGCCAATCGAGTCATGGATGACCACGATCCAGACCGCATCCCCGCCCAACTACGTTCTAAAGGGCCCTCTCAAATCAAGGTTGTTCCAAGCTTGAATTTAACCTAAAGAGTGCGGCTCTGGCGATTCCTGTTGCCATGCGCAGGGCCCAATGCGGTATATTATTGCCCGGCCATCAAGGTGCATCTCCACCACAACGTCTTGTCTCCTCTCCCAACTGGCCAACCACCTCTTGGCCTCGTGTAAGTGAAGCCCAACGTGAGAACCCGGATGGCCATGTTGCTTCTCCGCAAAACTCTGCTTGGACTCTACTCGTTCCTTGCCGTCTCCCCTCCAGCGCGATAGTCGGACCAGTTGTGGTGCAACCAGACTCCGCTTGACCGTCTGTCTGCAGGCATATGGGAGCATGGCAAATGAACGATATTATACTACGGGCTCATACCGTTCGCATGATCATTGGGACTTGCCATCCTGCGGCTTCTCTAGCCCCGGACTCCTCGCCCGATGCGTTACCATCCCTGCCCTGTCAACATGGCGTGCCATGCTACGGCCTGCAGCATCGGCTTAGACCTTTTGCTTTTGCATGGGGTGGGGGTATCCCGCTTGTTGCTATGGCTTTCTTCTTCCTTCGTTAGTGAAAAGTGCTAGGAACACAAGCGATAATCCAGGCGTGAGTGGAGTAGCAAAGGCTTTCTCTTAGTGATGGAAATTGAATTATGGCTGGCTAGATCCATTTCATGAGAAGAGCATGGCATCGTGAAAAGTTATAAAACTCTTGCCCTTCCGCGGCCTTCACATCCAAGAGAACACTCGCCTCATCGCGCCTTTCAATCTTCACCTTCAAGGTCAATCCTCTCTCCAGCAAGACTATCCACCGTCTTCCACTCCCCAGACAACACAAGCTGCCCAACATGAAGGTCCTTGCCGCTTCCGCTCTTCTCTCCCTGCTCTCTTCCGTCTCGGGATCCCCCGTCGACATCCGAGCTGAGAAGACCACATCGGTGCTCTCTGCCCCCCAGACTACTCAGACCAGCTCCTCCGTCTACGACTGGTCTGCCAAGTGGAATTCCAAGTTCCATATCCACCAGTCATGCAACAGCACTCTCCGTGCTCAACTCGAGACTGCCCTTGACGAGACTGTCCAGCTCGCCCAGCATGCCCGTGACCACCTGCTTGCATTCGGCAACTCCTCCGACCTTGTCGTGAAGTACTTTGGAAATGGCTCGACGGCCGGCCCCATTGGTTGGTATGATCGTGTTGTCGCTGCCAACAAGGAGGGCGTCATCTTCCGTTGCGACGACCCCGACAAGAACTGCGCGACCCAGAACGGTATGTGACCATACAACTTGGCTATCTTGCAAGACATGTTCCCAATCAGCTAACATTCCTTCGTTTACAGGCTGGGCTGGCCACTGGCGTGGATCCAATGCCACCTCCGAGACCGTCATCTGTGACCTCTCCTTCCAAATCCGCCGACGCCTCAACTCTATGTGCGGCCTTGGCTACACTGTCGCCGGTTCCAAGCTCAACACTTTCTGGGCCACTGACCTGCTCCACCGCGTCTTCCACGTCCCTGCCATCAGTGAGGGCATCGTCGACCACTATATCGATGGTTACAACGATGCGCTCCAGCAGGCCAAGGAGAAGCCCGAGCTGAGCCAGCACGACAGCAACGTCCTGCAGTACTTCGCCGTCGACGCCTGGGCCTACGACATCGCCGCTCCCGGCGTCGGTTGCACTGGCAAGGCCGCTGAGAGTTCTTCCAGCCACAGCTCCCCTACCAGCACCCAGAGCTCTGCCCCCAGTGCTACCAGCGACTCCCCCAAGGTAAGATTATGACGAATTGGCCTCTGGCTCAGTGTCCCTGCTTTTTTTTATGGGATACGGGTATGGCTAACATGACCACGTAGGAATGCCACACCCACTCCGACGGTGTCGTCCACTGCAATTAATTTGGTTCACTGGCCCCCCGTGGCCCACAGCATCGCATTTATATGATAGATTTCTCCTGATGAAGAGATGGATAATGGAATATAGATGAAATTAATGCATTAATTGACATGATGTCCCTACTTCAACTATGAACTATGATGTGCTCTACGAGCGTTAGTTTCACCGTGACCAGCGTATCTATCTTGTTCCTCAAAACTGAAGGCAACTTCGTGATGCTATGCTCCCTAAGATAGGCACGGAGGGAGATACCTAATTACTCAGAGAACTCACAACGATGGTAACTATCAAGCTCACAATCTGCCCATTGAAGAGCCCTCATGTTACTACAGCAGGGAAAATCGAGGTCAAAAAAGCCAAAAAAAAGAAAGACATACAACAGCAGGTATTCGCTGGTCGTCACCGACCCAACTACTAATCCGCCCCTCATCCGTTTAACTAGGCGAGAGCGGACGGGATCGCGTGTTTTCGAATGGGTATGGTCGTATGTGATGGCTGAAGCTATCGTATGAGCTATATTCCCTAGTCCCCACAACACAAAATAATAAAAATCACAAGCATTCCGGCCAAAAAAAACATACAACAGCGGGTATTCGCTGGTCGTCACCGACCCAACTACTAATCCACCCCTCATCCGTTTAACTAGGCGAGAGCGGACGGGATCGCGTGTTCTCGAATGGGTATGGTCGTATGTGACAGTGTCTCTCGACAGGATGTCCCATATACCTCCGTTTTGAACGGTGGCAAGCTCAAACTAAGCCCTCCAACCTTCACCCCCCTCGGCCTAGACACGGCACATCTTAAGCCTCGTCTTTCAAGGCTGATTAAGGGATGGGAAGCAGCTGGAGCACAGAAGATCGGCTGGGCTCTCCTCAAGCAGATCGGGAGTTGAGATGCAATCTTCGACGTACACAGCCTTATAATCGAGTTACTTATACTAATGATGCAACTACCTGCTTTTACTTCTACTCTGATCTCTTTCTGAAATAATGCGATGAGGCAACTACGCTACGCATTAGCAATACTCCCCAAGCGCCCACCTACTGTATGTACGTCAAAAGGTCGCGTTGCTTAGCTCGGAGAGATGGGAAATCAGAGGCTCTAGTCGCACAAAAGCGTCAGTTTGCAGCGGGCCAAAGACCCGATACCTTATTTCAACGGTCTGGAGAACTTTTCGTTTTACATCAATGGAATCCGGTATGAATCTGATGGTCAAGTCGAGCAAGAGTCTCAGGATACAACAAGAGTGACTATTAAGAATGGTTCGGACAAAGAAAGAGATTCAGAAGGGGCTTGTGCAGAAGATAGCTTGTCAAACGATGATGTGGAAGGCTTGTGTGAGGTGGCGAGCAAGGGCAATCGTGATTGATGTTAGACGGTGAGTGTAGACGCAGTCGGCTTTGCACCACCAGAAGCAAATTGACACAGGCACCAGCCATACCAGCGAAGGCCAGCGAGTGAGGGAAGTGGTTCATAAAGATTATGCAAAACGAGCCGGAAACCTGGAAGCACCGGTGGCACGTTCTTCGCAATCGATTCCATGGCGAACTACAGGAAATCAGCCCTGGTGAGGCGAATCTCTTCAGCCATACAATGCCTACAAGAATCGAAGTAAAGAACAAGGGCGTTGCGTCCTTGAGGATGAAGCCCTTAAACATTCAAATTCTTTTTATCGTCAATAGACTGATTGACCAGTCAAGAATCGCAGGGCCTCCGTCAGGCGGCTCGGGGATTCTCAAATAGACGGAAAACACCACATTCGCCACTCAAGATATGTAGCCTCAATGTTCACCACACTTCCAGAACAGGCTCTATCGGGCAAAGAGAGCGACAGTGTCTTCTCTGGCGAGCTCGAGTTGAAATGACGGAGAGGCGGAGGAATTCAATGGCACAAGTCTGTGCTTTGAACCGTAAATTTGACACAACAATACAGACTTGCAGATTCAAACGCGTCATCTAGTGGAGCGACGAAGCCAATTAGTTGCTCTGGCTTCCAAGGGTATCTCCCTAGTGATCTCTTAGAGGTATATGGCACTAGAAAGAGCCAATGTATCGGACGACGAATCTAAAGAGCGAGTGTAGGAGTGGGCTATGGCATCCAGGGGCATTGAGCTTCGGCGAATATGTGACAATGAGCTTGCGATTGACCTCGTTGAAGACCAGACCAAGTCATGGAAGTAGCTGGCCATTCAGCATATTTAACACGTCATAGAGTCGGCAGAAAGACACATCAGGAGATTCTCCAGTACGTGATTACAATGGACAAGAAATGCCCGCCATAAGATCGTGTATGCCTTCATCTGCCTGTTGCTCCAAGATGAATGTCAATCTTGGCAGAGAGCTAGGCAGAGAGCTTGGCAGAGCTTCTTCCAAATCGTCACCAATCTCGATTCCTGCTGGCCATCGAAGAGACCCTCGAGACTAGATTGAAGCGCTGCGGTCACAGTCACACACAGCGCCATGCAAGAGAGGAGTAGAGGACTATAAAGTACTACGATGTGTACTCAAGGCTGTGAAGGGTCACGAATTGCAAAAATCCCCTCAATTTACATCATGACACCATCGAAAATGAGGATGTCCCGCGTGCTGAAGCAATCGAATATTAAGGAGCAGCTTCGTCCTATTTGGCCATATCTCCTCTTTCCTTTTTTCGATCTGTTCTTTTGATGGTCTCGGAGTCTTTAATGGCAAACGTCATCATCCTTGGGGTGGAGAAGTCACTGATGGCCCAAATCCCATGGGCAAAATCATGCAGCCCGGCGATAAATAGAAGGGAAAAAATAATTGGAGATACTCCATGGCTCCAGGGACTGGATTAAAGCATCTTAAGAGCCTGGTGATTTCGGCTAGGAAGATCGAGGGCCTCGAGGTAGGCATCAAAATTGAAGCAATTGGGGAGGAGGGGCACTGGCAGGCGGTGCGCCAGATGATCACTAGAGAGCTCTAAATTCAATATTTGTTTATTTTAAGAGCAGAGAATATTCAAAGTAATTTATTTCACTATGTGGTCTCATAGAATTAACCTATCATCACTTCTTTAAGGATTTCTCTCCCAGTTACCTCACCCCGCCAGTGGGCGGTCAGGGCAAAAAAGGGGTTGCAAACCCACGGAAAACACTTCGTAAAGGGTATCTCCCAAGGGGGGCCGACCAGCGTCGCAGGTTATATCTCAGCCTACATTTAAACCACTTGGTTTTACAATACATTGAATATACATGGATAGGCCATGTCTCGGGCATCTCCAATTCCAGCGGGTAGACTCGCACGCGAAGCCTCGCTTGACTTGAGCTCAGTGACTGGGTGATCTACAGTCAGAAATCCATTCAATGCGGCTAAACAGTCACGCGCAGCAAGCACGCACAGGCTGCGATTATAAATAGCTGTCCCCTCCTCCCGGCGCGTCCTCCCACCCATCTTCCTTTCCTTCCACCGCTCCCCCTTTTTTTCAGTAAGATCCCCTATTTTCCATTATTCAGGTACTTTCCCACGCATTCATACTCTACTGAACATAGAGAGCAACGTACAAGCCTTTTGCACAAGAGATCACGCGCCTTGAGCCAGCCCCTTTACCAATTGACACTCGCCAATCACGCAACATCGTTGCCTCCAATCCACGCAAAATCCATCACAATGGCTGGCAACAACGTCGTACTTATCACGGGCGCCAATCGAGGTGTGTTTTTCTTCTTGCGTTGTGGTTGCCCACCCTATGAACGATGATGTATGACAAAAAAGGGGCTGGCGACCACGGTGAGGGGTAGCAATGCTGGCTCTCCTCCATTGAGCATCATCTCATTCATGCCCTCTCTGTCTCCGTCACATATTCCTCTCCTACACCTGCCACTGAAAATGTTGGTCTTGAATCGCCTGCTGACTGGTCATTTCCGCTCCAGGTATCGGCAGGCAAATGGCAGCATCACTCCTGCTCCGACCTGCCACCACTGTCATAACCACTGTCCGGGACCCAGCCCACGAGCTCTCCAAGTCGCTTGCAGACCTCCCCGCCGGCGAGGGCAGCAAGATCGTCGTCTCCGTCTTTGATGCAAAAAAGGGACCCGACGCTCTACTTGCAGCCCTCGCCGACGCAGGAATCCAACACCTCAACCTAGTCATCTCCAACGCCGGCAACTCGGATGCATTCCGCTCCGTGCTCGAGACCGATCCCAGCGCGCTGCGCGATGACTTTGAGGTCAATGCCGTTGGCCCATTCCGCCTCTTTCAGGGGTGCTGGCCGTTGCTGTCCCAGGCCGAAACCGGGAGCGACAAGAAGTTTATCCTCATTACGAGCTCGGTCGGTAGCATCGCTGGCATGGAGGAGGAGAGCTTCCCGGGGGTCGCGTACGGTGCAAGCAAGGCGGCGGCCAACTGGCTCGCCAAGAAGATTGGGACGGAGCTGGCGAGCGAGGGGCTGCAAGTCGGCATAATTCACCCTGGGTAAGTGGCAATTCAGAACCGTTTGCGAGCATGGCCCTTTGAAATGAAAATTGGAGAGCCCTTTTTCACTGACACCGTCACATCATCAGATGGGTCAAGACTGGGATGGGCCAGGCATTGGCCGACACTGTTGGATTTCCAGAGCCACCGATGACGATTGAGGACAGCAGCCGGGGAGTACTTGAACAGGTTAGTTTGATTCCCACCCTTTCCCTGAAGAAGAATACGGATGAGCTTTGAGAGCGACCATGGCAGGAGGTATTAACCTTGAAACAGATCGACAAGCTGTCCTCCGAGACCTCTGGCAAGTTTCTTGCTTTCAACGGCCAGGTGATCCCTTGGTGATGATGGGGGCGGAAGCTCTCTGAATCGCACCCTGGGATCTTGGTCACACAGATCATGAATTCAAAGACGCAAATTAGGAATAATGATAAATGATACTGTTTCTATGCCGCTTTTTATCTTCTTTTGACGTGAAAATTATGCTCGTGGGGTATAAATCGTAGAGCGCCAGTACAAAATATGCAAGGAACAGGACCAAATACAGTGAATCATCGCGTAATGCTCGTCCAACATTATTCACCTCCAATAATTATGAATTATCCTCCGCTTCCCTCCCTATTACATTGGTTCTCGCTTTTCATCTCTCTCTCCATCACGAACGTTCATCATACCAGAGTCGGGAGGGGATTGTGACCGCGCCCTATCATTTGGCTGCTCCCGTTGGTGGGGGCAGACCTGACTCGTCACCACCTTGCCCAGCTGCTCTGGAAGATTCACCCCTCTCCTCCCCTGCAGTCGCGTTCCGCGGCTGGACATCAGATTGCGGCGAGACAGCTGGTACGGGTGGCGGAGGTGAAGTGGGAGCCTGAGGAGCACTCGAAAGAGGGCTAGGCACTGTCGGCGGCGGCGAACGCGGTGGGAGAGCAGGTGAAGCCTCCTCCGCTTGTTGTCGCGTAGTAGTTTGAGGGGCCACATGTGCAGGTTGAGGTGCCTGAGGGTGTGGGTAGTACATGGCCATAGAAGGACCGGGGGGAGCACCACCTTGCGGCACTGCTACCATGGACTGTGGCGCGAACTTGAAACCCTCAGGGAGCTGGTTTGCAGGTAACATCACCTGCTGGAAGGTAGGTTTTCCATCAGGTCCAGGGGGCCCTTGGATGTAGTAGACAAAGCCGGTACCAGGGGCACCAGCCATGGGCGCAACGGCGGGGGCATTAGGATCCGGGTTATGGTATTGAGGGTGAGCACCCAGGAGATCGACGGGGTAGCGATGACGGAAGCCCCATCGGAACCAGAGACCAAGGGCAGTTCCGAAGCCGACCTTCTTCCATTGCTCACGCAGCGTCTTCTGGGTCTCGTCGTCGCGAGCTGGGCAACGACGGGTAGCAAAGATGATGGGCCAGATCAAGAAGATCCAGCAGCACGTTCCAAAGCGCAACGAGAACTTGCCCACCATCATGCGGCGGAACCAGAAGTAGGATTCGAAGAAGCCAATGAGAAAGATGCCCGGCAAGACGGCCGCGAGGACAATGGCCCATGTCTGCAGCACATTGCTGTAGTACCACCAATAATCGCTGTCACTATCGTCGCTACTGCTACCGGTGTAGATGCTGGTCGATGTGGGGTAGCGAGAAGTGGTGGTGCGAGTAGGATAGCGAGCAGTGCCGACTGCAGTTGGGTTAGTACACCTGCGGACATAGTATGAATAGTAGTAGTCATCTGTGCTAGCGGTTGCGGTGAGTTGCGGGAAGGCAGATGCAGGAACATATGCAGTGACTATGGTGTACTTGTCACCATCATAGGCAGTTGAGACAGATGCCTCGGTGCTGAGGTCAGTCCTTTGCTCCAGAACCTCAGTCGGGATGTCCGTTACTCGCTGGTAAGTTTCGACAGTGAAGGCAACAGGACAAGACGACGGGGCTGTCCACACGACCTCCTGAACGTAGCTGGTGTAGGTTTGGTCATACGTGTAGGCAGTAGCAGAACGATCGTAAGTCGAAGTGGGCACAATGTCTGAGGTTGGGACTTCGGCCCCATCAACATACATATAGACGATCTCCAAGCTACCATAAGAACGCGTCCTGGTGCTTGTGGATGTCGGGGTTGCAGTAGGAGTGATGCCAGGCTTGACGGTGATCAGACCAGTATATGTGTCTGTGTAGGTGGTCACACTGGTGCCATAGGTGTATGCATATGTGGAAACGGTGGGCTGGAGGGCAACGTATGAAGTGACAGTCCAAGTCACAGCTGGACCTGTTGAAGTTGTGGTTCGAGCGGCGTCGCAAAGGGGGACAGACGCAGCCAGCGCCGAAAGGGCGAGGCGAAGAATTGAAGGCATCTTGAGGTTCATCCCAAGCCAACCAATGAAACCACACACAATTCTTCTTGACCTCCTCTTTATGTCTCGAGAAGAGAACGATAGATTAGACAGCAATTATTAACCACCGAACGAGCGAGTGGCGGAACGAGCGAATAGATAAATAAAAGAATGAATACGCGAGAGCGTGAACGAATGACTGCTGCCACAGCACAAGGGCAGCTGCTGCCTAGGACCGACCAGGAGAGAGTACAGAGAAATATAAGAACGGGTGGCAACCGGAGAGGGTACCACAACAAGTAATTAACGAAAGCCCAGCGTGCAGGCCGGGCTGGGCCGACAAGCGACTGGGCTGGACTGGCCTCTGGGACAAGAGGATCATGGGGATGAGACGGACTGGGCTGAGCAGGGACCGTACAACCTTCCTACTCGGCTTGGCATGAGTCAACGGGAAAACTGCCAATGGGAGCAGTGGCATCAAGAGACGCGACCCTGAGAGAGTAGCTGCATGAGGGATGGCGCGGGTGAGGCTATCCCACAACCAGAGCCCCTGGTCGGCGGCGAGCTATATTGGCAACTGGAGTCGAACGAGAAATTTTCCATCAAGCAGTCAGCCGTCAGCATCTGTGGGTCTAGATGCTACCCTTTTCTGGCATGTGGTTGGCCTCTTCGTCTCCCACCTCCCGAATGCTCAAGAGACGGCTCCTTGGCAGCATTTCGTGTCTGCAGAAAGGAGGCCTGGTATTTGGTTTGGGGGTCACAATGATCAACGAGGAGCGTCCATATGAGGCATCCCAAGGGTTCTCACAGCCGGATGGATGGTGGTGACAGGCAGGGATGGTGCCCAGCGATAAGGCTGAATAGGCGAGGTGACTGAAGCATAAATATGTGAATCGCCGTTATACCCTAACCGACTCGGACTGCATGCGATGCTGCTTGTTTCGCGGCGCACAGAGGGAAATGAGGTGGGCCAGGCCACCAAAGTCCTCTCATGAAGAGATGAGCTGTGCCGCGGTCCAGCGAGAACGCGCCAAAGTACCACCGTGCCTGGCTTCTCCCGTGCAGCAGGATGATATCGAAAAGACAGGCTGGAGAGCCATAGAAGCCTCCCACATGACGATCTTCCAGACGGGCAGATCGAGAGTATTGGCGGGTGGCTTGCGCCGACGCAGCAGTGACAACATCCATCTGGCGCATAAGAATGGGCTGTACCTAATTAGAGACCGCCTGCTCCCGCCAAGCCCAAGCTCATTTTACTCGGTGGACTCACGGCCGAGCCTGCATGTCCCCTGGTCGCGATGGGCCTTTGGCTGGGACTGGCTCCTTGGTCGGTCCTGGTCCATCAGATCAACCATCAGGCTGCTCGCTCGGGATGTGGAAGTCTAAGCAGGATAGACTTTGGCTGTGCCCACCCGTCGTCTCCAAATCTGCAATGATTGTCCTCTCTCCAGCAGCTCTGGGAGCCCTCCAACCATGTGCTCGCTGATGGTCAATGCTGCACGAGGTGAATTTAGTGGGGGCCAGAACGCTGTGTAAATCAATCTGACATGCTGATTCAGTCGGTTGGCCAAGTAGCTGCAATCGGATTGACACCATCATGAGCCTCTTCCTTGACGCCGACTCGTGCTCATTCTTGCAAGCAGACAATGATGGAGCCATTGATGCTGTCCTGATTCCGCCGCCCTGGCTCCCGGGTAGGCTGTAGAAAGTGGTGACGTGACCTCGGCTACAATTTCCCAGGCTGATCTGATCCACTGAAAGGAGGGAGAATGAAGCAACCGTTGGAACAGTCGCAATCGTCGATGCCTTCTTGTGTCGTGCTGTATTCGTTGCAAAGCATCTACAGGAATTCGGCATCGAAGACAGCTTTGTCCCATAAAGATGCCTTTCTGGGGGGTACTTGATCGTGTCTCTCAGCTGTTTCCTCCCAAGCCCGACTTCACTGAGGACCAGGTCCCAGACCTCCATGGCAAAGTGAGAAACCAAACCCCAAGATCTCGTTACACAACTTTACATGTCTCATTCTTCTCTTTTCTCTCCGCATCTCTAGGTCTACATAGTCACCGGAGCCAATACCGGTGTAGGCAAGCTCCTCACTGAGATTCTTTATTCCCGCAACGCAAAGGTCTACGTTGCCGCTCGTTCAGAGGAAAAGGCCAACAATGCCATCGCTTCTATCAAGGAGACAGCTCCCGATTCCAATGGCGAGCTAGTCTTCTTGCGCCTTGATCTCGCCGATTTGGCAACCATCAAGGCTTCTGCCGATAGCTTCCTGCGACAGGAGAGCAAGCTACACGTCCTCTTCAATAACGCAGGTGTTTTGTTCCCCCCAGCAGGCTCCAAGACCGCCCAAGGTTATGAAGTTCAGCTCGGCGTCAACAATGTTGGCACTTTCATGTTCACCAAGCTCCTCACGCCTGTGCTCGTCGAGACGGCCAAGACCGAGGAGCCAGGCACCGTCCGTGTGGTGTGGGTGTCCTCGTCGGCTGCCGAATCACCCTCCGTCCCCCGTGGCGGCGTAGACCTTGGCAACATCGACCAGCGCAGTTCCAGGTTTAATCTCGACAGTTATGCCCTCAGCAAAGCCGGCAATTATCTTCATGCCGTCGAGTTCGCCGAGCGCCACAGAGCTGATGGCATCGCCAGCATTCCGTTGAACCCGGGCAACCTTCAGTCGGATCTTTGGAGGACGCAGTTTGCCATCACCAAACTTTTCTTATCCACTTTCTTCCTGCATCCTCCTAAGCTCGGGGCTTACACGGAGTTGTTTGCTGGACTGTCACCAAAGGTCACGATGGAGAAAACCGGTCATTGGGGTGAGTGAAGACTGAGCATCCTTGAGTCTATCTCAATTCCATCTTGACCCTATTGCGCCTCCTCCATCCTCACTCTCTTGATGACAGCAGCCTTCGAGTGCGGTTTCTCTTCTCACTTATGCTGACTCTCGTATCTAGTTGGACCATGGGGTCGATTTATGCCGATTCGCAACGACCTGCAGCTTTCTACCAAATCCAAAGAAGAGGGTGGGTATGGTACAGCAAAGGCGTTCTGGGAATGGAATGAGGAACAGGTCAAGCCATACCTCTGATCGTGATGAATTTCTACCATGAGACGGATCGATGCATGTATGGCGAATGCTCTCTGACACCTGAGAGACGGTGAGGGCAAGACTTACGTGTATCCTATCTCGTTCAGCGTTATACCTAATCATTCATTACTGGCTGTCCCTCTGCTACTGGAAAGATTTTCGTCCTAGTCGTGCGTGGCATGGCAGGATAACCTCTCAACTGGGGCTATGCACAATAACTATGCAACGCCTTCGATTCTCAACCCTGTCCACCCCAAACGGTCACTTACGCACAGATCTATGGCTAGTGATTCATGGCTCAATCTTTGTGCCATAGAATCTCTCGCGGTCGGGCTTGGCACATACATGCACCTTCAAGCGAGCGTCACTGTCAAGGATATGATCATCGTTCAGATATTCAGTCGGTTGAGTGTCTTCTTAAGCGCCTTGTCTACTTCAAAAATCCGGCGCAATGGAGGACGCACGCACCATGGAATGGCAGACCGTGGTGTAGCTTTTTAGAGGCTGGGGTTAGCCTAGCCACCTTCAAAACCACATATTTGGGAGTTAAACCCACACGAAGCTATTCATCTCGAGACGCAACATGTGTGAATTCAAAGCCTCGCCGTCTAGTTTCGATATGAACGAGGTTCCTACGGACGTGGAGGAATGCTATGCCGCGTACGTCAACGTCGAGACAGAGCATGTTCTTTTCCTCGAGTGTTTTAGCCCACGCGGGAACTGGGTTGGTGGCCAAGGGCGAATGTTGGCCAAGCATCTGTCAAGCATCCTATCCCTCCCCTGAAAACTTGAGGTTTGTTTGGAAGCTCAAGAGCTGGTAAATGATGCGCACTGATTGGATCACTGGAAAAGGGCACGCTTGACCGACTGATGTCGGCCATCAACGCCTCCACTCATCAGCCTGGGCGATACACTCCTGCTGTTTAATGATTCAGGGCGCAATCATCTGCAGGGGGGTTGTGATAACACGTTTTTCGGGGCATCGGAGCAAAATAATCTACAACTGCACTGACCAAATTGATGAACACGGCCGAGCTGGCGCTAGCATTCTGGAGACAGGAAGTCACGAGCTTCTGCCGCCGACTTACGATGAGCTTGACATGCCTCCTCGCCTTTGTACAAACTGGGAGGGTGCCAAGCGCTTCTTCCTTTCAGTGTTTCAAGAGAGGCTGGGATATTCCATCGCAGGTTTCGGTTCCCACTACAACTTGATCGGTAAATCTACCTGTCTAAGTTGTAGTCGAAGCGTGGGACTTCAAGATACTCGTGAGCCGTACACGGTATCGATGGTTTTGAAGACTCAAAGGTTCTGATATTGTGTACCAAAGTAGCATTGCTGCTCGACCATTCGCCTGTTCTAATCCAGTGGTTTTTTCTTTCCCTTCTCTAAATAACATCCATCAACCGGCATATATGCTTTTTATTCTTTCTTTCGGGGACCTCAGAGGCTCGCCTCATGCTAATGGCTTGTCGAAAACTCTGTATTCGGCGGGCCCAGCGAGAAGAGGGGCTAGGTCGGGATAATCCTGGCTGAAGTCGCCGAGTTTTACAATCTCGTATCCGAGCCGCTTGTACCAAGCTTGCATTCTCTCCTTGAAGGCATTCGTGCAGTGTGTAGGCACAAGCAACTCGACTTGCATCACGGTGCACCCCTCGCTGCGGCAGTACTCCTCCGCGAAGCTGACGAGCAGGCGGCCGAACCCAGCCCCGTGGTGAGCCGGGTCGAGAGCGAGCATGCCGAACTCGCCTCGCTCGGGCGTCAGTTTCTTGATGAAGACGCAGCCGATGGGCTCGTTGGAGGGGCAGAGGTAGGCTACGGCAAGTTTTCGGCTCTGGATAAATGCCTTGATCTCTCGGTCGGTCGTGCGCTGGTATTCGGGCAAGAAGATGCCCTTCTCGGCGTCGGAGAAGACGGCATTGACTATGGCAGTGAGTCGGGACACGAGTCTCTCGTCATTGGCCGTGGTTGGATCGGGGAAGATGATGGACACGGTCTTCGGGGTCGACGTGTCCACCTCGTCGGCAATGACTTGGGCAAGCCCGTTGACAGTCATGATTTGGGCTTTTCGGGAATGTCGAGTTTGGCACGCGGTGGACCGTAACCGTCGTGGGCAGCCGTCGTGGGCAACATTGAAGCCAGCGAGGTCGGCCGAGGACAAGGTGCGCACTGCAGTTTTGTCGCCAAAAACACAGCATCAAATTACCTGCTAACGGCTGGTGATCTGCGTCACGTGAGTGCACTTCTGGCTCGCTGGTTCATGTTGCACCGCGAATCACCGCAATTGCTTCACCGAGTGTAATAGAATGAAGCTCATCCTCGACAGAAAATCGGTCTTTTCTGGGCTATGGTGATCTGACGCACTTACATCGAGGAATGCCAAGAGGATCAGCTGCATGGTGTGCTCAATTCAAATACAACCCAGCCATGGATGACCCTTACCCCTGTCAGTAGAGCGGGCGTCAATCGATTATGAATTCAAAGTTCGGTTCCAAAAACACTCTCTTCAGGCAAGTCGAAGCTCGTGAAGCGTGCGTCACGAAGTGTCTGTGAGAGCGATGTGCAGACAGGGCCAACGAAGGCTCTCACAGTGTTTTCCGATGCCAAGTAACTGTCCTTACCGGGTAGTTCCCTAGAGTAGAACTTGATGCCATTGTCTGGAATTAGAAACGCTGGCTTATTCTGATACTCCCAACTATGGGCGTAGTATATATGACAGCGCTGTTTTTCTAGTCGCCCATTATCACAAGAGCACAGTAAACAACGTTCAACAGACAATGGTCATTGATGTATTGTGATTGTGGGTCTAGGGTGGCAGCAGTCGCACCGGGCTGGCCAATCAGAAGATGCGCTGCGTGTTTGCAGCCAAGCAGCATCTGATCACAACATCCAATTCGAGGGCGACTCGCCGGTCACTTCTCAGATACTCCCCTTGTGGCGAGTCGGTGCCCAACAAGCTCGAGGCCTTTTTGTCGCAGGCTTAACGTCTACATACCTAGAAAGCGTTCCAGGCAGGTTGCCCGTGTTGCGGCAGTCGCTGTGCACAATAAAACCCCGCTTGCTTGCAGCTGAGGTTCCTGCACACTCGCACTCCAAAAAGCCCATGCTTCTTCCCTTTTCACCACCACATCGCAGTTCCACCCTTGTATTGCCTTAGACAGCATATACCAGGCCGGGCAACGTGCTGCTTGACCCCAACCCTGTCGTTTCGCGCCTGGTAATTACAACATCCCGCGGCCGCCATGGCCGAAAGCACTCCCCAGCCCATCGAGCAATCGCCAGCTCATCTTCGGCATCTGCAAAATGCCGTCTTCTCGTCGGCCATCCTTCGGAGGAAAGGATACATCATCGATCCCCTCACCAAAGATGACCTAGAGAGAAAGAAAAGATGCAGTCGCTGCTCAAAAGGTATGCCTCTCAAGCCCACTGCTTCCCCTCCTCCTCCCTGTATGTGTATGCATGTGTGCGCCCATGTGTGTTGTCGCAAGAAAGGGTAGCCTTGAAAGCGCTCGTTTACTGACTGGCCTCATCTGTAGCTTTGTCGAAGAAGGATAAGGAGGAATTAGTTCCGACGAAGAAACACCTTAAGAAGGTCAAAGAGGTTGGAGACAAGAGTCGAGGAGCAGGTTATGCCGCCGGTCCAAGAGGCGAGACAGCTCTTGAAGGAAGTTTTTCACTTCTGGGTGTCAATACCGCAAAGGGTGAGGCAAATGGCGCCTCCCGGCCTCCCGTAAATGACAAGGATGGCGACAAGACAGGGAGGGAACCACTCAAGCGATGTAGATACCATTCTGGAGTGGTACAGGCCAAGGTAAGTGGCTGTTCCGTGCAGAAATTTTTTGAGAGAGAGCAAACACTCACTGATGAACGTCCCTTGATCCCGCAGATGTGGACTTGTTGCAGGAAGCACGTCTCTGCGGCACCTTGCTGCCAGGATGATAATCATCTCCCAATTCAATATGCACCAGGTGAGATTGAGGCCAACTGGCTCTTCTATCGCACGCCACAGTCAGGTGGCCGGAACCCTCAACAGAGCTTTGCCATTGCTGTTGCGATTGATTGCGAGATGGGAGTAAGTGACTCTGGCGAGTCAGAGCTTATCCGCGTCACTGTTGTCGACTATTTCTCAGGCGCCGTTCTTCTTGACAGCCTTGTCGCTCCCGATGTGAGAATGAAGCATTACAACACCCGGTTTTCTGGAATCTCGAGGCAGGACATTAACGAGGCCCGCCGCCGTCGCACCTGTATCTTCGGGAGGAGTAATGCGCGCAAGGCTATATGGAGATGCGTTGGGCCGAGAACGGTCATCATCGGACATGGTCTGAACTCTGACTTGCTGTCCCTTCGCTGGATTCATCCCTTCATCGTCGATACCATGTTGATCGAGGACGAGATTGTCCATGCCGCAAAGGCCGGTCTCCCCGAGGATCCAGATCAGGAGTTGAACGAAAAACAAAAGGGACTTCTTGAAATTTCAAAGACGCCGCTTTCATTGAAGTCCTTGACGTTATTGCGTCTTGATAGACACATTCAACTCAAGGGACAAGGGCATGACAGCGTGGAAGATGCATTGGCATCGAGGGATCTTCTCCACTGGCATCTGGTTCACAGAGTAGCACCGGAGAGCTCGTCTCCTGCCCCTTCTACAGGTGGTTGGACCGTCTAGCACCCTTTGGAAACCGCAAGAGCCAGTGGGTTATACAATTCTTTTCATATGGAGGTACGGTCGTCGCGTGGCTGTGAGTTGGAGAGCCTAAAGAAACGCAATGTGATTTAGAATACCGCCATGCTTGCGATCATTTTGCAGACATACAGGTAGGGGACGGGGTGGAGAGGGAGAGAGAGAAAAATACACACGATGGGCTTTTAAGGCAACATCGGAAATAGCTAGAAAAGCTCTCGAAAAGGCAATGATATCATCCTGACGTACCTCGTAGGAGCGCTCTTCGCCTATTTGCCTGCATGGTGGTGGGAGAAGAACTTGAACCCATTTCCGATAGCTGCTGGACTACTAACCAGTGTCCAAGGCGTCCATACATGCAAGGCGCGTCTGCTACAATTTAAAGAGGTGAATGATCTGCGGGATAAAGCCAGCTCAAGCGCCAACATGTGTCGTCTCTGGGGATTTGGGGCATCATGTTTTACCGGGAAGTACCATCCTGGGCCCTTAACCGCCTTTGCTCCAGCCAATCGCTCCTGTGTAAGTTTCCGAATATCACATTAGGTACAACAAGAAGCACCAGAGAAAATTTGAATTCCCCAACATGATATGAAGCGGGCCAGCATGATGGGTTGGAAACCATGCCGGTAATAACAACCCAGAGAGAGGTTACTCAATTTATTAGGTCGCAAAGAGCAACAGAGAGGAAACTTCGTTGTCATCTAAAACTAGTGTCCAGGATCATAAGCTCGAGGTCGCCGAATGCCGCGGACAGCAGTTGGAAGGTCGAGCCCCTACGGCAAGCCACTTGGCGTTTTGAATCTAGACAGTGAAAATCTTCTGTCATGATCGTCTGTGCTGGGTACCATCATTCACCCTTGGCGTATTCGGTGGAGATGGTGTGCGATGTCATTCAAAATACATGGTGATATTCACAGTAGCAGGCATTGATGATCCACGATGGGCGGTTTCGGGCATGAAGTGATGTAGAGTGAAGCCCTTGGTCATATTAAACCGATCTACAAGAAAACGGCGCATGCTCGCTTCCACTAGAGAGCTCTTCAATCTATATCTGGCGTTAATGGCTGCATCTTTTAAGCAATGGTGTCACAAGGAGGGGGTACTCACGATATCCTTGATAGTCGAATAAGTTCCTCCGACAAGAGTAACTACACCAATGATGAAGACGACCAAGCAGCCGATGCTCATGGCGAGGTTTTTCTTTGCATACCACTTCCCTTCACGAAGCATGACGAACCACATAACGGCAGGGATGTAAAAGGAGAAGCCGGAAACGAAGAGAGAGGAGCAAATCGACAAGAGATCGGAAAAGATGGGAATTGCCTCAGCAATAATCCAAGCGAGAATAGTGAAAATAGTAACCAGTCCGATCCACGTGCTCCAGCCAAGAGGGGTATTGACGTAGCGGGCAACTGAATTCTTGAACATCCGGCCGTGAACATAGCGGAGTGCAACTGTGCTATTAATAGACCCGGAGATGAAGATGACTGGGAGAGCGACGCCGAAAGCAATCTTGGAAACCAGATTCCCAGCCGATAGGAGAGCTGGTGACTGGACGTTTGGACCGATGAAGGCGTAGCAGATAGCTCCGGTCAGCGTGTAGATGACAATCTGGATGCTCACACTAGCCCAAATGGACTTCATGTAGTCTCGCGGAGTGTGCATTTCATCCATGAAGGAGAACTGGCCGATGGCGAAACTGTATGCCAGGACAATGTTGCTGACAGATACAAAGGCCTTGGAGAAGCTTAGATCCTCCTTTGGCCACACTGACCATTCGATGCTGGAGAGACCTCCGGGAGAATTCGTGCCCTGTATTCCTGTTGCGATGATGGTAATGCCAATCGCAGCCACGATTGAGACGAAGTCGACATATCCAAGAATTGCCACTTCGGAAAATGACGGCGGGATGGCAAGGATGAGCAAGATTACGGCAGAAACAGCAGAGAAGGCGATGGAGCAGACCTTGCCGCCATTAATGGTGACGAGGGCGATACTACCAGTAAGAGCATGAGATCCAACCACAAAAAGAAGCTCAAGCACGAAGGCGGCACCGAAGAGTTCGTATCCAAAACGACCGAGTAACATGCGGCCAGCATCGGCATAATGAAGGATCTCGGGATGCTTGAGCTTTACCTGGCCGATGATGTAACTGGTAAAGATGGTAGCGACACCAAGGAGAACAGACAGAAGGACGCCGAGGAACATCCCCAGAGTGTGGAAAGCTGCAGGAAGGCTCAGAGCGCCTAGGGCTACAGCTTCAACAATGGTGACGATAGTGAGACGCTTCCAGCCCAAACGATGGAAATGAGCATTGCCATCGGCAGCAATCTTCTTCAGCTGATCCACCTGTCCCTCATTGGCAACCTCCATAATATCCATTCCATCTTCGGGAGAGGTGTAAGGGGCATCCTTCTTATTCTTCTTCGAACCCGAGAAGGCCGGCACAGTTGCAATATCGTCGGCCATGGCGAACGTGGCGAATCGAGGTCTCTATAGAGAGTAAACAGGGTCACAGAAACGAGGGAACCCGGCAGTTAGAAATATTTCTTTTCTTAAAGAAAAGCAATCCAAAGGATGTCATGAGCGGCCCACATGGTGGCCACGAAGAAAGCATCTGACCCCGTACCAAAGGCACGAATCCCACCGAGATGTCACCGCGTTGTTTTATGCTTCAGCGACGGGGCGGGCAATCGTTTTGCAAGAGCCTACACACTTGACAGCCATCAAATCGCGAGATGCATGCATCTCGGCATATTGATGCGAAGGCACTCTCCAGCCTCAGAGATAATCGAACGATAATGGCAGACAGGTGGATAACAACGGAACTCCCGTGATTCGAAAGGAAAACCTCAGATCCATCCCTCACAGATACACAGACAGGCAGGTATCAGATGGCGATGAGGTAAAAAGTTTTCCGCTGTTGCGCCGGGCCCCTGGATCACAACTCAAGCCTCCCCCGTCGAAAACGCGACGCTGGAGGAAACAGTTACGTTCATAAAACTCCATCATTGGTGATGGGCCCTGAACTTTTGCCAGCAGTTGAAGAGAATGATTTTCCAAGTGGACCCAAGCCGCCGAAACGAGTTCTAGAAGACCCAGAAGAAACACCAACATGGCCCACTCGGGGCGTTTGGCAGCGGCAACTCGGCATTGTATGACACATAGTCGAACCGGAAGAGCCTTTTTTCTCCTACTCTGACCAGATCAGTCCCGAGACAAGCCGCTGGGTTGCTGACCACCAGTGCGAGGCTTGACGTGAGGCAGATTCCGCAATACCATACAAGAGGTTGGTATCGTTCAGCATCCTTCACGCTATTTTATGGATCTTGCTTTGATTGTTCAATCGCTCGCAGGCGCCACATTTTAAATTCTGTCCGTTTGGAAATAGTTGTCGATTGGGATCTGCCTTCGGTCGATGGTTGTGTCAAGGGGATGGCTGCTATCGAGGATATCGAGATTCTTCGGCAAGAACGAACGCTAGGAAGCCTGGATTGAGTGCACATGCTCTCGTTTGTTCATTCCTTGCGCTTCATGTTTGTGCGATAACTGCCAACTTGCATTAGTCGTAGTTGTACATGAGGGCGAATGGAAGCCTACCGCTAGCCAACAGCATTGGAGGGTCTGCAATGAATGAATAGGTTTGTCCGATCTCAACAAGTGGTCCTGTTTTCGAGTCTGCAAAGAGTATCTTCCATGTCCATGCGAAATGCATGTTGCCAGAGGTTGCTAGGTGCTGGGACGTTGCTAGAACCAAAAAGCAGCTTCCGTGAGAGGAGAAAGGAACCAGTGATCAATAGGAGCCCTCCCATTGGTTAGTCTTTGATTCGAATGTGTGCTTATGTCACCTTTCGGAGACATCTGATGCGGCACAAGTCGAAATAAACACTTATACTATCATTGGCTTCGCTCTACTCATTATCTGTGTTAAGAAGAGACAGAAATCGGAAAGCGCCCCAATATTATTGGTGCTTATATCTCAATCTCTGCGGCAACAGTGGCACCGATAGGTTAAGGCAGCTTCTCTCCTAGTTGTAGTCTTATTATCAAACCTGAATCGTCGTGGTGGAGACAGCCAAGTACGCACTCTTAGGAAGGGAGATATTTCCGCCACTACACAATAGAAGGAAATGGGCAGAACGGTTCGTTAGGGATTTAGCAATTGCTAGACTTCAGCATACTTTGATGGGCAAGATAGATTTCCAGAGGCGTTGAATGGCGTGCCAACGACAAGTAATATCTTCCACTACGCGTTTGTTATGATATCTGCAACTTGTATCAACTCGCAAGCCTAATAATTACAGGCGAGGTAAAAAAAAAAAAGAATAGATAAGTCGCGGTCTTGTGCCAACTCACGCTCCTTTTACTTCAAAATGGAACAATATAGCAGTCACTTGTTCTGGATGATGGCTTCATCTACATCGTCAGAGTCTACAGCATGTTACCGTTTTCCCGCTCCTAGGGTTCTTTGTATCCTCCTCTGCACAAAAGGTTTGGATCTCGCTAGCAAAAGGACGCGCCGCCTTGAATCCCCCCCACGTTCTTCCAAAGTGCCACCCCCCAAGAAGTGGTTGTAATCTATCACGTTCGAGCTCAATCGTCAGCCGTGACCGTCGAGACAAAGTCTTGTTGTAGTGTAATTGCTCTCGTGTAGTAGAGTAGGGGCGAGAGAACCGTGATCGTGGGATGGAGAAAGAAGGCACCCCATACACCGAACTGGTACGTGTTACCACGTAGCCAGACGCGAATTGCGGCCTATCACTTCCTCTCTTCGCGACACTATGCCGGCTTGTTTTGCATATCGACCAAGTCGGGGGCTCGGTAGCGGAGAGATATAAGAACACCACAACGTACGATAAGAGAAGAGAGCGTGATGATCCACGTGTTCGGCAAGTCGCAGCCAAGCTGGTGGGAAAGGAAGAACTTGCAGGGCAAGTCTCACGTATCGAATGTAGAGACCGGTGTATGGTCCACAAGTAGAGCAG